GTTAAACTTGTAAATTTTCACAACAGGTTAATTGGAAAGTACAATTTCTTTACCAGCCCGAGCACTCGAAATTTCGTATTTTTAATGAAATTAGTGAGCAAACTTGCATTCGAATTCAGTCAGAAAAAAACCAGTCGCAAAATCAGTAAATTCCACATTTTCATACTGATTCCGAAAAATCAAGATGAATTTTAAGGGAGAAAATGTTTTTGTTTATTTATTTTATTACAAAGCAATCAAGTTCGGCCATTATTTGTGAGTATTGAAAATGTTGCTCCACTGGCGAGTGGTTTCCTTGATTTCCGTGTGCTGGTATATGAAGGAAGCTCTTGTTCCAATTCTCGTTGAATCCTTTTCATATTGAATTGGAGATCATGATTAATGTCGACAATTCTTTCATACTTCTTTTTCAATTCTTCAAATTCATGGATCGTTGGAATGGTGGAATGTGAGCCCACTGAAGAGGAGAAGACTGGAGTCAAAACATCAGTTTGAGAAGAGAGTATTGTGGTGTTGGTCGGGTCTTTCTGAAATGATGAAGAAGCCAAGGCTTGAGATTGCACTGACGGTTGTACTGACGGTTGAAATTGCATTGCATTGGTGGTTGAGATTGCATGGATTGAGGCAATACCACTTCAGACAGATCTTTTTGAGTGGAGAATGCAGGCACGACCATATCTTTTTGAGAGGCAAAGATCATGGACAAGGGATCCTTTTGAATCACAGTAGAAGAATTCAACACATCCATATAGCAGGCTGCAGAATTATTCTGCTTGAACAAATCATTTTCAACAGAAGGTAATACTAATTGGTTGGTGTTTGCATTGAAAAAGTTTTGAGATGTGATTAATGGTTCACTCTTATCCCACACCATACACTCCATACTCCATTCATGCAACGAGTTTACATGAAACTCGTCGGGAAGAGATGTGACCAGTTTCATGGCTTCTGGTAAGACTTTTGTAATGGTAACAATTAAGCAGTCTGACTTTTGTGCATTCAACGCCGGATTGGTGGTGGCATTGGCAACATGAATGAGCTGGGACTCTTTTCTACTTCCTAAACAAATCGAACGAACGTGAGAAGGATTACATGTCACTTTTTCAGTGGTAGAAAGAACATGATTCTCAATAAACACTTTCAGCTGGAGGTTATTTAGGATCTGTTGCAACACCGTCATGATGGTCTCATATTGTGGGTAATTAGTGAGACAGTCAATCAATTGTTGCTTTGTTTTTAAAGCCTTTTTGATTTCCAATGGAGGTGGTAATTGACCGGACTCATCTTGCAATGTTTCGTCCTTCAACCGAGCACTGACATTCTCCAGAATGAGTCTGATGTGCGGAACAGTGACATCAGGCAAATCAGTCTTCTTCTTTGATGACCTTTTCTTTTGATTCTTGGTTACTGAAGTGGAAGCCTCAGTTTGACTGTTCTTGGATTTCAATAGCTGAAGAACTTGCTTTACAGAATTATAGTGTTCAGCTTTAAGGACTTCCACTTCCTTTGGGGTATGTTTCTTCTTCTTACGTTTAATAAGGTCAACTGAAGATGATTTCAACCGTTTCTTCTCGTGAGAAGAAGAGCCTTGTTTATTTGATTGTTGAGACATGTGTTGTAAAGTGGTAAGAGAAAAGAACTTGAGTTTTTTTTTTCTGAAAATGTTGATTACATCAAGTCATTTCCATGAAACGAGTAAGAACTTTTCATTTTCAATTTGAAAAGGGTGATTATTTTCATGCTCAAGAATTTGGTCATGGTCTCGTGACCAGTAAAAAGGATGGCTTGTATCACGTTAAAAGTTTAGACTCGAATCAAGTCAAAATATTGGATGAAATGCCAAAAAACGCCATACCATGTTTCCAAGTTTGTGGTAAATTTAAACAAGTTCATAGGAATGACTTGTTCTTGATTTAAACAATACCAAGTTTGTGTTGAGTATGAAAATTTTTTCAAAGACTCAACCAAACTCATTAATTGTTACAATCGAACATTCCTACCCTTCACTACATTCAGAACAATTCATGAATCAAGGAAAGTTGGTATTACTTGACCCAATTGAACACAAGGTGTCATGGTCATCGTCAAGGTAAGCATTGAATCATTGATGATCAGCTTATTTGAAAAGATGATACGATGATTGATAGCGAGAAATTATAATTACACTGAATTAGAAGTGGATTATTCAAGCCTTCCATGGATTACTATGAAATACGATATTGGAGATTTTCATTCCAATGAGTGTCTTATCCGTAGACTAATTTCAATACCATAGTATGATTTGGAGACTGATTTTAATTCAACCCAGAGTCTTATTTTTCAACTGATTTTTATTCAACCCAGAGTCAGATTTGGATACTGATTTCAATTCAACTCAGAGTCTAATTTAGGTACTGACTTTACTTCAAATCAGTCCCTTATTCAGAAACTGATTTCACTTCATCAATAAATTTTTCTTACTGAATTCGATGAAATATTTCAATGCTTATTTAAATAAAATCAGATATCGATTTAAGTGAACTGCAGATTTGGAACAGAGTAGAGTAAACTTAGTAGGGATTAAATTCAAAAATCCGCTGACTTTTCGACTAACTTTAAAATTATCAGTTTTCAAACACCAACTCATTTACTTGTAAAGTCAGTGAAAAATACTGCAGAATTTCGAGTGCTCGGGAGTGTCCACCACTTCTTGTTCGTTGATCGTTGTTGTCACTCTTTTCTGAGGCTTCTTTGGTTCAGTGGAAAATTCATTTGGAATGGCAATTGTTTGTGAATTTTCCGTTAAAATACTCTTTTGGAAGATGTCTCAATTTCTCAAATCCCAATTTTTGAATGACCTTTACAGGAACGTGTCTCTTTAAAAATCGAGTGGACCAAACCTGTTGCTGTGGAACTAGAACAGGAGGAGCTAATGATTCCTTATTTGGTTTTTTGAAGGTAGGAGATTTGATTTTTTATGCTCCAGGTCCAAATTGATTTCTGTAAATGGTAATTTTCTTGGCCCAGTTTTTATAACCGTCCTTTCTTGCAATTCTCTTTAGCTTGAATGTGGGAATGACAGGAAGTCGTTTCCATATTTTAGCAACTTGAGAAAATGGTAGACGATAACCTTTAGGAGCTAAAGGCCTCTTGAATTCATGATGACCTTGTTGATTGTTGCGTTTAGGTGGTTTTGGATCCTTCGGACGATGGAATTCAATTTGACGATCTCTTGGTAATGAAACATTCCTGAAGCTTCTACGAGAAGAGAACGAAGGCAACACTTGTACAATGGGTCTTCCACTTGAATTTCCTCCAATTGGAATACATATTTGAGCCAACTTGTGACGGAACGTGCTTGCGTTGATCTTAATACTTGGAAGTGCAATTCACTGTCTGTTGTGGCAATGCAACAAAAATTCCACCTTTAAACTCAATGGGTTCCATTCCATGCAACAACATGATACAAACATTACAATTTTCAACAGCAATTCGAGGAATAAATTTGTAAGTAATGGTTGCCTCCATAAAGACGCCAGCACTCAACGCTGCAACTCCAATTCCAGCTCTACCTCCCAAACTGATTGCTACAAAAGGTTCTAGAGAGACAGATGCTGAAATTCTATTCGCACATAATTCATAACTAATATCCACACCGACAGTTGCATAAAAGGCAAAATTCAATGGAACTGGGCCAGCAAAGACTTGAATTGGAATGTTGGGTTCTGCTGCTTGTTTTTGGAAGAGATTGTAAGAAGGTCATGAACAGGTTGATTGTGTCTTTCATAAAGAAATCCCTTACTCTTGTCGAGTGCTCCTTGTTTTCTAATAAAATTCAACATGGAAGGATCTACGGTACAAATCTTTTCATGCTTGACATTCACATTCACACAGACACGTTCTCGTTTAAAATCAGTAGGTTTTGAAAATGCAATTTGGATTTTTTTAGCAGTTTCTACCATTTCTTTGGTGCTGTCAATCATTTGTTTTGCAAATTTTACAAAAACTTTCACCACTCGAAAGACTTTTTTTGCTGTTTTTTTAAAGGAGCGTCCTAACTTGACAATACCTCGTTTGATTCCCTTTCCAAGATTGACAAAAAAGCATTTAAAGCCACACTTCTTTTTTCTTGAGGATTTGTGACGAGATCTCCAATGTTTGGCTCTTCTAATAAATCTTCCTATCGATTTAAATATTCTTCTTCCAATAATTCTTAGAACCCTTTTACCAACCACAAAGATGTGTCTTCGAATGGAATGATGAAATGTTTGTGACCAATCGAACGAAATTTTCCAACAGCCTTTTTGATTCGATGAAACACTTTTCTAAAGAAACGTAATTGTCCTAACGTTTGTACATACTCTTGCTCATTGAACATCCAAAATCTCATCATCATTATTCTCCTCAGCCAATTTGGAGTGGAACCTCTTGTTTGTTGTTATTGAGGAGGAGGAAGAAGAAGATGGTGGTGTCTCTAATTTCAGAGCTTTCAAAAGTGCATCTCCTGACTCTTGAGTGCCAACTGTGTAAAAATATCTTCAAATCGCATTCTTGGTTTCTTCACAAGTGGCTCTTTCATGAACTTTTGAGAAAAATTTGACATGTGACGCACTTCTTATTGTTTTTTCTCTCTCAGTTTGAGCATGAATAAATCTTGCTTTCACAATTGAAGAAGTGTCATTACTTGTGGCAATGTCTCTCACAAGCTGATCAATCAATGGATCATCATGCAATCTCTTCTTTAAATTATCAACAAGCATGACCTTAATGAAATCTGGAATTTTGTTATTTGCGAAATAGGTATAAAGAATACCAATAGATACTGCCTTTCCTGCATAATTCAACGCATGGATACAAGTTGTCAACTCTTCCACATCTCGTTTTTTATTTGATGTAATTCTCTGAAGAATATCCTTCACAATTTTCTCAGACAATCGAACATCTCTGAGGCGCGATGAAAGATGCGAATAAGTGAGAAATGCAGCTCTTTTCACCTTTTCATTCTCTTCTTTGAATATTTTCTTGCCAATCTTAGTTGTAAATGGAGTAAGTCCTTTCGATTGGAGGGTATGTAACAACTTGTAGGAATATTCAGTTGGAAATGCAATCACAATGGAGGCATAAATGTAATTTTGAGCCAAGTATGGATGCATGGTTGACCATTTCACAAGTTCGTTTTGAACTCTGGCACTTCTTATGCTGGCCAATACATTTTGTACTAATTCACAATATTTCTATGAGATGAATTTGTCCTTCTTGTTGACTTGTTTCAATTTGTAAAGTTCTCCTCGGAGCTCTTGAAAAAAATTTTTTTAGCTTTGATTGGATGAAGACGACTGTGTTTGATGATGGCTGCCAAAACCATGTTGGACTCTTTAGAAATGTTTGAATTTTCTTTAAATGCATGCAGCAATCTCAAGAAGAATTTGTGTAAAAAATGTTTCTTTTGCGTTTTCAAAAAGTGATGTAAATCATCTTTGTGCAGTCCAAACGTATTCTCAAAGGTGAACTCGGAACCTAAATTTGCTCCTCTTCCTTTCTTTTCCAATTCAAGAACAATGGCTGATATATCTTGATCTGGTTTTGCAGACTGCACAATCTTTTGAAGTGAAATACGTCCCACTGATACGCTTTCAATATCTTTGGTTGGAACAGCCATTTGAGCACTCTCAGAGGACATGTGATTGGAATCGTTCGGAAGTTTTGAAATCTTTTCGTAATGTCGAAAAGCAGGATGATCTTTTTTTTGATTTGTGAAATGAATCTTGATGATTAATTAAGCAGACTGTACCACATGTTTGTCCTTGGACACATTCACGACATGCATGCCTTCATATTGCATTCTTCGTTTAGATAATGGAATTCGAATGAAATCCTTCTTTGAATATTTCTGAAGAATGGTCAAGAATTTGGAAGAATGTGATTTTTCATAGCGTTGATAATACTTTCCACCAAAACCATCGGTTTGACCTCTCGAGGATTTGACAGCCTCTGTGGTGAGCATTCTCAAAAGACCTTTCTTGATGGACCTCAATTCACGACTTTCAGATTGTTTAAAAACCAAACTGTGAATATGCCCACTTGGAGACATGACAAACAACATGGGATGAGCAATCATCTTGCTTGTCAAGTCATGTCTTGAAATCAATCGGCGATATTTCTTCTTGCCTCCTTGATATTGAAGAAATTGAGCTCTCTCAAAGGTGACCATTACCACTGATTGATGAGAAGCTTCCATTCCAGAGATCTCTAAACCTCTCCGCATCGTTTCACGAGAAGGACATGTCAAGATCATACTACCAATCAATTGTGTTTCAACGTTGTCCATGCGACCTCTTTGGGATTGTATCAATCCTTGATGACCCATCACGAGTGTGTTTTTAAATTTATAATATATGGACTTTCCTTGTGGGCATTGGATTGAGACAGTGAAGAGGGAGTGAGATGATGATGCAAGAGGAACACCCAATGGTTGACCCTCCACGACTTTTACTGCCTTCTTGACACAAATGCATGCAAAGAGAAGGATGAGCAGTAGGAGGATCATCAATCGCTCGAGCGATGCCAACAGCGATGGTTTGTCTTTGTGGCGAGCCATCTTTATGGCAATACGGCCCTGGCAAGGATTCAAGAAGAGCTGTGATGAGTGTTTTGTTTGATGAGAATGACGATCGAGGTCAACCCTTAAGCAAATATAGATGTACCGATTGCGTTCAATACCCAAAAGACTACTACTCGCCATGTAAAACCCCTGACACACACTCAACCATCCATTCATTTGGCAAGGTACAAGTCAGTCTATTGGATCCAATCTCGTACGAGTAGCTCCTGAAACGACTTGGTTTTTTCGATTCATTCACCATTTTAGTCTCTCCTCTCTTCTTCAAGAAGACACTTTTCAAATTGTAAAAAGTAAATTTTATCCAAAAAATCATGTTGTGACGGTCCTTTGTCTTCTTCTTAGACTCTCATCATCATCAACGACAACGACGACGACGACGACGACGACATTCTCTCTTGATTGTATAAACACGATCGTTTAAATCCATGCAATTAATGTTTCCGAAACGATTAGGTCTACGACCATTTGATTTTGGTTTCTATCCTCGTGATGATGATGACCGCAACGATGCAAGAAGAAGAACAACCAGATGGACTTTACCAATTCTCTTATTATCCATCAATGTTGTTGTTATTCTTGTATTTGCATTCTATTGGCAATTCCGTTTTTCATTGCTTCATCATCCTAATAGTATAATACGAAAGGAAAGTTCGAGAAATTCCATCGATGATGATACAAAATTAAATACAAGTAGTACTATGATGAATCAGCATGAATGTGTGACTGAAAACACTTCACATGAATGTGTGACTGAAAACACTTCACATGAAATACAATCTCTCACACGTGTACTAAATGCATGGAAATTTCCAAATGGACCCCTTTATCGCAACCAACATGGGACGGAAGAACAAATCTCTCCAATCATGATGCAACTTTCGAGGAAACAAGATGTGGAATCATTTAAACAACCATCATCCACTTCACATCTCTCGAATCAAGATAACTCTGCTCAAATATCATACAAATATGAAACAAATCCACAAAATGGTCCATTACCGATCAACATGTATGAAGAATTTCGCCTTCAATTAGAACGAAAGAATGGTTGGAATAGCATGACATCTGGCAGATGGAAACTGACACCCAAACAATACGAAGAAAACAAAAAGTGGAGCCCTCGTATTCGAGAATTTATTGCCGATTACAGAGCTCATTGGGGTCTCAACACTTTAACTGAATTCACAGATCACGTGTATTATGAACCAAATTGGAACATTGTTGCCAAATGTCCAAGCAATAACAAAGACTATGAAACATATTTACCCAAAAATCCATTGACTGGAAAACAGAAACAATTAGGAGTATATATTGTCATGACAGATTTTTCAAAAAACAAAGTACATCGAGAAGGTGAATTTGACCGTGGTATTAGAATTGATTTATATGGAGCCATCATTAATTGGAAAGAAAATGTTTTCAAACACTTTCCTCATCCTTTCATCATTTTTCATTATGGAAAATTATTGGAACCAGTGAAACAATTTGTAGAAAAAGAGTTGACCACATTGAACATGCAAGTGACTTTTGTTGAAATTTCCACACATACATTTTTGAAAAGAAAAGCAGATGGGAAACAATGGAAAAATTCAGATGTTAATTACCGTCACTTTTGGGGAATGAACAAATTCTATATTCATGATCTTTTTGCTCATCCATCGCTGAAAGATTTTGAATATTATATGAGGTTTGATGATGATTTTCGATTGATGGAACCTCTCAAATATGACATTTTCAAATTCATGGAAGAAAATAATTTACAAGTGGGTTACTCATGTTTGGGAATGCCAGATCATGCAAGTGGTTTTTGGTCCGGTCATTTACATGAAAGAATTTGGTCCTATTTTTTACGACAGGGAATTCTACCATTAGAGGAAATGAGAACTGCCGGCAAGTGGGGCCAAGCAGACACAATACATGCAGGACCTTTTGAAGTGGCAAGAATATCTGTCTATGATAATCCAAATTATTATCATTTCATTGAGAGTGTGGATATTTGGGAAGGTACAGGAGTTTATCGATGGAGTGAACAAAATTTTAAATCGCAATGGATCAAAATGTATGTTCCAAGATTGGCCACGCATTGGTTCTGTGACCTTAGTACTTATCATAAGGTTTTTTTTGTTCCACGGTGTAATTTGACATGCATTTAGTGAGAGGTCATTGAAATGTCACATGGAGAGACATTAGAGAATTTGCATAAGTGTGTATGGACGATAGCTTGACAGATGATTAAGATGGAGTCAATAATTATCTTGACTTGTTTAACATTTGTACGAAAATATTTGGACCATGAAAAGCTTGTTCCAATCAAGTGAAATTGACTCCCTAAGGGTTTAAATAATCCATTGGTGAAATGCTGAGAGATCAAACAACAAATAACACACAAGAATCAATGACTGGCATCCAATAATGGATTGTCTGACATTTAAGTGAAAAAAAATGTCAAAAAATGAAGCTCACCCTACCAACAGCAATCATCATCACAATCATCAACACACTGGTTCTCTATTATCTTCATTCATCCTTTAGCGCCCAATATTTATCTAAAATTTTGGAATTATCCAAGTCGTCACAATGTTCACATCCATCCTCAACCACCAATTCAATGATGAGACAATTAAAAGACTCCTTGCATCAGGAAGTAAATTTTCAAAGCATCATCCGACCTCATGTTGCATCAAAAACCGTCTTCCCCTATGCCTCCGAATATCCAAGAGCCATACATAAACACAAAGAATATGCAGAACAATTAAAGAGAAGAGAAAAATTAAGTTCGGAAGGAATATTCACCATGTTGCCAACTTCTCAAAGTGTACACGAAGATATTGTTGAATCAACTTCCATCAGTCATGAAAGTATCATGTCGTCGTCGTCTTTATCTCTTCGTATTCAAGAATACATGATACAAATGAAAAAGCAATTTCCTCAACAATTTCGACCCAAGACAGTTGCTTCTTTTTCTCCATCAACATCTCTTGATATCTCAAACTACAGTAGTAGCGATCATGTCTATTTTGAACCCATGTGGGACATTTCAGTCACTTGTCCAAAATTTGTGGAGACATCTTTGACACGATCATTTCCACATGATCATTCGAAGAATCTAGGTGTATACATGACATTGGTTGGATTTGATGGAAAAACATTTGTGGTTGATGACCAAGTTGGAGAACCATTTGATTTTAGAAAGATCTTGTCAAATTGGAGAGAACATCTCATACGAGAAAATCCATATCCAATGATTATCTTTCATTATGGAAATATTCCACAAACTCTTAAGGAGCAAATTCGAATGGATTTTCACACCATTACAAGCAATTCACTCTTATTCACCATTCAATTTCACTCCATTCATAATGATGGATCATTTAATGTAAAAACATGGGAGAAGGTTAAGAATCGATTTTACTTGCATGATCTATACAAAATGCCACTTTTGAGAGAATACAAGTACTTGATCAAATTGGACCCACAACTTGTATTTATCAAGCCACTTCAATATGACCCATTCAGATTCATGCAAGACAATCATTTATTGGTTGGTTATTCACAACTTGGACTTCCAGATGCAGCTGGCAAGTCTTTCAGAAAGAACATGCCATACCAAACATTATACGAATACATTCGATTGTACACTCTTCAACAAGGAGTTTTGCCATTAGGTGAAATGAGGGAAGAAGGAAATTTTGGAACTCATGACACCATGCATACGGGCCCGTTTGAAGTGGTGCACTTGTCAGTCTACAACAATGCCTATTACGAGCATTATTTAAAATTTATTGATGCTTTTCGAGGAGTTGAAGAAGAGAGATGGTCAGAACAAAATGTGAGGACTCAGTGGATCAAACTATATGTTTCAAGAATGGCTACACATTGGTTTTGTGATTTATTTACACATTTCAAGATTTATTTTGTGCCGAGGTGTTTCGTTCGATGCATTTGATGAATTACAGAAAATCAAAATTATTTATTATTTTATTGTTATTAATATAGAGTTAGTAGATAATTGGAATCAGTGAATACCAAAAAGGATGCGTACGAAGAGAGAAGAGTGTGACTCATTAGTTTGCAACAAAGAGATAGTGGTGGATATCATTAAAGTTTGAGGAACAAAATTTTGACGAGAGTGGGATTTGAACCCACGCCCTTTCGGAACACGGTTCTCACACGAAACCTGAACGTGTCGCCTTAGACCACTCGGCCATCTCGCCTTAAACTTGTCATATTATCCGGACCCTCCATGGCGATTTGTGTTTTAATACATTACGAAGAAGCAAGCACAATCAAAAATTATGGTGATGAGGGTTGGATAAAAATTTTGATGATTTTATTTCAATACTAAATAGTGACCCAAGCAAATAGTCTTTGAAAATCATTTGTTTGAGGCAAAAAGAGTATCAAATCCAAGAAACACAAAAAGACCAAAGTGTGTGTGAAATAAGACGTATAAATAAATGTCAAAATGCATTGTATGAATCAACTGATGGATAAATAGAGCCAAACATGGCCGTATGAACAATAGTAGTGCTAGTTGTTGTTGCTGTTGTTGTTACTGTTGTGAGAATTTGTTTCATGATGTTGTTGTATCAAGTCCGATGCTACTATTATCCACACGAAAAAAGATGTCATTAAAGATGACATCATGTCCTTACTTGTGAGAAACAGGCAACATCAATTGGAATTGGTCATACAAAACCAAGACTAGGGCAGATCCAACAGTTCTGACAGCATTGGCACCTGCACCCTTGAACATGGCCTTGGTTCCTTCTTCTCTGAGAATCTTGGAGAAACAATCAACAGTTCCTCTATAAATCCATTGGTCTTTTGGCTTCTCAGATTGCATCATGAGACGTCTTCGAACAGTATCGAAAGGATAGGAGGCATATCCGGCAGCAATTGAGACAGCTTGTGCGAGAGCAAACTTGGTAATGACTCCGATAATACCTGGATCACTTTGATATGGGTTCTTCTCTCTCAAAGTATCATACAAACCAAAATAGACACCTCTGTATGGAATGATACCAGCAACGGAAACACCAAAACCATTGTAGAGACCCAAGAATCCACTTGGTCCTCTGGCAGTCTTGACCAAACAATCCCACAATCCCTTGAAATCTCTGTGATTACCAACATCGGAAGCAAGACGAGTACGAGCATAATCCAATGGATAAACAATACACAATGAACCAGCACCTGCCAAACCACCTGCTGCCATTTGTACCATGAAGAATTTAAAGAAGTCGGTCTTAGACGAATAATCAGGGAAGAGCTTCTTTATCGAATCCTTGAAAGCAAAGTTGAAGGCTTGTGTTGGGAAATATCTGATCACGTTAGTACCATTTCCTCTCCAGAAAGCGATCAATCCTTCATTCTTTGCAACACGGATGAAACAATCAATGATACCTGTATATCTTGGTACTTGTCCGCTACGGATCATGGGATTGGCATCTTGTGTTTGAATCAATAACTTTACACGTTCAATGGGTGCCGTTACTGTTTTATCAATCGCTCCAGCAAGACCTCCCAAGAGAAAATCTCTGGCGAAAGCCTTTCCTGTGTGTTCCTTTGATGATGATGATCCGTGAGACATTTTTTTTAAACAATAATAATTTTATATTAACGGATAATGATGTCTTGAGAATTGGCAAATCAAAAAACAACACCATTGAATACGGATAACAACGGATCAATAAGAAAAGTTCTGTTTATTATTATTATTAAAATTATTATTTTAGAAGAGTGATAATAATTATTATTATTATTATTATTTATTGATTGAAACACACATCTTGGCAGAGATGAGCTCGTGATTACAAAAGAATATTTGTGTCGCAAACACAAGTGAAGTGTGAGCCATGATGAGGTGGTTGAAGCTCTCATCTTCCAACAAAGCAACAGGCATACCACTCAGAATTCACGGTGGTGTGTTGTTCGAATTGCTTAATTTATGGAACGTGTGGGAGAGAGTGAATATGCATACCGCTCAGGTCATTGTCACGTGTTTCTTTCGTTTAAAATTGACTCTTCCATAACCAGTCCTTCCTCGAACATCTCTTGAGTGAGCCACTCATTCTCAACCATACCTTGTCATTTCTCTTTGGATCTGAGAATTCTCCAATTGAGAGTTCTGATCCATATTCATCTGATCATTATGCAGAAGAAGATAAAGAAGATACAACAGAATTGGCTCTTGAACAACAAGTGGAACCTCATGACTTGGAACAAGTTCGTGAAATTCTCAAACTTCGTCTCGTTTGCAAATCGTGGAAAAAAGTTATTGATAGCTCTTACATGACTCAAATAGTTGTGCCATATTTGAAGACGCGTTTGCAAGAACAGGAACAAAATGTCATGGTTGGAACGAATTTTTTATGTTTTCGAATTCCGGTGTCACTTTTGTATTTGTTTGCTTTTTTCCCGCGGGATTTCGGAGATGAATTTTTGGAAGCTACTTGGGATACCGAACACAGAGAACTTGGAAAGTTTGTGAATCGAGTAGGAACCATCGTTTCATTGTATACATGTGGTGCAACCATCATGTTTTTGAAAGGAAATCCAGTGGTGTTGTCAGTTGTCGTGGCAGGTATTGTAGTCGATAATGCCATTGGGAAGATTTTGGAATACAGAAATAAGAAAAAACTTGCCAACAATCAACAAATACTTTCAGATATGGAGCGAAACATTAAGTATGAAAATTCCTTGATTCGAAATTGTGAAATTATTTCGACAGTGCCTGACCAAAACAATTCCAAAAACAAACATTCTTGTTTAATGTCATACAAGTGACTTTGAGTGTTCTTAATGATGAAATAACTTACAAACTCTACAAAAAGTACACGGATTTTAGAAATTTGTATGACTTGATGTGTGAATGTGCGAAGAGATCTTACTTGGAGACCTGAAGAAGTCATTCAACAACGTAAAACAATCTTCTCTAAAATGTTGAATTTACTCGTGAAAGAACAAGAGGTCTATGACAGCTGTGAAATTGTGAAATTCTTTTCTCCCGAAAATAAGACTGAAGAAATGTGCGAGAAGGATGGAACTGTTGGCTATGAAAATGACAAGATGATTGAGGAAGAAGGTGGAGGAGGTTCCAAACGACCATGACAGAACATGGAATGAAACATGGAAGTTGCTCTCTACAAAAGAGATTCTCATCTTGATGAAAAATATTTAATATTATTGGGAATTATTGAACTGAATTCATGACTGAATATGTGTTTTCACCTGCCACATGATAATTATTTACAATCATAAACTCATGGATTAATTATTACTGCTTGGATTTCATAAATTTCACTAAATTGTTAAATGCATCTTCACTCCTCACATATTCTCTTGTCTTGTTGGTCATCAATTCAAAGGCTTCAGGTGCTGTTGAATCGAGTGGTATATCTTGATCAAGAGTGGGATTCAATCTGAAATACATAATATTTCTATCGGTCGTTTCTGAAATTAAATCAGTCACTCTTCTATGAATGGCTTCACTCGACATGCTTAATTCAAAAATATCCAACAAGGTGTTCACATTGGACGAGATGAGCTCAGTATTGTCAGACTTGTTATTATTCGAGGACGACGAGAATGAAAACCATCCACCCTTATTGGAATTTGTTTTCGTGATTTTTCCAGTTCCCAAACTCACAATACAAAAATTCTTGTGATTGGGAAAAAGTTTTTTCATCTCACTGACTGCAAGCTCTGTTGGATTGTTATTGCTCACTCCACCATCGATAAAGTGACAGGAACCAATTTTCTTTTTTTCGAAATAGACAGGTGCGGCTGTACTGGCTCTCAATGCACTGGCAACTGTTACGTTTTTACCATTCCATGTTCCTTTGTATCGTGTGGGATGAGAATCTTTTAGGAAAGGGCAAGGATAGGTTCTAAAAATGTAGCTAATGGCCTCGTCTGTGGTGGCTCTGGATGGAGTTTCTGAAGATTCTGTGAGTGCTGTATTGTCTTCATTTACAACAGCACTGTAGAGACTATCGGTGCTCATAGAACGGCCATTACTGGAAAGACTTGAAGATTTACTGACAGTGACTTCAGTCACTTCTTTAAAGTCATCTTTTTCGTTGTGAGTACTCGATTTGGGAATGAGAGTACTCACAAAGAAGGCCTTTGGAGAGACGGTGTGTAAATCGTTGAGGGTGAGAATGTCATTGCCATCTGATGTTCGTCCAACTTGATTTAAAATTAATGACTCCAATTTACTGGCTTCATAAAAGAAGCCCGAGCTCACTACTTTGTAGAGTTTTGTCACAGTTTCATTGAGAAGTTGTTTCGAGCTGAAGATTTTTGTTGCAAATTCTAAATAAAGTGAGAGAATAGTCTCTGCGTCAAATCCCTGTGGATATGGTGGAGTATTGTGAAAATGGACAGTTATGTGTAGAAACGATTGGCAAATTGTTGGTAAACATTAAATAGTGGATCCAAAACAAAAACATACCGCTTGAATAGAACGAGCACAAAGTGCTCCGGTTGAGGTTCCACACACCAAATGAAACATGTCTTTCAACTTTCTACCTGTTCTCTTTTCTAACTCTGCTAAAATTATGGCAAGAATAATTCCTCTTTCAAGTTCACATCACAACAATATTTAAACACATGAAGATTTTACATAAAAGAACATGAATAAGGTAAATGCTCAATGCAACTCTTCTCACTTACCGTGTACCTCCTCCGTCAAGTGATAAAACGCAAATCGTATAATCCGTGTCAGGTAGCGATGGTGCTGACAAATTTGAAGAGGTGTAGTCACTGTTGTCCAATTGATAGCTGGACACTGATTTTCCAAATGACTTTTCTAATGAAATGAATGGGTTGTCATCTCTAGATACATAATGATTTCTCAGAGTTGGATCCATGAGTGCAACACTTGAACAAACTTTGAATGTTCTATCCAGTGATTTCATAATTGCCCATTCAAATGGAAAATCGCATGAATAACTATTATTGTAACGTAATAAATTAGTAACCATTTCTAAATAATATATGTGACTAGCAGAGGTAATGAGTTGATCTTTTTCAAGATATGGATTTTCTAGCCGACCAATCTTCTCATATCCATGATACTTTTTCCAATGTGTTTCAATGTCTTTTAGTAAAAAACAACAATTTCCCAACTTGAAAGAAACACCCAACGCTGTACACACATCTCTAATGAATTGAATCGGTGATTTGTCAAAAAGATCATATTGATATTGAGTATTATATTGCACAATCACAGTAGCAATTTTCTTTAAATTTGAGGCATTCACTTTTAACATGGTTGGTTGAGATCGTGGTGTCACATTTCTGCAGAATACAGATGCTCTTAAAATTGAGGGATCAATTTGAGAAACGTCAATCATGTCAACAATTCCAAACTCAGTCCATCTCATGATATAATTTCCAAACTTAATTCCCAAGGCTAACATTCCATGATAAGGAATTGTAAATTGAGCAGGATTATCCATACTGCTATTGTCGTTGCTATTTAACACATATTTTGAAAGTGATGAATAATAGAGCCAATAATCCACATCAATAACCACTACAGAAAGTGCATCCTGGTGCATTATACAATCTTGCATAATCTTTTCCGTATTTGAAGACTTGTCAGTGAATGGCAAGAATTTTGAAAATTTGGCCATTGCTGATTGTGAAGTTCCTAATAGTTTCTGAAAAGTGTTGGCCATCAGTTGATCCACATTTCCATAACACATGGCAAGAGTTTTGATCATTAAATTGTCATTATTATTACTATTGTTGTTAATGGTGTTATTATTATTATTACTCATGTTTGAAGTTTCCTCACTTCCCATCAAGCCTAAAAAGCTCAAAGCCTTCGGAGAGAGTTTTCGGAGGAGTAAACTCATGGCGTCCGAATTTTGTAAATTTTGTGAAGCCATTTCTCTGCAAATTCCGAGAGTCGTTATTTAACAATCAGCAACGACAACAGCAATGACAACAGCAATGACGTGTTAGATTCTGTTGATATTTTTTTTGATTCTTAAAAAGAAAGGAAGGATCAACCATCTTCCTGTTATGGAAATCGAGGAAGGGTTCCAAATTAGCTCCAAGATGAAAAAGAACGAATTTATGAAATGTTGCAAGCCTCATTAATCATGAGCATAAATATTCAATGAAGAGCTCATGTAATATTGTAGTAATTTATTGTGAGTCACAAGGCATTATAAATTTTACGTCAGAAATGACGACAAATGTCGCACACTATTGATAAATGTAAGACTTTTCAAAAGTATTCAAATAAGCATTAATACTTGGTTTTTCATCCTTATCGGTTGTAGCAATATGTATAATTCCATAATTATTATCCTTAGTCCAATGATGATGTTTAAAGGTCCATCCATCTCTCAAGGTGTCACTCACTTTGATCATAAATTTAAGAGCTGCATTCTCTGTGAAGGACATTTCAACGTTACAGACAGCACTGCTGGTCAACTGCTCACACACCACTTTTCCATCTTTTTTAATGGTGGTGGACCCTCCAATGTGAACATCTCCTCCCAATACCACACAATTTCTATTAGGATGTGAAGAAAGCCATTTTCGAATCATTTCCAACAATTCAATTTGTTCTGGATATTGTTTTCCAAAGATCCAATGATCTCTAAAATCATCCAAATCGGATCTCATTTTAGGTAACGCTTCTGTTAATTTCTTATTAAGGAAAATTAATGGAACGGAGCAAACGACAATGAGAGATTTGATTTGAGGAGTTGCAAGAGGAGAACCCTGAGTTCCAAATAGCCACGAATTTAAATCATTCCATTGATCCTCTCCCAAGAAAATCTTTTCTCCTGCACTGCTTGCTAAAAAACTTCTTGCCGCTCTCAAGTCCAACACCAAAATTCCAACATCTCCAATAATGTGATAATACGCTTCATGTTTGTTTGTCATTCTTGCTCGGACATCATCAACATCCTCACGCAATGCACGTTGATACTCCCAATATACTTGTCTTGCCAATAATCCAACGTAATATTCTGGAGTGTCTCTTCGTTTGTCTACGTCGTTCGATCCCCAATCGTCACGAACTTCGTGATCATCCAAAATCATTAAATTGCTCACTTGTGAAATGAATCTTCTAGTAGCAGGATGATTCCAATTGAGTCGATAATATTTTCTGAAATTTTCCTTAATGGCTTCTTCTTCTTGAGGTGATACAAGTGTTCGTCCTTTACAAATTTTCATGCCTTCATCGAATGCATTGTGACCAAAATCAGCATAGATTTGATCTCCCATATGAAGTAGAATATCGATTTGATCGACTTTTTCCAAAAAACGTTGCCAGACATCCTTCTCAGGATTTCTACGTTCAATAAAATTACAACTCAAACATGCAACATTGAGAAAGTGTGGAACAGCACCCTTTTTTTGAATCGATGAGACTACCAACGAGTCATCAGCCATTGTTTTGATAATTCCAATTCTGTGATCTCTATTGTAAATATTTGTAAAGCGAATCATGTAGACATGATCAGGTTTCAATCCATCCAATGTGAAAACATGTGGAGAATTACTTTTCGGAACGTGAACCATTTTGAGAATAATCGTCTTATTGTTAACAAAGTCGGAACTCGAAATAGAGCCTCCAGTGGTTGACTTTAAGAGTCGACCCATCAGGCTCTTACACATTAATTCCTTGTAGGACTTTCCGAGTGTGTTTTCAGAGTGTGTGATGCATTCCATCTTTTCTAGATACTCCTTTTTGATCCCAATGTGACTTCTTGGCTCAATTTCAATACATTCCACGTTTAAGGTTGTTGCCTTTGAACACTCCACCAATACTCGAGCAGTGGTCGATTTCACAACTCCAATGACAGGACCAATAGTGAGAAAAGTTGGACCAAATAATTCAGTAATTGGTGTTGAAAGTGGATAGGGTGGAGGTGAGATGTAATCTTGTTGACTCTGAGAGATGGAAGAATTGGATTGGATGGCTTCGATAGCCAATTCGATCGTTCCAGATTTGGCACCGACCAATTCGAAAGTTTGCTGCAATCGTTCACCGAGTTTGAGATTCATGCCAAAGAATTGCAACATGACAAATCCAATCTCTGTGTGAGTTCCAAATAGTCATAGATGTTGGTGTCGATTTTGTTTTGAAAATTGTGTAGCAACGGTCAAAGAATAATGACACATTGTACATTTTTAGGAAAAATCGGTGTAGAACCATGACATTTCAATTGTTGTTAGTGGTGATCATTATTGTATCATCGTCATCATCATGGAACAAGTCAATGATCCGTTTATAACACACAAGGATGTTTGAAACAAAACTCCAAACTCACCTTCATCTCTCGTAACTCGATCATAATCCATCACTTTGACCATCAACAAGGAATCCATTGGATCCAAATTTGCTGGTGATGAATCTCCTGCCAAATCAAAACTTGGATAATCGAATACAAAACTTTCATTTTCAAAGACTGGATTCAAATTCTTCTTGACCACTTTGGTTTTCTTGATGAGAGAAGGATCGGAAGGCTCATGCCAAGTGTCAGTATTTGGATACATGTGTGAATCGTTGTAGTTAATGACCCAAAGTTTGACATAGGAATCACAACTTTTGGAGAAGGAATCCATCGCGGGGAGATTGGAACATTTGACAACGGTCACTTTGAGTTGGAGCATTTTGTTGTTTTTTTGTGAGATTGCGTGTCAATTTATGTGTATTGGACTGATTTGTAAAAAATAGTCATCTTTGCTGCTGCTGTATGAGGAGGAAATGATTCAACGAAACGTTGGCCATGAATAAAGTGATTTCATATATAAACTTTCTCAAAAAAATATCTGGGTCTTTCGCAGCGCTGAAGGCCTTGAGTATCTCTCAAGATTCGAAACCGCACTTGGTGTAACTCAGACCATGTCATGACACGACACATGACTTCAGTTGAAAAACCGTTACATTTTCTTTTAAAAAAATAACCGTTGCAAATTTCAAAATTTACAATTCATAAAAAAAACGAAACGTTGTTCTCCCTCGTTTTGAAAGCATAATATCAAATCTTTATATCCATCTCCACGATGAGCACTCCATCCGTTGTTTCAAGCCCATCCAAATCAAACAATGCGTCCAAATCGGCCGCTTCTTCTCAAGCCAATTCTCAATCCTCGACCACGAAACGACTTCAATCCGAATTGATGAATCTCATGATGTCCAAAACTGCAGGAATTAGTGCCTTTCCCGATGAAGGAAACATGTTCAAATGGACAGGCACTCTAAAGGGAAGCGAAGGAACTCCCTATGAAGGACAAACTTATAAACTTTCTCTCAGCTTCTCGAATGATTATCCTTTCAAGGTTCCAGTGGTGAGATTCATCACTCCCATTTATCATCCAAATGTAGATCAGTATGGAAATATTTGTCTGGATATTCTGAAGGATAAGTGGTCAGCAACGTATAATGTGAGAACTGTTCTGCTCTCGATTCAGAGTTTGATGGGTGATCCAAATATTGATGATCCATTGAATGGTGAAGCAGCTGCTGTGTACAGCGATCCTGTCGAGTTTAAGAGATTGGTAGATTTGACATTTCAAAAAAAGCAGCAACAATAGGCTTGCGAAAGGGAACAGACATGTTGAGTGTTCAATTCAAACAACAGTGACCATGCTCTGACAAAAAAACAACTCAAGATTCTACACTCTGAACAGATGAGCATAATAGCAACATTCCAAGTAAGGTTTCGAATGAATTTGTACATTACGACTACCACTTTTTTCATTAATAAAGCTTTGTTATTGTGATACATTGGTTGTGTGAAATTTCACAGGCGTGGAGTCATTGATCATCATTCCTGCTCATCACTTAAAACTGAATTCAACAATTCTTGCTTCAAACGATTAATATCTTCAATGGAAAACTCTTCCGCTTCAGTCACGTCGTCTGCCATTGATGAATTCCTTTCACGTTGTCGCTCCTCATTCATTTCCTTGCTTGCTTGATTTGTGTGGACGTTCTTACTGATTTCCTCAATTTTTTCAACCATTTCCTCCTCTTTAGATCCATCATTATACTTCTTTTTTCTCGATCGTGTTTTGACTTTGGACGTTCGTCTCTTATATGCTTCAAAGATGTCAGTCAAAAGACCCCATATGACGTCAGGATTTCCTGAATTAATTTCTTTCACGGACCACAAATAACGAAGTTCAATGGCCTTATTTTCCCTCAGAACAGACAACACTCTTTCCACGTTATTATACAGAGCAGCTTTGGTTTGAGGTTGCTTGTTGAGGCCTTTCGTTCGCTCCTCACTCTCCAGTCGTGCGACAATTTCTGCGAGCTTCAATCCATTTTTCAGCTCAGATTCACATTGAACAGTGGACGGCATGCTAATACCAAGATCTCGTTCAATCCATCTCATTACATGGATATGATTGGAAATATTTTCTTGGCTTAAAATGGTGAGAGAATTGGATGTTGTTGAATTGGCAGCATCTGAATTCTGTCTTGCCCCTAATTTTTCTTCCTCCATTCGTTTTGAAGATTTAATCTGGTGAATATTTGAAGAGTCTGGTAAACTTGATGTGCTTGATTTTGGTTCCATCTCAGAACTATTCGAGTCACCATATGGTGGCGGTTGTTGCATTCGTGATATCTGTACAGAGTCTGGAAGAAACACCCTTCTACTTTTAGTGGGTCTTTGGAGATCCTGTTGTTGCTTTCCCTCTTCATTCGGTTGTTGTTTTTCCAAATTCCTTTGTTTTTCCAAAGCTCTTGACCCTCCTTTACTTTTTTCGACGCAACCTGTAATTCGCTCCCTCAATGTCAAGGTAGCGTTCGAGATCTCTCTCTCCCACAAATCTCGTTCTTACATTTTCTTCCACTCCGACAAGCCATTCTTTTTTATAAATAGTCACTGAACGAATGCATGGAGAGAGCGACGGATTCCTCCCCATGTCTTCATATTCTATGGAGACTTCGTTTGTGACATTTTCATTCGACTCCAAATGGTCAATAGTTTCATGATGATTTTTCTGTGAAGGCATGGACTTTTGACTTTTCACATCTCGTGCACATTCCTCCGTTGATACTTGTGACTTTGCCATCTTCTCATTTTCTGCATGTTTTTCATATTGCTCTTTAAGAAAATATGGAACCACAATGACAGTTCGAATAGGAGCGGTACAATGTGGTCTTCGTTTCTCTCGTCCCAAGAGGCGTGTAAACATTTCGGAGAAGGTGGTGTTGAGAGAACTATTTACATTGAAAGATGAATCTTGATTCTGTATACTTGGGGATGTATTATTTGGATCGACGGGGCAGTCATCTAAGGTTTCCGAAAGCACATCCTCCTCATTCATCTCTTCGTTTGTACGATTAACACTGTTATTATGTACTCGAAATCCTTCTATTTGGCTTATCGTTTTGTTATTGGTATTGTTGTGAGGCAGAAGTCGTTGAGAAGAATGAAGCGTGTTACTTCTTTCCTCATTGTAAGATAGATTGGTTGTTTGAGGTGCCGTAGGTAGACTTTTTAGCTTTCCGTTTTCTGAGATTGTGTGGTTGTTGAATTTCTCAGCTTGTAATTGCTCCTCACGATGATGGTGAGGAGGATGAAATAATGGAACAAAATTGGAGGCAAACGATGATTTCATCGCTTGCATCAAACCCGAAGCATGTGTTGTTTTAAACGATCTACTCTTGTTGGTGTGGATGGCCTTGTCCTCCTCCTCTTCTTCATACGTTTCCTCATGAGAAACATTCACTCGGGACGGCTCCAAAGAGAGTTCTTCTCTCTCTCTTCCAGGCAATGCCCTTAATGCCTGATGATGATTGGAAGCGGAAGACCGCGAGAGAAGCATTTTTTGTAAAGTCATTGAGTTGGCAACTGTTGCCTTGAACCGATTTTTGAGAGTTGATTTTTCATAAGATATTGAGATTTTAGATGCATTCAAGGTGATCATCCTGTTCTGGAACTGTTTTGCAGTAATTGATCACCCAACCTTCTCCCTGAATTTCGGCGAAGAAGCAATGTTTGATGAGATAAGTGGTTGACATTTTCGAGCGGAACAAATTCGGTGATCGACCACCACACCGAATATTCTTTTTTCAATTAGAAGAAAAAAAGCAAAAGATTCGTGAGAACCTTGTGTTCCAAAAAGCCTCTCCCTACAACACACGAGAACTTTTTCGATATCGAATCTTGCAGAGTTGTATTTCCCCTCCACCATCGGCACTTTTTGGAACAACACTTTTTGATTCCATAATCTGATACCAATTCAATTGAATTTTGATCTTTTTCATCAGATAAGCTTGTGTTTGTACCTTTGCCAAAATTGGATCTCAACGATTGTTGGTGGGAATACAGCACGCACCAAATCATCTTTATCCACTTCCAAACTCATCCAGTACCGTCCTTTAACATCCTTTATAACACGGACCGAATCATCATCATCATTTCCAAAATATTTTTATCATTCGACATTATCATCATGGAATCATCGGCCAATAATCAATTCATGCTCACACCGACCGCCTCTCAAGGCTTGCATGAATTATTGAACCTCTCGTCTTCCGAATATTTATCTAACAAGATGGCAATTATGAAAACTCCACACTCTTCCCATGAAACTTCCTCTCTAACTTCTAATCACACCTTATTCTATCATATTATTGATCATATATTCGGAATACAAGGCTCTAACAACAACCATAGCTATTCATACTCTCGCTATAATCAAAATCTCACTCATGGACCTCCACACAGCTTTCCCTTAATTATGGGAAGTGAAGAAGGAGCTCCTCTCTCATGGAGAAGAGTGGGTTGGACTTCCGAAGATTCATGCCTCGTACTTGTGATTGCCCTTGTGTTGTTTTTGCTAAGGTTTGCTCTCAATAAGAGTCATCTCAAGCATTTTCTGTGCAAATTTTTGAGTGTGAGCTCTCTCTCACGCTTGAAAGCTTCTTCATCGCCCGAAATTGGCATGAGAAAGATACAACAACGTGTGATGGAAAATGTTTGGTTTTCAATGTACTATACTGCTTCTGCTCTATTTGGTATTTTCGTTCTGATGGATGCTCCTTGGTTTTGGGATTTGTCACACTTGGTTTTGGGATATCCGGAGGAGCAAACAGGTTACGAAATTGCAAGCTTTGCTAGACTCTACTTGTTACTGGGTGCAGCGTTCTATTTGCAAGCTCTCTTTTCAGTTCTGTTCATCGATGAGAAAATGAAAGACTTTGCCGAAATGCTCGTTCACCATATAGTTACGATTGTGTTGATTGTTTGGTGCGTCATTTCGTATTATCATCGAATTGGAACTCTTGTATTGCTGTTGCATGATGTCGTGGATGTATTTTTATATATCGCCAAGACTTTAAATTATCTCAAATTTGAGAGAACTTGTGAAACAGTATTTGTAGGATTTGTTTTGAGCTTTTTTGTACTCAGATTGGTCTATTTGCCCTACCTCATTATTCATTCATTATTTTACACGTTCAATAGTTGGGATTATCCTCAAAGATATTACATCTTTAGATATGTGAGCAATGTGCATGACTATTTTGAAATTTCAAGTTATGGAGCTTGTTGTCTCAAATATTGCGTGAGTAGTTTTTGGTCCTTAATTTCTCTGCTGGTAGTGCTTGTGTTGCTACACATCTTTTGGTTTACGCTCGTGACCAAAATGATTATCAATATTGTGAGCGGAAAAGGAAAGCAAGACATTAGAGAAAATGATGATGAGTGAGATGCATTCATTGTCTTGACAATATGTCGTGTGTGTATTCTTGTACATAGTTAAAACATTCAAATATTTTGATTTTAACTCCTTTATTTATGTACCTCAATTATCAAAAGCGAGAGAATCCATGTCGGAAGAACATGGAACTCTGCAAGTTCATTACAAAGAAGTAGAAATACACCAAAAAAATGTCTCAACCACCACATGCTGACTCTTTCATGCACTACTTTCCAATACAATCTCTCTTACTGCCAGAACTTCAACAACATGTTTTAAATTTTCTCGATCCGAAGAGCCTTCTCTCCGTGCTCGTGTGCGATCAACACTTTTACTTTCAAGTGACGAGAAACGAGGCCTTCAAGGCTTTCCGATTGATGACCATGATCCAAATGGGTCCAGCAATGTTTCCGCGAGGAGTCATTAAACTCAGAACGGACATGCCAACCGATACATCTCTCATGCGTGTTGCCATTCAATTCTTTTTGAACAAGAGTAAATGGATCAATCAAGTGGAGTATAATATATGGAGAGCTCAAGCTTTTGCATTTGAAGATGATGCGAACAGTAGTGAAACTTTGAAGAAACAAGTCGATGCTTGCTTGTGTGAGTTGATGCAACAAGTGAAAATTTTCGATGTGAAGGAAGTTGCTCTGACGGACGAGGAACTTAAAACGATACGTTACGCTTTTTTGAGAAATGAATTCATGAATTGGAAAAAAGCCATTCAAACATTCAAAAGTGTCGTTACAACTTCTCAAAAAGGATACGAGAAGGAGTCTTTCAATCGTGAGAAACATCAAATTTTGGAAAGTTTAGATCAATGTGCTACCTTTCCACATGGCCTGAAGGAAATGGATACCATCATACCTAATTTAAGATATGCACAAGACAATTCCAGTGACGATTATACAAGAATGCGTCAATTCATGTGGAGAGATCGAAAGGCACACTATGACCTTAACGAAATATTGAATGTTGCATGTGAACACGAGAAGATGATTTACTTTTTATTGAGACTAGGTTTACTTCCCTATTCAAACATTCCTTCCCTCTATCAAAATAATAGACATGTGATTCTCTTCGCTATACGCTACTATGTGGAGGACGGCCCATTTGTTAGATCCAAACATTGGATTCCCAGGCAAGATAAAAAATTGTTTGAAGGGACTGTTAAACTCGTACCAGAATTAGCAGGAGATAAGGAGATCATTAAGGCAGCATTACTTTCCAAGAAAGAGAGTCTGATTCATTCCGTTTATCAAACATCATGTTATGGAAAGATTGAGAATAGTCCACTCGGCGAAGAGGACTATCGCTTCTTGGGTAACGTGATAAAACAATATCCAAAATTATTGAACATGTTGGTGAAGTATAACAAGGAAACCGCTCAAAAATATACTTGGACAGAAGAAGATTTGATGAAAATTTTAAATTATTGCCCGAATGCCTACTCTGAACTGACCCCAGAAAACCCAGAGAATTCCAACAAAAACTGGAGATCTTTTAAATACTACTCGAAACTCGCTTTACACGCTGTCACACTTATGGGAGAAAATTTATCAAGCGTCGTTTTGGGAGAAACTTACACAAATTCTGGAGAACTTGAACAAGTAAGAAATCTTTGTGTGACAGCAGTGAAGCATTTGAATCATCCATTTAATGTCTCGAAATTATTCTTTTCAAAAATTCCAGGAGCACTAACCAAAGACCGAGATTTTCTTAAGAAAGTAATTCCACAATGTCCCAGGATAGGATATTTCATTGATGATTTGTTTTTGGAGAAGGATTGGGATCTAATCATGTTTCTGGCCCCTTTTGTTTCCGTTGTTGATATTCTCTTCATACTGAGTTACAGCTCCACAACAAGAGGATTAGCATGGGGGGTTATCAATGACAAGAGAATTCACAAAACCCCTGATTTTCTTTACAATAATCGAGAATTTGCATTGGCTACTCTTAAATCATTTCCTTTGCAATACAATAGATTTTCATCGCAAATTCAAGAAGATCCTGAAGTTTTTAACATTATTCTAGAGAGCGGATGTGACATTTCTACTTTACCAGTATTTTACAAAAAAGTCAAGGGAAACAAACTATTGGCAGAAAAGGCATTACGATTTGGTGCCAATATTTTTCTCTTTGATGAATGCATTTACAATGACAGAGAGTTATTCAAAATTGCCATTACTCACGACCCAAGATTGATTGGCATGAGTGATGTCTTTAAAGGTGACAAAGAAATGGTCATATATGCCATGGAACAAAGTAAGAATTTCAAAAGTCTCTCTCCTAACTTTTTGAACTTTAGTTTCCTTGATCAAAAACTCTTGCAAGATAGAGAAGTTGTTGAGAAGGTCATTATGGAGACTGAAACTTTTTTGGACATTCAACACTTACCAAAAGAATATCTTAGTGACAAAATTTTGATGAAAGCCACCATTCTCAAGAATGGACAGGCCTATCCGTTACTACCAGACGAATTGAAAAATGATTTGGAAATTGCAGAGGCTGCCATACGAAGCAGTTCTAAAAATTACAATTTATTACCAAAACAGTTGAGAGATCGAAGAGAATTCTTTTTATTGGCTGTTTCACGAGGTCTCATTTACGTTGAAAAGCCATTCCATATGGCACCTCAGAGCGACGATTATGTGAAATGGGAAATTTTTAGCGACTCTTCATCGGAAATTGTAGTGCGATTGGTGTGACCACTGACTGTATGTGTGTAATAATGAACGAGTTGTATACGTTGTTGATCATTCGTGCGACATTTCCAAACAACTAACCTGCCGAAAGAGTTTCTTAACTCTAGATTCTAATGATAAACACAAATATAAAAACATGTTGCTTGTTCTTTTTTAACGGCCTCAATAAGCGTGCACAGCATAAACCTGTTTAGAAACAGAGAAGGCACATTCAAAAATACCATTTTCTGCAATTTATTAAGGATATTGCTTCTCAGAAAAATGGTTTACAAATTTTGGTTGGCTCTAGCAAATCCAACACGATTTCCATCATAGTCAAACACAGTGTAATAAGTGGAAATGAAAACATCTCCCAAAATCCAAAAATCACCAAATTGTGGTGGAAGTGCCAATGGCATGAATCCGGCAATACATTCAGTGGCACCCAATTGAGAAATCTTCAAAACATAATCTCTTGGCTTGAGAGTGTATTCAATACCGTTAATCTTGAAAGTGACATCAGGATTAGAATCAATGTTAGAACAATCCTTAGCAACGTTCAATGATTCCATGATAGGACCAATCTTCAAAGCAGGTCCAGCAATGAGTGAAGTACCAGTGTCAACAGCAGCAAGGCATCCACCAGCAGGACAGACTCCCTTATATTGTCCACCAACACCAACATCAGCAATCTTGATGGCCCAATAGGTTCTATTGGCCAATGGAACATAGTTCATTGGTCCGGTGTAGTACTTTTGATTGATACCACCCAAAATCATAGCACTAGCAGTGCTTCCAGGAGTCTTGCTCAAGTAGAAGCTGAACAAGTTTTGATCGACCAATTTTTGAGCCATGATGTTGTTGAAGAGTGGGGTGACCTGTGGTGGTGACGAGGTAAAAAGAATTCAGTTGAGCAGTATCATCAATTCAAAATGGGCAAGTAAAATGTAAAGGTTGTGAACATGGGAAGATTACACGAATTAATAGTTAATTGGTGGATGATAGTGATGAGTTTCACCAAGAAAAAGCAAAGGTTAATGAATAATTTGTAAAAAACACACAAAAAACATACTCCGTCAACAGCAATGGATGGGAAAGCCATACCAACAATACCGTCAGTCTTACCAAACAAGAATGAAAGACCAGATTCACTGGTAACTTCTCCGAAAACTTGTCCCTTGACATCAATACCACCAACAGAGTTAGTATCTTGAGAAAGGAAACCAGTGACGGCACCAGATCCATAAGTAATGTTGAATGTTCTTCCGTTAGCAACATAGGTGCTTGACTTGGTGTGATCGTATCTATTGTGGAGAAGGCCTGTATGTAATGAATTGTCAAAGTTGTTAAAAACAACCACCATGAATTCATGATTGCATCAATTTTAACACGGTCAAAAACATGTCAGAATCAAAATATACACGAATAAACAAACAACAAATGAGCTTACGTACATGTAATAGACCAACACTTTTCAGAAGGAACCCACACGTTTGAGCTACCAGTATCGAAAATCACCTTGAAGGTTTGCTTTGGTGTTCCAATGCTCACAAATCCATAATACTAGTATTATATTTACAAAGATCATGAGGTGAGCGAACCATAATCATTTCATCATCAAAGATATTTTCATGTCATCATCATCATTCGGGAAATTATTTCCAAACCATCATCATAACAATCATCATCATAACAATCATCATCAACATAGATCATCATCCAAACAACAATAAATCCCAACAAAATCTCAGCAACACTTACTTGAGTATCAGCATAATCATTCAAAGGAACAACAGGAGAAGCACCAGCTCTCAAATAGGCTCTATTCATTTGTTGAAGACCTCCGGTCTTTTGAGCAATACGGACGGTATTAACCCAAGCAGCAACACGGGCATCAGAGGTGTCCAACTCCTTCTTATTCAATGAAATTTCAATAGGCTTGGCGAGTACCACACTACCAACGAACGCACACACGCTCAGCAAGGCCAAAAGGATGGCAATTTTGTTCATTTTTTTTGTTCGGAGATTTTTGGGAGTTTGCATCCATCTTTTATTCGGAGATGATTCACTCCTGGAGACAAAGGCTCACAATTCGGAATGTTCAAGGAATGAGATGAATTTGATTGGCCATGGAATAATTATGGCCTTGGTAAAGAGGAGATTTACGTGAACAATGGTTGTATAATTTGAAACAGTGCACAAAAGATCACCAAATTTTCGGAGTGTGTGTGAAGGCGATTAAAGATTAATTTGGGAATAAATTTTGTTATGGTGCAAGAATTCGTATTATTACAAGACTAGCCAAGTAATTTTTACAATAATTTACAAGTATTTACAGAAAGTACATGGATCTCATGAAAATTAATTTTCATCGATCCGTCTTGGTTTTGAAAAACTCTCTATTTACAATTCCTCATTGCCTTTTCAAGATCGAAGAAGAAATTTCGATAAAGTTTCCACATATTCCGATGAATGAATATCCATTTGCAAAATTTCTTTTGCAGCTCCACTCTTCTGAATGTGTGAAAGAATTTCATTAAAAGATTTCAACTTGCTTTGGGAGTGTGACCCTTCCACAACTCGTCGTTCTGTCACATTCGTTTTGCCACGCTGATTGTCATGTTCCATCTCTTCACTCCTCTCCTCTCGCTCTTCGTAATATTCCAAAATTTTCACAAGAGTTTGCATACACATGTTTTTGATTTGAGTTTCTGAGTGTCCATTCACAATCATTTCACACAATGGAGGCACAATTTGATATCGCTCAACAAAGAGCTCAATATGAGCGTCGAGTCCACTATTGGCGGCATTTCGAAAAATCCAAACGGCTTCTTTTTTCAAATCCATCAATGTGTCTTTCCGATTGAAAATCAATGCAATCTCTTCCAACACACCACAATCAATTGCTTTTTGAACTTGATCTTCGGTACAGGCACAAACATTCGAAACGAGAATCATGGCATCAATTCGAATAGATTTTGGAACCATGGGTAATCTCAAAATTTTGAGAGAAATGTCCAAAATGTTGAGTGTGACGAGATGTTGAGTCTCTTCGTCGGTTCCTGCTGAAATATTCACAGCAGCCACAAGAGCTTGTGCCAATAAATTGTATTCGGATTCACTTCGATTATTTAACAAGGCGATCATTCGTGTCGATTGGCCAGTTTGTAGGAAGGGGGTGATCATTTCTTTGGGATACATGAGACGTCCAATGGCTCGACAAGTGTGAGTAAGAGTTTCAATGTCTTTTCGATGCAGGAAATAGGGAGTGAGAGTTAAAAGTTGTTTCATGTGTTCTTTACTGGGAGAGGGGCTTCCAACACAAAGTTTTGAAAAACACCAAGCAGCTTTAAAATGTCAGTCCAAAAAATAATATCTAAATTTAGTCAAAATGACAAGTCGCACACCACTTACCCATTCGCATCAAGGAAAGTTGTTGTTCATCCTCTTCATTGATGACTCGTGTCGACATGAGCCATGCTATTTCTTTCACAATCTGTCCATCGAGAATTTGATCTCGTTGTGAACTTGAGCTCTTTGCAATATTTGCCAGAATAAATAAAGCGTCATTGGCAATCGGTAAATGTCGAGAATGAACTAATTGAATCATTAAGGGAACATCGAGTTGATTCGAAAGTGTTTGAATTTGATCGATTCGTCCGTTTGCACTCAGCTGTTCATTTTTGAACAGATTTTCAAATTACCAAATTCGGAAAACAATATGGTTCCACCTCAAAAAATATTAAAACGCGAAAGTTTTCATACCTTTTTAACAATTGAAACTGCAAAATGTTGAATTCGTTGAATCATTCCGTCCAATTGAGTTGGGGTATCTTCGAGTGTTTCGTTCATGAGTGAAATTGTTGAGTCATTCAAAACATTCAAATACTTGCCAAGTATACTTCTATCGAGATAATATGATTTTACGTGAGAGAGTGTGTCTGAATCTAAAATGGTATCAATAATATCTTCAATGTCCATCGAGTCGGTATTTAATAAATCGTACAGTCTGAGGTGTGTAAGATGTGTCATTAAAAATGTCACTTGCCAACGTTGGGGTTTGAAAATTCCTTGCACTTACCGCTGCAAACTTTTCACACTTTTCTGATATATTCCGTCCATTATTTGGGAGAGCTGTTTTTGTCTTTGATTTTCTTCATCATTTAATTGTTGTTCGACTTGTTCGATTAGATCATCGTCAATCATTTCTGGTAATTGATTAACATCATGTGATCGAAACTGTAAAAGCCTTAATAAAACTTCTTCACAAATGATCCATTCCAAACTGAGCTCTCTCATTAATGATTTTCTCTTATCTAAATTTTGCTTTTTAAACTCAGTTAAGGGTATTTCCATTCTTGTCATCTCGGGTTTGGTAATTTCCCTTTTTGATCGAATACCTGTCGAGCTCAATTCTGTGGCGGCAACTCTTCCATATAATTCCCTTCTTCGTTGAATAATCTTCTCTCGTTGCAACATTTTTCGTTGTTTTTGTATTTGTTTTTTCACTCTCTGATTTTCAAGAGCTTCTTTCCAGGCTTGGGGTAAAACTTTCTTTTTCAATAGAATCTTATTATATGATTTTGTTATCATACAGGGAAGTTGTGGTTGCAATAAATACATTGGAAGCATCTCTTGCTGACAAGTGTCACCTCTTCCAAACATGGAAAATTGTAAAGTTCCAAATTCAGATCCTACTGCACTCACCACGGTCGTTAAAGAAGACTCATTCATCCTATCGACCAATGTTCTTCTCATCCAGCCATTTTCCTTAAGACTCTCCATTCGTCCATTCATTTCCGAACACGTATTTGAAAATAACGTATTCTCAAAAGGACATGACATTTCCATCGTCGAAGCAGCCACACAACAACCACCTACACCGACGCTTCCAACGTTTCGATTTACTATCACGTCTTCGAAGGCATTTCTTTCATTCGAGCCAACCAATCGAATCGAATCGCAAGAGTTTGAGATCACATTCATTGAAAATTGTTGTAAACATTCAATCGGAGGAAGTGAAGACAAGGTTGACGACGATTGGTTTTTCAAATTGGGCATCAAATGGCCCAGAGAAGACTCCTCACAAAATGATTGAATCGTCGGTTGCAACACGTTTAATTCATGTGGATGCAAATCGAACAATTCTTCAAGAATCGAAACGTCGTCTTCCTTCGTGACCACTGACGTTTGTCGTTGTTCCAACAATCTCGACGACGATGAATTCATCGGTTGAGTCCAACAAGGGTCGAAAAGAAGATGATTGCCTTCATCTATCTGTTGATGTTGTAATGGTTCGATCGATTCCAAGTGGTGACGATGAATCGAAGGGAGATGTTTGTCTTCTGATGGTGGCCGATCGTTCGATTCGATGGAATGTTCATTGTGGTGACCCTTTGGATGCATTTTGTTTGAATCTATTTGTGAAATGCAAATAATTGGTTGGTAGATATATTTGGATGGATGGTTTACAAATAATCGTTGCAAAAAGGTGAAAACCAATGACATGCAATCATTTGAAAGATGAATCGACAAGACGAAAGAATCAGTGAGTGGCAGTTGACAGTTGGAGGCCTCCTTCTTTCGTCTTTGAAAAAAACCTTAATATAGCCTGAAAACAAGACCCTTAACCACCAAACAGCAGCACCAAGAACAAATTGTGTTCCTCCATAACCATTGCAAATGTCAAAGATTTTTTTGGAGATTTTGTCTCGACATGAAAATCTTTGCTTTTCATCCATTCAAAGATGACTCTCTTCAAAGGCAGGACTGTAGTAGAGATTCACCAAAGACGTCAGACGGACCATTGTCATGACTTTGAGAATCGTCTTTCACAATGTTGCTGACACGTAATGTGACAACCATTCTCGTGACAGCATTGTCTTGGCATTTAAATACCTTAATGAACATTTCGATCAAAGAGGACCATTCTTCATTTCCAAAAGACTGAGCACAGTGTGCAGAATGGTCACATCGGACTTTTTGACCAAGAGTCTGAATTTGACATTTGAAATGTTTTGCGCCTTAGTCCACATCGAACAAGGAAACAAATGTCGTAGTGCTTTTTAATATCCTCCAACTTTTGTGGACGGATGAGGGAATTTTCTCCTTCAAATCTTCACATAGAATAAAAAAAAGACATCACTTGCACAACATTGGACAACAGAGACTCCAAATCGTCGCTGCCTCTTCGAGCACTCAGGGTTTAACTTTTTCCTCTCGAGACAACTCGTCATCATCCTTGATCTCACAATTTTTTGCGCTTTTGGATTTGTAGTTGACATCTAAATTTGAAAGAGTCTTCTCCAAAATTGTTGACCTGTAGTCCAAAGATTGTTTGTCTCATACCGAAGATATCTCATTCCAACAACATTCATTTAAAAAAGAGTTATCTCTGAACATGTAAGTTGAATTCGAACGAAAATCTGTTTTGACAACTGACACTACTTGCAACCGGAATGATCTTTTTCCATCTCCTTCTGCCCACATCATGAACTGCATGCATGTTGTACGATACAACATGGACTGGTGTCACATGGTAAGTGTAGATTCATTATATCCTGATGTCATCTGACTTGTCTTGAAATGGAAATCTTGGAAAACAATTCTTGTTTTACTAAAGTACCTCCATGGCTCCTCAAACACCAGTCCAGCAAAAACAACAGCAATCAACAGCAAAAAACAATGCAACGACTTCCTTCGATTAGCACTTTGATCCAAAGTTTGAACCACTCCATCGTCGTTGAAGAGAAAAATTTGGATGACAAGAATACCGTCTCTACTTCAAGTGGAGGCGTTTGTAGCAACAACAAACATGGATGGATAGTATCCAGTCGATATGAATTCATTCCTCCAAAACACACACATCATTCCATGGATCCTCGTTCCAAAAATCCAAATTTGGATGAACTTCAAAACGTCAAGTCACATGTGACCACAACAACAACATCACGCACAGGAATTCACCAAAGGAAAGATTCAAAAGCGATTCTGTGTCGTCAAAGTTCTCCACACCAAGAAACTTATGGTCATCATTACATGTGCATGTATTCTCTTCCTGTCACTTGCCAATCATCAACTCCACCTTCATACAACATGGAAACAACAACAAAAACTCCATCATCCTATTCACCACAACAACGATCAAATTCCTTAACGGTCACAACTAGCACTCAAAATGTTTGTTCCAACTCGAGCTCTCAACCTTTCCCATACATACCATCGACAACACATCATCATTCTCCTCATTTTGAATTATCCCCTAACTCTCCAACATCTACGACCTCAATACCAAATACTTTGAATCCATTTTTGGAAAAACGTAATCTTACTCCTTCATCTCCACTCAAATCTTCTCACGATGAGATCGTCCCATCCATAAATGTATATCCCAACAAGCATGTATACAACAACACTAACCAATTGTACAATAACAACCATAATCATCATGAGCAATCCTCTTCGACCAATCTTTCCAGAACAGAAAGCTTGATGAGTAGTGAAAGTCACACTTCGACGAGTTTAGATTTGAATTGTCAACAAACTCTTTCGTCTCCAGTATCTGCTGCTGGTTTGATGGACAATTTGACGAGCGGTGCCGAACCGATCAAAGCTTCAAGTTTGCTTGGAAAGCGAAAACAAGAAGATCCCTTGTCAAATGCCAGCCCATCAATCGCAAGTATCCCAACAAATGTCTTGTCTTCTCAATCGAACTCACCTTCCTCTCCTGTTTTGCAATATTCATTTGTGAATGTTATCCCTGAAAAAGCTCCTAAAAAGTCAAAAAAAACTTCAAGTGACACAAATTCTTCAAAACCATCTCCTTTTCAATTTATGAACTTCTCCATTTCGAATGACACTTCAAAAATCAAATTTGTAAAAGCTCAACATCAATTGAGAGGAATTAATGATGGAAGTTGGACTGAGAAGGAACATGAGGATTTTGTGAGAGGCCTCAATGAGTGTGGAAAGGGAAAATGGAGAGAAATTGCTGAAAAGTATGTCAAAACTCGAACGAGAACTCAAGTAGCAAGTCACGCACAGAAATATTTTGCCAATAAAAAGTTTTGAATCACGAACAATTGATTTGTGTTTATCCAAAGTAGTGAGATTCTTGTAAAGCTTTGACAATGATGGTGGCAAGTAATGCTCCAAGTTGAATTCCAAAACCAGCTAAAAAATATGTTGTGGTTGTAATACTTATTGTTTCGAACAATAACAAATGACAAGTGACACTTACCGAGACGGAACGGATTCAAGTCCAACACTTGTTTCATATTCAACCAAAATGTATGTTGATGAGAACTCTCGTCTGTTCTTCGAATGGAAGAATTGAGAGGTGTTAATCCATTTTCCAAACCTTCTTGAGATGCTGCCATAGTGGTGATTTGCTCTCTCGATTGTTGTTGCTCTGCCTTACTTAATTTAAGGAAAATTTCATTATCTTCCTTCTCGATTCGTTCGTGACATGTGAGAAATTCCTTCGTTTTGGTGAATGAAATGAGAGCTCTTGTCAACAGTGTAAGCAATACCAAGAATGCTCCAAAACCTTCAGAGTGCTTGAGTGGAGGATTGGGATTATTTAGCGCAATAAAGAACAAGAAACCTGCACCAATGATCCAACCAAGATGAGCAAACATGGCTATGAAAAAGTTGTAAAATTGAACCAAGTAAGCAACACCACTTGCGATTGGTGCAATGATCATTCCAAAGGTAATGGAATAACGAAGCAATGTTCCATGATGTCTATAATTCTGAAAAACGTAAGGTAAAATTGAAACAATCAAACCATTTTCAGTGAAACTCAAAAAGGATTGGAAAAGGAGTAATCTCACAGTTGACCATGTCAAAATTGGTTTTTTCATGAGTATTTTCTTCTTCTTTTCTTCGGCGAGTGTATCGAATTCTCTTCGAAGTTCTCGCTTGCAATAAGGTAAAAACCTTAATAAACAATAAGCAACTAAACTTAAACAGGTAATAACAGCCAAAATGACGCAAAATACCCAGAATGGAAACAAGAGAATTTTGTCAGTAGGCATTTGAATAATGGAAATAACAGAGGCAACCAAGCCGGTCAAGGACTCTCCAATCAATAAAGCACTCGTATAAGCATATGTGAAATGCAACACAAAGGGATAAAACAACAAGGTCGAAGTACAGTCACACACTCCGATAAAGAACGTTAAAATTAAGAAAGGCCAAGATCGTCCTGATACTTGAATATTCCACAAAAACGACATTAATATTAATGTGACAATTCCAATCACAAGCAAAGAAATAATTCCAATCGTGTCAATCCATTCAAACTGTTGAACATGTGTGGGCGCATTCTGTTCATCAACTTGTGAATTTTCAAGCTTCTTCTTTTGTCTGATAAAATTGTAAGCTCTCCTAAATACCATCAAGACAAAATACAAAAACGGTACAATGTTGGCCAACTGTAGACTCAAATTCATATCGACAGCAATGGCATATCCTTCAGGTAGGGTCGTTCCAAGAATGGGAATCTCACTATAAATACCTGTGTTGATATTCACACCATGTTGTAAAATATTCAAATAAATATTTTTTGTAAGGAGGAAAAGAGAGCCAAAATATCGAACATCAAAACCTCTCCTTGGTGGTACCTACCATTCACTGCAATCCAAGAAGATAACCCAAAAACAATGACCAATACATAGACGACAGGATTTGGAAATGACACACAATACTTTCTCAAAAACTGTTGCATCTTGTATTTGGTCATTTGTTCCTCCTCGAGAGCATGTTGCAGTACATGAATTTGTTTTTCTGTTGTTGTTTCGGGTTGCTTTTTCAAAACTGAAAATTCCAAATTCCAAGCGTGCTGTTGAGAAGCCTCATCAATCTCAACGTTGTATGATGAGAGTGGTTGTAGTTGTGGTAATGGTGTCATGTCATGAGTGTGAGCCTCATTCTCATGATGATGATCATTTCTAATTTCGGAAGAAGTATTTTCAGTTGTTGGAGTTTGGTTTGATTCAACCAAGGAACATTGTCCACCTTCATCATGATGGATGCTTGTACAATTCTGTAGTTCGATACAAGCATGAGTAGCCGTCGTCATTGAAGAAGGGTCCTCCATGTTCACTTCACTAATCGATAATTTTTTTGTAAAGAATTCAAATTATTAGAGAAAATATCGATCTTCGAAATTTGAAAAATTCCGAATTATCCATGCCGATCGGACGCTTATTTGGTCGGAGAGAGATCCAACTCTCATTCTCGAGATGAGAGTGAGAAAAACCGAGTGAATGGCCTCTTCAAAGTAGGTACTTGAATATTTATTTTGATTCATCATGGATGAAACCTTCTCAAAGATATTTGATTGAGGACCACGTGTTCCCTAATAGTGTGTAGCTCTAAATGTAGGTTTCGATGCATCGTTCATTGATTTCATTGAAATTCACGAAAAAAAGTTCATTCCTCGCTGATTTTCTCACACTTATTCAAGGTGTGTTGTCTTTGTCCACGAGCTCACTAAAGGTTTCATAACACTGTAAAAACAACCTCCAAAAAAACTCAACCTTGAATTCACTTAGTGTCATCTTTCACTAAATATTTTGTGACAAGTTTGACAATAATGAAGGCGAGAATGATAGCAACCAATCCATCAATCATGTAGTGATGTGCTGAATAAATAGATGCAATAAAAATCCACAATAAATATTCAAGCATGAAAATTTGAATAAAACTCCACTTGTTCGAATTTCTTCGAAAAGATTGACAACACCACACACTCCGCATAAATGAAAAGCATCCTATTTGTTGCAAATCTTCATTTTCTGTGTCCTCGTCTCGTCCATCATGATTCTCAGAAAACACCACATAGAGCTCAATAAATGCAATAATTGCTGTCCATCCCACATGCAAACTATAAAACGCCCCAAATTTAATAGTTCCCTTTCCATAAATTTCTCCAAATATTTCAACACCTAGAATTTTGTCAATCATTTCAAATCGAGCTTCTGGAGCATAAACTGAGAGTACAGGAGGAGAACTCTTCGTCAATTCACTTCCAAATTGATTGTAATATTCCTCATACATTAAACTATTACTTCGAAACCAAGGTGGAGCTGTTGGAAAGAAGAAACAAAAACCTATTTGAATAAGTGAAATAATTCCAAGTGAGAGAACAAAACATTTGAGTTTGTAGTTGGAAATTTGAGGTGTTGGTTTGGAGCTTGTCTCATCATTTTGTCCACGATGCGAGCTGTACGATTGAATGGGTGCCTCATTCACAACTACTTCTGAGTGTTCCTTGTTGCTGTGTTCATTATTCGTGCCCTCACTTGATCGATTTTTCTGGAATATTTCCTTAATCATGGTCACCAATGGAATTACCACTTTGAGCTTCAAATAGTCTCGATTGGGTTTCCACAGCAAGACACAAAATATTAATGGATAAAAAGCTAATGGAAAAACAAAGTGATTTAAATAGGGAATGGCGAAAAAGAAATCAAGCACAGGGTGATAAATGTTGGCCAAGATGGAGTGAGGCATTCCTAAACCAAACATTAACGTTTTGTCAATTCGTGGAATGATGTCAAAATCGACTTGGTTGAAAAATTCTCCTTCTGAGCTGTACATGTACTTGAATGCTATCCTTTGGAAATTGGCCATCAATAGAAAATAAATGGCAATAGGTAGAGTTGTCCAAGAAATTAATGGAAAAACTATACTTTTAAACAACCAAATAATGATATTTTCCATAATTAGTAATAAATGTTTGGCCCTGTGTGGTAGAGTTGAAGGAGGTGTTTGATTGTTGATCCTACTAGTAGTAGTAGTTGTTGTTATTGATGATACTTCATAATACTTGGCGAGTTGTAGGTCGTCGTTGCTTAGCATCGTGCTCGTTGGTTGGCGGTCATTTGACTCTTTCGGAATGAAATTCGTTTGCATTTGACTTTCCAAATCATTATGACCATTGAAATCATGCAAGAGTGAAGAGATGTCCACAGACGATGATGATGACGACGACGAGTCTGAAGAGTCTTCATATTGTGGGAATGATGATAAAGGATGGTGGTGCGTTGATGATGGGTGGCATTTGTTGTCGAGAATCTGCTGCTGGGAAGGGAGGGAGTAATTCAAAGCCATGGATGAAGAAGAATTCAATTCTCCTTCCGGTAAAGATGGTTGATGATGATGGCAACGACCATTCAAATTCAATTCAAAAGTATTCATGGTCGTTCAAACGTTTCAAAAAGTGTGTTTTACAAGTATTCTGAACAAGATTGCTGATGGGTATACACTCTGTGATGGAATGATTCTATGATGACGACTCTTCACGCAGGTTCCAAAGATTATGACTTGTCTCCAAAATGCGTGATGAGCGTGAAAAGAGAATGTAGAGTTGTTTTTTTCGAAATCTTCAACTCCACGTATGGAAAGGCGAACAAGAAGAAGATATTTACTGCGATGCGTCGCACCAAAACGCTGAATTCAAAGTATTATTGCGAAAATTGCCGCCACTACAACACGATCACAACTCCAGCAATCGAATAGCACGAGTTTTTTGAGTCTCTAATTCGCGAATAGTGCGTTGGTTAGTTTCAGGTAAAACACGACAAAAAAGGAGAGAATGGAGGTTTTCGCAATGAGAATGGTGCAGAGAAGAAGACTAAGAGGTTGATGATGAATGAGTGACAATGTTGTTACTGTTATATATGACTTTTCCAAAGTTACTCTCATCAATCCGTGTGCTGCGCAGAGAGAGAATCAGTGCGTGAGAGATGGTCAATCTTGATGTTTGTTGTAGTTTTTTTCGTCCGTCAAATTTTTCTTGAGAGAGATCCATTCTCATCAACGTAAGCACAACAAATGTTCCAATTCAGAACTCAATGGAAGTGAGAAAAGATGACATCCGACGTGGGTTGATTCAAATCCAGGTTGGTTTCCTTTTCATTCCCACGAAAGAATCGACGCGATTTGGAATAATGACAGTTCGACCGAATCGAATATAACTTTATAGAGAAATTTACATTGATCGGATGTTGAGATTAATCATCAATGACCATCGAGAGAGATGATCATCAATGAAGCCTTCATCAGAGAGGACAAAACACGCGATTTCGGGTGAATTGAAACTTGGATCTAGAAATAACTTTTCCAAAAAAATTCTTCTTGTTGGTGAGAGACTGATTGAAATTCATTGATTGATCATCATAAGGAAAGGTGGTGAAGTTGAAAACCCAATCCTTATCATCATAGCAAGGAGATTCATCCGAGAGTATAGACCTTTTAAATTCTTCTTGCAAGAAGATAACACCACTTTGTATTATTAATTATTAGTGATCCTTTGTATTGATCTCGCTTCCATCATCACGTAGTACTTGAAACAAATCTCTCTCATCATCGTTGTTTGCTCGATCAGAGTTGTTGTTGTATAAACATTGAATTCATCATGGACACTCCTCACATTCAGTTCAACGACATTCCTGTCTATAATATTTCCATCTATCCCAATTCCAATAATAATAACAACAACAATGGCCAATCAACAGGTCAAGTAAATCCCACAAACTTGTATGTACCATCGGGTTCAGCAACCACCACAACAACCAATAACAACCACATGACGGTACAAGCCCAATATCTACCCTCTCAAAATTATGAACTTTCAAGTTCCAACAACACAATCGGTAACTCGGGATCTGGAATCAACTATCCACCCACTCAATACAACATTGCTCTAGGAGGAACGATGGGAGCTCAATATTTACCCAATCAACCACAACAACAACAAACAAATACCAACTATGGAAAACCACCAAGTTATGAGGATGAAGAAGATATGGCAGTGAATGAACACTCTCTCCCTCCAGAAAACAATAATGAACTTGTCACCACCTCTCAACAAGTGAATCTTCAAATGAATCAACAGCAGCAACCTTCTAGACAACTTCATCCTGCCACTCAAGTGGCAATGGGAGAAGACAACGAACAAGATCCTCTCGAAAAACATCGTGATTTGTTCGGGTTAGGTTTTGTGAAGGACACAACCAAACACCTGAAAGAAACGACAATTTGGGAGTCTGGATTTTTTGGACTGAATATTTTCACAACCACGGCTCAAAAGAAGAAGAAATTGCAAGAAATCTCCGAAATGAATAGAGTGGAAAGTACAGACATTTTAGGAAAAGATCATCTTCAACATCACACGAAGCATCGCAAAAAGTACACAGTGATGAGAACTGCAAGAGGTCAACCTTATCTACTCAAGACCGGCCTTGATATTGACGAAGTTAAGGAGTAAGTGAACATTTCAATTAATTGAAAAGAACTTGACAACATAATTTTTCAATCATTTTTCATATTATTGTTTTTCTTTGGCAAATTTTACCATGTATTCACGAATTGGCAAACCAAATATGAATTTTTTGAATTTTTGATCATTTGAACGGATCATCAGAGTTCAGAACGAATTCAGTCAAATAAGATTGCCTTTTTGTTGCTCTTGGAAAACTTTAGAAGATCACTATGGTCTTGGAGTTCGATTGTATTTTGACTTTGGTCGTTTGGTGATTGTTTTGAATTCCATTTTACTATTTTTCCAATTGATCAATTTTATTCCGCATCTCATCATTGACTCTATCTATATCCAAAAATTTACAAACTTTTTCAAAGGAGAATTTTCAAATTATGGCGGCTTGATTGATATCTTGTATGGCAGTAGTTACGACCCCAACTTATATGTTTTATGGATTGTTACATCATCGTAGGTTTTTTAATTTACATGAATTTTTGACATGAAAATATTGCACTATTTGAATAACTTTTCGTGACTCAAACAGATTGAGTATTATAGCGACACTCCTATTTGGACCTGTTTATTGGCTTGTGGTTCGACGTTCCTTCCAAAAAAGAGACGTGTACGATATGGAGGAAGCTGACATGGCTCTAGCTTTTGATGCTGACGCAGATATCATCAAGGAAAATGTAGGGACACCAACATTGCATCGAGTTGGTCGATATTTTGTCAGTTATTCGATCTTTGTTGGATTTTTGATTCTTTCCTGCGCAATTACTATTGGTTTTACAATTCTTCAAAATTTTACAACGTATGTCGTCATTATTGCTTTTTTTCACAGTAATTTAATTGTATGTCATGACCATATGTCACATGATTTTTTCCATAATAATAATTTATACACATGCACGGTGTGACACTAAAACATTGAAATCATAGTATTTATGAAGCTGCTGACTCTGTATTTTCACAGAATACAGGTTACTTGACCCTAATTTCTATTGGCATTTCTTGCGTGGTCAACATTGTGAACTTTATTTGGAAACAGATCTGTATTTATTTGACCAATTTCGAAAAGCACAAAACATGGAGTGGATACAGAACACACAACACAATGGTAAATATTTTATTTTGACGAATGGATCAATTTTACACCACTATTTCTATTGCTATTTAACTAATTATTTTTTAACAATTTTTGTTTGAACAAAAACGAAAGAAATATTTATTTTTCAAGCTATTCAACGTGTTCTTGATGGGTTTCACAAAGGGTTTATTCAACGTTCCATGCGTGATTCGTACATTGGGAAATCAGTACTTGATTCAAATGATTTTGGACTTTTTTGTATTTAATGCGATTGAACTCATTCTGCCCTATATTGAATACTATATAAAGAAGAAGAGAAATAAGGGAAGTGATGAAAACGTAAGACCTGACTTTGACGTCTCTGAGGAATACTTGGAACTCATTTACAGACAATACATTATTTATTGTGGCATGACAAGTTTCCCAATGATCACTTTAATTGCATTCGTAGCCTCTATTTTGGAACTGTATTTGGACAAGTGGAGATTACTTAAACTCTGCAAGAAACCTCCAATGATCAACGGAAGTGTAAAGACTGTAGTGAGCTTTTTCCTTATCGTCACGGCCATTCTTCCAATGATTAACTGGGGAGGAGGCAATATTTATCCAATGGTTGGTGTTTATTGGTGCAACACGCCAAACAATTTGGAGTGTGAACCATGTAGAGTGTTGAATGGTAATGAATATTACATTACAAACTTTGTGAACAAGTTGTATGGATACAGTTAAAGCAATATACTGAGATAACATGGATTAACATTGTGCATTATAGCTCTGCCTTATGACGCTCATGGTTAATTGAAATTCAAAAATAAACGCATAATCTTTATAAATACCCACTACATCTGATAAACTTAATAGTCAGATCCTCGACTGAGAACCTCTTTACATGTTGGTCTCAACAAGATGGTGTGCTCAAATTGTGCAGTGTAACATCCTCTCACGTCTGCTAAAGGTGGATACTCATTCACAATTCCATTGTTGACCAAATCACGAAGAGCCGTGAGATATTTCTTTTGACCTATCCGATCTAAATATCTTCGACAAAATGGAAGCGATCCAAAATTTTCATTGATAACTTTCAACAATTCCCTCGATTCCTTATTTCTAAGCTCTGAGCCATCTCCTTTGTAATCATGATTTTTGCCGTAGTGAGATGTGACGCCTTCTTCTTCGATAGATCCTCTACCAGTAGAGCCGAAAGTCTCAATTGCAAAGAATTCATTTTCTTCCATTTTTTCATTTTCTTCACATGCCACAATAGGAACAGTTTTACCTGCATGCACACGATATCTCTCAACAGAGTGTCCACACAAATTTGAAATACTTCTCACTTGATAGGTCTTTCCATCAATGGTCTGTAAATATGGTGGTCGGATCGTGTCACAACATCAATGAATATTAAACAATTATATGAGAAAATAATTTTTCGGAAATATAAAGATGAATGAAATAAGTCAGCACATAATCTCGTCAATACACACTCAAATACATACCACTTCATAACTTTCCATAACTTCTTGAATGGCAGCTCCAACATCGCCCAATCTCACATCAATACCAGCAACCTTACAACCGGTATTGGTAGCATCCTTCACGGCCTCCAAGAGTGGTTTGTATTGATCATTCCAACACAATGTAAAAGCTGAGTCAATAATGGTACCATTCACATGAGTTCCCAAGTCAAATTTTATCACATCATCTTTTCCAATTACTGTTTCGTCACCAGTATTTGGAGTGTAGTGAGCTGCCACATAATTCATTGAACAACCCAATGGGAAAGCTAGTCCACCCTTTCTATTGTTCTTGTCCGCTTCAATTAATTCTCTCACCTTATTTTCGTAAGCTTCAGCTGCATCAATCACACGCATACCTGGTCGAACCACATGTTCCTTAAACCATTTTCTTGCAGTTCTGTGAACCTCTGCGGCATGTCTTGCGTCTCGAATGCGTTCTTGCAATTTCTCATCACGAGCTTCAGCTCCAGCATCAAGCTCTCTTGCACTAAACCGTTTTGTACGGTGCTCATAAAATTGTAGCGGTTGAATCTCACCTTGTGGAAAATTATTGTCTTTAAACAAGTATTTGATCGGCACTGTAGGTTCAGGTTGAGTTTGTTCCGATGGATACTCTTTCGGAGTCTGTTTTTTCTTCTTTTCACCAGCAGTTCCTTGAGATTTTTGTTCTGCCATTTCCTTCTCATTCTTCTTTTGCATTTCTAATAAAAACGATAAATCATCATCCTTTTTGTTGTTGCCTTGCTTGGAAGCCTTTGCTGGTTTGTTTCCCGTCGTGGATGTTGCTGCGGAGGACTTTTTGGTCATTTTTTTTGAACTTCAAACTGTTTCGAATTTTCTCACAATGTTGCGATTCAAAAAGATTCTCAGAGAGCATCTCGTCTAAATTGGTTTCATACGTGTGAATTTCGTCCTTTAAGAATTCCATCAATGATAAGACTTGTTAATCAATTTGAAAACATAAAATCATATTTTGATTGAGACAGATCTGAACTGCAAGGACCCCTTATAACAACTGAACTTCAACAAGAGATTAAAAAAAATGTCTTCCAATTCATCCTCCTCATCCTCCTCCTCATTATTGACTTCGACAACAAACTCAAATCCAGTCGTTCATACGAATGTTCATGCTGATACAACCACCAAGGTAGAAGCTGCTGAACATGTTCTTGAGGAATCTCCAATGCGGTATCTTGCCTATGGTGCTCGTCTCCGAACTTTGATTACGGCCGGAGCTCGTTATTTGGCCTATACTTCTGATGTGGGTATGTACGTGTGTGTTTTGGAAGGTAATGAATGATGGAGTGTTTGTGTGAATGATGATGTTTTTGATTGAAAATGATGACACCTATTTCCGTAATTATTTCTGAAATGAATGGACTTGGAAAAATATTGTTTTCCAAATGAATTTTAATATATATCATTCATATTGTCAATATGAATATTAATTCCCAATTTTTTTAATATTGGGAAATATGGAAATTAACCTCTTTAGGTGAGGCGTTCAGACCCATTGTTCATCCTCTCATTGTCAAGGGAGCCTATGCCATTTCTTGGGCCTATGTGTTAGGAGATGTTGGACTTCAAACTTACAATGAAAAACAGAAAAACTCTCCAACGAGTATTGTGCTCAGAACTTGCACCAAAACAGCCATTTTCCAATCGACAGCTTCCATGTTGTTGCCAGCTGTCACCATTCATCAAACAGTTCATTGGACTTCAAAGCTCATGTTAAAATTTGGTGCTAAGAGTCGTGTCATTCCTACAATTTCAGGTTTGGCGGTTGTTCCTTTATTGCCATTCATGTTCGATCATCCTGTGGAATATTTAGTTGACAAATTATATGACAAGGTTTGGCCAGTTGACCATCATTCAGATGACACTACTCACCATAAGGAGAAACAACATTAGGATTATTCTTGTGTGCTTGAAAATTTTGATTCATATACCATGCCCTTTTTTTCAACACATTTTTAAAGACTCAATTCATGTAATTTTAAAATGTTTGGATTGGAGAAACGAAATTTTCAAATTGGAGATGACAACCATTGTTGTTGTTGTTGACAAGTAAATAATTGAAGAAATTCCTCATACAAACTAACAAAAGCATTAGTAACAAATTGCTCTGATGATCCAAAAGCATTAGTAACAGTCTTATTCAATTAAAAGAATACCTCCATCACACTTGTCAACTCTTACACTTATTGTCTCGGATAAGAAACGAGCAATGGCCATGGTTTGATTCAAGGTTAATTGAGTTTAATAAATGGCGCCTTTTTTGGTGAATTTCAAAAAAAAAATGTCAAAACGAAGTTTGGAGGAAATGGCGAGCAAAACATCAACGACGAAAAGTCAGCAAGCCGATGAGTTGGAAGAATCAGGGACGAGTAGTACCATTCCAACAAAATCCAGAAGGATGGTTCGAAGAAAAAAGGACATCAATTCTTCTTCATCCTCTCTTTCAACATTGGATTCAAAAACTGTTTCTTCAATTCCGATGCCATCATCATCATTGACATCCACAACTCATCCATCCACAACAAGTTCCGATGAAAAAGAATCTTCTTTAACACCTTCTTCTTCGACAAATGCCAACACTATCAATCATTCAACGACGACGGTTTTTCAAACCAATCCTACGACAACTTTACAGAACTCTTCTTCGACACCTCACACAACACGTAATCGTAAGATGTCTGAGAAAGAGATATCCTCTTTGGATCAAAATTTTGGAAGACTATTTTATGCATTCAATTTACTCTATCGAAGAGGTTTTACAGATTTTTCAGTGGCTGCACTCAACGAGAAGTGTGGAGAAACTGGTGAACGTTTCACATTAGAATTATTACAAACGATTCAATGTATTGTTCCAGAGCTATTTACATTGTATTATAATTATCAGCAGCAATTGTGTTTGGAATTGAGAGAGGATTTTGAGAATAGAAAATCTGTCATTATTGGACTGTGGAAAAAGAGACTCTCAAATCCTGAGTTAATTGACTGTAAAAAGCCACCAGTTATTGAAAAACGAACGCTAGGCCTTAATGAAAGCAATCTTAGTAAGCAAATTGTTTCACAGGAGTCAACAAGCATGTTACCTCCACCGCCTCGACAGCAGCAACAAGAACAGAAAAAACAAACACTTTCTGAAATGCTGAAGGAAAATGATAGGCGTGAAATTGAAGAGCTAGCACGACAACATTGGCTCACAAAAAAGTTTGAAATTGACCGAGCATGTGAAACGTTACTTTTATTATTTACGTAAGTAGAATGAGTAGTTGAATTGAAAATTATTTTAGCTTGATGTTGTGAAAATATTTTACATCTCACAAAGAATATTGAAAATGAATAAGAAAACTAAAATGGATATTAACACACTTGTGGAAACTCTCAAATCTAGGTACCCTCGAGCCATTACAAATACAGAAATCACGTCACACCTTCATTTATTTTGCAAACATTCTCCTTCATACTTTTCGTTAAATACATTTGGAACTCTAAAAGTATTTGAAATGAAAATGAACGCGAAATTCGAAGTAACGAAACAAAGTTTGGAGAGTGGAATGCAACAAGAACATTGAGTTAAATTATTATTATAAATATATGGTAAACGCAAAAGCTCAGTCGGTAAAATAAAAATCGAGTTGTCAAGCGTGACCATACTTTATCACCCCTTCAGAACTCCCACAACAAACTATCCTGAATATTGGCACCACCAAAATTTTCAACCTTATCAAGTATCTTCAATACTATGTATTGCTAATGTCTGAGGATAAGGGGCAATCTATGAACTGTCCAATTTGTGAACAATACAGCATGACTATCTTCTAGTTTAAATTTGCTACTATCATTAGTAAAAAGGTAAATATTTAATGGTCAGGTCGATTTGTTTTTAAAGGTTCATATGAACAATTTTTTCTTCACTCACGACCCTATTGACGAAACCGAATTCCAAGAATTCAGGGCAGGTCGAACTTACGAATCTAAACAGTTCATCGATATTTGATTTGAAAAGCAATTCCTTTGAACATTTAATTTCCAAAAAAGTTTCATTATCCAAAAGTATTCCCCAAATTTCGACTTTCAAAAAAATGCCATTCGCTCTGCATCATTATTTTTCTCACCATCCTCAAAACAGGCCCAACCAATCTCGGAGCACAAAGAAGAATACAACAAAAGAGGATGACCTCGGCAATTTATGGATCGAGGAACATGATCGAACGGGAGGAATGAAATTTAATTCACAACATTCGAAGAGAGTGGTGAGTGAGCTAAATTTGGCCAATTTGCAACAACTTCAAAAGAGGCAAGAGATGGTGTCTGGCAATGATTTTATCGATCCACAAAATGGAGATAATGATGACGGCGAAGAAGAGGAAATTATTGAATTGAAAAATGTCTCTCTTCAGAATCATGAAGAAAATTCATTACGGCAACATTTATCGATTGACGATTTTGAAGAATTTGAAATACAACACAAGAATGAAAATATAAAGCGAAATAGATCCATCATGACCTTTGAAATTCATAACAATTTCAAGAAAAAATTGATGTCAAGTGAATCCTCAAACGGTTCGAATTCAAATAATCATGGAGTTGAGTCAGCAAGAAATAGTTTTGACATGGACTCATATTTAGATCATACTGACTCTGCCACGTTGTTGGACCAATCACATAAGGACAGCATGGAACAAGATGAATTTTATACTCGTCACTCACTTGAGGAAGAACACCATCAATTCTATCAGGCTCATTGGTATTCCACATCACCTCAAGCAATTTGGAAACACATCACGGATGCTGGAATGACCTTATTGCCTCATATTTTACTGACCTCAAATTTGATTTTATTTGCTGGATTTTTCTTATTGTCTCCACATGCTATGAAAATATTTCGGCCGATCATTTTTGGTGTTTTTAGAATTGGAATCATGATTGTTTGCATGCTTCCCTTAATGTTATATTTTGATCGAAAATATTCATTTAGGTCCGAAAAAAGTTTGAGAAGGAGAAGAGAGGCCTATATATCTACTCTATCAGCAGCAAGAGAGTCCTGCAATTATGTGATTTATTTATTCTACTCGGCATGGTATTATTTATTCTACACAAAATTCTTTGATTCAATTTTGAGGAAAATTCCAAAGAAGAAGCAAGCTAAAACACTAGCCTTGTGTGGAATCATTATTATTATGAATCAAATTACATTTCTCTCGGGGTATTATCTCACCAATGCGACTGTGAGTGGAAGTATGTCACCGCTCACCGCCGTCATTACATGCTCGCTTTCAATGCTCATGGGAACTGAACCAAAATCATGGATCAAACTGTTTGGAGTTGTCACATCCGTGTGTGGAGCTATTGCAATGGTTCTCATCACTGCCTTCCTTAAACAACACTCTTTCAGCGCCATCTATTCAGAAATTACATCCGAAGATCCATTGCATCATTATTGGAATCCGTACCACCCTGGCGAGTTTACAAAGCCATCGACATCGAGTGTGACATTCGTGTTGGGAGTTTTTTGTTTAATGTTGAGCACGTTGGCAAATTCTCTCTACTTGCTCTTACAAAAGAAATTACTGAATAAGGGAGTTCCTTCAATTTCAGTTACTTTTTGGTCCTTCTTTTTTGGTTATGGAATTCTTGTCATTGTTGGCTTATTTTTCTTACCGATTAATTGGAGACGAATGGATTGGATGTCCGTTCTTGGATTATTCTATGCTGGATGCCCATTTGGAGCTTTTCAATTTGTTTTCCAAACTAAGGCGAGCAGCATGACAACTCCAACGATGGTTGGAATTTACTCCACAATGTCACCAATGGTTGGAATTGTGACTGGATTTGCATTCCTTGGAGAGAAAACATCTCCTTTTGTCCTATTCGGAGGAAGTTTCATTATCATTGGAGTTGTTTTTGTGTTATTTGCTCGATGGAGAGAAACTCATAGCAAGCAACTTTTGGATGGAAAAAGCATCGAAGACAAACTGAAAACACCCAGCAACAACGATCACACATGTGCAAGCAGTGGAGAATCGTTGACGTCGTTAATGGGTCCAGTCTTGTCTTCAAATGACATTCAAATAGCTGACAAGTCCACACAAACAAAGAAAGAATTGTCATCCAGCTTGAGGCCTCAAGTAATATTCAAAGAAGAATCATCGAACAAGGTGTGAGTCGTTAACAGAATTAACACAATTAACCACACAACGCATAAACAACAATTATTGGTGAGAAATCACAGTTCGGAAGGTCGCAAACTTGATTTCCTTTATTTTCAAGAAGTATCAAATTTTTTGGGATTCAAAAAAAAATGGCAAGAAGAAAAACGGTTTCGTCATCCGACAATTCCTCTTCTATGAATAATAACGAAACCAAGAAGAAGCAGACCAAAAAGACCAACAATAATCCTAACGCTTCGTTTGAAGAGAACAAACAAACAAATCCGAATGGTGGTTCCTCATGGGTTTGTTTCTATACCCCGAAGAGTAATTCATCATCTTCCGAAAGCTCACAATTTTCCATAAATACCTTGTTTACCCGTTCACTTAGAAATAGAGCAACGACGAGCCTACCCAGTACTGCACAGAATGATAAAGCTACATCTGAAAATTCTTCTGCAAGTACTCACAACAATCGATTATTGGAAGTGATGTATTTTCTTCCAGAAGGAGACTACATTAAACAAATCACTGGAGGTTCTGGTTTTACTGTATTCCTCACAGAGATGGGAGGAATTTACGTACATGGCAAAAATAGTTTGGGAGCCTTGGGACTTGGTGATTACAAAGATCGAAATGAAATTACAAAGAATTCATTGGTGGAGATGGAAATGAGGTCCAATAAGGACAAATGCGTTCAAGTGGTGTGTGGCGAAGCTTCTACTATATTTGTGTCTGAAAAAGGTTTTGCATATGTCTGTGGTTGTGGTGATAATGGTCAATTAGCTGTTGGTTCAAAACACAAGCTTGGCAAACCAACGAGAATCAAGCACTTTGATTCTTTGACGGATGGAGAAAATTGTATCGAGGCTGCAAGTGGAACTAAAGATTGTAGTGTATTTTTGACGAAAAATAAGAAGGTTTATATTTCTGGAAGGTAGGTTTTTAATTCCAAACAGAAAATACCCTTTCAAAATTGAGGATCTATTTTGATTTCCTCAATTTTAGTAATGATCATGGAATTTGTGAAGATGGCATTACCATTGTCAGTCGTCCAGTGAAAAGCGAATTTTTTGAACAAGACAACGATATTGTTCGTTGTTTTGATACTTCAACGACCTTTAGCGTGTTTGGAACAGAAAATGATTATCTTTATGTGTTTGCCAAATCAGGCCTTGCTCCCTTTCATGACTCTCGCGATCATACGATTCCAAGTGCATATAATTATTCATTTTTTTATCAAGGTATTAAGAAGATTATTTGTGTGAAGGGCTGTTGTTTTGTCCAGAATGGATCCAACAAATGGTTCATATTCCATTCCACTCGAGAAATGAAAGCTACATCTCTCGATGAATACTTGGGTGACACAGTATGTCCTGAATTTAAATCCTCAAAAGATACTATTGTTTCTGTTGGAAGTGATAAGGAAGGAGTTTCTGTGGCTCTTTCTAAACAAAAAAGAGTTTTCACAATTTCAACATCAGAAATTTTTTCGGAGGCTTATTATTATTCGTACATTCGAACGTACAACAATTCAATATCCACGCGCAAAGAGCCAAAAGAGCTTACAGAAGAATTGAAAGCTTTAAGTGGAAACTCAGAAGATCATAATATTTCTGTTGCCGTGAGTAATGGTCGCTACATATTTTATTTGACATCTCCACACTCAACCGACAATGAAACAGATCAAGAAAGGAAGTTGAGAAATCTCACAAGTGATCAAAGATGGTTCATAAATAACCTCAACACATTAGTAGATAACCTCACAAGTGAGACTGTGCTTGGAAAGAGATCAGGTGGTGTTGGTTCTCATTCCATTGTTGTTTCTATAGATGATGACAGCAAGTTCATGTTTTCAGACATTCAGGTCTCTTCATTTAACATTCAACCCATACATCATAACAGCCAATCTTGCATGCCAAATGATGATGATTCAGAAACATTTGAGAAACAAGGTAAAAAGATGAAAAAGTAGATCATTTTGAATCAATCTCGAATCAAGAAATTTGAGATATTACGAGCTCTTGACTTCCTTCTTCAATTTTCAACAAACGATAAAACTTCATTGAAATTTCGCCTTTATCGACCATCCTCTGTCAGTGAGAATAGCACTCGTGATTTTGCGAGGTCTTGGGCGGAAGTGACTTGCAAAACATGAAGATAGGATGTGTTTCAAGTATCTCCAAGGTTCTCATTCACAGAAAAAACAAAACCGTGTCTTCCACCTTTTATCTTTCACCTAGTGGAAGTGACTCCAACAACCATGGAAGACCTTTAACAAAGCATTTACCACCATGAAAGGTGCAGATGAAATTGTCCTTTTGGATGGAACAGCCTCAATAAAGCATCTTATATCACTTACGAAAATGTCATGGCCATTAATTGACGGCATTCGTGTGAGTCCTGAACCAGACGTCGTTAGTGGAGTGGTCAGAAATGCTGTGTCGTATCCAACCACGAGTTCACCCATAGTGCATCCTGTTCGTATGGAAAAAAATTCATTCCTCAGTGAGGCAGGTGACATCGGAGCAAACATTCTTTTCAAATATGGTTTGGATGGCACTCGATTTGGAGATTCCAATCCAATCACCTATATTTGGGAAATTATGGGAAAACCAATTCCACCTGAAATTTATCAAAATGCGAACAGTACCGAAACTGTATGTTTTGGAATTGCTTCCACATATGCTCAAGTGTGTTCTGGACATAGTGTGAGTCTGGACACATATTCTTGTGTGGGAGGTCACAGCGGAAATAAATGTGCCACACCACCACCTTCGAATGTGATTACCTGTTATGACATTGTACAAGGAAATTCAAGTGTTTGTTCTGGTCATGATACATGCACTGCACGAGATCAATGCATTTGCAATTCAGGATAATCTGGAAACAAATGTGAAAAATTCAATCAACCATCTCCAATGGTTTAGAAAAGTATTCGAAATTTCAATAGCACCACCAGGAATGATTCCAACGCGTTGTTGTTTGAGAGAAATTTGTATGTTGTGAGTTGATGGATGATTCTAGTCGTGTAGTCGTGTTCATGTTTATGGAAATGTGGATGTAAGGAAATGTGAAATAATTAAACCATTCTTTAACTTAACCAAATAATGATGAACGGTGAGGTTGTTTGGATATTTATGAGACACACATGATCTTGTTTGTTTTCTTGGACATTGTCGTTCTCCAAACGGTAATGGTTCGTCTGGGTTTCCTTTCTTGGAATTATGTGACAGGCGACAGCCAACGAAAAAAGTTTTCAGTTAGCTTTCGGCAAGCATCCTCACAAAAAACAACACAATTCCTGTTCTCCTTCCAACAAAACTTCCACACAGACAACAACGGACAATCGTTGAGAAAGATTCTTCAACAACAGCTGACAGTTACACATCATCATCACACATTTTTCAATCAATAATAATTGTTGCTTTGTCCAATTTTAAATCTTTCAATCACACCAAAATCATTAATCTCCTTCAACAACTCGGCAATAACACCATCGGAAACCACCTTTTTTATATTCCCATATTTGGAATTTCACAATGTCCCAATATGAAGATGCATCATTCGATCATTCGGATTCACAATTCGACAAGATTGCTTCCTCTTCCTATCGTGGATTACCTTCTTTTCAATTAGAACATCACACCAAGAATATTTCAATTCCATCATCATCATCTTCGACAAGTGGCAGCTCCAATCATCCACAACAATCACCCACATCATCCACAAGAGGATCACCACAAACTTCTCAAAGTTCATCACCACATTATGGTGGAAGTCACTCTTCGACATCTCCGTTAACTTCTTCTCGACAACATTATCAAAATTCTTCGACTTCGACACAACCTCATAGTCCACCAACGAATACGACGTCGTTTCATCGACAACGAAAAACTCCAGTCATGTATCATCGAAATTCGCCCAGGACTCAAAATGGAATGACAAGTGGCAGCAACCATCTACCTAATGTCACGGACTCGACGTCGCCAACACCTTCCAAGAAATCCACAGGCTCATCACCATCAAGAATCAACAACCTTAATATTTCATTAGGAACCTCGACACAATCCACAGCATGGTCTTCCTTTTCATCTTCATCAAGTCCTCCATTTTGTGATATTAATCCGAGTCCAATTTTTTCAAGTTCTCCATTTCCGAAAGCGTCGATTCATACATCGAAATTGCATATTGATGACATTCGGGACTCATTGATTGCGACAGGAATTTTTGCAGTCACTCGAAAATTTCTGAGCACTCCAGTAAGTTGAATAATGAATTCATTATTGGTGACATTTTTTATTTATGAATACCGTACTAATTGTTTCAATTGATCATACATTGGTTCAATGATATTATTTTGTGTGATTCTTTTGAATATTCAATATGATTATTCGAAATTCTTTTTGGAACTATTAATTCCTTCTTCCTTTCTGGAACTATTTCACAAACGTAAATCATTCCTTCTTCCTTTTTATACGACGAAATCATCATCGAATAATTTAATTTATGACAGCTCTTGTACATTAGAGGTAGCTTACCATGTCCTCTCGAATTTTCCGATCACAACAACATTTATCTCAGTAAGGACGCTCTCACTCATCGTAAAATGATTTCCAACACTTCCAAAATTCCCAACGTTTCGAATTCCATGGACGAAGATGACGAAGACATGTCAAGCATTCACACACCTTCTCTTTCTAACATGTTAATTAATAATCACTTTGAAGAAAGCAAACCTAACTCTCATTATAGTCGCTATGAATTAAGCAGTGGAAATATGTCAACTTTTGGATCTCTCTTACAAACTTCTGGATCTAGTTTTGGAGATCCATTGTTTGCTTCTTCTTCATCGTTGGCCAGTCATCGAATGAAAAGTAGTGAAACTCCGAGTGGAAGCGAATTAATTCCGCCCACTTATCGATACACGACCATGTATCAACAAATGATTCAAGAACAACAAAAACAAGACTTATTTAAAGAAGAAGAGGGCGAAAAGAATCACGAGGATGTGACAAGTGGTCAACATTTTTCGCATCAAAAACTGGCAACTTCATCTTCGACCATACATTCGAACACAACTGTTTTGCATCTTTCTCCACCAAATTCACCACAACGAGACACCTCTTCATGCGCCTCTCCAACTCAACTCATTTCATTTCATCGATTTTCATTGGGCTCTACTTTTTCTCCACCTCAAGAAACTCCGTTCCGAGCATCGGATCAATTTGTGACATCTCCGATGAGTCCGAACCATCCTGTACAAGGTTTGATGAGTCAGAGTCCAACATCGTTGTTGAATCCTGAAGAATTCGCATTAAGACGATCGACTGTATCAAGTTCTGGAAGAAGATATTCGACAGGAAGTGTTTCGTTTCCAAATGGAGAAGATCCTGCAGCTGTGATGACAGGTGGCCATTTGACAGGAGGTATTTTGACAGAACCTCCTTCTTCGAATTATTCACAATTTTCACACTTTACAATGAATCAATTTGGAGATGGTGGAATGGGATACAATTCTTCAACTATTCATCAATACAGAGAAGCACTTCGAAAACAACAAGAAATGGAACCAGAAATGGAACGATTGAAACGTCTCTTTTTAGAACAACAACAGCAACAGGAAGGTTATGGAATATCCATTTATGGAAATGGTCAACACGCTAGTCATGAACAAGACGAAAATGCAAATATTCATTCAAGTAGCTACACAGAATATACCTATTCCAAAGAAGAACAATCTTTCGCTCAACAAGATCATGGAATTAAACGAAAACGAAGGGAACATGAAGATTTTGATGCACAAAAGAAACCCAAAGAAATAAGCTCTTCAAATTCTGGAATTTATTCATCATCAACGAATCCACACACTTCGTTTTCATCTCATTATCCTTCCTCGTCTGGATTTTCACACACGAATTCTATTTATGGAAATGGTATGCGAGGAGGAGATTCTGTGACTTCTCCCACCTCAAGCATGAGTTCCACTTCTGGAATTCACATGTATTCCACTCAACATGCTTCTCATCAACCATTCATGCAACAACATCCATCTTCCCTTAATTTCTTAAATACCCTTAATCATCACCAGTCTGTTAGGTTCAATGATGGAAGAGGAGCAGTCGAAGGAGGAGGAGTAGGAATGAATGATCATTCGCTTTCAACAAACCAATCGTCGTCCATGCATCATCCTTCTTCACAACAACAACAACCATCCAAACCTCATTCGACAAGGAAAAAATTAATTGGATTTTTTGGAAATTTATTTGGAAAACATTCGAAACATTCCAATGCCTCATCATCTGTTTCTTCTCGTTCTTCCATGCCACAACATTCAAATTCTCAACAATCATCCATCATGAGTGGTGATGAATTTCACACACTGAATCGAAGTTTGAGTAATCTTTCTTTGGAACATTCTCGTCGAATGGAAGATGATCCATCGACGTCATTTCAAGTTGCACAAGGTCGATCTCATGGATCCATGATTCAACGCAATTATAGTTTTCACATGTCATCTGGTCATTCCACACATCACCAGCAACATTCGAATCATTTCTATCCTCAACCTTCCAATCATTCTTCTTCCACGAATTCGTTCTATCCGCATCATCATTCACAACATGATGTGAATTCCAACTTGTCAAATGTCATTCCACCACAACAACCGTACATCCCTCCGAGTCTTCACACAGGTCATTTCCATGTTGTCTATAATCCAGAAATTGGAGAGCCACAATTTCCTGCAAGTCCACCAAGTCCACAAAAAGTGCCAACCCAACAACATCCTTCACGTAGCAACACCACTTCACCCACAAGTCATCAACCCAGCACTACTACTACTGCCACCATGTCAGATGTCATGAACTCCCCTCGAAACAATCCTTCCTCTACTGCCTCCATCACGAGTACTCTTCCCATTGCCTCCTCGAACACCACTACTTCTCCAGAAACCACCACAACCACAAATAACGGTCACGACGAAGAATTCAATGAAAATGGTACTTCAGTAGTAACTTCTGACGACGATTTATTGGACGAAACGGACGACGAGCCCAACAGTCTTGCAAAAGGAGTCACCAAAGAAAATGCCACCAAAAATTCATTGGGTGAATATGTGTGTGACGTGTGTGGAAAAACTTTTGCTCAATTCGCCAATTTGAAACGACATTTAAGACTTCATTCAGGAAATAAGCCCTACACGTGTACCTTTGAAGGATGTGACAAGAAATTTGTGAGACGTTCCGATTTACAGACCCATATGAGAATTCACACGGGAGAACGACCCTATGTCTGTCAAGTGGAAGGATGTGGAAAGACCTTTACGACATGTTCGAATTTGAGAAGACATGAACGTTCAGTGCATAGTGCTGCTTCTGGAAGTGAAAAAAAGAAATGATGTACGATACTAAGAGTAATATATTAAACATTGAACTGTGTAGTCATGAGAGATAAATAAACGTTTTTATAAATATATGTCAATCTTCGTGTATAAAGAACTCCTCAATTCAATCGAAAGGAGGATAATCGCTAGAAGTTGCATCGAACTCATTGGAAGTGGCTGATCCACCATTATGATTCGAACCGTTTACATTCTTTGATCCAATCGCACTAAGAATGGAACTCATCAAACTGTTCACATCACTGGCTGTGAGTGGCGCAGCAGTAGCAGTTCGTTGTTTCACTTCACTGAAAAGGTCTTCATCTTCATCGAAAGGTGTTTCCATTTTCAACTTTTTATTTGAAGATTCCACACCTTCCTCATCTTCGTCAACACGGAAAAAGTCGTCTGTGTAAACGGTACTGGCGAGTGGATCTTCATCGTGTGAAGAGAAGGCACTTGTTGCATTGCTGCTGCTACTTGTGCCAAGACGTTTGTTATTGAGATGAATTTCAACAGATGTTGAGACTTTTTGGAGATCTACAATGTAGTTATTGTTCCATTCCTAAGTTGTGTTGAATGTGTGAAGAGAAAATGACAATATATCAAGTGTTCATGTCAATTGTATGTAACGGTTATCATTGTGTCATCATCATTATTTTTGAAATACGTACTTTAATACAATCATTGTACTTGTCCAATAAGTCTTGCTGTTCTTTCAATTCTTGCTCTAGTTGTTGAATGTATTCTCTTCGCTTGTTATTTTCTTTAGCGAGTGCAAATTTATAGTCGGTGCATTTTGTGATCATGCTTTCAACGTCGGATTGCAATTGTTTTAATGCAAATGGTGACATGTTGGCTGTTTTGAGGAAGATCACATTTGGAGAATGAATGAGAATTTATCACAATAAAAGTGGGAGTGTTCCGTGGACAGAAAACACATGAAGAGTGGCATGATTGAATGGCATTTTGAAAAAATTACCATTTTTTTGAAATTAAAAACATGTAAATTGCATTCGCGCTCGCACCATGTTCTTCTTCCACTAATTGCACTTACCTAAGCTATCCTCTCCAATATCAGATCTATCCAACACTTTTTGTTTACATTCTGAAATTAGTTTATCATTGTCAGCAAAACTTTTTTGATCCAAGCGATTAGATTCCATAATTTCATTTAGTTGAGTGAGGGTTTTAACAAGTGGCTTTGTAATTGTAGAATCAATTTGAGGAGATCCAAATGCAACTTGTCTGTCTCTCTTCAAAGATGAACTACTGGAATCGCTTACTGAATGAATACTGCTTGTTTGTACACTAGATCCGCTTCCTTCAAGGGCGCCATCAATAATTCGTTTACAATCTCTAGAGAATTCTGTAGTAAAAATCTTTCGTTCTTCGAGAACATTGAACATTCTCTGTAAACTCTTTTGCTCGTTTTGGGGCATCATGGAAATGTTATCATGTAAGGCTACGGGTAAAACTTGTTGAAATTCTTCCACAAAGGCTTGTGTTTTCTTTCTAGAGTTTTGTATGACATCGTTAGCCAAATAAAAGTAACACAATTTTCTCTTTGGTGCTGCTTTCTTCACTTCTCGTAACCAAATTTGAACAATCTCTTTTGCTCGTTTGGCATGATATATCACCCACAACGATAATGCTGTTGTTATTATTATAAAGTGAATGAGGTTTCGCCATCAATAATTGAATGAATAATGGCCATGAATAATTATTATTATACATTCATGGAAGTGTGCACAAATTCCAAGGTCGAATGTACATTCGAGTCATCCGCATACCACCGATGATCATAAAATCCGATACGTAGTATGTAAAAAGTTGATGATTGGATTAATCCAAAATTACACCCAATTAGGTGATCATCAATAATACCGAGAGAATCATGGATCAAAATAATAACGGTTATCCCCATCATGATGATTTGTAAAATAAGCAAAATATTCATCATCAATATTTTCATATTTATATCCAACAACAACGACCATAAGTATCCGACCGATCATCACACGCGAACAACATCCATTCAACAACAATAAACCATTAATAATAAATTTATATTCAATATTATAACATTCAAAAAATCCAATCATTGCAAGAATCATCACCAAGATGAACAACCCTCCTCCTCCTCTTCGGCACTTACCTTGAATGCTCTGCTGAGTATTCGTTAGCTTGTCCAATTTGTCCACAAACACTTTTTCGTTCATTTTTTTTGTCTTCTTTACAAAAACCACAATTTTGACAAAAAGTTTTCGGAGGATGAACCTCACATTTTGGTGATGAATGATTCAGTGAAAGGAGCACAAATGATGAAAAGGTACAGGAGAATTGTAAACATTCTTCCCATTCAGTTGTAGAATTAGAAGAATGTCTATAATTCTTCTGTATTCCTTTGTGTGGAATGAAGAAATTCAAGAAACAAGGATAATTTTTTCAGAGTTCAATGTTCACAATGAACAAACAGACGGCGAGGTTTATTGATATCATTCACGTGTGGATGAAACAATCAATCATCATTGAGGGAGGACTAGATCTCGAATCATAATATTTACTTTCTTTGAAGTGTTGTTGCACTTGCAAGAAAAGAATTGGTGGGTAAAATAATAATATAAACAAGATCGTAAATATTCATAAATTTTAGGGTTCGAGGATTTTAATGAATGGTAAACATTTTCATACCGAAACATCATTCGATCACAAAAAATATTCCGATAGGGAAATAGTGAATTCATTCAACAATTCAAACATTGACATCTGGCACAAATTTGCCAAGTCCAGTACTTCTCTTATAAATGAACACTCCCCAAAAGATGCTCCACAACCATCCAATCAATACCACACTCAATAACATTTGTAAGAGTCCGAAAATGATACAAAACTTGACTTTTTTCTTTTTGGAAGTGACACATCCTGCCACTAACGTTCCGACACCTGGCAGAAAGATGTTGAGGAGCAAAATGATGATAGGCCATTTTCCTTTTAATTTTGGGACGAATTTGTTGAAGACTTTGAATATTTGGAGTTCTTGTTTCTGTGATGAAAAGACAAGTTTCAAACAAGGATGTGACAATTGGCATGTCGTGCGAAAATTGAAAGAATTTAAATTCGGAAATGTGTGGAATTACATGATGGTTTCATTATTGAGGAGTTATTGAGCCCTCCGGCGATTAGAGTTTGTATGAAATTCAAATGAACGAATGATGATGGACTTACAAATTGCATTTTTTTTTAACGTCACACGAAGAGATAATTTGCCATCATGACAAGTTCAACAAAGTAAATATTCGCAACTTGAAGCGTTAAAAGAATTCTAAACAAGAATTGAAGATCTTGTGCAGAATCATTGACTACAATGTTGTTCTTGCAGATTCTCACCATTCATCTATTTGATTTCCTAGAATTCTCCATATTGACCATTTTTCAATTTCGCGTTTGTAAACTCTCGCTTCTTTGACCGGGAATTTTCGGTAAATTTTTTCGACCACAAAAGTAAATGAGCGAAAAAAGTCCACAACCACATCAAACACAATTAAAAAACAACAACAACAACAACAACCTTAGGTTTACTCTCCATTCACTTGTTTGAATTTTAGATCACAACCAACAGTTGCGCACTATTGAATAATCCTTTGTAACTTCTTCACACATGTATCACAAATCCTCCTCTTCTTCACATTCTCCATCTTCATCCTCACTCGTTCCAGATAGTGCCTCTCAAAAACACATTGAGGACACATATGCCAAAATGAGAGGCGAAGTAAAGAGTGTGGCTCATGCCTACAAGATGGCTTTCGGAGAAGATTATTTGAAAAATCAAGAAAAGGAAATTGAGGAATATAGAAGAGAACAACATTTGTAAATGAATCAATCAATTTAATTTTTTGAAGGTTGAGACGAAGGACTCGAATTCGAGTTGTTTGACAGATCCGTCTGTCACAACTTTTGGAAGGATTGGCTTGTTCAACTATTGGAACTGTAAAGTTTTGTTCATTACTTCTCTTATTGTATAATAGATCATCTCCTAACGAAGTATTATTAAATAACTTATTGAAACCATTCAGAGTGTTTAATTTGATTTTCATCAAATGAGAGGATCAATTACAAAAAAAATTATTTCAAACCATCTTGTTATTGGAAATCAAAATTCAAAGCATACAAATTCCAACGTGCCTGTGTTCCATTGATCATCACACAAAACACATCCTTTGGAGCTATATCGGAATAGAGGAAAGATCCTTGAGTCTCTTCATTGATCCACTTGGAATCCGAGTCTTGAAAATTGTTGGAATTGAATTCTTCTTGATAGCTACATTTGGTGAACTTCCTGACACGACTCGGAATACAAATTTCACCTGAGAATAGCTTCTTCCATTGTTATTGGGTACTTGAGCACTATAATAATTGGGAGAGGTTTGAACATATCCATGTTCCAGTCCATGGAGTAACAGTGATGAGAGGTGAGTCTGAAGCTCCTCCTTCTGAACATTGAAGAATGAATGAGCAGATTGATATCACCCTAACTCAACAACAAGAGTGAGATCGTGACCCAGAATCTACATGAAGTAGAGTTGGAAAAAAGTGATCGTTGGTGAGAGAACATTTTTTCTTAAGGTGCTTATCACCGTGACCCTTCTTGTGTAGAATCCATAACTATTTTGTGAAAACAGACTATTAAGGAAAAAGGAAGTGATACGAATCATTGCATGAATCAGCTTTTTGTACGCGCACATTGAATGCCAGATTATCAGATAGTTTCTAATTGACCAGAGTTAACAGAAACACATTGAGAGCCACTGTTCACTCTCCGAGTGTTTCACAAAGATAAATGCTTTGTTCACATGTTGATCTAAAGGTGGAGTTGCGGGTCCATAATTTATTTAATTTTTGGAAGCTTGACAGAGGATAGGGAAGGATTGGTGAAATTGGTGACACCATTTCCTGTGCGTTTGGATGTACCACCTGCTGCTGATAAGCTCGTTGTTGAACTTTCTCTCAACATGGTCGAAAGATTCTTGTCAAATAAATCAATCATGTGTAATTCATCAATTCGTGCTTGATCCAATTGTTTGGGATGACGATTGTCTTCTCTTGAAGTTGTTTTTCCTCGATTAACCCATGGTTGAGAGGGAGGAGTTGTTTGCCGTAATTCTAATGTTTTTTCTAAATTCTTTCGTTCTTCAGGATAGGTCGGTATGGTAATGTACTTTTTAGAGCTCTTTTCCATCTCTTCACGAAATTTGGAATTAGATGAATGTCTGGATAGCTCATGCACAGTTTGAAAATTCTCATGCATGAAGTTTTTAGAGGTTGGACTTCTCATTGATTGCCTTAATTTGTAGTCGAGTTTGTTATCGATTTGCGTACTTGCTCGTTGTGTCCACGAATTGACCATGATACAATACACAATATCTGGAGAGATGGTAATTTCGGGCTTTCTACTCTTTGTGGATATACTTCCAAAGTTGGTATAGGCCCTAATTTTTGGAGGTGGATGTTTTCGATCGGATCGAATCAATGTTCCTGTCATGTAGCTGTGTAAATTAAAGGGAGGAAACTCTTTGGTCATGGGAGGGAATGCAGCAACAATGTGACCCTTGAGGTGGGGTATGTAGATCCAAAATTTCTTTTCAGGTTGTGACACCTCTTCCAAAGTATATCCAGAAGGGTTTGTGTTAAAAGCTCTGACTCGTGCCTTCTTTCGTTTTTCTTCTCCTTCAAAAATGATTTTTTCAGCAGGAGGCAGATGAGCTGGTGTTTCAATAAGAGGAATTCCTTCTAATCCAACTTCCTCGTTCAAATGAAGACCCAAGTCGTCTATAGTTTCTGGAGCTGAATAAATTTCCTCATGTTCCGTTTCCCGTTTGGTCTTTTGCATTTCCTCATCTTCTGATTTTTTCTTCCTTTGATTCATGACTAATAAATTATCTACATCAATAAGGTTATCATCACAAAATCGTTCCTTAATGCTCATTAAATTACAAGAGTCAGGGAGAAGGCCATTTTCAATCACTTGTTCAATGGAATCGGAAGAGAAAATACTATAAACTTTGGATAGAGCTGCCAAAATTTTTAAATCTTCAGCTTTCTTGTTCTTGATATAAATTTCTTTGGAAGATAAAATATTTTCAAATGTATCTTGAAGTCTTAATCGAGTAATACCTTTCTTTGTGTCATCTACTGGTATCACTTGCATGGATGGTCTTCTTCCAGCTCCTTTTTTCTCTTCGACTTTATCGCCAGATTTTGAACTAACCCCAATTAATTGTTCATAGAGTCTGTTGCTGTAAAAACACGAAAAGTCATACATGATCTTCACAGGGAGCGATTCCTTGTTACAATAATTCTCTACACGGTCGATGAAAAATCGGAGAGCATCCTTAGATGTAACCTCTACCGTGAGTAATCGTTTCCTTCCGTCACAAATCTCAAATCCACAGAAATATTTAAGAAAGTCCTTATTTCCTTTAGAGGTGTTGACTTGAGGAGATTCTGCTGATTCTGGAGACAAACTTGCACTCCCTAGAAAATTTGATGTGCCCACTGGTGACACTGGGCCAAATAAGTCCAACATGCTCTTGGAAGGTGTTGGCCTTGTAAAGTATTGTGTGAATAATTGCTCAACCTTTTGAACAAGCGCGATATTATCCCATGGAAAAGTCAACACCACTGGATAAATACTTTTCTCAGTCTCAGTATATGCTGGAAATGGATTGTTAAATCTCATTTGAATCTTTACCGAACTCTTCTTTTCTACATATTTTCCTTCGAAAATAGTGTACTCAACTGGAAAGACTTCGGTATTTGCAGATGTTGAAGGGACCTTGGGAGATTCTAGCAAATTAGTTTTGGAATTTTTGTTTTTTTGGGCTTTTCGAGGATGCTTTTGCTTTCTTTTCTTCTTCGACTACTGCTACTCGTTTCTTTTCCTCTTCCAGACGTTTCACAGCTTTTTCATATTCATCTGGAAGCATACAGACTCCTTGAATTTGAAAATTGTCAGAGACCTCTCTACCTCGTGAATTAAGGATCATCGTTTTTAAAGAAACCTCAGCTTTTCCGAAGAATTTACCCACTCCCTCTTTTGGGTCTCTGTCGTGCACTTCAAATACGATAGGCATTCTTGAAAAATATTCTCTATACATTTCCATTTCAGAATTACTTCCCAAGTATATCACTCGCTTGTAATTAAGTGAAATAAACGATGCATGTTCGTAACCATTCGTCCTAAATGTTTTACCTCTAATATTGAATGATATAGAGACAGGCTTGCACCTGTCTGCAAGGTACTTCTCATTTGGCAAATCTTTTAGGGAGGAAATTGATATTAGTACAGGGTTGAGCTTATTCTGAACCTCTTCGGAGAGGATGCTAGTACCTTCGGCGACTTCAATCCTTACATTGATATGGTTAAGAATTTCACTCGCTTCATGGGTGGTCGGAACCTGAGTCATGCTAAATCGAGAAGATGAAAGAGTTTCCGATTTGAAGGACTCGTCCATGAGAGATGTTGGTCCAATATTCAATGTGTCTGATCTGCATAGAAGAGAACTCCAATTCTTGTACTTATTGCTGTGTTTTTGTTCATACTTTGATTTTGTGAACCCGAACTTGTCATTCACGAAAAGTGGTAAAGTACAAGTTTTAAACGTGTGCAAAATTTCACAATTCGTTCCGAAAGCACTCTTGATATCTTGTATCATTGACTCGATGAGCTCGTCTTCATTGATCGGAGTGGATGCAGTGATTGCTGTTTGAATCTTCTTGGTTGTGGATGGTGTTGGTAATCCAGGAGGGAGAGGAGCACTATCTTTCTTGGCTAAATTAGAAACTGGTGGATTGATGGCTGATTATTGTTGTTGATGATGTTCATTGAGTAAAAGATTGATATTAATTATAATTATTATTATTAATATTCAAACTTTGAGATGGAATTTCGAGAATGATGATGAACGTACCTGTGGCGTCTTTCTTTTGAGCATTGGTGTTTGTAAGGCCATTTTTCTTTTTTTCTGCAACGGACGACGATGGAAGTGAAGGGTCAAACTCTCTCCTTATTAAAAACGAAACAAAAGGACAAGATTCATAATACACCAAATCTTGCAAAGTTTCAAATACTACACAATGTTCTTTCTCGATTAAAAAATCCTGTGATTCAATCAGTGTGTGATGCATCTCAGTTTGTCCAGAGTTAGCTTGAAAATTGCTGACAAGAAAGTACACAAATCTGTGCTCCCAAAGTTTTTGAATACTGTCTTCCTCTGTTTGAGAGGTGTTTGAACTTGTGGTGGTGTTGTTACTATTCTGTTGTTGAGTTTTTTTGGAAGAAGAACTTGGTCGAGAGGGTGGTCCTCTTTTTCCTTGTGCCGAAGATGGTTTTGATCTGGTTCCAGCATTGGTGGGAGATTTTGATGTTGCCTGTTCTGTTTCATTATCACTATTTACAAAAGGATAGGTCGGAATTTCAAGAAAAGTTTTTCCCTTAAATCGAACATTAATCCTTTTCGTGAATCTTGAAAAAACAGATGGCCCCTTTTGACTGGAAGATACAGGAATATTATTCTTTTCAGGAGGTTTTAAAGCTTGTGCAACATTATTCAAATCCTCAAGAGGAAACACAGAATTATTCAAAAATGAATTAAACGCTGACAATGAACTGTAGTCTTTTGTCGTTCCGAGCGTGCTTCCGACCTCAGACATCACATTTGATCCACCCGCTCCTCCTCTTGCCGATGTAATAGATGTTGAAGAAGCAGCCTCCGTTAATTTCCTTGGTGGAGGTAATGGAGAGGTAGAAGCTGAGTTATTGTTTCCCTCGACCGAGCTTGTGGCGCCATTTTGCTGCATTTTTTTTACGATGGTCGGTTTTTTGCAGTTGAAAAATTTACGAGATGTCCGCATGCATGTTGACAATAAGAGTTGTTGTCCTTTAAAAGAAATGCATAATTGGTGAAAAAATTTGAGTTTATGGTCTCCAATTTCCCATATAGGGTTACAAGAATGATTAATCATATTCTGAACGAAGTGAAGGGCATGAATGGGGTTGAGCTTCAAAGTTAAAAAATTTTTCCAATCAAATCAAATATTTGCATTGCTTAGTGGCTTCCCATTAGCTTTCTTAAGCTGATCGAAATGTTCTTGTGGAAAGGAAGAACTTTGTGACAGCGCAGGTCCTCCTAGATTCGATTCTTTTCGGCAAGGATTTTTATTGTTGAGCTAACCAAATATTGTACACCCACATCATTTTACACCAAAATTTCGAAAAAAAACACACAATCATAAAGATATAAAAAGACCACTTTATTTGGACAACTTAATTTAGAATTATTATTTTAGAAATCCTGAATAAGATTTTATTATTGTACAAAGAAATTTGCTCACACACTTGTGAGGAAGTTTGTGAAGCAATTTGTGGAGAGACTTGTGAAGCAACAAAAGCAACTTTTTCGCCTTCTTCAAGTCTTTAAATATGTACCAAGTTATTTCGTTGCTCCACAAATTACTTCACAACAACGTTCCTCAAGTAAATAATTTTCTCTTTTCAATATTATAATTTGTTGCTCCATAAATTTCTCCACAAGTTGCTTCACAAACTTCCTCACAAGTTTCTTCAAGTAAATAATTTTTCTCATCATTATCAATCATTCTACTCTCGTAATCGGAACCGTATTAATTTTACCACAAGTATGTGTTTAATATAATTTCAAATTAATAATTATTATTATAAAAGACACAAGTGGCTGCATCATCATTTTGCACTCGATACCACCAGTCACGACTGACAAATCACAAGGCCGTCTGCAAAGGTATAGTGGTCTGTGATGGTTCTTGTAATTACCTGCGCTGCAAGATAAAGATGGAGAAGGAAATGGAGGCCAATAAGAAGGCTAAGAAGGCGAAAAAGTTGCTTGGACTGGAGAACGTTAACAATAATACCAAATCGCAACAATTTCAGAAGATAAAGAGCAAGGCTGTAGAGCAAGGCTTGCAAGATGTCGAGATTGTAAGTTTTTTAATTAAAGGAATACAAGACGTCGAGGGCATCAAGGCAAGCCCGTCAAAGAAGAGCAACAAAGTGGAGTCGGATAGTGATTCCTCTGATTCCTCAGATTCAGTAGAGAAGAGTGTTAGGGAGTTGAAAGATATTTTCCGCTCTTTCTCAAAAAGAAGATGAACAGATTGTTCTCTTTTACTCTTTGTTTGTGAGCAAATTTCTTTGTACAATAATAAAATCTTATTCAGGATTTCTAAAATAATAATTCTAAATTAAGTTGTCCAAATAAAGTGGTCTTTTTATATCTTTATGATTGTGTGTTTTTTTTCGAAATTTTGGTGTAAAATGATGTGGGTGTACAATAATTCATCACGTTCTTGTAATTTACATTGATTAATCAAGCTATTAACGACCTATGAAGACAGGATAAGCTAATTTATTTAAAAGATTTCCAACAACTTAAGACCTTTGACAATCTGTATTGTGATCAATGTCCCCATGCTCTTTTGGCTTGTTTTTCCTTAATGCTTAGTGTTCGTGATAGAAGAGGTGATAACAAGCGCGGTCGGACTTGAAAAAATCTTGGCCTTTTTTATTATATATGGTAATATAATCTATTAAGGCAAATAAACATCGCGTGTGCCAGGGTCCCACATCATTCAAAACCCATGTTCGTCACCCAGCGCAGCAACGAACGTTACAAAAAGTTCCGCTGCCTTAAATGTTGGAAAAAACAGCCGCCCCCGTTTGCCATGTTGGGTCCAAATTGTTCTCCCGTTTCCCCTTAAATCCAAGATTTGTTAGTGTGATCTTGTTGTAAACAGTGCTCACTTCGAGTGATTCTAAACTCGTAAAACTCTGTAAAATCAAACAAAGAGAGCACCTCACGCGCATCTCTTTTCGATTTGAGAACAGCCATTGCTTACTGATCTCTCCACACGATAATCATCTCTTGAAACACATCCTCTCTTTTCAAAACATCATTGAAGGTTTTCAACCTTTCAGTTTCTTTCTCTGTCTCTTTCTCTTGATTCGGGAACAAGTTTGTATGCCCGCACAGGTTGCACCTCTCATATATCCACCTCCACATCGAAATGAAGGAGTTAACAAGACAAGTGTGCCTCAACGTCGTTCTGTGCAAGAACTATCCAACTACTATTTCAGCAGCAGTGTTGACAAAATAAGCAATCTGGATGAACCAGCATGCTTCAGGCAGCAGCAGCAACAACAATCATCATTCGATAACACTTCACTCTCAGATGGGCAAAATAATGAAAATGAAGGTAAATCAGTATCATATCATTTATCATTAAGATCCTCTCGATGTTTCAACTGTTTATTGAGTTTGAGAACTATGCTCATTGTCGGAGGTATTCTAATTGTATTGATCACCGCTATCGCTATTTGGACTACCTGCTTTGTGGTAAACATAACTGCATCCAATGAACAAATGCAAGTCATGTTAAACAATTTGAAGGACAAAGTGGGCAAAATTCTCGATCGAGAGTTATTAGTCGCCAAAGTCGCCTCAAATCTCATTGTGGAGGACTATTATGACGGTAGATTTGAAATGAATGACTCTTCACTCTCCTATTTATTCAACAAGATGAAGATCTTCTTAGTGACCGGAGTGACTTTCTGCTTTGGAGAACAAGGGCTCAACCTTTTGTATGGCTACACCCAAAATAGTGATGGCTCCTTATTGATGGCTCGTAAATATCAAAACGAAAGTAATCTGTATGTATATGAAGCCAACAATAAGACAGGTGTTCCCAATTACAGCAAGCAAGTTCTTTCAAAGTCTTACCTTGTCAATGAGACAGATTACTATGTGGAGTCCATTAGTGTCCTTCGAACTCAAAATCATCCAGACCAGGGTGTCTTTGGATCCATTTATCAAGTCCTCAATGGTCCTCTCTCATTGTATTTCTCTACTCCAGTCTACAACAAGACACAACTAGATCATGATTTACAACAAGAACGAAACTACTCAACACCAATGTTGATTGCACTCAAAGAAAAAGCCCGTATTGGTATTTGTAAAATTAATCTTGCTCTCGATGAATTATCTCGCTTGATTTCATCGGTGACGGTAACCACCAAAGGCTTTATCATTCTTTCGGAGGTTGGAAACAACAATTCTATTGTTGCAAGTAGTGTAGAGCCTTTGAGAAGTGAGAATGAGGCGAGCCCTATGAGGCGTTTGTCCTTCTCGGATTTGCCAGTAGCAGATATTCTGAATATATTGTTGACTCTTCAACCCGATGAGCATTTGTTGGATCCCAAACGAAATGGAATTGATCAGTCATCAGAGATATTCACTATTTCCAATTATCTAGTTTATTCGAGTTTATATACGTTTGAAAATACCATCAAGTGGCGTTTAACCATGGCCGTTGATTCCTATGAAGTCAACCAGGGTGTGATCATGAGCGTTTATATTACAATTGCTGTAACTGCAGTGATCGTAACGATTGGAATGATTGTGAGTGCTCTTGTAGGATGGTTCCTTTCCGATATATTCCTAACCCTTCAAAGTGATTTCAAAAAGGTGGAGATGCTTGACCTTCAAAACATCATGCCAAGAACGTCCTTATTTACAGAGCCCAATAATATTTACAAAAGTCTCACTGAAACTGTGGCTTGGCTCAATGAGTTCAAATCCTTTTTGCCAGATTCAGTTCTCAATCATATTGAAAGTGAAGGAGAACATCCATCACCTCCACCCTCTCAAACGCATGGCGTACCAACGATCAAGGTCGATTCTCACCCACGCCGATCCAAGGATTTCAACGAGAATGCAACCACGACAACCACTCAACTCGATAAGAAGTTAGTGGATCTTACAAAATCCATTCAGTCGATTGACAGACATTCATTAACATCATCGACTCATGACTCTCCCTTTACAAATGCTACAGAGGGTCATTCTCTCTTTAAGATTGGGCTCGTTTCAAAGGAATGTTATCTAGTGTTTATCGCAATTCCAGACATGAATGAAAGTCGATTCGACCACCCACAGTTGTTAAGCAATGTTATATGCAAGGTTTTAAACACCATCTCTACCCTAAGAAAAACAGCAAAAGCTGATTTACAAATTCGAAGCCACCAAGAATATCTCCTTGTTTTTAATGGAGAAAAAGCTCATGACAAGGCCTTAGAGTTAAGTTTGAAATTCCAAGCAGCCATTCGAGCAATTAATGACTCTTTTCGAGATGCCTTTTTGGTCAGCAACAATAATATCAACGTGATGGCTCGAAATTCCGTTACTGTTCAAAACAACAACAAAAATGTTGCAGATCGTGGTAATCCATCGATGTGCAACTCATCGACAGATGACAGTGGTGGTAATACAAATTCAGACCTAAAAGCATTTATTAGTGTAACAAGCGGAGAATGCTTGCAAGGTAATGTCGGTGGAAAGACATTAAGATATTTTGCCATTGTTGGTGAGTTGGTTTCAAAAGCTCTAGATATGATTACCATAGGAAAGAGGTTGAATATTCCCATTACTGTAGATTCTAAAACGTTTTTACAAGCACGTTTGGCATTTGTGATGCGCCCTTGTGAGAGAATATTATGCCGAAAAAAGCGAAAACAATTTATTAGTTTCAAACATGGATTTCATGCGCATTTAGATGCAAATGAAGATGCCAAGAGTGTTCATCAGTCACAAATTGAAACGGTCTATCAACTTATAAGAAGAAATGCGGTAAAAGATGACGAATGGCTTTATGAGTTGGATCAGAAAACAGAGAATGAAAAACACAATAGTTTCACACAACAGTTCCATGATATTTTTCTTGGGAATTCCAAAAAGGGAGATGAGAGCTATGAGTCATTTATGGAGCTTCTCCAGAGTATGAAGGATTCTGAAGATGGAATGTTGTTAGCACATCGATTGGAGTACATATTAACACATCCATATCATAAGAATTTAAATACGGATGATGGTAGAGAAGACGAAACAAATATGGACATGCAACCACCCCCAGCTGCAAATGATCCAGATTTTTCTTTGTATTATACAACTATTGAAAAAAGTGTTGCTAGTTTTTTAAAAGGCCATCTCATGACACTCAAGTGAAAAATTAGTAGTGTGATTATCAACACAACCAGAATTACAAATCAAAATAAAATTATTAAGGTTATTGTAGTGATCTCTTGAATAATTCAATTTGAACATGTCAATGACATCAACACTAGACCACCAATCATTCCTACGAGTAGGTGCATCACTCCTATCGACAAGGTGTCACTCCTTATTTAATAAATGACACAACATATATTAAGAAAAGAAACGAAAATGAACATGTCATGATCGCGCCAAAAGGATGATCTAGCCTTACTCGTCGACGCAATTGAGCCTTACCATATTTTACCGCTTAAAAACCACTATCATTGTTTGAAATCACCTTAAATGGTGACTTTTGCATGCTTTGAACCCCAAACCATCAACAAAAAACAAACAATTCAAATATTCTCCAGATGTACTGGTGTCTGGTGTGTGACTGTAAGCCAACCCAGGAGCATTCTGGAGGATTTGGTGTCTTGGAGGGAGTACTTGCTCAAAAGTCGACCCAGTTTTGAGTAATCGGAGAGTCTAATAAAACTTTTCTTTATTAAAATTTGCTTGAAAAATTCTTTATCTTGATCGCGTTGTATTGGCTGTTTGGTATGCAATAAATTAGTGCTTTATTTTTCAATGAATTCATTGTCTGATCTGATATTTGTTAATGTTTTGGTAATAGATATGTATGATTGAAGATCAAGGTCAACCATAATTCAAATCCTTAAATAAAACCTCAACGAGACTTATTTTTCTCATCGACGATCGTTCCACTTTATGGTGGTGTTGTAAATTGGCAACACCACAACAGAATTGTTCGATTAGATACTTTCAGTGCAATGGAACTGAAATTACAAATTCTGAGATTCAGATCAATAACACACATGTGCATTAGAAATCACAGACTTCACGTTGCGAACAAGAGAATCCAAGATCTCCATGACGAGTCTTTGAAAAGGATTCTTTTGTAAAATTCTTTGATCACTGATCCTTACACATTACAAAAAAAACTTCCAACTGCCACTTGTCACACAAACCACCATGCAACCAAGAATCAACTTCCACTATCTCGAGGTCAAGAAACCAGGCAAGCAAGCATTCATCTTTGCCAGCGTCTCTGCAGGAGCCTATCTCGTCACTCAACTCTCCAAAACTGTTTTTGGATTGCCTTCCACTACTCCCAACAATGATCGCGAAATGATTCAATTTTATCGTCCCATTGATCAAAGAGAAACATGGTCCTTTGATTTCACTTCCATTGCTCCACCAAGGCCAAAGAGAGAGGATTAATTGATTAGACTCTTTCGATCATGGTGAGATTTTGTATTTTAAAATTGTAATTCAAATGATGATCAACTTGAGTTGTGTGTGTGTGATTTTGTATGATTTCAATCATTTGTTAATGAACTCAGTTGTGTGATTCACACACCATTGCATTGTAAAATAAATCAGTCTGACCAATAATATTCACTCATAAAATCAACCATTCATGAAATGTCTTCTTTCGTTGCCAATGATCTTTGAAAAACACATTGTCAATGTGGAGAGCACTCATACAGGTCGGGGAAGATGCATCGAATTCTTACATGGATTTTCAAAACACCAAAATTTATAATCTTTCATCTTTCATTTCCCTTTCAGGTCGTTCAGAGGTCCAAATTTGTGTCGAATGACTTTGGTGGTGGTTTATTCACTAAAGTGTTGCGAAAATTCTTTTTTGTTTTTCTTTTTAAAAAACATCAACAACATCCTCTTCTTCGAGTTGATTCTAACTGGTATCTCTTGGGCAAAGTCATCATCACTGAATTCTTTGAAGAATTAATTTCATCAACTCTTTTAATTTTACAACAATTTTCATCATTTGCCTCTGTCTCTTTTTTCCAATATTATTATTAAATACTTTAAAAATGTTTAAAGACACAACACGTTTGAATGCGTCTCTAGAGATTTATCATTCCACTTCATCCCTTCATTCTCTTACTCTTGAATTATTTCTTTCAATATTTCATTTGAATTTTTTTAATGGTGGTGGTGTTGATGGTGGACATCATTCAAATGTCATGAACCACCACTTTTCCAATTCATATATCAATTACAAATGGATACTTTTCAATTCCTATCCCATCTCTTCTTCATCACCATTCTCCTTCAATGAATTGCTTCAAAACTTTTCCTCCAATTCAACAACTTTCAATTCGACTCGTCTCTGTGACTCTTCACTTCTCAATACATCATGGAGTCGAGAACCCAATGGACACGTCGATTATGGTCTCTGTCCAGATACTTATATTAGTTTTGCATTATGTTTGACGTTTTTACTCATCTATTTCACAACTATTGTCCTGTCAGGTGTCGGAGTGGTGTGGAAACGAAGAAGTGGACATGTCTCGGCAAGAAATCCCATTTACTTGTTTTTTACTCTCATTGCAGGATTTGTTTTTATTTCGGGAATGCTGCTAAGAATCATTATTGGAAGAAAGATTTATCCGTGTGGATTATTGACCATTTGTTTTTTCTCATTTCCACCAGGTAGGTGAACTTTTTCAAACTCTTCTTTTCGTCGAACCTTATTTAAAGCCATATCATTGCCCACAATCTTTCGATTAATGAGAGGATTCTTCATGTACAAGATTAATTTATTGAAAACGAAATTGTTTGACCATTCTTCTTCGAATGTCACTCCCATTCATGGAAATGTGTCAAGAGATGATGATTTTAATCAACAATCATTTGAATTGGTATCATCATCATTATCGATACAACCACTCAACTCGACCATGCATTCCTTAACTAATTCTTCTTTTAACAATTCAAATATTGATACCAATAATTCCAATAATACCAATAATACCAATCATGCAATTAATGCTAAGAACATCACTGTAGGACCCACATCCATGTTTGGAAATGATGATTCCACACAACAACGAGTGGCCACAACCTTAGCTGGAACCGATCATGATGATGAAATTTCAAATGTCGCTGTCGATATTACCTTACCTACTGATTTGATGGTTTCGGGAATGTGCATCATGACCAATGTTTCCTTTTCCGAATCGGAGAAGACTTTTGTGACTAACGAAACCACTAACAATCATACTGTCAATCATGATGATTCGGAAAGTTTTCAAAAGGAAACGAAGGAAGAAGGCATCAAAAAGACATATTCAAGTGATATGGCTCATCGTTCCGTAGCTTCCGAAAATAGTGACGGAAGTGGAATCGGAAACGGAGCCATGGTTGGATTTATTTTGAATCCCACCACCACAACCTCTTCTTCCCAGATGGGTATGATGAATAACAACCATGCGACGACAAATTATTACAATGACGAATACGACACGGAGATGATTATGGAAGATTCCGAATCTGCCGTCGATCTCTCCACATGGAACATGAGTGACTACAAGGACATGTCCGAAATGAGAAGTGAATTAAGGAAATTGAAAATTTTCAACTTTTTATTGAGCTACAAATTCATTTGTGTCGTTTATGCATTGGCGTTTTTATTTGGAATTATTTTGTGGTTCGTGGCAGGTGGCATTGAAGAAGCACTTTACAACCACAATTCGGATTCTAACAATAGGAAGAGAATATTCTTGCTCGATGGTGGAATTTTAGTATTCGATCGAGGATGTGGCATGTCCACCAATTCCATTCTCATTATTGGTCTTGAAAGTATTGTCTATATTATTGTGGAAGCTGTTTTTTTAATCATTACCTTTTTTGTCGATCGTGACACTTGGGGAATTAAGAAGGAAACCATTGCCTTAATTTTGATTCAAGTTTTGAGTGCAATCTTGTTCATTATTTTGGGTACTTTGGAAGTGGTGCAATCTCTTGTGGATTATTATGTGCCTTATGGATTTGTCTTGTGGGGTTACATGTTTCTCGAAATTATTGTGGCTGTCACATTACCTCTTCTTTACGCCATTCGAAGCGATATCAAAGAAGAGGAAGCGAGACAAGAACGACTTTTCGACTCGAAGGAAAGTGGACTCGAAAAGATTCTCAAAAACAAAAAGACCTTCCACCTCATGCTGGATTTTGCGCGGCGATCTTTCGCGCCAGAATCGGTACAATGTTGGCGGGACATTCAACGATTCAAGAATTCCAAACGTTTGAATCGAAAAAAAGCTGCCATGCACATTCTGAATGCATACTTGACGTTGGGAGCTCCTTTAGAATTGAACATGCCCCACATTGAGGAAAAACGTCAAGAATTATTAAGCATGATTGAGAAGAGTGAAAAAATTTCACCAAATTTATTTGTCACCATTCAGGATCATTGTTTGAATGACATGGCCGATTTGTTTGAACGATTGAAAAATTTGAATAAGGAAATTGCTGAAATTGTGAACAAACATCGAAGGATTGTTGCGAATCAAAAAGAATTGAATTAAAAAATAATAATTATTATGTATATTACAAAGTAATGCCATTAATTTAATTTTTACAATTCGTTGCATCAATTGTTATTAATTATATATAATGCAAAAAGCGTTAAATGAAATAAATCATCAAAAGCTTACAAAATAGTAATGACACTTCCAGCTTTCAAAAAAAATGCAAGAAAGAGTTGTTTTGAAATTCATCGATTCAAAGTTGCCAAGCCTTGATGGCAACCATTCTCATGATCATCATCACTATTATTATTGTCAATTACTTGCACGACAATTAAATGCTCGGAAGAATATTAAAGCCTTTTCCGGAAAATTTGAAATTGTGGTTGAATTTCTAGTAATACCAAAAACAACAACAAATAATTTCAATCATGGTTCTGATGATCATCATGATGATGAATCAAAGGATCCTCCGAATGATTCATTCCTTTCTCATCATCATCCAATCATTGAAATTCATGAAATTGCAAATAATTGTAAATTTATTCCTGTTTCGATGGCATATTCAAAGCAACATGATTTAATCCTTGTGGTGGATCGCAATGCATGTTTTTATTTTTTTCAAAAAGAAGGTCAACGATTCGTGAACATGTTTCATGAACCACAAGATTGGAATTATCATTTAATGTCACATCATCCAATGAACATGATCGTGGAAAATTGTGAAAATGGATGTGATTATGTCATTGTAATCTTTTCAAATAATATTCGAAAGTACAATATGAAATGGTATTTCAATAGTAATGGAACTCCACGATTGGTCTTAATTAGAAAGTGGTTCACCAGTGAGAAGGATATTCAGAAATTAACAAAACAAAAAACATTTTTCAGACCCAATGCAGCAATTGTGATTAAAACGGATAACAATCACCATAATGCACTTCATGTCACGGATGGTGTGAATATTCATGTTTTCAACTCGATCAATGGTAAATTGTTAAGGACTCTTCAAGTTGGTGTGCCGTTGTACTCGATTGATTATTTACAAGAAACCAGTGAATTTGTTCTCCTCTCAGATGACAATAATATTATTCTTTACAATGAAACGTTACAAATGATCACATCGACATTGAGTGGAGAAGAGGAGAATGCCTTAAATCATACCATGTCTGAACAAGTAATTGTCGATCGAGCTTCGAGAAATATCATTCGAATTGGCTCTCACTTTGAGAATGCAATCATTGTCATTTCAGGAGTCACACGAAATCCCATTCATGTGTATGGTAGGAACATGAACCATTATAACATCTTGCCTCAATGTGCCTGCATGGATGAAATGAGTGGTGAATTCATTGTTGCAGATCGTCGTGGTAGAATTATCATATTTAAATGAGAGAAGATTAATGTCGATTAACATGGAATTGAATGGGTGCATATATTCCAAACCACTCCAGTGGAATCAGTCTTTCGATTTTGATAATACACAATTTTCAATTTTATTGATATTTTCCAAGAGATGCTAATGGTGTCACTTTATATTCAATTGGTTTTCTTAATCCAGTTTTTCTATAATCTTCTCGCATACTCTTGGTAAAATCGCCCCACTTGTTGGTGGGTTTGGCTTGAGGAGGAGCAAATTGAAGAGTTTCCTTTGTTCTTCCTAATTGATCTTCCCATGAAGAGGATGATGACTGGTTGTCCCCAGAAGGAGCCATCACTGGCTTGTCTGGAAGAATACTCTTCGTGGTGAGATGCATGTTCGAAGGGATATGAGTAGAAGTTGTCGAAATTTCAGAAAGCTTCTCCTTCTTGACAATTTCATTTTGATACGTGGTGATGAATGTGCTTTTTGGATCTCGCTCATCCTCTCGTTCTACTTGCCACTGCGCTCTCTTTTGTTCTAGCAGACGAACGGGAGATTGTTGTTCAGTAATTTGAGGCTTAATAGTCTTGATACTTTTAAGGGCATCCTCAGTTTTCAAAGCATCTTTTTGATGTGAAAATGTCAAAGCTGTCATGGTGACCAAACTCTTTTCCGTTTTATCGTCACCATGAACAAATAAAATCTCCTTTCCTGTTTCTTTTGGAAGAATGGGCTCTTCCACTCGATAGGCGTCTGGCTTCCATTCGGTTGGATTTTTGTAAAGCGTTTGATTGAGGGTTGGACCAGTTTTTTGGAGATTCAAAAACGATGGATCACTATTAATTTTATCAATATAATCGGAAGCATTACGTTCTTCGATCCAATTATTCATCAGTGTTCCATTGTTGTAGGTATTCTTATGAGAGCTGAGACCGATTTGTTCCGAGCGAAGGACTCTCTCCTTCGGTGGAAGAAATTCGGTTACAGATTTCATGGTGGCTGTTTGTTGTTGATGAGGCATAATGTAATGACGATGTTATGTACAGTTGAGTTGTAAAATCGGAGCGAACCTTTCGGAAGAGTTGTTTGGGATTTTTTTTCGATTGTGGTGTAACAGTAAATTATTTGAAATAAGAGCGGGAAAAAGAAAGGAGCGAGATGAAACTCCAACAAATATAGTCGCTGAAGTTTTACCTCTTCATTTCGTAAGATGTCTTTGAAAGTAATTAAAGAATAAAGTAAGTATAAAGGAAAATCTTATTGAAAGTAAGCACAACGTTTACAAGTTGAACAATGAGATTTTTGAGAAATGTGACAGCCTATACACATTGTCAAAATTGTCTCCAAAAAAGCAAAACAACTAGAGCACTTTTGAACCTCTCCCAGTAACGAGTTGTTGCGTGACGTCGTGGTGGGGTCATGACTTGATAAAAGTACACCTTAGTAAAAGTACAATTTTTGAGAAGAGTAAAAACCTAAAACCCTTCAATGACCTTAATGATCATTCGTTTTCACACTCCACCACCACTACTCGAGAAATCTCGAGAATGAGATGAAGTTGCTCTCGCATAGGCCTCTTCCAAATGCTCATAATGCTCCTGTCTCTTGTATTGTAGTCGATGAGGTAGAATGCCATGAATGAACACACTCACTAAACCCACAATGAAAACAAACAAAAACATGATGGCAATCAAGGCACAAGTAATGGCAATCACGTACAACATGTTACGCACTGGAGAGAGTACTTCAAAGGAGACTGAATCATCATCAAGTTCGGAATCCAAATAACACGTAACATTTTCACCAGGTTTCAATTCATAGAACGGAGAATGCTCACTAAATTCGAGAGTGGTTCTATTCCGACTCTTCTCCAAAGGATGAGAACAGGAGGGCAATGTGGTGGTGGAACGAATAATTGTTGTCTTATATCCATTCGACTGTTGTTGTTGTTGTTGTTTGTGGACACCTCCATCATCCAAACAAAATCCTTCATCATCATCGGGATGAACCCGAACGACCGCTCGGCAATACATTAAACAATGTTCTTCTCCAATGATGCCATGAGAGCAATGGTTTAAACAGTTGGTATGAGGCTCTAGTATGGTACATTCTCGTTGGATTCTGTATTCATTCTCCATATTGGGCAAAGCATAGGAAAGGATACCCAAGAGAACAGCCAAAGATCCTAGAACCACCGTAATGACCAATACGACTCCGAGAACGATATTTCGTAAACGAATGAGTTTTTGCATGGTGTTGTGTCGGTATCGATGGAGTTAAAGTAAGTACTAAACGAGAAATGATGATGATAACCACCAACAATAATTAGAGGACTCGAGTGTGGTTTGTTTTTTCGTTCGGGATTGCGGCAATAGCTCAGCTAGTGAACTCTTTATAATACAATAGCCCTTTTTTGTTGAATTGTTGTCGTGATGTGATGATGCTGTTGTTCGGAAAGGTAATATAAGAAGGAGTAATGACTTGTGCCAATAGGAGGTATGGTTGGTTGTTGATACGTTGTTCTTCAAGCAAGAGTGCTCGTTTGTTTTGTTTTATTTTGTGCGCATGTACATATAGAGGGAGAGTTTCAAATTTGGGGTGTAGGAACGAATCTTTTTGACTTCTCGAGTTCATGAGCAAACGAAAGGAAGAGGTAAAATTATTTATTCTTTTCTCCTTGTTTCTGCACTTTTTGTGTGGGATTTGTCATGACACTGCAAAAGGAAAGTCTTGATTGGCATGCTAGTGGTGGGCCATTGTTTGAACTCCACAGTTGAGAAAGTCTTGATTTGGGTTAGACTAGCAATAACGGTGTTAGGGAGAGGCGAGAAAGATGGAATTTTTTGACCTATCTTATTTTCATTCTTTAAGGTGTATATACCAAGAGAGACTTAATTTTTTTCGATGTCGATGAACAGTTCCATCGACATCGAAAAACTCAGAAGGCAAAAAAAACTCGTTTCGAGTTGCCTCAGAAGGCAAAAACGATTCTTGGTTGGCAGTTGCTTTGGGAAATAAGAGTAGTGTCGATGAATATGCCATACTCCTTCCCGATCTTCCTCCGCAGATACCTTTAAGGAAACAAGTTGAGGCTTTCATTTATCAATCGTTTAAGAAAGAGAACAAATCCTATTATTTGTGTTCATTATGTAGTGGAATTCAAGGAGGTGCTTGCGGTCATTCCTTTCATGTTCATTCCTCTGCTGGAAGAAAGCCTTACAAAATTTATTCGTCGGAGGAAGAACAGGCTTATTCAAGTTTGGGTTACTCATGGATTCGAATAGGGGATAAGGTTTGTACAAAATGGCACAACGCCATCATGTACCATGCTGGTGATCGATCCACGAGGAGGAGAACGAGGTTAGTGAGCCTCACTCGAAAAAGACGAAGAGTTCCATGGATATGGAAATCTTAAATCTTTGGGGTGAACATTTGGTACGCCTTGTTTTTCTGGAAGGGTCAGCATTCATCGATTTCCATGCTAAATCCAAAGAGAGCCTCTTTTCGAGTGAATATGTTGAAAGATTTAACCAATTTGCAAAGAGAATGAGAGCACCACATGTCGTGTTGGCTTATGTTGAATGTAGTCTCAAGTGTGCGTCTCTTTCTCATCCTTCAAAAATATTTCGTAAAGTTATAATGGAAGGATTGGCTCTCAAGCATGACAGTCGAACAAATTTATGTTTGTTCCAAGTGCAATTCCTTGATAGTGGCAGACATAGCGAACAAACGAGTATCATCCTTTGATTTGAAAACTCTGGAGTTCAAGTATGAAATGAATGTAGCACCATATTCCCCAAAATACTTTGTAATGGAATACAATGGTGGAAGGAAGAACGACGCTATCGTTCTTTGCTCCCGAACAACTCTGCTCAAATTACCTTTTTTTCTCGGAGAACCACATGGAAATACCTGAACCAATATGGACATATGAACGTTGTCACATGATATTATATCGATGGTTCATTGTTACTCCACAAAATCTTTCTTCATTGCGTATAATAAAAACATCGCAGAACGCTCCATGTTTGTTGGTAGAGAGGTTCAGCTCTTTAATCCCTGTGGGAACAAAAAAGTCACACTTACACTTTCGTCAGGATTTGTAATCGCACAATTAGAATCGCAAATAGCTGAGTATGATTTGGAAACAAAGAAAACAACGCTTATAACATTCCAAACAGACCAAAAACATTCTCATACCAAATAGAATTCCACAATCACACCAGACATTTTTTTGATCTAACTCAAGACGAATTTAGGATATACGATCAACATTTCATGCATCAAATTTGCCTAATTGTATGCCCAGAAAAGGTTGCCTGTTTTGCAGTCAACTGTGCTGGTGATACCCTGTATTGTTGGAACAGTCGGTCAGGTGCGAGTAGTTACTCCCTTAAAATTCATCAAAATGTTGACACTCTTCCATTGTGCGATAATAAATGCATATTGATCCAAAAATTGGGGGGTACAATTCCAAAATATTATGACGTTAGAACATTCAATTCTAAAATGTTGCCCCGTTGTGTTGCTTTTTGGTTAAGCGTAACATGGAAAATGAATGTGCAACACTATTTCCACCAATGTTGGGAACGTCTGAGAATATCTCAAACAGATTATCCAAAAGTTTTGGATAGGGCTTTCGCTGCAAAACAAGTTACTTTTTTTCTCAACCAGTGCTCTGCAATGGTTGAACAGAAATAAGGATAGTATCATTTTGTTGGATCGATCTCCAGTCATCATCATGGGAGTTAAACTTGGAAGAATTTTGCCTTCGATAATGATTTCAAAATTTCCATTCTTACCAAAAACGAAGAACATAAACTTAAGGTATCTGAGTTACTTCCACTTGTGTGGAATGTTCAACGATATAATTATGGAGATGGAGGCTTTTCCATTTGTTGGGAAGGAATTGTTGCGGAGATGAAGAGATTACTTATTATTAAAGGAGGTACCAACGACATTAATCAATTAGAAATATTGAAATGCTATAGAAGATTAGTTGTTCAGGAAGTCTCCTAAAACATGCGTCCAGTTAAGTCCAAAATCCTTGGAATATATATTATCCAACATTATTGAGAAAATGCAATCTGTGACTATTTTCGATAAAAAGTATGACGTGAGAGATCTTATTGTGGCCTACTATTACTCGGACAGGCCAACTACTGGACTTATCAGCTCAATATTTTAAGCAGGTTAATATTCAAATTATATTTTACATTCGTGTATGTCATTTATATATGATTTGAATGGAATGTACAGTGTAAGAAACAACAAGGACACCATTTGGATGACCTCATCTGCCACGTCAAGGTTCTTTGAAACAACAAGGTAAATTAAGGATGACTCCACACGAAAAAATCCAAATAAAAAATGAGACGACGAGAAATGAAATTGTTGGATGAATTCCAACCACTTGAATCCGATTCACCACTCTCCTCTTCATCTTCAAACAAGAAGAAGACTTCCAAAAAGAAGAAATCAACACGGACTCAATCCGAAGAAGAGGATTATTCTCCCACAACAGCACCACCTAATAATAATGATGATGATAATAATCAGAGGTTCACGAACGAGACTCATAATGATGGCGATGATCTTGTAATTGAACACAAAAACACCAAGAAGAATTCTACCAAAACCAAGACTCATACCTCTAAATTGAATCGCAATAACATGAATAGTAATCATAACCGATCGTTTTCATCCTCGAGTACAGGCAGTAATCATTCATCATCAGCGGAACCTATCGTTTCGTTTGGCTACGGAAAACACAAGAGAACACAGTCATCAAACATTGTTGCGGAATCTCCAATTCCTGGAGGAGGATACCAATCATCATCGCTGTATGACTCTTCTCCATCCACTCCTACCACAACAACAACCTTCAAGTCTCAATCTAATAATACCAAATCATCACATCATGCTCCATCTTCTTCATCTTTTGATAAATATCAAGGTTTTGGATCTAAAGATTTACCAAAAACAAAAAGTGTACCAGCACTTGCTCACTCATCATCAAGAAATAATGAAGAGAGTGATGATCCTCATATCGGAACAATGAAAGATAATTATTATGAAATTGCTAGGAAGCGACAAAACGAAGAAAGTGGACCATACATTTTGCAAATTATTGCAGACATGTTGAAATATATTTACACAGCAGTAACAGAGACAGCTGTTGCGGGAAGCACAAAAATAAGTTCGGCAGTTAGTGGCATAGGAACGAGAAGAAATAGTGACGCGAAAGCTGGTGGAGAATTTCCACAAGCTGAGATTTATCTAGAGCCAGAAAAGAAAATAATTTTGGACAAATTTAAACAGTACTGCTCGAAAAAGTTTGACATTCAAAATGAAAAACATCAAAAATTATTATTTGCTCTTTACAAGGCATGCACGCAAAAGAAGACAACACTCACTGAGGGTGAACATTACAAATTTTTAGGTTTCCAGAACACAAAACCCGAAACGGATTTCCGTGGAGCCGGAATTCTAGGTCTCCAAAATTTACTCTACTTTTCAAAACACTACAAGAAGAGATTTAAGACTTATTTCACCAAATGTACAGCCAAAATGGAGGTCACAGAAGATGGTACCTTTACATCGTATCCTTTTGTTATTGCTGGTTTGAACGTCACCATGATGTTACTTTCATTTTTAGGAATTGGTTTCCAAGCCAACAAAGTTCACAATGTAACCGCAAAGAAAAATTTTATTGAATTACTTGCCACTGAGAAGGGAAAACCAGCCATTGAGGAAGATGACGACGATGAGGATGAAGATGAAGGTGCGTCCTCTTCATCTACACCTCAAACCACTGTTGAGGGAACATTGTTGTCATTTGATGACATTCCAACCATTCAACCTCAGCAGCCACCCAAGAAGTCTTTGAATATTTTAACAGATGACATTTCTCCATTGGTTTGGGATAATTCAGCACTTCCATCATGGGATGCATCTCCCAATATAAAATCCAACTCATCCTCAAATCCATCATCGTCGAGTTCGCAACACCAAGCAAAGAAGCCTTCCAATGCTAACACAATGAATGATACCAGTAGTTCCAGTAGTGGTAAAAAGAATCCTACCTCACTTCAAGTGTCAATCCCATCGAAACAAAAACAAGTTGCAAAGAAAGTCAAGTCTAAACCCAAAAAGCAATACGAATTTAACCTGGACCTCTTTCATGAAATGTATGTTGTTGGATTCACCTGTCTGCACAGAGAATGGTATAAAACCAAAGCCACCTATTTTGATTTCAATCGAGTCCTTGCCAATGCCCGTAAGCATGTAGAGGATTTATTAGAATTGAAATTTAATACTTATGGTGATGTGAAAGAATTCAATCAATCAATAAAACATTAACCATAGCATAGTTGACTCTAAGGTAGGTTATTTACAAGGGGGTTAGTGTTGGGTTTTTAGCAAGTGATTAAGGGTGATCCAAGCAGATTTTTGAGAAGGAGTCAAATTGAAGAACGATCGATAATGACGTGCTCGAATTTTTCGAATGATTTGACAAATGTTCTTCTTTCTGTCACAAACAAAGGTTGTTTCTAAAGTTGGTATGGTGTTTGTTGAGTGTTGAGACGATTGAGAAACATCCGAAATAATACTGCTGCTGTCTGGACTCAATTTCATTGTCAAGGGTTGGTTCTGATTAGAGGCAACGGGCAGAACTGAGCTCAAATCTTCATCAAAGGTCACGCTTATTTGTTCAACACTCATGGTGCCTTTTGTGGTGTTCAAAAGTTTCACAACGTTTCGTCTCAGGTTTTCTTCTCTCCTGAGCATTTCAATTCTTCTCATTCTCTGAATATACACTTGCGAAGAGGTTGACATTTTGTCATCTCCCCGTTGTGTTTGTACATAACGTGAGAATGGAGTGAGTTCAGGCCTCGTCAAACAATTATTGTGAGAGCACGTGGAGGAGTGAAGAGAATCATGTTCCTCTTCTTGCTTGACTTGAGGAACCAAAGGTAAAGGAGATTGAGGTACCGTTGAAACAATATTTGGGAACGGTGAAAGTGTTTGAATACACTTCCCTGAAGGAGAGAGTCGGGTATGCAATGGCGTTTGGCAATTGTTGGTCGTGGTCCCCGACGTCGAGGATTGAGTTTTCCTTTTCAAAGTAAGACTCCTAAGGTCCATCCTTTGGAGTTGAGGTTGGCTTGGTTTCAAGAATTGAAGTTGAGAGGGCGTCATCATTCAGAACGAATAGTGATGGCGGTATCGGAGATGAGAGTTGTTGTTGTTTCAAGGTATTTCTTTTTAAAAGAATGATGATGATGATGATGATGTATGGATGACCACCATTGTATGGTATCACTGGCATCAACAACCTCAAGAATATCCTTTTATATATTTTGTTGCCTCAATCAGGAATAATTGATAAAGCCATCATCATCAGAGATGGGTAGCATCAACATGAATATTATTATTATTAACCGCATCATGGAGGGAGGGCTGAAAGGTTGTTATTACAATGCCGCCCGAGAGGGTATCTCTTTTGATGCCTTCCATCTCTTTCCATCATCCACTTTGATGTTATTCATATGGATAGATTTGGAAATTTTTTTTGTTGGAGTTTGTAATGAATGAGAATTTTTCATTTGCACGATAGGTAGATCAGTGGTTGAAAGAATTAACTTTCTTCGATTAAGGAAATAACATTTATGAGGTAGTGCTTGTATGCATGGTGAACGTATTTGCCGAACTTCAAAAAGGCATGCTTGTCAAATGTCAAATCCAACAAAAAAATATAATGACATCATCAAAAACCATCTTGGACTCGTTGATCGTAGCCGAACGTAAATTTGTGGAGAATGATTTAAATACTCTCGTAGAGGTTGGTTTCAGATGCAAATTGTGAGATCGATCGTGTGTGTGATGATAGATTTTTCACATTTAATTTTCTTGTTTTATTTTTGTGTGATCGATTCGATGTCCTTATGTCATGTCGATCTTTTCATTGATCAATGATTATCCATTCTCTCTTGAATGATTTCGTTCGTGCAAATGATCATTCATTTTCTTTCTCGAATAATGATGTTTTTTGTTATTTCCATTTTTGTCTATGATGATGTTACACCCTACATTCACTTAGAAATATTTAATTCCACTTTCGGATGAAGATTCATCACCTCTCGTGGCGTCCACAGCAACAACAACATCAGCAACATCGGAAACGTCTCACAATCATCATGCCGAAGAAAATTATCTTCACAATGTGTCCAGCAGTTTAACAATCATTAAAAATTTACACAAGTTCACCTTGTCGAGATTGGAGAAATCAGATTTGGATCCTAATACATTGGGTGCTCTATTTTCAACAGTGACCTCCCAATTACTTGCTCCATACAAACAATATTACACATCAGTTCCAAAAATTATGAACTATTTGCAAAAAGAAAAGGAGCATAATGAAAGTTTTAAAAATTGGTTGAGCCAAAATGATGAGGCCACACTCAATCGTTTGTTGGTGGAAGCACCACAACAACATTTGAACTTTTATTCACAACAACTGAATGAATATTTAAAGACTACAAATGTTTCACAAGAAGAAAGGGCTCATGTTGAGAGCAGTTTGGATTATTTAAAAAAAACAATGGAAGCCATTGTTAAGGCACAACATGAGAAACATCATACACCTATTCGTCGCCTCTCTGAGAAGCAATAAGTAGAAGCATATGGATGGGCGACCTACCATGATAGGAGACAATTTTTAGTCATCATTCATCCAATAAACAACGTCATACGTATTGCAATTAATCATGGTCTTGATCTGATGTACAAAATTTGAATTGTTGGATTCACAAGTAATTCCGATTGTTTCAACAAGACTAGTACATCTTCGCCATGGTGAGCATGGCGTTTATTTGAGCAAGTCTTTTCTTTGCAAATGCCACTTGTTGGTTCAATAGTGACTTGTCTTCTTCTGACAAGCGCTTGCTTGTGCTCAAATTCTTGTGTGACATTGTTTGGGATTCGAATTGTTGAAAGAGGTGTTTGGCGAATTTCAATTTTCGCTTCTCATAAAAGTGTTCTGCTAATGGTAAGTAAGGCATGTTGTGAAAAATGGAGTTAATTTTTTTCCAATCCTGCGAGAGTAATTCATTTTCATTTTCGATCTTACTAATTTGCAGGTTTGAGTGCGCCAAAAGCAACTGCTTAAAATATTCACAAGCAGCACCTATATCTCTTGAATGGATTTCGTTTATCATGAGGGAATAGAAAACATTCAACAGATGATAGGTGGAGAAATGAATAGTATCGTCGAAACTCTTTTCATGTTTGATCTGTCGTAAAAACTCAAGATGTGTTTTCAAATCCTTTCGTGCTTGAGTGAAATGCCCCATCTTGAACAATGAATATCCTCTGTAAAATCGAAGCCTTTCGATCATTGTACAGGGCATTTCATGTCTTCTCTTTTCCATAATTTCACAACTGTAAACAACAACTTTTGAAAAATCTCCAATAATAGCATAAGCTTGAATTAGAATGTAGAGAATGGAAAGAAATGTGTTCTCTGGTAGCTGTTGTTTACCAAGAGAGGTTTCCAAATTCCATGTATATTCATTGAGAATTCTTTTTCCAAGTAGAATTATTGATTCAATGTCAATTCTTGGAATTAAATTAAATGATTCAAAAGACAATTGCCTCACTTCGAAAAATAGATTCCACTCAAAAGTTGAACTTGGTGAGAAGGGTTCGTTAAATCCCAGTTTGGTCGCCATATTTTTAAATGTAATAATTCTCAAATGGTAGATTTCATCAAACTCAAGCTTTGGTAAATTTCTGGATGAAGTTGAAAAGAAAAGATCACCACAACAATCATGAGACTCGAAATTTTCCTTTTCTTTAGTGCTAAAATCATATCGGCTCCATTTCTCTCTGATATTTGGGAATCATTAATGAATACAAGTTCCATTGTCATTCAATCTTACTTACCTTTCCATGTACAATTGCCACCACACAGTACGATTACCACACACTTCGCGATGTATCACACACTCGGGTTCATGTATATTGGTTCGATACTTGTTAAAATACAACCTCCTCCATAAATCATTCCTTAATGCTTCGTCATGGAAGGCCATATTGATATGTCGAGCACAAAGCCACAAATCACTCGTTGAGAGAAACGAACAAATGATATGAATGACATCATTACATAAATATGAAGAAATGTGTTGTGTTTTGGTGCTCCCGTATGATATGCAAGAATGATCCACGATAGGGAACATTTGCTTTCGTTGTGATGAATGTGGCGAATGAGGAGAAACCGAATGGATAGAACAACTAGTGGTGTGTACAGGTGAGGAGTGATCGGGTTCCAGAGAGCATATCGACACACCAGAACAAGGCTTCCTCTCATGATTCATACAAGTCGTGGAGAAATGGATGGCTTCTTCTTGAACAAGCCTTATCTTGAGAGATGGAAGTTCTTTCCTTGTTAACGTCGGAGAGGTGGTTAAAGTCTGTTTCTCTTGAGTTTCTCGTGTTTGAATTCTATTCATCATCTTTGTATTCATCGGCAAGAGAGAAAGAGGAATTTTGTTTGGGAGGGAAGAGAAGCGCGTTTCTTCTTGGGTATTAAGGGAGTTGCGGTGATGAAGGAAGAACAACACCAATTCAACTCTCAAGAGAGAATAATTTTTATAATATAGATTTTTTTGCAATGAAAAGGCGCCCGAGCGCAAAAAAGGATTTCGAAAAGAGTCCAAAATCTGAATAAGGACAGCCGAAATAACCTTAATAGGAAAATGAATGCTTCATTATAGAAATTATTATGGTTCGATCAAAAAGCAAAACAAGAAATGCAAAGTCCGTGCACCGTGTGAAATTGTATCCAACGGCAGATTGATATTTTCCGATGACCACATGCTCCCCTGAGCCAAAGACCAAACAACGATGACAATTACCACCACGTGTGGTTAATGTTGTTGTGGTAGTAGATTGTCTTGAACGGATCGAGTGCTAAACATATCGTTAGCCACTGTTTTCTCTCCTTGACTTGTGGTCTTAAAGTACAACGTTTTCAATAAATTCGCAAAGATTCCTCCCAATAAGGCAAGTAAAATTCCCAATAATCCAATACCAATTAAAAGGAAGAAAATTAGGAAAAATTTCGAACCTGTTTGTTTCAATTTCAAATCACCGTAACCAATAGTAGCGAGAGTGATGAACACAAAGTAGAGAGAATCTTCAAATTGCCAACCTTCCATGACTGAGAAAATGACAGCTCCTACCATCGAATAGATTGCGAAAATGAAGAGGAAATAAAAGAGTTGGCTCACTGGATGTGTCACCACTGCAGTGACATATTTTTCGTAGCGGTTGATTCGGTCTTGTGTTGATGTAAAGGTGCAGGACATGATGACTCTAATGACAAAGATGATGGTATTGGAAAAGAGAGAGAGTATGGCTTTGGTGTTTTGAACGAGTTTTCGACCGAGTACGGCTGTCATGGCACCCACAGTTGCTAATCCAATTAAACCAAATAAAATGACAAACAATTTACCAAGCGACGTATGAGGATAAATGTCACCATATCCAACTGTTGTGACTATTTCAGAGGGTGAATAAATTAACGAAACAATTAAATGATTTTCAAATGAAATACATTAAATAAGACACAGTGTTCAAATCGAATGTCCAAATCAAGTAAGGTTAATTATTTTCATCAATTTTCAAATAAGGTTATCACATTAATTTTTAGATTCATTATTATTGTTGTAAATGGATTGTCAATTTAACAATCGTAACAGCAAATCTCAAACAACTTACATGTCACAGTGCTAAAATACAAACAATTGGTGTAATACCAATTCTCAATATTAAACAAATTATATCTAACAATGGTTCCATTCGTTGCCAGCGTCATGTTTGTTTGAGATTCATTGAGGGTATCAGCTTCATAGGAGCCCTCAATCAACCACATGGGAATGCTTGCCAATAATAAGAATATAAATATTGCAATAATCAGCAGAAAGGCATAACAACAATTTTTTGTGAAATCTTTGAATGTTAAATCGTGTACTGCAAAATAGTCATTTTCCATCGCTGGTCTCTCTTTTTTGAATCGGTTTTGATAATATTGATGATTAAACATCTTGTCTGATGAGGAAGATAAATCTCGCGTTGCAAAATAGTCATATCTCGATTGAAAACTTTCGAATACTAAATCTGCAACATTGCACATGACCATAATAGTCTCTCTTTCATCATTTTCATTATATTGACCTGTACTCTTTTTCCAAAGCAATGCCTCAATATCACTCACATCTCGTAAAATATTTTGAAATACTTCTAAATTGGAAATGGTGACTTTGTAATTGTTTTTAAAACATTCGCCAGGTAGAAATTTCTTACTCACTACACAGTATTTTCCATCAGGATATTTGCTTTGCCAAATTTTGAATTCATCATATTCATCTAAATAATTATTGACAAAATGCTTTCGAGGTGATTTGTTTCCTTGATACATGTCACTCGTCATTGAGTTTCTTCGAATTTTCAAACTCGACAATTCATAGTACGGAGCTGAAGAGTCATCAGCAAATGTATTATTACTTGTAGAAATTACACTTCCTCTCCTCACCAATGGTGTGTTAAAAAGTGATGATGAGATTGTATTATTATTATTAGGAGGTAAAATATCAATATGATGAGTAAGGTCATGACTGTGGTCCATCACATTCATTCCAATTTCAATTTTGTCATTCACGTCTCCCTCAAAGGTGGTGTGAATCGGAATATTTGGCACCGTTTGAAAAACATTTTCCTGTTGTGGTGGCAACGATGATTCAAGATACGGCTCATCGGAAGCTCTTCTTCGGAGTAGAGGTTCTTTCATTACTATTGGTGTAAATTGGTTGTTGTTGTTGTTCAGGTTGTGGTTGTTGTGGAGCTCTCACAGTGAGAAAAGGAAAAGATGATAATATTGACGAGAGTTTAAAGAAGGGAATATCGAAGTGACTCGTTAACAATGATCGTTCGTAATCATGCGTAATGTGTGTGAGTGAGAGAATGATGTGGAAGAATGGGAAAATGAGCTTGGTGGTGATGTGTGTCAAGAGAGATTTTTTAATGAAAATGCAGAACACACACCCTTGGCACAAAATGTCAAACTCGTTATAATCAATAATACTTCGTAAACAAGAAGTTTACGAATCTCCAATTTGTCAATACATACAAAACTCCTCTCACTCCATGAATTTCAACATGTTGAAATGATCCTCCACATACTTAATAGAAACGAGTTGGAATATAGACCACCTCTTCCATCATGAAGAATTTCAAATCGAATTTAAAAAATCCAAAAAAACGTTGTGGAAGAGCTCTGAGCTCTCTGAACGATCTTTTCGTATAATATTATTTCAACAACAAGATTCTCGTAGACTCTTTCCAACAACGACAACAACACTTCATCATCCCGATTCACATTTTGGAACCTCATGAGAAACTACTTGAGAAAGTATCCTCGGCAAGTGATTGCTCTTCTCTATCGAGAATGTTTCAACCTTCGGAGTGAATGGATCACTTGGATCTTCCGAATACTCGCCCCCTCTCTCATTGTCGTTCTTTTATTCATCATCCAACAGAGTATTCTCTCTCTCACTGCAACGAATGGAAATACCTTATATGAGAGTGATTTTACCTTGCCCAATGTTCCTCAGAGTTTGAAAAAGCCTTCACCAGGTGAAAAGTATTTGCTCATCTCCAATGATGGTTGTCCGTTTTATAGGGATGGTCCCGACTTGTTTAATATTTCGAGGATCATTGCAGAGATGAATGATCCACCTTTGAGTTATATGGAGAATTCAACCACGTGTTTGGAGTTTGGAGAATGGTCAAAATGTGAGAAGGATATTTGTGTGATTGGAACGACTCAAAATTCCATTTCTCCAACAAGGTTTAAGAAGTTGATTCAATCCAATGTCATCTTGGGAGCATGGGTGCTACAATCATGGAGAGAATACATGACGGATAGTTTGGTATGGGATGTGGAAGTCATTCCAAGCTATCTCACATCCATTAGAAATCCTTTCTTTCCTTTACCTGCTGGAGTGACAAAAGTGAGTGAAGAACAGAACAAGTTGACCCTAATGAGTGTCATTGATCGAGCTTTTAATTTGGCCAATGCGACTCGAAATTCAAAACCTTACACCTTAGACATGAAAATCAATCACATGCCATCGAAGAGGGGACAAGACAATCCGCACGGTAATGAGTTGGCCACTGTTGTTTCACAACGTTTAGTCACCATTATGATTCCAACTTTCATCATCATTTCTCTTTTTCTGTCAGCCTCCCATGTCAATACCTTGATTGCAAGAGATCGACAATTACGAGTGGGTATGAAATGTTATGGATTGATGAATTCTTCCTATTGGACATTTGTCTTCTTGTTTGAAGCGATACATTTGGCGCTCGTATGCGCAATCATCACTGCCATGGGATACATTTGTCAGCTCAACTTTTTCACAGGATGTCATGACCCTCTTGTGATCTTTATTATTTTGTGGGGTATGGCGTTTTACTTTTGTTGCTTGTTGGCTACCGCGAGTACCTATATTCGAGCCAATTCTGCCTCAAACATTACATTGTTTTTTCTTCTCGTCTCCAATGTTCTCTTCTCCTTGGTGACACTTCAACCAGAAGCCATGATGAGTCCAACCGTGAGAATTATCGTTCCAGAGCCTATTGCCATTGTGGGTGGTCCACTCTACATTTTCCCTACAGCTGCCTATTCTATCGCCATGACCACCATATCCTTTATGACTTCATCCTATTATGACGAAAAGACCGGACTCCTTATATCACCACCAGGTTTTAAGGATATTGATTACTGGGTGAGTCCAGTTCAAACCTTTTACGACCAACAAGGATCGATCAGATATTACGACGATCTTGTGTTGGCCCCCTATTTATGCATGATTGATATTATTGGACAAGGAATTGTATTTATTTTACTCACCATGTATCTCGACAATGTGATTCCACCTGCTTTTGATGGTATTCGACAATCCATCTTTTATCCATTCTCTCCAAAGTATTGGGGATTTCGATCGAACAAAATTGGTCGTGACGATTTGGCCATTGATTTCGACACTCATGGCACTGCTTTTGAAGTTCTCGAAGATATTGATCCCGATGTGGCTCGAGAATACAAAGAAACAACACGAACCTTCCAAAATGCAGATGTTTCCATCTCGGTCATTCAACTGAGCAAGACCTTTACCTCCTTTTTGAAGCGCAATACCAACAATAAGAATGCTCTCAATAGTGTATCTTTCCATGCAAAAAGAAATGAAATTACTGCCATATTGGGCCACTCTGCTGCAGGTAAATCCACACTTTGCAAAATATTGACTGGATTAATGGCTCCCTCTTCTGGTGATGCCATTATTGAAAAAATGTCCATTGCTAACGATTTTCAGCACATTCAAGAACACATTGGTGTTTGCATGCAAGACGATTTCATTATTGACAACTTGACTGCTCGACAACATATTTACTTCTTTAGCATGATCAGGGCTGTTCCTTTCAGACAATTGAGAGAAGAAGCTAAAACTAAGCTTGAACGAGTGTTTTTAACAGATAGTGCCGACAAGCAAACACGTACCTTCTCGGGAGGAATGAAACGAAGATTAAGCTTGGCAACTTCCATGATTGGAGATCCATCCATCTTGTTTTTAGGTAGGTTTTATTCACCACACATTTGAAAATCATGAATCATCTTCATGACTTCAAAGATGAAATCACAACGGGTGTTGATGTTGTCATTAAGCGAAAAATTTGGAACATGTTGGCCCAATACAAAAACATGGGAAAGACCATCATTTTGACCACTCACTCCATGGAAGAAGCCGAGAATATTGGAGACAAAATTGTCGTGCTTGCATTAGGTAAAATCAGAGCCTGTGGAAATATTTCACATCTCAAAAAGAGATGGGGAGCAGGTTATAAGGTCGACTTGATCATGAATAATAATAGCAACTCGAATGGCGAAAAGATTAAGAATAGTCTCTCGACCAAATATACGCCTAACAAGTTAATTCTCATCAAGGAAAATACCAACACGAACTCTCTCACCTATCGATTGAACATGAAACCAAAACAAATTTATGAATTCTTGCAGTTTTTAAATTCTACATTTTCCCTCGATGAGTCCACAGACAATATTTTGAAAGATTATGCCTTATCCTTTACTTCCATGAAAGATGTGTTCACACGAGTGACACATGGAGGTTCATATGAGTTGGAGGCAGCTCTCATTCAAGAAAAGGGAACAAATATGAATGAAGAACAAGACGAAGAAGAAGATGATGCTGAAGAGCCTTTCGAGCAGCCACAAGTGAACAAACGATTCTTCAGCCTATTATCACAGCTCCAATCCGATAAGATTAAATTGGTTATGGATAAGAATTATTCACTCCAAGATTTGAGAAGTGACAATGTGGAAATTGAAATCACTGTGAAGGCTCGTCACAATGTTGGATCGAATGATATTCGCGTGTAGATTTGTTTTCAATAATAATATTTAATTAAATAATAATAATTAAACTCTCTTTCTTGGAAAGTAATGCTGTCTTAACGATATCCTTTTCGCTGCTAATTCTGGTAAGAGTTTTTTATCTTGCCTGTAAATCATGGAGAAGAGAATAACATGTCTATTGTTTCGAAAGAGGGAAGGATAGAAGTGTTGTGTCTTGTTGAAGCTTGGTGGTTCAAGGATGAATTCATTGGCAAAAGGAACATCAGCAAATCAAATCTCCAACTTGGATTCTTTTCAAAAAAGAATTGTGTACAGGATTCAAACGATCAACAACTCGTGAATCTCCCCGTCCAAAAAATTGACATGTTCAAGTAAGGTGGACATTATCTCAGATCTCATGATCAGAAATTCTGTCACTTCCCTCATATCGGGCTTGAACGGAAATTTAAATATAATGAACCGTCAGTCGCATCAGGACTCACAAAATTCCTTTTCACACAAAAAAACTTTTTCAAAACCGATCGTCATCAACGTCACCATCAACATGGGAGATTCTGTTTCAGTCGTCTTAAAAGTTGTCTCATTGATCACTCTTCTTCTCTGTCTCGGAGCAGCCATCTTTCATCTCGTCGCTCTCATCATGTATGGCCAAAAACTTCAAGACAATGCTCCCACTGAGACCTATCTAGCACTCTCTTTCACCACTGTCTCTTCCTTCGTGTTGTCTCTTCTTTCCTTGTATCATGTCTTGTCTCTCATGATTTCCTCTCTCCGAAAATACTCTCGATGGAATGGAGCCTTATGGATAATGTACATGATCATGGGAGGACTCACTCTCGGATGCGGAATGGTGGAATGTACCATCACTGGAATGGCTTATCGATTGGAAAACAAGTTGGGAATGAAGGATGAGTTGGTGGAGAGTTTATTTGCTTCGGGAATTGTGGTGAGTGGAGTGGCAGTGATTTCCTTGTTGGATTCTTTTGTGTTGCCAGTGGTGGTGTTTAATAGAGGAAAGGCATTGCAAGGATCGTTTGGAGAGAGAATGAGATTGTTGTAATAGTAGTAGTAGATGGTCTTTAGAACAAAATTTCATTGGATGGATCGCTTTAGAGGAATGATCTGTATATAAGGTCAACTTGTATTTGTTGTAAAAAAAATTGGAAATGAAAGAATTCATTGGTTCATCCTTCCGTTAAAGAATATTGTGCGGCAATGGTACCAACACCTCCAACTAAGGGTCAAATCATCATTGGTTTCCCAATAACATTGTATGTATATAATGGCAAAACTTGTATTAGGAAATTCCATTTTGATAAGAAAAATTCAAAGTTTGGTTAGTTTGACTTTGAGTCGTCCTTTATTTTGACAAGAAAAATGCAATCTCTTCATGATGATGAAGCCCTTTGATGGAATTTCATTTGACCCTCGATAACATCTTTACTCATCATCATCCAACCATCGGATTGTTCATACATTATTGCGCATAATTAATGATCTCACAGAACAATTTAGTTCTCCTCGTATCCATCACAAGTGAATCGATTTTGAGTTGTTTCTATCGATCATCATGAAACATCAAATCATTGTGAGATACGATCTCGATGGTTTTCAATGTTTTGGCGCTACTCTCAAAACAGTTTGTAGAAAGAGGAGTAAATATCGGGTTTACTGAACACACTCGCTCGTATAAATGACTCTAAAATAGCAATGTAGTTTGAGATGATGAATTCGAGAGAGATAAGGCAAGCGCTACCGAGGTGTGATTTTCATTATTTTGATGTCTGTAATTCATGGTCAACAACAACAAACAAAATAATAAGAAAATCAGATATGACCTCTACGGTTGATGACAGATTGAGCTCAATATCAGGAACTAGTTTCAGATTCCCTCCTCCCATCTCATCCAACAATGCTGCTCTCGCCACCTCTTCGACTTCTCTCTCTTCTGGTCGTAATACAGACATGAGTGGCTCTGAGTTATCAGCCATCGAAAAACTCAGAAACAAGGTCATGATATTCCTGTTTTTCATACAAGACAACGATATTAGGGAAGGATGGAGAGACTATTTGTTGTTTTTTATATTTCATATCTATTTGATGTGGGTTTCCATGTTCTTACCAAACTTGGGACTTGAAATGAGATATGGTGAATGGGGTTCATGGATCTTTACCATTCTCAATTATCCAATGACATTCTCGATGGAACGATTACCTTATTATGGAGCTTTGGGACTCTCTATCGTGGCCATTGTATTTCTATTGGGATATATTCTTTTGATCGTTTGGAGTAGTTATGCTTTCAAAACAACTTCTCAGTACTTGAATGGTACAAAACGAGCAGTGTCGATCGCCTCCAAACTCATGCTCGCTTTTTCTATTCCTTCGATCTATGTGATATCGAGTTTTATCGATTGTACAATAAGCACCACACCAATACTGAATCGATTCTATCAATATTCAAATGCTAGTATTGCATGTTTTGGATCTCAAAATATTGCTCTCTATGCAATGTCTATCATTGTGATTGTACTTTTCATGTTATGTAGTGCTTTTGCGAGCATGATTGTCACCAATAGCCATCCTCACAATACGGTACCTTTTGTGGCTGATCACCCTCTTTTTATTTGTGTCATGCTTCTTTATAATCAGTCACAAATATTGATTCATTTTGTGATTCCATCCGAGTACTCATTTGTGAGAAGTGTCGTTCATTTGGTGAGTGCTTTTGGCATGTGTGTGGTGCTGTTTAAATCATTACCATTTTTGAGGAGATTTGAAAACTCAATCATGTTTGGAATTCTTGTTTCAAGTTGTGCCTCTAGCATTGGGTCATTGATTTCCTCTCTCATCAACAAGTCTGTGATTGTTCAACTTCAAATTCCAGTGAATGAGTTTGGCATTGGTTTGAGTGGTTTGACATTGGTTTTAATTTTAATTGGATTTTTAGTGGGAACTGTTCTATTGGAAGTGTATACGAGATTTATTGTTCAAAGTGTGAGATCTTTTGTTTTGGAAAGTGGTAAATCTGATCACGTATATGCAGAAGGGAACCATACGGAACAAAGCGTTCTCGATCATCATCAATCCATCGAAAAGTCCATCGAGAAGGAATCATTGGCAATTTATAATGATTTTGTAAGCTCCAAAAACTTGCACAAATTGATACTGTTTTTAAAGTTCAGCATGAAGCCATCGTTTTTGGATCGAGAGGCGGTTGTATCGAACATTAACATTGCTCTATCATTAATTAAGGGATTTTCACAGAGTAACCAATTAGACACAGAAATTTTACTCCTCTCTTCGGCCATCATTGCCAACTTTTTACCTCAAGAAATCAACGCTGTGCCATTCGCACATGCACTTTTGAAAAAGGCATGGAAAAAGTCTCCTAGCTTTTATCAAAAGTTTCTTATTAACTTTAAGAATAGGGAGTTGAATGCAATGGCTTCTCAAGACTCCAAAAACTCTGTAAATGCCATCGAAGTATTATCACATTTATCGAAAAATCAAGAAGAAATGAAATGTATTCACAAAGCAATTTGGAAAGAACTCATGCAAGAGACTGTGAATTACTCCAAAATTGAATCTCTTATTCTCAGATCCGCAAGTTTAACACATGAATGTGATCAAAAGTTCAAGAGTTTATTATCGATTTCTAAGAGTGACAAGACTGTCCTACGATGCTTTGCAAACTATATTGAAGTTTTCAAGTTCAACAAAGAATTAGCTCAAGAGTTATATAGCGAAGCTACTGCATTAGAGGAGGATGAATCAAAAAGAAATCGAGCTCACTACTCGAAATTCAAGAAAATGACAAATAGAGTTCTTCCAGTTCAAATTAATCCAACTTGGAATGAAGGCTCTGTGAATAATGATCTAAATGATTCCAATATTGAATTTGAAGATTCCAAGATTGACAATGCGTTTGAAGGAATCGAAGAAGATAGCGAACTAAGAAAGGAATCTGTGTTTAGAAACGTTTTGACAGTGACACACAAACACCTCTCTTTGTTGACCATGTTTTCTGTATTTATTACATTATCTCTGATTGTATTGGCTTCAACTCTGATAATGGGTATTGTATTTTCAAACTCTGTTACTGATACTGTATTGAATGTGAATATGGCCTGCAATCCATTGACCTCATCGATCCAAATAACCGCTGGAATTCGATCCTTACAATCCATGATTTATCTTTCCAATATGAATGAACTAAATTCTACTGTCATGAACAGGTTTGGATTGAATTCATTAGAGAGTTACTTGCAACGAGAAAAATTGGAAATGAAAAAACATTTGAATCTTATCAAGAAAATTACAGAACTTGCTCAAACCGCAGAATTTTCAATGGACATGTATTCGGAATTTCATGAAGTATTTTACCCAATATTATTACCTGTTTCACCATCTGGAACTTCCGTTTTTAACGACACTAAATTGGTAAATTTAACAATTGCAGACATTACAAATATCATGACCACCTATGCTGAAGAAGTGATCGATTTCAATCAAGACGATTTTTCAAAAACATTTACAAGCTATCCGTTTATGGTTTTGGTAAGTATTTAAGCTTGTGGTTAGATGGAGATTGATAAATTCTCTTTCATTGAATAGTTCTTAAACGCTGACTATGTGACTTCCGCCTATTCTGACTTTTGTTTCAAATTTATTGAACAATCAAAATCGAGTGTGAGGCAGACATCCAATATTTTCATCATCTATTATTGCTTATGTGTTGCAATTTACTTTTCATATACTTTGGTGTTTGTGATTTTCTCACGAGTTGATCTCTCTTTCCTCAAGAGAATTTTGAACCTCATTGAAAAGAATGTTTCCAAGAATGAATCAGGGAAAATATATCACAACCTTTGTAACAGCTACACAGTGAGCGAAGAGACAAGTATTCGTCCTCACAAAAATTCCTTCTTTTATCCAAGGAATATAATAGTTCTACTGACCTGTCTCGTGGCAATTATTGTAGCCATTTGTGCTGGATTATTCCTTAATCAAGCACTAGGCAATGCTCAATATAGTTTTGAATCCTATGTCACAATGAGAGATGCCTATATTTCTCTAGAACATGCGGAATTTATAACCTTCTATGTTATTGAGGAATATTCTCACTCAGCCTTTGAAAATACGACTTTCTTTAATGATCCTCCACTTGTGACTAAAGATTTTTTGGACCATGTGTATTCGAATATTAGTAGTCGAGTGGCTAAATTAAGATTCTCTTGGAATATGTGCATGTAAGTTTGATCAAACTTTTGTGACAATTCGTTCACACTCTGAATGTCATTGTATCTACTTGTTGATGCACTTATTTTGTTGATGTACTTATTGCATTGTTGAATCAAAAATCGATTCCATTATAATGGAATATATATTATTATTAATGATCTAGATATGGCTCTAATTATTATCCTGATGAAACACTTGTCATTGGGTTGTTTGAAACTACCGATCACATGATTCGTGGAGATGCGAACTGTACTCTCGACAAGATGATCAATGGTGGCAACTGTTCGATTGGTATTAACAACATGATTACTCTTTATTTAACAAACTCTATTGAGCTAGCTGAGCAAATGGATATGACTCCAATCGATCGAAACAATTTGTTGACCAAGTTTTTATCGACTCGATATCTCTCACTTCATGTCACGGATGCATTACTTGATTTTTCAAAAGTATTCGCTCAAGCAGCTTCTTTACCTTCGAACACGTTCATCATTATCTTTTCCATCGTTGGTTTTATTTCACTCTTTTCCATTTCCTTTTTCATGTATTTATCGATGAAAAAACACTTCCTTTCAGTTCAAGAGTTGCGAATGTTATTCAACTATTTGCCTGTGGAAATTATGGACTCTAATGAAAATCTCAAGAGTTATATTGTACATCATCATTTACCCGATACATTTTCAGCATCATCAACAATTTTACAACGCAGAAAATCATCAAATTCTGAAGGTGATGCCAAAGTGAGAAATATTCTCAATGCATGCTATGACGGGACAGTCATGTGTAATCATAATGCTGATATTGAAATATTCAACCCAGCTGCACAAAAAATGTTTGGATATAATCAAACAGAGTCTGTCGGTAGACCTCTCTATCAATTATTTGACAAGAGTGAACAATCAATAGTTAAATCACTCGTAGAAGAAATGATGATTCATGCAGGACGAGGTGAAAGTAAGGGAGAATCTATCGAAGTGGAATGCATGAGAAAAAATCAGACAACTTTCCCTTCACGACTGAATGTATTTGTGACCTTGCATGATTCTCAACCTATTGTGACTTGTTTTATTAAGGATATTACCAGTGAAAAGAAGCACAATTCATTGTTGGCTCAAGAAAAGAAGCACAGTGAAGAATTATTGTTGAATATTCTTCCTAGTGCTGTTGCAAGCAAACTCAAATCTGGAGAGACATATATTGCAGAAAAGTTTAGTGATGGTGAGTTTAAGAATATACTTCAATCATGATGATTTGACTTCTTCTTTGACAAATTTTCTGACACACTGGAATTGCAATCGATCATGTTATGCAATGATATGAATTCACATTTATAGTCACCTGTTTCTTTAGTGACATGGTCGGTTTTACAAAATGGAGTAGTTCAGCTCAACCCACTGAACTATTGAACATGTTGAATGAAATTGTGAATGGATTTGACGATATTGTCGAAAAATATAATTTAGAAAAAATCAAAACGATTGGAGATTCTTATTTCTGTGTTGGTGGATTATTTGGAGCAAATGCTCAATCCGATCACCCAGAACGAGTTCTTCGATTTGCAATTGAAACGTTCAATGTCATTCACATATACAATTCTAAAACTCCAAAACCACCGTCTGAACAAATCAACATTAGAATTGGAATTAATACTGGAAGTGTCGTGGCAGGAGTGATTGGAAAGAAGAAGGTAAGTCATTGTTTCGAAAATCAAAAAAAAAAATTGAGAAATTGATTTTTGACCTTATTGAACATCATAATATTCGAACTCTGAAAACACAGTTTGCCTATGACTTGTGGGGAGACACCATTAATGTCGCTTCCCGAATGGAATCTGCCTCATTGCCAGGAAGAATACAATTATCACGATCGAGCTATGAGAGAGTGTATGACATTGTTGGTTTTTCCTTCGAAGAACGTCTGATTAACGTGAAAGGAAAAGGCGAATGTGTAGCCTATTTATTGGATGAGAAACATCACATCAATCCAATCATTTACTTGGCACCATCTCTGACTGATATTTTATGCAACAGTTCAGTAGAAAAGCAATCCTCTGAATCGAGTATTGAAGTCTATAAAACAATTGTGGAAGAAAAGTCATTCAAACAGGATCCAGTAATAATGTCTAAAGAAATCTTACCAGCTGGCACAGAGGAAGTTGTGCAGAATTCTATCAACAACAACTCTGAGACTTTATTGCAGCAAGAAGGGCTAAACTGTTGAAAATCTAACATCCACTGTGATTAATTCTTCATCTTGAGTGGGAGTGTGTGGCTTTGTCGATTTTCTGTTTCTCCTTGAGAGTACAAATTTACAACATCCAACCATCAATAAAATACATCCTAGCACCATGAATGTAGAACCTGCAATACCCACCACAATGGCAATAAGAATATTCATATCAAATGAATTCATTGGTGGCGTTGGTGGTAGTGCTGGTGAGCTTTTGGGAGTTTCAATTTGCTCCCAAGTAGTAATGATTTGTTTCGCAATAAAAACACTTGTTTGTTTTGTGCATTTACATTTCATTGCATCCAATTCGATGCCAAGTGTGCACGAAGAGTCATTCAATAGTAATATATTAAAACCTTCCGTTAATGTGGCACATGAAAATTGAGATCGTTGATATGTTTTTGTGGTAATTGAATGAGTTGAATTAGAAGTTGATTGTGATTCAATTAAACTATTTTCAGTCATGTTGGATGTTGAATATGGTGCACTTATGGTTAATTTGTAAGAAATTGTGTTGTCCAGATTGGTCAAGTTTGTATTTAGTATTTCAAAACTCGAGATGATATTTGAGAACATGTGAGCTGTTGAAATGACCAATCTTGTTAGAATGGTGGAATTGGATCCGACAGAAATTGTTTTGGATTCAATTTTCTTTTCTTTAAGATCAAAGGTAATATTTCCAAACTTATTTGTAAGCATGAAAAAGAAGGATAATGGTTTCCTTATCGATTTGTCTGTTAAATATTTGCTCATGCTTGTCGGAAGGATTATTTGATTGTCATTATTATTAGAAGATGAAATAATTAGGGCTGAAAGATCATTCTTATAAACATTATTTCCAATTAAGGTCGAGAATAATGATTGTAATTGATAATCATTTTGTCCAGTCAACTGAATTCTCAAGTACAATTTTCCAACATCTTTCATTAGTGTGATGATAGTGGGATAGTATTGCCAATGATTATTCAATTCAATATATTTGTATAGTGAGTTTAAAATTCCTCTCAATAAAATTTCTACTCCTTGTTGAGGTTTCAATTTAATATTAGAGTTGGAAAGAGTAATCAATTCTCGAACCATTTTGAAGCAATTAATGAATGTACTTTCACTCAATTCATCATAGGTCTCTAATAAGGCATCTAATCCAAAAGCCGTCACTGTGAGATATGAGTCTTTCATTATTTCTAAAGGATTTCTATTCACAAACGTTGACATGAATGCACTCACTAAAGAGTCTTTTGTTTTCACTGTTGTTTCAAATTCTTCCTCCGTTAAACTACAATCAAGTTTTTTGTATCCGTTTTCGCAAATACATTTATCAAGTTTGGAATCAAATGTTCCATGAATACAAATTGACTTGGCTGCATTAATTGTTCTTCTTGAATTTTTTACAAGTTCCAAATATTTGTTATAAGTTCTTGTAACTGTAGCAGAATTATATACATTTTTAGCAGTATCTGTAGCAGGAATTTTGTTTGCAATGGTCATCCATTCTTTGTATTTCAATGTCAGTGCATTCATAGTATTGTATTGATAATACTTCATTCGGATATTAAAATATTTCCACAAAGATGCTCCGGTTGATGTATCGACAACGGATAAAAAAACCCTTATATACGGACTGTTCGTATAATAGGGTGATGGTAATTTTGTAGAAAATTCTTCTCCCAATGAGAATAATGGAATATTTGCTCCAGATTTGTCGTCAATAAATCCAAACACAAACTGAAGAGATTTTTCTTCGTTCTGGCAATTAGGGCAATAGAATTTAAAATCCGTTTCTAATGGATATCCTTCACTTGGAAGAATGGTGCAGGGACAGGATTGTGGTGAACGAACAATTGAGAAAATGTATGAATAACTTGAATTTTGTCCATTTCTTAAATCTGTCACCAAGAAAGTCAAGTTGTAATCAGAACCTTCATTCAATGAAGATAAATCAAGTGAGAGAGAATTAGAACTGGTTGGATCTTTTTTCATATTTTGTGTTAAATTTTTTGACAATCGTTGATCATTCAACATCCATGTTCGTGTAATAAATTTCTCAATATCTTCTTCACCATTCACTGAAAAATCAATACCAAATAATTCATTTCGCACAACTTTGGCTCTGTTTGGTATTACATTCAAAAGTCTGATAAGAGGTGGCCTTTCAGATTCTTTTGAAGGGAAATTAATTGAAATGGATGATGTTTGATTTCTTAAACCTTTTGTGACCATAAGAGACAGGGAAATCTTTTTCAGAGGTAATTGTAAATTTGTGGATGAAGGAATAAATAGTAATGTATCTCTATTCGATGAATATTGTTGCAAAAGAGAATCTATTGCATTTCCACAACTTGAATCGGTTTCTAAATTAATACACGACCATTTCCAAACTTCATTTTGTTGAGCATTTTCTGGATCAGTTACTTCTACAGAAATACTCGTATTTTGAACGGATAACTCTTTAAATATAATAGAATGTCCATGTCATCGGATGAAGTGGATATTGTGACAATAGTTGATGCATTTAGGTAAGGATTGAATTTAGAAATCACTGTTACTAGAAATTCATAAATATATGATCCCTTGTTGCTAAATTCTCTGATGATTAAACTCTCATCATTATCTATTTCAATATTCAAAAAAGGCCCAGAAAGTTGAACCCATGTGGTACTAAAATCAGTCGTTGTTATTGTTGTCATGGTTGTATCATTGCAGGATGGTAATATAATTCCTCTCTTAATCAAAAGAGGCACTTGTAAGGTTTGAATGGAAAGCTGTGAAGAACCAATAATGTATACTGTAGGTAAGGGTAATTGTGTTCTTGTATATTGGATATATTCAGGTTCGCTGGTCATACTGGATACAATACTTTCGACTATTAATTGGAATCTAAATGTTCCTGAAAGGGTGCATGATGAAATTGAAATGGTTGAGGAATTGTTAGGCCATAAACTCAACTCTTGTGACAATGAAATCAAACAAGAGGATGAAGGAGCCTGAATAACGTTCCAATGAAAAAGCAATGGTTGTCTATCTCCAGAAAATGATTCTGAGCCATCCAAAGTCATTCTAGTATCACATGATCCATATTGCGTTTTTCTTTTTTGATAAAATTGCTTTTGGTTTGAATGGATTGAGAGCAGGTAATACATTCAATTCTTCTAAATCCATCATTGAATTAGAATTTGAAGAATCAAAAACAAGTCGATTTAGGTGAATTTTGTCATATGGTCTCAAAGCGAAATAATCTCCAAATTGAATAAAAAATTCACCTTGTTCCTTATTCGTCCACATACATGAAGGATTAACTCCAAACAATCCAAAATCGTTCAATGAAATGAGCTTTGAACAATCAACTGTAAACTTGTCATATGAAATTGGTCCATGTAAAAACAATGAAAGGCCATTTCCTAAATTAGAAAAGAATGCAGGACCAATAATTCTTGTAGAACATTCTTTTCCATAATAATGATCCTGGCAGGTTTCACAATTTGATGAATTCCAAAATCCTTTTTGTTTTGAGTTGAAACATTGGCATGATCCATTCACAGAATTACAAACACCATGGTTATTACATGTTGTAGATGATTCACAATACACGTCACAATTGGATCCATAATAGTTTTTAGAGCATTCTGAACAAAAAGGTCCAGACCAATAATCATTACATTCACAACCTAGTGTTGCGTTACAATGACCATGATTGGAACAAGTAATGGTATCATTACACCTCCTTGTAGTACATTCTTGTCCACCATACGAAGGATGACATGATTTACAATTACTTCCTTGCCAATATCCGTCAAAATCATTGAATTTACATTCACATTGATCATATTTAACACATTCTCCATGTCCAGAGCATACAAATGAAGTATTAAGATTTAAAACGTTGTTACACGTGAAACTGTCACATGCAACTCCAAAATATCCTTCCTTACAAGTACAACCTCCTTCCAAACTACAAATACCATTTCCATTACAAACATTATTAATATCAGTAGAAAGATAAAATTCATTATTCTTTCCGAGACACATCAGTTTCTCACATTCTTGACCATGAATTTGAATCAAGGTGTTGTTATAATTCGTTGTACAATTACATTGATCAATATCTATACATGCACCTCTTCCATTGCATGTTTGTGATGAATTCGATGCTTTTCCAAAACAGACTGGTAATTCACATTGCCAACCTGAATAACCCTGTTCACAAGAGCAATTATTTGGTCCATTGCATTGACCTCTTCCAGAGCAAACAGTCGATGTTTCATTTGAAAGAATATTGAAACAAATTGGATATTGGCATTCAGGCCCACCGTAACCATTAAAACAAACACAATGATTTTCTTCAACACACAAACCATGTCTTTGACACGCAAGGTTGGAAGTTGAATGAATTCCAAAACATAATGGATATTCACAGTTTGTGCCAGTGTAGTTTTCATGGCAAGAACATTGATCTTGCGAAAAGCATACTCCATGTCTTGAGCATACATTCAGACTGCTATTAGAAATTCCAAAACATGAAGTTGAATTTGGAAAGTTTTGACAACTATTTCCATAGTATGGAGAAGAGCAATTACACTGATCAGTTCCAATACATTGTCCATTTCCTGAACACACGGATGGATCTGTTGACACAATTCCAAAGCATGAAATTTGAGTTGACAAATGACAATTATTTCCATAGTATGAAGAGGAGCAGTTACACACGTCTGGGCCAATACATTGTCCATTTCCTGAACAGACACTCGAGTCATTAAAAGGAATCCCGTTGCATGAAATTGGATTCTGACAATTATTTCCAAAATAATAAGAAGAGCAGTTACATTGATCAGTGGCATTACAATGTCCATTTCCTGAACAAACACTCGAGTCATTGAATGAAATTCCAAAGCATGAAATTGGTAATTGTTGGCAATTATTTCCATAGTACGGAGAAGAACAGTTGCACACATCTGGACCAATACATTGTCCATTTCCTGAACAGACACTTGCATTAGAGTACTCAAGTCCAAAACATATGGGTGCGCATTGTGGACTTGGGAATCCATTTTCACATTTACAGGTATCAGTTTCAATACATTGGCCATGACCTGAGCAAACATTGGTGTGATTACTCAAAAATCCATAACAATAAAATCCTTGGCACTTATCGCCATAATAGGTTTCCTCACATTCACATATATTTGGTGCAGTACAAATACCATTTCCAGAGCATGATGTATCATTTGCTTGATTCACTCCAAAACAGTCATAATCTTCACATAGTTCGCCATAATATCCTGGTAAACAAATACAATCTGAACTATTGTTTGGGTTAACTTGTGCATGTCTTGGGCATTCTGTAGCAATTCTTCTTATCACACGATTGCCAGAATCAATGAAATAAATATCATTATCAACAATTCTTAAATAGGTTGGTTTGGAAATTGTTGCTTGAGAAGCATACCCAAAATCTCCACCATAACCATTGTATCCTTTTCCCACAACTGTTGTAATTATTCCAGTTGTTGAATCAACTTTCCTAATTCTAAAATTATTACTATCTGAAATGTAAATATCGCCATTAGAAGCCATAGCTGCACTATATGGATAGTTCAGTTGTGCATTAGTTGCCAAATCACTATCTCCAGAAAAACCTTGTGTCATATTACCTGCAACAGTTCTCACAAGACCATTGGAGTGGATCATTCTAACTCGATTTCCTGAATTTTCGCTCAAAAGGTATGATCCATTCAATGCAACAGTTGTATCTGTGACACTCATAAAATCAGACACGAGACGATGTTCATTCTCCGCTCCGTAATCTTTCATTGTTGATCCGGCAAAAGAATGCATATAAAGGTTTGCATCTAACCTTCTAACGCTATATTTTGAGTTTTCAGTAATGTAAAATGAACCTTGAGAATCTCGATCGATTGCATTTGGAGAGATGGTGCTGTTCACACCAATGGCTTCATTTCCAACACCACCAACAACAGTGGTAATTATTCCATTCAAATCAATTTTTCTCACTCTATTAAAACCTTCAAGAATCAACACCTCTCCATTCGGAAGAATATCCAAATCATACGGGATATATAAACAGGCATTGATTGCCAATCCACCATCACCCTTATAACCACTCTTTCCGCATCCTGCAATGGTTTGAATATTTCCACCGGGTGTAAATTTTCTAACTCTATAATTGTACCCATCCACAAAATATACATCACCATTGATTGGAGAAACAGTAATACCATAAGGATGATATATATTGGCTGCAGTTGCCAAACCTCCATCGCCTATTTGTTCAAATTTAATTTAAATAATAATAATTAAATAATTGAAACTTACCAAAAAAACCTGCAGTACCGTTGCCTGCCACAGTTGAAATGATACCATTAGCAGCAACCATTCTGATTCTGTCGTTCCATGTGTCTGCAATGTACAGAATACCGCTCGATGTAATTTTAATTCCCACAGGTCCATTGAGTTTAGCATTAACTGCTTGTCCCCCATCACCTGCATAACCTGCTGAATATGAACCCTGTCCTGCATAGTTATAAATATATCCTGAGCTTGCAACAATTTTTCTAATGAGAGAGCTTTCAGTGATATAAACATCTCCATTTGCACCAACAGTAATATAAATTGGAGTGATCAACGAAGCAGTTGTTGCCAATATACCGTTGTTCGAACTTCCGCCGTTCTTTCCGGCAAAAAGTGAAACCAAACCTGTTGAAGCAGAAATTTTTCTAATTTTGTTTGTTCCATACTCAGAAACATACACATCTCCATTTGGACCAAAAGCAACCTTAGTCGGGTCAACAAAAGAAGTATTGAGGCGGTTATATCCATCCTCACTGACAGCTCTTGTATTCAAAATACCAGCATAAACTGAAATAATACCTCTTGAATCCACCCTTCTTATCGACGATGCAGAGAAAGCTTGAGCAAGATAAATTTCACCTGTTGATTGTTTCACTGTAACACCATAAACAGTTGTTAAAAGTGAAACGTTTGCCAGGTAATTATTACCAGCAAAAATGTCATTAGTTCCTGCAAGAGTGTAGAGAACGTTATCCTTAATCTTTCTCAGAAAAGTGGAGCCATCACAAAAAAACAACTCTTCACCACCATTATAAACACATGTGGGAGATATTTTGGAAATATTGGCCAAAGATCCATCTGGAGAATAACCAGAAGAGGACAATCCTGCAATAGTTGATATTTTTCCAGTTGTGTTGACATATCTGAGAGAAAAATTGTCACTTAAAAGAATGGTCTTGTTTCTCACTGAAAACGAATTCAAATTGACAACATTGGCCAACGTTGAATCATAGCCATCTCCGCTGTATGAAGATGCACTGCTTCCGATCACTGTCGAAATATTGCCATTTGTATCCACTTTCCTAATTCTCTTGTTATTGCTATCAATGATATAAATTTCATCATTGAAAAGTGTGACATATTTTGGATAACTAAACTTAGCCAATAACGCATTTCCACCGTCACCAGCAAAACCAGAAGAGCCTAAGCCAGCTATGGTTGCAATAGTTCCGTTATTATGAATTATTCTAATTCTGTGGTTATATTCATCAGTAAATATTAAATCACCGTAAGCGTTGAATATTCCATGGGATGGTCGGTACACTCTGGCAGCACTTGATAATCCACCATCTCCTGTGAATCCACTAGTTCCATCACCAGCAATGGTAATGATTGTACCATTGGTGAGCACTTTTCGAATTCTATTATTATTAGTGTCCATGACGACTAATTCTCCCGAACTTGAAATTGCAATACCTGTTGGACTGTTTAACTTGGCGTTGATTGCCAAATCACCATCACCTGAAAAACCATACGAACCAGTACCTGCTACAGTAGTAATCGTGCCATTCGTAAATATCTTTCTAATCCTATGATTACCAGTGTCTTGATGGAAATAATAAAGGAGCGGTTTGAACAAAATGTTCGAAGCAATTTCGCAACCCACTTACCTGCAAAATAAATGTCTCCCTCTTTTGAGATGGCAATATGACCATTCGATGGATTGATTTTGGCATTGATTGCCAAACCACCATCACCAGAGAAACCACTGGTTCCAACTCCTGCAATGGTTGTCGTTCGGCCATTCCTTGAATATTTTTTGATCTTGTAAAAACTCTTCTCTATTAAGATAAACTCTCCACCGTTGCTTCTTGCCAGGGATGAAATGGTATTGAAAGGGGTTTGTGTTGCCTTGACTCCATCCTCTGAAGAACCACTTAATCCATTGCCTGCAACAGCTGTAATCACACCACTTTGAGGATTAAACTTTCGCATCTTATTTCTGTCGGCGATGTAAAGGTTTCCCGAAATGGGTGAAATGGCGAGCGAGGTTGGATTGATGAAGGAATCAGAAGCTTTAACTCCATCGCCATAACTGTTACCTCCAACTACCGTATTAATTAGAGTTGGGGTTGGAAATGCCTTAATTGCGTTCATCATGACCAGAAAACAAAGGCAAGAAACAACAGCGACTCCCGTCGTATTCAAAGGGCGTCCGGTGTCGACTTGTTTGCAAACCATCCTGACCGTAATTGAGTATTTTTTGTTGCAGCTTCGTCAGGAGATTCTGAAGTTAGTTCGTGTTGTTGCGAATCTCACGAATCTATTCTTGAATACCCATCAAGTTTTGGTGCCAAAAACAAATTAAGGAAAAGTTGCGAATTGTTCAAGCTTAGTTATTCATTATAGAATGTTTACTTATTCTTGACATGACAACGGTATGAAATTGTTTTATGAAAACTAGTGAGAATGATCAAAACTCGACCGAGAAGAATCTCTTCAAAAAAGATTCAAGAGCAGAATTTGGATAGAAGCGAAATATTTGAACTTTTGTGAGTGTCCACTCCAACATTCCATCGGTGACGGTAAAGAATGGAGAAGATCAACGATTGGATCTGAGTGTGCACGTGAATGACATGAATTCTCATATGTGAAAGAGTTAACTAGAAAGAATTGAGGTGTATTCGAATGATGTCCATGACAATTCTTTTGATTCTTTAATGAGAAAGAGGCAATTAAGCATAATTATTCTTTGGTTGCCTCTTTTCAGAAATGATCATCCTTAAATTGTTTTGCAAGCAATGCATTATTTTGATTGCCCCAATATGTAGGAGATGAGACAAAGGTTTTAAAGGACGGATCAAACAGATTGTATGGACAATCAAATTGTTGTCATCAGTACTGGGCCGCGCACCGAGAGAAGAACGAAAAATTGGAGTTTTCTTGAAGGAGCATCGTTAAAGCAAACACTCATTCCAGCATTCCTCCTTCACTATTTGCTCATTGAAACCGGATCCAACATTCAAATTTAATCAAGAGAGCGGACAGCACCTCGCAGTGATTCATCCAATAATTTTGAATCTGTAAAAAAATTCTCCATTAGCTCTCCAACATTTTCCAGTCAGGCTGGTTTTAACTTATTATCATCATCTTTTTTTAATATTATTAAAAACAAGAAGAACACACCATGAGCACAACCCGAACAATTACCAAGCAAGAACTTGAAGAACATAACGAAGATAACACTAAAGCACAATGGATTGCTGTGGACGGGAAAGTGTACGACATTACCGATTATAAACACGAACACCCTGGTGGTGAAGATATCTTATTGGAACATGCCGGAGCTGATGCTACTGAAGCTTTCGAAAATGTTGGGCACTCAAAAGATGCCAGAAATAGATTAAAGTCATTGTTGGTGGGAGAATTGGCAGGATACAAATCATCAAGCACTGATGAAGAGGCAACCTCTTCATCATCAGGAAAGGAAGCAGCTTCCTCGGATTCTTCCATGGTGAAGATTTTGTTGGCTGTTGGTGTTGTTGTTGTTCTTGGAGGGATTTACTTTACTAAAATTGCTCAATAAATATTAGTATTGATTCAACTCAGAACAACAAGCTCTTCTTCTAAAGCAGCATGATTCCTCCTTGAATTTCCAATTCGGATATCGTTTGGTATCAATAAATTGACAACGAATAAAGTGGAGTGCTTCCAAAAATACCAAAGAAATAATTCAGTTTTAATTATGAGTTCAAAAAAACCATTAAATAATTCATTCTCCAAATATTGTGATGTATATTATGTTCATGTTGATATCAATTGTAAAATCCAACCATTATCTTTCAAGTATATGGTCCAATCTACAATTATTCCCTAAAGACTACAGTTCTGTTCTTAATTATGCTCCACTTGAAACGCTTGTGAACCCATGAGAGGACAATAACAAGTGACAACGAAGCCAAAACTTTCAAACCCATCTTCTTTCTTGGTTCTTCATCTGGCTTAGCACAGTATGCCAAATATGTTGTAACATCTTTTGCCATTTGAGAAACTGTAGCTGGTGTACCGTCCTCGAATTCAACAGCTCCATCAGAGAGAGGAGGAGCCATACCAATTGCACCACCTGGGAAATAGGCGTTGTAATAGAGACCTTCTCTCAAGGTGATACCTGCTGGTGGTTCTTGGTAACCAGTCAACAATGAGAAAATGTAGTCTTCACCATGAGGACGACCCTTCACAATGACTGACAAATCTGGAGGTAAAGCTCCTCCGTTCATAGCTCTAGCTGCTTGTTCGTTCTTGTATGGAGATTGCATATAATCGAAAGGTTTTGCTTTACGAGTTGTTGGTTCACCTTGAGAATCTGGCTCGCCCTCAACATCAATTTGATTGGCCAAAACTTTGATTTCCTCATCAGTGAAAGCAATATTGAGATTACGGAAAGCAATTTCGTTCATACCGTGGCAAGCACTGCAAATTTCTCTGTATACCTTGTAACCTCTTCTGATAGCAGCGGCATCGTAGCTACCAGCGAGTTCCTTATGTGGCCATGGATATTCAGGAGGGATGGCAGCTCCTTCTGAGGCCTCCAATTTATTCACGTTATTGTAGACAAGGTAACTTCCAAGTGTTAATCCTGTGGCTGCACCGATGAGAAGTTTTGGATTGGTGAGCAAGGCCTGTCGTTATTGTTGTTGTTGTTGAATAAAGGGAGTTCGTCATTGGTGATGGAGTAAAATGGTGAAAAAGATGACCAAAAGAGTTGTTTTGTTGTTATTATTGTTGTTTGGGTGATGTTTTTGGAAATAATTGTGTTTGTTGTTTCGCACCGTTGTTGATGAGATGGTATTACAGCCGAAGTGAAGGATGGTAAATGATGAAGATGTATCGTCCGTGATGATGATGATATTCCAACACAGAAGAAAATATTAAGACCATACGAGTATTGATAGGCCACAAAATTCACCGGAAAAATCCAAACATTGAAATTTCATGATTGAAAATCAAAAAGCATAAAGCGGAGAGTAAGCAAACAACAACAATATCCACACAAAAAATTCGTATCATATGAACACATCAACAAGATGATATTCATCCACCAAACAATTATTGCACGAATACAAACCTTTCTGAAACCGAGCATTTTTTATGGATGAAATTTTTTTAAACCCATTACAAAAGAAAAAGACTGGCTTCTCCCTTACACGCAACACTTCTGCTTCAGTGGTTTTCGATGTGTTTGCTTGTGTGATGATGTCGAAAGAGCACTGTGACTGCGTATTAATTTTACCAGTAAAATACGAAATATGATGGTGGTGCAAATTTTTGTTCGTCAAACATTCCCTAAGAAACAACCATAGTAACGGATCCGTTCTCAAGCCGAAGTTTCTGAAATTCATCACCACAATAATACGCTCATGATGAATAATATTTCCAAGACACCGTGAAGATCAACACTATGAAAAAGTGGGCCATGTAAAAAGCCTTTACATGCAGTTCATCTCTCGTCGTTTCATATCATCGTGCTCTAGTAGACATTTGACAGGAGGACCCGCCTTTCAAACACAACCCGCCAACACCATTCCACCCCACCCGAAAAAAAATCAACTACAGTTTTGAATCATTTCGAACCAAATAGCTAACTCATATCTAGGACAAAGATAAGGCTTGAGGCGATTTTTCAATCTCTCTCTATCTCTGTATATTTTCATCATCATCACCCCATCACGAATTGCAGAATTTTTCTAGGATCGAACAAACACAGCAGTAGATAATCGAGGGAATACAATATATACATATATGCCTTCTGATTGGAAACCATCATTATATAGTAAAGCAACTCCTACGACCTTTCTAGCACAGCTCAACCAAAGTATCACATCCTCGGTAATCAATAATATTAGCACAATTCCTGTCAATAACAATCACAATACATTCCTTAATACCAGCCTTACAGCCACTATCCAAACCATCAATTATCCACAAAGCCCCAAGCAAACACAACCGGAGCACGCCGACACTATGATGCCATCAAAACAACCTGCATTTAGAGATACTGCAGCCATTCACGTTATTGAAACAAAAGTCCAGGAAATTGAAGCAGAGCGAAGAAAGCTTTCCATCGAATGTGATACTCTCAAATCTGAAAATAGATGGTATCGAAAGAAATTAACCGAAATGGAGACAACTTTGCGAGCAACGGAGGAAAAACATGAACTCTTGAAACGTAAGTATGAATATAATCATGTCTTCAATTTATTTGAAAACTTCACTTCAGGATCTCATGAAGAGCAACAAATTGCACTTGCCACTCTTGAAAAGAGTTTAAATGAATGTAAAAAGAAGGAAAAGAAGCGTCACCATAAACATGAACAGAAAAAACAACAAATCCAACAATCGACAGAGGAGATTGTAGCCCTCAAGGAGAAGGTACGTTTTTGTATTTATCGAATCCATCTGAGTGTCACACTATATGAACAACCATTCGATCCATGTCAATATCATGTATATTCTCGATTTAATACGAGCAGCTCGAAAGAAAAGAGACCAGAGTTAAGGCACTAGAAATTGAAACAGATTATTTACAAAAACAACTAGAGGAAATTCGAGACAAAAACTTTGAACAAAAAATTAAGAAATACGAGACTGATTTATATAATGAAAAATTAGAGAAGGAAATGATACAAGAGCGAGTAAAAGCTCTTGAAAAGGAAAAGGAAAAATTGGAAAGCGAAATTTTTGAAACTAGGTTGCGATGTGAGAAGGGAGCTACAGATATTGACATTCTGAAAAAGAGAGAACAAGAGAGTCAAAATCAAGTAACAGGTCTCATCACTGAAAATACTAGCCTCAAGGACAAGATATCGTTTTTGGAACAAAAATTGAACAAGTACAAGAGAAGTATCAAACAGCAAACAGCAACTATCGAAAAACTTCAATCAAAGCAGAAAGATCCCCTCTCTTTCAACGCTTGGGTCCAAACTGAGGAATCATTTCCATCATTTGAGCATGTTCGCTCGCGAGACGAAACAATAACAGCTCTCAATAGTCAGCTTGACGATGTGGAAGAGAAGAATCGCCAGCTTAAATCTCAACTCGAGTACTACATTGCACAGGTTGAGACCAACTCCAACTTCAATGACGACCTGTTGAGAGAAAATCAAAACTTAAAGAATGTATTGAATGACATGAATAGGTGCAGGGCAAAGGACGAACAACGGCTGAGAATGCTCGAGCGAGAGTTGGAAATTAAGGACGCAGAGATTGAGAAGCGAAACAAATTCATCCGAAGGATGAATGATTCCTCGCTGCACTACGCCTCTAACGAGTTGTATGACTAATGATCAACCTCCTCTCATATAAAGTTGATGTGTTCAACCAAGTCGAGTTTGCTCTGAAATGATCATCATTCACAGGATCGGTTTCGCGATGAAAATGATTTTTTTGTAAACTCTTTGGAAATTTCAAAAGTGGATCCAAATTTTTTCAGGCCCTTTCGCCCAGAAAAGAGACCAACACGGTGAAGCTCGTTGCAAAATTAAAAACTCGAACGTCAAAACCGTTAAAAATTTCAAACAAAAAAAAACAAATCACAACGTTGTTACCCGCTCTCTCTCACCAAATCACATCATGACTGCAAGAAAGGCATCATCAAGCAAGAAGGACTCGTATGATCATCCAAAATACAAGGATATGGTCTGCGAGGCGATCATTAAACTCAACAAGGGTAGAACCGGAGCCAGTTTACCTGCGATCAAGAAGTACATGGAAGAAAATTATGAATTACCAGAGTCCTATGGTCCACACCTTAAGAAGGCCATCCAGTCACTTCTCGAGAAGGAGAAACTGCTGAAGGTCAAAGCTTCCTATAAACTTGATCCAAATTTCAGAAAGAGCTACATGAAGGAGAACCATATTGTTGTGGAGAAGAAGGAAAAGGAAGAAAGCGAAGAGGAATCCGAAGAGAAGAAGGCTCCAAAGGAAAAGAAGAAGAAGGAGAAGAAGGAAGCCACCAAAGAAAAGAAGGCTCCAAAGGAGAAGAAGGAAAAGAAGGAAAAGAAAGAAAAGAAAAAGAAGGAGGAGAAGGCTCCTCGAGTTGCCAAACCAACCACAACCAAGAAGAAGAACCTCAAGGAATCTTCCAAAGTTGAAGGTCCAAGAACGGCCGACAGATCGAAGAAGCAAGCAGCTAGTGCCAGAACTGCCAGAGCCAAAGCTCGTGATAAGGCAAGAGAAGACTAAATCACTCTGCATACCACCGTTACATTCACACTACTGGTGACAAGTACAGGATTATTTGTTGCTACCTAGGACTCTTCTCTAATGTACATATACTAAGTTATTATTAACACTCTCTCAAAAATAAATTAACCAGTCATTATCAAGACACCAATAAGTCTCTTTAGATTGACAACAAAGGCTTGTCAACTCGGCTGAATTTAGTATATCTCCAAATTCTAAGAACCAAGTTTTTTGAACTCAATTTCGTCTTTGCAAAGATCCCGCCATTTAAATGAAAAACAGTTACAGTAAATTTAAAAAATGTCGACGCGGTCTTTGAAGAGTCAGGGAGGAGTGATGATGAGCCATCAGAGAGAGGAATTGAATGCTAGTCCTCCCATGAAAACAGTGGAGCCTACATTGGCCCCTGTGGCAACAGCTCATGGAATTATATCGGATTCAATGAATTCCATGACGAGAAAACCAACAGGAATGCTCATGGCCAAAAACAATTCAGTCAAAAAGCTTCCTCATGCTTTTCATCAAATGAATATTCAGCATCAAATTAATGTTCATACAGCAAAATTTGGAATTTCAGCTGCTGAGGACGAAGAACCAACAACGAAAAAGAAGAAAAAATCAACGATCAAAAAAGAGGCTCCGAGATTGCCTTCGGAAGAGCATGGCCTTTCTCTTTTGCAATCAAGAATTGCATCTGCTTCTCAGCTCTCAAGTGAGAGACCACAAAGCAGAAAAAGCTCTGGATCAGCTCTCAGTACTCGATCACATGTGAATCCTGTTCTAACGCCAATTCTTGACGAGGATTTTAAAAGAGAAAAATTCGAAGACAGTTTAAAGAAATCGTTGAAAGACACGTCATCATTGTTAGAGGGCTTACCTTCCCACAGGAGCAGCTCGAGTGACTTGGATTTGACGACATTATCATCCCGAAAAAAGGAAGACATCATTTTGGATAGAAACACAGCAACTCTGGAACCAATTAAAAAACCATCGTCAAGAGGTTCAGATTCAAGGTTATTGGGAGGAACCGTCACAACAACACACTCTAATAGAGCCAAGCTTTGTATTCAAACGCTCGCAGATGGATATGTGGATGCATTTGAAGAATTATTTTCGTTAGCCCATAGAGAGCCTGTGGTAAGTTTTGTCCTGTTGGAGTGTTTGTCTTGTGTTTATGTTCAGAATCATGACGAACGATTCGGACACAGCTGGTGGATGACATTACTGATAAATATTTTTCTCTCACCGATGACAAACTTCGAGACATTAAGGAATGGTTAGTGAAGGCTGAATCCTATAAGAGAAGAGGAAAATTCGAAAATGTTTATGAAATTTTCAAACAAATAGCAGACTATTTTGAAGGAGAGAAAGACTACAATACCATGTACTATTTTTATGACCTTGCTGAATCTATAGCAAAACGAGTAAGTTTTTCAGATGTTAGGACACAATTTTAAACTCGATGATTATTAAAAAAGTCGTCGAATTCAGCATTGGAAGGTTTGGCAAAGGAAAATGCAGGAAAAATGTACGAACGAATGGGACAAGCAAACATGGCTGTGAAATATCATGAGGCTCATATGAGTCTAGCTCATTCTTCTGGAGATCAAGAGCAAGAAGAAAGAGCACTCAACCAATTGTGGCGAGTTTATGTAAAAATGGCAGAGGATTCAATCAAACAAGGAGATTTACATAATGCATGTTTGTTCTACGATAAAAGCTTAAAGAATGCAAAACAGCTCAAGGATAGAGAAATGACGGCATCCTCCTTATACAATCTCGGTAAAGTATACAAGGAGATGCAGGACTTGGAAAAGGCCATTGAGTATCAACAAATGTACGTTCAAGTGTGTGAAGAAATGAATGACAAGGTAGGAAAAGCGGATGCTTATTGTGCCCTTGGAGAGCTCTATGAACAAACTCAAGAGGTGGACAAGGCAATTGATATATTCAAGACCTACTTGTCACTCGCTGAAGAAAGTGAAGATGACAACAAAATTGGTCATGCATGTACAAAGCTTGGCACTGTGTTAGGTATGAAGGGAGAACACGAAGAAAGCGTTCGATATTTTGAACGAAGTTTTGAGCTTGCTAAAAGGTCTAAGGACGATGCAAAGATAGGAGAGGCTAAAGTGCGGCTTGGTTTTGCAAAAGGAAATGCCAATATGCACCATCATATGATGCAACTCAAGAACATGGGATTTGTGTAATTTTCTCCTACCAATACTATTTGACACATGTTAAATTCAATTCAGATTTTTATTCTTACTTTATAATCATTATTATAGTAAATACAAGTCTTAATCTTTTGTACATTAGGTCATCACAATATGTACATGAGAATTTACATCGAAAGTGCCACAAAAAAACGAGACACAGACTTAGCAACTCTTTTCAACTTGTTTTGCGCTGCTCATGAGCCCCTCAATAATCTTTTCTAGATAAGAGTTACCGCCTGACTTTTCAATTTCTTTCTTCAAATCTTGATAGACTCTGTCGAGTTTTTCGAGAGTAACAGCAAAACTGTTGGTCTCTTTCATTAATTCCAAAGCATAATCTTTCAATAACTTCTCAGATGTTTTTTGTTTCAAAATGTTAATCAATCGAGTATCTCCATTTTTCGCTTGCTCGGTAATGCAATGGATAATTGGAAATGAAAACTTTCCTTCGGTCAAGTCTTCACAATAACTCTTGTTAGTGTGATAAATATCGCTCTGCAAATTGAGATAATCATCCAAAATTTGGAATAGAACAGATAATAAATTAACAAGTGTAGTAAAGTCATATTTCTTGTTCTTCTCATCTCTAGAAATTGCCCTCATTAAACCAACGCCCAATCTGAACAAGCCACCAGTCTTATTCTGAACCATTTGTAAATAATCATCTTCCAAAGGACAGATTCCATTGTCTCTCCAATAAATATCCTTCCCTTGTCCTTCATGAAGCAGCAACAATTCATCCATAAATATAGAAATGGCATCGGAAAATGTATTAAGTCCATTCTCTCCAACAAAACTTGTATTCAATTTCTGAATATCTTTCAATGCTTCGAAATAGACATAATTGGCACAATTTATAGTGGCTGGTGTTCCGTAAATCAAATGAGCACAAGGCTTTCCTCTTCTCAGCTTGCTATTATCTTCAATATCATCAATTAACAAGCTCGCATTATGCAATTTATCTACAATGTTCTGAACAACACGTAATTCCTCTTCTGATAATTTAAACCAAACATTAAAAGCCTCTATTAACTTGAAACGAAATCCCTTTCCACTTGTATTGTTAATTAAATAATGATACGGATCCAAGTGTGGTTTGAAGGAAATCTCCCTTCGTTGCATGGTATTTGATGAAGTAATCATTCCGAGGAGTTCTTGAGTGTGTGTTTTGAGGGAAGATATATTACAATAATGTTGAGGATTCTGTACAGAACACAATAATAATAAACGATTCAAATCCGATAATTATTGGAGTGGATCTGCTTGTGATTGAGAGTGTAGTGCTCACAGAGTGATGTGTTGGTGATGTGTTCTTTTTTTTTGGTGTTTTGAATGAGGAAAATGGGTGACGAACACGAGTTACTTGTTCTCTCTCTCAAAGATGCCTGAGGAGGACGTTATGGATAAAAAGAAGAAGAATTGATATGAAGTAATAACCTTTAAAGAGTGGATACTCGATCTATGGCTGACCTGTGGAAAAATGTTGGTGAGAGTCACTCATATGAGTTTACTGAGACGCGCTCCTGACGAGAGTCACGAGAACTTTGACAGCCGTATTTCGAATTAACATGGAAATTGGACTAAGGTTTTTTTAAGGTTAAATAAACTAAAATTTGTTTTTATTATTCCGGTAAATTTATTGGCGGTCTTCTCACTGCTCGATCTTAGTGCACAGCCGTTTCGCTGTGAATAAAGCTCTCCTTTTGACCATTTTCTCAATTTACTGGTAAATGCAACTTTGAATTTTTTGTCAGTGTAACTTGAATACGAGACCAGTTGGCCAGTATTAATTCTGTTTCTTTGAGAGGTGATGTTTGCACTATCATCAGCCAACTCTTTTCTAGTGTACTTTCTCGAAAACTTGTCTGAAAGAAATTGAGACAAGAATGAAGGAAACTATTTCGACATGCGTTAGTATCTTCAACTCAACCACTACTTACACAGTTCTTCATCGATTTGAAATAATGTTTGTCGATGTGATGAAAATCTTCAAGATTTCGGAATTCAAGGGATTATTCTCTGTTAAGGTCAAGACGCAAACATGGAAATGAGTAAAATCTTTCAAAAAGCTCAATAACAAAATCTTTACTAAATCAAATCATCATGTGAAGAAGCATCATACACGCCAGGAATCAATTCACTTTTCATGGTTCTTGCTGCTTGCTCTCTCGTTTGACCTGGTTCACGAATAGAGTGATGATAACTTCCCAAATGGCCACACGCACATTCAATGCCTTGAACGGGACGATAATCGGTACAGGCACACGAAGCACACCGACTCGAATGTTTCCATTCGATCACAACAGTTTCAGGAGGAAAATGTAAATCCGAAGTACAGTGGCAATGGGAACAAATTCGATAGATTTTACCAGCAGTGGTTTTGCGAATGTCTTGAGTCTCATTGAATTTCTTGCAGAGGGGACACGTGAAGGAGGATTTGAAAGCGCTCAAAGGGGGTGCTTGATAGGAGGACTTGGAAGACATTTTTTGTTGTGGTGGAAGCTTGATCACCACCAATCACCATTGATCTATTGGATTCTGAACTTGGGAAATGGCGAAGAATTGCTGCTTGCGAACAAGGAGTGCTACACCATTTCGAAGCCAAACCAGATTGAAGCAACCACCAAAAAAGGCTACAGCACTGCAGGTTCCCAAGTTGTCTCCAACCTCAGTACTGATGCAGCTCGACGATGCTTAACTTCTCAAATCGGACGGGATGAGGTGCATTCATCGTGATATGGCCGTAGCCAACCATGTCTCCTTGTTCGGTTCTTTGATTCATGGAATCATGCTTTTTGACATTTTGGGATAAAAGATTTGTGTTAAAACAAATGATGAAGCAAACAGGACATCGAAATGGCTCACCCTCCCAACCATGTCTCCTTGTTCAAAAAACGCTGATCTATTTGCAGAAACCACAAGATGCATGAAGTTTAAAAGTGAATGAACAAGTGGAATCGAAGAAGAGTTTTTAATCATTGAGGAAAGTTGTGAAATTCTAACACTGCGATCTGCTCCTTTCTCAGAAGCGATTGGTGGCGAAAATCCACCCTTGCCTTTTTGTTGGTATTTTTTTCACAGTTGGCATCGCTCACCGCGATACATGAAGGTTTGGAAATGAGATCATTCTTGAGATCTGATATTTCTCCAAAAGTGTAATTAGTTCCAAAATCCATAGAAACTAAGATATCCTCCTCATTCATGATCTTGGTTGGGTGCGAGGGGACCTTGAATTGAACAGAAGAGAGCGAATTAAATCCGCATTTGTGTATTGCATGAACAAGGTGGAACCCAGTCCAACGAGTTCAACTCATCAAGAAAAAAAAATATTAAATTTCCACAATCACCCTCACCACCACCTTGCCATGGCGAGCCAAGAGATATCTTTGGATCATCCATTCATCAATTCTCATCCGTCGGAGGAGAATGCATGCAGCCAGCCTACCGTACCAAGTGTTAACAACGATGGTATCAAGATCATCCTTCCGAATAACAGTTTGATGAACAATTCACTGTATGGATGGCTCCGAGAAGCCATGCAAACAAAAGCCAGGTCAACTGTGGACTTTTATGAGAGAAAGTATGAAATTCTTTCACAATTTCTAGAAGAAGACTCTGACGAAATATTGGAGATATTCAAACAAGCACAAGAGGATATACGAAGTGATAGAGAGGTAGTTCTTCAAGCACTTGCAGCAAATATGGACTGTATCACTTTTTGCTCACAGGATATTCAATGTGATCGAGAAATAATCATGATGGCACTTCAACATGATGGAGAACATTTATCACTGATTCAAAATACAGATCTTGCCAAGGATCGTGAATTGGTCTATATGGCATGCTGTTCGAGTTCAGGATCTGTTCGTTACGCTGATGAAAGTTTAAGAAACGACAAGGAGTTCATGTTGCAAATACTCCAAAGTTGTAATGGATACGCCTATGACTATTTGGGTGATGAATTGTTCAATGACATGGAAATAGCTCTTGCTGCTGTTTCTGTCGATGGTGATTCATTCAGAGTGTTCAGCGAAGAAATTCGAAATAATCGAGAGATATTTTTGAAAGCGATACGAACAGCTCCACATTGGTATGTTGGTGTGTTGAAAATTTAAATTGAATCTTACAACAGGTTTTCAAATGGACACAATGTTAGTATTGCTGATGCAGGAGATGATATTAAGAATGACCGGAGTATGATCTTGGAGGCTGTGAAATTGGGATGTGAATTGAGCAATATTCCTTCAGAGTTTAGAAATGATAGGGAAATTGCCACCATTTGTATCAAACGAAATAGTTGGTCCTTTAACAGTGCAGGTGATGACCTGAAAAATGACAGAGATTTTGTTATTGAAGCTATTAGATACGGTTGTCCACTTTCAAATGTTAATATGACGAATGACAAGGAGATTGTAATGTTAGCGATCAACATTGTTGGAGGTGAGAACATCCGATATGCCTCTGATGAGCTGAAAAATGATAGTGAATGTGTATTGGCTGCCATACGAAGTCAACCTTCTGCTTTTAAATATGTTGGAGACCAATTTAAATCAAATAAGGAACTTGTTATGGATATTTTACAAGAGAATGGATATTTATTTGAAGACCTTTCTGACGAGTTGAAGGCTGATAAGGAAGTTCTCTTAACAGTATTGCAGGGATCATATTCAAACGCTCTCATGTATGCAAGTCAAGAACTGAGAGCCGACAGAGAAATAGTAATGGAGGCTGTAAGAATCAGCGGCTATTGCTTACAGTATGCTTCAGATGAATTGAAAGGCGACTTTGAAGTTGTAATGCAAGCCATGAAGCAAGGAGGATCACTTGAATTTGCTAGTGCTGATTTGAGAGACAATTTTGAAATATGTCAAGCGGCTCTTTCAGCTGAAAATTATCAGCATGTTGGACCTTTGATGAAAAAAAATAGAGATTTAGCGATTCAAGCCATTGACATTTATGGATGTAATTACACATTCCTTGATCATATTTTCAAGCAAGACGAAGAACTAGCATGGAGAGCAGTAACTTCTGACAACAGTTATGGATTGAACATTACTGATTTCGATGAAAAATTTCAGCATGATAGAAAAATCATGTTAGAATTAATTAAGAAGAATCCTTATCAGTTCGATCAATTATGGAAGCCCTTTAAAAGTGACATTGAATTCATTAAACATGCCATAACCAATGATGGAAATGCATTACGTCACGTACCAATGGCATTTAAGAAAGATCGAGAACTCATCAAACAAGCAATTATAGCTGGCCTGAGTTATTCATACCTTCCGTCTGAATTTAAACAAGATAGGGAAATTGTTCTATTATACGCCAATAAGAGATATTCATTACATTTCTATCAATCCTTAAACGAAGAGTTGAAAAATGATCCTGAAGTGGTCAAAGCCGCCCTTAAATCAGGAGTGTCTCTTTCAGTCATTCCTCTCAAGTTAAGAAGAGACAAGAATGTGTGTATGCAAGCATTAATTCATCAAACATCCAATTACAAGTATTTACCTCCAGAATATGCCTCGGATAGAGAATTTATACTAAAAGCTGCTTGTTCATCCACTCCACTCATTAATATTGCAACAGAATGGAACAACGATAAGGAAATTGTGATGGAATGCGTTAAGAGAAATGGCTACGCCTATGAATACGCTTCTGATTCTCTCAAGCAAGACCGTGAGGTTGTTATTGAAGCATTGAGGAGAGATCCATCCATTTTGCAGAAACTTGATGATAGGTTCAGAAGAGACAGAGAAATTGTGACAATAGCGGTATACAACAATCCATATTATATTAGGTTTGCAGATGCATCTTTGAGAGAGGATAGAGATTTTATTCTTCGGTTAGTACAGCAAGGTTATTCATCTGTATATCAATACTTGGATGAAGAATTGAGAAAAGACAAAGAACTACTCAGGCAAGTTCTTGCACAAACTCCATACATGTTTCGATATGCAAGCAATAGTTTGAAATCTGACAAGGAGCTTGTACTTCTTGCAATAACCTCTGGTGGCTCTTCGCTATTACCTTTTGTATCAAGTCAATTTCGAGATGATCCAACTGTTATTGAGAGAGCCCTTGATAGCAATGAAGCCATGAAATATGCAAGTGATAGATTGAAACGAGATGAAGCATTTGTGATGAAAGCCCTTAGAATTTCACCATCATGCATTGCACATGTTGATGATAGATTTAGAAAAGACAACAAACTTGTTAAGAAGTTGTTTGAAAACAAACACCAACTTACCATTAGCCTTTACAATATGCCTTCCTGCATTAAGCAAGATAGCGAGATCGTTAGACTTGCAGTGGAAATAGATTCGTACGAGTATCAATATGCTCATTATTTGTTGAGAAAGGATAAGGAACTTACAATGATAGTTGTTAAACAATGTGGATCATTGTTGCGATTTGCAGATTTAACATTGAGACAAGATCGGGAGGTAGTAATGGCTGCTGTACGCAATGACCCTCTATCCTTGGAATATGCTTCCTATGATCTCAAAGACGATGATAATCTCGTCGATCTAGCAATCAAACGAAATGGAGATGCATTGAAATTTGCTAGCGAAAGACTTCGAAACAATCGTGAACTTGTTTTAAAGGCATTTAAATACGGAGCTGAAACCATGAGTGACACATTTAAATATGTCAGTGATACCTTAAAAACGGATAAGGAGATTGTATTCTATGCGGTGAAAAAAAATGGTTTATCACTGCAATACGCACATTCATCATTACAATGTGAAAGAGATATTGTGCTAGCTGCTGTAAAACAGGATGGAACAGCATTAGAATTTGCCTCTGAAGCGTTACGAAGAGACCCTGAAATTATCCGAGAAGCAATAATTCAAAATGGAACAGCTCTTGATTTTGCTAGTGTCAAACCTGACAAGTCCTTGATCATGCTTGCAGCTAAAACACATTATCAGATTATGGAATTTATCGATAGTGACATGAAAAACGATGAAGACATAGCCTTAGAAGTAGTACAATGTAATCCATACGAATTCAGACACATGGACAAACAATTACAGTGCAATAGAAATATTTTACTCGCTGCCATCAAGAGACAAGGTGATTCAATTTATTACACATCTCCCGAGTTGAAACGTGATAAGGAAATAATTTTACAAGCTGTTTCTAGGGACGAATATACATTCATGCATTGTTGCGAAGAGTATAAGAAGGACAGAGATTTTGTGTTAGAGGCCGTCAAGCTGAACGGATCGGTCATTCGATACCTTGACGCCTCATTCAAGAAAGATCGAGAAATTGTCTTAATAGCAGTGAGACAGAATGCTCTGTCGGTATTGTACGCCGATCCTGTCTTATTGAAAGATCGAGAAATTGTCTTAACTGCTGTAAAGAATGGAAGTATCTATGCGTTACTTGGCGCTGATGAAGAGTTACTAAAAGACAAGGAAATTGTGCTTCAAGCCATCAGCACAGACTGTAGAGCTTTATATTTTGTTGGAGTTGATGTTTTTCAAGACAAGGATCTCTTGAAATCTATCATCTTATTGAGACCTGAAGTGTTGCCTTTTGCTCCTGATGATGTGAGACTTGACCGAGAATTTATCTATAATCTTGTACAACACAATGGACGTGTCTTATCCTATGTTGACGAATCCTTTAAAGATGATAGAGAATTTGTTTTGGCAGCTGTGAAGAATGATGGCATATCTATTATGTATGCAAGCTATAGGCTTAGAAACGATCGAGAAATTGTCATTCAGGCAATTCAAAATAACGGTGACTCACTCTTCTATGTTTCTTGTCCAGAGTTGAAGTATAATAAGGAATTGCTTTTACAAGCAATTGAAAACTCTAGTAACTCTTATTTCCCCGCATGTATCGATCTAAAAGATAGAGATATAATGTTGGCAGCTGTTAGAAAGAGTGGATATATATTGACTTACATAGATGAGATCTTTTGGGAGGACAAGGAAATTTTGGTGGAGGCCATCAAAAATTGCTCATCCAATTTGGCATATGATCGCCTCTTCAACCTGAACGAAGATAGAGAATTCATGAAACAACTTGTCGAAAAAGACGAGATGGCACTTTACTATGCTGCATCTGCACTCAAGGCGGATAGAGAATTTGTTTTAAACGTTGTGACAAAGAATGGAAATGCTCTTAATTATGCAGACTCCAAATTGAAACAAGATCGAGAAATTGTCACAATCGCACTACAACACGGTTTGACAGTCATCCCAACTCATTTCATCAATGATAGAGAAATGATCTCGACTGCAGTGAAACACAAAGGTGACGCATTATCCTATGTTACTGATCCATTGTTATTGAAGGACCGAGAAATCGTGCTGGAAGCTGTCAAAAGTGACGGTAATGCTTTATATAACGCAAGAGTTGAATTTGGAAAAGATTTGGAAATTGTGAGGGCAGCAGCAAAACAAACTCCTCAAGCCTTGACCTATTCATTGTTAGATCTTTCTGATGATGATGAATTAATGAATGAGCTCGCTCAACAGCATGAAACGACACTACTTTATGCCACTTATCGGCTTCTCCATGATCGAGATTTCGTTTTGAAGGCTGTGAAAGCGCATGGTTCTGCTTTGCAATATGCTCTTTTTGGTCATCGAAAGGACAAGGAAATTGTATTGGCAGCGCTCTCACAAAATGTTAAAGCAAAAGATTTTGTACATGTGGACTTGTTGAATGATGAAGAGGTCAAAACATTAATTTCAGAAAAGACTAAGGAACTTGCTAAAAAAGAGACTAAATCTCAAAGTCTTCGTTAATTAAATCAAATTTGAATTCGTGTGAATGAAGAATAGCGAGATCCCTTCCAACAACGCCCTTGAATTAGCTTATAGTGCTTTAGTGAAAGATTAATTTTGTAGAGAATTTGAATTAGTTCATTTGAATTTTTTTTCACAAACGAATCAATAGAAATCCAATCAAATAAATTCTTCTTTGGAGAGTAAAAAGAAGGAAAAGGTTTTATTGTGTTTACCCAAGTCTAAAAGAGACCCATGTGACTTCTTATGTGAAACCTTTTTGAGATTAATTGTTTTCAATCATTAATTCAATGGATTTTAAGGATACTCGTTTAAAGGATGAAGAGCTATCTAACAGAGGATGATTTTGCTGTTTGTCTCGGTCCATAATAGCGGCTTTTACAGAATTTGGATTCTTCTCCACTCCTTGTATTCTTGAACAAATTTCAGAGATGGCATTGTTAATCTTGATGTGAGTAGTTGCCATCAAGATGAGAGAAACTTTGCATGTTGTTGCATTGTTCATATCAGCAATGGTTGGAAGCAACGAGCTGTCAAAAACTTGTGAAACTTGTTCCTTTGATGGGAGATACTCCAAATCACTTTCTAGTGATTGGAGTAGTTTGACTTTCTTTGGATAGATTGACACGTGAGTGCCTGTGGGATCTCTAAACATGATGCAAAATCTAACAGGCTTCAAGTGTCTGTTATGTACGGATAGAACAAATCTTTCTCCTTTCTTCAAACATGGAATATTGAATCGAGGATCAATGACAAAGGAGTGTCTATCGTTCACATTTTGAATAGAAAACACAATGCTACTATCGAGAAGGTGTTGATTGTCCAATATAAAAACATTAATCATTGCAGGTAAGCTTTGTTCAATCGAAAGGTAGAGCTTCTTGTCCTTTTCTTCTTTAGCATTTTGGTTTCTGATTTTGTTCTCATGATGCTCTTTTTGGTGATTCATCATTCTTTTCAGTTTGGTGGAAAGTGGAAAGGCGTCATCGTCGTCTTCCTCATGAGTGATTATACCTGATGGGGATTGGTGATTGGAGTGGTGGGAGTTGAGGTCAGGTACAGTTGACTTTAGTTTGTAATTAGAGCTGTAGTAATTTACAAGTGAGGAATTGAGGGTTGGATTGGAAGGCTTGTCTTGGAAAGAGGAGAAGTTGTTGTTGCTGTTTGTTGGTGGTAAACAACAAGCGCTCATGGTGTCATCGGCTTCAAGAATTGTCTCGTCCAGAGGAGAGGAATGTGTGGAAAATGCTTGACATCTTTCAACTGTCCTCAAAAAATCATGCACTGATGTTGTGGATGAAAAATTTGGCTTGGGTGTGAGTCTTTTCTTGTAGTCTTCATTCAATTGAAATAAAGAGAAGGAGACCCTGTAGTCGTGTTGCCAAATATTGTTGTTGTCCTTGCTCTCTATTGAAGGTCTTGAAGGAATGTGAACATTCTCATTCGATAAGCGAAGTTTCAAAGCCTCACTGGCAGCAGTACCAGCATGTCCTTGGATATCTTTTGTCTTTCTCTGCTTGGTAATAATACTCTTCATTGAATCTCGACGAAATGCTTCATTCTTACTCTGCACAAATTGCATTGATCGTTGTGCCATCGAGAGAGGAATGTTCGTAATAGTCGCACATCCCGAAGAGGCTTGCTGAGAAGAAGTGCTACAAGGATTACATCCACTCAAAGAATTATTACTAGTATTGATCACCATTGGATTGCCGCCGCTGCTGCTGCTACTAAACGATGATCGGGTGCTTCCCAGCGAGCATTCTCCACCACCACCACCAACCGACACCGAAGAGGACGACGAAAAATGATGGCTGCCGTTCAAAGTGGGTGGTGAGTCCATTTTTTTTAGCGCTGCTGAGTTGCTCAATGCTGCTGCTGCTGAGCTTTTGCTTGGTTTGTTGAGTGGGTTTTGGAAGAGAAAGAGAGAGGAAACACACACAAGGAGGAGCGCTTCTAATGTTGTGTTTCCGAGAGAATTGATTTGTTCAATGTTTTTATGGTCCTGCTAATGACCAATGATGGGTTTGTATTTGAGAGAACAAGTGAGGTAGGTGGAATAATAAATTGATAGGAGAGTGGAGGCAGGCCTCTCTGTTGCATGTACGAGAATGTCCTTTCCGAGACAAGTCTTCGAGCACTTTGAGGTAACCTCAATTGGAAATGGATGAATTTTGCCCTGTACAAGCGCAATATGGAAATTATCGTGGACTTCAATCAATATTGAAAGAGTCCGAGAAAAAGACGAAGAAGAAGAGGGTGAATGTATCTTGATTGAATGAGCCTCGGAGGAGAGTAGGTGGGTTGAATCGCGTACAGAATACGACGAAGATGAACCGAAGATTGGAAACTCAATCAAAATCAAAGAGCAAAAATAGATTTTGATTGGGCCACAAAGTTAGTAGTGGTATTGAGAAGGAACAATAACAACGCAATGAGGTGATGGATTGATAGAGGAATGGGATGAATCAACGATAGGAAACTCAATAGATAGATGGATTAGAGAGTTTTTGATGTGATTGATTGTGCTGCCAGAGTATAGAGTGTTCGAGAGAGCGAGAGAAAGCCGATAATGTCAAATGCCAAAAAAGTGTTCTTGAAAATTTTGAATTCACAATACTCAAATAGAGAGAGAATAGAAAGAACAGCGTGTAACAGGGAAGGTTTTAATTCTTGTTGTTGATGATACTAGTTACGGTGGCAGCACAACCAATAGCACTCAACCTCGTGTTCGTACGCAACAAGATTTGTGAATTGATTTTTTTGTTTTCGGGATTTGAGAATCTTTTTGAGGATCCTTTTGAAATATTCTTTTTAACATTTTTAAAAAGAACTGATTTCATGGAAGTCCATTCGTCGATCTATTTCGCAGAAAGCCAGACCCTTACTGTATCCATACTTCCAAGTCAATTCGTCGAACCCAATCTATTTCGCAGAAAGCCAGATAGACCCTTACTGCATCCATACGCATGTTGTTGGCGTTCTTATGTGAAGGGTTTTGATACCTTAGGGTGTTTGATTAATTAACGACAACAGAGAAATGACAACAATAAGAGAGAGAGAGAGAGCTGACATCGTGAGTGTGTCTCTCTGTGTGTGTGTGCAGTCTCTCACGCGCATTCAGACCTCCATTGTTGTTCAATAATGAATTCACAATCTTTTCATAAATTTACAAACGATGACGAAATGCGCAGAAACCAACACTCTCATCATCATCTTTCCTTGAATCTTGATGAAGCTTCATCAAAAAACAAACACCAACTCGCTCTCTCTTCAGCAGTATTTCTGAAACATACTCACCGCCCATCCATTCTCTCCTTCTCTTCACGAATGATCTTCCTTTCATCATCATCATCATCGGATCTGAAACGGAAACGTAGGATGAATCGCCTCTTCTTTCTACTCATAATGGTGATGATGGTAATGATGATGTTGATGAATGTTTCACTATTCGTGAGTCCTGCTCCTCTCTCAGAAGAAGTGAAAGTGTCAAAATCGACTTCTTTCTCATCAACACCATTGACGACACCCTTTCTTCCCATCTTGTTAATGCATGGAGTCACAGCTGATAACGGATCCATGTCCGATTTGGAACAGTTCATTCGACAAGCTGTACCTGCTGGTACTTTTATTACTTCCATCAATTCTGAGAATACTGTTCAATCCTTGTTGAAACCCATGTGGGAACAAGTGACAGATTTCAGTCAAAAAGTGGACGAGTTGAAAAAGAGAATTGGTTTTTCGGAATTTCATTTGATTTGTCATTCACAGGGAGGATTGTTGTGTCGATCGTATATTCAATTGACGAAAAATCATGGAGTACGAGTGTTTATTTCATTGAGTGGCGTTCAGAATGGAGAATTTGGAATTCCACAACCGACCAATTCAGTTCTGCAATTGTTGCATCAAGAATTTCCTTGGTTGTGGAACATGACAATGAAAGAGGTGTATCGAGTGTTTTATACAGATTTCTTTCAAAAGATGTTAAGTGTGGCAAATTATTGGAAAGATGTAAGTGCTCATGAGTTGTTAACAACATTTATATTTACATTATTAATTTGGAATTTTTAATTTTGTAATTGGTTTTGAAAACTAATCTTGGAATAATTTTGAATATTAATAATATTGGAATTGATTTTGAATATTACATCATATTGGAATTCCAATGGATATTGACACATGTGTGACTTTGAAAATTTTCACAACCCTATTTTTCACATCATGAACATTTTGGTATCATTTACCTCAACATCTCCTTACTATGGTTGTGATATTTTGTTCCAAAGCCCTATCATTATATGGAATACCGACTCTATAATCAATTTCTTTCCATTGTCAACAATGATTCTCTCACGACCGATTATGCTAAAATTTACAATTTTAAAGAAAATTTTTTACAAATTGACAAGATAATTCTCACTGGTTCTCCTCAAGATGAAGTAATTCATCCTTACTTTTCTGCATTCTTTGAATTTTACAAACTCAATTCCAATACCATGCAATTGCTAATTTCACCCATGCAAGAACAAGATATTTATGTGAGAGATGTGTTTGGATTGAAAACTCTTGACATTCAAAAGAGATTAATTATTGAGAATGTCCCAAATGTGTTGCATATGGATTGGATCGAACGAAGAGATTTATTCGAAAAATATATGCTTCCTTATTTGTATTAATTGTTGAATGATGTCTTGAAACTTACAAAAATGTGAATATTTAACATAATAACAACACCTTTCTAGCTTGTGTTTCAAACCATACATCATCGTTTGACGAAATATATATTTGTGATGCATAATATTCAAAGAGAAAGTACAGGAATTCCTCTTCCAGAATGTCCATAGACTCTTTTTTCACACAATACCTCCGCAATGATCGTAGAAGAAAGTCGTGTTGAAGTTTCGCGCGAAATGACTTCGTGATGGATGTCCACCAAAGAGCGTACGAATAGCATGTGAAATATTTGTTCATTCACTTCTTGTTTGGAATCATTTCACTTTTTTTATCCAATGGCCATTCGTGAAAAAGAAGATGAAGAAGGATTCCGTCCAATTGGCCAATCACAACTGGTCCAGATGTGATGTGTGCACAAAAGACAGTCGACTCTTCTTTACAAAACAAAGAGAACACCAACACCTTCTTTCGAGAGTTTATTATACCCCTGACACCAACAAGAAAAACACCAACAAGAAGAAGGTGAACACACTTCGCAATATAACAACGAAAGAACTGGACCAAAACTCTCCACCATTCTTTTTCGTTAATATATTCTTTTTGCATATTCACACTCAATGCCTTCCTGTCAAGCTGAAATTTCATTAACCCAACATTCCACAACGCGATCATCATCACCACATCGTCGAGTGATGTCTGCTGTTGTTGTTGTTGTGTTGTTCATGATGATGATGACTGCTACTCAAAAAGTATTCGCCCAATCCTTGTTGCGTTCTGCGAGTTTCATTAAAGCCATTGATGCTGCCACTTCCGTCTACATTGCTTCTCAAGAATGGAAGAATTATTTACTCTCTTTTAATATTGTCTTTCCAGTGCCTTCATGTACCACTGCGAGTGTCAATGATTTTCCATCCACTCTTGATTTATCCAAAAATGGAAACATCACCTCCCGAATGCCAGTCATCAATATGTGTTATGAATATAATGCATTGCATCCTTGGCCACTCATTCATCAAAAGGCAGGTCAATTATTGATTTCAACATTGAAGAATCGTTATAACATTCAGGATTTACAAGTCAATTTCACAACAGTGAATACCACCTTGTTAGGATATTTTGGATCTTTGAAAGCTTTTGTGGATAGTGGAGATTGTGATGTTGCCATTGCTTCGACGAATTGGGATAATTCAAGATTGAGTCAAGCTCATTTTCAATGTAAGTAATCATGATGAGTCATTGTGACATGAACCTTACACACATATTGTCACAATTGATTGATTCACATCATGAACCAACACACACCTGGACATATATTGTCACAAATTGCAGGTGCCTACGGAACAAGTTTTAATGGATATTTACGTTCTGGACTTGATATTGATACCATCAAAGTGTCATCTGTGTATGATCTCAATCAAGCAGCTGTCAAAGTTGCTGTTTACAAAGCAACGACTTATGATCAATGGGCCACAGCTAATCTTCCTAACTCTCAAATTATTCGTTTTTCTGGAGGTTACTACGAAGCTTGGCCAATGATTCTCAACAATCAAGTTCATGCCTTAATTACTGATGCTGCTGACTTGTTGACATTTTTGGCAGCAAATAAGGCGAATTGCACCTCGTGTCGAGTCGATGTGTTTGGAGATCAATTTTCTTTTGGAAGTTTTACATCAAACAAAATTACAACCTCACTTGCTACTCGTTCGATGGTTTTTAATTTTTTGATGATGATGATATTTATGATTGGTTTTGATTTGAAATCTATTGCTCAATTTAGCATTCATGACTACACGAAAAACAACATTCCCCTAAAACAAAAAAGTTTGGTGATAGTCGGGATCGAACCGACGACCAATGGCTTATTAGACCAACGCTCTACCGACTGAGCTATATCACCTTCACATCTAGAATAATCAATATTTTTTTTATCAGAAATGTCTGAGCTAGTGCGCTAATTGGCAATTTCATGAAGGATTTAGATAAACCATTTGTACTAGACAGCTAAACAAGAAGAGAAAGGAAGTGAGTGGGAATCAAAGGACAGGGTTGATAGAGTGGGAAGTCAGCCTTTGACTTGACATTAATTTTTATTAAGGGAGGGAGAGTTTGGTGGCGTTCTCAACTTCTTATTGAGAATTTCAGCTGTGGTTGCCAACCCGAGTGGAACTGGAAAAATTGCAGCATTCACCACTGTTTGTGGAATCCAACCATTGGGTAATGTCAAACTCGAATACGTCACGAGAATATTCGAGGCATTTCCCTCCTCGGGTACGTATCGTTGACAGACAAATTCATTGGTTCCGCGAACTGCTCCCTTCTGTAGAACAAATGAAGAAGGAGGTTCATAAAGTCCATCAATACTTGTTGAAACAAAATAGGTAAAAGTATCTGTTTTGTGGAATTTCAATACGTAGAGAAAATCTCGATCGGATACAAATGGAGCTATGGAGGTATGAGTAGTGATTCATCCAAAAGAGTTCCACCACACATTGAGTATTGTACATTCGAATGACATTAATTTCCAGTCGTGGTCATGCCATGGATATTGTGAAATGAACATTCCATCGAATTCTCTCAAAATCTGAAATCACATACGTACCTCCAGCAGAGACAACATAATAAAGTATTCTCCATTCTCCCTCCTCATCGGTCCAACTTTCAATCAACTCCACTCGTTTCACAAGAGATCCAACAACTTTTTAATTTTCATATCCACCGACCACAAGGGCTGAATAAATTCCTCTGGTGTGACATTTTCACAAATGGTATCTCCACGAATGACAATGGCACTCTCTCCTTCTTCCTTGCAGGCATAAACATCAACATTCTTTTTGGTGTGATGATATTCAAAAGTGGAGTCTTGGAGAGATTCTAGACTGGTCATTCGGAGTGCTCTCTCTTTTGCATTATTCCATTTCTGTTTGATGAGAGTGATTTGTTCTGGAGTGAGGGGCATGTGATGATGGAAATGGTTTCAGAAAGAACACTTTGATGGACACAATAATGTTGCAACAGGTGAGTAAAAGCTTTTGGTGAGAATTTTTTTTTCAAAGATGAAATGCGAAGAAACTCCAACGTTGGAGGAGTGCGAGGATGGATATCGAAATTGTTAGTGCGAAAATGCGATTCCAATTCATTTGTTGTTCATCGGATCCGATCTCTCTTTTGATTCTTACTCGAATCGACCATTGATGAAGATTGAAGAATTGAGTTCATCCAATTTACAAGTAACATGTATCTTGAAAGACAACGCAATCTCATTCAAAGTTGAAGGAAAGAGGCCTATGATGTAGAACCAACCAACGGTTCAGTGTGAATTTGAGTTGGGTTGACCAAAGCATTTGATGAAGGTCTCACTGATGTTCCTAGGAACATAAACAAAGCAACGAAACAATAAATCCGATATTATTCGATATGATTAGTTATTACAATTCTGTTCACTTACAACCCAAATTACGAAATTGGAATTCAAACAATCAATACGATACATGAAGAATTGAAATTGTTGCCGACCACAAGAGAAAGAGCTTGTGTTTCATGATCATTTGGAGTTTTGTAATTCACAATAAGATTTCAGTTTTAAAAAAAATACTCTCATCGTCATCAGCTTTTTATTTCTTTGTTTAGAATCATCACTAAACCACAACAAACAGCAACATCATTATGATTGATCCGAATCATCCTTCCATCATTTTAAATGAAGAAGAAGGGAATGATAAGGTTCGGAAGCGAAAGGCTCATCCAAGTACAGCTACAACGTACGAGACATCATCCTCCTCCAGTAGCAGCAACAACAAGAACAACATCCAGCCTCAAAGGAAATTAACAAAATTACGGCATGCATCAAACGATTATACTTTGATACATTTTCCAGAACAAGTCGGAAAAGTGGAATCCATCACTTGGTTGGTAAAGGAAGGACAATGCATTCTTGCGTATGAGCCATTAGGAAAAGTGGTGTACACTTTGATGAATGGAAACCGAGAAGCAATGACGATAGTAAGCAATGCGCCTGGAAAAGTCGAACAATTGTTACGGCTTGACAAACCTGCATCATCATCACCAAACCAATTATCGGAACCACAAAGAATATTTCTTAAAGTTTATAATTGCAATCATCCAGAGACATGGAAGGAATTATGTGCCCGATGCAATGGTTCTTGCTCCTCACTATACATGCGAAAAAAGTTGAGTGGCGAGCCTGTTAAATTTATTTATGATATGGCTACACAATTTAACTTTCCAATACCGGAGATGAATGGTCATGATGAGAAGAAACCAACCCAAAAGTCACATGTTTCTCTTCTTCATAAATTAGGATACACGATCGATTTTGACCAAGCAATTGAAATTGACAGACAAAATCAGAGAAGGCTCATAGAAAAGAAAAAGCTTTCGCTTGTACTTGATTTGGATCACACCCTTTTGCATACAATTAACGATTTTGAATATTCAAGGGAAGGTAATAGAAGTAAGCCATTTAGAGAGGTGTATGATAGCTCGGAGTTGCTTCAAAAGCATATCCATCGATTTTTCATGAGAGGAACGTTTCACTTTGTCAAGTTTAGACCTAGATTAGACGAATTCTTGAGAAGATGCAGCAATTTATTTGAAATGCATGTTTTCACACATGGAGAGCGGCAATATGCCGACCAAATTGGTTCCATGCTAGATCCAAAAAGAGAATTGTTTGCTGACAGAATACTCTCTAGAGATGAATGTCCAGATATTAATACTAAAACTCTAAGCAATGTTTTTCCATGTAGTGACAAGTCGGTGCTCGTAATAGATGACAAAACTGATGTTTGGAAAAATAACGCAGACAATGTTATTCAAATAGCACCCTATGACTACTTTAGGCGTATATTTGGTGTACAGCTAGATGTAAATAACGCTCCAGGAAATGACGCAGACAGAAAACAACTAATGCCGTCTGCTCAACCTCCTAGACCTGTAAACTACAAAATTATTGAGAACACTATTGATGACTATGAGGAAGATGATCAATTAGATGTTGTTTATAATCTCCTCGAGAAAGTTCATACCGAATATTTTAAAGATTTGACATCAAATGAGGATGTTGACAACAAAGATGTCAAAATTATTTTAAAAGAAAAAAAGAAAGACATTCTGCGAGGAAAGCATATTGTATTTAGTGGAGTCATTCCGTTACAACAAGATCCAAAACAACATCCTGCATGGAGAATTGCCCAAGACTTGGGAGCTACATGTTACACAGATATTTCACCTAACGTTACACATCTTGTCGCGGGAAGAAAAGGAACAGAGAAGGTGAGAAAAATAGAACAAATGCCTGGTGTTCATATTGTACATGAGTCTTGGCTGTATGCATGCATGAAATACTTGAAAAAGCAGAATGAATTTGATTATCAAATCATGGATGTAAAACATTATCCCATTAGCGAAAATTACCCAAAAAGTAAGAAAGAAATTGCCAAATTCCAACAAGTATGTGCCGATTTTGTTGATTACATTCAGCAAGAAGCATCTGAGTTGGCAAGAATGCAAGAGGAAGAAACAGTAAAAGAATTGGAGGCAGATTTATTTGGAGATGCTGAGGCAGAATCAGAGGATAGCAGCAGTAGTGAAAGTGACAGTGAATGATCTTTTATTGAATAGATAAAAACAACAACCGTGAACGCATTTCAAACTTCCTTAAAGAATCCTTTCCATATCAGTCATAAATTGTGACCAATTATCAACGCCTTTCCGGCAAATTTGCTTTCAAGCGACGCAATTTAAAAAAACAACATTGACCGGTCACACACACTCCTACCATGGTCCTACAAAAATCATCGTCATCATCATCAAATTTGCTAAACAGTTCCTCTCAACAACAACAACAAATAATTTCCAAATTATTAGAAAAAGATATTTCTCGGTGGAATTGTAACGATGTTGCTTTATGGCTTGATCTCATGAAAATGTCTCACTTGAAATTTGCTTTTGTTCAAAATCAAATTTCTGGTGAGGAATTATTGGAATTGACAGATAGCGAATTGATGAATGAATTAAAAGTGAACAACGAGAATGAACGGAAAATAATTCGAGAATTGAAAGATCATCGAACGAATTGGATAAAATTATTTAAAAATTTAAATCTATTGAGTGACAATTCAAATTCTGATGCGCAACATTATCAACAACAGCCACCTTTCGAAAATCATCCTCAGACTACGGGCTGTCCCTCATCGTCACATAATTATTCATCACAACCATCTCATCCAAATTTGGTGATTAACACTTCCAATACTTTTTTGGCCCATCGAAATGCAAGCCAACAACAGCCATATAAAACTCAATTAACGCCCACAAAGGTAATGATGAATGACATTTCTTCGTTACTGGAATTGGATCAAATTTCCGATGAGGGTGCTGAAGATTTGACAAGTGTTGGAGGTATTCTTTTAATGAAAGGATCATCCGAGCAATTGAATTCTGTGTTGGATTCAATGTATAAGGACTGTGATTCTTTGAAATTTAAATTGTATAAGAACAATGACATTCATGTGGTGACACTCAAAAAAATTGGTTTTTCGTACAACTCTTTAAAATTGGAAATTATTGAAAGATTTCAATTTATAAAACCACTGATTCGATACAAAGATCGCGAGGGATATTTGATTAGAATTTCCACAGACGATGATTTAGCAAGAGTCTTATTTACTCATCACAGTGAACAGGGAAGTGACGTTTTACAGCCCATTAAATTGGTGATTGAGAATGATAGTTCCAATAATAATAATCACCAGAGTACAACACCCACTACAACAACAAGTCCTAAATGTGTATTCGCTCCAACTGCAGTTGCACAACAACCACACAATCATGATCTATCAAACAATAATTTGAATTCAAAACTTCTCAAATTGGAAAATGAAAATGCAGAAAAGAGTGAAACCATTCAAGAATTGGAACAAAAACTTTCCACACAAATTCAAGAATCGGAAAAACAGCTCGCTCTCACTAAAAGTTTGCAAGAAGAAATAAGCTCCTTAAAACTGCAATTATACAGTATGAGAAATGGAGTAATTTTTAACCCTGGTACACTGAAACAGGATGAAGAGATTTCAGAATACATCAAGTTGTGTAAAACACTGCAACATTCGTTAGGGAATGCACAAAACAAATTGTTTGAGATTATTGGAGCAAATGGAACATTCATGCAACAATAGGAATACTGTAAGTTTTGGAACATGATGATGAACTGTATTTTAGTGTTCTTGTGCCAGCACAATACTCTTTGGCTGCCATTCATCCTCAATAAACGTTCCATTCACATGAATTTTCTTTTTCTCTCCTTTCAATGTGGTTGAATCGAAAATAAAGGTTCCAGTGCTACCGAAAGGAGTTTGCTTTGAAAAGTTATTGGATTGGTATACTGTGCCACAAGGCATTCTCCATTGTCCAGATTTAATTTGTCCATTTTCCCAAGTGGACTGATGAAAGGAGCTCTTGTTTGCAGCAAAATAATAGTCACCAACACCATGCTTGAGATTGTTCTTCCATTCTCCTCTGTAAATGTCTCCATTCGAGTAATACATGGTTCCAAATCCATGCTTTTTACTGTCCAGAAATTGTCCAATGTACATTGAGCCATCTTTATATTTGATGACTGCCTGTGGATCAATGACAAAATTTGGAGGCTTCTCAGAAGAATTATCCACTAGGTATTTTTGATCCATTGAGGTTCTCTTTTTGTCTTGACAAAATGGTCCTTCATAGAATGGATAAGGGCCATATTTCAAAACGTAGAACACTCGGTGAGGTATGTATCTATTGAATGGTTCTATTGTAGTAATATATTCAGATGCTTCTTTTAACTTTTCTTCTTCACTCTTATCTGTTTTGGCAAATATCTGTTTCACTTCCTCTGTGTCTTTCATTTTCATTATTGCCACATCTTCTTTCAGAAAAGACTTTGCAGATGGATATAGCGAATAGTAAATGTACAAGCCTCTATTTCCATGCTTTAAATTATGTTGGAATCCTCCCTTATATTGATCCTGGTTAGCATAAATTGCATGACCTTCTCCGTGTCGTTCATTAAATTCATTCATTTCACCCTTGTACAATGCGAGTCGAAGAACCATCTTTACTCTGTTGTCATTCAAATGTTTACTCTCAACAAGTGATGTAATAAATCCCTCTTTGTCAAAATCATCTTCTGGTGTTTCTTCCTTATTTTCAGCTTCCTCCGATTCCTTCTCTTTCAAGTGAGATGCCCGAGCTTCCATATACAAATCCCAAATCATTTTGTCAACTTTCTTGAATCCTGACACTTCATCGATCTCGTCATAGTTGTATTCAGGTTGTTTTGGTTCGGTTTCTTCTTCTTCACCCGCTTGACTGTTTTCTTCGTCTTCGTCTCGTGGCATTTTTTTGTTTGGATCAAAACCGTTCGAAAATTGTAAATGATTTGTGGCGCGAAAAAATGTTTTTCAATGATCATATGAGCTTTCTCAATATATATATCTGTTTTGAGGAATAGTGTCCTTTGTAAAGTTTAAATCCTCACTGACCCATTGAAAGAAAATAACTCCACACTTGCCAATTGAATCTGAAGGAACTGCTGTCCCGCCATTAAAAAAATGACTTTGTTCCTCTCACAGGGTGGAAATCATCAAGTGGTTCTGACAACTGTGAGCAAGGAGCCTCTTCCTCACCATGATCGTCATCGTCATCGCGGAACAAACAAAGATGAAAATTATTGCATTACGAAACAATATTGCTTTTTGAATAGAGGACGAGAGGAACGACTGGTGATACAAATCCCTTCGGAATTGCTGCACCATGACAGCAAAAGAAATTTGAACAAGGATTTGGAACCTCAAGTGATTTGGTACCATGGAAGCTCTGATGCTCTTCGGATTCATAGAAAATATAAATATAGCAGCCATCAACAAAATCCCAGTGTTCCAATTATTCCAAATGATGTTTGCTTGTGCTCTTTCTCTTCTAATGAAGTCATGTTGTGCATTTTGTTGGACAATAATAGAATCGAAATTTATGGAGAATCAGGTAGATCTTTCATTGTTTCTCTTCCTTTCAAAATTCACAAATTATGGAGTTTAAATAATCAAATTTTGATTATGGAAAGGAAAATTTTGAGTGTGGAACAGAAACAAAACACAAATCCAATGCTGTACTTTTTAACGAGCCCACTACATGAAGTGAAGGCATTGGCTTCTGTTATTGGGCCTGCCTCAGTACAACCTGGAGTTACCTCAGATGATGGAGACGTGCTGATGGATGGTGAGCAAACTTTTGACTACATGAAAAATGGTTACGAAACCATCTTGTATCTTTATTCAGACCTTTTTATGGTCACTCATGACTCCAATTCCAAACTCATATCTCTTTATTTATTTCTTGAAGAAGGATTTGTCCAGAGAATACAATTTTCAGAAAACTGTGCGGAGTATTTGAAATGCGTCGATACTGAATATTTGCAAATATCGATATTCCATGTTGATACGTCTGGCAATCGATACATTTTATATGTAGTTAATAACAACACATTATTTGCTTTCGAGATAGAAAGAAATTCACAAGAGGAAGATTTTTTCCTATTGCCAAAATTTTCAAAACAAGATGTCATTGCAGTTGCTGAATTCAATGATTCTCTGGTCAACGAAAAATTGTTTAATGGGAATATCGGCGGAGGTTTGCACCTTATGCTAATCTCAGAAAGCTCTAGAGATGGATTAATTCTTGTTTTGAATGGAGAGTACATTATGTGGAATCAATCCTTAGAAAAAGGGGTATTTAAGAAAATTGATTTTGTTGTGGAAAACAGGTTTTCTCTCGCTTCTAATGACTCTCTATTCAGATTTTCTCTTGATATTTGCCCTTCATCTAAGCTTGTACAGGATTGTCTATCAGTTTTTCAAGCAATTTTGAGCAAGGATCTTCATTGTAGCATTTTTTATGATTTTCAAATTTCGAGAAATGCAGCATTTCAAGAATGGGAAATATTTTCTTCCTTAATCCTTTACTTAGGATTAAATATCATGCCTCCAACGCAGCAAATTCCTGAGGATGATCCGTGGAAATTGATGGAGTTTTTGGAGACCAATTCGTCAACCAATAATATATGCAATACTCCATGCATGATTGACTTTTCCAAATTACAAACGAGCAGCAAAACCTTGGTGGCCAATTTACCGCTTATCCTGTTTTCTCTGCATCTCCTGTACGAAAATTACAAACTACATGTAACAGAATGGAGCAAGATGGAGATGTTAGGCTCCTTACTTTTTGAAATAGCTACTACTTTACAGTGGCATTCCTATTGTGAAGTTTATCAACGTGATTTTAATTATACTCTCACTTCGAGAACAAAATCAGCATTACCCAACATGAGGATTGAGTTGAAGAATGACAATATCAAATTTTTAAATGAATACTATGCGAGTGGAATATTGACTCCAAATATTATGGGATGGATTGAGGAGATATTATTAAACGGCTCAATAGACAAGTCGTGTCTTTATCCGGTTATCTCAAATTGCAGTGCCACATCTCTGAGTAAGAAAGTATGCCGATTATTTTCATTGCTTGTTAATGGTTCTGATGATATTTATGACATTCATAACTCGTCTTCAGCAACAAGCGATATTTATATGGATGTGAACCATTTACAGGCTCTTTCGGAACTTGCTTCTCACGAAAGAGTTGCAATTGCCCTCTTACAAGAAGGATTTACAAGTATTGACCAATTAGAGTTTTTGCCATTCAGCGTTTCTTTGCCTATTCGAGAAGCTCTAATACTTTGTAGAAACTCCAATCAACCTGTAACCAGAACCACAAAATTCTGTAAATTGATTGAAAGAGAAGATCTTTCCATTAACAACAATCAATTAGAAATGGAAAGACCGTTCAGAGAAAAGCAGATCATTTCAGAATTTTCAAAAATTGCAGGAGTTCCTCCTCCAAACTCATCTTCCTCAGAAACCGATGAAGATATTGGACACATGATTTGGAGTGAAGACAGAAGGCTTGAGCAAGTAAGCAAAATGCTGGACAGTAGCAGGCCTACGCAAATACAAAAACATACGCTCCAGCTGACAGAAGATGATCTCGATGGTTTTGATCCTAATGATGCTCCTGATTTACAACGTCAAATTTTATTGAATATTAAGCAACAGTTATTATCTTTTTGCATTGGAAAAGGAATGCTTACTCTATCAAGCAAACGTCACATTAATAGTTCCATCTCAAGAGACACCACAGCCAGTAATGTTTTAGCAGTTCCACCAATAGCTCTTTCAGTCAAACTCAAAAGAAATAGAGCCATCATGTCTATTGATATTTCTAAAATTGTTTTGGAGAATGAAATTTCTGCAAGTTGCAGTACACAATGGGCAGAATTTCACAATGGAGTGGCCACCGGTCTAACCATTGGAACCGATTGCAAAATTACCAAAGAATGGATCATGTTTCACAAACCAAACAAACGAGGGACTAGATATTTGAATGACAGTGTGACTCATGCTGGATTACTTCTGGCTTTAGGATTGCAAGGTCACTTAAAGTGTCTTGGACCTACAGATATTTATGGCTATCTTCAGCAGCGACATGAAGCGACAACAATCGGTATTTTATTGGGTTTATCTTGTTCATATATTGGAACACAAGATCAGTACATTACTCGATCCCTCTCGCTCTACATTCCTTCGCTCGTGGTAGGTATGAGCGATATGGAAATGCCAATGGAAGTGAGCGGTTCTGCATTGCTTGGAATTGGCTTACTCTATATGGGTAGTTGTCATCGATTCATGACTGAAGTTCTATTGGGAGAATTGGCTCGACCACCCAATGATAATTCAACAAACACACGAGAAAGTTACTCTCTATCTGCTGGATTAGCTCTTGGATTGGTTCATTTAGGCAAAGGCCCAACTGGAAACAGTCACGAATTGAAAATGGACCAAAGATTGCTTTCATACATGACAGGAGGTAGCAAACGTCCCGAGTTTGACATGTTTGCATTAATGGCATCCAAATCTAAGGCCCATCCATCATTAAAGAACGGAACCAACAGTTCAGAGGCCGTGACAAGTACATGTTCAAGAATTAAGGAAAATGAAAAATTTGTGAATGTGGATGTCACAGGTCCAGGAGCATGCCTTGCTCTCACATTGAAATATCTTAAAACACATGATGAAGCTATCGCTTCAGAAATGAAGGTTCCAGACACAAAATACATGTTAGACTATGTCAGACCGGATATGATTATTCTGAGACAACTTGGCTCCTCGTTAATCATGTGGAACACCATCAAGAACTCTGAGTGTTGGATTAAATCAAAAATTCCAGAACTCTTTCGTTCTACTCCAGCTGAAACAATCATTGACAGCAGTGAGTTGTGTAAGATTTATGCTCACGTTATTTGTGGTTGCTGTCTTTCTATTGGTTTCAAATATGCTGGATCCCATGATTCCAAAGCGTTCGACTTGATTCTGAATATTGTTCAACAAGCAATGAAAATGAGACTGAAACTTTACGCACACGATGCATCCATTCCCTACTATGTAAAATTAGACAAATTTACATCAGATAGAACCATCATCATCGGTCTACTCAGTTTGAGTTGCATCATGTCAGGAAGTGGAAACGTTGAAGTCATTCGATTGGTGAAACAGCTCAGACAGAAATACATTTCATCTCCCAGTACACTGTACGGTGGTTATGGAATTCACATGGCATTGTCCATGTCTCTTGGACTTGTCTTCTTGGGAGGAGGAAGGTTCTCTCTTTCAACCAGTGATCGATCGATTGCAGCTCTATTGTGTTCATTGTATCCTGTTTTCCCTCAGACAACGACAGATAACAGGTATCATTCACAAGCGCTTCGTCACTTATACATTCTAGCAGCTGAGAATAGATTATTGGAAACTCTTGATATTGACACAAAAGAATCATGTCATGTTCCTGTCACCATTGAGACCACTCAGGGAATGACTTTACAAAAACTAAGTCCGTGTCTTATTCCTGAATCACATTTAATTTCCAAGATTACCACGAGCAATGAAAGATACTATCCTCTCACCATTACTGAGTTTCCACTCAAAAGTAATATCATTTATGTGAAAAAGAAATCTGGATATTTAACACATAAGGATGATCCAAAAGGAATTCGTTCATCCGTTCACTCGAATTTTATTAGCAATCTCGTGGATCAAAATCCAGATAATTTGGTAAAACTCTTTGAGAAAATGTCCTCTGGTTCTCACACTCATATTGCTCCCTATGTGAAGTATAGAATATTTGGTCAAAATAGCTCTACTGGAGTGGAAGAACAAACCTTAACAAAAGCCATCCAATCTCTCTCTTTAAATGATACCGCTAATGGAAATATTGCACTCTTGTTGTATCATTCGCTTGTGGATTCTCTCATGAATGACAGTCCAGATGTACTCTACATTTTTGAACATGTGCTCGAAGCCCTACGATTAATAGTTGAAAGAAGTTCATGCAACAATGGTAGTGGAACAAGCTCAAATAATTTTGACTCGGCTCCAACAAGAATCAACTTTCTTTCAAAATCCATCTATATTTCATGCTTTAAGCAATTATTTGCATACCACTCATCTAGGGATCGTTTGTTGAAACAGCAAAGCTCACAAAGCTCACTGTCAACAAAGCCACTAATTTCGCAACATTTCATCGAGTGCATTAGAAATTATTTGGAAAATTATTTTGCATCCATGGATCTCATTAATTGGACTGCACCATCCACAAACGAAAATTTCGGCTCGTTTTGTACCTTTTACTCCCTTCCTTATTTATATCTCATCCAGCAATTGGTACAGCAAAACAAGAACCAATGCAGTGCAGAGCTGTTAGTCCGCTGTTTGAAGTCCATTCAGCCACACTCCTCGATTCCTACCGCCCAAATTGAGCGCCTTGTTCAACATATCATCTCTCGGTCTCCATGAGAGAGCAAGATCAAGTTTATTGGTTGATGTTAACAGGTTTATATTTGCACACTCCGAAGGACAACACATCGCCATTTTGGATGTGACAAATACTTAGCCACTTATAGCAAACCAAATAAACAAATCTAACCATTTTCTCCCTCAATTTCTGATCGGAATAAGCATACGCTTGATTAAGCCATTGTTTTGCTTTTTCCACATTGGCCTCAATGCTTGCCTCCAAAAAATAATTGGAGTGAATTCGCTCTGCTATAGACTTGGTGGTGTCAGAATTTCCAAGTGAGTTGATAACTCGAGCCACCTTTGACAATAGCCATTGTTTGTGCTGTTTTTTCCCATACACTTGAGACAAGAGGTCTTTTCTTTCACTTCTCGAGATTTTGTTGTTTTTTTCCCAGTTATTAAAAGCCTCCTTCATCTTTGTAGAATCGCCAATCTCCTTGACTCGGTAGAGATCATTCACTTGATAGGGGATGACAAATGCCTCCTTAATCGACAAAATACTGTCATAAACAATTTCGATCAACTTTTTTTCGAATTGATTAATTTTTGCAAATTTCTCTTCATTCAAACCGAAATCGTTTTGGATGGATTTACATGGCTTTGGATCTTGAAGTATCACTGATCCATGCTTTACAGCATCAATGGATAATGTAAAATAAAAGGCATACTTCTTTCTTTCATCCTCCGACATTTTGTCGAGATACAAATCATTGGTCAATATCGTGTAGAATACACCAATAGTTGGTTTGTAGTCCACAAAGAACCTGGTTTGATCTTTTCTTGACTCCTCAACATCGTCAACTGGTGTTGGGCGTTGTCTCTTCATTTTATAATCTTTTGCTAACTGTTCATAGTCCATACGACTAAATGGTTTGTCTAACAACATGACTAAACATGGGTCAGTGAGAATGCTGTACAAATCACCATCAAGATCTCCTGAGCTAAGGAATTGATGAGGGCCTTTTTTACCTGCGAGTTTGGGAAACACAATGCATTCTCTAACGCTATTCAAGAATTCTTTGTCAGCAGGAGGGGAGACCACGTGTAGTCTTAAAAAATCGTTGGCATGCGCGACTGGATTTCTAAAAACAACTACTGATGTTGTTGCTTTGAATCTGAAGCTTGCAATGAGCACTTGGTTGTCTTTTAAAAATTCAGATTGGTCAATCACTCCCTTAAGATTCAATAGATGTGGATATTTGATTTGACCTTGCAGAGACTTGTTTAACAATCCAAACATACGCTCAACAATAATCTTTTGCTTGATCTTTGGGGCAATAAAAAGATTCGTTTCAATAGGTTCTCTATTTTCAAGTACTGCCCTAACAATCTTTGTTTCATAACTGTATTCAGAATCATCGTCTACGAAAATTCTTTTTAAAAGATACTCTCGATCACGAGCTCCTTCTCGCAACTCATCCAAAGTACTTCTGATAATAATCAATAAAGTAGTTCTCGATTTCTTGAGGTTTGGTGGATTTTCTGCATAAGAATTTGATTGTGTTTCTACTAATGTTTCCAACATACTTTGGTGAAGAGATATTCAACACGTCAAAGTTGTTGTAAATTCTTGACTCTGCAGCAAATTTGACGGTTGATGCTCGTACGAACACCTTCACTTCTGATCCAAGACGATACCTCTTCACAAACAAATCTTTCTACACTGCAGTAGGAATCATTTGAAACATTCCTTTGATACCCAAAACTCTTCCTTGGAGTGAAGTTGCTTGATCTATTTCTTCCTTATCCATTAAAAATTGACCTTCACTGGATATTTGTTTCAAAATGGTTTTAAAGAATTCTTCTTCGATCGCATTAATACCATCAACACCAGGATATTGTTCATCGTCGGTGTTGATGTTCGAGCTTAATATAAGACTGTACAGAGGTTCCGATGTTAAGTCCAACTCTTCCATTAAATTTTCTGTGACCGCTCTTCATGGACTCTGAAAAATTGAATAACAATTTGAAAACATGACGAACGTTTAAACAAGTACTATCAATAAAAAGAGCAGTATTTCCTGAAATACCAGAATTACTAGCTGCAAAGAATGTGTATATTCTTCCATTCTCTAACTTGATTCCATCAATGCAATACTTTTTCAACAGGTCCCTTTCATCGTTCTTTTCAGTGTCACTTTTTTCTTTATCTTCCTCAAAGTTTCTAAGACTGAAAAAAGAGACAAACAACGACTCACACACTACATTAGCACCACCACTCACCTACGAATACCTTATAAATCAAACAGAACTTGGAAAAAAGAGACAATCAGCAAACAACAAAATCACAATAAAATATTCAAAAAAAAAGCCTCAAATGATTCAGCGGTTTTTATTTGCTGTGATGAACGACTACATTTGCTTCTCGGATGAAGTGCCAGCAATAGGTTTACTCTTCCCTTGCTTGATATGATAAATACAATCAACATTACACTTATCGCAACACTTTTTACACATTTTGTATTTACATTTACCTGACACTTTCACCAGATGGCAACCAGGATTTGTTTAAAAATAATAATATTTTACTACTGAACAAAATAGCCTATTATCTTGATGAATTAAAAGAGATCCCGAGAGACTCCATGGAATCCAATACTTGAGAGCATTTACAGCATTGTGCTGTTGTTTTTAGTGTTTGAGTAACCTGCCATTACCTGCCATCCATACTCAAAGTTTGTGAAATTACCAGGTAAACTCAATCAGTCTCAAAAAAAAATTGACAAGTTCTAGTAGTGCTTTATTATCTTGATGAATACTAAGAGAAACCGTGAGATCCCATGGAATCCAATACTTGAGAGCATTTACAGCATTGTGCTGTTGTTTTTAGTGTTTGAATAACCAGCCATTACCTGCCATCCATACTCAAAGTTTGTGAAATTATCAGGTAATTGAAATCAAAATCAAAAAAAATTAAAAGATTCTCTCAATAAACTCCGAATCTTTTGACATACGGGTATCGAGGGGCAACTTGTTAACTCCAAAATCGAAAACAAAATTGAGAAAATAATTCAAATTGAAAGTTCCATTCTGAAATACATCTCGAACGATCCATTTCATATTTCCAAACAACAAAAACATGCGAATTGAAAGAGGGATATGAAACAATTAAAACAAGAGATGATTGTGAAAATTTTTGAAAACACAACCAGAACATCAAGAATCGTCCTGATTTCTTGTCACTCACTGTTCATACAACCAAAGGTTGTAGCGGGAGAGTCGTCATATTCCTGACAGGCATCCCGTCCATATTAATAATGAATAAGAGAAAAGTTTTGAAAGGAGTGTGAGGAGGGTGAGCCATTTCGATGTCCTGTTTGCTTCATCATTTGTTTTAACACAAATCTTTTATCCCAAAATGTCAAAAAGCATGATTCCATGAATCAAAGAACCGAACAAGGAGACTTGGTTGGCTACGGCCATATCACGATGAATGCACCTCATCCCGTCCGATTTGAGAAGTTAAGCATCGTCGAGCTGCATCAGTACTGAGGTTGGAGACAACTTGGGAACCTGCAGTGCTGTAGCCTTTTTTATAACAGTTGAAATCAATCGTTTTTATTCTGTAAAACAAGAGAAGGTTGTTCATCATCATCCCTTTAATCAAACTTGTGATAGATTTATCGGATTATTCTTTCTTTCTCTTTCGTTGAACTGTTGATTTTACTTGCGAAGGAAATACTGTTTTTCCAATTTCAATAGAATTAACATTGCGAAAGAGTTCGTGCAAATCTTGGAAAAGAGTGGTGGCACTACTTCTCGAGGAGCTTGTTACTGATTCTGAATTCTCGTTACTGCGAGATAGTTGTTGTGATGTGGAACGGTTCGACTCAGAGAAAGGACTTGTGTGAGGCAGTTGCATTTTCTATAATTTTTCAATTCGAACAAGTAAAAACATAGATCACGTTTTCAATCGTGAAAATTTTGTGGTACTAAAATGACAAACTGATGGTATACAACTTCAGGAACGAGCTGTGCTGATTTATCTTTCATTTTTGAAATAGCTTCGTCACACACTCTTCAAATGCAATGATGCTTCCTCAATCAAACAGGTTTCTGGATTCAACATGATAAAACAACAAAAGAGAGAATGCACAAAATTAAGCCCTACCTTAGATCAGGGAAGACAATATAATAAATCACCAAGTAATTTTTGGTTTCAAAAAAGTACCATAAATAAATTGACATTGAAAGTTCAACCTTCTGTTGGATTATTAAGGATTTAAAATCGCAATAGCAATCTTTGGTTTTTAAAAATTTTGTTTTGGTACCAGGATATACCTGATATTTCAGAACCATTTAATCGTTTAAGGAGCCCAGACGTTTTAAGTTTGCACGCGCTTCTTTGATAATGTTTTCACATTTCATGAGCTTTTCAATGTTCTGTTGTTGACGGGGCGAGTTGAGAGCTAACTTTTTACACTTTTCTAACTCTTCCTCCAACTGCTTGCATATCTTCTTGTAGTGGTATTTTTCTTGTTTTGCTTTTTCCACAGCAATGATTAATGTTTGAATATGAGAAAGAATTTTTTCCTTAGAGGTTGGTTTTGTGGAAATGTCAATTAAAATTTGATTCTTCTTCTGCTCGCTGGACAAGCTTTGTAGCTTGTCTTTAACATTTTCCAATTCCAACTTTGTTTGCGCAAGTTCATTGCGAAGTTGTGTTACCTCGGATGACGTTGTTGGTAAAGCAGAACTCTTTGCATCTGAACTTAATTTTTCAGTAGCGTGATGAGTAATTTCTGTTTTACCCTTTTCCAAAAGTATAATGTTCTTTTCTAACTCTTTCTTCAACCTGATTATTTCTCTGTCTCTATCCTGAACAGACAACTCAAGTTTCTTAATGGCATTTATAGAGTCACTGCATAACGTTTTGGAATTTTTCAGTTCCGCATCCTTATTGGAGAGCTCTGCCTTGATAACGCTAATCAATGATTGCTTCTCCTGCAATTCCTTTCGAATGTTTTCAGTAACAGCTTCGGACTGTTTCAATTTTCTTTCAATCTCAGCAGTAAAATTTTGTTGTGTGATGAGCTCACTCTTGTGTTTTTCGAGCATTTCCAGTAAATCCTTGTTTTTGGAAGAAAGAGTTTGAACTTGAGATTCATAGATCTTACACTTTTCGTCCGTAGAAGTGTTGTCACCATTGTTGGAGCTAATTATCTGTCTTTGTAGCTCGTTTTTTTCCTTTTTCAAATCGTCAATACTTTTGTTTAAACTATGTACAAGTTTAGATAGCTTTTCTTGCTCCACCACTATGACATCCTTTTCTTTGCTTAGAGATAGAATTTCTTCCTTTAACACACTATTTTCCTTTTCTAGATCTTTTTTAATTTGGTCATTACTGGAATGTTCTGCAAGCTTTTTGGTCAGTTCTGTTGACTTTTGAACTAGAGAAGATATCATTCTGTCCTTTTCGACCAATTGGATGGAATGTTCCTCTTTGGTTTTGTTTAACTCGCTCAACAATTCATTGAACTTTTGATCAGTTGCATGACAGGCAGTTTGTAAATTTTTCAACTCATTATTCTTTTCAACGAGCAATCTTTCCAACTCTAATACCTTATTTGAAAGTGTTTGCAGCTTTTCTTTTTGTTTTTTTGAAGATTCAACTGCATGTTGATATGCCACTTCTAACTTTGACTTTTCTAGCTCTAAATTGTTCTTCTCAATTGAAAGTTGGTCAGTGGATGATGAGGCATCATGCAGGAGAGTGCTAATTTGCTTTTCCATCATAGACTTTTCAGATGTTAACTTTGTAATTATCTCCTTGTTGGTGTTGATCAGTTCTCTCAGTGATTGAATCTCAACCTCATAAGTCGATATTTTCGATGAACCTTCCCTAAGGTTTTGATCCATGTCTTGTACCTCTCTGAGTTTGTTTTCAATTTCTGTTTTCAGAGCAGTATTTTCCTCTTTTAGACTTTTCATTTCTCTGTCCATGTTCAAAATGACATTTCCTCTCTCAGTTAAAGTTGATTGCAGCTTCAACAATTGCTGCAAGCTTTCAGAACCCTTATTTTCCAGTTCTTTTATGGTTGAATCCTTCAAAGCAATGTCGTCTTCAAGTAAAATAATCTTCTCTTTAGATCTGTTGAGTTGAGAGAAGACTTCTGACAGGTTCTCTTTCAAAGATGACTCGCTTTCTATCCAAGTCTTACGGTCCATATCTCGGCAAGACTCCAGCTCCCTAATTTTGATATTTAACGATGAGATTACATTGTTGAGTTCAATGCATTGCATCTTCATTGACTTTAACTCCTGGTCCTTTTGTTCTATTTGACGTAGCATTGACATTTCATTTTCAACGTTTCTCAATTCCAGCGCCTTCTCAAGACCAACAATTTTGGCCTTCAGGTCTTGCATTTCCTGTTCGTGTTTTCTAGCATTATCATTGCTAGCTGAAGTAGTATTCTTGATTCGTTCCTCCATTTCAACCAAACTCTGTTCTAATTGAATCTTCTCTTGCTGTAATTCCGTGTAATGTTTTAGCTCGTTATTATGAGAGGTTTGCAATTCTTCAATTTCTCTCTTATGTTTCTCTCTTTCGTCTTTGATGTTAGCAACTAACTTGTCTTCCTTTTCCTTGCTCTCTAGCAACGCTTGCTCGAGAATGGTAACCTGCTGAGCCAACAAATCGGTGCGGTCTGATGTGGTTTTCTTTTCACTTTGATCAGACATGAGTTTTGTTTTCATGTTGTTCATTTCTTTCTCCATGTTATTAGCTCTGATTACAGCATGATCCAGCAACTCCTGTTTTTCTTTTAACTGAATGTTCAGATGCTCAAGTTTTTCAGAGTATTCCTGCTTGATTTTGTGAATTTCAGCATGGTGAGATCTTTCCAAATCTATTCGCATTCTTTTTTCATGCTCCCAGTTTTCAGTAATTTCTGCTATTTGTACTGCATGATTTTCGACAAGGCCATTAATAGTTTTCTTGAACTGCTCTTCTTTTTCAATTAACAAGCGAGAAGCAACATCCTTATTTATACTTTGCTCGTGTAATAACTTTTCAATTGTTTCTTTCAAACGATGTTCATTCTCTGTTGCTTCCAACACTTGGCTCTGTAGTTTCCTCAGTTGCTGATTTTTCTCTTCGAGTTCATTGTGTTGTTTCGATCTTTCGTTTTTATCGAATTTTGATAATTCTTCGTTTAGAAATGCTTCAACTGATTCAATGTTTTTTTGAATATCTCTAACGAGCTGATTCTTCATCTCATCTTTCTCTCTTCTCAGTGTTATGCATGTTTCTTTGAGGGCATTATGGTTTAGTCTTAGCCTAGCTATCATATCCTCATAATTTTTGGCAAGTTTTCCAACAACCTTACCAAATGCAAGAAATTTTGAGTATATTTATATTATCTCTTTCATAACATACCTGAGAAGTATTTCCAACGCTTGATGGTGGATCCGTGTGAACTGTCTTAGTAATCGAAAAACCAGTCGTTATGTCCATAGTCTTCTTTGCAACTTCAGCTGCAGAAACATGCGGAGAGCAATTTGCCAATACCACTACTTTAAAGTTTCCTACAATAAGTTCATTAAGAATATTTTTAAATAATAAATTGGATTCTGTTGTCTCCCCTCTCAACACCTCTGAAATGAGGTGTATATCTTCCAATGTAGAGTCGATCAAAGTGAGATAAAATCTCTTGGTTCGATCTTTATCTTCGATTTTGACGGTGTAGATGATGGTTCCTGAAATGTTTTCAATTTGATCCTCCCTGAGAACTATCTTTAAGCATTCATTGAGATCTCGCAAAGAACTTATGGTATTTGATTCTCCTTCATTATATTGAATCAGAGGTCAAAAATTTGCAGACTTTTCCGAATACTTACGCTTTTTCATCAATTCAACCGAAGAACCATTTCTCACCTTATTCACCGATAATGTAAGGGCATATTTGTGTTCGAGAAGAAACTTTATGCTTCGGAACAGAAGGGCATCATTAGGCCCAACATCTTCACTTTCCCAGTTCCTTCCTCCAACAATGGAGAACGATCGTCCGCTGTATTTTCCTCCACAACTGATAAGAATGTTATTACATCCAGTGGTTATCGACTCTGATCATTGATGGAAAACAAATCAATCTTCTCAAATTGAGCCTTAAGACTGTAACCTACCATTCAACATTGGTAATCCAAGCGAATCAAAGATCTGTTCTGGAGTTGTACTCATGGGGAATACTTTATCAAAATCATATTTCACTGGCTTTTCAACTCCGTACTAGCAAGTTTGATTGGTGGAATCATATTGTTAAGGCTTGATCAACTGGTGCTACTACTCCTCTACTAACCTTTAATAGAACATTCTTCAAAGATTTATGGAAGGCAACACTACATTGAGCCTTCTTATCGCTTTCATCGTTCATTTCATACTTGATGAAGGGTCTGAATCTGCAAAAACGCATCACCAGCTCCGAAGAAGGTATTGAGGAGATCGCTTGATTCGTCATTATTTGAGAGGAGTCATTTTCTCCAACTGCACCGCTCATTTTTTCTTTCAGCCAACACCTGCGATGGAGGGCTTTCACCTCGGATTCCAGCCTTTATGGTTATGATTTGATAGTGAACCACTCTAATTCTTGAACAACATTCAACAAATGAAAGAAAATTCCTCCCAATTCTATTAAATTGAGAGAACTCATGAGAAACATCACTTAACAAGTTGACGGATGGGCTGTGTGTTTGTTTTCAATGGTACGGATCCGTTGTGAACTGTTATTAACAACTTGCTGAGTTGGAATTCCTCCTGAGAAGTCATTGAATTGTAGTTTCCGAAATGAATGATAATGTAGTGATCTTGCTTGGCCAAACAAGCAAAATTTAGTGGTGATGGCTGTTGCTGAGAGTGCAGAAGCATTCTCTTGTTGTCAGAGAGAAAAAACATCAGCAATTTGCGATAAAATATTCTATAACCGCCAAATTTTCTCCTATTGTAACGGAAAAGCATTCATCATCCACTATGAGCATCAATAACAACAACAAGAGGAAAGCCGATGCTATCGAACCATCCTCTTCCTCCATCCAATCCACAGGCTTTTCTAGCCAACAACAATACAAAACCTATTATGATATTGCCAAGCCGTATCTAAAGAAGGTGAAGCACACCGAATTCAAGAAGGAGGAATTTGATATGCCTCGTTTCCACTGTAACTATTGCCAGAAGGACATTACTTCTCTCGCTAAAATCACTTGTGCCGAATGTGAAGAGTTTGATTTGTGTGTGGATTGTTTCTGCGTAGGTGTAGAGACTCAACAACACAAGAATGATCACTCCTACAAGGTACAACCCAATCTCTCACGCACGTCTCTCATTTCAAGCGGATGGACGGCCGAAGAGGAGCTTTTACTTCTCGAAGGTATCGCACACAATGGCCTCGGCAATTGGCTCGACATTGCTGAACATGTGGGTAAGACCAAGAGCAAGTACGATTGCGAGATTCACTATTGGACCTATTACGTGGATAAGCCAATCGCCAAGAGGAAGGCTATGATTGAAAAGTTGAAACGAGAGCAAACACTTCACCAACAACAAGCATCCTCTTCCGAGTCAAGCACTCCATCAACAAATCAAGCACAACAGGAAGATGTTCAAACACTCCTCAACAAGCTTTACACAGAAAACGTTGATGAAGATGGACACTACATACCCGTCCCTGATCCATCAGCACCATTGATCCAAGAGAAGAACCAAGTCATGACCAAAAAAGACATCCGAAAAGATGATGATGGTGTGTTAATGTCCATTAAAAAGGAACTTGGTATTCCACAAATCGATTTGAAGAAGATATTCGAGGAGAATTTGAAACGATCGGCAAATCCTCGATTCGTCATGGGTACCATCTTGTCGAGAGAACCTCAAATTGCTGGAAAAGGAAAGGGAGCCTATCAACAAGGAATTGATATTGGTTATTTACCTCTGAGAGCTGATTTTGACATGGATTATGACCACGCTGCCGAGGAATTGATTGCCGAGATTGAAATTGATGAAGAGGATTCTCCTGAAGAAAGAGAACGCAAGTTGAATTTATTAAGGCTCTATGAATTTCGATTGAGTGAGAGAGAACGCAGGAGAAAGTTTGCCATTGAAAGACAACTTGTGGATTGGAAAAAGATTAGTAATATCGAGAAAAAGCGACCGAAAATGGAAAAAGAGTTGTATCAAAAATATAGACCTTTTGCAAGATTTTTGGATAATCAAGATGAATTCGAAGAGTTCATGACTGGTATTATTCAAGAAACAAAGATTAGAAATAGAATTCAACAATTGAAAGAATATAGAGCGAATGGTCTCACTTCACTCCCTCAATGTGACACATTTGACAGTGACAACAAGAAGCGCGAGGCAGATTCCGAATTTAAGAAGGCTAGAGAAGGAGGAGTGACTCCAAAAACACCAACCCCTAAGCGCAATTTTGATCATCTAATGGGAACTCCAAAAGATACCAACTCTGTAGGAATTGAACTACTCTCAAAACGTGAACGAACTTTGTGTTCAGAGTTACACATTCTACCTAGGCAATATATGCTTATCAAGGATACCTTGACTCGAGAATCTCTTCTGTCTGGGTTTGTCAGCAAGAGTGCTGCTTGCAAATTACTAAGTGACATGGATAAGGATCAAGTGAAGAAAATTCATGACTTTTTTGTTGTCAATGCATGGATTAATAGTGCCCCTCAAACCCCATCAGAAAATCCAATGGTTAAATAGAGAATTCAACTTTTTAGTAGTTAGGACTGAGTATCAACCATCATGAAAGAGTGTTTTCACATCATCATCATCGTCAGACTGAGGCAACAATGAATGCTCACCACTATTCAGGCATTCCAAGAGGAGACGACGTACGTGCCTACCTGAATGAATATTAATACAATCATGTGTCATTCACGAACGCACGACACTTCACACGTGTGAATAAAAATCTTCGGTCAAAACAGGACCTTTTCGGAGTCGAACTCCTTGTTGGGGGTGTGAAAAAATGTCTCAAGAACGAGAGTACCTACTTCAGAGTGGTGATGGTGGAGGAGGGTCTACAACCACAACAAATTCACAATTTGTGCCGAATGGTATGTTTGTTATTATTTCCATTGTCTTCCGAATATCTTCCGAACACGTTCAAATGAATGATTGAAATTACACAAAATGACACCACTTCTTTCCTCAACAACAATTATGAATAATTAATATTGACTCATTGAATCTTCACAATCATGACAACGACAATGATGGTGAATGAATTCATAAATCAATGTTTTTCTCTTCTCACATGATCAATATTAGATGTTCTCTATCAACGAAGATCACAAACCATTCTAGAATCGGAAAAAACAGAAGAACATGAGCTACATGATGCCGATGACGCTGACAGTGAAGAAGAAGATGACATGGTTACTTTTAAAAACGGAGTTCCCATCAAGAAACCAATTTTGCCCAATTTCAAGAGAATGACAAAAAAAGAAATTGTGAAATTTTCATTTAGAACTTCAAAAATTGTCATTCTTTCTCTCGCATTTCTTGCTTTTGCCATTATTTTCAGTATATTCCATTCAGTTCCAACACAGAGTACTTTGCATTACATCTCTGTTGGAGAAAATCAAACAAAATTCATTGAATTTTCACACGACAGTCCTCAAGATTTATTGACCATTCAAGTGGACATTCCTATTGTTGGAAATGAGCTCATTTATGAATTGAAAAAGGAAACCGTTTCTAAAAAGAAGAATCAAGATTGGAAATTAGATTTTCAATTACAAAGAAATTCTTTTGCAACATTTATCGATGAAGAAACAAAATCCGTCTCATTCAATTATGAACAACAGAATGAAGAGGAACAACATTCATTCATCAATCTTGTGAATCAAACATATTCATTGGAATTTGTGCCATTCATGAATGAAACGATTATTGTACCTCCTCATGATAATCAAACGAATCCAGATAAACCTCATAACACCGATGAAGATGAATCTGAAATTCAAGAAATCAAAGGAAAACACACCTTTTACACAGATTATTCACAATTGAGTTCAGAAGAAAAACATAATGTCACTTATCGATTACTCATTTCAACCAATTTTCCACAAAATATTACATCCTCTTTCACCATTCGAGTCAATTTTCAACAACAACCTAATTTAGCGAGATATCAAGTCTTGTTGGCTGCCTTAGTATTATTATTTGTCTATGTGTTGATCGTATTTGAATTAATTCATAGAACATTGGCTGGAATGGTTGGTTCTTTTTTGGTTCTTTCAGTTCTTGCTCTTGTGAATAGAAAACCAACTTTGGAAGAAATTTGTGAATGGATGGAATATGAAACTCTTGCATTGCTCTTTGGAATGATGATTATGGTGGGAATTTTCTCAAATACTGGATTTTTTGAATGGACAGCATTGATGGCTTACAAATTATCGAAAGGAAAGGTTTGGCGATTGACCATTATTTTGTGTTTGTTTACAGGATTTGTTTCTGCATTTTTGGATAATGTCACAACTATTTTATTGGTTACTCCTGTGACATTGAGATTGTGTCGAGTTGTGAATATTTCACCAATTCCAATTATTATTAGTGAAGTTATTTTCAGTAATATTGGAGGAACAGCCACTGCAATTGGTAAGTGTGAAATTCCTTGTTGATGGGAAAACAACATTCTCAATCACTGAATAACGTTTATCAAACGAAAATATTAATAATAATCGAATAATAATAATAATCATGACAGGAGATCCGCCAATCGTCATTATTGTGAATCATCCTGGAATCAAAGCTCTAAAAATTGGATTTACAGATATTTCACTTTTTTTGGCGCCATGTGCTCTGATTGTAGCGTTTTTCACATTCATTCCAGTTCGACTTCTCAATTGGAAATTATTCAAACAAGCTCCACAAGTGGACAATGAACGAATTCAACGAGAAAAAGAAATTGAAATTTGGGAATATACTCTTAAAAAGACTCAAGGAAATGGAGTTGAAGAAAATATTGTGAAAGAAAGTTTACAACATCACATTGTGAACTTGAAAGCTCAATTACAAGAATATTTACAAAAGAAAGGAGTTAGTACAAACACACAGCTTTCTCCAAAGGAGCTCGCCAAACTCTCTCAACAGTATTCCATTCACAATCCTAGACTTTTTATTATTTGTTGTTCCATTTTAGTAATTGTGATTATTTTCTTCTTTTTAGAAAGCTTTATTCATGAATATGTTCACGTTGGATTGGCAGAAATTGCAATAGTTGGAGCAATTATTATGCTATTATTGAGTGGAATTGATGAATTGGATGAAGTGATTGAAAAAGTGGAATGGTCGACTTTACTCTTTTTTGGATCTCTTTTTATTTTGATGGAGGGATTGTCACAATTAGGATTAATTGAATATATCGGAGATTTGACTTCGAGTGTGATTAATCTTATTCCTGCTGGTGATTTGAGGTTGTTTGTAGCTATTACACTATTATTATGGGTTTCTGCGTTTGTTTCTGCTTTTATTGATAACATTCCATACACGACGGCAATGATTCCTGTTGTGTTAAAGTTGGCAGAAGCTCCAACGAGTTTACCCATTAGACCCATCTTGTGGGCACTTGCACTCGGCACATGTCTAGGAGGTGAGTTTTACATAATAATTGAGAATTTTTTTAACATGATTGTGATAACTGTTTTCTTGATTCTTGCAATACCATATATCACATCACCTTAAAGGAAACGGAACGCTGATTGGTGCATCAGCAAACGTGGTCGCAGCAGGTATTTGTGAAAATAAGGGTCACAAAATGACGTTTATGGGATTTTTGAAGCTTGGATTCCCTTGCATGCTTCTTTCCATCGCAATTTCGAATATTTATCTTGTCTTTGTCCATATTGCTCTTGGAATTAAATAAATATTCACACTTCTTTCATGAATTGTAAAGAATTTATTACATTGAGTGTTGTTGTATCTGTGAATGCAGTATTTTAAATTACGTGAGCAGTGAGGATTTCAAAAGTGAATTGTTTCTTGCTGAGTTGTTCTTTGACGAGTTCAATATGTTCAAAACCTTTGGTTTGGCATGTGATAATGGTTGCTGTGAAACCAACTGGCACATTTTCAGTTCTTTCGTGGTCAACTTCTCTAATGTTGACTTTCAATTCACCAAGCAGTGTCAACACTTTAGCCAATTGGCCTGGAACATCAGGAACCACCGCTCTAACTCTAACCAAACGACCACTTTGTGCTAAACCTCTGTCAATGATATCTCTCACTTTGATTTTAAAGGTGTTTTGTGCAATAATAAGATTTAATTTTCCAAAATGATTTTTCATTAGTCATCATGCAAACATTATTGATTAACAAAAAATTAATGTCATCCTCCTACATACCTGTTCCAATATCCATATTTCCTCCCGAAAGAATAACACAAACACGATGAGAAGAACTGTTTGGTTTTGTAATTTCAGGTAACTTTCCAGACAATAATGCAGCCACAGCAGTAGCACCAGCGCCTTCAACAAGAGTCTTTTCTCGTTCGAGTAATACGAGAACTGCATGTGCAATTTCACTTTCACTCACAGTGACAATGTCATCGACGTACTTGTCAACAATTGGGAATGTTAAATCTCCTGCTCTTTTCACAGCAATACCATCAGCAATGGTAGATTTGTATGGAACCATAATGGCTTTTCTTTCTTTCTTAGCTGTGATCATGGATGGAATGTTTTCAGTTTGAACACCATAGACCTTAATTTTAGGGTTGACTGTTTTCACTGCAATGGCTGTACCAGAAATGAGACCTCCTCCTCCAATTGGACACACAATGGTATCGATGTATGGAGATTGTTCCTATAATTATGAAAATGTTGAAAATGAAATTGGTGACTGTTCGTTCATCATCATCGTCAAAATTTGTCACGCAAATAACGTACCAATAATTCAAGTCCTAGTGATCCTTGTCCGGCAATAATGTCATTGTCATTAAAAGGATGGACCAAAACTCTATTTTCTGCGTCCTTAATTCTCAATGCTTCCTGATAAGCGTCATCAATGGATTCTCCAATTAACACAACTTCAGCTCCATATCTTCTAGTTCCTGCCACTTTTGCAAGTGGAGTGTTTTCTGGCATGCAAATAGTTGCCTTAATTCCGAGTCTCATTGCATGATATGCAACCGCTGCTCATTTATGAGACAATTATTAACATAAATTGAATTAAAGCGTCATTTCACATATTCATGAAAATATATGGAAACTACAGTTACAATAATTACCTTGAGCACTATCAGAATGTTACTTAATTTCTGAAATTTTTCTCTAAAACTTACTGATTTCCTGCAGAAGATGCCACAACACCACGTTCTCTTTGCTCAGCAGTCAAAGATGCCAATTTGTTAATGGCACCTCTTTCCTTAAAGCTACCAGTCATGTGCTTATTTTCATATTTTAAATGCACCTTTCTTGGATGCAACACTCCTTTTTGAAGTCCGAAAATTTCTTGTGTGAGAACCATGGATTCCTGTAATGGAGTTGGTGGAAGTAAAGGTCCTTTTTGGTCCAAAAGACAAGGATAATGACAGGATGATTGTTGAGTCCATAATGAATGATTGGTTTTTATCAACATTCGGTATCATCAAAGGATTTGTTTGTAAACATATTAGAATGTGCCACATTTCAGAATAAAAACTTACGAATTCTTGCAAAGGCTTCTTCAATATCATAGAATGTAACATGAGAAGTGGATGCCAAACTTCCATCTTCATCAGGTGCTACGTATTGAATCTCTTCAAGAGGAGCAGAATTGTTCATACTGTGATTATTATTACTTTGATCCGATGATGATGATGATGGATGAACCACTCGCATGGGATTTGAAAAAGTTGTTGAGAAGGAACGTAATGATGATGATGAATAACAACTCGACCACAAGCCTTTGCTCTTCTGCTGCATGAAGTGAGAGGCAGCTCTCAACGATCGGGATGTATGATGAGAGAGCATGATGAAAAGTTAATAAAATTCTTGAGTGGTAGGTTGATGCTGATAATTGGTGTGTGTTTGGAAGAATGAACGGACGAATGTATGAACAACAGAGACTCCAGAGGAGGTGAAAGGAAGAGAAAAGTTCAGTTATTTTTTCGTTTGTTGTTATGAACTGGAATGAAGATTACAATTAAACTGGACTGTTAAATCGAAAAATGGCTAAGGTTAATATGAAAGATCCCTTGTACCCATTATAGCCTCCTAAATTCAGAAGATCATGAAAATGGCAACTACGCTAACCATACCGAAATTGTTTCATGAGAAAAATAAAGGAAATTTCCTTCTACATCATGATAATAGTCACCACTTTGGTGGAATCTCGTTCTCGAAGAAACTTCAACTCCACCAAATATTGACTTTAAGAAATTTCTTCGGGCCTTATAAAAAAAATTCGTTGGTCGTGGTTACACTTTGTTTTTAAGGAAAAAAAGATCTTGTGACTCCACTTTGCTCGGAATCGGAATCATCATTATCCAATTCATTGAGACTCCTTTCATCTTTATTCATTTTGTAAATAATATCGTCCTTGCTGTTGAAAATTCTATATCTCTTTTTCCTGGTGTTTATCTCTCACGAGATTTTGTTCAATATCATCCCATCCACAACAACACATCATTAAGATCATATAAAATGGGAAGCGCAGTTTCTCAGGTCTCCCAAACATCAGTCCCAGCAAAGAGGAAGAGGCCTAAACAGCGCAAGAAGAAAGATGTAGGTTTCCGAGAACATAAGTTTAAGGCTCATCATCATTCTTAATATTTATTTATATAATTAATTGTATGATCACTCGGTGATCCCACCAGCTTCAAAAAACATTAGAGGGTATTTATGGGGACGTTCTGACGAAAGAAGAAATCACTCAATACTTTAATTTATATTCATCACCGAAATTAATTGAGGAATGTTTTTTTGATTTTGAGACTTTGTATGAAAAATTGCTCGACGAGAATGGGGAAGTCCGGAAATTGAAAGTTAATCTTGCAGTCATCAATATTCAAAAGTGGACTGAGAGCAAGCTCAAAACAATGGTGGTTTCTAACATTTTGAGGGTGAAAGAGCGAGATACACTTGGATTTGGTCTAGTTCATGTGGCCGTGTTATTGGGACAACATATTGTTCATTGGTTCGATGATGGCCTTGTACATTTAACGCCCATCAAGTCAGGACATCCCAACGTGGCTGTTGAAATTGGAGAATTGGACATTGAGGAGAAGAAAGATCAAGAAAAAATCAAACAATTTTGTTATGTGATTTCAGAGTACAACACAAAAATGGTGTACAATAATAGAAGTTGTAACTGTCATCACTTTGTTAGAGATAGCATTAGTGCACTGGAATTGGATTTCTCATCAATAATGAGAGGTCAGTTAGGATCCTATTTGCGGCGGGTCAGAAATGGAAAGCTCGTCAATGAAAAAGAATTCAACAATCCCATAACCAATGAGAAGGTTGTCTTCACCTCGCACAGACATCTCGATGAATATGTGTTTCGCCTTTTATCAGAAAACCCAAATTTCAAAGAGGAACATCCTTACGATTACATGCTTTTGAAAGCTTTCGATCGAGGTTTTTGGATGGGTCATTTGCGAGATCGACATGAAAATGCAAAGACGGCAAACGAGGATGCCACCCCTGTTTGGAACGAAGTGTTTCTTCCTCTCTTTCGGATTGACCCAACGATGCATTTACATGGAGGTAATGACAAAATGATGGTAGAGTTTGAATTGGAGGAAATAGAGAAGGATCTCACAAAGCAAGATCATTACCACTCAGTTGTAGCTTGCCCATTTGGAGATCCTGCACGCACTGGTTGCTTTTTACCCTTTGATTAAACAGCATTAAGTGAGTCCACTGAACTCGGTTTGGGAATACCCACCAGCTGGTGGGTCAACTGATCCATCTTTGCATGATGGCTCTAAAATTAGAGGAGAAAGAGTTAGGAATTCAGCCTCAAAAAAAATGAGTCCTCCACTCGTCAGTGAACCATCAAGCGACCTTTCAACAACATCACACTCCATGGATGGTGTGGTGAGGTATGTACATGATGAACGCCATCATCTTTACAAGTTAACATGCACACGGGACATGTGCTTTGAAGTTATGACATATCTGGGAACTCAAGATCTATTCTCAGTGATGCTTTCCTGTCGCCAATTTCATGACTTAATTCATGCGAATACTGTTCTATTGAGGCCCTTCGCTTTGAATGGTATTAGGAAATGCCTGTCTCGGCTCGAGAAGTATGAAGTCCCATGCTTAGCTCTGCTCGATCATTTTGGTGAAAACTTCTCTCAAGAAGTATTCTTTGGTGTGTTGGTTCAAGCGATGAACACAGCAAGTGTAAATGTGCTTTACACCGTCTTGGATCGAATGGAAGTGACAAGCACAGTGCTACGTCAAGCTCTCTTGGAATGCAATCAACGTTCTCATCCTATATATCGAGCTCTAATGAATCATCCCAAAGTTGAAGGATTGGTACCGGAAGTGGTTTCACTCCTCATTCACAACACAGATTTCTACGAGCTCGAACGGTTACCTCTCGATAGTATCGATCTTTCCATCTATTTTAATGAACTGTTGGAAGATCATCCTACTTTTTTTTCCTCACATTCCTCACTCTTGCACCATCATTGGCAACGAAGAAAGGATCGACATCTCATTGTGGAAAGGTTTGCCAGAATTTTCTCTGGAATTAGGATTGGTGTAGAATGTAAAGTTGTTCTCGATTATTTAGAATTGATGAATACGAAGGAACGAGCCATGCAAAAACAGTTTGTGATTGAACAATCAGAAGAATTGAAATTGGAATTATTACTTCGACAGTCTCTCTTTAAAACATTTGGTTTAGATATTTTGAAATATTCTCTCACTCATCACCACCACAATGTGGTATTGAGGTGTTTGACATTGGACCCACTTAACATGTCTCAGGAGTTGGATATGCAACATTTGACATTGGAACTTATTGTTCACAGACAATATTTCTGGTTAGCACAATTAATTCAACTTTTCAAAACAAGTGCCATTGAATGGATTGCAACCTCACCAAGAAATTACTTACGACTTGTGTTTGAGCAGGCTGTTCCTCTTGGTTCCAACAGCAACTATTTTGGTGTTTTTGACACACAAATACAAGAGAGAACCAAACGTCAAGAATCCTCTTTGAATTGCCTCATAATCACTGTTGCAAACTTATTTCCGGAAATCGATTATACAAGGAATGAAAACGAGCTTTTGAGGAAGGCTGCCTTACTAAAGTCAGATATGATTACAACAACGTTGAAAAAACTGCAGGAAGAACAATTAAAGAAACTCACGAACGAGCAGAATCGTGATACGTCTAACCTAGAGGATTGTATCGATGATGACTTTCAAAAGTATGAGGTGTTATTACATGAAATTAATAATACGAGAATTAATGATGCCCGTTTTTAACAGTGTCTTGTCACCCAGCCTCAACAGAGGTTTGTTTAGAGAAATAGGGCATCATTTACTTCTTCAAGATTGTGATGATCACATTTGGAATGTTTAAAACATTACACTATTAATAGTGACAATATTTTGAAACATTACTGATATGACAAGTCTACAAAAGAGTCAATTTGGTTTGAGAATTCCCAACGTACAGACATTGAAGAATTTGAGAGAAATAAAAGATTGTACATGAAAAAATGAAAACAACAAAACAATCTTTTCGAATCCTTTGGCCCAGTCCATCTTTCCAATCCAGGGATCAAAAACGCTCAACCCTGGATGAGTGGTTAAGCGGAAAACGAATCTACGAGGACAAACGAACAAGAAGAGTAAATGTTCCTCCTCTCAGTGATAATGCATGCTTAAAGCAGTTGGTAGACACCTCGTACATGTGTTACGAATTTATGAAATATCTCACACCAAAGGATCTCTTTTCATTGATGCAGTCATGTCGAACCTTTTATGAAATCATTCATCAACTCAAATTGTTGCGACCCGATGCTTACAATGGTCTTTGTATTTGTGAAGAAAGATTTGAGTACTACAAGATCTCTTATTTGAATTTATTGTACAATTATGGACAGCACTTGTCACACAGCGAGCTTCTCTTCCTTTCGGACAGCTCTCTCCAACACTCATGTTCTCAAGCAATGGACCTTATTTTAGGGTGGCTGGACATTTCTAGCCCAGATATCTGCCACATTCTTATCAAGTATGACAATCGAATGAGTAGTGGTGATGTGAATCAAGCGATGGAAACGTTTATGCGACACCCTAAAATACAAGAGTTAACTTCTGAAGTAGTCGAATACTTAGTTTCAGAGCAGCGCTTCTCCCTTCTTGAGAATTTACCATCTGTTGATTTCGCATCTTTCTTTCAAGAAATTTTGGAGGTTCAACCTAGTTTCTTTGCCACGCATCCATCCATATTATTTCAAAGGTGGAAACAAAGAAAGGATAGAGATCTCATTGTGAAACATTTTACTTCCATTTTCAGAAGAATGGAAGAAAACCAGGAGCTTGACGAGCTTGTCCTCGAAATGATGAACAAGAAGGAACGACAAGTACAAAGAAAGTGGGTGGTTGAATCTCTCTCACAAGAATTTCAAAAATCCTTATTGAAAAGAAGAAGTCTTGTCCTGGAATATGGTGTTGACATTATGATGTTTTCTCTCAATATTTCTCGCCATCATATGGTTATCTGTTGCTTAAAGGTGGATCCTGATTTATTTTCTAAGGAATTGGATTTACCCAGACTTAGCATGGAACTTATTGACAGGTGCCGATATTACTTGCGCAGAATTAGTCAAATTACTCAAAATGAAAGCTATTTCAGCAGTTGCATCATCTCCAAGAAATTATTTGCGTTTTATTCTCCAACAAGCTCATCCTCTTGGAAAAAGAGATAATTACATTGGAAGACGAGATATTGAAATGTGGAGCCGACGTGAACACCAACAAAAATCTTTGAATTACCTTATTGAAACGATTGGAAAACTATTTCCAAACATTAATTACCTTAAAAACCAAAACGAAATTAGAAAGAAGGCGGCTGCTCTTGGTTCATCTGAAATTTCTCAAACAATCACTCGTCTTGAAAGATCGTTCATAGAGTATGTGAAGCATAATGGCACAGAAGTTGAAAGTGAAGATGACTCTTTTGATGAGCAAACCATCCTCTTGCTCCGGTTCAGATGCGAAAGGTTACACATGTTGAGAGAATAAGAGATTTCGGGGGTCTGTTGTCAACTACCAGCTCTTCAATCCCAAAAGAATTCGAAAATTAAAATGAATTTGCGGCAATGATTTCTTCATTTATTGTGTCAACATCCTAAAACGGTCAGCAAACACGTTTAAATATAAAACCAATCATTTTTAAAAAAATGCCAGCAAGCACAGTGTGGATGGAAAAGGTCTTCTCGATCGGCAAGATATCGTCCCATTTATTTCAGAATCATCGTCTTGGGACATTATCATTCAATAGTGTTGGATGTGGTGGAGTATTCGTTCGTAATTCTAAGGTCGGTCGGAGTAATTTATTCATGAATAGAAATTCCGACTTGTATGCCAATCCATCATGTTGTAGATGGTATGATGATCAAGAATATTGCAACTCACATCAGCGACTCTATCATACAAATATGAAAAATTATGAAACAAACAAAGAAGAGGAAACTGAAATGGAAATTTGTGTTAAAAACCTTGAATTGTTGGAAAAAAAAGTTTCCGAGATTATTTCAAAAGAATTATCAAGCAGTGGCAATGAAGAAGTAAAGCGAACCATTCAACAAGCAAAAAAAAAGATCGGAAGTGATGTCTTCACTCTCGTCTCAATGTTCAGCACCGTATGTCGATCTGAAGGTGAGAATTTGCCATCTCTTCAATTTATGAGAGAGTATTTGAGAGCGATCCGATTGTGTTTGAAATGTGGATTGCGAGGATGGATAGAACTGAACACGAGTGATGAATTTTTAACGTACTTGATTCGAGAACGAGAACGATTGTCGGAAATTAATGATGAAACACCCACTGTGCTTCCTTTCATTGTTGATATGATCAGAAATGAAGTGATCTCAGAAAAAGGCACGAATTCAGCAAAAGTTGAAACTCTAGATGAAGAGGAACCTGATTGGCTTTTTAATTATCTTCTAAATGCATTCAAAAACTCACCACTTCTCACGGCCTACGCGGAAAATATTAACATTTGCCAATTTATTCAGCAATATCTTGCGGACTACGTTTCCATGGGAATGCACATTATTTCGAACAGTGACCTGAACCCTATTGAGACTGTTAAAATGGAAGCTGAATTCTTTGAAGCAGTGTTTTATTGGAGCTATTACGTTTGCTCCATCAATTCATTTGTCATTGAAGAAAACTCACTCGCTCACATGAAGAAAATATGTGACCAGTATGAATATTGGAAGACTCAAAATAAGAGTATTACATTCAGAGATCTTGGGACCGGCGTGTCGATATCTCTAGATTCTTGTATGGAAGTTGTGAGAGCGGTAATAGCACTCTGTGAAAACAAACCTACGGAAGCCGAACAACATCTATTGTATGCAATTGAAATTGATCCATCAAATATTCATGCGCAAGGGCTTTTGGCACGAGAATGTTCTTTCGCAGTTCATCCTGAAAAGCTTGAAAAACTTGCAGAAATTCAAACAGTTATTTCTAAAATTAATTCTATCATTGACACTGTTCATAATCGACAACTTGGTGGTGAATTTCCCGATCAAGAATTGCCTCCGTTCTCTGCTGACACCAACATTAAGGCCAGTTTACTATTGCATGCTGCCTCACTGGTTCCAAAAGAAAACAAAGCTCGCCTCGAACTCATCAAAAAGTCAAGCTCAACCTTTGACTTGTCAGATTTGTACTGTAAAATTCCTTACAACATTGTGAATGCCTATAATAGAATTAGAATTCTATATAGCTTGGAAAAGTATGAAGAAACATTCCAGGCCATCAATGAAATTCTTGGCATAAAATTCAAACTCACCGAAGATCAATTGAGAGATATCATCATCATGATGAATATGTCTCTGATTGAACTAAATAGAGCTGAGGAATCGATCAAACTCCTAGAGCCTTATATTAGAGGTATGCCTTATGATTTAGAGTTGCGATATTCATGGCTTTTCACACATGAAACTCTTGTCCACCAAACAACAAGTGCACCTCACAAAAAGAAACACGCCATTGCCAACTGTGTGAACGAATATCAAAAACTTCTCACTGCCCTTAAAAATTCACCTTCTTCACAAAATCTCCAAGATCATATTTCATTCATTCAAAGCAAGTTACAGCAACTGAATACGGCATGGAGTGCAAACAATTAATCCAATGTGGCGCTGCCAGATGTTGACAGAATTAAATTTGGATTCAATTTACCCCTTGAATACAAATTGAAATCAAATCAGGCACTAAAATCAAATAAGCGAGTATTGGTTTTGTTTGAAACATCATGGCACGATGGTGAAAGGATATCTCTTCGAGATACAGGTCTGATGTTCATGAATGTGCAGCTACAGTGTATCAAACTGCAATAATTTTAGGTTCATGAAGTAAATGTATTAATGTCACACACACATGTTTAGAGACATCACCAAGACATCATCGGTCGTTCATGGATCTATTGATGCGGAATAGTTTAATGACCGATGATGTCTTGGTGATGTCTCTAAACATCATCCTAGCAGTGGCGAAAGCCCCACCAAAAAAATTCCCTCCACCCATCAACTACGGTCAACCACCACAAGAACAATCTGGCCTGAGAGAGAATAGAGCCTCATTCTCGAGCTTGGGTACAATCATTTGACGAATTATCATCAAAGTTTAGAAGCAACAACACAGTACTTGGTTGTTGTTGGTTGTTCCATCCATTTGGAACTGAAAATTGCAACAAAATAGCTTGTAGTTTTTATCAAAACATCAAGACCGAAACATTATTTTTAAATCACTCACTCACATTTGAGTAGATTACTCAATCCGTAATAGTAGTTTTTATTTGATCAACTGCTCGACCTCTTTCATACAAACTTGATTTTCCTTTTGAGCCAACCATGGGCAATATTTCAAGCCAAAATTCAATCTTTCTCTCGGACAGAGATGAAGAACCCAAGCCACCTACCAATCCGTCGTTTCATCCCTCAGGATCACTCTCACCCTCCACGCAAAGCAGATCGAGAAGGCCACCTCGGGAGGAAATATCTCCTGAGATGGTTGTTTTACAGAAAATAGAGTCTAGCAAGATACTCGCCGCAAAGTTACAAAATCCTAACGACAGAGACAGATTAGTCCACCAACTTTCTGACGAAACAGAACTCAAGAACAATTTTCTTAACCTTGACTTTGTTTTACAATATTTAGAGAGAGAAAACCTTAGAAAACAACAAGATGATTTCTCAAATATTGCAGCTTTACGACAACGTTGTACTAGGCGCCAACAGAATTCATTGGGCATTCCTGGAATTGTAGTGACATCTGCTCCGAGAGATTCAGAAGCATCTGAATCCACTGGAGATGCTGTGGACCACATCATCGAAGAGGATGACTCTGAAAATCCACCTCCCAACTTACCTGAAAGAGTGGAGAATCCATCGCTTGCAACCAGAGCCACAAACTTATATAGGGCCATGAGAAGGTCCATTGGAAGATCGATTGGATCAGAGGCATCTTCTAGTCATGACATTCTCCCAAACGGTTATGGAACGTCAATTTTAGATCCAGTCTTTTCTACTCTTAATCATTCTTGTGATGAAGGATGCAATGAAGAACTTCCAGAAGAAGAGCTCCAAGAACATAACTTGCTGGATGAAATTACATTTAAGGTTAAGCTTATCCTTGTTGATACACTCAAGACTGAAGCATCAAAGAATGTTAGACAAATCATATCTCCCATTTTGGCAAAGATGGACAAACTTCCTAACCATGGAATATTTCACTCTTCTATATCAATAGGTCCTTGGATTTTGGAGTTTACTGATTGGTAAGTATTTCTTGCTCAACGTTGTATCGAACCAATGTCTAACTGTCATCTTTCTGGGAATAACAAGTGGGTTATGCATACCAAGAAAGATCACTTCCAAGATGGCCCTTCTTTCGATAGACATTGGAGAAATTAAAGGATGGACTGCCATAACAGAAGCTGTAAATAGAATCGCTCATGTTGTGTGCAGATGGAACACTCAAGTCTCTTATTCAAGGAACAACGTGAGAAAGGAGTCCATCATTTTCTCAAGCCCTTCTTCCCAACTTGCTGTTGAGGGCCAACGAAGAATTTCAGATGCCTTTTACGGCTCCTCACTTCCATCAACACCAGAGCACAGTACTCCAAGTAGTTTGAGCCCACCTCTTGGAGGAAGCGCTACGCTCACGGGTGTTGCACAAAATTTTGTTGGATCACTTTCATCCAACTCGTCAGCCTTAAGTACAAGGCAGAGCGATCGCTCGTCCTTGTCCTGTTCACAACACCCTAACAAACACGAACAAAAAACTGTTGGAAACTGTCAAGACTTTGGTAGGTTTTCTTGAGATGAATTGTGCAAATTCTTACAACCTTTATTAGTCGATGAAGTTCTCGAAGCGTTGGAGATCACACCAGTGTTTTCAGAGTCCATGCACCAATTTTTACTCAACCTTAGAAACCGAGGTGACAGCCATCTTACGATAAAATTGGACGATCCGTTTCTTGAGAAATTTGGGCTTAAAAACAACGCATTCAATAACATTAAGGAAATGCTTGGATCCGCCAAAGCTGCAGAGAAAACCAATTCTTATCATGGAACTCCACCAGTGACCAACGACAATTCACGAAAAAGAAGCAAGAGTGATACTCCCAAGTTATTGAATCCAGATCCTCTCTCCACTATTGAAATCCAAAATCACTGTATGACATTCCATACTCACGAACAGCTTGACCTATTTGTAAATTTACTGCTTCAAAAAGATCCTCAATTCTCTCGAACCAATCCTCAAACGTACGACTTGCTGAAAGCATTCGATCGAGCTTTTTGGATCAAATACAAATCTGCCATTCTCTCAAAACCCAATATGCTTGCAAACAACAAGGTTTTACAGCAAGAAACACAATTAGAAATGTTGACGACAGCTCCTCTCAATATGCAATCCAAAGCAGTGGAGTTAGCCAATAACATTATGGTATGGAATGGCTATACCGATCAAAGAAGAAAACCACATCATCAATGTCTAGGTTGCCCCTTTGGTGATCCTTTCTGTACCATGTCATTCATTCATATCGAGTAAATATCTGATGAATGTTGATGATTGGAGTTGTCAACTTTTATAGGGTGTTCAGTTTTTTTATTGAACGAAAAGCCTTCACACCATTGAATATTCGTTTTTTGCTCATTCAATCAAAATAACGAATCCAATTTTGTAACAAGTCGTAGAAATTAGGTAATTTTTTGTTTTGAAAAAAAAATACACAACTCTAATCCCTCTTCACCATCACAACAAAATGAACAACTTGCCAAGAGTCTTTGTTTCTAACATTGCTTTCTCCACTACATGGATGGCTCTCAAGGAACACTTCTCCAAAGTCGGTGCCGTTAAATTTGTTAAAATCTTTGAAGACCGTGAAACTAAGAGACCAAGAGGTACTGGATATGTTACTTTTGAATCACCAGAAGCTGCTAAAAAGGCTGTTGAAACCTTGAACGGAACTGAACTTGAAGGAAGAAATATTGTGGTGAGAGAATATATTGAGAGACCACCAAAGACTACTTCTGAACAAGAGTAAATTTTGAGCTTTTACAGCCACCCGAAATTTCTCATCTAGTGCCCGTGATTCAGATGATATAATTAAACAAAACAAACATTCCTTAAATATAAATTCACATCGTAAATTCCTTTTATTTGATGACCACGAACGCTTCGGAATGTCGTCAATAGAGTGAAAGAATAATTTATTGTTTTCAATACAATCACTTTAACTCCACACTTCTTTGAGATAGCGACCGGTTGCTTGCCATTCTGAAACTACTTGTTTGGCTTGCTCTGGTGAATAGTTGCATTCCTCTTCAATGATTTGATGAAGCACTCGATTGACTTGAGTGGCCATACTTTGTGCGTCACCGCACACATACAACACTCCCTTCTTCATCATCATCATTTCCACAATATTGGCAGAATATTCACGGAGGTAATCTTGTACGTAGGAACCACCATACCAAATACCTCCTCCTGAATCGGCCTCTCTGCTACTCGCCACCAATAAGTTCAAATTAACAAAGCTATTAGTTTCGAAATCTCTCAGATCATCACGATACAAAAAGTCAGCCTTCATACTTCTGCATCCAAAGAAGAGCCAATTCACGCCATCCGATTGTTTCTTGTCTAGCATGCATTCCCGATGTTGCAAAAAACCTCGGAAAGGCGCCACACCTGTACCAGGTCCAATCATGATAATGGGTGTATTCAAATTTTCTGGAAGTCTAAAGTTGGGAGAAGGTTTTACGAACACTGGAATGTTGACTTGCTCCTCACTTGACCAAAACTTTTTGGCCTTATTTTGCAACCATGACGTGCAAGAGCCATAGCGAATGGTATGATATGGAGGAGGTGTTTCAAATTTGATAATACTGAATGCAATGTGTGCTTCATCAGGATGCTTGATAGGAGATGATGAAATGGAATAGTATCGAGGAAGAAGAGGAGGTAACTCTTGAAGAAGATGACTCAATCGAGGTTTGCATGAAGGATACCACGAAAGAATATCAAATAAATTAGCCCTTTGCTTAACAATTTGAGAGTTGTAGAGAGCAGTGTCGAATGTGAGTTTGAGGATGGCGTTCTTTTCATTGAAATTTGAACAATATTTGGCCAAAACTTGCAACATTGGAACGGTCACTGGTGCCATGATATCCACACGCTTTGTTAGAATCGTTCTGATATTAACAATTTCGTTTTCACCGGATGAAATATGTTTTGGAAAAATGCAAAGTTTGGAATTATCTGTGCATTTGATGCAAATTGGATCAGTGTCAGAAAGAGGTGCATCATTTGGTGTTAATTTGAGAGATCCTCTTTCTTTAAGCTTCTCAATTAATGAGTCAACGTGTTCATGATCATTTTCACAAAATATTCCCAATGCATCTCCAGGTTCATACTTAAATGAAGCCTCTTGACTCATAGGAGCTTTGGTCATGTCTAGCTCAAGATGTAAAACTTGTTTTGATGACTCAGTGGTAGTCAAATAACGAGCTCCTCGAATGGAGGAGTAAAAAATGTTTGGAGTTTTTGCGACATTTGAAGCAGGTACATGCTCATCACTCTCAAAGATCAAATTATCTTCACTACTGTCACAATGAGAGCCAAATAATTCTTCCAATCGCAAATTGTAATAAGCCAAATCATCTACTTGGGCTTTTTCTTCTAATTTTTCAGCTCTCACAATGGTCAAATACTCAGTGGCAGATGAATGAGAAGCTGCAATGAGGGTTGAGAGTGCTTCAAGTTGATCCTTTCCTCCTGATGATAATTTTCTTGGTATTGGGAATGAGTCCGTTGGTTCAGTATTTCCGCTGAAAGAAGAAGAGGTGATTGAGGATTGGCCGGTCAGGGATGATGGAGATACATTACTCGTCGACGATGATGTGACATTTCTGGGAGGTGTATTTGGAGGCTGAATTAAAGAGGCGTTATCAGTTGCGGCTCCACGAGGAGAACGAGCAGTATCCACACTCTCGGCAATGCTGGATGATTCCACACTCTCCGTGTAAATCTTTCTTAATGTTTGAAGTACTTGAGCAATATAGGGTTCAACAGAAACCTCTAATCCAACGACTTCATCAGCCTCTGCTCTAGCACCAATTCTTTCAGCTCCCAATTCTAGAAGTCTCTTGTCAATATTTCTTGCTGCGTTACAAAATGAGTCATAATTACTGTCTCCAAGTCCTAGAAGTGAATAAGAAAGATTAGCGAAAAATTGTGCTGGAGTAGATTTCAGCTTGATGAATCGGTAAAAATTGTCAGCATTCTGAGGAACATCTCCATTTCCAGTTGTTGAACAAATAATAATCATGTTCACCTTATTGTCCAAAATATGTGGTGACACATTGTCTGTAGTAGTTGGTTGTTTCATTGTTTTGGCTCGATCTCGAAGCTTGTAGTTGGTTGCAAAGTCATTAAGAGTCTGAAGTTGGGTATCTTTTGAAAGTTGAAGTTCGGAGCAAGCCTTGTAGATACGTGTGGCTATGGCTTTAGCGTTTCCAGTTTCCGAGCCATAGCAAATGAAGAGAGGTGTGGAGGACATTTTGGAGAAAGATGATGACGACGACGTAAAACCACAATATTGTACGTTTGATGATGATGACGATCGTCGCTAAATTTTAATTTCTCGGAAACAAAGATAACCGATCGCCAAGCTTTGCAAATCAATCTATCAATTGAAATATTGATCAATCAACAATTAAACCAATCCACTAAAAATCGATAGATAATTGATTGAATGAATCAATTTAATATTGGAGAGATGATGATGAATTTAATCTCAGCTGATGGACAATCCCGTTTTTCTTCTTTTTGATTTTTTTAGCACCAATTCGCGCAAGTTGAGGATGCGAAACGATTGAATTCATTGAAATGGTGGACTCCGCATATGATCATGATGAAGATTCCTCTCATCCCCTTTGGAATTGTACATTCATGAATGATGATGGGAGAATTGTGGATCATTCACCATTGTTGCGTCGTCGTGCTTTCAATAGTTACAATTTTCCATGAATTGAATGTTCTTGCGCTTTTTTCAATTGGAGAATCTTTGTGCTGTTCCTAACGTTAAGAGGGCACAACAAACCATTTCCAACAAACTGGGACAAAAAAGAAAAAAACAATCATAATACTACGACTGTTGTTTACTTTGATATCTCTCTAGACGTGTAACCATGAGCGACATCATTTGCTCATTTTAATTTTTGCTCTTCTTTAAGGATGAATTTGAAATATTCAATGAAACCATTTTTGAAGAAAAGAATTTGGCATTTATTATTATTAAGTGTTACAATGTTTTAAATTATCTTTGAATGGGCATAAAGAGTCTAAATTCATTCGGTAAGTCACTTTCAGAATACAATCGATCTGAAAAGTAAATTCTTCGTATTCGACAATTGGCATGAATTTGCACTCGACAAGTTTCTATGAAATTAGTTCCATAGGCTCTTCTTGTAAAGTCTGCAAGATTAAATTGAATTTGATTCCATCCATCATCCAAACGCATTGGCATGGTACAAAGGAATGGTTTCACTCGTGTCGCACTTTGACATGTGGAAGCTCTAAATCTTCGCTTCATGTTTTTATCATCCAAAACTTGCACTTCAAATGAAAAGAATTTCCTTAACTATCATTGTGAATTTCAATTAATTAAAAACAATCAATTTGAATGTTTCCATGGGTTCAACAACATTCAAAGAATACTCTTACTTACATTCTTAACGACCATGACAAGGAAAGGCAATTTAATACCGAGAGTGTTCTTAGGATTTGCAGGGCAGTTGATGAAAGTGGTGCTGATATTGATTCCAACAATTTCTAGAACAGAGCTTTGAATGTCTTGATCGGTAATTCTCTTGATATGACCATTCTTTACTTGTTTTTCCCAGAGCTGCAATGGTTTACTCCTGTTATTCATGACATGCATTGTGATGGAAATGATCACATGGATTAGATTAGACTTTTGAATCACTTACCCAATAGCATAGAATATGGAAAGGAATCCACTTTGAAATGTATTTCGAAACATTTTTTTGAAAATGAAGAATTCTTGAGTGTTGTTGTCAAGTGACTTTTTGAATGGTTGGAATTGGTTCATGTTATTGGAATTGTAAATAACAGTTTCAATGAATTGAATTAAAAAATGACCTTTTGATGCGTTTGCCGTAATTTTTACTGTCTTGTAGATTTTGGAGAGAGATTTCAAATCTGCCGGCACATCATCATGTCCATGGTTCTCACTGGGCATCAGGAGTGGTCGTGCCGAAATTTCGGAATATCAGGAGCACTATAATAGTACGCGAGGATATATTTTTTATTTAACAGCACAATAATATTCGGAAAAGCAAATTGTGTGGCCATGTGTGGTGGTAATGTGTGGTGGCCATGTGTTTGCAACCTTGAAAGCTCATTATGATGTTGCATGGAGATGATGATCTGGAAAACAATGTCGATTCGAGAACAATCTCAAAGGCTTACTCGGTCTATTACACTGATGAGAACAGATCACACGATGTTTATATATCATGTGATATCTTTACATCGATGAGACAATCAAGTCTGCAAGGAAACAAACAACATCAATTTAAACTTAGAAGGAACGTTTGTTGATTTTGGCTAGAGTAATATCGTTTGAGTCAACCCGTTGAACGATTGCAGAAATGAATTTGTTGCAATGGACCAGCCCCCCTCTTGTATACTACATCAATACCATAGACACTTCTTGATGAGCATTGAGTGCTGATTGGCAAACTTTGAGAGATGAATTTGCCGCTGGTGTTTCAACAACAGACAATTAATTGGCACAATGATCACTTGGTGTGTTGTTTATGGTCATGGAGAGTGAATTTAGTTGGTCGATCAGAGAGCGTGATTGAATTCACGACCCATTCGGCACGAACCTTTTCACGAAAAGGCAATGCATCACCACCACTTCAAGAACCAGACCAACGATGATGACAACAAATCTTCTCATCGACCTGACCTTCCACAAGAGGAAACCTCTTCTATCCATCAACAGCAAGACCAGCATGCGGAGGATATGACTTCGCAAAAGGATACATTGACAAATACATGCTTCATTCCTGCGACAGATTACGACATAATCCAAATGGATGAAATGCAACGACCAGGAGATGCACAAAATACTCATTCCATGCATGCATGTGATGCGAAACTACAGAAAATAATTGACAGCTTGATCTTGTATTTACATGAAAATAGAGACAGCATTGAGCTCTTACATGAGAAGGGTTCACTTGGTGCATGCATGCCAACTACCACAACAACAACAACAACAACCTCTGAACCCTCAATTTCAACACACATCGTCACAGAAAAGAATTCTTGGATTAATTCATCCATGCTTCACATGCCACATCCTCGAACAAACATGTGCATCCCTCTTCGCATGCTTCTTCTAACCAAATGCCAGCTGACATGCGCGTTCATGGCAAGGCACATGTTATGAGACAGGAAAAAACAGGTGAGACAAGAGTCCAATCGGACAAATTTGTTCCTTTCGAAAACACAATACCAAATACGTCCAGGAGATCTTCCTCTGAGGGAGGTAAACTTTCTCCAACATGCAATGTCACCAACACCACACCACACTTATCCTCGCAAAATCACAAACGAAAGAAAAGCCCAATGATTTTGAAAGTTCAATAATTTGTGACACAGTGATTCCTAACGAAGAAAAGTGTCAGTTCTCTCATAAAACGAAAAAAGTGAAGAAATTCAAAGAACATAAAACAGGGACTATACAAGAAAGAAACAAGCTCGACACATGTCATATTCATGAATCTCTTCCAAGAAGTACACAATATTTATCTCTCGAGCCTTATCAAGATATTCCAGATGATATCATTTATGATCAAGCATCGTTGAATGTTGTGCTCAAACTGTCCATTCCTCCAGAAAATCACCACATTCGATTTCATGTGAAAATCGATGTATTGTGCATGAGTGAGCAAACAGTTGTTATTGACAAAACGAGCAGTTCTACGAATCATACCTGTCAGCAACAAGTGGTGTTATTTGAAAAAGAATTAGACACAAAAACCATTTTGAGAGAACAATGGAGGTCTCAAAATTATTACTTTTTGAGGATACCTTTAAAACTTGGTATCTCTACGTTTAAGGAGAAAGGCAAACTCATGCTGAAATTCACCTATTTTTCAACGTCCATTAATGGAGAATCTAATGACCAAATGATCTCACAAATCGAGACCAATGCTTTCACTACGCTTTGTTCCAAAGCAGCAAGTATGAACAAGAAAAGAAATCAAAAGTAAGATTATTATACGAAGAGTGACCCAAAGAAACTTGAAGTGTGCTCCAATTTCTACTCAACAACAAAACGTGTTTGGAGTTGGTCTGTCTGATGATGAGAGTTCACGTGTGGATGATTTACTGTAATTATTGAAGAAATTGATCAAACTGATTGTTGAGTCTGAGAGGGAGATGCAAAGAAGAGAGAATGGCAACAAATCATAGATATTAAGTGAAAATTCATTGTCACGAAGGGTGTGATAAATAGTGACCTATCTCTATGAAAGGTACATGCATGTGGACACATGTGCACAAATGTGCAAGCCATAACTAACTCTAACATGAGACAGTGTTGTTTGTTTCTTTTTGTGGGACCGTATCATTCATATTATTTGAACAGAAAGAGATTCGGCATGACATTCAGAAAATATGTCTCACCAACGTGATGAAGTTTTTACTAAATTTAGTATCCAATCCACCATCAAAAAAAATTCACCACCACTGCACTGTGCCATGGATCACTTTCCTTCGAACCACCATCACCACAATATCCATCATGAAGATTTTTCACAACAACAACTTGACAACAATAACACGACAACAATCACTGAAGAAGGGAATGAGTTACTCGACTCGTGGAGTGAACTTCAATTCGAGTGGAATTCTCATCCTGAAGAATCTTCCAGTCACAATAGCTGCACCACTTGTGATGTTGGAGATTCGGAACATGTCGCCTCCATTTTGACATGTGGCACTACATCAACCACAAGCACAACCTTCACTACGACATGCATCACATCACCACCACCACTCTCCAATGATGAATCACTTTCCACTTCATCCAGCACCCTGTCATTACTTCCCTCGCAGAAATTTGCCATTTCTTTTTACAATTTTCTGATTGAGAATTTTCATCGATTGAAAATGATGATTCTGAACATTTTCTCCCAACATGCTTCTTTCCAAATTTCTCTTCCTCCTAACATGCGTCACTATTCTACCGAAGAAAAGGACACTAATGAAGAGGAAGTGGTTCATCAACAACCACAATCTTTACCTCAAAAAAAGTAACTGTTTCACAACAATCATCATTGAAAATGACCATTTACAATCCACAGCAGCACAATGACTCTCTTCACACAACCACTCAACCACAACAAGCGAATACGTCCATTTCATCGAGTTCAATCAACTCTCTTTCACCTCAAAGATCATCACATTTTTTGAGTGTGATTTCACAAGATATCCATGGAGAAGAACACGTGATTTCACAAGTAGAATCCAACACTTTCACTACTTTGAGTGCAAAAACAATTAAGGCACTTCAAAAACCTTGACTTTCCTCTATCCATATATATCATTATTATATTCAAATATTTGAATATTCAAGATAAGGAGAGTATAAATGTTTATTTACATTTTGCTTAATGGTCATTCCATAATTTGTGAGTTTGATACATCCATTTGTTGTGATTCTTCTTTAAGAAGAGTCTCCAAAACAAATTTCAAAGTGGAGGGATAGTAGTTCTCTGTTTTGTTTTGCAGGTTGGGAATAATATCTAACCGTATCATCGAAATCAATGCTTGATAAACACGAAAGACAGAAAAATTGTGAGTAGTCACAATACGAATAAATTCGTGCAGCTTGTCCGCCAAATTGTCTTTGTCGCCAAAGGTATAATAATGTAACGAACATTTAGCAAGAGCGGCAGCAATGTACTGAATGAGGAATTTGAGTTGCTTATCGCTGTTGTTGAGAAAAGCGAGTCATCACTATACACACTGATTGCACTATAAAAACTTACCAATAAAATGCTCCACTATGAATGTGAAATTATTAAAAGATCATAACCAGAATCAAAGAATTCATGACGATGACGATTTTTAAAAAACTGTCAGAATTCTGACAAAACATATGAGAAAACTTACCATCCCCAATTTCTACGTTGAAATGTGTCATGTGAGAACTGTCATTAAAATTTTGACAACTTACCCAGTCGCAATCTTGTTGTGCATGTCAATATTTAATCGATTTGGTGTTTTGCTAAATGCAGCGTATGCCTTAACAATTTCGCGATCAATGTGCTCAGACTGCCACTGATCAAGCTTGTCATGGTGACTGTAATACAACGAGTCAAATGCCATAATTTGTGAAGTAAAATTACGATGTCCAAATTCATCCACAATGAAATTCTTGTCAACATAATCATCTTTAAATTGTAAACTAGACCCATAACCCGCATGTTCAGAAAATTGCTCCGTTCCCAAAATATAAAGCACTTCATTTTGATCCAATTTCTCAACAAATAAACGAGTGACAATCGTTTCAGGCGAAAGACAAAATCTAATTTCTTCTTGAACTGCTCCACCAAGAAGAACACCTCCTCCAATGTAGCAATTTGCAAAATCTGCATGAAGTGCATTTTCACATTGTTCAATCGATCCTTCATTGTCAATACTAATATTTGGCCAAGTGGTCACTGATAATGAATCACATAATTTTTCTTTCACTTGATCTGTATCCACACGTTTTCGAATGACGGTCATCACACCATGACTTGCAATTTCTTGAAACATTCTTTCAGAAATTCTTTCAAAATAGTGAATAATCATCAATAGTTTGGCAATGGTCGATGGTCGTGGATCCATATACAAGGTGTCAAAATTAATCGATGGCATTTGAATGTGTGCCTCACGAGTATCTGAAAGTCTTGGCCAAGTCAAGAAAAATGCATTTGCCAAAATACAAGCACATTCTAATTTTGTAAAAGTCATTACTTTTGAAGAAGGTCTCGCCAACAGTGGAATTCGGTTCAAATTTCCCATCAGAGGCAATTGACCTTCATTTGAAATAATGGTCGAATGTGTTGGACAATGTCTATTGTAGTAGAGATTCAACGAATGAGGTCCCAAGATCATGGGAGACTTTTTAACCAAATCCACCATGAATGGCAGAGTCTGTTCAAAGAATTTAACTCTTCCTTGCCAAGACTCTGCAAAAATCTTTTCTTCCACTAATAAATCCAAATTTGTTTGAGATTGAATCTCAGCGGCAGGTGATTGTCCCACCGCTTGACAAACGGTCGTTTGAATCTTTTTAAGCACTTGATTCAATTGCGAAGGCGTTTGAATCGGATCATGGAGAATGTCCTCCACAATTGTAGTCCAATAAAAGAGAGTGAAAGGAAAGGTAATAAATTGAGAGGAATAGAGATCCATACGAGAAGGAGACTCTTTGGATGAGTGATCAACGCGTTGAGTCTTTGGTGGTTGGTGATGATCATGATGACGCGGTGAGTGATGATCACGTTGAGCCTTTGATGATGGGTGGTGGTGAGGATGTTGTCGGAAGGGCATTTTTAGAGTTTTGTTTCAAGTGTGAATTGTTGCATCCGCCGTTGAATGATTCGCTCTTACAAGTGGAGAATGGAATTGGGAATTCTAGAAATGAAAATACAGAATTAGAGTTCTCGCTCTCTTCGCGCTTAAAAGTTGTTTACAATGAATTATCTCACTACAAATTACCTCGTAACTCTTCGTTCCATTTCTCTTCTAATTGTTCTAATTGCTTCATGTGCTCCAAGACCATGACTTGTAATTGATCATTTCGTTCCATGGCGATGACTAGTGTCACAAATTTGTGACATTTTGAAAAATTATTTCACACAACATGTCATGATTAATTTCACATCATTTCATTAAAAACATTAGAAATAATATTGATATTTCACTCACTCGTAACACAACCTACACTTTCTGAATTTCACTAATTTCTGTCTCTCTACTTTTATCTTGATAGGCACATCTTAAATCATTTGCAATTTTTACCAAATAAATTTGATTCACATAACTCGAAAGAGAGAGACGATAAAATTTGGAAGTGTGTCTTGAATGGTCGCACTCAATGTTACAAAAAAATATAATGAGTCAAGAAACCTCCAACATGCTTCGCTTTGGATTTTTATCCACTGCTGCCATCGGAAAGAAGGTCGCCAAGGCCATCAAGGAATCTCCATTTGCTTCCAACTATGCAGTTGCTTCCCGAGAGAAGAGCCGAGCTGAAACATTTGCTCAAGAAAATGGATTTGAAAAGGCTTTTGCCTCATATGATGAATTGTTGGAATGTTCCGAAGTGGATGCTGTTTATATTCCATTGCCAACTTCCATGAAGGAAGAGTGGGCGATTAAAGCAGCAAAGGCTGGAAAGCATGTGTTGTAAGTATTGAATTCATCATGATCGTGATGTTCATAATGTGTCAATGATGATCATGATGTGTGTGATTAATTATGATCATGATGAAAATCATGGATGACGAATTCATTCTAGATGTGACAAGCCTTTTGCTTCTGCTCAATCTGTGAGAAATATGATCAAGTCATGTGAAGAGAATGGAGTGTTTTTCATGGACAATACAGTATGTTTGAAATTGTTATTGAAACATTTGTGAAAATATTATTTACATCATGAAATTATATTGATGAATGACCTATGAAACCACTTCTTCTTATAGATGTGGGTCCATAATAAGCGTACTCATCATTTGAAACGCTTGTTTGAAACTGATGAAAGATTTCAAAAATTAGTGCGTGTGAACAACTCCTTTGCCAATTATTTCATGAATAACCTCAATGACATTCGATTGGATATTAGTTTGGAGCCCTATGGATGTCTTGGTGATTTGGGTTGGTACTGCATTCGTAATATTTTGTGGGCGTTTAATTATGAACTTCCAACAAAGGTGGTTGCATTTTCCAAAAGACATGACAATGAATTGCCCAATAAGAGGGCCATTATTAACTTTGATGGAATTTTGCACTTTTCAAATGATAGAGTTGCAACCTTTAATTGCAGCTTTGAAGAAGCACAAAGACAAACAAGTGAAATTGTGTTTCCTCGTTTTAGAATTCTTGTGGATGACTTTGTGTTGACATGGGACAATGAAGAAATTTACTTCCCACGAAGCACCTATGACAAACATGGTAAATTCCAAATTCATTCACAACATGGACGCTATGAAACTGTTGTTTGTGAAGAATCGACTCAACATGTTGAATTATTCGAATCATTCTTTAAAGGAACGAAGAATCCAAAGGAACACAATCATTGGGGGTCAGAGACTGAAAAAACAATGATTGTATTGGATGCTTTGTTTAATTCTTCTGAAAACAATGGACTTGTGATTACCTTGTAGAGCTGATGATAATTCATTCTCAAGACTATCTTAAATGTGAAAAAAGTTTCAACTCATAGAATGTCACAAATAAAATGCACACAGAGTTAATAAGTTGAGTTAACAATAATAATAAATGCTTGAGTCTATCTAAATTATTGGTCCAGTTCGTAATTTTTGCCTGTACACGTTGTTCTCCAATGCTCTGAATTGTGAGGAAGTCGTACCCCGTGAAACCAATAACTTGACTCCTTGCTTACTAGTCTTATTACTCGACGAGTTGGCAGCAAATCTTTTGTTCTTGAGCTTTGAATTCACTCGATCCAAGTTTGTGTCCATTTCTTGTAAGACTCCTTCTTTGCCCTCAGTAAAATCAATTTTGTTAAGGAGTCCCACACATCGAGGAGTACTCTCTAGGTGTCCTGAAGTATTAATGACCTCCACAGTCAGTAGAACTTGAATATCCTTGCCTCCCTCAGGAATCCAAACACATTGATCACCAATATTCGGACACACTTGGTGAAACTTGGTAGAAGCAGCACTCAAGTTATTCTTACTTGATCTCTTAGAAATGGTGCATGCATTTCCATCCATACTTCCAGTAAATCGATAATTTGAAACATCATCCCATCCAAACAATAAGACCAATAATTCATGCAAATTCTTGAACAAGATTGTTGCAGAGATGACAAATTCTCTATAAATGGTTTTCTTAGATCCAAGAACCACTGCTTTCACTTGATACAAGACTCGATAGGCCTTTCGTGGATTTGAAAGAAGTTCGTCTAGATCCTCTTGTGAAGCAGGATTACCATCATCATTAAAATCTTCATCGTTCTCCTCACGTTCCAAAAGTCTCTTCATTTGGCGTTGGCGTTTTCTTTCCACTTCTCTAACCAATTCTTGAAGCAGATCATCATATCAACGGCATGCTGCTTCATTTTTTTTTTGAACGATTTTAAGCGCCATCATTTTCTCTTGACTTTGGCTGGACTTGCGTGTTTTGTCAATTCCATTATCCAAGCGAATTTCAACTCACTCCAGAGAAAAAAACCAGTTGCGTACGCATCAGGCCACACTGTATTGCGTAGAATGGTTTATTTAGAAACAGCAGAGTTGGGTTGTTGTTTCTTGTTTGGTTCATCGTCCATCACAATATGATTACGACTGGTCCTCAAACTATTTGCAATCTTGTCATAAATTTTAAGGTCTTTTTCAGAGACAGACGGATGAACTTTTCTTAAAGCAACTTTGAAGTGTTCTCTTGTAACAACAAGATTATCGGTATTGTTTTGAATACTCTCCTTCAAGCAACAGGTGGCAGCTTCTCTTACCAGCGCTGATAAATCAGCTCCTGAAAAGTTTTCACACAATTTTGCAATTTCTTCAAGATTGACATTAGGTGACATGGGTGTTTTTCGAGCAATGGTTTTCAACACTTGAATTCGTTCTTGTTCATTTGGCAGCTTGACATAGAGCAATTTATCGAGACGACCTGGACGTAACATGGCTGGATCAATCATGTCAGGTCTATTGGTGGCTGCAATCACAAAAACGTTTCCTCTCGATTCAAGTCCATCCATTTCCGTGAGAAGTTGATTGACTACACGCTCTGAGCTTTGCGAACTCGATTCATTGTCTCTCTTTGGGCATAGAGCATCCATTTCATCAAAGAAAATAACACAAGGAGATGAAGCAGCAGCTCTACTAAATACTTGTCTGACAGCTCTCTCGGATTCACCAACATATTTGTTCAACAACTCTGGACCCTTAATAGAAATAAAGTTTGCACCGCTGTCATTGGAAATGGCCTTTGCGAGAAGTGTTTTACCACAACCAGGAGGACCGTACAGCAAAACACCAGCCGGAACATCCAAACCAACTTTCTTGTACTTTTCAGGTCTTTTGATTGGTTCCATAATGGCCAGTCTTAATTCTTCACGAACCTCATCTAAAGCTCCGATATCATCCCATGTGACATTTGGTACAGTGGCAAAACCTTCACGTTTGGCACTTGGTTGAACTCTCTTAATGGCTTTTTCAAAGTCTTCAAAAGTAATGCTGAGACTCGCCAATTGCTCCTCACTGAGAGGTTCTTTCATGTTTCGAAGTGTCTCACTAATAATGCTTCGTCGTTTGATTTCCTCATCTGTTGTCAATTGTTTCGAAGAATCCTCTTTCTTTTCATTGCCAAAAACAATATATCCAAAAATTCTGTGAATGGCAACAACTGCTGATTCGTTCACAAGAGCCTTCAAGTCAGCACCCACATAACCTGGAGTGTTGTGCGCAATGCTTTGGAAATCAAATGCATCATGGCCTCCTTCTAACTTGAGCTTTCGAGTTAAAATTTTTAAAATTTGCATTCTGGCTTTTTTCGTCTGGAATACCGAGTGAAATTTCTCGGTCAAATCTTCCTGCACGTCTCAATGCATTATCAAGTGAATCTGGTCTATTAGTTGCTCCAATGACTATCACTGCTTTTCCACTTGTTTTATCCAAAGTTAAGTCATCCATACATGTCAGTAATTGTGCAACAATACGTTTTTCCATCTCTTTGGATGCATTATCTCTCTTACTCAAAATTGCATCAATTTCATCAATAAAAACAATACTTGGTGCATTGGCAACTGCATCTCTGAATAAATGTCTAATTTTTGCTTCCGACTCACCACTCATGCCGCTAACAATTTCAGGAGCTGAAACCTTCAAAAATGGAATTTGCAATTCACCTGCAATTGCATTAGCAAGCATTGTCTGTATTTAATACGTTCAAATCATGCAAAGTCAACATCAATATACGGCACTTTTTCATCACTTCACTTACCTTACCACTTCCTGGAGGACCATGCAATAATATACCACGAGGAGGATCCACTCCCAATGATGTATAAATCTCTGGATGTAAAATTGGATATTCAATTAGTTCACGAATATCTTGTAAAATATTATCAATACCTCCCAAATCGCTGAATCTGACATTCGGTGTCTCCACAATAATTTTTGTTCTCTTTTCCTTCTCCGACGATGACACACCTGATGAAGGTTTTGTCTTTTTGTTGGGTGGAGGTACTGCAGAGGAATTGGTTGTGGTGCCATTGGTTTCTTGTTGATTGGAATTGTTGGTTGTGTTTGATTTGTTCTGTTGTTGTTGTGCGTTGCCATTGGATTCGTGGACTTGGCTTGTTGATCTTTTTCTCTTCAAAGAATCTTCCGAATTATTACTTGATGCATCTCCAGGAGAAGTATTGTTGCTTGAACTAGTGGTAGCTGCGATGCTTGTTTGTTGTTCTTTATACACACTTTGTAGTTGTTGATTCATTGAATTCTTTTCATTCTTTATCATATCTTTCAGTTTGGTAAGATTTTTAACTCGTGTGGCTTCGTCAATCATTGCATTTTCATCTTCCGAGGACGAAGATGACATATCTGAATCATCTCTGAACATTTTTTCTATAGCACCAGCACAAATATCTTTAAAATCAAGCAGTGGAATGGATTTATATTCCTTTTCATAGCTCTTCTTCAAATAAGTAACCACAGGCATCAACTCTTCGGAACTGTTGTAATTAATTGATGTTTTATCGTGAGATTCCATGTATTCTTCAACTCTTTCCACAAGTAACGACAAATCTACTTTTGGATGAAATTTAGATCCTCCTTTCGGATGTGATGGTGAAGGCTTTGTTACTACGGCGCCATGGTTCGTGAACGGTCTCGAACGATTTTTGTTTTTACCCATTTTTTTTGAAGTCAAAATTGAATCAAAAGCAATTCATTAACAGATGTCCGGATTTGTCCCGAAATCATTGAGAGCAATTTTGACCATTTCTAACTTTCAATCTCAAATTCTTGTACGCCCAACCTTTTTCTCTTTTTGAAAGCAATAAAAATAGATTTTTGAATGGCCCTGGGTAATTATTTCAAAATTATAGTTGCGGTGTTGTGGATCAAGCAAGGGAAACTTAAACGCGACTTGACTTGTTCTTCCTAACCTATATAATCTATATTTTGTCGTTGCAAATTTTGAATGCGCACAGTCGTGATCCTTGATTTAGTTCCCTTACTAAAGCGCTCGGTTACTAATTTCCAATTTTTGAATGTTTAGTTGAAATCAAAAGAAATAACTCGTCAAAAAAATTTCATTTCATCAAACAAACTCCCATGAGAGTCTCTGTTGCACCCTACCTCTTCTTTGATGGTAATTGCGAGCAAGTACTCAAATTTTATCAAACCGCACTAGGAGGAGATCTCAGATTGCAACGTTATTCCAATTTACCATCCACAGGCGATCATCACCAAGTTCTTCCAAACGATTGGAATGACAAGATTCTCCATGGTTCTTTGTTTTTACCAACCAACAATAATGAACTCTTATTGATGGCATGTGATCATCGAGAAAAGGGTAAAGTCCATGGAGGTTATTCTCTCTCTGTGAGTGTTGATGACCCAGAACAAGGACAACACATTTTCAAGGCTTTGTCTGAAGGTGGAAAGGTTTTAATGAAGTACGACAAGACTTTTTGGGCCAGAGGCTACGGAATGTTGGAAGATCAATTTGGAATAACTTGGCAAGTGAATTGCCATTGAGAAGAGATCTCGCTGTCCAATAAAGTTGGTCCAATGTGAAATGTTTATAATATTTATTCACATTTACCAGATAAAATTCATGCAAGAGATTGAACTCGTTAATGTGATTCATAATGTGGAAGAGTGATGATGTCTTCAACGGCAGGTAAATGGTGTTTTGCTGCAAGTAAATAGGTCTTCATCAATCCTTTTCCTTTGACTTGAATTCCTTCTCGTTCCTCAAATTCAAATCCTAAATCATGAACTCGTTCATAGGTTGTTCTCGAGACTTGAACTCTTCCAGGGACACCTGTGGATTCCATTCGTGAGGCTGTGTTTATGGCATCTCCCCACTGTGTCATGCAAATTCATTCCATTCAACAGATTCAATATAGAAAAATAGGAAGATATGAATGACATTCAAAACTTTGTTCGAACTTACCAAATCATAGGCAAATTTCTTGAATCCAATCACCCCTCCTACACATTCTCCAGTATGTAGGCCAATGCGAACATTAATTCTCTTTTCCTTTTGTTTGTTGAATGAATTCAAGAATGCAAAAATATCAATCGAGAATCGAAGCGTTCGTTCGGCATGATCCGATGACTTACTCGCGTGTGCACCAGCAACACAAAAGTAAGCGTCTCCAATAGTTTTGATTTTATCGATAAAGTACTTTTCAGTGAGTTTATCAAAATTATGAACAATATCACCGAGCATGAGAATGAGCTCGTTTGGTGTCATTGTGCTGCTCATTGAGGTGAATCCAACCCTAACAATTTAGAAAGCAGTATAACATGTTTAGTATTCATTCAAAACAATGAAATAACAACCTACATGTCTCTAAAGAAAATGGTCAAATCATTAAACTTCACAGATGGAGGTTTCTCCTTGTTTGAGACGAATGGCCACTGGCAATGGTAAAATGTTCAGTAACAATTCTTCACTCTTCTTCTTTTCTTCACTAATAAGAGCTGCTTGTTTCCTCTCGGTGGTTATGTCTTTCACAAAACATGCAATGAAAGATTTCTTGTTGAAAAAGCTGACGGATATTGAAACTGAAGCTGAGAAGCTTGTCTTGTTCTTTCGGATTGGCATCATTTCCGTTGTTTCATGGAATGCATTTCGAGAAGCAGTAATTGAAAATACGGACTTTTCAATCTTTTGTTTCTCCTCTTCAGAAAAAAGTGAAATCAATGAAGCTCCCAACAACTCACTTTGTTGATATCCAAACATATTTTCGGCAGCTTTGTTAAAAACAATGATTGTACCTTCTGTAGTGCAAATAATGCATCCATCAGCTGCTGCGTTCATGATGGATTTTGTCATGGACAATGGATCGTCTTCAATGGTGGATGTAAGCTTGGAAAGACTCCAACGATCAGAGAGCTTTTGAATCGATCGAGGATATTTGTTTGGAATTTGATGTGTCATTGCATACTGCTTCAAGTCTTCATTTTGATCCATAACTTCCCAACTGATATAATTTAACATTAATCTCACATTGTGTTTTTCATTCCAATATTTGGAAAGATTGGAATAACTCCAAAACAACAACATCAAGCAAAATACAGAACTAATTGAAAACATTGCGATCGATAAACTTATGGATGAATTCTTTGCAAAGGAGACATAGGTGGAAATAAAGTCGAAGGATTTCTCTGCAAATGAAAGAGATAAAAAGTAAATGTCCTTAAAGTAAATGTCAGTCGCTCTCTGTTGATCATAATAATTGGAATAATAATCGTTATTCAATTCAATGGCGCAAGAAATGAATTCAGAGACCAAATGATCCATTCCTTTGCATTGAATGGAAAGATCCACCTCCTCTAAGGACAAGGTCAAATTGGAAAGTTGTGTTGAATTTGTTGAAAAAGTACTGGTATTACAAGTAAATTTCATGAGCAAGTCAATTTTTGGCGATACTCCCGCAATGGGTGATTGATATCCAGTGTCCTCTCCTCCCGCACTAATCTCTCTCCAAGCTTTATCACACTTTCTAAGTTCGTTCATGTTATCTTGTTTTACAGTCTCCCATGACATCTTCATGAGTTTACTTTTAAGGACAAGCTCGTTGAGTCTAAAATTTACCCTCATAGACGTTCGAATGACAGTATTGAGTAAGCTCACAGTTTCCATGGTAGATGAGGAGGTTGAAACATTACTCTCAAATTCAATGATGATTAACACGCTTGCGATTAAAATAATGGCAATTATTGAACATGTGAGTAGCATAAAAATAAAATATGATGTGAAAATAGAGGAATTCTCCTTGTGGGAATGTTGATTCGTTTTGAGATCCAAGCTATGGAACACTCGTCCACTTTCCTCCTTTGGTAAGTTCAAAAAAATATTCTTCACAATGGTTTCGATTTGTTTCAAGTAGAATCTCATCACAACAAGAAATACAACGCAAAACGCCAAATAGAGTGCCAAAACAGATCCACAGATACTATAGAATACAACACCTCCATCACTGACCTGTTTTCTCGAGCTTTCAATAAATGATGAACAAAAACTGTCAAAGGCATTGGTCATTTCTCTTCGATCGAGATAACTATTTGTTGAAAAAATGTTCCATAAATTTAGAATATGTTTCAAGATCGCACAACTACTTTCAATATTAGAAAGGGAAAATTTGATCTTGTAAGGTTAAACGCTTCCAAATCATTCATCATGGTTAAAATTTGTGGTCCCTGGTCGAGAATTAAATCAATATATTGGCTTATGGAAGAATTTGCTGTTTCGAATAGTGGCGATGCATTTTCATCTTTTTGCTTAATTGGAATTAGGTAGGGCCACTTGACCTCCGTGAAGGTACTCACGACCTCTGGAATGAATTCATTTGAGAGAGAAGCTTCTTTCACACGATTCACTTTTTCAAGCAAACTTTCAATTTGAACTTTTGCTTTTGCGACTACAAAGGGCAAGTCAGCTTTCTTTTCGGGTGTGAAAGAACATCTAAATTTGGACTGAACGGAACGAATTTGAGCAATAATTAAATGAGGAATTCCACTCAATGAGCACACTTTCTCTTCCAAAGCCACTCGTACCGAGATTTGACTCAAAGTAATGCTTGATGCTGCAAATAAGGTTGGCACCACCACAAGGGAAAGCAACACAAAGAGAGAAAAACAAGTTTTGGCTGCACTATTCTCCTCCTTTGAATTAATGGCCAACCGTAAGACATTTTCCTTCTTATCTATTTCTCCAGCATGACTCACAGATTCCCATCGATCTTCTTCCTCATCCATCGATCTTCTTTCCGTAATTTCTTCATCGATGATTTTATCCACTGAGGACAACTTATTCTTGTATGACGAAGAAGGAATGACAACATTGGGATGCACTTTGTTATTAAACTTTTTAGATTGTATGGCATTCGTTCGAAGCGATTCCTGAGCAGCGATGGGTTGTTTTTTGAGGTGGTCGTCATCATCGGCAGAATTAGCTTCTTCTTTGAGTTCATTGGCAGCTTCATTTTCCCATTGAAAGGTCTCTAAAAAAGAGGCGTAAAATCTTAACAAAATCTTGTCATTGGGATGCTTGGCATAGAGGGTTCGATAACTGCTCTCACAATCACTCATTAATTTGGTGGCTGATCGATTCAAGTTCAATAACTTGGTTTGAGAGGGCTTTTCACTTAATAGTTCTTTAAAGAATTCCTTGTGAAAATAGAAGAGAACATCTTGTTTCTTTTGAATGCTTTGCAACGCTTGTCTTACCTCAATATTCATTCCAGATACCTTCTCCATATTGATTTCCAATTCCTTAAATCTCAACATGATCAAGTACCTTTGAAAATGTGAGGGATTATTTTTCTTTGCATTAATCAACATATTCATGACATGAGTGTTGGAAGTATACACATCTTCATGAGAGGAATAAAAAGCTTCAATGAGTGCACTGATGAGAAGGAAATCCACATTGGAAAATGATTTGTTTCCACAATTCTTTAAAAATTGAATGGAAACATCAAGGGCAGAAGGAGATTCCGAAAAAGCACTCGCAATAGAGAGTCTCAAAAAGAGAACTAATTGATTCAGGGATTTTCGTGCCTCGAAAGTGGAATAGATTTGAAAAGCACTGGACTTGTCTGGAAGTTCTTTCATCGTTTTACTCATGAAATTCTTGACAGATTTCACCAAAATTCGAAGATAGATCGAGAGTGCAACACCACCAACGACCAATCCAAGTAATTGCAAGGAACATGTGACTCCAAACATCAATCCACCCATGGACTCTAATTGAGTGGTAATGTAGGGTTGGATGGCACTTGTAATGAGAGGTCCAATACTTCCAAAGGTTTTTGCCAAGAGACAACCCAACACAATTCCATTTTCCCAAATCTTAAAGTAAGGACAGCGACGAACAAAGTAAATGACCACGCAGGCACTCAAAATAAATTTGACTACTGATGAAGCAATCACGTTATTGGTATTCAATACGACTGTTAAAACCACAGAGATTTGATTCAATAAGGTAATGACCATCCAAGCGTCAGGTCGATCCATGGTAAAGCATGCAAATTTAGTTTCTATGGGTGGAATGGTCTCACAGGTCACCATGGTACCAATACAACCAATGACGATATTCAACAACACTCCAACACTGCCAACAACGATAAACACAATATTCAACCTTGAATGATTCGCAATGGATGGAAAGTATTCATTGTTCGAACTTGTAAAGGAAGTGGACATGGGAATACAATGTAGCCAAATCATCCAATTCGAAAGAGGTAACATGAGTTGAGTGAAAGGAAGAGCTATTTTCTTAATCTTTTCACTGAATCGATGTCCTCGACTCAAAAGCATGTAGAACACATAATACATGAAGAGAGTGCATAGTTCGAGAAAGACACCACTCGCTGAGAGAGCAATCACCACTTGATACGGGTAGTGCTCAGCTCCAAAATTCAAAGGGTAAAATAGTGCGCGTTGAATCCAACCTGCTACAACACCCCACATGGGAGCATGTCCTTTCGAGAGGGAGGAATTGGTAGTGGTGGTGGTGTTCGTGGCATTATAGGAATCATCATTCACTCCAAAACTACTACTAACAGTTCCTTCTTCATAGAGGGTCGATAGCACTGAACTTAATATCACTGTACAATATAAAAGATAACCATTGAGAAGGAGACACATTAAAACACTCTTCCAAGAGTCTTGTTTTGGCTTCTTTGAGTTGAGAGAAACGAGGAAATTGATCATCTTTTCTAATAGTTGCTTGGAAAAAGATCCATTAGAACCAATCGCATCTGAAGAGGTGTTGCTGAGGGAGGTTGCTGAAATGGCAGATCGTTGTCCAAAAGCACTCATTCCACTATTGAACACGCTGGTTGAATGAACCATGAATGATTGTGCCCTCACAACCATTGAAGAATGAACACCATCGTCATTCCCAACATTTGGAATGGAACGAGGTGTTTCGTCTTGTTCTTGGTATAAACTATTGGAAGAAAAGTGTAACGAGTTCCTGGTGTTGCTTTGGAGTTGAGCCATTTTGTTGTTCTTACTTTAATAGTGCATGACGTCGAGAGTAGTTGTACAACATTCTTCTGCGACTGTGCATCTTTGAATAATCAGGAAATGGCTCAAAATGATGTGCAGAATCTCTATTTTTGTAAGAGAATGCGACATCTCTGGCACTACATTAGATTGAACTCATACATCCTCTTGGCACCTCGCATGACCTTCCGTCACGACATGTTGTTTCGAGATGTAAGAGGTAATGATGAAAGTGTATTTATGTATCGACTACAAAATTCGAGAGGACTGTCATAAAATCGAAGAGATAAAGCAGTGCTCGCGAAATTATTTCGGACCCTTTTGTACATGAATTGATCTCCATCTTTTTATCGTCAATGATGCTAATTATCCTTCAATTTTATCAAATTAGTGCGAGGAATGAGAACCTGAAAAGGGGACATGACACATTTTACAGTCCATTCATTTATTTTCGTTCTCGAAAATCTTAAACGAGTCAATAGGGGTCAATCAGTCATTCATGGGGATTCATGTTCAAACATGTATCGAGGCTTGCCGGTCAAAATTAAACACTGAATATTCGTCAAATTGAGAAGTCGTCCATTCACAGGTTTTATTGAGAAGGAAATACTAAAATCATATGCATGCACTTTGAGACGTTTCAATGTGTCCTCTCTCACACCTGAACCAACAAGTCCTGATACATGTTTTATGTGGAAATCGCATTCGTGTAGTGATTAGCACGAGAAGAGGAATAGGGAACCACCCTTTTTTCTTGAGTACATTCTTGCTTGCAAGGAAAGAACAAACTGAACATTATTCCAACACATTTCACATAGTGTTTCAATTTAGATTTTGCTGGCTTGAAGATGAACTTTCTATTCAACAACCATTACCAACATCAGGAGAAAGACACGTATGGGCCTTAGAAAATTGGTTGGGCTGTAACGCTGATGTCAATCCCGAACATGAACATCGTCTTGATGTTCTCCTTGATTGCAAGAACTTAATATTATCAAAATGAGCTTTTTAATGATCGATAGTAGTGACAAGGAAGGTGAGAAAGGACATTTCACTTGTGCTTACAACTCATGAGAGGTAGTACTCAACTGTTCATTAATCTTCAAGTTTTGTTGCAAGAGGTTTGACAAATAAATAATCATGAGTAAGTCCTTGTTGTGTTGATTGAGTGTCTTATCGAAATCATCGACTGGTTTCAATTCTTGGAATGCAGATAACAAGTGGTGATAAACTTCAAAGCTCTTCTTATTAGAAGTCAAGTACTTGTTGATTTCTTCCAAATCTTTCTTCAATTGTTGAATAGTTTGTTGTAGGACAATATTGCTTTGCAAGTACTTGTTAGTTTGAAGATAGTTCATTGACAACTTTTCATTATCCGACATGAGATATTCAACTCTAACTTGCTCAAATAAAGTACCAACAACCTTATTCTTGAATGTCAATTCTCTGTTCATGTATCCTTTGAAATCAATCAATCTTGTTGTAAGTGGCTCGTTTCCTGAAGGAATGTTGATGGTACAATCAAGCACAAGTGGATTCTTCATAATGTTGTCATTGAATGATTGATAAATTTGTTTATCAACTGTTGTTTTTGATGTAGAAATACTATAGTAACCAATCAATGTATCGTTTGAATAAACGCGATGATGAAGGCTTTCCATCTTCTTATAATAAGCAACATCAATATCGGTGTTGTTATCGTTGAATTTCAATGGAATAGTATTCTTAATTTCAAAGTATCCTCCTTCTCTAAACTCTCCGTATAAACATCCGATAATTTCGGTCTTTGAATTGAAAGCAACTCTTTGGTAATGATCCAAAATATTCAACATTACCAAAGGATGGAGTTTATAAATATAAGTATTTGTGCTGGTACTATTGTTTTTAGTATGAGTCTGTTGTTCGAGCTCATTGATGAGAAGACAACTTAAGCTGCTTGCTGGCATGATGAGAATTTCTCGGCTGAGATGATGATGGAGGTGATGGTGGTGTGTTGATGCTTTCAATATTTTTTCAACAATTCAATAAACAAAAATTTGAATCAAAAAAGATTCTTTTGACCTTCTTGTGTGCATGTCGATATTGAAGAGAAGCTTGCCGTATTCTTGAATTATTTTGGTAGATCCTCTTTTTAAAACTCAACATTAAACTCATGATTGTAACTTTTTCAAACCCGTGAAGTGACCCATGTCTGGCTTGTCGCTTTTCAGAGCCAAACAACTCCAAAAAAAATGATTTTTTCGTCGTCTGTTTCTCCGCAAGCATCATCGGCTCAGCAAAAAGGCTCACTCTCCTCTACTTCATCATCAGTACTACTCGCGAGTAAATCACATCAAGAAGCTACATCATTGGATGATTTACATCATCAAAATTTACCCGATAATTCCAGTGAGAATCAGCCCAATGCTGATGAGAACGATATGAATTGTTGTCTGATATCAACAGCATCAACAACGGAAAATATTTCCAGCAATTTTCATCAATACGGTAGTATCAGCAATAGCCTTTTAAAAACGGAATGTAACCATAACAGCCATTCTTCATCGGAGCTGCATTCTGTAGAGAATAACAACCAACAACTTCGTAGCTATGTTTCTATTCCTGTAGATGTTGATGAAACATCCGAAAACTTTCGGCGGTGCAATTCTCTTATCCAACAATTGTTGTACAGAATTCAACCTTCCATAGAGTCTGAAAACCATAGAAAGGAAGTTTTTGATATAATATCAGCAGTTCTTGATTTGGCAAATTTAAAAGTAAATATCAATATAATTTATTAGAATTTTTATTAGTACTAACCAGAACTTAATAATTCATATGTATGAACATGAAATAATAATTATTACGAATAGACGTATTTATATGGTTCTGTTGCATTTAAAACATACTTGCCTGACGGTGACATTGATTTGAGCGTGTTTGCAAATAACGAAACAGAAAATGGGGAACTTTTAAATACAATCAACTCTCCACTTATATCTGTGGGATCAAATGAAATGCCTAATCATGCAACATCGTATATCCATGATATTTTACTTAAACACATGCACATTGGCCTGAAACACCAATTGTCAGATGCTACGGTACCATGGTATAACAAGGCAAGAGGTTTATTTCAAGAAATCCAAAGAAATAATTTAGCGGTTGTAGAAGACTTGACTTTTATTAACGCGGAGGTTAAATTAATCAAATGCACTGTGAATAATATACCCATAGATATGTCTTCGGGACAAGTTGGGGGTTTATCAACTCTGTGCTTTTTGCATGAAGTTGACGACAAAATCGGTGATAACCATTTATTCAAGAGAAGTATAATTTTGATGAAATCATGGTCATATTATGAAAGTAGGATTCTGGGATCTCACCATGGATTAGTTTCGACATATGGTCTGACTGTGCTGTTAATGTATATGTTTCGACTGTACAGAATTGAGACACCCTTACAGGTAGGTTGATTGATTGTGATCAATAATTTTTTGCTCATCACTATCTTGAATGAATAGGCGCTCTATCGGTTTTTAAATTATTATAGTACCTTTGATTGGACGAATTTTGGAATTAGCATTTATGGTCCAGTCCCTCTAAGTATAATACAGACCTATAAGAATCAAGAAGGTAGGTCTTATTTTTTGAAACTCGATAATGCGACGAATTGGTATGATTCATAATATGTATTGTGAATTTGTAGATTTCCAACATGAGCATTTATCCACTGAACGACATGATGTACTTACGAGTGAATTTTTGAAAAAATGTAAAAAGAGCTATGGCGATCCTGACACATCCAAAATATTAACAGTCAAAAATTTAAATATTGTTGATCCATTGAGGGATTTCAATAATCTGGGTAGAAGTGTCAACTATAACAACTTTTTACGAATTCGGAGAGCATTTAAGAAAGGCGCTAAAATGTTGACTGATATTTTGAACTCCACAGATATTAAGGACTCTGAAAAAATACTGAATTTATTCTTTAAAAATGTAACGGCTAAATATATTGGAGATGGAAACATTTTAATCGATCATGTCATTAATGAGGAGAGATTTCAAGTTGGAAACAACAAACAAACAAGCGCTTCAGGAAGTGTGTTCGATTCCAAATTAGAAGACTGCAGGACTTGTCTCGAAACAGCGCATAGTCTCTTAGGAACAAGCTCTCCTTCTATCTCTTTATCACAAGACTCTTCAAGTAACTCTTCATCGAATGTTGCCTTTCCTGTTCCAAAAACTCCTCCAAGAAGAAGTAGCTCTGTTAGCAACTTTATAGCCTCTCCTCTTTCTCCCTTAAATAGCTACGCTGTTTATACGAGAAATTTAACTCTAATGAATGCAGCAACTGCCAGCAGCAATATGTTGAATGGTGCGCTGGGAATGTCTCATCCAATTCCGATCACATCTTCAGACGCAGACATGTCCATACCCTCCAACCCCACTACACCAACAAAATCAAACAAACGAAAAACTTCAAAGAAAAGTCCTGGTTCCACCACATCCATTCAACAGGAAAATTCAGAGCCTTCCACAGAAAAGAAAACGCCAAAACGTCGCCACCCCAAGTTCAAAACCTCTTCTTCTCCGAACGTGACAGAAAATGAGGTGCGGAAATGAGTAAGGATGCAATGTGTAATGATATGAAATCAATCCTGTGAAATGACAAAGAAAAACACAAATTTCACAAAAACATCTCAATTAAATCTTCACAAAACAGCTCCGCGGTTGGGGCTTCAAAAACAAAATTTTTATTACAGGTATGTTACATGTTGTTCTTGTTGTTGTTGTTGCAGAATCGAATCGTGAACCGCAAATCGAACCGTTGCTAGTAGATTCGGCAAAACTGATCAGAAGAGAGTTTTTTTTAACTGTTACAGCCCGACAAAAAGATCGTTGCACAACTTTAGTCAAAAAGGCCCAGTTGATCTTCACCAAACAATTCGGCAAGAGTATTAACATCCATTTCAAGCGATGATCTGCCATTAAAAGGCTGGTTAGATACCAGCATATCAGAATTGTACCAGTCAATGATGTGTGATGGAATTGGGACCGTGTCAGTAGTTGTTCTTGATTGAGAGGCAACCGAAGTGAAACCATTTGGTGTAGATGGCTGCTCTAATGTCAATAAAATTTGGTTCAATGTATCAGCAGCATTAGCTTTAAAGCTGCTTGTCACACGTCGATTATTAACTTGATTGGCTTGTTGTCCACATGTTTGGGACATGTTTTGACAATTCACAATAGAATACGTTGATGAGTGCTGAATAATTGGACTTCCAAATCCTTGATAGGAGTCTCCATTGCTGACATGTGTGTTTTTCTTTGTAGACTCGAGAATAGCATCCAAGTCTTCATTGTCAATGGTCAATGCAGCAGCTTTATGAATATCGGCAATATCATTTGACGATATAGCTCTTGACAATGTAGGACGAGAAGGAACAGTCTCTTTAAGTGAGGAGGTGAAAGAAGTGAGAGTTGTGCTTGAAGAATACGAAGTCACTGAGGTCAATGCATTTGTTTGAGGTTTCTTTTGTTTCTTCTTCTTGGACTCAACAGAGACAATTGGTGAGGATTCATACGAAGAGGGAGAAGATGATTCCAAAAACTCATCCTGAGTTCTCTTCTTCGTCTGTTGATGTGGCACAGCTTTCTTCTTTTTTGGAGAATTTAACAAAGAAGGTGAGGCAACAAATGATGGCGATTCTGAGCCACTTCCATTCACAGGACCATCCAAATCCAGTGGTCGTTGTTTCTTGTTTCTCTTATAAAAGAGTCCACATTTGTTGCACAAGTACTTCGTAGTAGTGGTGGTGCTAGAAGAAGCACCAAGTCCTGGAGTGCAGTCAGGTTCAGTGGGATTGAACTTTCTCCACAGAGGAGATTGTGTGGTCTTGCAATTCCAGCAAATTTTGTCCCCTTGCTGCTGTGGGAGAGGCGAGGAGGAGGTAGTTAATGATGGTGAGTGAGTCATTTGGTTGGTTGGTTGCTTTGGTTATTTGTTGGATAAGTAGTGAGAAAAGGTCAAAGTTGCGGAGGAGAGAGGTAGTGGTTGTTATTGTTACAAAAGGGTTGATGAGAGTACAATTCGTTGAATGATGATAGTGATGATGAGAATCAGAGTCGCGTGAATGTTATTTTGAACACAGAGATTATAATTATGTTTTCACACGCACACACTCTTGTAGAAGTAAATTATAGTCGTCGTAGGAATGTGGAGGAGTAGTGTTATGGTGTGATATAATACTCAGAGAAAGTACAATTTTGAATGCAAAGAATGCACGTGACGAAGAGAGAGAAGAGAGGACTTGGGTGGTTCTTTCAATTGTTTCTTTTGGTCAAACGAAACAAGGAAGAGCAGTTCTTTCTGTTGGAAGAAGAGTGCAAATCGAATGTGGAATACGGATACACACAATCGTTTGTGTAAATATTTCCTGATTCCAAATAAGGGCAATAGCAAGTTGTGTAATGTTACAAATTTGTACAAGATGCAACTTGGCAAAGAGGTTGTGGCGTGCGTGGAGTGGTGGTGATGATGATGGTGCGTGTGTCTCTTCGTCGTGAAGTGTATCGTCTGAGCGTCGTCAACGTGTGGTTCCAAGTTAAGGGTTGAGATTGAGCAATGTTCAAGAAGGGATGTGTATTAATTAGTAGAGAGACCAGAACGAAACAGTAGTAACAGTAGCAGTAGCAGTAGCAGTAGCAGTATCAATTACAGAGAAGGAGTGTGTGTACTCAACGTTGAGTCGTCGCGACAGGTTATATGAAGATGATGATGATGATTCAGAGAGATGATCTTTACAAAAAAGTGTAAGCTTCAAGGATTAATATATACAAAGAGAGTTGAGCTGATGATGATGATGATATTGATTTGGACAATTGTACAATATAGAAGAGATTAACTCAAAGTTAATTGAATATAAGAACAACACAACAATAGAGAGGGATGATTTGAAAGGTTAATGATGGGTGGTAGCGAGAGAGGCTTGTTGTGGTGGGTGTTCGGTTGAAACTACTCGAGTCGATAAAAATACAGAAAGTGTTCTTCTGTGCTCCAGACGACACGTGTCGATCGAGGCAAATGAATAGAGACCTATATTGTCGGTTCGGGAGGTGGTACACTTGTAGTAGTAGCAGCAGCAGTGGTGGTTATTGCTGAAAGGATATTCTTCTTGGAATCAGAGAAGAGAGAGGGCAGCAGTGAGAGAGAGAGGATGATCACCACACAACACAACACACGGTGTGAGGATGAGATTTTGGTTTTTTTTTTGGAATTTTTGCGAGCCTGCTGTGGTGGTGGTGAGGGTTCATGGCGTGTGTGTGTGCGTGTTGTGTGTGGTGAAGCCATCACACGTACATGAGAGCTTGGATGTGAACACAGGAGTTCTGTTGGAATGTGATGGGAGTTGTCTCCAATGCGACGAACCAATTTGAGTGATGTTTAGTGGATTCGGTGTGACTGGGCTTTGAGGAATTTGGAAAGATTGGACCTATCAAGGATTGTCTACATGAAGATGAATGGCAGAATACGATGATGGAAAAAGAGTGGGTCGCGACGGAATACAAATGAGCCAAGTAAGTGGAGTGTGCACTCTTGAAATCTCGTTGAACGTGTTTGCTTGAAGAGGACTGAAAATGGACCTCACAGGAGATGAAAGGAGTGGTTGTGTAGTAACTGTAAATTAACCGTAATCATTAGCTAACGCGTCGTTTCGGTCTTAATTTGGCCATCTGAAATTTTTGAAGAGAAGACATCGATAAGGGTTTAAGTGTGTGGTTCCTTGACGTCTAAAGACATCAAGTTGGTGCAATAACACGTTCCATGAATAAAAACAGCGTGTGAAGGTGCCAACCGTGTGTTAATTCGCTCATATGATTTGTAAAATATTACAAAACGTGAAGTTAATCAAAGACCTAAATAGGAATGTAAATTTGATTTGGGATGAAATGCTTGAAAGGACCAATTAGGAAACAACTGACAAGGTCCCTTTTTGTTAATCAATTCTCCATCAGTCATACAACCATGTACAAGCTTTGTTTCACAAGGTTGTGAAAAGCCTCTCATGTGAATCCCCCCTCTCTTCAACCCTCTTGAAAGCATCCAAGGTTGCAACCTTCATTCTCCCTCAGTTTTCAAGAACAATATATTCAATTTCGAAATTGTAAAACCAATAGCTGATGATGTTCCAATCCAGAAAAGACCCTAATAAATATTCAAATTCAAAAAAAAATCAAATTCGACCATTCCTGTTTCAGCATGCCAAAATCATCCCGAAAGAAGAATCACCAGAAATTGCAAATGGACCATTCTCAAGAAGAAGAAGATATCATAGGATCTTCCACACAAACTCTTGAACAACAAACTAGTCTATCGAAAAAACAAGTCTCGAAAAAAGAAAAACAAGCCTTACACAGAGAAAAACGGAAAAACAAACAAGCCACAAAAAAAGCCTCATCTTCCACTCGTGAATTGCAAAAAACGAATGATTTGTCGGACGGAAGTAATAGTGAGTGCAGTAGTAGTGAATCTGAGGATGAGACAACACTCAGTGGGTCCAAGAAGAAATCATCATGTTCAAATATTGCTCTCCAATTTGAAAATCTTTCGGAAAGACAAAAAGCTCAATTGATGCAACAAAAGAAGGTCGTTTCCGAACACAAGAATATTAAAGTAGATCCCAATGAGAGAGATATTTCATCTTCATTGGCTACTGTTCGGTTTTTAAGAAATAATGAGAAAGGTCTTGAAAAACTCGTTTCCAATTATCATCTCAAAGTGAAGAAGCATTCACACTTCTCGAATTTAATTTCGCTTAAATATGACATGTTGAAGAGTCCTTTTTCTTCTGAAATTGTTCAAGAATGTCGAGGTTTAGTTTTAGATAGAGATCGAAATTATAAGGTTGTGTGTTACCCTTTCAAAAAGTTTTTCAATTACGGAGAAAAATATAATGCATCAAAGGACATTAATTGGAAAGAAGCAAAAGTCTATGAAAAAGTGGATGGATCTTTATGCACTTTATATTATTATGGGTATGTGTGATTTTATTTTATATTTTAATAGTTTCTTGTCTTGACACACTTGTCACAATTTGTTTTAACAATGCAAAATTTAGTGATATGTGGTGGATTTCAACAACTGGAACTGCGAGTGGCAATGGATATCTTCATAACAAGAAAAAAACATTCGATAAAGTGTTTTGGGATATTTGGATGAATCAACTGCAGTACAAATTACCTGATCCATCCTTAAACAAAATTTACATGTTTGAATTGTTCACAAAAGAACATGAAATTGTTGTTATACCTGACAGAGATCGAATCATTTTATTAGGAGTTAGAGATATGAACACGCTGAAGGAGGAGGACCCACAACCACATGCAGAGAAAATGGGTTGGGAATGTGTTGCAATGTATCCATTATTGACATCAATAGGAATGGTTTTTGATGCTGCCAAAAATTTAGATCCCTCACAACATGAAGGATTTGTGGTGTGTGACAATAATTTTAATAGAATCAAAATTAAGAGTCCACGATATGTAGCATTAACACATTTACTTTCAATGGACGGAGAGGGAGGTGAGGTTGATTCAACAGAAGTACTTTTGGACAACCAAGAAAATTCCCCTATCAAAAAGAGAAAAATGTTGCAAATTGTGAGAAATAACGAGTCCTCCGAGTTTTTAGTTTATTATCCAAATTTAGAGGAAATTCATAATATTGTTCGTGGTGAATATGAACAGTTTTTGAAACTGACGAAGCATATTGTCAATGACATCAAAACAAAATACTACAGCAACAATGAGGAGGAAAAGTCAAATAAGGATGCCATTTTGAATTTCATTCAGCGAAAATGTCAAATTGACTATTGTTCAGAATTTATTTCCATGCTTGCTGGAAATATCGCTGCCGACAAATCGGAAGAGTTGGCGAACGAAATGAAATCGAGCAAGAAATTTGCCAAGCTTATCAAACACACACTACTAATTGCAGTGTATCAGGAGTTATTTGGGCAAAAAACATGTGAACAAGTGTACAAGGATGTAGAGCTTGGCACTTTGTTTGAATTGATGAATTTTTCAACCTCCATTTAATTAAAGTACACATGCTGTAACATTTACACTCCATCCTGCTCGACAGTTTCATCAGTGATCTCGTCGCTTGTTACTGGTTGCTGAGCTGGTTTCTGCTCAGCCACCAGAAAGGAAAGCATGGAATAATTTGATATGCATGCATTTTCATCTTTTCTCTTCTTCCACGGTTTATACAATTTTAGTTCATCTCTAATGCTTTTCCTCGAGTGAGACATTGGTTCTGGATAATTCATATTTTGATACATTTCTGATTCTGTTTGAGAAAAAATTTCAAATAATAAATCAATAAAGAATGGGTTGTAGAGACCACAATTGCTTTTCCTATGTGTTTTGAACAATGTTAAAGCATCCTCGACAGTGTTGACAATTTTCTTTTTCAATAAATAATAGCAAATGACAAAACCTATCGTGGCCATCAACAATGTTCAATCTCTGTCCAATTCAACAATAGTCGAACATACCTGTTCTATTAAGACCATGTGTACAATGAATTAAAATAAATTTCTGAGGATTTTCTTCGATAAACTTATCAATACATTGCACAATAACATCCATCTCATTAACCATGGTCAGTATTGAGTGATTCTTACCCTCATCCAGCAAATTCTCTGATGAATTAGTTGACTTATTAAAATGATGAATATTCATATAAAATGATTGATATTTCATCTCTGGTGGTACATCATTTCTTCGATAGTAATCAACACAACATAAATCTATGATCATTCCAATACATTGTCCATATGTCGTCACAAAATATTCTTCTAGTAATTTCAAACTGACATTGTTTGGAAATGGATAAATTTGAGGACTCAAAGGACATTTCAGGGGAATGAGCATTGTATTTGGAATAGCCTCTCCAATAAGTGGCTCAGTTTGAATCCAACCTTTGGGTACTTTAGGACTCTTCTTGGTCATGTAATTTATCAATACATTGGAAGAGGTGTGATTCTTATTATTCAAATGATCATTTTCTTGAATCATATTTTCATTTTCTACCATGCTATTTAATGTCGTAATGTATTCTTTTCTATTACTAATAGAAAACGGATACTTGAGCTGTTGAAAATTATTCTCGGAAGATGATTTAGTACTAGTGGAACTAGTTTCCATTTTTCTCTTCTTTGAATTCTTTTGCCTCGAGGATTGTTGAGGATGGTAAAACCTACATGAAGAACCAAATTTGCACTCTCCACTCACAAAGTACCTACAGACTACTGTAGGCTTATTACTATGATTTTTCTTTTTGTTCAGAGTAGTCATAGGTGATGAGTTCTCAATTTCCTTGTCGTTATCTTGTTGATTCATCGGAGTGTTCTCTTCACTATCATTCAAAGCGACATCTTCTTCCGAATCCATGATACCACCACTTCTCTCTAACAAACTATTATCCAAAACAATGCTGAAAGAATTGATCATAAAGTGATGATGAGCCTTTTCCTCAACGAACAACGTCGAAAGAGCTTTGGTTGATTTTTTAATTTTTTTTTGAAGAATCTTTTCGAATCTGTTCAACACCCTCCTTCATCATGCATTACAATCCCAAAAACAAAATGACTCCATCAGCCCATCTCAATCAGCGCTCACAACAGACGACAGAGCATTCCCCAAGCAATCATAAGGGCGTTGTATTTTCAGCCTCACAACTGGAGGCTCTCGAGCAATTTGTAAATGTAGGTGTGTACAACACAATCTTTTGTATGACTCAATGACATTTCAACCATCTGTAATACAATTATTCTCGTTGTGTGATCCTCGTTCTCGGTTTCGATAGTATGTCAAAGCAAACCCTCAAATCATTCGAGAAGGTGATGAATTCAAATTCTTTCGAGATTTTCTAATTCATGATTGTGGAGCAACTAAATTAATTGTAGATCCATGTCAACAACATGCAAAAACAGATCAGCCATCAAGGCTTGTTGAGGAGAGACCCAAACAAATACCAAAACAATCAAAACCTTTGATTTTGGAAGTTTCTGAGAATGATGAGGAAATTTCATCCTCTCAACAGCAACAAAATGGTCTGAGTGACACCAACGAACCCTTATTAATTCCATGTCAAACTAAAATTTTAAAGTCGAATTCGACACTACCAGAAGAACAACACACAAATCTCTCTTCCTCTCCCCCTTCTTCGTCATCTTGTGCAGCAAAGACAGCAGGATCCTATTCCGAGCTCATGAAATCTTCTTCTTCCTCTCTTGGTGGAGATACGAAATCTTCACATGTTGGGGAGACTACTGCCGCTACCACCACTATTTCTTCACCCACGTTGACGCTTGCTGATTCAAAATATTTAAACAACATGGGTCGATTTGAGTTTGGAATTTCCTCTTCAACAACAAAGAATTCAAAACTTGCCAATGAATATACGAGCAAAGGAAATCAACTATTGAAAGAAAAACAATTCGAGTTAGCAGCAATTCACTATGGAAAGTCCATTGAACTGCAAAATGGAGAATCTGCACTATTATTTATCAAGAGAGCAGAATGTATGGCCATGTTAAATAAGCCTTTGAGTGTGAGAAGAGATTGTGATGCAGCCATTACATTAAATCCAGATGCAGGTAAAGCCTATCGATTAAGAGCGAAGGCTTATTTTGTGTTGAGAAAATATGAACAAGCAAGAGATGATTTGGAAATGAGTAAAAAGTTGGAAGATGATACAAGTGAAGCCAACAAATTGTTGAAAGAGATTGAAAAAGTATTACCAAATTCGACTCGTTCTTCATCCAACTCTACCAGTAGTAGGAGTACTATTGGAAGTACTATTGGTACTAGAACTAGTAGTAGTGATAATAATAGCGGTAATAATAATGTTGAACCCTCTCAACCATCAAGTGAGAAGAAAAAAACAGAGACAATGTCGTCATCATCCTCCTCAACTCCATCAGCTACTACTAGTGCTACTACCTCCTCAATTTCACCACCCATCTCCTCTTGCTCAACAACAACATCCAAGATGTCTCCACCAAACCACTCAAAACCATCCAATTCCAATTCAGAAACAACTAGCCAAAACAAAAATCAAAAGTCAACCATTTACACCAAACCACAACCAGAACCATCCAACAAGGATAATTCTACCATTCCAAGTAAGTACTGATAATGAATGTTTGAAATTTCTAGAAAGTTCATTATTACCATATGTGTGTCAATGCATGGCAGATTTTGTAAATCCTCAAGTCATGAAGTTAGTGGCTCAAGATGAAACCCTCATGAGAGGTTTCCAAAATCCAAGAATTGTCAATGCCATTAATGAAATTGCTGTCAATCCAAATGCATTCATGAAATACAATAATGATCCAGAAGTTGTTACCATGTTTAAGAAATTTACACAAATTATTACAAATTCAAAATAAATTTAATTTGTGAAAAATCTCAATACGGTTCTCATCTACAATAGAGTATAAACCGGACTTTTTGGTTCAAAACTGTCCAAAGTTGAACTCTCTTTCACACTTTCATCGACATATTCCATCAATAAAATTGTTCGATCAGATTCCGATTGAACTACAAATGGTAAATTCAAATTCGATGAATTATCATTGTTATTACTACTACTTGATGGTATCATTACATTGACAACTCTTGCTTTACACATGGTATTTGTTTGTAAATTCTTATAAATACTTGATAAAAACACTCCGACACGATCACTCTGAGTTTGTGGATTAAAAACTTTGTATTCAAAGAGAGGTTGATTGAGAGAAATATTCTCATTGTTGGATACAAACACTTGAAGAATTGTACATCCGAGTGGGACTTGAATTTTCTTGATCCACGTTCGGTGAGTTTGAACGCTGGAAGAGTCGGAGGTTAAACTAGTTGTTATCATTATTTTTTTTACGGAATGAGAAGAAGGCAGTTCTTGTACATTTGTTACAAAAGAAGGACTGATGAAGCAGAAGAGTGTCCTTCGAGTCTTGGAAGAAATGCAACAGAAGTCTGTCTGCTGAACTATATTTGTTCATTGACCTTTTTTTCTTTTTGAAACAATCCAACAATTCATGGAATTTTCACTTGAAAACTGGAAAGGCGTTTTCGCTAAAAGGCCACAAGTTCATTCGTTTCGAAAAAATCATTCTCAAAAAATTCAATCGATCAATTCTCTCAAATTCACGACGCCATTCCATCTCTTGTGTGTGAATTTTGATTCAAAACACAGCGATATCGATTGTATTCCCTTTATTTCTCCCTTTGCACATCATTGTTGAAACTAGTCTGATTACGTGTGGTGCTCTTGTGTGTTGAATCCATTATCTCTCTCATAACTGAAATTATTTGATCATCATCATTCACATTTCATCACCCAATCATCACCATTATTTTCTGATTGAACATCTCCACGATACCCATTCCACGATACCAGAAGAAGAAGAAAATGCCAAGAAAGTCCAAGAAATCAACCGAACAGCCAGTGATGATGAACGACGAAGAGGAATCTGCTGCCAATGCCTCATCATCGAATGCCACCATGGATACTTCCATGACAGGGGATCATGATGAGTCAGCTGCTACTACTACCACCATGACTCCAGAGTCCTCGACCGAATCATCCAGACCTTCGAGAAAATCTAAAGAAACAGCCAAACGTGTCATTCACAAGGCCATTAAAAGTAAACTCAACGAAGAAGAAGAAAAGAATGTGAGTGAGGACCACCAAAACAACAACACTGTTGATGATGAAGTTGAAGAATTATCTCATGCTCCTCGTATCAGTATTGCTGCCATGAAGAAAAAGCAAAAGGCTGAAAAATTAGCAAAGAAGAGACAACAACAATCAAAAAAGAACAAGAAGGATGCTGAATCTTCCGACAGTGAAGAGGATGAAGAAGATGTCGAATCGGATGCCAAAACTGAAAAGAAGAAGCGAAACACCTCTAAAAAAAAGAAATCTAAGAAACAAGAGAAAAAATCGACTTCCTCCTCTAAAAAGAGAAAGAAGAAGGATGAGGAAGATGACAATGATGATGAAGATCACTCCGATGAGGAGGATGGAAAAAAGAAGAAGAAGAAGAAAAAGACCACAACCTCGAAAAAGTCAACCTCCAAAAAGTCTTCTAAAAAGAAAAAGATCAAGCCTGGCATGCGTGAAGTACCTGAACAAGTTCTTGAACGAATTGCCCAAATGAAAGATGAAGCCTTTACTGAAGTGAGTGATGAATTGCACACTGAAGTCTCTCCAGTGAGAACTAGTAAGGAAGTTTTCCGTGCCATTCTCACTAAAAATTATGTTCTTTTGAAAAAGATTCTAGAAGATGAAAAGCATGTGAACAATATTTGGATTTCAAGATCTGTAGATTGTGATTGGAATGTATGGGATTATGCGATTCGTTCCAATGATCAAAGAGCTCTCGAAATGCTCTTTGAAGAAACTACAAAATATAGAACTAGAGTTTCTCAATCTCATTCGATTGAAACGATGAGTACTGGACATGTTGGTAAAAGAACATTTGGACGTGCCATTCGTAATGTTAATGTATCACGTGGAGGTAGAGAAGGTATTGATGTTGCATTCGCTAAAGATTCTGATCATTATCAATACAATCGATGGAATGACGGATTTGCTGAAGCATTGGAAAGAAGTCTCTCATGTCCAGATGTTACAACAGATACTATTGATTATCTCATTGTAAAGAAAGGATTAGGTATCTTTGGTGAAGATGGTATCTATAATGCTGTTCAATCTGGTAATTTGAAAATTGCTATTCATTTAGCTAAAAAGTTACAAGCACAAGATGGATTTGGATTGAATCATCTCCATGTCGAAGCCTTGGAATTGGATGGTACTTCCAATTTCTCCGAGTACAAATCTGTGAGTGTGGTGAAGAAGGCTCTCGCTAAAGATGCAACTCCCGTACATTTTGCTGCCATTAATCCTCATACTAAATATCTCAAAGAATTGGTAGAGAATAATAGTGATGGATGTGCCGTTCAAGATGCTTTCCAAAAAAGACCACTTCATTTTGCTGCATGTTCTTCAACTCCTGATAATATCAAGTATTTATTAGAGAAGGGTGCTAATATTATTGAAAAGGATTCCCAGAAGAGAACTGCTCTTCATTATGCTGCTAAATATGGACATGCTCATAATGTTGAAATTTTATGTCCAAAAGACACCAAGTATGGATCTATTAAGGATAAGTTTGGTTATACTCCACTCCATTTAGCTGCTTGGTATGGACATACAGAAGTTTGTGAAAAATTAGTGGAATGTGGCGTTCCGGTCGATATTGCTGCAAAATTGAAAGAAACTCCATTAATGAGTGCCTGTAAGAGAGGACATTTACAAGTTGTGAAAACTTTAATTGAAAAAGGTGCCAAAATTGAAAAACTCTGTTCCCGTAAGAAATCTCTTCTCATGTATGCAGCCATGAATGGTCATTTTGAAATTTGTCGATTCCTTCTCTCAAATGGTGCTGATCCTAATCACAAAGATTCTGCTGGTAACAGTGTCATGCACTATGCCGTTGCTTATGGTTGGTTTGATATTGTTAAACTATTATTAGCTGCAGGTGCTGATTTACATGCACTCAATTCATGGAAATATTCTCCATTGAACATTTCCATGTTGAAATCTCATTATGGTATTACTGAATTTATTCTCAATGATGCAGGTGTTGATTTGAATTTGAAAGATTCAGAAGGTTATACTCTCATACACAAATTAATGAGTAATTTGAATGATCAAAATGTCAATCAAATCAAATATCTCATTGAAACTAAAAAGGATCGAATTGATTTGACCATTACAGATTCAAAGAAACAATCTCTCTTCCATTACATTACTGGTCCTAGAACTAAATATGATATTGAATTGGCTAAATTATTCATCAAACATGACCTTCATTATGATTCAATTGATCAGAATGGTGTCACACCTCTCATGAAAGCATTTAATCATTCCAATATTAATATGATTAAATTCTTATTGGAACAAGGTTCACGTGTGAGATGTAAGAAACATGAAGAGAATATTCTCCATTTGGTATTGAAACAAGTGAATCATCGAGATTTGAACAAACTTTTTGGAATTATTTATGAAAATATGGTCGTTAATAAGAGAGTTTACCATGATGATCATTCAAATTCAGAACAACAACAACAACTCTTAATGATGAATGATGATGAAATTCCATCCACAACTGCAACATGTGAAGATTCATCCAACCATAACAACACGAATGAACAGAGCGAACAACAGATTAAAGACTCAGAACAACTCTTCTACAAGATGGCTCAAACCATTGATGCCACAGGAAAGACTCCACTCATGGCCATGATTGAACAATTCTCTCTATCTTCCAACATGTATGAATTGGCAGAGGATAGTGATGGAGAAGCTACACCTTATCCAACACCTTCCATGAATAGTGAGGCCAACAATCCATTCAATGTTCTCTTTGGTGAAGAAGAGACTAAGAAGACAAGGAAGAAGAAATCTTACGAGAAGGAAGACAAGAGGAAAGTCAAACAATGGAAACATGATGACGAGGATGAGGATGAGGAGGAGAGTGACTTTGAAGATCGAATGGAAGATGACGAAGAAGAAGTGCCTGTTAAAAAAAAGATGCCTTCTTCTTCTACCAAAAAGTCTGCTAAAAAGAAATTGGTGAGTAAAAAGAAGAACGCCCAGCTCATGGATGATTCTGAAGAAGAAGAAGAAACCTCCATGATGATGGAAGATGATGAACATTCTGAAATGTCCTCTCAAAGCGAAGACAGTGAACACGAGGAAGAAGAAGAAAATGAAGAAACAGCAGCAGCAGATACTTCATTTGTATCCACTACGAGTAGTAGTATGCTTAACAGGAGTGGATTTAGTGCTACTACTGGTGGAGAGTTCTTTGGAGGAATGAGTACAATGACCACAACAACAACAACCACCACCACCACTACTACTACTACCACTCAAGAAGAAGAAGAAGTTGAATTAGACAGTGATGGAGAACCCTATGACTATTCCTACGGATACAAGAGAAAGAAACCAAAAACACCAACTGGTTCCAGTACCACTCTATTCTTACAATTCTTGGAAAAGTATCTCACTCTCACCAAAACTTCATTGAAACATGAAAAGATTGTTCATATCACAGAATCAAGTAAGATCAAAATTAAGGATCCAAACACCAACAAGATGAGAACCAAACATTATCCACCTAATCACTACATTTCCTATACACCTCTTCATTTTGCAGTTAGAAATAGAAATGCAGAATTAATTAAGGTCTATTTGAGTTCGAAATATCGATTGGATGTCAATGCAAAAGATTTCAAAGGAATTACTCCACTTCATTTGGCAGTTCAAGCAGCTAAATCAAGTGATGATGCCATTCATCTCGTGAAATACTTGTTGAAACATGGAGCTGATTTGAATAGTCGTGATTCGTATGGAAGAAGTCCATTCTTTTATGCCTTTACTGATATTCCTTATCAAGGTGGTGGTGGTTTTGCTTCCAATAGATATTATTCTTATGGTTATTATGGATCATCCAATGATCCTATTGAATTAGTCTCCGATATGTGTAACTTTGAAGGATTAGAAATGGATATTGTGGATCATATGGGTCGATCACCTCTCCACTATGCTTCATTGAAGGGTGCAACCATTAGTAGTATCTTTTTAATTCAGAGAGGTGCTGAATTGAATCGTAAAGATGAAGATGGTAATACGGTTACTAATTTGGCATTATTATCATCTAAGGTTGATTTTGTGGTCACTTTGATTAATAAGGGAGGTGATGTCCATGCACCCATTTATTCCTCTGGATCTGTTGATCCACTCACTATTCGTGAACAAAAGAGACGTACCTTACTTGAAGAGAGTAAGAAGAAGAAGAAGAGTCATATTTTGGGTGCACGTTCTTCCTCTCGACATTTACCAAAGGATGACGACGATGAGGATGATTACGATGAGGACAATGATGATGAAGAGAATGATGATGGTTCTGAAAATGAGAAAGAACTCTATTCTTCTTCTTCTTCTGAAGAGGAGGACGATCAAGCTGCTGAAAAGAACCCTGCTCTCTCTTATCATGCCATTCGTGAAAAAGTTGCCTCTGAAGAATTACCTTCCATGACCATGTTCAAATATGCACTTTCTCGATCTTTTATGGGACTTGCTTATCTCATCATGCAAGAACCTAATATCAAACCAACTCAAGTCATTAGTGATGCATTGGATACTAAACAATATGGTCTCGTACAAAAATTAATTCGAAAGACTAGAAATGATTTATTAATTAATGATCTCAATAGTGATGGACAAAATGTGATGCATTTAGTAGCTCGTCATTGTGGATCTCATTCTGAATGGAATTCAACATGGAGTGTGACCATAACTAAAATGTTATTGAGAAGACATGTCAATGTGAATTTAGTAGATACTTGCAAAGGAAGAACACCACTTCATTATGCTTGTAAGAATAGAAATGATCAAATTGTATCATTATTATTGAAACATGGTGCAACACCAAATGTATTGGACAACAAGTATAAGAGAAGTGCATTGATTCATGCCTGTAAGAACTCACGTCAAAGTACGACCATTTTCAATTACCATGCTTCAGTGGTGGAATCTATTGTGAAGGATTTATTAGCTCATCATGCGAATCCGAATATCCAAGAGACCAAATATGGAAGAAGTGCATTACATCTTGCAGTATTAATTGGTGATCGAAGAGTCGTCAAGATGTTGTGTCAACATCAAGTCAATGTCAATTTACACGATACACCTCTCAAGAGAACTCCACTCCATCATGCAGTACTTCAATCAGACAATGAAACGGTGAATCTTATTTTAGAACATTCCAAACAAAGTGTCAATGTCAACTCAAAAGATCTTGATGAAAGAGCTCCACTCCATTATGCTGTGGGTATTAATCTCTTTGGATATCATCAAAATGTAGAATTAGTGGAATCTTTGATGAAAGCCAAAGCTGATATTCATATCAAAGATAAGGACTCTAAATCACCACTCTATTACTCGTTTAGACAAACCAATGGTATTTATACTAAATTATTATTAGACAAATCAGAAAGAAATTCAAACTCTGAATTGGAACAACAACAAGCTCAAAATGAAATCAAAACATTGATTGAGTACATGTCAACATTCCCAGTCCCACACCAAAATGTATCCTTTGAAAGTGATGCAAGTGAAGCATTGAGAATCTTTGAGGAGAATGAAGCTAATCGACAAGAGACGGAAGAAGAAAAGAAGGAAAGAATACCAAAAATGGATTCTAATTGTGCCTTGAAGAATTGTCAAGTCTTGGTGGATGATTCAACTAGTAGTACTGACGATGATTCTCAAACCAATAACAATGATGTTCGATATTTCCATGCAGTATTGAACAAGACCGATGTCAAATATGGAACCAATGGTTACAATAACTTTTATATTCTTCAAATTGGTCATAATGTTGGTCAAAATTTATATGTCCTCTTCAATCGATATGGTAGAGTTGGTGAGACTGGTATGTTCCAAACCACTCCATTCCAAGATAAGGATGAAGCTATTGCTGAATTTAAAAAGATTTTCAAATCTAAAACAGGAAATGAATGGGGAAAGGAATTTGAAGAAAAGACTAAAAAGTACAAGATTGTTGATGTTAGTAAGAGAAAGGTTAGAGATCCATTACAACCTATTGATTTATCCAAAGCAGCTTCATCTACTCTTCCAGAACCTATTTATGATTTGATGAAATTGGTTTGTGATATTACCATTTTAAGAAAAGATTTAATTCGATTGGGTATTAGTGATGAATACTTCTCATTAGGCCAATTATCCAAAGAGAGATTGAAGAAGGGTTATGAAGTATTGACCACTATTTTACAAACTATTAAGGATAAGGATGCCAATCCAAATTTGCCACCAAGTGAATTATTAGTCATTTTAGGAAAGTTAGCAGATCTTTCTAATGAATTCTATTCACTCATTCCTCATCATGGATGTGTCAATTGTCCAATTGAAGCTCTCGAAACTGAACATGAAGTACTTGCTAAAATGAAATCATTGGAAGATTTAATTGAATTGAGAACTGCGGCGAGAATTTTATTAGCTTCCCAATTGAACATCAAGACAATGAATCCACTCGATTACACCTATCATGCCTTGGGTGCTCAACTTGCACCTCTCTCAAAGACCGATGAAGAATTCTCTGTCATTAATCAATACATGGATCGAAGTGGACGTGACGTTAAAATTATGAATATTTTCAGAGTGAATCGACCAAGTGAATCAGAGAGATTTGAACAATTCCTGTCCAAACAAAAATCAAAAGGAAAGAGTCTCCATCGCATGTTGTTATGGCACGGAAGTCCAGTCACAAACTTTTTATCTATTCTCTCAAAGGGTCTATTAATTGCACCAAAAGAAGCTCCTGCCTCTGGTTACATGTTTGGTAAAGGAATTTACTGCGCAGACATGTTTGGAAAGAGTTTGGGTTATTGTCGCTCGGATGTGAGTGAGGGACAAGCCTTACTCTTGTTGTGTGAAGTCTTGGTTGGAAATCCATATCGTACCTATGAAGCAGAATATATGGAAGATGCGAAAAATGGTTTCGACTCGACCATGGGTGTTGGAGCGAGAGGACCTAATGATGAACAACCCTATGTGCAGTACGATGGAGTGCATATTCCATTAGGACCTATTGTGGAGACACCAAAACCAGTCGAAAAGGTCAATGCCAATCGTTATTGGAATTTCTCACTCAGTTACAATGAATATATTGTGTATAATGTGGATCAAGTGAGAATTCGTTATATGGTCCAGGTCAAGACTAGTGAAGAATAAGAGATTTAAGAAAGTAAAATGAGAAAGTAAAATTATTATTAAATCGTATGCTTTACTATTATTGATACTGTGCTTTAATGCAGCAGAATTTTACAGATTTTTTGTCTCCTAAAGAACCTATTTTCAATTATTACCAAGAATGGTAATTATCTTAAAACAGAAGTTACACTTGTTTTATCAGCACTCCAGAGAACGTGAACCACTCACAGAGACGATCGAGAGAATAACTTCTCAAAACACAGCTAATTAACCAATCCAACAACAATAACAACAACAACAAATGCCACAAGAATTCAAACAACAACATCCAACCACAACAGCCCAACAAGAACAAGAGCAACGAGAACATCCGAATCCACCTCCTCGTTTCATTCATGACTATACGACCGATTTGAAGGCCATTCAAGAACACGACAAACAGGATTATTTCCCTCGATCGGATCTTCAAATGTTTCCTCACATTCCTTTTGTGAGTTCCTACAATTCAGGATTGGTTCAAAATGTCATGTTCACAGGAGGATGTGGAGATGTTGGAGATGCCATGTCCACCAAACAACAAACACAATACTCGAGTGAGGATTTGAGAAGTGTCATTCATGAATTGGATCAAAGACCATCTTATGGAAAGAAGGAAGAAGAAAAAACAGATTCTCAAAACAAGGATGAAAAGGGAGAAGACATTTCAATGAACCCTTAAGAGAGGGTGATCTTGGCGCCATCGCGCGATGGCTTCGAAGGTGACAAATTTGTGTTTTTATTTTTTTGGCATCTCCTTCACACAGTTGAACTTTTCGATCGAAATTGCTTCTTATGACCGTCATCAATAAACATTTCTTCTTTTTTGATCAAGTCCTTTTCATGATCATTCGTATCCTTGTTATTATCATTCAAGTCCGGCGAAGGTGGATGAGTCCCCAGAAAACTCAGCGAAGTGAACATTTCATCGCCTGAAATATTCAATGAGCAACACATGAGTGCTGCGAGTAGACACATGGCTCGAAAACACATGACTTTTAGTATTCTTCGTTTGGAAAATTTAATGAAAGGTGTATGAATGAGTAGTAGTAGTAGTTGTAGTTGGGAGGTGTTGGGAGAATACTCAAAAACATTTTTTCAATTCAACTCAATTATGATCAATAAACAACAGACTCATTGCATGGTGACAAAGCGAGAACGATCATTTATGGTACACACAAAAAGTCATGATTCGCACAACAAGGATGAAAAAGTACAATTACCAGAATAGAATCTCCAGATCTACTCTTTTCTAGGAATAAAAAGTTCGAGATTATTCTAAAACAACAACCTTAATATCACACCATTGATCATTACATAATGCTTGATACAACAAATGACAATACCTTTCAATCACAATGGTTACATTTTCTTTTCCACAACTCATCATGACTTTGGTCGTAAAACATGCTCCACATTGACAAGGATAATCATGTTTTGGTTTGAAGGAGCAATTTCTTCTCTCTTCTAATGAGTGAGTATACTCAACGTTCATGGATAATTCATCTCTTGAATCTATCCATCGTTCAATAGTATTATTACAATTTCCATATTTCCATGAAAGAATGCATTGACCTTGTTCATTTAAAACACTCAAATAAATCTCTTCGAGTGGAGGAACAAGTCGATTGCTGACACTTGTGAAAAATTCAGAATATGGTTGTTCTAAAGTTAAATTTTCTCTCAACAGTAATACAGTTCTATGATGTGACAAAGTTCCCAAACCACACACTGTGACCTTTTTCGAGCGTGTGTTTCCTTTTAGGATCATTTTAAAGAGAGTTGAAAGAGGAATTCTGATCATGGATGATTCTAATTTTGAAATTTCTGTTCGTTCTACAAGAGAAGTAGGACTACAACTACTACTACCATTCATACCACCCCAATCATCATTACCACCATTATTTCTATTACAAGGATATTCATTTCTTGAAATGTACAAATAGGAATGGGAATATGCCACTGTGAAATCTTCTCCACAACTCACATCCTCAATGTGAGAGAGAACTATTCGAGGTTTTGTAATAGAGTCGACAAGGTGGTGGTGGTGGTGATTTGACCGAGAATTCTTGTGAGAGATATTCTGACGATTGGAAATCAAACATTGACACTTGTCATTTCTTCCAAACATGTACAAGTCACCATTTTGACACAGTACAGCACTATGATGGTGTCCACAATCAATTTTCTTCAGATTGGAAGAAGAAAAGAAGGATGATGAAGGATCATTCAATGACAAGTCCTTCTCATGGTGAATGTCAATTGCATTCCCATTATTGGAATTCCAATCAAAGGACATGATTTCAAGAGGAATGGTCACATTCACACTTGTTGATAAATGATTCATTCCCAATTGACCATATCGATTGGATCCACATCCAAACAAGATACTTTGATGGTTATGTTCAGCAACAAATAAGGAATGTTCCTTTCCTGTTGCAATTAGTGTCACCATGATCATCTTGGGGTGTTGTTGGTTGTGTTGAATTGTTTCATTGAGTGATGATGTTAATGATGGTGGTGTTTGTTGCTTTTGTAAACATGTTCTAAAATTCATTTGAATGGGAAAGGGAACATGAGAGGGTAAAAAAGTTCCAGTTCCTAATTGACCATATTGATTATTACATCCACAGGAATAGACTTGACCATCTTGAGTGAGGAAGAGAGTGTGATCGTATTTAGATGCAATCTTTGCAATCATCATCATGTTTGAGTTGGGTGGTTGAGTTATTCTGGAGGTGATGATGTTGTTGTGATCATCCTTATGGATGTTACTGGTGTTAATATAAATGTCAAATCTGTTCACACTTCTCAAATGATTCACATGAGAGAGAGTGAATGGTCGAATATTCAATTGATATTTAGAGTTATCACCAATGGCTTGTGCATGTCCATTTTCATACAAATAAAAGGAATGATAGTCACCACTTGTAATGGTCTTCAATCTCTGAGTGGAATTCTTAATTTGAAGTTCAATAGAGGACAAATGACACAAATGTTGTTGGTAAGGTTGTTGTTGCAGCAGGTGAGGAGAATGAGTAGTAGCAGTAATAGTAGTATTGGTACTCGTCGAAGGAACCATTGTCGGTACTAGTTGGAGGGATGGAGTCTTTGGCGACTTGTTGGTGATGGCACTAGTCCTACCACTACCACCACCACTACCACCACCACTACCACCACCACTACCACCACCACTACCACCACCACTACCACCATTACTATTAGTACTACCTGTAGAATATTCTCCTCCACACCCTAACACGATGGTTGAGAAGCATTCAAAATGAGAGGGTTTACTTGAAGTAGTGCGTAAGGAATGGTGGTGGTGATGTTGATGATGATTGGAACTAGTTGATGATGAAAAAGATGAAACTGCGACATGATTGTCGGAATGATCCATCCAGAAAGACGAGCAGCACAAACAGTGATGACCTATGCTCAAGATCGAGCGGTGGTAGAAAATGTAGGGTTAGTAGCACTAGCAGTATAGTGGAGAAGAATGGATTTTTAATTTACTCGATCGAATTCGCCAATACCAACGAGGACTTGAAGAGTGTCTTTGGATTGAACAAGTGAGCGACACTTTTTTGATCTTGGGGTCATCATCATGAGTACGAGGTTTGACCAAACACCAAAGTAAGCCTCTCTCACTAGTAGTTGTTTGTTTTACATGCTCGGAAACATCGGATAAAACCAATCGGTATGTACGTTCTGACAGGAATATTCGGTGTTTTTTGAATTGCACTAGGTCACATGACCAGTATGTAGAATTGTGCAATTATGGTCGCGGGGGTGTATTGAATGTATATATATTGAAGAAGAGAGGGATAAATAGGGTGGTACAAGCGGTGGTGTTGAACTCTGTCTGTGGTGGTACGTTGTTGGTGATGAGTGTTTGGTCGGTCCAGAATCTTGAGGCATTCAAAGTTTTCTTTAATTCTTTTTCTCCCTTCGTATATATAGCTGTGGAACATGGTTTTTCTTTCGCATGTATAATTTAACCTTTGCAACATGTTTCTCTTTCCCTTCAGACATCGTTCTCTTTACAGACACATACGATTATGGCTGCAACGTGTGCAAAAGTGAGGGCAATGTTCGATGAATGACGTCAATTCAATTTGGTAAAAGGTGTCCACACCTTCCACGGATAATATTCGACTAATCGCACCCTTGCAAGATTCTTCGCACAATATATTTTGGAAAAAATGTTGAGTGCCACTCCTTTTCCATCACGTGAAAACAGTAGTCACAACTTGACACCAACATCAGACAACAGGTCCTTTTCTCAATCATCTTCATCCTCTCGACAACCACATCAATTACGAACAAGAAATGGTCATCATGCTCATCATTTCAATCATCATGATATCCGACGTGTCTTGAGTCAAGGAAATGTGGAACAAGTTGAGTTGGATGATGAATTTTCATTGCGACATGATTCCAATACTACTGAATTGAACCAAGCATCTGAATCACGTCGTCTTTATCAGCATCCTCATACTACTATTCGACCGTCATCACATTTACCTTCTTCCTCTTCATCGTTCAATTCCTTGTCAAGTGCTTTGGACACCAATCATCAACATGTTCATTATCATTTAGAAGAGGGTGATGATGATTTGAATAATGCATACACTACCATCATGATCAAACAAAATCATCATCCTTACCAACAGGTGGATCAACTCCCTTCATTGACCTCAATCAACACCACCAGCACCACCAAGACTTCAACCACTAGTGGCAATAAAACTATCACTACTGGTAGTGATGGTTCTCAACTACTTTCTCAAAGAAGAGACACCACTGTCTACTTGTCCTCAACAAGTCTAGACGATCATCACTATGGCGAGAACTGCAGTCATGGTGGACATGACGAAGAAGAATATGGTGTCCACAATCATCATCCTCTTCCTCTTCAACACAATAACAATGGAGAGGATGATGACACTCATCACCACTTGGTCATGCTCATTCCTCCCCAAAAAAAGTCGAGTAGTGGAGGTGCTGGTGGTACAAATCACACTCAACAACATTCTCAGAATGATGACCATTTGAAGATGGAACAAGAACAACAACACCACAACATTCTCATTGATAAATATCTAAGTTTTGAACAACATTTATTACGTCGAAGTGATAAAAAAAGAGACAATCAATATCGAACTCAATTAGAATTAATTACTGCCATTGATGAACATTGTGATAGTGTTCTTCATACTTATTCATGGTTTCGATTATTTATTTTATCCTTAATGGGTGGAGTCTATGTTGCCATTGGAACCCTCACAAGTGGACTCATTGCAAGTGATGTCACAAGTAAGGCATTTCAAAGATTTATGATTGGTGTGGCATTTGTGGGCGCATTTACAATGATTATATTCAGTAGAAGTATTCTCTTCACAGAAGTGAACATTTCAGTGAGTGTTCATTTATTTAAGAGTGATCTCATTGGAATTATTCGAAGATCCTTCTATTGGGTCTTTAATTCAATATTTACATGTTGTAAAAATCACATGCACGTTAAAATTAGAAGAATTAAGAGTATCAAATTAATGACTCTATTGTATTCACTTCGATTATGGGGTATTGCTATTATTGGAAATGTATTAGGAACTGGTAAGTGTGTGAATATATGATTCCTTCTGACCTATACAATTCCTTTACAACCCTTCTTTCTAATCATTACCATTCAAATCCTTTGACACACAAATTCCCATTCATCCTTTCCATTTTATTCATGCGACACAAACAGTTCTCATGAGTGCCATTTTGAATGGTAGTTTTGTGTGGTATGACAATGTTTCTGTCATTCAATTCCTCGCAAGTACGACTTATAAGAAAGTTCATACTTTTGCTGTGAGAGGTGTTAATGGATGGTTTTCATGTCTATTATCTGGAATGGTTGCTAATTTCATGATTGGAGTGGCAACCTTATTAAGTAGTTCAGCAACGTATGTATTATGAGTGTGAATGTTGAATATAACTTTGTGGAATATAATATACCATCAGAACGATTACTGGAAAAATTACTGCCTTGTCTTTTCCAATCATTGCATTTGCTGCACTAGGAGTTCAACATGCACCTGCTAATCTAGGTATGTAATCTAGATATCATTTGAGAGTGTTGTTAATGAATAATAATTGATTGAACGAATTTGATTACACTTTAACTTTCTGAATGCATATGATGAATGAATTTGAATAATAATTAGGTTACTTTTCACACATTTTCATTTGGAAAGAATTATTTGGTGTGAATACCATTTCCAACAACTTGACTTCTGCTATTACACCAGAAATTCAATACATTTCTGAAGAGATTCAATGGTGGGATGCATTGGCTTGGAATGTTGTCCCTGCAGGAATTGGAAATGCTATTGGTGGAATATTCTTGGCATTTATTTTTGTTTATATTTTCATCAAGTAGTAACAGGAGAGTCATTATGATGGAGGGATGATTCAGGGTGGTATTTGTCTTGTATGGTTTGAGGTGTTGAGGAATAAATGCACGATCTCTCTCCAGCAACGCGGTTGGGCTTGCTTTGGAAAAACCTCATGATTTTTGCTCTCTTCTCTCCTTTTTAAGCACTGAACCCAAGTCATCCAAGAGATCCTTTTCAGGAAAAATTCATGTTTGCAAGGATCAACAACAGAAAAAAATTCATCACCATCTCTTGATCATTTGCTGTGGTGCTTCCTCCACGACACTTTTTCCATAGAGTTGTAGTATCACCATCCTCCAATTTTTCACTGAAACCTCGTCCTCCCCCAACAACAACAACAACAATATTATTCTTCATTGAATCATCATCATGTCCACTCCCTCTCAATCCGATACTACCTTCCTCTCTGTACACAATGAAAGTGAGATGAGAAGACCTTCTCAACATTGGCTCTCTCAAACAGTAGATGTTGAATTTCCAGATAAAAGTATTCATGTTTTTCCATGTCCAGTCAAATGTTTTGATATTGCAGTATTATTGAAGAAACATATGCATATCAAAACCGATATCTATGCCTTGGAAGTCAATAATTTGATTACTTCATTGAATGAAGTTATTTCCTTTACTCAAGTTAAAGTTAAGCCTATCATGAAAGATACTGTGGATGGACATGCGATTTTGAGACGTAGTTTAGTCTTCCTGGTTGGATTGGCCACTCATTTGGAATTTCCTGAATTTTCAATGACTGTTGAACATTCGTTGAGAAATGGTTACATGTGGTAAGTTCAACAATTATCTCAATGTGTGTGTGACTTGTATTGTTTCTTCAATGTTTGTGTGACTCTCTCATTCGTACTTGTTTATTTCCTACCCTATGTCATTTTATATAGTCTTGTGGAAGACACTGATGTGACCACTGAACAAATTGCTAAAATTGAACATCGAATGAAAGATCTTGTGAGTAGAGATCTTCCCATTCTCACTCGTTATGTTTCCTATGAAACTGCAATGGAATTCTTTGAAAAAATTGTGAAAAGACCATTCACTGCATCTCTCATTTCTGCTAACAATGATCCTGCTGTTCCAATTGATTATTGTGATGGTATTGCTGAACAATATTTTGATTTACATCACAGAACATTAGTAGCAAGAACAAGTTTTCTTCATAATTGTTTTTCATTAGAGAAATTCAATCATGGATTTAAATTGCAGTTTCCTGCTGAACCTTATGACTTGGGATTAGAATTCAATGATGAGACATTGGCTAATTTATATTCTGAATATAATAATTGGGGTAAAATTACCAATACAAGATGTGTGGGTGATTTGAATCAACATGTGAACAATAATACCATTAAATGGTTTATGGCATTGAACCATGCATTACATGATCAAAAGATTGTCAAGATTGCCCTGGATATCTATTCGAGAAGAGATAAAGTGAAATTGATTTTGGCGGCAGGTCCATCCAGCTCAGGAAAAACTACGGTACGTTGAAATATGGCGGCAAAAAGGCTTACTCTTTTGTTCATATGAATCTTTTATTGGATGGGTATTATGAATGGATGGATTATTCCATGAAATTTGAAATGCTATTGGTGCTACGATCAATACTTGTTGCTCAGTTCGCTAAAAAACTCTCCATTCAATTAGAAATTTTAGGTATCAAACCAGTGACCATTTCTGTGGATGACTATTACAAACCTAATAAGGAATGTCCATTGGATGAAAATGGAAATTATGATTTCGAAACCATCGATGCGTTGAGAATTGATTTGTTGAATGAACATTTAGAATCATTGATTAAGGGTGAAGAAGTCATGTCTCCAATCTTTGATTTCAAGAAAGGTGTACCCAAAGACATTGGTCGTAAAATCAAATGTCATCCTGGACAAGTCTTGTTGATGGAGGGAATTCATTGTTTGAATGATAAATTAACTCCAAAGATTCCAAATGAAAACAAATACAAGATATTCCTTGCACCACTCACTCAATTGAATTTGGACGAGATGAATTTCATTAGTAACAATACCACAAGACTATTACGAAGAATGGTTCGTGATTTTAATTTCAGAGGACATGCTGTCACTGCCACTTTGGATATGTGGCCCGCAGTTCGTAAAGCAGAGCATCGAAATGTCTTTCCTTTCATGAAGAATGCAGATGTTGTCTTTAATACTTCTCTCGACTATGAATATTCAGTGTTGAAAGTGTATGCAAAACCCTTATTGAGTGCTGTCAGCCCAAAGAGTCCACACTACAACTCGGCACGAGAATTGTTGGCCTTCTTGCGTTATTTCCATGCCATTCCTGCAGCTTCGATTCCAAGTGATTCCTTGTTGCGTGAATTTATTGGCGATTCATTCTTTGACTATGAGTGAATTCCCTGTATATTTGGTCATTTCTGTTCTTCTGAGAACCCAAATAAACACAGCATGTCTAGCTGCAACTGGAGAATTAGATGTTTTGGTGGATTGACATTTCGGCCTCGGATGAAAAAGATCAACCTTTATTGTTTTCCTTTGTTCTTTTCACTGAAATATTACCTATTATTTGATTAATATGAAAGAACCGTGAGTAACACTCATCATCATACATTCATGGCCTTTGTTCAATCATGCGAAAATTGAATGCAAACCTCGAATACTCTAATTTGGCCATTTCTGAACCACCAGAGATGGTCTTTCTCTATGGGAAGAAATGCCCAGATCAAACGAAGGCTGATGAATAAGATGAAAAATGTTTTCAAACAATAAGGTGGCGCCAAACAAAAAATGTCTTTAAACCTTAAAACACCCCGTACCTCGAAAACCACTGCTAATACATGGGATGAAACGGATGAGGAAGAGCCTTCAAGGCTTCCAAAAAATTACGACCATCTCGAGAGGGATGATGAATCTTCTCTTCCTCCCGAACCAAGAAACATTTGGCAGCGCATGGACTCGAAATTTCAATCTCGGGATGATTTGGAATTTCTACTCAATGAGGATTTGCTTTTGGAAATTGAAAAACAATATCTGAAATCAAACAACAAACACAAGAATTCCTCTCCTATTACCTCCACCAAGATTAAAGATGAAAACACTCCATCTGATCAAAAGCCTTCTTCATCTCGAAACACTTCTCACATTCTCAATACTCTATCTACTCATAACTCTCATCGCGTCTCGTCTCCACAACCGATGGAAATCATTCATATCATCAAAGGTGTGGTGAATGCCACTGGTTCGAATTGTTACAAAATCATCACCGAACAATTTATTAAGGATATTGTAAACATTACCAAAACAAGTTTAATGTGGATCACTAATATATCTAAAACTGACAATTCATCATGTATTTTGGAATTGAAAAGCATTTCGTCGCTAAAGAAGAAAATATCTCCTTGCGAAAAAGTAGTTCGAATTTCTGTTTACTCCTCTCAGAAGGGAAGACCAAGAAAATGCATGGTCTCTACTTCTCACCATCCTAATTTCGGATTTAAAGTATTAACGGAAGAGTGGATCTTTGAGCCTCATTTTCAAAAAGATGAATCTTTGCTTCCTGACACCATCACTTTTCAAGAGCATTTGGTTTTAAGATATTTATGTTTAACTTTCATTGGATCTCAAACTTTTTCGAGTACACATCGAATGAAGCATTTGTCAGTAACATTGGAAGATAACATTTCAAATGATGATTATTTGGAAATGGTCAGACAAGAAATTAAACAAGTTGTGGACGATGGAGCAGAAGGGAAGACGGAAACATCAAAAAATGCAGCGAAACCAAAGCATCAACATGACAATCATGATACCAAAACATCAATGTCGGGACATTTACCATTTGACTCAACGCGTTCCAACTCATCACAAGAAATGCCAATGAACAAAGAAATTGAGAACAATTATGAATCAACATCAAACCAAATGTTGTTGAAAATTTTAAATACAAGTACGCAAAGTGATCAATTTACAAATGATTCATTATTAGAAGATCTGGACAATTTGCGAGATGAAATGAAAAGATCTAATGTTAGTATTGATAGCAATAATGATACTATTGAACCCTACAAGAGTGCTGCTGGTAGTGAGAATGAGAACAATGTTACTCCGTTGGATGATGATGAACATTCGAATCAACAACAACTCACAGATGAGGAATTAATTCAAAAGGAAATTGAAGAAATTGAAGCAAAATTAATGGAAAAGAAACAAAAATTAGATTCATTGAATAATTCACCTGTCAAGAATTTGGTATCCTCTACTTATTCTATTAGTAGTAGCAATCATCAAAAAGTTTCAAGTCATAAGAGTAGTTCAGTAAGTCAACAAGGACACCACCATGGTGATGATGGGGGTACTTTGAAAAGTACCACTACTCTTGATACGAACAGAGTTGATGATTCTCTGAGAGTACTCAATTCCATTGCATGTAGTAGTGATTCTAATGATGACAATGATATTCAAAATGAAACACAGAATCATGAAGATGTCATTACCTCCCATATACCACCAGCACAACAACTAACAAAGAATTTAAAATCACTTTCCACCAAAAAAATCAAGACCACAGAAACACTTTCATTCTCACAACATTCCAATAGTGGTGGTAGTAGTGGTGGTATAAGTGGTGGTGAACAAAGTACAATGAAATTGAAGGATTCTTCTTTACAACCCATCGTTTTGAACATTCCCAATCATGGAAATGAATTAAGGAAATCATTCTCTCACAACAACAATCCATCAACTATTAAGGCCACAACAACAACTAGTCGAATGAAGAACGATCAAGTACCTTCCAAGAGTAATCACTTTGAAAAAGTCTCTTCTTCACTACATCATCAACAACAACCACAGTATATGAATCTTAACAGTGGTAGTAATGTTAGTGGTGGAACTAATTCTAAAACATCTATCCACAAACAACAAACATCAATGAAAGATTCTAATAATTCTATGTCAACAGCAACTATGATTGACATTTCCTCTCTCAATAATAATATTGTGTACAACAACCATAACAATTCCACTACTACTACTCATTTCCAACACAATTCTGACACGACGGTTAGACAAACTTCAAATCATTTAATTGTCATTGAATTTTCTCCAAACAATTCAAAACATGAATTAGATCAGAAAGATGACAAGAATACCATTCTTCCAAGTAGAAAACTACCAAATTCATCTCTTCTTCATTTTCTCTATGACATAAAAAAGAAAAAACAACAACAACAATTATGGTTATCAAATCATCACATTGGAAACAACAATGAACAGATACTACCGTTTCTCTCCAAAGAAAAGACAATTCAAGAAATTCATGAGAGACCTCAAAGAAATGTTCAAGAATTGTTAAAGAATGACTCTATGGATTCCATGATGATGAATGAAGAACCATTCGTGCCAACATCATTAAGAAACAATAATAACAGTTCTGATGAATTGGTGAATCCTTCATCACAAAATGAACCGCTCTCATCCATGAATAAGAAGAATAATATGGAGGACTCCTTGATCTTCACCAATAGCGGTGGTGATCATGATCATCACTACTACACTAATAATAACGATCATTACGATAATAATAATAATGGAACAACAAGTTGTCATGAGGATGGTGACACGAATGACGACACTTCAAGCAATGTCTCGAGTGATATTACTCTGACTGTAGTTGCTGAGGATGATGATGAATTGTTGGACAAGCCATTCAATTCAATGAGTACTCAAAAGAGAAATGAAAGGATGTTGAACAACATGATGTTCTTCAATGTACCTCCATTTACCATGTCTTACAATACAACAAGTCCTCGAAATATGAATGATAGAGCAGGAGTTGATCATCAAGATGATGATACGAGTAATCCATTATTGCACACTGAAAGCAATCCACTGAGTCATCATGACGATGATGATGATGATGATGATAAGGAAGATCATGAGAATGAGGATAGTTATTCGAGGAATGAATTTGATGATCCAATGAACAACATGACATTATTTTCAAGTCCAAAAAACACAAGAATGACGATTGGAATTGGACACACACCCGTTAGAGCTCCACCAAGTCCACCCTTTAGAGTGATTAATGACGACGATCATGACACATCTCAACCACATCCATCTTCTTCACCAATTTTTGATACATCCTTGAGTTTAAGTAGTAATAGTAGTACTAATAATGAAACCATGAGGATATTAAATGAGAATGATCATTCCATCTTGGATGATATGGTGAATCATGGAGAGGGTGACAAGTCGTTCTTGTCATTGTTTGAAGAGCAAGTTCAAGAACATTCTCAAGCTGCACCTCAATCGAACCATTTGAATAACATCTGCAGCAATCGTAGTAATCTTGATATTTTGAAACAATTAGAAGAGGAAATGACCAAGTCACTCTTAGTCATGGAAAACGATGTCCTAACCGAGAACTCGACACTAGAACAATCATTAGTAGAGAAATCTGTGTTGAATGAAGAAGGAAGCATGAATTTCATTGAGGATTCTGTTGCTCCTCAACAAGAAGTACATCATGATGACCCTTCACCTAAAGATGAAAGAATGACACTCAAAAAGGAGGATGAACTCATTGGAGCCAATAAGGAGGATGAAAAAATGAATGATACTAGTCACCTGACACAAGTGTTTGGAGAAACCATTCAAATAGATGAAGAAGAAGAACAAGCGATGTCTATCATCATGACAAACACAATGGATCCAAACGCTGCAACTGCCACGACCGCAAGTAGAACTTTTTACAACATGACACTTTTCAATGATGCCCAATCTCAACATGATGAAACACATTCCCTGACTCGACATTTCTCTGAGAATCTTGAAGATGAGCATGATATTATTCAAAGTTTTTTAGAAGAAAACAATGCTACTTCCACATCCGATGATTCCCCAAACGTAACTCCAAGAAATCACAAGACTGCTATTCCCTTCTATTTAAGAAATTCACAATCAAGTCCTCTATTTCACACTCCTTCTTTGAATGATGCAAACTCGTTAACAACAGAAAAAACTCCTTCTTTGAATGCAAACATGACAACAAATACTCCTTCCTCATTGTTAACACCCTCTCGTTTATTACTCAAAGGTGAACCAACACGTTTATTTTCTTTAAAGAAAGGAATTGAATGTTTTCAACACGTTTATGATATGAAAAAGAAGAATTTTAAGAAATCTAAACGATTGATCAAGTTAGATCGAGATTCAAAAATTTTAACCATTTCAAGAAAATCTCAGTTATTCAAAAAGAGTGTTAAAATTAATATTTACAAAGATTTGAAATGGTTGGTGTATGGACCTTATTCCAAGACGTTTAAAGAGGAAATTGCTTTACAACAAGCTCTACCACACTCATTGGTACCATGGAAATGTTTTTCAATGGTGACCGTTCATGGAATTTATTGTTTTGAAATATCCAATCAGGATAAGGAATTAGATGATTTAATTTTAGGATTACAATTCTTAACGCAATCTTGCATGCCATCGGATCGACCCATCTATACAAAACATTCATTGGTCATGAAGAGATTGTTGTTGAAAAGAGAATTCAAATCTTTTCATGTGGAGACCTCCAATGTCTCTCATTCTCTCTCGAATCACCCAGAATCTCAATGAGAATGCCTGGTGAGGAGATTGATGCTTTCTCTGTGTGGACAGGTTTCTGATTCTGTTTGCATTACATGAAAGAACTGTTTTGTTACTTTCGGAGAGGACACCACATATTGACATGAGGCTCAGGTGTTATTGCATCCCATCCTCTGGTAGATGGGTGCACATTGTAAACTCAAGTCCAATCCAAATTCATTCCGTTCAAGCGAAATCACAAATTCATTCCGAAAAAAATAAACCACCTACCCACAACCCTCTCATTCATCATCATCATGGTCAAATTCGCAACCATTCAAAATCAAACCCGTGATGGTAGACTTGTCATGGTCAATCGTGAAGGTACTCGCTTCGAATATGTTCCACAAGAGATTTGTACCACCTTGCAACAATTAATGGATTCATGGGATGAATTGTATCCCCGTATTGAAAAATTATATTCTGAATTGTTGAAAGATCCTCATCATTTATTTAAACATGAAATTATCCCTGAACAAACACAATTCATGGCACCACTCCCTCGTGCCTATGAATGGATTGATGGTAGTGCCTATATCAATCATATTGTGTTGGTGAGAAAGGCTCGTAATGCTCCACTTCCAGAAACGCTCCGCACAGATCCATTAGTCTATCAGGGTGGAAGTGGTACTTTTTTGGGTCCTCATTCTCAAATTGAACACTTCTCTGAAGAGTATGGCATTGATTTTGAAGGTGAAGTCGCAGTAATCACTAGCGATGTTCCAATGGGAACTCGAAAAGAAGATGCCCACAAATACATCAAATTAGTCATGATTTGTAATGATGTGTCATTGAGAAATCTCATTCCAAAAGAATTGGAGAAACAATTTGGATTCTTTGTGAGTAAGCCTTCGACTTCATTCTCACCTTTTGCAGTCACTTTGGATGAATTACAAAAAGATGATTTATGGAAAGATGGTCGTTGTTATGGAGATTTAATTTCTCATTTAAATGGAAAGTTATTTGGAAATCCAAATGCAGGTCCTGAAATGTTCTTTTCCTTTTATGATTTAATTCAACACGTGACTCAAACACGTGCACTCACTGCTGGTACAATTATTGGATCTGGTACAGTGAGTAATGAAGATCAATCACGTGGATCATCATGTATTGCTGAAAAGAGAATGATTGAAAAAATTGAGAGTGGAGAATTCAAAACACCATTCATGAAATTTGGAGATGAAATTGAATTGGAAATGTTTGACAAACAAGGAGTATCTATTTTTGGTAAAATCAAACAAAAAGTAGTTCAAAAGCAAAAATAAAGATGGGATTTTGCATGAACATGCCAACACGTGTTGTGACAAAAAACCTTAAATGCCAAATACCATCATCAAACATCATCGTTAAAAAAATGTTTGCATCGGAAGAGCCTTCATTGAGCCATGACATCCACAATTCAACGACGACAACGACAAAGGTTCATACAACAACAACAACGAATCATCCTACCAATTCCGATACAACCACAGCAACAACACCATCACAGCCTTCTTCTCCATCATCATCATTATTATTATTAGGTGGTGATACAAACATGATGATGAAGAAAACTGATTCTTCTGTAAATTCCGTCTCTTCATCACGTAATGCCACCACCACAACAAACACCACCAACAACAACAACAATACTCATTCAACTCCTGTATCACCGACCATTTCCATCTCCTCATCATTTCCAAAACTATTTAAAAATTCTTCTTTAACTCCGAGAAGTGCTGTTGAACGATTTGTGCATACAAGTACCTCTACGACCAATAGAAATAGTCTTTCAAATCGACACAATAGTATAATACTAGGGAGTACAGGCGGTGAGCATGCTAACCATGACAATTTGCAGAAAATATTTGATAAATTAAATACCATTGGTTCCACACATCAAATGATGAAAGAATTATTAGATGCTGAAATTAAGGGAAATCAAAATATTCAAGAAGAAATAATTGAAATGAGAAATAAATTTGAAGAAACGAAAGAAGAAATTACAAAAATGAATTCAAGATTGGCTCAGGAATTAGAAAGTAATAAGAAACAGATGTCACAACTAGTTTCAAGCTTAAGATATTTAAATGTATCTGATAATAATCCATTGAATGAAGATGACTATGATGGAGAACAGAGTATGCATGGCGATTCTTCATCAACTATTTCATCCTCTTCTGTCATTAATAGAAAATCTCAAAGACTATTCAATAATTCAGGTCAATTTCTAAATAATCAAGTTCTCTCTCCAACATCAAATAACATTGTTTCAACTCGAAGTGGAGCAAGCTCCAATAGAAATTCAACCATCTTACCGTCTCCATCCCCTTTCTCCTCAACATTGCTCATTTTGTTATTTATTTTAATTTCTTTGCTGATTATATTGATAATTTTTGCATTTACAGATGCAGGAAGAGTGATGACTGTCAGGAAACCGACATTTTAGAACAAGCATTCAACATTTTATATGGTCTCACTCCGTTATTTCTCTGAAAAGTTGACGTGGTTGAAAATGCTGAATGATTTCAACGACAAGATTCAGACAATTATAAACATGTCTTGGACGCATTTACTTTTTCTTTGATCCGCCAAAGAGAGAAAACTTGGCTGATTTTGTTGGACTCTTCATTTTCATGGCACTATGAGGTGACGTTTGTGAAGAAGCAGCAGCAGTACTACCCTTGCCATTGTCGCGCGATGGAGGTTGTTGAGGTATCACGGATGTCAAGTAATTGAAAACCTTTCTATTTCTAATAAAATTATTCATTTGTGCCATAAATTTAAGTGCTATTTGATGATCCTTTGATGTTGGCTTAATGACAATACTGGCCAAATATAATTTTGGAGTCACCATACATAAATAATAGGTCGTAAATGTTTTTGGATCTGTAAAATAAAATGCTTCTTCAGCAACTTCAAGATCAGATCCATTCTCCATAATGAGTGACAAAATGTTAGGCCAATAAGTGTACATGAGTGTTTGTTTTGTAATCTTTCTTTCACTCACGTTGAGAGTTGCATCTGATGTGTTTGTGGTTGTTGTGGTAGAAGTGGCACCATTCTCATTACTACTTGTTGAACCTTCTTGAACTTTGATTGTGTTTGGATAATGAAATACACATGGGTATAATTTAATTCCACTCAGTGATAAATCTTCAGTATTCTCTTGACTTCGAATTCTCATCGTGTACCCCTTTTCAGGATCTATTTCTAAAATTGGTGTTGTATCTAAATGATCATGTGATGCATTATAAATCAAACAAACTGATTCTGGTCTCACAATTTCATTAAATGATTTAATCCATTGAATATAATCCACAGCAAGTGAGGGTGGAATGAGTGGCGAATGATTTTCATTCAATACAGTTGGAGATAGAGTTCCATTTGCACTATTCAATAAATTATTCACAATCATACTCGATTGATTAGTGATAATATCATGAAAGATCAATGTAAATTTAGATTGACTAAATCCAAAGATCATGGTCATCCATTTAAATAAATTAGTTTTGTTTAAATTATTTGGGTGAGATGAGAAATCCATATTTGATTTCTTCATGGGATTATTTTTCGAAATATGAATATTGGTAGAATCTGTTGTTGTAGAAGAAGAAGAGGCTGTAGATGCTACATCGATTGATGCTGAAGGTGCTGTGGTGTGATGATGATTGTCTGACACGTAATGACCATTCAATGGTTGTGTTTGTGGTTGTGGTAGTTGTGGTGGTTGTTGTTGCTGTTGATTGGAATGTACATTTCCAAGGTGTGGAATTGCAGTTGTTTGTTGTAATGATTGAGATGTTGAAGATGCAGTTGTGGATAATAAATCTCCTCCTCCTCCTCGTGATGTGCATGTCTGTGTCCAATAGTAATACTGCATTTCATTCATTTCTATTTTCCATTTGTAAAATAATTCATTCCATTGTTTAAATAAATGTTTTGTCTTCCACATGGTAAATACACTCTCTTTGTATTTATAGTTACAAATATTATATTCACATTCAAATAGAGATGTTAACGTATTCAATTCCATATTAATATTTTGTACAATCTTTTCAAAGAATACATGTCCAATTCTATTGATATATTTAGATTTTAAACTATTGATAATTCTGACGTAATTATCATATTTAGGTGGATGCTTGTATCTTGATAATATTCTATAAAAGGCAATAATTTCTAACCTTAATTGGATGAGCATTCTAAAATCCTTAATAATTTGTTTGCTTAGAATTAATTCTTTATCAATGAGAGTCAATTGATGATAATAATGAGAAGAGGGTTGTGTGGTTGGAGAAAGAGAGGATGATCCTCCTGTTTTGTAAACAATATAATCTACCACACTAGTGCTACTGGTTGTTGTTGAATTCATTGTATCAGCCAAATGACTCGATGATGTTTGATCCATCATGGACATCATCATTAATAAATTATCATGAGTGGAATGAATAGGATCCATGGAATTTGAATGATGCATCATGTCCATATAAGGACTATTTACAGATCCATGATTATTATTACTATTATTATTATTGGTTATAAGATTAGCAACATATTCATAGGGAGCATTCATTGCAATTAATGATAAATTACTACTCAATAATGAATACAAGGAATGTAAATCTTGTTTTTCATTGGGTGAATAATTTGCATCGTAATAAAGAGTTTCGCATTGAATAAATCGTTTTAATGATTGAATGACCTCCTCTTCATTTTGTTTATATTTAGAGAGAGTACTTGATGAATAGGAATTAGAGGATGATCCTGCTACTGATGAATGAAGAGATCCTAATTTCTGAGGTTGATTCATTTCTTGATAGTTTCGTAAAAGAGTATGAGCCTGAATGAAATCAAGATTGGCAATATATTGAAAATATAATGAAATATTGCTGGGTGGAGAGTATTGTGAGTGACTAGTAGGAGGGTTGTTATTACTATTATTATTACTATTGGAAATTTGTAAAGAAGGATTTATAGTCGAGGCTTCACCTTGTTGTTGAGATAACGTCGTGGTGATCGGGCCCGATGATGATGATGGAACATGTTTGTTTTCATTGTTATTGGAATTTAATGTTGTGGTATTTGTGTGATTGTTGTTGCTGTGGTTGTTATTACTATTCTCTTCGTCCGATTCAGGTGTTTTGTTAGAAAAGTAATCACTCTGAATGAGTCCTTGAAACATTTTGAAAAATTGAATTTTTTTCGAAAACAATATTTAGTGATGAGTTTATCAACACAAACCACCTGTGGTACGATGACTCGTGATGAATCATCATCATTATCATCATCAACAACAACAACATTATCAAATCAGCAACAAGCTCATCACCAAGATGGACATTTGAGTCATCCTTCTCTAAATTTTTCATTTGAATCCTTCAAAAATCAATTTCATTTGCATCAACATGATGAACAACAAGCCTATCATTTATATTTGGTTTATTTAGATATTGTGTTTGTAAAGAAGATTCCTCGGCAAGAGTACAATCGGATACTTTCGGTTCATTCCTTTTCATGGTCGCAATTAAATCACCAGACGACATTAACCTCAGCATCACCCTTTTGCCACACGATTTACTATCTCTATTCTCTTTTGAATATTCCCAACATGAACGGAATGGATACATTAAGTGAATTGAAATCTCTCAATGATATTCATTGTGAGCCTAAACATTTCGTCATTGTGCCCATTTCCATGTCAGACGTTGGCAATCGGAGCAATAGGTTGTCGTCGTTGAGCATTCGACACTATCATGAACTAATTGAAGCGATCCGAAAACAATTTGAATCTTCTTCATTGGATGGTATTGTGATGTGCTTCATTGATGGAGATGGTACTCTCATGTACTATCAAATGGATCAAAAAACAACATTGAGTGGAATTCTGTAAGAAAGCCTTTTCATCACTCAAAGCCTTTTATTGATTTCTTCATTAAAAAAATGCTTTCATCTCCCTCCGCTTCCACCACCAAGGACAATATTGGAAACGATGATGAAGTGAGACCCTCATCATCCTCCAATACAGCATTGAATGATGATGATGAATACGATGACATTTATATTATCTTTGATATTCCCGATTTTAATCTTATTGAAAATTTACATTTGGAAAAGTATTCAATCATTGGCTTGGAGAGTGAAAGACCCATCGTAAAAATTGATAATTTCGTGTTTGAAGGAAGATTTGAAACGTTACTTATGGATACTGCATTGTGTGTTGAACAACAACAACATTCATCACATCATAACTCTGGTTCATCTCCTCCTCAAACCATCACATCCAGACAAATTTTGAGATTGAATCGAATATTGCTTGGACCTAAACTTGTGACTTCTTCAAGTAATACAGCTACAACAACACCAACAAACAATGTCTTATAATATCTCTACAAAAAAGCCATCTTCTTCTAACAGATGAGCTCATCAAAAGAGTGCTATTTGACAAATTGATTCAAGGACATGTCCATTTATTGGCGTACAAGTTGATTCAATCCAGAAATAATTTCATCGACAGTGTCAACAAAAACAAACCTATGATATTGATATTTTGAAAGATTTTCAATTAGAAAACTCAAAATAATAATAACTTACGCTTTCATCAATTCTGGATAGACTTTCAATTCACTTCCAATGAAATTAATAATCTTTTCCCATGGATCTTTTAAATTGTTAAATTTCACAAATTGCCTTCTTCGTTTCAATAGACTTACCTCTAAAAACAAATATTTTACGAACTGGCTCCACACTCGCTGGGAATACAGAATTGATGTAGTACAAATTCCACACAATTAACAATTCCGCAGCAGTTCCAAGACTTCCAGGAAGCACTACAAAGTAATTTCCTGAATCTGTCAATCCCTTAATTCTGTCATATAAATTATCGGTATCCACTGTCGTTCGTAAATATTTGTTTCCTTGTTCATGTCTTTTATAAAATGTTTTACTACTGATGACTCCTTTGATGTCAACATTGGGATGTTGTGATGCTCCTTTCGACACTGCTTCCATAGTACCTCCATATCTGTTTGATATTAATTTTAGGAAAGATTATTGAAAAATTGTGACCCACGGAAATAGTGAAATAATGATTGTTCCGGTGAATAATAGAAAATTGTTAATAATGATCAAGTAAAAGCAACATGCAATCATGTTTGATTCAATGCACACCCGTAATCATCATCATGATGAACCTGTTATTTGAGTTTCACAAGAGAGATGAAATGATACAAACCCACCACTACAAACAGAATATCCACATTGGGCTAATTTATCTCCGAGTTCAACGCTCAAATTCCACAAAGGTTCTCCTTCCTTGGGTGCTGAGGCTCCGAACACCACAATATGACTCGTGAGAGGGAAGTTTTGGTTGGTGGACATTTTTTTGTGATGAAAAAAGAAAAATTGGAAGAATGGATGAAAAATGTTTTAAAAGTACAATTAATTGTAATTTTTTTTAAATAATTGCACAATTCACTGTTGAAAAAGCAAAAGAGGGAGAAAACATGGAATTTTCTGCAATCCACTGTCAACACAAACTAGTCCACTTTACTCGAGACAGTACCACCATTGCCGAGAGAAGAGTCTGACAATGGTTTTAAAAACATATCCCTCGTCAATCGATCTCTCATAATTTCAGCATCTTTTTCGAATTGTTTCCTTTCTTTAGCACTTTTGGTGGAAGGCTTAGCTTTTGTGATGGCTTGTTGAATTCTAGACAATTCTTCTTCAATTTCTTTAATTTCCTTTTCTAATTGTTTTTGTTTTGCTGTATTCTGAGAGATGAGACTTGAATTAATTGTATTCATGTATTTTTCAAATTCATCTTCCTCTTCTGCATTTGATGATGAATTCTGTTGTTTTTGTTGTTGATCATTGATCATTTGAATTTCTGTTTCTAATTCTTTTTTCATATTAGCTAAATGCAATTTCAATTGTTCTTGTTTTTCAACGAGGCCTTCCAAAGTGGATGGATTTTTGTCCATCGTGGATGATGAGCTCGCTTGCTTGCTAGATGTGTTATCATAAAATTCTCGTTCGTTAAATTCAAACCATTCACTAGTTAATTGATCTTCAATTCTCAATCTCTTATTTCTATTATCCTCATTCTCGTCATAATCTTCTGGTAATTCATCTTCTGAAATTTCTTCACCTTCACTATCATAATTTTTTCGTTTCTTTTCATTATTATTGGATTCATTCTTTTTTTTCTTTTCACTTGCAATTTCAAAAGATGTTTTTCTCTTTCGTAAATCATCTTCAAGTTTTCGTACAGCATCTTCATAACCTTCCTTAACACTTAATACATAGCTTCTAGAACTCATTCCAAGCGTAAATGAATTTCCTAACCACAGAGGAATAAATCTATGAGGCTTACATTGATGTTTTCTATTATTCCAAAAGGTGCCATTAGCACTTCCTAGATCGTATAAATAAACTCTTCCATTCTTAGCATGCTGTATCAAACAATGTTGTCTGGAAATACTATTATTAGCACAAAGAACATCACTCATATCTTGCTGTCTTCCGAACACATAATAAGACTGTTTGGAAAGATCAATGCTCTCATCTTCAAGTAATTCTCCTTCTTTGATGACTTCCAGATAGTATGGAAATTTAACTTGGGTGGATGATGGAGATTGTTGATGATCGGAAGAGGACGATGAAGATCCGATCGGTTCATGACTGGTGGCGCTACTGTTACTCGGAAGAGGAGTTGCATCAACATCTTGTTGAGAAGAGCCTCCAACTCCCCAATATGGGATTTTATAATTTTGAACCTGAATCAATTTGGACGTTGAAGAAACTTCAGATGAAGAAGCGAGCATTTTTTTAAATTTTAAAATTTAAATAAATTAAGCTTACTAACCCCTTCAATTCGTAAATTATTTAAAACAACATCCAAGGAAAGAAGAACTCTCTAAATATGATGAATATGTGATCACCACTCTTGTTGGATCTTAATCCTAATTATGATCCACGTTTTATGTGTTATTACTGGGCCCATGTCATGAAATCTAATTTCACCTGGTATTCCACTTGGTCTGAATTTAAAACAACCCAAAATGATCTTGCACAAATGAGCAGTTCCATTGAGGAAATTTAAATAGATTGGATTTTGAGATTGTATTGAAAGTTCAAAAATAATCGCTGGAGCAGTCCTATCCTATCCAATCCGTCGATCTTGGTTAATTAAATTACCTCATTGCAGCTGTGAATGAATTCGATACTGGAGGATTCATTGAGGTTACAGCCACTTGTGCAAGTTCATTCACAACCAGGTATCCCAATAGACCTGAAACTTGGGAAATCACACATTCCTCTGTTTATGACAAGATTCACTCATATGAGTGTCAATTACAGATCATTCAAAGTGTATCCAAGAACTTTTGCACCTCCTCAACCAGCACCATTACCAACACCAAAACCAACACCAAAACCAATACCACCCTCCAAGCAACCTTCTGTCATTCCAAGTCACAATGGAACTGCAAGAACTTTAGATGCTTCGAAGAGATTTGAAAGTGTCAATAGATTTGGAATGATGAATGGTCATGTTGTTGTTGTGGTAGCAGTCGTAATGACAGTTGAAGTATTCTTCTAATTAAATTTAGAGTGAAATCATTACAAATGTTCATCTTCAAAATTCACTTGTTATTTCATTTTCGAAATTCAAGTTGTGGATACTCCTCTGAGTTCAGGTTCCTTAATGGACATCTCTTTGAGATTTCTTTTAATCTCATACTTAATGATGTCCAACTACAGATTTCCACCCTCTTCGAAGACCACAACTTGGATGACACATTTCACTCAACCTTGAGGGACTCTCTATTTGAGAGATCTCTCTCAATCTTCTCTTAGAGATGATTTTCCATATATTGTGGTGTTTCTTGGTCCCTTACTCAAGTACTCCTATTTTTAAAAACCAAATTCAAAAAAATCCAAAAATCTCAAGTGCTGCAAGGCACACACCATTTCCGAGAGTAAGAAGAAACAGCCTCCTATTCATATAATAGTATTACTCATCATCATCATTGGAAATATCGATACGGAAACGTTGTACCTTTCCGATTGGAAGAATTTTCAGTAGCTTTACTGAATTTTTTATATATTGCGGTTGTTCCAATCACAACTCTTGAATTCTTCATTCTCCAGTACAATACTGTCTGTATATATACTGAGGAACAAAGTCCGCACAAGTCTCTCTTGCTGAATCAATCACCACCAATTGTTGTGTTGCTGGGCTTTGTGCGCATCGTGAATTCTGTCAAAAGACTCCTCCACTTGATATTAGTTGCAGGACTGCAGGTTTTCCTACAACTTTGTTTCTCTCTTCTGTTGATCTAAGTTACTTGTTCTCCTTATTTGTATTTATTCATATTTGACCATTGTTGCTCCCTTCCTCACTAATTCTCTCGTACGACTCTTAGGGAAACATTGTTCAAACAATTCTGATGGTAAAATATTCTTGTCCAATTCATCATCATCATCATCATCATCATCAATATCCTCGCAATATCAGCACCACACCAACCTATTTATCCTCCATCATCAACCATAACACCACCACCACCATGGCCACCACAAATACCAATAACAATGCAGACTCTACGTTGTGCATTCATCATCACCAAAACTCCACTTCTTCATCACAACTGCATCATTGCCATCACGAACAAAAATCTCATTCCCAAGTCACTACCTCTACCGACAAACAATTTAACAATGTCACTAGTGCTATTACTACAAGTAATGCAATTCAAGATGAAAATTCTCATCACAACTTTGATTGGGACGCACAAACTGAGGAATGGAATATTAATCAATATGGGTCAAACTTAGATGAACGTTCCTCTCCGGATAGACCCGTTGAAAGACATGCTAGATCGTCACCTAACGTTTCCTCTTGTATAGAATCACCGTGTTCTCCAATAGAAAACAGCAGAAGACGCCTAATTGAAAAGCAAAACAAGATGAAATTGTCTAGAAAGCACGAAAAAACGAAAATAATTAACAAAATTAAGTCATTTTATGAAATTGGGGAATGGGATGAGGATGATCAGGACTATGATGATTTTTCTGAAGAAGAACAACCATCAAATAATGTTCAAGATCGATCTCGAATGATGATTAATGAAGTTGATGAACTTATTGAACGACTGCTAGAAATTAAAAGGAATTTGGAGAGAAATTGTAAATAAATATAAATTCATTAACCAAGAACTGGAAGAAGAGGTGAATTTGGTGATTGCATGTTTTGAGAATCACTGAAATTACTATCGAAGCTTTTCTGTCTGGTTCGCTCTTCCTTAAAATTACAGCTTTCGCTTCTTGGACTTGAGCTGGTTGGCATAAAAAGATTCTTCCTTTTCTTGTCGTTTCAAGCTTTCCTCTCTTCTCTTTTCCATGATCTTTGATGTAATCTCTGTTTTCTTGAATTTAGGGTGAGTTTGGTCAAGATGGAAGTCAGGGTCAAGGAAAACGTCACCAAATCTTTCATCTCCAATAATTAAGGGTGCTTCTTTGGGTTCAGCGCTGTCCTTCTTGGACAACGTTGGATTCTTGTTTCTTCGTCTAGATCTCTCTTTATCTGTGTCACGCTTAATATCGAATCCCTTTTCTGCATTATAATCAGCCATAATAATTTCCAAAGTTTGTTTTCTTTTTTCTTCCTCTTCTTCCTTTTTCTTTTGTCTTTCCTTCTCCCTTTCCTTCAATTTTTGTTCGGCCAATAAATCATCTTCATCGATAGGTTCTTCGTCCTCGTCTCCATGAGTTGTGCCATCAGAATTCAAGATTTTCTTCAAACGCTCTTTTCTTTGTTGTTTTTTCTTTTCCTTTCTTCTTCTTTCTGCTGTTTCCCACCATGTCTCATTTTCAACTCTCTCTTTTTCTTTCTGTTTGTTGACCACTTCCTTTTGAATAGTATCTTTCAAGCCCTCATGTAAAACAAATTCCATATTTTGAGAAGCGTCACCATTGAGTAGTTGTTCTTTTTCCTTCTCTTTTTTCATTGCATATTTCAATAAATCTTTGTACTTTTTCTTTTGCTCTTTCTTCTTTTCCTTCTTTTCTTGTTTTCTTAAGCGTTTTTCTTCTAAATCCTCTTGTGTTTCTTTTTGATCATTTTCTTCACCCTCATCTTCAGAAGAAGACGAGCTCGACTCATCATCTGAGTTGGCAATAAATTTCATAAGAGCCTCTTCATTAATATCCTTAAAGTCTTTCTTTAGAATTTCTCGTTCTGGGTCATCAGCATCCCATGTTAAATCTACAGCAGAAGATTTCAATGCCTTAGAATAGATATTTTGCTTTGGTGTATAGTCCGCTGGCATGGATGTGCATTGATTTCTAATGACACAAGGTCACACAACCTTTGAAAAAATTTCAAAAATCCACACTTACTTGATTTCTCGATTTTCAAAAGAAATATCATCAGGAATAAATCTTAAATCCAACACAACAGAGGTAGATTCAAATTCAAAGCTGTCACATTCATTGTATAAAGAAATGGCTGTCTGAACACTATCACATTCAACGACTGCAAAATAGTATTTCATCTTTCTGAATTCATATTCTCTCACCTTCACTGGATCTAACATGGATGTATCACCCTCTGCTTCTTCTACTGTTTGAGTCAATTTGATATCTTCACTACTCTTGTTGCCTCTTCTTTTCACGAGTCGATTTTTTCTATTTTCTTCCTTTGCTTCTTGAATTTTTTTCTTGAACTCTTCTTCCTTTTCTGTAATATGTGCAAAAGAAATGTCATGATGCACAAAAAAGTTCTAAACACTTACTTTTTTCTTTTTCAGTGTAGTGCAAGCTTCCAGGGCCGTGAATAGCTTCATACTGAAGTTGTTGTTTACCAAAGTCTGATAAATAAACTGTTACTGAGATTACTCTTCCAGAACTTGGTGCCATTGATGAAAATAATACATAAAGATCTGTACTGTCTATAAGATTCCAATCACAATTCATCACTGCAAATCTTTTTGTCTCATTTCCATCTTCAATCATTTTGATATTCTTTTGATCCTCGACATATTTCTGAAATATTCCGTTTTTTAAATTTGAAAATACATTCCATAGGGAGTAAGTCAATTTAAAATCGTTTTTGGAATTTGAGGAAATTATAAAAAAAATCAACAAAAATTGTGTTACAATAAAAACTTACATCCCACAAGTCTTGTTGCTCTTTCAAAAATTCAGGCTCAACTTCCTCTACGTTTGTTCCTACTGCTCTCAATATGGTAGCATCTTCATCATCAAAATCGTAAGGGTCATCCCATTCTTCGTTATATTCAACATTTTCTAACTCGGGCCTTCCTTCGAGAGATTCTAAAAATTTATCAAAGGTCATTTCTTCATCCTCTTCTTGTTCATTTTCCTCCTCATCACTTGCTAAGATGTCCTCTTTAGTGATCAGGGAGGATGAATTTTTATCGGAATTGCTCTTTCCGAGCATTTCTTTTGCTCCTTCAATGGAATCATCACTGTCATAGTCGCTATCGTAGGAGTCTTCTTTACCTTCTTCTTCTTCCATTTCCTTTTTGGCTTGTTTCAGTTTGGCAACTCTTAGAGCCATCGGATCCTTCTCAAAGTTGTAAATATCTTTGAGAGTATTCTTGATGGCTTGTTCTTTGAATCTTCCTGATGCATCCCTCGACTTTTTGAGCATGGTAAAGGAAGGATCCAAAATTTCATAGAGACGCGGATCATTGACTACTGTCCTTTTTTCAACCGGTAAGAATTTGGGATCATTATGCATCATTGCAAAACGAGGATCCACATCTACGGAAGAGTTTTCTTTGGTGTCTTCATTCTTACTTTTGGAATTCCGATTTTGATTTTTCGAAAATTTCTTCTTCTTGATTTTATCGAGCAACAACTTTTTGTTTTCACGTTGAGACATTTTTTTCGAAATTCTTCAACAAAAATGAAGACTCGAACAGACCTTGTCGTCCTAATATTTGGGTACATTCAATTAATAATATGGGTTTGTCTACTTCCAAGAAAATCAATTATTTCATACTGTTCACACGGGCTTTGATCAACGGCCAGCTGTTATAAGTAAAGCCTCAAGTAAGGTAAAGAAATCTTGTGGAGTTTATTAAATGACAAATTGGGCTACGCAAACTGTCTAAAGAAATACATAATGTTGTTGGTATATACGTAAAGAGTGATTATCACATGGCAAGCACTTTTCACACGCAGGATGCTCTTTTGTAAACTGTCTTTGTAAACGTTGTTACAACAAACAATCGATTTGATTTTGGATTTGAAAAATAATACTTGGACCAATCCATTGTATGGACATCACTCACTCTCGGTTTTCATTCTCACCAATTGTTTTCATTGGAACAAGGATTAAGTCTTCCTTATTCATAATAGGAGGCTTGGAATACAGGTTCTTTGAGAATTCGCTGAATGATGGAAGGCGTTTCTTTAAGGGATGTGCATGATAGTTCATAAAGTGTGTTGAGTGGGTGCTTGATGATGATGGAGCAGTGTTTGTTGTTGTTGTTCTTCCATCACCATTGGCAGCTGTCAAACTTTTCTCTGATGCAAAACGACACAACATGGAGGCTGCTAAGAAGTCATCTTGGAATTGATCTTGGCTTTGGTTTGAAACCTCATTGAACAGACGATTGCTAGAGGCACTATATAGTTCGTTGCTGTTTGCGTGTTGAGAGGATGTGTTGTATTTGTTGTAGGTCGAAAAGGCATCATTGCTGTTTTCGGGATTGCAAATATAAAAGTGGTTCATGGGATAGTGATGATAGGAGGTTGGTTCTGCAAGGGACAAGTTAGAGCGAGAAGATGAATGGTGGAAGTACATTGGTTGAGGAGTTGGTGTGCTGCTACTGGTTGTGGATGTATTATGGAGGCTGCTGTGAGTTGCCTTTCTGCCGTTCTTGATCTCTTCCTTCTTTTGTTGTTCATCGTCAGAGCCATCTTCCTCTTCATCATGAATAACGAGCTGTTGATCTTCTTCGTCCTCTGATGAGATGTATTCTTCCTCCTCCGAATCTGTTGGAGAAGAAATGGTGTTTGGTTTTGATTGGGTGAGTTTTTCCTCTTCTTGGTTCACTTTCATCACTCCGCTGGTGGTTGAAAAGCTCAAAACTTTTGGTTGTTGAATTGTTTGGCCCTTCTCATTATTGACTTTTCTCTTCTTGTTGCTGGAGGGTTGTTGTTCTTCTTCTTCTTGATATTCTTGTGAGTCATCATACTCGATCTCCTCACCAGAGGAAGAATACTCTTCGAACGACTCCTCGTCATCATCATCCTCTGAGCGATTCTTCTTGGATGAAGGAGAGCCTTTCTTCTTCTTTGGAGTAACGGTTCTAATATAGGGCCATCTGTTCTCGTATCCCAAGCTGTAGAATTTTCTCTTCAGAGTAGATACGGATACACCAAGCTATTTAGTAGTGATGATGATTGTAACCGTCATTGAAATTATTGTGGTAATGAATATGAAATTTATAAATTGTCAAGATGATGATGAGATAATTAACGGTTAGAAAAAACGGTCGATAACGAAGAAGAAGAACAACAACAACAAACATACCTTCTTTGCTGCCTGTGTTTGGGTATACACAAAGTACTCTCTGATGGTTTCATAGGTGAGAGAATCTAATTTGCGATGTCTTCCCTTCTTCTTTGCAGAGCTGTTGGAATTGGATGAATGACTGGAGTGTTGTGGGATGAGAGCTGGATCCATGGTTTTGATCTAATTGTTGGAACGATTGATAATTGCGAATGGTTGGTTTCAAAAGACACGATGATGATGATAGCGTGTGATGATCTCAAATAACAAGGAGCAGCAAAGGAACTTCCTTCGTTCGACAGATATGATGAAAGGTGTACGAACTAATTCACTCTGTTTCGAAAGAGAAAAAAACAAGTAGTACAGTTATAAAACAAGTGGATGATGTATATTGACACTAGGTTTAGCAATGTCCTTCTTCTATGAGGAGATGCACAATTACAAATAACTCTGCACACCACCACGGACAGGGTGCGAATATGTCTTGAATTATTTTTTTTTTGTTTTTCATCTCGGAACACGAGGTTGATTCCGAAAAGAGCTCACGCTGCTAGATCAACTGACACCTGAGGTAGTGAGAGTGAACCTGAAAATGACGGTTTCAGCTCTTAAAAATATTATCTATCGAGTATGTCATAACTTGATGATCAACATATTGATACCTAGAAAGATATGATACAGAGGCCCGGGTAAGATTGGTAACGAACAAGAGGTGATCCTTTTCGTTTCGCGCCAAAATTTTGTACAAATCCAAACAAAAGAAATGCAACAACACGGCAAGTGGATTCCGATATCGCATATCTATTCATGGCGAAACAAATAGAAACTATTACAAACACGTTGACCACGACACTATTCGATATGTGTTCCCAGCTGTGGATGACAAGAAAAAAGCTCTTCATGTTGGAGAGGGACTGTAGATTGAGTCTGAACCTGACGAGATAATTGATCAATCTCAGTGATTACTGAGCTTAGTTCGGATGAACAAGAATAGAACTAGCAGAAAATCCCACAACCCATTCCCAGTCCGTCCTTAAATTAAATCGATCAAACGATTTTTATTGTTTACTTTTTCGAAACATAATCCCGAACTCGACGAAATCTGCTTGATGAAAATATGGATATAAACACTCCATGCTGCCTTTTGAGCAAATATTCCCTTTAGATGCGAATCAAATCCACCAGAATGCTCCTGGGCTGGCTTGGAATTGCAAACCACACACCAGTACATCTGGAGAACTGATATTTGATTGTTTTTTTTGATGTTTTGACATTAAAAGTGTAATGTATAAGTCAGTATTTAAGGTGATGGCAAACATTGATTGTAGTATTTAAGCGGTAAAATGTTATAAGGCTCGTTGGAGTCAAGTAAGGTTTTATCATTCTTTTGGCATGTTGTGTCATTTTCTAAATAAGGAGATTTTTAAAGGCGTCACAAAGACAGGCAATGCTTTATCGTAAGGAATGATGATGTGGATGGTTGATGTGAGGTATAATTGTAAAATCTATAGATTTGACATTGATCGAAATGATACTGAGAAGTATTTTGTGAGAGAATGCTAATGGGAGTGTTCCAGCGTGTGCCTATAATAGGTATACTTCTTTTCGTTTAGGCCAGAGAACGATCTCATCCTTTTAATTTTGTTTCGCGCCAAAATTTTGTACAAATCCAAACAAAAGAAAATGCAACAACATGGTAAGTAGGTTCCGATAGAGAGCGCATCTATTCATGGCAATGATGGTGAAATCATACAAAACCTTGCTTAAAAAACTATTCATGAATCACACATGTGCTTGCAGCCTGGCAACAACCATACGTAAATGTCGTTAAACTTTGCTCTGAAAAGTCAAAACAATACTCTTCCGAAGGTGGAGTGACTCAAGAGATGGATAGAGATATTGGAAAGACAGTGTTCCGTATTAAGGGATCTGTTCCTTCCAACAACTATGTTTCTTTTCCTTCAAATATTCCAAAAAACAAAGGAGACGTTCTAGGCTTGGTTGGCCAATTTTGTTATGTACAAATTCGAGCATCAAAGGAAGTTTTTGTGTTCCATATTGATATCATGACTAAGGATGAAATGACTATTCGATTTTCTTTTGGAAATGTCTATAAACAAGTCAAGGTGAGTGCTTTCAAGAAAAATGTCAATTATTATTGAATCTCCATATATATAAAGAAAACTCATAACACAGTATACATTCCAGTGGACTATTTGAATGATAAATGGACAACTATTGCAATTGATTTTAAAGCACTTGTTCAAACTCATTTAGAAAAAGTATTTAAATGTGTGAGAGGAGCTGTTGTTTGCGCAAATTTGTCACTCAAGAATATATTCACATCGGACAACTTGTACACCCCAGAAAATCTTGCCAAAGATTTGTATCTGCCAATTCACAAAGGAATGAATTGGAGTGATGAATATGATTGGTTTTGGATTCCTGGAGAACCAACCAATGTGAAACTTGCATGTATTATTGATCCAGACACACTCAAAAAACCTTCAACGAGCTTCAACACCAGCAGAACATCCTCGGTGGGATCGAGTGGTTCCTCTAAACGATCAAAAATTGCTGGAGTTCTTTCCAACAAAGCAATGCTGACACCTAGCCCAATTATGGAATGCAAAAGATTCATTGGATACAACTCCCATTTCAACTCAAATCTCTGTTGGACATTGGATTCTGCCTATTGTTTATTTCCATGTGGATCTACAGTGATAAAAATGGATGTCAATTCAGGCAAACAGACATCATTCCAAGGTCACACGCATTTTGTCACCTCTTTAGCCACCGACTTTAAATGCAGTATCATGGCCTCTGTTCAAAACACAATACCATTAATCAGAATATGGGACGTGGAAACTTGTCGATGTCTTGCAGTTTTAAAAGGACAGGAGTCAGAAATCACATGTCTATGCATCTCTGATAATGGAAATGTGTTGATGACTATTGGAAAAGACAAGTCTTTAAAAACACAATTCATCGTTTGGGATATTTCGAATGTGAAAAACTCTGAAGAGATTCCTGTCATATCAAAATATGTTTGTGATTATTCTGTGAAAAAGGTCAGTTTTGCTCCAGGAGAAGACACCAAGTTTGTGACTTGTGGTTTTGAGAGTATAAGGCTATGGAGATTGAAAGGAGGAATTGTACGAGGATGTTCACTGTCACTTGAAAATTATAGCCTTACGAAACAAAACTTTTTGGATATTGCATTTGAAAAGACGTTTGTGTCACCCCATGTAAGTGTTTCATATTGAAATTTTAATTAGTGTAATGCTTGTGAGAAATAGTTAGGAGACAAGGACCACCGATTTTATTTAGGAACAGAATCTGGAGCCATTTACCAAGTCAATTACACAAAAAGAATTGTTGAATGTGTTTTTCAACTTCACAATAGTGCTATTAATTCTCTTTACATTAACGAAGGTATTTGTATCACAGGATCTTCTGACAAGTATGTCCGAGTGTGGCCTCTTGACTTTTCTGATTTTTTCATAGAGGCAGAACTTGAAAATGCAGTGATGAGTGTCGTCACATCGAAAGATGGTTTTAAAGCACTCATTGGAGATTCTAATGGCTCAATAGGAATCCTTGAAATCAGCTCACAAAAATATCGATCCGTTTTAAGATCACACACCAAACAAGTTCTGGACGTTGCTTCAGATCCTAATAGAATGGAATTTGCAACAGTTTCTTTGGATAGAACAATTAGAATATGGGATTTAACAACCTTAAATCAGAAATATCAGTTTGATATTGACGGAGAAAATCCTATTTGTGTGGATTATCACAAATATGAATATATGATTGCGTGTGGATTTGAGAGTGGAATTGTTCGTATTTTTGAGATTCCTACCACTCAAGTTTTAGAGGAATACAAGGCACACTTAACCGATGTCCTTGCCATTGCTTATACACACGACTCAAGATGGCTCATTTCATCCTCAAAGGAATCAATCTGTATTTCAGACACTAAGCACATGTATCAAGCTGTAAAAGTTATTCCGTACGCCTGTGAATGCAAGAATGTGAATCTATGCATGAGCAGAGATGGAAAATATTTTTCATTTATTTCCCCCACACGAAATTTAATTCATGTTTATTCATGCATGGATTTTGAAGAAGTATTTCAATTTGAAACACCAACAGACTTCTTTGAGAGCATGGTCTTCTCAGCAGACTCTAAAGAAATTATTGCTTCAACCTCAGACAACAAATTAATGTCCATATGTTTGGAAAAGGGAGAAATTATTTCAGAAACTGTAGGTATCAATGGGTTCATTGAATATTACAATTATGACATAATATGTGTTCAATATCATTGGATGGCTCTTCTATGTTCAATAACTAAATTCCAATTAAATGGGCATGCTGAACGTTCCATTTTGAACGTTGAAAAAGGAGTATGCTCCTAAATACAATGCAATAACGATGGATACAAGTCAAAATGGTAAATACTTGGTGTGTGGAGGTGAAGAGCGATTATTAAGAGTGTGGAATTCAAAAGACCTTGCTAATTTCAGTTGTCAAAAGTTTATTGGACACTCTGGAAATATTAAGAAAGTGATTTTCACATCCGATTGTGGACATGTCATTAGTTGTGGACAAGACGGAATACTTGTGTGGTCTTTCCTTGGAGATAAATCGAGAGATATAAATTTGATGATTGAGAGTCATCTCGAACGAAGAATGATGGAAAAAAAGAAAGAAGAGGAAATTGAGATTGATGAGCTCGCTGCTCAATATAGAGGTGTGTATGAAAAGACCTTTGAAGATAGAAACAAACGAGCATTGGAAGAACTTGAATCGATCGATCCAGCAATTGTTAGAGATGTCTCGGAAGTGCATGACTATGATCATCACCATCTTGTGCACACCGATCAACCATTCAAGAAATACATGTTCAATCGAAGACCATCCAAGTTACCAAACTCTGAAAAAAGAAAATTACCTGGTGAATTCCCAAAGCTGAAACTCGCAAGAATTTGTGGGTACAGCGGACAAGCAAGAGACAATTTAATTTGGCTTGAAAAACAAGGATCATTAATTTATACATCTGGTCATACAGTTATTATTGAGGATATTGCCACAAGAGCCCAACAGTACTTAACAGGTCATGAACATGAAATTAATCTGATTGTTATTCATCCAAATCAAAAGATTTTGGCCTCTTGTGGTGGTGTGAAAGGTGTTACTCTAGATTCACCCATAATTTTCTGGAATTTGGAAACAAAATCCCCCGTCAAGAGATTGGAATACCACAAATGGGGAGTTTTGGCAATGGATTTCTCACATGACGGAAAATACTTTATCAGTGTTGGAATCAATGAATATGACGGAAAGTGTGTGTTGGCTATATGGTCTGTGGAAACAGGTAAATTAATTGCCAACACTTTGGTAGCAGAAGAAATTTATGTCGTCAAATGGTTCCCAAGTTCACCCTCGTTTGAATTTATTACGTGTGGTAAAAACTCAATCACTTTTTGGTATTTGAATCCAGAAGGACAGCTTCTCATGTCACCTGCCAAAGTGGATCACCATCAATTGCTTGGTTCTCCTGAAGATCCCATTCATTTTACCTCCATTGGGTTTAGTGAAGATTACAGAAGTGTATGGATTGGATCCTCTTCTGGTTTTATTTTAGCGTTTAACTTGGAGAACAATGAGCTCGAGCATCAATGGATGTCCGTACACGATTCCAATGAAATTGATCACATTTGTTGGAGAAAGAATACTCTAATTACTTCAGGAACCGATGGATCAATCAAGAGATGGAAATGCACCAAGAAGGACAAACAGTATCATCTTGTATTGAGAGAACAAATGGAGTTAGATGGCCCAATTGTTGCTTTGTGTTTTGATGACAAGGCCAATCAAGGAGTGGTTGGTACTTGTAAAGGAACAATTTGGTATATTCATTGGGATCAACAACAGTGCATTCGAATGATTACCAGTCATTCACACTTTGTGAGTGGTTTAGTCAAAGTGAATGGATACATCACGAGTAGCTCACATGATGGAACAGTTCGAGTTTGGACCAAAGTCATGTTGGACTCGAACAAGATTCTCTCGCTCAATCAAGTCTTGGAAATGAAAAGAAGTGAGGACAAGAAGGTTGCAGCACTTTGCATGGATAAGAGCTCCTCTAACAATCTCATTGCTGTGGGATATAATGATGGTACCATCTTTGTGAATTATTTGAATCATTTGGAACATGTGTTAAAGAATAAGATCAAGCCACATGAAGAAGCGTTGACCTGTATTTTGGTCACTCCAACCAATCGAATCATTACAGGAAGTGCAAATGGTATTCTCACTCTTGTTGACAATTTGGTGAATTTAACAGAATCCACTTCAGCTCTTCCGACCGAGTTTTTGGAGAATCGATTTATTTTCATTAGAGAATTCCAAGGCCATCGAATTTGTTCACTCGACTATGACCCTAAAACCAAACGATTTGTAAATACCACCTGTACAGGTTTAGTCTCTGTCTGGAATGACACGGATTTCACACAAGTTGCAAAATTTGCTCCTCACATCTACACTCGAAAAGTTGCAGAAAAAGAAAAGTATGAAATTGATATTATTGCCAAATTTTCTCCTTTTGAACAAGATGTTCTATTAATTACAGCTCCTTCTAAAATATGTCCCAAGGTTGAATTCTACAATTATAAGAGAGAATATTGTTTGAGAGTCGTAGACATGAATTGTTTTGCCAATTGTTTTGCAATTTCACAAATACATTCCTTGATTGCATTTGGAACACGAGAACGATTGTTAGTATTAATGAATTACTCGACTGGTGAATTTGAGGAGTACGAAGGTCATGGAGATGGAATTCAGAGCATCATGTTTGATGATGAATGTGATGAATTGTATTCGAGTGCATTCTCAGACACATTGGTATGGAAATTGAATACCAGTAGCAGTAATAACACAAACTTGACCACACGTGTGGTGTCTTCTTTTCCCATGAATAAGTAAATTTAAATGAATTGACGATGATGCTTCATTTTGATCAGTTTTGCCGACATGATTAATCTCGTCGAGGAGGTGATTTATAGAGTTCATTGATCTTCTTCTAAAGTTCATCTCAAAAAAAATGTTTCCGAGACGACCTTTATCTTCCAATAGTGGTGGTGGAGATGGAGGAGGTGCTTGGACTGGTCCTCTCTTTTCATTCATTACAGAAGGACCTTTCCGAAGAGGACTCTCTCCATCCAACCAACACATGCATCATCATGACAATCCATTGAAAAATATGAGACCATTGGGACAAGTCATGAGTATTCATTCCGATCGCCCATCAAACCCCACACAATTGGCTTGTTTACCTTCCGAATTATTCGGAGTGATTTTAACCTTCAGTGGAATACAGTGTCTATCTCTTTTCGCTTGCCTCAATCGTTCGAGTTTTGAAAAATTTGAAAATGAAGATGATCTCGTTTACAAAATTTTATTACAGACCTTGATGAAGAAAGATGAAGCCTATATTGAACAAGTACGCACAACACTCGGATTTACCTATAAATATAGTTTGAAACAATTAGTGAGAAGAGCGAATCGAGTATTGGGAAATGGAAATTATTTATTGGATACGATGCATTTGAGTGAAGAAAAAGAAGAGGAAGAAGAAGATGGTGAAGAGAATACTACCCATGCTATCACCACCACCACCACTCAGAATGATCCACTAGAAACCAAATGCGAACTCTCCACTATTAAAATTCCAGAAAATGAAAGATTGTCTCTCACAGAATGTACCGTCGAAATGAATCTTTATATTGGACAACCTTCGTATGGAACATTGATCAAGTTGGGAAATGAACATTTTACATTGAGTATTGAAATTGAGCATTCCACGTTGAAACTTGTTGAAAATTCAAACATACTTGCCTATCAGCATCTTTCATTGAATACATGGACACATATTGCCTTTGTCACATGTTCTTCATCCTATGACAAGGACTATTATTCGCTTCGATTTTTGGCAAATGGAATGAATATTCAAACATTGCACCATCTTCCATTGCCATCCAAGGACTTTACTCGAGTGGATTTTTTAACCTGTTGGCAGAATGAGTTGAGGAAACCTTTGATTGGAAAATTCACAGAGATACGAATATGGAATTGCTCAAAACAAGAAGATGATATTGTAAAAAACATTCATGGAAGATTGAATCCATTTGTGAAAAGTGTACATGTGGATCATTTGCTTTTATATTTTTATCCTGACTTGGAGGATGAAGATAGTGCTCTCGATGGTGTGAAAAACAAATCTCCCCTCAAAGAAATGAAGAATTTGGAAAATCATTTAAAGATTTCTCCAAATATAAGGATTCGAAAGATTGAGGCAAGACAAGCTGGATTCTTTGATCTTTGTAACCTTCTCTAAATATGTATTGTTCTCTCTAAACTCAAAAGATTAATTCGTTGAAGGAACTAATTGTTGTGTTTATATATATAAATTGAACCATCGATGATTTGATGTTTCAATCACAGAGTCGACTCGAGAGTGAAAAAATGCATCAACCTCCTCAACCACCACCTCATCACGAGGATCAAGAGGATGATCATCACCACCAACACGGAGGAGAAAATACTACCTCGTCATCATCCGATCAAGAGGAAAATTCAATAGAAACACCCTCTACTTTAGATCAACCATCGGAACCTGCTCTCACCGAGGAAGAACATCAAATTATTTACAACACGACAAGTCTTGTGTTGCGGGCAATTGATTTGAAGTATCGTGTTTTAAATTTATCTAATTCTCAGATCAGTGATAAGATTATGAATAATATTCAAGAAATTTTGAATGGATTTGTTAGGATTGAATCATTGACTGCAATTTGGGAATTAAATCTATCACAAAATTCAATTTCAATATTGCCGAGTTGTTTAAACATGTTTACGAGAGTAGAACGTGTTTTTTTGAATGAAAATCAATTATCAAGCATTACGGAAGATGAAATTTTGACGAAATTGGTGAATTGTAAAATAATATCTTTTTCCAACAACATGCTAACGAGCTTTCCCATTGCCAATCCTTTTCCAAAATATTCTCTTACTAAATTAATTCTTTCAAACAACCAGTTGCAATACCTACCTAAATATATTGGAGAGTGCGTCAATTTGGTTGAAATTGATGTATCTCACAACAACTTGAAGATCATTCCAAAAGAAATTGATAATTGCAAAAAACTAATGAGATTATTCTTAGATCACAACCCTCTAATATGTTTGCCATATGAGTTGAGAAATCTTTTGAAATTGAGAACTTTCAGATGTGATTCATTCAACATTGAAGAGCGAAAAAGATTTTACCAGAAAATGTACATTACACACAACAGCACATTATTAGAATTTGCTAAACGATTTATTGTAAACTCAGATCATCAATTATGTCATGGAAAATGTTGTCATACTCACGAAGAGGAGTCTTCTCCAATGCTTGATCTAAATGACATGGATTTGAGTGATGATCACCATACAGGAGCTCTCACAGTTTCTTCATCGACAAGTGCTCCTTCCCATTACAAAACAACAAGTAGTGAATTTTCTTCTGCTCAGGATTTTAAATTGAATTTCGATCTATTGAAAGCTCAGTACAAATCCTCCATTCCCAAACATTTGGCAGAAGACCTTATGGATCACACAAGAATGAATTGTTGTTCTACTTGTCATCGATTCATGTCTCAAAACACAGGCATTAATTTTATTGCATTATCAACGCTTCCAACGAGGAGCAAACATCAAATCGATCAAATACCTTTGTTTTGTAGAGCTTGTTGCAATGAATGCTTTTCTAACTTTCCAAACAAAATTGTATGAAGAAATTGATGATTCATAAATTTTGTTGTTATCGAAACAAGATTCTACAATTTTATAATTTGTAGTTTTGTAATTATTTGTAATTGTAACAAGATTCCACATTTAGCTTCAATTAAGGTCAATGACCCATTCCAAGTGGGTAGTGGTCGTGAGGAAGTTTGTGGCTGTTGCACTATGTGTTGACGAATGGGTATGTACGTTATATTGTTTTGGTAATGATGTTGTTGTTGATGGATATAATAATGATAGAATGATAGAGAGAATATAAAAAAGAATATATCTCTTGATGATTACAAAACATATGAGACATCATCGATGAGAATGGATGATTTATTGCTTGATTAATTACTAAGGTTCGGTTGTTGATTGAATCAAATTTGGTGATGGTTGACAACTGACATTCAAAAAAATCAAATTAAAAAAAAATTAAAGATGGTCACCCTCACCGATGAGCAACGAGAACAAATTCAAATTCTCGAATCCTTTCTCGAACAAGGGTTGATGGATCCAGAAGATTTCGGTAAGTGATAATTATTAATATTCCACTTGTGATCCGAATTTTTATTTTTCACATAATTCTTTCTTTATGATAAATCTCTTCTATTGATTCCATCTCCATAATTGATTTCAAAAAAAACACATCATTATCATCACACCAATTTAATGTATATATTGTTATTTAATGTATATATTGTTATTTAATGTATATATTGTTGTATTATTAAAATTTCTAATTTCACACAGAGGAAGAAAAGAAGAAAATTCTCAGTGGTGGATCCATTGCCGATGAAGACGAAGAAGACTCTCCACTGGTGGTCAGTGGTGGTGCCTCTTCTTCTTCTTCCAACAAACCATTTGATCATTCTCAACAACCTTCCTCTCAGAGCAAACCAACGAGTAGTACTTCAGTGAACACCACTTCAACAACAACAAACACTTCCACACAACGTAAACACGTGATTCATTCAAGTTCAGACGATGACGAACCTGTCATTAAATCTACTCAAGTCAAGAGAAATGTTGTGAAAACATCCACTGTTCCATCCAGTTCAACAACAACAAAACCAAACATCACCACAAGTGTTTCAAAAACAAGAACGAATCCATCTTCTCGTGATTCTGCTGTGGATTATGCTGAGAGTGGTGATGATGCAGTGGTGAGTGATGACAATAATCACTACTCTTCCGATGATCGTGATTCATTCATGAAACATTTGGGTGGAGTGACAGGTCGAAAAATTTTACAAAATTCTACCGAAGATGAAGAGAGTGATGATCAACAACAATCAATTCTTCTTTCAAAGAATAGAAATAATGGAATGTCGACAAATAGTGTGAAAAAGAATGCACAATCCTCTCAGAATTCTAAAAATGGATATCAGTTGAAATTGACTTCTCAAGAACGAGAGTTATTAACTGCTGAACAAATTCAACAATTGGAAAAGATGGCTCATTTGGTTGATACTGAAATTTTATCAGAAGATGAATTGTTGACAAAGAAGGATCATTTATTGAGACAACAACAACGTAAAATTGAAGAAGAAGAAAGAAAAAGCAAACAAGAAAAATCAAAAACCACTTCTACGACTGCAAAAAAGTCACCACGAGTCAATTTAAGTGTTGAGGATCAATTGAAGAAACTTGAAGATTTATTTGATGCTGGAATTTTAACAGAAGAAGAATATCGTGCAAAGAGAAGACAATTATTACCTGAAGAGAGTTCGGATGAGAATGATGAAGAAGACGAAGACGACGAAGAAGACGACGACGAAGACGATGGAAAGGGATTAAAGTTGAAATTAACTCCTCTTCAACGTGATCAATTAAGCAAATTGGATTCTCTTCTCGAAATGGGTATTTTGGATCATGATGAATACGAAGAAAAGAAGAGACAAGTGATGGGATTGAAGAATGAAAAGACACCTTCTAAAATCATTACAAAGAAACAAGAGGCCAATAAGGAATTTGGTGACGTGATTGAAATGGTTGTTTTTATAACAAATATTAGAGCCACTCCTGAGAAACCATTCAAATTGATTTATGAAGGAGATCAAATCATGTATCAAAGAGAAGAGGACTCTGGTGCTGGAAAGACAATCATTGTGAGAGGTGAAGTTCCAAAAAAGCCAAAAGAAGACACCATTGTTACATTGTGTGTCGATATGCCTCAAATTAATATTCACACTCAACAGAATTTCAATCTTTCAGAACATGGTCGATTCATTCAAATTCAAATTACTCAAGAGGGTAATAGAAATAATATTAGAATCAAGCAACAACATGATGATTCATTTGACACAGAACAACAATTGGGTGACAAAAATGATGAGATGAGTAGAATTTATGTTCACTATTCTGCAATTCCTGCAAGTGAAGAAAAACCATTCAAATTATGGATTGGTGACATGCTCGCCCATCAACTCACAGAACCAATGACGAAAAGCCAAAGTGGTGTTCTGAGAGGAGCTATTCCAAAAATTAAGAGATGCAATCCTTCTACTGAGTCTCATCACGATGTGAAGCTCAAGGTTCACATTCCAATGATTGATCCTGAAGAAAAAGTTTATATTGTCAACTTGACTGACAATGGTGATCATGTTGGTATTTTCTTGGATGGTTCAAAAATAACACTCAGACAAGAGAAAGATAAGGTTGATTCTGATAGCCCAATATTGGAACCTGTAAAATCATCTAAAAAGTAATTTGTTCCTATAAAAATTCTGATTCCATCAACTATCATTGATTCTTGAATTCAATATTAGTAGAACACACATTAAATTTTAAAATATTTAATAACAAATCTATTTCGCCTCAAGCTTTGCAATGGCTTCATTGGCTTTCTTTAAAAGAGACAAGGAGGTTCTGTCAGGGTCAGGAATTTTCTTAAATAATTTCAGTACCTTGTAATAGGAAGAAAGGGTATTGTCTTGACAATAATATTCCATGAGTGAGTTGTACGCAATGGCGTTGGGTTCAGCAATTTTTGCAAATAATTCCTCGACCAGCAGTGTGGAAGGTCGACTTTGTTCGCTCTTATAGTAACACGCCATGAGCAATACAAAAGACACACTATCAACCGTCTTCATTTCATTCATGTAGAAATGATATGCTTTTTCATACATGTCAGCTTCCTTATAAGCTCTCAAGAGACAGTTTTCAGAAATAATTGAAACTTCTGGCATCTGAGAAAGAATGTTTTCAACTGTGGCGAAATCTCCAGCGACTGCATATCCTTTAAGAACGCAATTCACAGCAGCAAGATAGGTCTTGTCTGGCATTTGCTGATAATAGTGATCAATAATAGGCAACATTTCAGCAACATTGTCCTTGTTGAGTCCTTTTGTTAAAGCAGACAATAGAATGGCATAAGATTCGGGTTGAGGATTCACGAGTTTCTCAAATATTTGTATGACCATGTCAACATCACCCGAGTTTGCAAAGTTACCCATAATTGCCCTAATATGAAGGTCATTTGGATTTGGTATTTGTTTCAGAAGGGTCATTGCCTCTGATGGAGGAAGTGCTGAAAGAATTAAGGTATAAGTCTGATTATTGGGTTTCTGCATGGAGTGGAAAATTGTTCGAATCTTGTCAGTCATTTTCCGTTTCTTGTATTCTTTTAACATGATATTGCAAGTACTTGTTGCAGGATTTTTGAGTTCTTTGAAACATATTTCAGCACGTTCAAAATCTTTCCCATTAATGAATGCTTTCAGTAGTGAGTTGATGCTATATTCATCAGGATTTTGAATACTGTTGAATAATTCTTCGACTTCTTTCATTTTACCTTGTTTTGCAAGTGTATTCATCAAAATATTTTTGTGGATCACATTGGGCTTTTCAATAGATTGATAAATGTGTTGAACTGCTTCTGCATCATACTCTTCAGCAATAATTTTCATCAAAGTGGCATACGAATATCCGTCTTGGATAGAGGACGGTATTTTTGTTTGATAAAATTCAAGGGCCTTATCATTTCTTCCTGCCTTATTATACGCCATCAACATGATGTTGTAAGTGTCAAAAGAACGATCTTTCATCATGTTGAAAATATTTTCAACAGTTGAAATGTCTCCTAGTTTGGCATACTTTGTGAGAAGAGTATTATAGGTATAAATATCTGGTGGATGTTGCTGTACATGTCGTGCCAACTTGAGCGTATCTTGTATTTGCGTATAAGCTTTGAGAATAATATTGTGAGAATGTGTGTCTGGTTCCTTAATACTCCGATATATTTCCTCGGCCTTTGTATAGCTTCCTTTGTTAACGAAATAGTCCATTACAATGTTGTAAATCTTGGTATTTGGTTGAGAAAATTTTTTGAATATTTCTTCTACTTTTTCAACTCCCAAGTCATTATTCACATAGGGAGTAAGCATTAGTTGCAGAATCTGCTCGGAAGGGTTTGTTATCTTGCCAAAAAACCTCTCCATGGAATTCAAGTCCGAACGATCTGCAAAACTCTTCAGAACGGCGTACTGTTTAAACCTGTCCATAAAACCGCTGTCAGTTAGCTGTTTGTAAAGAGCGTCAAGCTTTTCAACTTGGTCGGTGACACAATATATTCGCAATAGTTGTATAAATATCGGATTATTTCTTTGCAAATAGAATTTGGAAGCTCCTTTTAGACAAATCATCTCTGCAAGTTTAAAATCTTTTAACTCAATCAAAGCATCAACAACCAATTCATAACAACGAATATTTCGAGAACTCTCATTAGCAAAGGATGTAAAAATGTCAACCGTTTTTTGGTAGTTTCCTTGTTGAAGAGCTTCTTCCATCAGGTCAGCAATTTGATATCCTTCCACTGGATAAAGCGACGTGTTCAACAGATAGGTTCTTAGAGGCTCCGGTTGCAAATGTTCCTTCCTTTTAAATTCTTCTTCTGATGCTTTAGATTCATAAATATTTTTCAAACAATTATATTCCGATTCATTAAATCCTTCCTCCAAAGTTGATGATGAAGAGGATTTAAAATTTTGAGAAAAGAATCTCTGAAACAAAATTTTCATATTTTGTTGTTGAAAATAGGACGAGGAATCATTGAAAGAAAAATTGTGTGATATGGATCGTGTTTTCATATCCAGTAATCTGTTCCGATCGACTTTAACTGGTGTCCATCGATGACATGCAGCAGCAACAACAGAACATCGACCCGACGACTTCATTTTTTTTTCTCAAAGACGTTCTCGAGAGTCGAATTTATGGTTTTGAGAGCCAACATTCGAATGTGGAGCAACAAATTCCATCAAAAAGATCTTGTCGTCGTGTGTGGACATGTTACAATACCCCCGTCGACGACACGAACACACAACTCATGCCAGAGAGCTCTCTTTGACGATGGCGAGAACATTTTAATTGTCCTTCTTGTTCGCGCACAGTAGTTATTTTTCCACTCGCGAATTGGGAGAAAACTCTCAAATAAGGCTCAGTCCGGAGAACCGGTGAGTTCCCTCCAAAACGCAGAAATGGGTGTTATCTGTGTTGAGGCTTTAGAAAAAAACGAAAGAACATCCTCAAAGTTCGTGTTGCGTGTGGATTCTCTCCGAGTGTGTGTGTGTGTGTGTTCTTGAGCAGATATACAGCAGATACTCAACGTGTTTGAGGAACACCCTCATCATCATTGGCCTCTGAGAGTACTCTAACTTCCATCATCAAACAACAAAATGACAAAAATTCATCCTCAACTCTCTCCGAGAAGTTCCGATACGAGCTTCTTTTCTTCCGTGTATTCTATAACGCCTTTGGATTTGAGGCAGCAGAATGTTGTGGATGCAAATCAAACTAATAATGAAACCGTTCTACCAACAAAGAAGAAGACATTATCTTCAATTCTATGCCTCTCCTTGTTAACGATCATCATTGCGATCGCGAGCGTTCAACTTCTTTCATCGTCGGTGTGGATTGCTCTCTTCAGTTCAAGCATGTCAACTTCTCAAAGCAAGTACGGCAGCAAACTGTTCGAAAAAATAACCCTTCATATCAACAGCACCTTGCTCGGTGCGTTGATGATTTCAGAGAATGTGAAGGAAAGCATCTCAACGTTGGATGTGAACAATGTTGATGATGGGATAGCGCAAAGATTGTTAAAATCCTCCAATTCTTTCTTGCCCACACCGTTATTGAATTCGATATATTTTGGTGATGGGACTCTTGGCATGAGTTTGACCGAAATGACAAGAATCAATTCAAATAATACAGTTTTTGCTTATTGTCAAGATAAAGAGTGCAAAGAGATGTCATCACTTAATGTTAAGGCAACCACATTTAACCAATCGCACAGTTTGCAGATTCTTTCACTCGATGGCCCAAGTTGCTCTCTCTCATATTTCGACAATATTCTAACGAACAGAACTATCCTGAGTTGCATAACTTTTCATTTGGACAATCAAACATCACAACTGGATTGGTATTTTGGTTTTGATATCAGCACGGATACTTTGTCAAGACTTTTGGCTGATTCCATCGCTAAATCAGACCAATCAACTGCAGCATTAATCTTAGAGACAGAAACAGAACATGTTATTGCAAGTAAGTACCATAGAATTTATCAATTAGAGTATGATGATTTCAATTCATTCAACCGTTAGCTAACACTCCTATCTTAAGGAACGATATGAGCGAAACGATTCACTCTCTCAAAGATGCATCCATGAGAGAAATAGGACTCTCATTATATGAAAACGTGAATCGAAATTTGCGTTCCATTTCCTGTTCGAAAATTGTTGGTTTCAGCATACCAGGAGGCATTATCAGAGCACATAGAATGTGTGAAGAGTCTGGTTTAGATTGGATCATTGTTCTTCATGAATCTACTTATCAACAGGAACTAACTATTGGAATTATTATTGCTTCTCTCATTAATACTGGTATTGGATTGATTGGTATTATCATTGGAGTTGTTGTAACAGTGAAAATAGTCCAACCTCTTGGAGACATCATGAATGAATTTTCCCCACCTTTTCAAACATTGTTGGATAAATCGAACTTCCATTATTCAAATCTAAAAGAGATTCGAGAGGTTCAGACAAACTTTACCGGTTTGATTGATCTACTTAAAAAGTATAGGTCTGTGATTCCACCTCACGTTCTAACAAAATTAGACGCCCCTAAAGAAGCAATTAATACTAGAGACAGCACGAGAGAAAAATTACAATCACACAATTCTGATTTCTCGATTGTTAGCTCAAGATCCCTAAAAGGAGACGACATGGTCAAACCATTTTTACATCACGCGCTAGATCAAAGAAGAATTACAGTAGCTTTATTTTATCTAGAAGGCTTTGAAGCTTGCATGAAGGAGCTCTATCACACAGATGTAGTTTCCATTTTGAATGATTTCTTAAATGTCGTTCAAAAGGTTTGTGAAACGTCTAACGGACACCTTGGCCAATTTCAGAACAATATGGCAACTATTTCTTGGAATTCAGCGAATGAAGTCTTACTTCATGAACAGCAAGGTTTGATTTCCTCAAAACAGGTATTAGAAAAACTGATTTTTGTGCAACAGTCGAAATGGAGGCAGTCATCCATACCTTCGGATGTGGTAAAGATGCTTAATTTTAAATCAGCTATTCTCTCTCAAGATGTTCTGTGTGGGGCAATTGGAACATCACAATGGAAAAGCGTGTCAATCGTGGGAAGCAACTCCTTTAACTTGGATCTCATCTTAAAGCATGCACTGAAATTAGATGTTGATATCATTGTGACTGACGATATTTTACGTGCAAATAACTCTTCGTTTTGTCACAGATTCGTAGGCACAAAGATGCTTTATGATTTTGATGAAATCATCTCTCCATACTCCTCCACAAAGGACTACATTAATAGTATGAAAAAGAAACCAACCAAATTGTATCAAATAGGTGAGGCCATTGAACAGGTTACCACTGATATAGAATGGATGTATGAACTACAATCCTCGATTAACCGCTCAGAGAAATGGAAGTATTATAATGATGGAGTGAACTATATGCTGGAGGGAAACAATGACTATGCCATGCACATGTTTAAAATTCACATGGCCAATTATCGAAAAATTAATGAACAGGATGATAAGGTTGCAACGTACATGATGAAAAAATGTGCTACGAACGGAAAATTGAAAAAAAATTCGTTTATGCAGCACTAATCATCTTGGAATTCAAGTTAGCTGTGTGGATGACATGCCATGTATACTTCCTTACAAAGAAATTGACCAAATTTGACATGCCTCCTTAAAATGCCACATTTAAAATTAGGATGAATGCAAAAAAAGAAAAAATGCTCAAAAAACCTCCAGAAACAGAAAACCCAGAATACTCTGCGGAAGAGAAAAAGCCATCAGACGAAAATGCTGATAAAATAGCCCACGAATTAGAGAGACAATATGCGGTGGGAGTTCGGGCAAGAACAGCAAGAGAAGAAGATTTGGAAAGAATGGCTCTATCACCCGTTGGAATGGATGAAGATACCACACAACCGATCAATAGAACGATCATTTAATTATGTGTGTGTGTGAGGATTCATCCTTTGTGAATATTTTCAAATAAAATTTGATATTTTCAACTGTGCAATCGAACATCAGGTTCAAATGAATTGCTATTTTCGTAATTCTTTTTAAAAAAAATGTCTTACAATGCTTCATCGTCGTCTTCCTCATCGATAGCATCATCATCACCGACAACAAATTCATTATTTTCCAAGTCCTTTTGGATGGGCTCATTGTTTGGTGCGAGTGTTTTGTCGGTAGGATTTCTCATTGGATGTTTCTATCAGTCCAAACGATACAAGAAAGACATTTCCGAATTAAAAACGCTCATTCAAGCCTTACAGCAAAATCAACAAAATTCGGCTCTGAATCAAAAACGAATTTCTTCTAATTTATCGGAATATGTGGTAGGAAATCCTGGTGATGAAATGGCTTTAGCAGTGGAGGATCCTTCCAGACAACCATCACCTGGTCAACTCAACACTTATCAACGATTCTATCACAAACCAAAAAGGATTTTTCTCATTCGTCACGGTGAGAGCGAAGGTAATATTGATCCAAATGTGTATGCTGTAAAACCTGATAATAAGATTGAATTAACAGAGTTGGGAATGCAACAAGCGGATGAAGCTGGAAAAAAATTGAAACAAATCATTGGAGATGAAACTGTTTGTTTTTTCATTAGCCCATATAAACGTAGTGTACAAACATTTGAAATGATAGCTAAGCATTTTGGAGGGAAAGAAAATGTGTATTTTAAAGAGGATCCAAGATTAAGAGAGCAAGATTTTGGTAATTTCCAGGATCCGGCAGGTATGTGAGAATTGTTTTTTCAAAACCCATATTTAATGAAAAATGTATTTGCAAATTTGGAACTGTTAAGATATCAAAATTAGACAAGAAGAACGGCGTAGATTTGGTAGTTTTTACTATCGCTTTCCTCAAGGTGAAAGTGGTAGTGATGTATATTGTAGAGTATCCAGTTTTTGTGGAAGCATGCTGAGAAGCATGGAAGAGCATCGACAACCTTTCGATAATTATGTATTGATATCTCATGGGCTGACATGCCGACTCTTCTTAATGAGATATTTTCATTGGAGTGTCGATACATTTCATGCTCTTTGGAACTTGACCAATTGTCAAATTGTCACAATGGAACTGCAAGAGAATGGAAAATATAAAATAAGAGAAAGATTAAAGATTGATGATGAAAGCTTATTGCCACCAAGCGATTTTGCAGAGGTGAACGAAAGTACTGCAAAACAAGAGCTTGGGGCTACACACTAATGAACCAAAGAGCATCTCTGCCCGATGATGCTTGAAAAAAACGTTAATTTATTTACAACCACTGTAGATACATCTCTTTAGATGGAGCGCTGTCTCCTCAATAAACGATAGACCATCTGGAAATGGATTTATCACAACCTTTTTGTCGCCGTTTATGGATGTTGTGGATGTTGCTGGGGACAATTCTCCTGGTGAATTTAGAATGTTATTATCTTCACTGTCGCTATCCACAATTTCATCAAATATGGACGTCCTTTTCTTGGATTCAAATGTTGTGTTATTTTTCTTCTTGTTGATAAATGAGCCAATGCTAATGTTGAAAATTGAAAATGAAACATCTCTAAGGGCTTTCTTGTCTTGCTCTGGTTTTAAAATATCATTACTTAATACATCTACACTACAAAGAGTGAAAATGCCAAGTAAACTAAAGATAACAAAGTCGTGTCGATTCTTTAAAAATCTGTCACAGGCTGTGTCGTAGGCAATACTTCCGTTTAAAAAGCTAGATTCGTCAACACTCAATCCAATATTGGATTGCAACTCAGTTCTAAGCATTCGTAAATATACAGTCAATTCAGTCACTGCTCGTTCTTTTTCTACCTTATTCTTAATTGGAAGAGAAAGAAATAGGAAAAGAGTCTTTTTGTATTCAACAACACTTCTATCACTTAGTTGTTTTCCAAGTCTGGTCAAAATATGAGAGACCTTGTTGATCGTGACGTGTTGGATCTTTCTACCCGAGCACAGAATTTTTATCCAATCCTTAATCGTGAGCTTGTTCACTTCTTTGGCAGGACATTTTAATATGATATTGTCCACTAAGAATAAGACCTCGTTCATCAATTCCAATACAGCTCCATTCTTACAATTTTCTTGAGACTGAATTGGAGAATTGTCCACTACTAACAGTCCGTTCTGGCCCTTTTGGTCTCTCATTGGCAATGTTGTTAACTTTTTGTGAATAATAAGCTCACACAATATTCCTAACATGCAAAGTTCCTCAATACTATCGGATGCATAGGACTTGACAATTCCAGAGTCAGAAAGTAAAATCATTAAAATGGTTTCTGGAATTGTCATTTTGTGGTCTGCGTCGACATGCAAGCTTGAAGGTGAGGAATTGCTCACATCTGAGGTTGTTGTCGTTTTAGAAGGCACTTTCATGCTCGTAGGTCTTTGTTTTGTTGTTGTTTCGGAGCCAGTAGATACATCTGTTTTTTCATCGGACATCACATCATGATCCATGACATAATTTTCCTGCTTTGGAATTGGGTCAGAGATACCTCCAAAGTCTAAGAGATCTTTTGAAATGTTATTTCTATTTGTATTTCCCTCGAACATTGTTCTGCTTCTTCTCTTTACAGAAGAGCTCTCTACTGACTTAATTCCACTAATCTTTGGATTTTCCTTGAATTCAAAATTAAGTTCAGAGCCTTGAAATCCACTCTCGGAAGCAACACTTTGTCTTGGAGTATTTGTAGTTGCTGTCACAGCTCTAGTAGATGTCATTGTTGAATTGCCAGGATTCACTGGTGATGAAATGGTTGATGTTTGAGAAGCACTTGTGTGGCTTGAATTTTGTGTTTGTTGTTTTTGGTTGACTGGCATCGATGGAACTGAGTATTGGTGTGGATGTTGTGCAAATGTACACGACAACATTCCACTAGATTCACCACTCACTGTATGTCTGTGTGATGGTGGAGATGCCATTGATAAGAGAAAATCAGTGGATTCAATAGTAAAATTAGTATTCACATCATTTACACCTGGATCAGACGCAAAATCATCTTCGAATCCAATGGTCACCCGACGAGGATGAAAAGAAGAGCCACCTTGACTTGAATTGACATCTGACGTTGTGGTGGGTGTTGGTGTGGATTGAATAATTCCACCACCTCCAACACTTGCTCCAGCAGATCTTGGAGAAGTCATCATTCCTTGTTGTTGAGAAGAAGAACGGACTGATGGAATAATGGTGGGTGGCATATTGGTTGTTGTTGTTGTTGTATAATCATTTTGATTTGTTGATGCCGATGAAGAAGAGCCTCCTCCTAATTGAAATGGGTCATCATCATCATCATACGGATTGAAAACTCGATGGTTGATGGGTGGAGTACTTGTGGTGCTGCTGAACATTTCTTGGAAGAGGGAGATGTGAGATAGGAATTGAGTGGTGGTGGTTTGTGTGATTTTGTTTTTGGACCTGAATTCTTCTTAAAAAGGATTCCAAACCATGTTCAAACCTCCTTTGAAACACACAATATCTAATGATCCAAATCGAGAAACTCAGTCTTGTTGCTTGTACGCGATACGGAATGTGGTATTGAGATGGAAAGAAGAGAATAATGGAGATGAAGGCTCTTCTTTTTTTTGTAATTCGTAAGAAATTTGTAAATTCGTTGTAAATGGAGATAAAAATGTTCATGTGAGAGCATTTAATGGAAAATTGAGAGAACACGAGGTGATGTTCTTGTGGAAAAGATTGTAATGAAAAGAAGGAAAGGGCCAGGAACACAATGTAACAAATCTTGGCAAGATATGAAGCAATTCCAAATGAGAACGAAAGAATCGCACTGAAAATTCACCGAGTAATTAGTTGTTGCAACTTATTTTCTCGACTTGTGTGTGAGGTTTCTTCTTGATTGAGTCGTAATAAGTAACTGGAACAACAAACAACAAGAAAAAGACTAATATATGGAATGAGGGAAATTTGAAATCGTGACAATCATTAATAGTTTAGACTTACCTTTCATTCGATGTCTTCGCTGGTCCAATACATCCTTTTGGAAATAAAAATTGTAAAATTGAAACACAAACAATGCATGGTAGAGCAAGGCAAACAAAACATGAATGGCCACAGAAGTTGCAAGTTTTTCATATTGATAAATTAATCCAAAATTAGAAATCAAAATAGAAAGTATTGGAACAATGAATAGAAGTATTCGCATAAATAATTTCTTCTTGGTGTTAATAAATTCGTCAATAATGTCTTCTCTCAATTTCTTATCTGGCTCTACTCCATAAATTTTAGAAGAATTTGAAATTCTCCAATTCATGCCAATACAAGTAAAAAATGTTACAATTGTAATACAAATGGCATACAGTTTCAAATGATCATATCTGTACAGAGTGCTCACAAATGCATAAGCGACAGCCATAGCGACAAAGGAAATTCTTTGGAACCATTTCTCGCTATCACTATACTCAATCTGTTGAATGCTCATGTCATCAGGAGATCTTTTTGGCTTTGAATTTAAAATCGAATATAAAAAACCAAAATATAACAAGCTCGATGACATGAAATATTTGGAAATATCCATTGAGTAATTATTCAAATCCATATTCGAGAAATCGTTTGAATTTTTAAAGTATAAATAAAAGCTTGAAATTAATGCAGCTGGTAAATAAATAAACCCAATCATCATCGGAAACAACGATTGATTAATTTCATAAATTTTTAATACACTCCGTAAATACACCACCCGAGAACCAATCCATAAAATTCCAAAGAGTGAATAAATAAAAGGAATAATCATAAATGGATGTGGAGTCTTGAAAAGAGAGAAAAAATTATTGGAAGGAGTTAATGATGAGGTAGAGTTGGAATCACTTTTCAATTCCGATAAAGTTGATGTTGATAGCAGAACAGCCAAATGGTTGAATAAAAGCATTTTTTTAAGGACAGGTCAATTTTGTTCAAATTTCACTCGGTTGTACTGTACGATAAAGTATCATTGAACGACCATTCAATAGCTTTTTGAGTTCACACAATGCACAAATTATTGAGTAAAGAAATTAAAGTGTTCTTTTTCTTTTACTTGTTCGAATGCTCTTCGTCTGGATTATCGAATTTCAGTTCTGAAGAGGTAAACAAAAGTTCCTCAATGGCTCTTTGTGCATCGTCAGAATTTGAGAGAGTGGGTTGTTGTTCATCATGCATGCTGTGAAGTTTAGCTTGCTCTTTTTCCCATTTTTCATAATAAGCTTTAAAAATACTTGCTCTTTCCTTTTCTCTAAATTCTTTCATGTGATGTTCCCAGTCAGTTTTGTAATATCCATAGAATAATTGGTTAAAAGTAGTTGTGTTTGGAATCAAACCACGTGCTCTCATTTCTCTGAGGATTTTCTTTGCTTTCATAATGTCTCCTCTATTAATTTCTGCAGCAATGATCGCGTTGAATGTTTCAGTATTTGGTTTGAAAATGTCTTTACATAATTTTCTGAGATGCTTGTAGAGATCACCTGTTCTCAAATCTCCGTCATAGCTTAATGTCTTGAGTGCTCCATTGAAGGTATCCATGTTTGGGAGTGTATAGGTATTTTTATCTTGAGAGGTGTCCTCTTGGCTGGCAGTGTACTCTCTGAGAGTTTTTTCAAGAATTTTCAAAGCTGTTTTCTTGTCTCCAACTCTGGCACATGCCTGTAAGACTTGGTTGTAAAAGTCGATGCTTAACTTTCCTCCCGTTTTTGCTTCAAAATCTTCCAATAATTTTAAGCACTCAGAACAGTTATCATTGGTAGCAGTAGCACATTTACAGGTCAAGTAATCCATCAGCAATTCCGATTCATATTGGCCTTCTGTAACTCCAGTTTCATTGTTGATAATCATACGCTTCATTCCCTCATAGATATCTTTGTAACTATGTTCATCTCTTGCTTCATAGCATGTTCTGAGCAGAAGTTTGCATGTTTCAATATCTGGTTTCACAGTCAGGCCGCTGTTCTCTCTAATCATATCAAACAGTCTTAGAGCTTCATAGCTTGATCCAGAAGGAATACAGGCCTTAATTGCTTTGTTCAAAGTATCTGTGGTCATTTCGATATTGTTTGAAATCATGAATTGAAGTATTTGATAAACGTCCTTAATTCTACCAATACCTGCACAAGCGTCAATGAGTTGATTGAACGCCCGAGAATTAAGTCTTGGAAAGTTTGGCACCAGTACGTCGGTATCGTTAGGATCGTCGAGAACAGAAATATGGGAAGGATTTTCAACTGGTTTTTGTGAAGAAGAAGCTAGTTCCTCTACTGGATCCTCATAAATATGCTCTAATTCAATCTTTAGCACCTCATCCACGTGATCCGGATCGATAATAATTTCACTGGAATCCTCTATCTCTTCTGATTCTCTACTAGTATCTGATCTCTGCGATGAAGAATTTTCATGAATTACTGTATCTGCTCCATCGTCATCCATTGCACTTGCCAATCCTTGTAAGATTTCTTCTTGCTTGTGAAGAATGTGAAAATGCTTTTTCATAGATTCAAAGAGTTCAAATGTTTGCTCAGGGAAGTTGTTTTCAGAGTAAATATCAATTAAAATGACATAGAGGTCAGTGTCGTTAAATGTTACGGGTATCACATCTTCAGGCTTTAAGTGCACCTTATTTTTTCCTTCCAACAACGAGAGATCAAATTCTTTTAATTCTCTCTGAAATAATATTTCCATCAATTTGTCATATAGACCCTGAGCACAAAGTGATCTATCAAAGGAAGATTCAAATCTATAACAATTTAAAAAAGCATACTTGTAGAGACCTTCAATTTGTTCTCGGGAACAGTGAGATAAACCAGAAATTCTGTCATATTTGACATAAAGATATAAATCATTAACATTTTCGGTTGTTGCTTGCACTTCACCTAATTCCATGGCCCTACATTTAGAAATAAATTCTTCATACGAAATTGTGGGTTTTAGGAACGATTGAGAAAGAGGAATACCAGATTCATCGACTCCTAGGGAAATGCTCTTGCTTGTTAAATAATCTGCACCCTTTTCCGATGATGACACAGAAGAATTTAAAATAAATCTATTCGAATGATATTCTTTTTTTTGCATCACCCATGATGATGATGAATCCTTCGGACACACATTATTGTTGTTGTTATTTGAAAGTGTCCTTCCGAGAAGGGATGTTATTGATGAAGGGCAAACGCTCAAAGAGGTGGTGCTGCGCAATGATGTTGCCGAAATGATCTTGTTGAAATTCTGCAACACAATTCGTAAAGAACGGCTTTTTCGCATTTTTTTCCAATCAAAATAAATTTTGAGCCAAGTGGCAAGAATTGGCATATTCACCTTCTTCTGACTTCTTTTTCGCAATTTTTCAAATTCGTCTTTTAGTTCAGCAGTGGATGAATTTGAAGGGATTCAAAGAAAAGCCTTCCAAAAGAGTTGAATCATGGTCTTTTGGTCCTGACTGTGAAATAGGAATTTTTTCTCATGCGTTCTTTAAAAGAGTTGGAAGAGAACTTTTAACAAGAGAAGAAATTATTAATACCCTGGAAAGAGTGGAATTATTTTTCAAAGAGGGTTCAGAATTTCAGACTGATAAGATTCCTCTAATTTTTATTCTCTCATTGAAGGAGGGGATTTGGATTATGTGAGAGATCATTTGACATGAAATGCCCTTTACCTCTTCATTTTGAAAGTGAGCCCATAATTAAGGAAGTTATTGGATTGTTGGATATGAACAAAAAAACCAACGAATATTAGTGAATTCATATGAAAATTCTTTAAAACCAAGGTGTTACGATCTGGATGAAGGAATGGATTTTGAAGTATTAATATTTGGAATGTATGACATTTTTGAGATGGACGAAATTACAATTTCTGAAAACTTTCAAAGTAACTGTGTTGTAACTTTTGAGAGATTCCATTGTTGAAATTCGGAGAAAACATCGTTTTAATGGGACAGAAGGTTTTGGTCGTTCCCTCTTTGATTGAAGATGAACAAGTTCAACTAACATTTTACTTTTGTACTGAAAGGAACGAAACTATTCCAAGACAATCTCCAATGATGAACATTTTTGAGAAGCACTGCAATGGCTGATTGTATGAGCGGAATAATTAAACCGCTTTGATCGTTACTTGCTGATGATATTGTGAGTGGTGTTTCTTCTAATGTCTCGTCATGGCCTTTCTCAAGCTCCTCAAGCACATCAATCAAAACAGTCGCTCGTGGATCCTCATCAATAGCACACTGTACATCACTCTCATCCAAGCTTGATTGTTGCAACAATCCAGAACAATAAATAAACGATTTGAGTTGTAGTGACAGTATTGATTTTACTTCATCTGATGTCAAGTAAAGCTTTTTCTGTAATATATTATACAATAATATCATGTTCTCATTGTTGCAGATGTTTGATGTTTCAACAAAAACAGATGGCTCTGCTTGCGAAGATGGAGTAATTGATGGCGATACATAGGAAAAGATAAATAGAGGGTATAGAGTTTCAAAAGCACTATCATTCGATTCTTTGGTAAAAGATGCATTTATTTCTTGCTGGGTCATTGGTTCGTGATTGGGAGTCAATGTTTGTAGAGTGTTGTTTTTAGTGCTTATGAAAAAGCGTTTTTTGAACGGGAGAGTAATTTGTTGTTCATTTTTCAAAGGCACAAGTTGCGGCAAGTAAAACAGGTCTCACGGTCAGGGTATTTTACACCAAAATTTCGAAAAAAACACACAATCATAAAGATATAAAAAGACCACCCTATTTGGACAACTTAATTTAGAATTATTATTTTAGAAATCCTGAATAAGACTCTATTATTGTACAAAGAAATTTGCTCACAAACAAAGAGTAAAAGAGAACAATCTGTTCATCTTCTTCTCTTTGAGAAAGAGCGGAAAATATCTTTCAACTCCCTAACACTCTTCTCTATCTTCTTCACCTTTTCTTCAAACTCCGTAATTCTATCATCTGAATCTGAGGAATCAGAGGAATCATTATCCGACTCCACTTTGTTGCTCTTCTTTGACGGGCTTGCCTTGATGCCCTCGACGTCTTATATCCCTTCAATTAAAAAATTTACAATCTCGACATCTTGTAAGCCTTGCTTTACAGCCTTGCTTTTTATCTTCTGAAATTGTTGCGATTTGGTATTATTGTTTTCCAGTCCAAGCAACTTTTTCGCCTTCTAAGCCTTCTTTTTGGCCTCCACTTCCTTCTCCATCTTTATTTTGCAGCGCAAGTAATTACAAGAACCATCACAGACCACTATACCTTTGCAGACGGTCTTGTGATTTGTCAGTCGTGGCTGGTGGCATCGAGTGCAAAATGATGATGCAGCTATTTGTGTCTTTTATAATAATAATTATTAATTTGAAATTATATTAAACATATACCTATGATAAAATTAATACAGTTCCGATTACGAGAGTAGAATGATTGATAATGATGAGAAAAATTATTTACTTGAAGAAACTTGTAGAGAAATTTATGGAGCAACAAATTATAATATCAAAAATAGAGAAATTATACACTTGTGAGGAAGTTTGTAAAGCAATTTGTGGAGAGATTTGTGAAGCAACAAATTATAATATTGAAAAGAGAAAATTATTGGTTAATTTAGAGGAACAAATGAGTTAGTTCCGAGTATTGAAGAGTTTGGTGGAGAAGTTGTTTTCTACAAAACCAATTCGGCGAGAATATCTAAGTATTGACTTATCTGACACCCATCGACCCATAATCTTATTGACTTCAATAGACATTCCTTTCGAGGAAATTTCGGTAGAAATACCTATACGTAAGCTATGTCCGGAGACTTTTGTTTTACTATCCACTAATCTAATTGCATTTCGTATTAATTCTGAAATTTGTGTGGTTGTAAGGAATTGATTATCTCGAAATGAGAATAGAGGTGAATCAGAAGATTTAAATTCCTTAACAAGGTTCATATAGGTCTTAAGAATTTGAACAAGACAAAAACTATTTACACTGATCACTGGATCGATTGGATGGGGTCGATCATTGAAGAAAAAGTCAGTTTTGTGACCAGATAGATTGATATTGATCCAATTTTTCTTCGGTTTATCAATCTCAACATCTGACCATTTCAACTCACATAATTCACCAGGGCGAGCGAATAATCTAAAACCTATTACTAGGATTGCAGCCATAAGGGCAAATACAAAACATTCGTCCGGTGATTGAGGATTGCACATTGAAATATAAGCAGCGATGTGAGAGGACCGAATGGGATCTCTTTCGATCTTTTTCCTATCGATCAAAGACCAAATTCTTTTTGAATCTTTAACCACTCTACCATATCTACGGGGTAGTTTTAACTCCCAACCTTCGAGGTCGATGAAAAACTGGATAGCATTCTTTGCTTTCTGGATGAGGTATCCTTTTTTGTGGTTGGAAAGGTAACCACAGAAAAAATCCATTGCTCTCTCAGACTCTTTGTGAAAATCGAAAGCAGTAATAAACCAAGAGAAAAGACCATAGATTTTCGCATATTCTTTTAGAGTAGATGGAGAGAGGGACACAATTATACTAAAATCAGTTAGTTGTGAAATAGAGTGCCATTCACTTTGAAGGCAATCATTTCCAGATTCTCGAATTTGTTGAACAATTCTGTGTATGGCTCGATAATGAGCAAACTTCTTGGAACACTTATACTGCTTTCCGATATTTTCAGCAGTACTGAGAACCAGGGAGAGGAGGGCCAATTGGGAACTACTAATGTCCCACGAGCCCTCGATTTGATGATGTGGATGATTGTTTGAGGAATTAGACCAAGAGGAGGAACGCAATAATTGATTGAGTCTGTTTCCCAAAGAGACTAAAAAGCGTCATTGTCGTGCCAAGAGTTGAATTGAACGTGGACTGCTGAATTTGATGTCGCGAACCTGTCGACCGTATGGTAACCGAATTCTCTGTGAATAAGGTCGAGTAGATCTTCGGAAGAACGCCAATCTCATAATCGACTTAACCGATCTGCGATCATGTTTTGATGGGATGGAATGAATACCACCTTTGAAATCCACCATTTTCGTTTTAGCAGAATCGACCAAATATCCTTTGAGATCGATGCGAGATGATCGTACGTTCCATAACCTTTCCTTAGATAACTGAGGGCTGTGGTATTGTCTTCCCGAATTTCGAAATTGGTGTGAGGAGGATAGCTGTTGAGTTGGTCTGCTTGACGAAAAAAGTAGAGGATTGCCAGGAGTTCTTTCTGATTGATATGTAAATCCTCCATCGAGTCGAATTTGCCCACCAGAATATTTGAACAAGCGTGGATGCCGTATCCCTGTGGGGAAGCATCTGAATTGACTGTGATCGGAGTTGGCCATTCTAGCTCGAAAGGTACACCAATGTTCTCCTGAACTATGTGCTGAAGGATTAATAGATCTTTCTTTGCTCCTCGGTTGATCAACATGCTTGAATTCCAACCTTTCTTTTGAACCACAATTAACATGTCTCTCCTTAGTCTGTGGAGAAAGGGAGGAATGTAATGATTGGCTACTGAAAGGAATTCCAATTTGCCTATGAATTTGGCCACGTGTCGGCACCTGATAAATTTTCTTGATTTTTTTGCTTGAATAAGCACGTTTGAGAGTTCTAATGTTGTGCTTATCTTCTCTAATGGAATAAGAATGCATCCTGATACAAAGTCTAGAGAAACTCCAAGGAAGTCGATTGATTGAGTTGGGACCAATACACATTTTTCTAATTGCAACAGCCAACCTAGGAATAATAAATCGAGGACGGTGGTCATTATATGATCCCATAGTTCTTCCAATGAGAAAGCTAGGATTAACGTGTCGTCTATGTAAATGTAAACCATTATACCGTTGCTTCTCCAAACAATAATAATTTCTTTGAAAATCTTGGTGAATATAATTGGAGCTGGGGCAAGACCGAATGGAAGACAATGGAATTCGAATACCATCCCTTCGAATTGGAATCTTAGTAAGTGTTGGGATTCTGGGTGTATTGGAATGTGGAAATAACCTTTCTTCAGATCTATCTTTGCAGCCCACATTCCTTTCTTGAAAAACTTGATGCATTTGAGTAAAGTGTCCATTTTGAATGACGTTACTTCTATACCTCCATTGATCATTCGTAGATCTAAGATGAATCGAAAAATATCATTTCCTTTCTTCGGGACAACATTGATTGGATTTAAGACTATTTGTGACGATTCTGGACCTATAATTTTGAGTTGCAACATTTTCAGAAGTTCTGCTCTGATCCATTCTGATTCTTGCTTATTGAACTGACGTTGATGAAACTTCTTCCAAAATGAGGGGTTTGATGAAAGACGAACATCTTGGTTGATCATGTTCCAAACATATTGCGAGGTTCCCCATTCCTTCCAATTGTCTGAAAAGTTTAAAAGGCGTCCACCCATTACTTTCTCGTCAGAGGGTATTAGAAGAAGGAGTTTGTTGGGAGTTGGGGTTGGTGTTGGAGTTGTAACCTCGTCTTTGAAACGGTGGTTTGTTCCCAGAATGAGGATTTCCACTTGATGCTGGTTGTGGAATGTTGCTGAATAAAGTTAATTGACAAAATATGCTGTCGACCTTAAGGTCGGGTGTTTGAAGAGACCACAAACCCATTAGTTCTTCCTTTAATTAACAAACGAATTTTATTGTTTATTCTTTCGAAACATGTTGTATGATTGGTATCTCTGATAATATCCACGATTTCTGTCATATCCGCCACGACGTCTGGATGATCTATTCATAAATTGGTTCATATTCTTAATAACATCTTCTTGATGTTTTTGTTGAACTCTCTTTCTGCTTTTCTCTCTTTCTTTGGCAGTCAAATCCAAAAAGTTATCAGCGGATATATAACTTGAGATAAAGTCATCGCTGCTTCAAAAGAGCTGTTCTCTCTTCCTTCGCTAATGAATACCATCACCAGTCTCATCAGTAATTCAGAGAGTTCAAGAGCTTCAATATTGAAGATCAAACTGAAGTCTTTTTGACTTCTACCTGCTCTACAAACACAACACAATTTGTGGAGGATTTCCATCACGCGTTTATATCTTTTAGATTTGATTTTATCTGTACCATATGCAGAATCCATTGGGCTGATAAAAGGAGCGAACTTTTGCAATAACACGTTGATTCTTTGCTTCCAATCTGAAGCAGAGGTTATTGCAACGTTGGAATGGGCTACTAACAAGTCATAAAGCTCGTCATTGCTGTAATTTTCGCCCAACGAACCAAATCTCTCGAAGTGAGATTCAAGGAGAATTTCTCTCCAATAGTCATGCTGAGGTTCATTCGCAGGAATGGAATTGGATGACGGTTGAGAAATGTTGTTTGAAGGAACCATTTGAGGAGTTGAATGTGAAGATTCTCCTTTGGACCCGTTTATAATTGGTGGTGGACATTCAGTTTCTCTAATTTGCTTCTGAATGTTCTTCTTAAGAGAAGCTGAGCGACGATTATTTCTCTTCTTTGGAGTGGATGGTTTAGGTGAGCTTGAGAGGAACCATCATCACTAATAATAACTCCAAGAAGGGATTGAGTCTGTTCTGACTCATTGTCTTGAGAGTTTTTAGGAGTCGAAGGTTTTGCTTTGGGCATGATGAGCGTGGGATGCAGAAAATTTTTTGAGCTAAATAAAGTTAATTGACAAAATATGCAGAAAATCCCACAAACACCGGACCTTTATCAAGGTCGGGTGTTTGGAGAGACTACAAACCCATTTGTTCCTCTAAATTAACCAAACGATTCTTGTTGTTTACGTCTTCGAAACAAGATATTTCCACTACTTGGTATGGTTTAGATTATGCCACCAAGTTTGTTCTTCAAGGCTGCAGTTGCAACAGAATATTGAAACACCAAAAGGCTGAGCAATTTAAGGGTATTGAGAATGAGACACATCAAATTTGCCCAAGACAGACCAATAATAGATACATCCCAATAGCTTTGGAAGAAATTGACCCAGGTGACACTGAGAAAGCATTAGCTGAGATTGGAAATGCTTGTGTGAGTTGCAGTGAAGCTATTGAACATGATTCCAAGCACGAAGTGACACCTTTAACGATCAACGACTATAGAAAGTATTTGAATGTGAAAATGGAATGCGGAAGGATTTGTAAAAGATGTTACAACTTGCATGCCAAGAACAAGAAAAATAACATCACTACAAAGAAATCTAACAAATAAACGGTACTGCAATGATATTATTATTATCATCTAATTATTAGTGTAAATGAAAGTTCTTCTTCTTAAACTTAAAAATGTGAAGGCATGAAAATTGGATGATCCAGGAAGGGCTTGTCTTGCAGTCATTTTGAGAAGGGTCAGAATGTTCGTTTTGACCAAACGAAATCCTATAAATGGAAATGTCATTATTGATTGATAATCTCAACATCCTCATGATCGTCATCTTGGTCATCAATTTCAATTCTTCGAATCATCTTTTTCACCTCATCAATCAAGCTGTCATTTCTGCTATTGGAATGCTCTGTATTGCTTTCCAGTCTCACACAAAATAAATGTTTCTTGTAGGTAAAGCAATACACAACATGAAGTGTTTTCGAGTATTCATTTTCAATTTGGTTGAAAATCATTTCATCGATCGACGTTTCCTTTTTCTTTGTCTTTCTTGGTCTTTCATATTGATACCTCCAACATTTGATTTGCTTCTTATCATGAATAGACATGACCATTCCATTGTTGATGAGTTCTAAGGGAGTTTTTTGTTTCTTTTCATCGATGAGTTGAATGACATTCTTTGAAATAAATTCTTCTTCTTTGAGGAGAATTTGTTGACTACTCGTGTTGCTACTACTTTCATTAGAATTGAAATGATTAGAATGTTTAGGGACACCACTCTTAGCCACTATAAATACAGAGGGTGGCACAATGGAGGATTTTAAATTGGGATCTATGGGAGGCCTTAATTGCATTTGAAGTTCTCGATAATCAAATTCATCGGTTCCAACTTCACATTTGGCGATTTCCCAATCAATGGGAACATGAATATGAATGTGATCACTTCCGTGACCATCTTTGTTCATCAATTCATACAAATCCTTCCAACCCGAATTCTCAGAAGAGGAATGATTTTCAAAGGAGGATCGAGAGTAATTGGTCATACTTTTAAAAGACTTGTAGGAAAGTAAATGGAGAGATTTTGGACCATGAGGATCCTCAAGAACGGTAATTCGAACTAAAATTTTACCAGATTTCACATGTTGCAAATGGATCCAATGATCTCTTGGGTTACTTGTTGCGAAATATAAATCTTCTTTAGAAAGATGAAGTTTACAATCTCCAAGTGCTTGATTCATGTGATGAAATTGATTCATGTGATAAAATCATCATTCAGATTCAGAAACACAGCTCATTCGAGTTCATACTTCCATGTGAATAGTAAAAATATGAATTAAAAACCTACGATCGTCAGAAGTCAGTCGATCCCAATCATAGACATGAAAATACAATGTCAAATCTTCTCTCTCATTTAATAATTCAAATTGAAATTCATCATTCCAATTTGGATTTAACTGTTGCATTCCATTTTCAAAAAACAAGAGTTGACAACAAGAAATCGTTCATCCAAAACAATATGTTCGTTGCCAATGTTGCTCTTGTGATTCAATAACTAAATACCTACTGTTTTAAGTTGTGTGGTCGTTCGATACGATCCATTTACTAATCCTCCTGGAAGACATTTTTCATTCGGTATCTCGACTAGATGACGATAGCTTTTAAATTTGAATTCTTTCGCTTGTTGTTTTAAATCAATAATGACATAACTATATAGAGAGAGAGATATCAAAAAAGAAAAATTGTTCCAAAATGATGATCATGTAGTAGTGACTCGCCGCTACTTGAGTCAAATTCGACAAATATCGAGTGCTACACTTACGGATCGCTCTTTCCATTGGCATCAGCAACGACAAGGTCAACACCTTGCACCATCTGTACAACAAGAGTGTCTCCTTTACGAAGTTTCAGCGATCCTGACAATGTTGACGAACAACTAATACTACTACTTGTGGAGGTTGATCTTGGACTCGGGGAGGACAATAGTTGTTGAGACATTTTTTGAATGGTGTCGGCCGAATCTTTGGTGTGTCTCGGATTCCCATCTTGGGCGCTCATGATTTATTGTTGTCAAGCTCACAGTGAGTGCTAATATTTTCTCAAAAACACACAAAGTGACCTCTCCATTCAAGTTTGATATGGCCAATGTAATGTGGTGGTGAATGTCATTTGTCCATGATCTCTGTTGGGCCAATCTCTTCTGAGAATGGTAGTAGTAGATGATGGTCTTCAAACTGTGGTTAATTCCAGTGTCTCATTGCTTGGAAAATTTGGTCAATTTCTTCACAATTTCTTGCTTCGTGGCTTTTGAGTTGTTCAACCATTTGATTCATTAAATTTGTGAGTTGCTCTTGCTGAGTTGTCAGGTCATTGGTTGAAAATTATCATGTATCAATCATGTATACCGCACAACATGTGTGTTTGTACATTGTTGTGGAAAATATACCTACTTTAAGTCTCATTTGCTTCATCAGATATTCTTCAATCTTTAGATCCTTGTCTTCTTCTGAAGTTTTGGTAGAGTTATTCGTTGATGTACAAGTATTGTTGTTGTTGTTACTATTGGATGGAACATCATCTGAAAGGATCATACTATCCTCGGGATGAGCAAGAACGGAAGATTGAAAAGGAGGAGATGAAAACACCGAGTTTTGTATATTGCCATTTGTTCCCTTGTTCCTATTTGGTGTATAATGATGATGATGATAATGCTGTTGCTTCCTTGTGGAAGAAGATGGGTGTTTCTTCTTCTTGGAGGAATGAATGGGAGGAGTTAAAGCGGAGAGCATTTTTTTATTTTTTTTTTTAACGTTTTTTATTGGCGGCAACGGTTATTGTTCGTTTCATTCAACAAGAAGGAATTTCGCTTCTTTGACAAGATAAACTTTCCAATGAGACTTGTTCATTCTCTTTGCCATTCATCATCATGAGGATCATGTAGGCGATAGACCAAGTTTCTCGGCGATTTGGAGGTCTTTCAGGAAGCTCACCTGTCAATTATTTTTGACGCATCAAAAAATTCACATTTCATTCCCAAGTCTCTCTCTGTTCACACCTTTCACATACATACTCAATCACCACCTCACCACTCTCTCACTCTCTCATTTCCACATTATTCCTCAGTATGGACAACAATGAAGAATCCCTCTACTCTTCTTCCTCTGATGACGAAGACTTGGAAGATTTGGACGATGAAGAATTAGATCTCACCGAATCACCCGATGAGAATGATCTCTCTCATCTCCATCATAATGAGCAAGATGGAATGATGATTGGCAACAATGAAGACGACGACGACGACAAAGAAGAAGATTACATGGATGAAAATAGCACGTCTCATGAGGATGTGGTCATCCTCCACTCTTCCAATAGTAGTAGTGGTAGTGGTAGGATGTCTTCACCTCCTCCACTTCCTCCCAACAAACCGAAATTAATCACAACTTCTCCATCATTGACACCCGGAAGGTCCTCCGAGCAACAAGGCTACTACTACTCAGACAATAACAACAATAACAACAACATTAGTGAGAACCATAGCAGCAGCAGTAGTAGTAGTAGTGGGGCCACGACAACAACAACAACAACAGCAAACTCTCCACCTCTACCTGTGAAACCCACAAGAACCAATCGGAGAACCATTGTGGAGCATCATCATGAAGAAGGTACTTCACAAGACAACAACAATAACAACAATAACAACAATACTACCACATCTGCTGCCAACAATTCTCTCAGTGTTGCCGTAACAACAACAACAAACACCACCACATCTCCAAGTACAACACCAACCAGCACCAGCACCACCATCACCACAGTGGGAACGGTGAGCAAGCGTTCACAATCCGTGATGAGATCCAACAGCAGCACCGGAGGAGGTGCAGGATCTCACCGAAAACTATCCTCTCAACAACAACAACAGATTCATAACATGTTCGATGATGGACAATTTCGATACATGTACGTTCCACCACATCGTCTCGTGTATACCATTGAAACTCATGTTCGAATGCTGCCCAATGATTATTCCTATGAAGAGGAATTGAAACAATTTGAAGAACGAGCATCTGAGCATGTGACAGAATCTCAGGTCGAACCATTTGTTGGACAATTGCCATTACCTCCAAATTGTAATTTATTTAAACAAGCGTTGAGATTTAGGAGTGCATTGGAGGACTTGAATTCATCATCGCATCATCATCATCACTCCCACACAAATAGTCTATCGAGTTCACAACAAGTTAATTTGAATCGAAGACCTTCTCAAGGAAAGAGAAAACAAAGTTTGATTCAACAACCACAAGGAAGACAAAGAAAACTTAGTGCAAAAGGTGCTGTCTCTGCATTGCCTCATGGTGCTGTCAGACATGTTCAAAGTGTCAAAGAACCATTTCCTGAAGAAATTGCTGGTAAGGGAATTCCTGTTAGAATTGGTTTGTCACAACAATCGTTGAGTAGTAGTACCTCGACCACAAGTGGCGCCATGACGATTGGAACTCTCAATGGTCACACTACCTCTACAGCACAATCTCAATTACCTTTCACGTTACCAAATCATCAAGATCGATTGTGTGATATTCCTTTCCCACCTTATAACTCTGTGAACTTGTATGCAAATAGTTTGAATTATGTTTATGAAGATCATTGGCAAGTAGAAAAATCAAGGCCACTTCTCCAAGCGACTCTCATTTCTCCACAAATCGATGATGATCGATCGAAATGGAGAACTCGTGTTCTTAGTAGATTTCCAGTCATGCAAGAATTGTCAGAACGTCTCTATCCTCTTTGGAGAACTATAAGTTTTGGTGAATTGTTTAATGCTGGTAGAAAAGAAGTACGAAAGAATCTCAAAGAGGAACATGTCATGAATATCATCATGCAACATTTAACATTTGAAGGATTGAAGAAAACGAGAGCAAAACTCGAAGAAGAGGCACAAATCAAATACGAAGGTATTGATGTCGATCAAAGTTTACTTCATGCACTTGCCAAAGAGGCTGTTAAGAAATCAGAAAAATTGATGGACACGGTTATTTGCGACAAATTCTCACCAGCTTATATTCAAAAGAATAAGGGTAAAATTCTGAAGGAGTTGGATGAATTATTGAGTCTTGAATTTGGTATTAACAATGATGAATTTGGTTCATCCAGAAAGAGAGATGAGGATGTGAATATCTGGAAAGAACCTGAAAGACAAAATGAAATTGTGGACTATGATCCTGTGAACAAATCTGAACACTTCCAAGCAGGATCTCTCAACAAGGTCATTGAACGATTAACCATGCCAACACAAGATCAACAATTCATTGATATATTCCTCAACACTTATATGGCCATCACATCCCCAGAGAGTGTTCTCGCTAAATTGTTCCAACGTTTCAGAGTTCCAAGTCATTTCACACCTGATGTTAAAAATGGAGTCCAATCAGGTGTCATTCGAGTCTTAATAATTTGGCTCGAAAATCATTTCCATCATTTTACAAACAATATGTTGCAAAGAATTCAATCATTTTTGGATGAACAAGCTCAACTTCAGGCCAAGATCAATAAGAGTAGAAAGAAGATTAATGAAATTATTACACAAATGCGAAATAAGAGTAACAAGCCAGAAGAAATGCAATTCCGACCAAGTGACAGAATTCCAGATCCCATCATTCCTTTGGGTAAAATTTTCTCTCCAGATCTTGCTGTAGAAGATATTGACGGCGAAGAAATGGCAAGACAATTGTGTCTCTATGAATTTGACGTGTATTATGCTATCAAATCTGAAGAGTTATTGAATCAAGCATGGACCAAACCTAAATTGAAGCATCGTGCTACCAATGTGATTGCCATGATGAATTTCTTTGAAAATATCTCATTATGGGTAGCAAGTTTAATTTGTAGAGGTAAAACAACCTATGAAAGAAAACACACTTACAAAAAGCTTATTATCATTTGTGAACATTTGAGAAAACTCAACAATTTTAACACTCTCAAAGCAATATTGAATGGTTTTGAAACTGGTGCTGTGAAGAGACTAAAAGAAACAAGAAATGAATTGGGAAACAAATCAAAAGAGGCTGAATCTTCTCTCAAACAGCTCATGAGTGAAGAAAATAGCTACAAACGATATAAGGAAGTATTGAAACAAACCTCGATCCCTGCGATTCCATACTTGGGTGTGCATCTTCAAGATTTGGAATACATCGAAAAGAACCATCATGATTTTGTGAAGAATACCAATCGAAATGGAGGTGAATTAATTAACTGGATTAAGAGAGAGTCTCTCTCTGAAGTGATCAAAGAAATCAAACACTTCCAAAATCCTCTTGGTTACAAATTTGTCAAGGTCTATCAAATTCAAGAACTCATTCGAAACATGCCTGGCAAAGTTCCCAATCAACAATCGCTCATGATGCTCAGTTATAAGGCAGAAGGAAATTTCCCATATAACTAGTAGTTGTTGTTGCCATTACGAACCACCACACCACCCTGCATCTCAATCAACACGACTTGCACGACTTGGAATTTACTCACATGATCACAACACTACACAACATATGACACATCATCCTCTCTCTCTCTCTCTCTGCAGGTGTTCTAAAGTACACATTGAAAACCTGTCTGTATCATTACTCATCTGAATCATTAAAACATGTCTCTTATATGCCTCTGTTTTAATACATTTGATGTTCTCCAATTACATTTCATAGGTTGTGTTGACTTTGAGCTGTCTGAGAGTGTTTGTGCTGCACATATGTGTGAGATGGAAAGGTCGCCAGCCAATACAATGTGGTCTTTGATAAATCGAGTGGTGGTTGAATCATGGATCGGAACTCGAGAAAAAAAACCTCATCACAGCACCCATTTCAAGAAGAAACCTTAATAGCCGTTACTTGTTCAAAACGAAAAGGATCTCAATTTCCTAGTGGTTGATTATTATTATTATCATCATCATCATTGAGAGGCTGGTCATCATTTGAGAATTCTAATCTTAGTGAGCACTTGAAAATGGGATCTTCCGTCTCGGTTGGGCTTCAGGTACCCCCATCAAGCCCTTTCTCGGGAGGACGCTCTCAACCTCAAAGCAGAAGAGCCTCTCAATTCAGCCTTTCATTTGCTTCAGCTGCCACACAAAAGTTAAAGAAATCTAAATCATCAAATCCTAATGCATCCAAACGGAATTCAATAATAGCGACTCCTTCCCAGCAAACCCCATTGGTTATTCAAGAATTTCAGGATCAGTCATCAAATTCATCCTCCTGTATGGATGATTCCGTTCATCACTCGCCCAGTCGGACCCTAAAATCTCCATCTTCTCATCAACGAATGAAAACTTTTCCCTCGGCATTATTGAGAAATAATCATGCCAAATCTTCTCCTCGTGTGTTGGTACATTCTTCAACATCAAATGGTGATGATATGCAAATGACCGATGCGGAGGATGAAGATGATGGAAGCGCTATCATTTACAGAAATCAACATCAGCCAGAAGAGGTTCAAGACATGATGCCACCCCTTCATACAAGCTCAAGTCCGAGAATTCTGATACACGCAAAATCAATGGGAGTTTTGAATCAATCACAAAACTCCCTCAAATCTCTCTCGGAAAGCTTGGCATCAAGCTCTTTAATGCATGGCTTTTACTCTTCTTCCATTATCCCTGAAAGTAATTTATTGAAAGAGACAAATATGGAATTGCAACGTTTTGCTCCTTCCTTGTCTCTTGAGGAAAATCAACAGCTAGGTTATGCCGGAGATGGCAATGATTTTGTTATTCAAATGCTTCAATGTAGCCCTATGGCTTCAGCTATTACTGATTTAAAAGGAAATATATTAGGTTGGTTTCTGGAGAGGCTACTTTTTTACTAAACTAAATATTTATTATAATATTTCAGCAATGAACTCGGCATTCAAACAAATATTCAAAGTCAAAGAGGTGTTAAACCCTATAAAAGATAAGAGTGAAGTAGGGCATGTCACAAATTTCATACCACCCGAATACAGAAATCAACATGACAAACATATGTTAAAATTCAAAAACAACAAAGAAACTAAAATGAAAAGAATCACCTTTGGATATACCACTGAGGGTGAGAAAATTCCAATTATGCTCACTGTGGCCTTAACTACGCTTCCCTCAACACAAAAGCCTTGTTATATTTGCTTTGTAAAGGATTTAACGTTTGAATTTAAGCATAGCACGCTAGCAGAGATGTATGACACGGTGACTGGTTTCTCATCTTTTCCCATCGTCGCCATTGACGAAGACTGCATCATAAAGCTATTTAACCGAGCAGCGGAAACGACATGGATGGTCACAAAATTAGAAGTGATGGAGAGAAATGTAAATATTCTAATGCCAGAGTCGATTGGCAGATTTCATACGAAAATGGTGCAAAGCTATTGTATGGGAAAAAAACAAGGAAAGCTCATTAATCGAGTTCAGCAAGTCGTCGGAAAGAGAGTAGGTAATGGAAGGGAATTTCCTTTAGAAATTAAGATTGCAGAGATTCGACACGAAATTAATTTGAAAAGATCTTTCATTGCTTTTCTGAGAGATCTTACTGCTGTCATGACGGCAAGAGAATTTCAATTGACACTCTATCCAGTGTCAGTTGTGAACCAACTTGAAGCAGGTGAGAGGACTATTCACAAATATCATTCTTGCATTTCGGTTCTGTTTTGTGATATCGTTGGATTTACAGAAATTTCAAGGCGCATGTCAAGTGAAGAGCTTGTTAAATTGCTTGATGAAATCATCACATCCTTTGATGAAAACCTTTTAGTGAGATTTGGATTGGAAAAGATAAAAACGATGGGAGACAATTACATGTGTGCAAGTGGATTAGACTCCAATCCCAATCATGCAAGCAATATCGTTGAAGCAGCCTTTGAGATGCAGAATCTAATAATAGAATTCAATAAGAAGCACGCCATGGATCTCAGGGATAGGTTTCCTTCTCAGTATCATGTAGATGAGAACACAATATCAGTGAGAGTCGGCATTAACTCGGGTGAATTGGTGGCTGGTATAGTAGGTAGCAAGAAACCTGTGTATGATGGTAAGTGTTAAAGTTTTTTGGCCTTATTAACATGGTCGTAGTTTTTGGAGATACTGTAAATATGGCCTCTAGGATGGAATCTTCAGGAATTGAAAGTGAAGTCCAAATAACGCAAGCGACATATAATTTATTAAGGGATGATCTAAAAAAGAGATTTGTTTTGAGAAGGAACGTGAACGTGAAAGGAGTAGGCTTAATGGATACCTATATTTCACAACTGAGACAGGAGCGAGAAAAGAACTTACATCCATCATCGCCTGTTGAAAGCTCAACTTATTTGAGCAAACATACAAATGGCAACAGTTCCTCAGTCAACAACAGAAATATCGAATTTGAAGAGCTTGACGACAGTGATCTAGATTCATTTGACAATCGATAATGGCGATGATGGTGATGTATATGTCCATATCAAAAAGTCCATAGGTTGTTAGTTGATCTTCTAATTCTTTTCTCCTCTGCAGATCAGCACGATGGCATATTGTGGCGACTGCTCCTGATAAGGAATACCTTATTATGCTCAATTAGCAATAGCAACGCATGCTTCTTGACTCAATTTTGTTCTTCAACAATCCAATATTTCGACAGAAAGCTTCAGAATACGAGAAGGATGATGGTGCAGTGGAAACAGTTGGTTGTTGTTCTTGGTTGGAGGCCACACTAGTAGAAATTGATCTCACACTCAAAACAAAAAGCCAAGTCAATCTGGAGAAAGTCATTACTTTTCAACAATTACATGTCCATATTGTTTTCCATTCGGCAAGTTGGATCAATGTTTCTCCAAGATCATGATGATTACTGGATATGGTTCTATTGTTTAATGCAAAGAGCCAATATGGGCCACAGCTTTGTATTTGCTCTGCAATTTCTGCTTCAGTCTTTCGATAGGAAATTTTGTCGATTACTTCATTGAGGCTGGCTTTGAGTAAATAAATCTACTTTTTCTCCAGATTGTTTGAAGGATGTGAAGTTTGCATTCTTTAAATCTCGCCGTATGATGATCATTAGTGTCGCTCAAGTTGTTGAGCAATACATGAGGTTTCACGAGTTTCAATATTTCATCGGCTAGTTGTCTTCAGGTTTTCCGTGGATGGCCCATAGCCACTTTTCCTACTTTACTTTAATGGAGTCATCTTCTTCTTTCTCTTCTTCACTTTCGTCATCTTCCTCTTCGTCCTCCTCGTCGCCCTCTTCTTCATTAGTTTCATTGTTTTGATCAGCAAGAGCTTGTTCTTTTTGCTCGGCTTCCAACTTGGCCCTCAATTCTTCCTCTTTTTTTAAGAGATTTTCATAAACAGTCATTTCCTTTTTGTAAATTTGAAGAATCTTGTCTGAACCATCTGTCATTCCTGCTGCAACAAGTAAAATATCCAAAAGTTGTGTGCTCGTTAATTTTGATCCAATCTCTGTTTGTTTCCTTAATTCTTCAAATTTCGGAATGAATAAATTATAATAAGGATCCATATATTTTCCCTTAATAGATATTAAAACGTTATCTCCACTGGAAAGCATGTATCTAATCATGCGTTGACCTCCATCCACCACGAAAGCAAAGTAATATTGTGTCACTCGAACGGGAGAAGGTGATGGTGGTGACGACGATAGTACAGTGTCTTGTTCATTCACATGGCTACCTTGGTTCAAAGAAAGAAGCAGTAAATCACAACACGTGTATTCGACATTGTTTCCATTCACACTATGAAAAGTTTCAATTTCCAACAACGAGTCATTCCATGAAGATTTCATCCATTCATGATGATCACTCTTTAACAACTTTTCCAATCCGTGGCGATAAGCCCTTTCCATTGTTGATTCTTCTTTGAATTTCTCTTTTTGAGGAGGTTTTTGTAAATGCAAGCCACAGGTGTAATGTCTGAGTGCTCCTTCCATTCGGTACAGAAAACCCACAGCAAAATCGTTTGGATCACAGGCCTGAGATGATTCAATTCAGAGGTGTTGAAAGAAACGTTTTGAAAATCTCTCATCATCTGAAGTAAGGCTCTTACCGAATGTACTGGAAAGTTTGGATGGTACAAAATGATATTCCTAAATTTTGAACATGAAGAAAGTAATGAAAATTGTGTCCGATGATCATCTTCGAGATATTCACAAAGGAGATGAAGGATCAAGTCGTCTGTTATATGAGATAAATTGGATTGTAGTGGTGCTGATGATGATGATGAGGGCATGGTAGGTGGAAGCAACATCCCTTCGGGATGATGATCGGAGAATGAAAAATTCAAGGATTTATCATCCTTCATGTTGTTGGTGTTGCTGTTATTCATATTCGGATGATTGGGTTTTCTCTTCTTATTGGTCAAGTTCATTTCATCATCGTCATTCGAGAGTGGAAGTTTTGTCATTTTTTTTGATGTTATCCCTTAATAAAAACCCTTTTTTTTATCCTATTGCTTTGAGCAACCTCGACGAAGAGTTGGTTGGCGATTGAAATTGTTTTATTTGCTGTTTTTTAATTACATATATCATGTACACACTGCTTATGCACCAACAAGTTCATTGCATAGAATGAAATTTATTTCATTTACATTATTCAAAAATCCATGTCACAAATTTACCGTTCGTGACATCACTGAATTGAAAGCTCCATGCAGAAGGAATAAAGATGCACTGTGAGTGAATTGCATTTTAAAATGTCACAATAAAAGCAAATAAAAGATAATAACATTACTTACATCAGTCTTCTTGACCTCAGTGTCTGTCAATTCTTTCTGAGGAGATGTCAAGGATACTTTGATTGGGGAATCAGAGTCGATGACGCAAATCACGAATTTGTTGATATTTTCGTTTCTTCCAAAATTAAAAGGACTTCCCTTCTTGGTTCTTTTGGTAAACCAAATTTCGGAAAATACTTTTTTGAAAGTTGCGAATTGATCCAAATTCTGAGGAAAGTCATATTCAAATTCGTGCTCTTTCATTGAAGCAATAAATGGAAGTCGGTAGAATGATCTAGAAAGGGCATCCAATGGAGCAATAGAGAGAGAAATCTTTTTCTTCTTTGCCCACTTGGAAAGATCTTTCTTCAGCCTCTTCAATCTCTTTTCAAATTCTTGATTGGTAATAAATTCCTTACTCCAAGTCGAAGATGCAATCCATTTGCTACTAAACTTTTTCAAAATTATTGGTTTAGATTTAGCCAAATATTGCTCAATATTTGTCTTGTATTGGTCCGGCGATAGTGTTAAAATTTTTTCTTCTGGTTGTGGTGGCTCTGCACTCTGCGAGGAGAAGAAACTAGCCAAAGTTTCCATCCAGGTGACAGTTTTTTCTTCATTATTTGTTGTTGTTGCTGCTGTGTTCTTGTCAACCATGGTTGATGTTTTGCTTCCTCCAAAAGAAATACCAAGTAGTGTCATGATAAAAAATAAGGCAATAATGGCTGTCACTGTCATGCAGGCATATTTGATGGCTTTGATGGACCACCAATGCCTAATTTGATGAATAATTCGTCTCAGTTGAAATATTATTCTTTTTCTCATTTGTTTTTTATCGGAATCCTCTCGTATAGGAGACTCTTCCATTGTGTTCGTGTTTCTCGAGAATTCCATTGTGTTCGTGTTTCTCGAGAAATTATTTACACTTTCTGTCGATGATTTTGGGTTCGTAAAAAGGTCCATGTTTCGATTGAGATCGATTTTAGGTAACACGATTGGCTGTTTTTCCAAATCGGTCACCATGTCACTGCCATTCATTTCCGGGGTGTCACCTTGTAAATTCACATTATGAAAACTGTTACTATCTGAAAGTCCACTATTGTGTTTCATTCCATTCATATGAATACTACCCGATAATGTTGATGTTGCTGAGTTGTTCAACCCATTCGAAGAGGATGATGAATTTTTTGTTTTCACTAATTGAAAAACACTTGTCTTTTTAGTCGTGCCAGCACTGCGTCTTGTTCTCACAGTTGCATTTGCCGTTGTGGGAGCCATAAGAGCAGAATCTAAAGATGAAGCATTTTCCATGTTTGGACTCATTGCAGTACTGGTTGACTTGTCAGTGATGACAATATCAAAAGAATCATCACTGCTCATAACACCGTTGGAGTTACTCACGTTCTGTGCAGCCATAGTGCAGTGTTGGTTTTTCGGATTGTTCACAGTTTGTAATAGCTAATGTTTTTAAGTAAATGATGTGTTGTGATGTCCACCAATTAATGATCCAAATTTGCAAATAGATGCCAAGTTGATGATGCCAATTAATGATGAGTCAGTGATTGTTTTGATGTAACAATGAGGAAGAAGGCAAGGTTTGCTCAATTGTCTCTCCAAATTGTATGACCACCTATTTGTATGTAGTCTCTGATCTTGTCCTGAGTGATACAATAATGAAAAAACCCGATGCAACAAAAGACCTGTTTTGCTGCTGTATGAGATTGTTGACCAAGTTCTTCTTGTTGAATCGGATTACAAAATGATGAGACCTTCAAGAAGAACAAAACCGAACAAACTGCAAGTTGGTGGTGGTGATGTTCAGTGGTGATGGTGGTGGTGGTGGTGGTGTGTGTGGTGGAACAGTCTGTTGTTTTTTTCAACTTGGGAAAAGAAGATAAACTCTTTGCGAGAGTCGGGTCGGTGGTCGAGTCGGTGGTCGAGTCGTTGAAAGAAAAAACATAACTCTCTGGAGAAAGCAAAAATTAAAAATGCGATCAGCATGAACGAGTACGAGAGGACGACGACTCAGAAAAGCTTCTTGTGCACAAGGTCACTCGAGTGTGACATTCGGCCTTTTTCAAGACATGATGTTGATGAGTAGCACAGGCGGAGAGAGAATCCTAAAAAGATTGACTCAATGAAAGTACATGTAGTCGTGGTGGTTCGAGTGGTGGAAAATTCGGTACTTGTGTTTTAATAGATTGAATAGGATTGATTTGGTTGTATTTACATACATAAATGGCATAGAGGGAGTTGAATTCAAAGAAGACACTGAACCATCCATTGATGTTTAGAAGCACTTTCTATGAACAATTCCTGGACCAGCATCTTCATATTCTTCCTTTGTAATCCACATGGATTGGAAGGTCGTCAAAGAGGCCAAAATAGAGCCACCAATCCAGACCGAGTACTTTCTTTCAGGTGGAGCCACAACCTTAATTCTCATGGAGGAAGGAGCCATGGCAGTCAATTCCTTGGTCATTCGGTCAGCCATTCCATCAAACATGGTAGTACCACCAGACAAGACCACATTGGCATACAAATCCTTTCTGATATCAATATCACATTTACCAATCGAGTTGAAAGTAGTTTCATACACACCTGCAGATTCCATTCCAATGAAATTTGGTTGGAACAAGACTTCAGGACATCTAAATCTTTCATTTCCAACGGTAATGATATTACCATCTGGCAATTCATAGGACTTGTCAATGCTTGAAGAATCGGATGCCTTCTTCATTTCAGCTTCGAAATCCAATGCAACATAGCACAACTTTTCCTTAATATCCCTCACAATTTCTCTCTCAGCACTTGTGTGGAAAGAGTAGCCACGTTCCATGAGAATCTTTTGCAAATAATCTGTCAAATCTCTACCTGCCAAATCCAATCTTAAAATGGCATGTGGCAAAGCATAACCTTCATAGATTGGAACAGTGTGAGAGACGCCGTCACCAGAGTCCAAAACAATACCAGTGGTACGACCTGATGCATACAAGGACAAGACAGCTTGAATGGCGACATACATGGCTGGCACAGAGAATGTATCGAACATGATTTGAGTCATCTTTTCACGATTGGCCTTTGGATTCAATGGAGCCTCGGTCAACAAGACTGGATGTTCCTCAGGAGCAGCTCTCAATTCATTGTAGAACGTATGATGCCAAATCTTTTCCATATCATCCCAATTCGTAACGATACCATGCTCGATGGGATATTTCAAAGCAAGAATACCTTTCTTACTCATTGCTTCGTCACCCACATAGGCATCTTTGTTGCCCATACCAACCATGATGGATCTTTGTTTGGGTCTACCAATGAGAGAAGGAAAGACACAACGAGGAGCATCTTCACCAGCGAAACCAGCCTTGCACATACCACTTCCATTGTCGACGACGAGAGATTGAACGTCCATGTTGTTGTTGAGTATTGTTGAGTGTTAGAGAGACTTGAAATTTGAACTGTATTGATATCAATGATCTTGTTTTTTCTGATTGTTTTTGGAACAGAATGGCTTCTACATCAGTTTTTATAGTGCTTTTAGAATGAAGGTTGATATCATTCCTATCAGAGCCTGTTCTTGAGTGCACAAAAAAACGACTTGAATCTCTGCATTAGACCCAAAGTTCCATGTTCATTGAACTGCAACTTTACCTTAATTTACCTTAAAAAAATCAAATTTCTTCCACAGACTTTATTTCAAACTTGTAACAAAAGTGTTATTGTTGGAGATGAATGTGACATGGACAAGTGACCATCTCGTGCACGAGATCAGATGGTGTCTAACAGGTGGTTGTTCCGAGTTCTCCTCAATGCATGGTTTACGAATTCCCCATTTAACCTACATACTTCTACCATTATTTGCCGTGTTCTCCTGTTGAATAACCCATAACCAAGAGTACAGAAAAAAAGAAATATGGAAAGTGCGACCATAATTATTCCAAATGCTGTAAATTGTGCCATTGGACCCAACGCAAGAATTTGCTTTCCAACTAACACTTGAATTAACAATTGGAAAACATTTGCCAATGCAGAATTGAATGAAAAAATTGCAGCAAATCGAGTAAGTTTCAATCCTTTCGCAATTTGTGTGAAAGAAACCACATATAAAAATTCAAACAAGCAATGATACACAACAAATAAGAGATAGGCCACAAAAACTGGGCATTTTCTACTGACGCTTATTGCAATCAGACATGACCCACATGCTAGACAAACGATAGCGGCCATCATTTTTCCTTTCCATGAGGATACCCAATTTCCCAATCTTGTAGGGATCATTGCGATCATTGAAGCACAAGCATATGCCACTGCTATAAGAATTCCATTCAAAGAAATTTGGTTATTAAGGGTTTTGAAAAATGTTTGGTAATAGGTGAGAGCTAGCATGTGAACTGCAATTCCAACAATGCAATAGATACTCCAGAAAGGCACTGAAAAATTTTCTGTGTAACATTTTTTCACATCCACAACAAATTTCCAAATTTTGCTATTTTTTAAGAAGCTTATTAATTTGTGAAACTTAATAATTGGTCCACTCCTCGAATGAATTGAATCTTGTTGGGAAGGTGCTGTCGTCATTGCTTCATGATGAATATTTGTGTTTCCTTCCTCTTCATGAATTTGTTGAGAGAGTTGAACTTCACTTTGCTGGTCGTAATTGACACTCTCAACAATATCTGCCTTCGAAGATGCCAATTTTGGATCCTCTTCTTTTGAGGTGGCATTACTGTCTTTGCAAGCATTATCATTGGTTTCAAACGTATGAATGGATCTCACATATTTCTTTGGAGAAGGAAAATGAAAAATTGCAAGATACAAACAAGGAACAATACAAGCAAATCCCATGTAATACAGAACTTGAATAGAAACTCCACACATGTATACGATTTGTCCCACAACAGCACCCAACACTTGTCCCATTAAAATACACGCCCTGGATAAGCTTGTCTGTGTTTGGTGCAATTTTTGAATAAAATCATTGTCATTTACAATCATAATTCATGTCCAATATGATTATTATTAATTGTTATTCATTCATATCGATGACAATTATTATTCAATTAGTATAATTATTTTGAATAAATTTTCTGAACTCACCAAAAATTGATATGAATTTGGAGAACTCGAATGATACAGTAATGCCAAATAGGTCTGATCCGTTCCATACAGAACAGCCACAGCAATTTCAGTCACTTGTAACATCCATACTGTATTTTTCGTACTGAAAAATTCACTCAACATGAAGAGAACACTCGCCAAAATTCCAACCACAATCACCCACTTGTGACCAATAAATTTCAATTCTGAAATAATTCCAATACATAATTGAACGAATGGCATTGAGTAAGACCAAATTGGAAAAATATCAAATAATATAGTTTTGAGTGAAATTCCTTTAGAAGTTAAAAATTCAACCAAAAATGGTTGTTGAGGATTGACCATGTGAAAAAACGAATATATTGCAAAAGTGAGCACGAGACCCAACGAAAGTGGTTGATTCATTATTGTTGTATCATTCGATGGATTTTTTTGAGTTTTTTGTGACAGTTTTTGAATGGACGGTCTTGTTTCCGAAATCACTGTATGATTATTTGATGGTGGTGTGAATGATTGCTCAAGTGGTGCCGTTTGTTGAACATTCGGTGAAAGAGATTGGCTCAACATGTTTGAGTGGTTGTTATTATTAACAAGGACGGAAAGTAATAAAGTTCTCTCCGACGACAAGTCCTGGACATGTTGATGTGAATTCGCATGGTGCTGACTGTTCATCATCGGATCGGTGGTTTCAAGTCGAGTCGATCCTTGCGTTTGTTTTTCTTCCTCCTTTCGCAGCGAAGGAGGTTCTCGTCGAGTGAGACAATCACCATCTTGTTGTTGCATGTTGTTTTACAACTCAATTTTTTCAAAGATTTATTTCTCACTAATTTTCTCATTCTAATCGCGCATGATCTCATTCCCTTCATTGATATCATTGAATTAAGGCCAATATTATCAACAAAGGAAAACACGACCTCCTCGTGAGTGGAGTTGACTCGAGAGAAGTGCGCATACACAGAATTTTATACATAAATTACATTCGAATACTTTTAATTTAAGCATAATAGTCGAGAGCCACCTTCTTTTTGGCTTGAACTGCAGCAATACCTTCCATGAAATCTTCGTGCATGATTTGAGTGGCATCTCTCCTGAGAGCAATCATACCAGCTTCGACACAAACGGCCTTCAATTGAGCTCCGTTAAAATCTTCGCAACAACGAGCCAACTCTTCATAATTGACATCATCAAAATTAACATTCATTCTCTTGGAGTGAATTTTTAAAATCTGTATACGTCCCTTTTCGTCAGGAAGTGGGAACTCAATCTTACGATCCAAACGACCAGATCTCAATAAAGCAGGATCCAAAATATCAATACGATTGGTTGCGGCAATGACCTTAACTCGTGTGTCTTGAGAAAAACCATCCATTTGGTTCAATAATTCAAGCATAGTTCTTTGGACTTCTCTGTCACCTGACTTGTCAGAACCGAATCTCTTTGTACCAACAGCATCCAATTCGTCAATAAAAATGATAGCAGGAGCTTTTTTTTTTCTCTTGCCAATGCGAAAGCATCACGAACAAGCTTGGCACCATCTCCGATAAACATTTGAACCAATTGTGGACCAGCCAACTTTAAGAATGTAGCTTTTGTTTGGGCAGCACATGCACGAGCAAGCAAGGTCTATAATTTTCAAAAATTTCATGTAAGCCACAATGATGATGTTATGTGACAACAATGTATGAAATAATTGAGAAAATAATTTTGTGGAATTGCTCAGTTGCTAAATTCACACTTACCTTTCCTGTACCAGGAGGTCCATACAATAAGACGCCTTTTGGTGGTTGAATACCAATTTTCTTGAAACGATCTGCCTCTGTCATTGGTAATACAATAGCTTCATACATTTCCTTGATTTGGGCATCACATCCTCCAATTTGATCGTAATCTTCCTTTGGTCTTTCATCGACTTCCATAGCTTTGACACGAGAATCATACTCAGATGGCAGCTTTTCCAACACAAGAAAACTGTCCTTGTTAACTCCAACTAATTCTCCAGGCTTTAATTGTTCTGAATCGACCAATCCGATAACAGGAAGATAAATAGTTTGTCTTGTACTTGTTTTTATGACGGCAGATTTTCCCTTTTTATCTTCGTCAAGGGCAATGCTTGATCCGTCTTGTATAATTTCTTCGTTTTCATCTGTTTCCAAAATCTTGTTATTAGAATTGTTTGTTCAACATCATCAAATGTAAAGGAATGAGATGATATTTATACAATGTATCGGCCCAAAAGTATCATCAACAATGAACACAATCGGATTTGTTCTCTCTCGATTTTTCTTTGGTCTGTACTTACCTCTACAACAGTAGCCACAAGATAGGGCAATTGTTTGTTAAGTTTGATCTTTTCCGTATTTTCCTTTATCTTTTCCTTCATTGTCGTTTCATCATATTGAATACGCTTCTTTTCATTCTTAAACACGTGAATTTCATTCTCAATTAATCGGGATCGGTGCTCAATCTCGTCCGTACCTGCACAAGCAATATCCTCACCGAATGTTTCAAGAACTTCTTCCTTGGTCCACTTCTTTTGTGATGATTGCATTTTTTTTTGTTTGAAGATAAATTGTTGTAATTGAAAAACTATTAATAGTTTGAACATTCCTGTTTTCATTCTCATTGTGTGCAAGGGTGGCCAACTCGAGCGTATTTTTTCGTGAACACATCAAGCTGCAAGAGAGAATTTCACTTCCATGGTGGTATAGTATTGAAGGGGCCCTTTCCCCTCTTCGTCACATTATCAACACCATCTCTCTCAAACCACAACTCTTACATTGAGAAACGTGTTATGAAATTGTTGCTAAAATGTTTTCAAACTTCTCTTCGAAAAGGGTTTTAAAAAAAATTTCAATTTGTGGAGTTCAATATGATTGAGAAGAGTTTGAAATTAACACCAAGCCCGTCAAAAGTGCACAACAAATAGAACATCCTTGAGTGTAAAGTGATCTGTTGTTCTAGAATTTCATGCTGCTTGTTTGCACTTTACACGGGCTTTATGTTTAATTCAGCCAAAGTCAGTGACACCTTTTTTTAAGGGCTGTTATTAATTGAATATTAGGTCTCACAATACCAAACAAAAGAATCTGAAACTAGACGGAAAGAAGCATCTACCATATGAAAATCTTGGTTTCAGCATGCTTAATTGTAGAACAGTTCAACTCTGAAACAAAATTTGAATAATGGTCGGTGTTATTAATCGAGTAAAAAAAAGTGCGCTCGTAAAGAATCTTGTCTCGAATCTTGGTCATTTTTACTGAAGGAGTTGGCCACCCGTGATTGTGTGTGGTTTTTAAAAAAAGTGTACAGCTTTGAAACAAATTCCCAAAGCTTGAGGGACTATGTATTAAGTATACTTAACTCGATAATGCCATGCATTCATGGTTGACGCATATTCATTTCAGGTTCTTTAATTTTCTCAATTTCAAAATGCTTTTCTTTTGAAGAACTTTTAAAAAAATGATTGAAAACAACAAGTCGAAAATCATCCATGTCCAGGTCATTGGATGTCAAGCTCAGTTCACTTCCTATTCGGCTGTTCTTGCTCCAAAAATTGGACCACTCGGTCTCTCACCACGTCTCGTCGCTCATGAAATAATGCATCTCACGAAAGAATGGAAAGACGTTCGCGTGAAATGCAAAATTGTAGTCAATCTCGATGAACGAAAATTTCAGGTCGAAGTGATTCCTTCCTGTGCAAGTTATATCATTCGTGCCCTAATGAAGTCCAATTCAATCTTTTCCTCAATGCCATTTAATAACAGACATACGCGACATTCGTTGATAAAGGCCTACAAACAATGCAACTTGACGATGGATCAAGTCGTTGAAATTGCTCGATGCATGAGATCTCGTTCAAGAGCCAAAGAATTCAAAGGATGTGTGATAGAAGTTTTAGGGACTTGTGTTTCTGTTGGTTGTAAAGTGGAAAATCAAGATCCAAGACATGTCCAACAGCTTTTATTGTTTGGATTTTTGAGTGTTCCTGTGGAGTAGTGCGTATGTCGAACTTTTTGTTAAACAAAGAGCCTTCTTGATTCTTTATTAAAATCGGTTTTGTTTCAATTCATCCTGTCACGCCAAGTCATTTTGTGCAAATTGGTCATTAAAAAAGGCTCTAGTTTTTGGTCGTTTACAGTTCATCCAAAAGATAATGAAAGCTATTTGTCAAATCTTAATGGTGACTTGCCGACATTAACCCAATCTAGTCTTCTTTTGTTGTTGGTGTTAAGGCTAATTTTCATCTTGTCAATTCCAATATGCTCACAGAAGTCTCTAGATGGTGGAACAAAAGATGTGAAAACAAAAATTTATTTGTGTGCGGTCGCTTAACTGTACTGCTGTTTGAGCTGAACAAACTGGATAATCACCTCTTCAAATTCATTCAATTTCTTTTGGAATTTCTTGTTGAGCTTTTCCAAGCGAATATATTCTCGCCATTTGACTTTGGAGTTGGAAGTATTATTTGGGAAGGTTGTGGAAGGAAGAGATCGAATTAGAGGGGATGCCCCAGTAATGCGTTCAACATCAAGTTCAACAATAGAGGCTTCACTCGCTTCCTCCTCGTTTGGAACAATAATCTTTCGTGTCGTTTCAAAAAGCTTAGAACATGTGACCGTCCTCTGGATGTGGCTTGGAAAGTCAATATATTCCATTATATCTTTGAAATTCGAGCTTGGAAGCTTCTTGGGAATGGGCAATGAACCTGTTGAGCTTACTCTCTCCAGTTCTTCTCTCGCTTGGAATGAAAAGCCAAAATTACTCTCCAACATATTTTGGTGTGACTCAACTAAATTCAGTAAGGTGCTCTCAATATTAATCAATTTGGTCACTTGTTCACAAATTTGAAGTCGCTGAGCTTTAAGATTCACCTTGCTACTGCTGCATGTAAATGTGTTGCTGTTAGACATGGAAAAGTTTGGAGGAATAATTTCATCATCTCCATCCTCTTCAAAGTCCATCAAGAAGAGGGATCCTGGCTGTTGTTCATCAATTTCTGTCAACATTTCCCACAAATTCGAGAGTTCTTTGACACCAATTTCAACGCTATTGTAGAGCGAGTTGAGCTTGTTGATGCATTCCAAGCTGGTTTTTTTCATTTCTGCATATTGTTCGAATTTTTCAGCAAACTGAGAAGAAGAAGCACCATTATCGATGGTAGGTTCTTGATCCTTAACACCCTTAGCAATCGTAGCCTTTAGTCTTCCTGAAGTGTTGGGAGATTTATATGGAGAGACACATCTTGATGTGGTTGGTTGTCTCCTACTTCTACAAGAGGGTTGAGGTGAGAGTTGATTGGTCGTGGTCATGTTGTTTGTTGCAGTGCTTTCTAGTTGCTGAGAATTAGAAGCAGCAGACGAGGTATGAATTCCCGCAGTACTTGTGCTTGAAACATTAGAAGATGATGAAACTGATGTGGAAGGAGAAGCAGCACGGTCGGAAAGGAGAAGTTTGAGAGTGGAAACTTGAGAGCGATGATAACGGAAGTGAATATGTTCAGGCCTGAAGAGAGTTTCCATGGTGGTGATAGTAGTGAGATTCTTGCGTTTGAAAAGGTTGAATAAGTTAATGATGGTGATGTTGAAAATGTATGTACAGAGAGAGAAGCTTTCAAGAATTGTCCACTCGGTGTACAGCAGTTGATGTGAAGGCTCTTGTGGATTCTCCCAAGCAATTTTACTATGAAAAATGGCCAAAATATGAATGTCTACTAGTAGTAGGTAGTCTCTGTCAAAGATGGATGTACCAGACGAAGAATACAATCCTTGCTGATGATGATGATGATAGTTTGCTCGTGCTTCTAAAAAAAGTAACCCCGTCCAAGCAGCTTGATGGTTCGACCCGAAGAAGAATTTGAATGATTCTATTCGCGGATTTCGTTCAAAATTCGATAGATATTCAAGAACAAGAACGTGTCGAAATAAATCAAGCCGTCCTGTGGAGACTTTTTTTAGAGAGAGAAAAAATATTTAGTTGAGTTGTTTGAAGAGTTTACAATGCCTTTTCCCGCTGCTATTATTTTTGAACGTTATTCAAAATTGAAACCTTGAGCAAAGACAAGACCTTCAAGGTTTGCACAAGGTGCTTGTCAAGGTTTGCATTGAGTATTGAAATGGTATGTACATTTTGAAAATGGTTGTTTCAGCTAGCTGAATATTTTCTGCTGGGATGTTATCTTTATGCGTCTTCAAAAGTAGAAGATTGACAAAAAAGTGCAAGTCTTGAGATTGTCTGTGCTTGTTGTATACAACAGTTCTTTTGAAATGTATGGGTTCAAGTATAAATCTTGAGGTGGTAAGGGTGGAATTCACGTTGAACAGGATTACCTTCTCAATGTGTCTTCTGTCTCATCAAGAATGTTTCGAACAGAGTTGTTCCCTTTGTACTTGTTTTGTAACACAATGACCTGAGGATCAAAAACGTATTTGTTTTCGATCTTAAAAGCTCTCCAAACTTTATCGTGGCAAGCAAGAGGGTCTAACTGATCTCCATGGAGTGCCTCTCATAATAATAAATAATAATAATATTAATGGGATCCCAATGCATCTTTAAATGACTTTTCAAAGCACATGGTGAGAATGGCCAAGAATGTTCAAATTTCCCGATCCAGTAATCACCCATTCACCGATACGCAACGCATACTACACACACACGTTCCACTGTGGAGTCCTCCACCGTGTTTCGCCGTCCCTGTCCTCAGATCGGGTCGAACTTTTTGGTGGATGATGGCACTTCTTACAATGGATCAGCATTAAAAAATTAAAACAACCAATTTCGCTGCAACCTTCACCGTTTTCGGCCCTTATTGCTGCTATTCATCGAAATCAAACTGGGACTTTTCCATCACCCAACACGAATTGTTGTTCAAACCGCCATTGCTGATCCAAAAGTACCTCACCATCCTTTTGTCTTTCATTGAAAATGCAAACCAGTCAACCACCACAGGCAATTCTCACTTCTTCCAAACAACAACAACAATTACCTTTGACATTTCTTGGAGATAATTTGTATGTGAGATATGGAATAGCAGGAGGTTTGAGTGCATTCTCGACCCATGCCATTATGGTTCCTTTGGATGTAAGTGATTTTAGTGATCAAATAATGATTGTTTACCACCACCACCACCACTACTCATGATGATGAAATGCCGCACCAATGTTACATGTGTTGCCGCACGGCAATATTTTTCATAATTATTTCCTTTTTCGTCTAACTTTCGATATCGAATGCACATATTTCATTGCCTCTCTGTGGTTGAAATTGGGCATACAACATGTCCATTGATATACTTCTTCTTTTCCTCTGGTGGTCCAACCTAAATGTAGGTCGTTAAAACTCGAATTCAAATCGAGCCCACCAAATACAACAAGGGAATGGTTTCAGCTTTTCAAACCGTTTTGCAACAAGATGGTATGAAAGGACTCACTTTGGGCTTCACTGCCACGGCCTTTGGTTACTTTATTCAGGGCGCATGTAAATTTGGATTCTTTGAAGTGATCAAGCAAGGAATCATGAATCGGATTGGAAAGGAACGAGTGATGAGTGGCGATTTGAAATATTTGCAATTTCCAATTTATGTCTCTGCGTCGGCATTGGCTGAAGCCATTGGAACAGTCATGTTGAGTCCATGGGAAGCCATTCGTATCAAAACAGTGAATCAACCTGAAAAGTATGGCTCTATGAATGTTTGGAGAGGACTTGCCACGATTGCACGAGAAGAAGGTGTTTTGAATGGTTATTTCAGAGGTCTTGTGCCAATTCTTCTCAAACAAGTACCCTACACAGTGACTCAACTCACTGTGTTTAGTTATGCCACCGAGTATTTCTATCGTGGATTGTTACCACATTTTGGCAAATCAAAGAATGATTTGAATACTTCACAACAATTGAATGTGAGTTTGGTCTGTGGTGTGATCGCAGGTCTCACAAGTGCCATCGCTTCACATCCTGCTGATACGTTGTTGTCGCTCGTGAACAAACCAGGAGAGACGAGAAGTGTTTTGGAAATTTTGAAAAGCATTGGTTTTAGGGGAGTTTGGGCTGGCATTGTTCCAAGATGCATCATGGTGAGCACTTTGAGTGCTGCCATGTTTTTGGTGTACGATGGAACGAAGGTGTTTTTAGGCTTACCAACGACAGGTGGAAAGTAAATGTGAAATTGATCATGTACACAAAGTTCATCAATAAATATTTCATGTAATACTCCATCGGTGTTCCTCTTGCTTGTTCACTCTCCGCATACATCTCGCAACATAAACTTTGATGATCTTCCCTTTTCCTATTTACAAGATTCTGAACCAATCCCGTTTAGCAGCGAATCGTGGATCAAAGCTCTCAAAAGGCAAATTTTTTTTAGCAAGAGATGTAGAAGAGAAGAGTCTGAGAGTTTGGTTTGCTTCAACCTCCAACAGAACCACATCAAAAAAAATGTCCTTCCTCGCACCCACCACTCCAACAACAACCAAGAGAAAGTTAAGCCTTTCTAATGTGATGCAGCCAGAAGAATCTATGCTGCTCATTTCCAACGGAAGCCTTACTTCACCTCACTCAGCTTCTCCCTTATCAAGTTCATCCTCTTCTCCTGCCTCATCCACAGTAAGCTCAAGAAGGCAATCCACAACAAGTGAGGCTTTGCTCTTGGTTCCACCGACGGTTGGGTCATTATTGACAAGATCACGCAGTGCAGGCAAGCTTGAAGAAGGCTCCACAACACCCAAATCTTCAAGAAGAGCTCTTAGTAAGGCTGATTCTTTTCGGGTCTCCCCCACCACTGATTTGAAAAAGGAGCAAGAAAAATCTCTTGTCAAGGCCTATCAAAACGCTTTGCTTCCTTCCACCAAAATCTACCTCACAAGTGCTGAGAATGATATGTACAGCATTCCAAGCTCTCTCCACAGTGCAACAGTGTTTGAGCCTCACGTTGAACATTTGGGAGCTCCGATTCTTTTTACGGCATGCCATGGTCATCAGGTGTATAGAGGAGGAAAAGTTTCGGATGATAGTGAAAGATTACACCTTAAAGAAACCTTTACGAGTGAGATTGCTCTCCTGTTGGCAGCCAAAGTTCGAAACATGCTCAACTCGTTAGAAGGCTCGTTTGTGGTGTGGAATATGAAGACCGTTCATGAAGAAGATAGTTCTCACATTGATCCAAACTATTTGATGCCCGAACAATACTCTCTTTCACCCTTTCATTTGTTCTTGCACAAGTTTAAAAAGCTCTACAATGGCATTCCAATGCTACACGTTGATATCCATGGAAAAGTCAATCGAAGAGACAACCGAAATATTGATGTTGGGTTTGCTCCCATGATGGAATTCTGGAGTAATTCCATTCATGCCAAAATTCTCAAGGATGACTTTTGCAAACGCTTAACAAATGCCGTTTCGTTGTGTACTCGATCGGTTGGTGGCTTTAAAGTTGGCGTTGAAAAAGAACCATCACAAAATGGATTACGGGGAGAGAATGCACCCCACACTCTGAGCCATCAAAGCGTTCTTCTCGAAATTCCAGCTGTTCAGCTTGAGATTCCTTACGACGTGCGAAAGGAACTCGTAGAGAATGATGCTTTTCTGGAAGAAGTCGCAAAAGCCATCACTGAATGCTACAAGATCACTGTTTGTAAAATGTACGACATGAATTGGCAACAATGTCATCATCACATCGTTCGTTTGAACACAGAAAATGATAAGAAAACTCTCCGATTGACTTCAAAGAAACACCATCATGACCATGTGGAAGAGATGTTTCTACAAATGCTGACTGAGTATGCAGCGTTAGAGAAACAGCAAGTGTCAATTAAACAAATCTAATAAATTCAAATTACGCAGCGTTCAATAAAATACGATTCAGCTTTGCGGAGCATCCATGGACTTCCGTTCCCATGTTGATCTCCTCTCAATTCCAAAAGAAACAATTTTATTTGTGCTCAAAACAACCCAATCAATCCATTCGAGAATCTTCAAGCTGAACAGGCAGGCGCCTAGTACTCACCCGCAGTACTGCAATTCCACAATATTCATTAGCGAACACACAACGGGTAATGGAAAACATGCACACCGAGATTCTTTTTGAAAAAAATGAAAGCAATCATTCATTCATCCATTCCGACCAAAGCAAAGCACGCATTATCAACAGCACGTTCTCAATCGTCTTTGCCATGCTCCTCTTCAATATTGCTCAAGCACAATAGTAACAAGGGTATACAACGAAAGTTTTCACAATACATTCATCCATTCGATCTTAACTCGGCTACAACACAGTCATCACCATCCACGAATACAATTACCTCTTCTCCAGTTGCCAATAAATTGGATCCATCCATCAAATTGGACAAGAAGGTCCGAGGAATTTATTTTGATTTTGGTGCTACCACCATGATGGATCCTCGAGTACTGGATTCCATGATGCCCTTCTTGACTGAAGTTTATGGTAATCCTCACTCCCGAACACATGAATATGGGTGGGATTCCGAGAGTGCTGTAGAATTAGCAAGAAAACACGTTGCAGACTTAATCGGAGCATCTCCGAAAGAAATTGTGTTCACGAGCGGAGCAACGGAATCAAATAACACAGCCCTCAAAGGCGTTGCTAGTTTTTACAAAGACAAGAAAAGACATATCATTACGGTGCAAACCGAACACAAGTGTGTTTTGGATACATGTAGACATTTAGAAGAGGACGGATTTAGAGTTACATATTTACCAGTTCAGAGCAATGGAATTGTCGATTTGGAAGCACTCGAAAAAGCCATTACTCCCGATACAGCTCTAGTCAGTGTCATGATGGTTAACAACGAAATTGGAGTGATTCAACCTATCAAGGAGATTGGTAAAATTTGTCGAAAACACAAAGTCTTTTTGCACACTGACTGTGCTCAAGCTTTTGGAAAAATTCCAATCAATGTTGATGATATGAATATTGATTTAATGTCCATTAGCGGCCACAAGATTTATGGACCAAAGGGCATTGGTGCTTTATACGTTCGAAGAAAGCAACCAAGAGTGAGAATTCATCCAATTATTAATGGAGGCGGCCAAGAAGGTGGCAGACGATCTGGTACTCTTCCAACACCGTTATGTGTAGGATTGGGCGAGGCAGCAAGAGTGGCAGCTGAAGAAATGGATAGAGACTACCAACATGTTTCCGAATTGTCACAACGTTTAATTAACAATTTAAGAGCCAAATGTGAACACATTGAACTCAATGGTGACGAGAAACAAAGATATCCAGGAAATGTTAATATTAGTTTTGCCTTTGTTGAAGGAGAAAGCTTACTAATGGCATTGAATTCTGTGGCATTGTCATCTGGAAGTGCATGCACAAGTGCTTCGTTGGAACCAAGCTATGTTTTGCGTGCTTTGGGTGTGAATGAAGAATTGGCTCATACTTCACTTCGTTTTGGTATAGGTAGATTTACCACCAAGGAAGAAGTTGATTATGTCGTAGAGAGAACTGCTTCAGAAGTGATTCGATTGAGAGAAGTGAGTCCTCTCTATGAAATGTTCAAAGAGGGTATTGATTTATCAAAGATCACATGGAATGAACACTAAGGAGGCTACTTTTAACACCATGCCACAACGATCGATGAGAGTCATGCATTCTTCATGTCAAGTGAATTAAGGAAGATATTCTATAAAGTTAACCATTCATAACTTATTATCCAAGCCAATTTTTATTATATTTTTGATGTCAAATGTCTCTGTTATTTGCCAATTCCGCATCTTTGCGTCGACGTGGGTGACTATCTAAAATTCTAATATTGCAACAACGTTCAATTTGCGACTCAACGTTCACCTGAAGTCCTCCCTCCAACGATTCGATTTTCTTCCCAAAGATATCCGACATTTGGAAGCGCAAAAAAATGTCCTCCACACAGGTATCAGTTTCCTCTTCGAATACTATTACGACACCCGAGACCACTCTCACTGCAGCCGAAACGATTGCTCGGTACGTCAACATCTTCAACAAGGTGGCCGAGATTATCATTACCGAGTTTCAAACTCATCCCTATCGTTCCTTGATTGATTTATCTGTGGTTTTGCTCATTATTTGGTACATGATGAGTAAGAGGCGTGCCGCTCCAACCACACACAAACTCACCAAAAAACAAGAAGACGAAATCATTGAAGAATGGGAACCAGCACCATTGGTACCATCATCGGATGATGCTAGTATTGATGCTACCATCAATGCAATCAAAGAACACGAATATGTCCTCACCAGTGCTGCCGATGTAGAGTTCACTGTTGAAGGAAAAGAAGGAAAGATTATTAACTTTGGAACCAACAACTTTTTAGGATTTATTGGTGATAGAGATATCATTGAAAAGTGCAAGGAAACAGTCCGTGAGTATGGTGTTGGTAGCTGTGGTCCTCGTGGATTCTATGGTACCATTGATGTCCATTTGGAATTTGAGAAGATTTGTAGTCGTTTCATGAAGACAGAGGCTTGTATTTTGTACTCTTTTGGATTTTGTACGATCAGTTCGGTGCTTCCTGCCTTTTCTAAACGTGGTGATATTATTGTTTGTGATGATGCTTGTAACTATGCTATCAAGACTGGTTGTCATTTGTCTCGTTCGGAAGTGATTTACTTTAAGCATAACGATATGGAAGATTTGGAAAATGTTCTCAAGAAAATATGTGCCAATGACAAGGGAGCAACTCCAAATAATCGTCGTTTTATTGTTGTTGAAGGAGTTTATGAAAATTGTGGCGACATTGCTCCATTGAAAGAGATCATCGAACTCAAGAAGAAATATGTTGGTTTCAGAATTGCTCTCGATGACAGCTTTGGTGTTGGTGTTTTGGGAAAGACCGGAAGAGGTACCATTGAACATTTTGGCTTGGATATTAATGATTTTGAAATTGTTTGTGTCAATATGGAAAATTCGTTTGGATCTGTTGGTGGTGTTTGCGTGGGCTCACACATTATTGTGGATCACCAAAGATTATCTGGAGCTGGTTATTGCTTCTCTGCCTCATTGCCTCCTTACTTGTCCGTGGCTGCCATTGAAGCACTTAACCGTGTCGACAGCGATCCAGAGACTCACTTGGTCCCTCTCCAAAAGAATATTTCACTCCTTCATCAAACATTGGTCAAGAAGATTAACTTTAAGAATCTCAAGTTGGTTCTTCAACACCAAGAACATTGTCCAGTCTTCCATATTCGTCTCGCAGATGATCACCCTCTCAAGGAAGGATTCAACAATGCAAAGAAGCAATGGGGTGAGATTTCAAAGAATAAGACAAAGAACAAGAAGCAAATCAACACTGCCAGCATGAACTATTACAATGAGAGAAACAAGATTCAACAGGTATTCAAGGATATTGTATCTAAGGCTATGGATCAAGGAGTTTCTGTAATCTGTCCAAACTACACTCACAGAGAAATTACTCTCCCAGAACCTGGTATTAGAATTTCTGTTTCTTCCAAGCATACTAAGGATCACATTGAAAAATGTAGCCATGTATTGGCCACAATTTTTGCAGAGACCTTGTCACCTTCTAACTAATCGTGGCATTCACACCAACGATGTATATAAACGTTACAGAGAGGCATTTAGTGAGTATGTATAATAAACTTGTTTAAAATTATTATTTTAATATTTATATTTTGAAATTACGCAAGGTAGTAGTATGATGTCCTACTACGCACTTGAGGCAGTGATGAGATCAAAGATCATAAAAAAATATTACTTCTATATTTATTTGGTATATTGCGCTCTCTTTGAAATGTCTTCCAAGAACACACCTTCCTCTTCTTCGGAACGAGATAGAATTAAAGTTTTTGTGAGATGTAGGCCTCATTCCGAAAGTGAAGCTACAGAAGATCCTTCTTGTAAATCATGTCTGGATATTAGAGGCAAAGAAATTAAGGTTTTTCGGTCTGCCTTACCAACGAAATCATTTACATTTGATGGAATATTCGGACCGGAGGCAACTCAAGAGGAAGTATTTAATGCTGTTTCAATTGAAGCGATTGATGATGTTTTTAAGGGATATCATGCAACGATATTGGTCTATGGGCAAACCGGAACAGGAAAGGTAATTTGAAAAAGTTATTCTTTAATAATAATCGGTATTAACCTTTTACTGTTGTACTCATAAAATATAAAAATATATATTAATGTAGACTGTAAGTAGAATTAACAAGTGCTTGGGAGAATAAGAACTTACAAACATGAAATATAGTATACTCTGAGCAACATTATTGAAAATAATTCATCTCAAAACGGTCTCATACCAAGAAGTGTACAGGAAATATTTAGGAGAATTAAGAATGATAATAACCACGAATATTCTGTCAGAATGAGCTACTTGCAAATTTATATGGAAACTTTACAAGATTTACTTCAACCAGAAATTAAGAGTTTGCAAATAAGAGAGGATCCTGAAGGTGGTGTCTTTGTATCTGGATTAAGTTACAGAGAAATGGAAAATTTTGAAGATTGTATTAAATATTACAAAGAAGGAGATGCTAATAGAACCACTGCTCTAACGAAAATGGTATGTCTTCATGGGTCATTATTGAACTTTATGTCATCTCATACTTAAATTAAGAATGCTACATCGAGTAGAAGCCATGCTTGTGTAATTATTAATGTACAAAAGAGAGGAAAATTGAACGGGTCAGAGGCTGTGGAAGGTCTAGACAAAAAGAAAGTAACAAGTGCAAATTTATTCCTTGTTGATTTAGCAGGAAGTGAAAGGCTAAAGAAAACAGAAGCAGAAGGAATTCGAAAAAAGGAAGCGAACTACATCAACTTGTCGTTGACAACTCTAGGTTTAGTTGTGCACTCATTGGAAGCTAATCATCCACATATTCCGTTTCGAGACTCTAAATTGACAAGACTGTTACAAGATTCATTGGGTGGAAATGGAAAAACGAGGATTGTTGTCACGATCGCTCCAAATGAAGCCAATTGTCAAGAAACAGTTGGAAGTTTGTTGTTTGGTGAGCGAGCAATGAATGTAAAGACAACAGCTAAGATTAATGAATCAATAGATTACAAAGCATTGTGTGTTAAACTTAAGGCTCAACTCGAAACCTTGGAAGGAAAATACAACGAACTTGAGGAAGACTATCTTGACGTCACACATGAAAATGATAAAATGGACATGGAAATTGAGTCACTCATCGATGAGAACAAAAGTTTGAAAAAACAGATAAAGATTTTAGAAAAAGAACAAATCAAAGAAAAGGAGAAAATTGTATCTTTAATGAAAGGAGATTTAGCAGATTTGGAAAAGCAACATGAGTTACAAATTAAGGAGTTGAACCAAAGAATAGATGCAATGGCAATAGAATTTGCCCAGGAATATGCTGCCAAGGAACAAAAATTAACAGACCTTATCAACAAAAAAGCAAGCGAAATCGATCGATTGGAGACAACTCTGGTTGATAAGCAATCTGATATTGATGCCATGGCAAAGAAAATTCAAGATTTACAAGCTGAAATTGAGTCTTTAACTTCCGTCAATGAACAACTCCAACAAGACCTAGAAATCACAGTGGAGCAATATGATAAACGAGAGAGCGAGCTTGAAAATATACAAGAATTAATAGAAACCTACGAAAAACAAGTATTTCTGTTGAAAGAAAATAATTCTCGACAACAGGATGAGTTTAACACAGAACGGAGTGAACACAAACAATCCATTATGATACTTGAGCATGAAACGGATCAACTTAAACTAACTATTAAGGGGCTTGAACAAGTAATCAAGGGAATGGAAACAAAGTTCGCCTGTGAGAAACTCCAAGTTCAAGACGAGATCGAGGAGTTGAAAAAACGAAATCTTCTTTTGACTTTGAGCTTGGAAGAGTTGACCAATGAGAATACAAAGCAGCAAAAGGAATCATCAAACGAAAAAGCCGAGCTTCAAAAGCAGATTTTTACACTTCAACAAAACATTGGTGAGCTATCATCTCAAAACGTTGCTCTAAACTCTGAAATCATCAATCTCAACAATTACATTCAGGAACTGCAACAAAATGCTGGAAAATTAGGCGAAGAGTGGGATCAAGAAATGAATAATCTCTTGAAAATTATTCATGTTCAAGACAAGGTAATTCGTAACTCTCAAGAACAATTTAAGCGCAATTTGATTTATCAAATTTACAACGAGAAAATAATAGAGGGCATGACGAAACACAACCAGTCTACTGAAATGATGTGTATGGAGTTAAAGCTTCGTCTCGAACAAACAGAGTCTGAATCTGATCTCTTGCGACAAAAGCTCGAAGAAGTTTATTTAAAATCCTGTGAAGTGTTTAGGACTGCCATGAATCGACACATCGATCAGAAAATTAAGAGGGACACAGACAAATTCGGAAAGCGAATGCATGATCTGAGCAAGGAAGGAAATTTTATTCAGTTGTTTTCAAAAAAGCAATCAGTCCTTGCGAAAAAGTGTCAACACCAAACTCCAGAGGAAATAGCGAGCGATACAATGAATTATATTGTATGGGCCTTAGAATATACCAATCCCTCATGTGGAACTCTCTCAAATATGCAACTCTCTGACGAAAAGACTCTCAACATTATCAATTCATTATTGGAAGAAAGCGAAAGAAGAGTGAAATCATCTAATAAGGATGTTGCCAAACATAAGGATGAGATTGACAATATCTGGAGGCATATAAAAAAGACCTTGTCAGCCCTAGTGGAAAATAATCATGAAGATAGTGTGAGTTATATTAACAACATTCTTAATAGTGAGGAATATCAAGATCTTATTGAACGACAAGAATTTGTCTCTCAAAAGGAGGGCATTGACATTGATTTTATTGCTCCAAACAACACCCAAGATCTTTACAAAGAGACACTACATGTCTTGCAAAAGCTTGAAGACAAATTCGAAAAAGACTTTGATACCATTAATTTGTACAGTAACTGGTTAGCAATTGGTGGAACCTTTTTGAATACCTTAATTGAGTGTGAAGACATCAATTATCATGCATTATTATATTTAATTCATGAATTGCTTCATTTATTACACACCACTCGAAATTTACTATTCCTTTTTGATTCATCCGAGAGAGAAACGATTGTTTATAAACTTTCGCTGCATGGGTGTGCCTCCAAGTTATCCCAATTTATTTCATCCGCTGAGGAAGTTAAACGAGAAATGGAAGAACGAGTGCAACAGTATGAGAATTTGCGACGATGCACGGATGCTGCTTTAATCATTCAAAGATTTTATCGTCGATACAAAAAGAGGAAACATGAAGCAATGTTAATGAAACAAAAGCAAGAAAGTGAAGCAGTCCTTCTCAAACAGAAACAAGAGCTTGCTGAACTATCCAGACATCAACTCTTGAAGATTCAAGAATTGCAAATGTCAGAGTTGAATTTCAAGGCAGAGATTGAAAAACAGACTGCGAAGACTGGTCGCATGCTACTCAAACAAAGCTTGCTCGAGCTGGACAACATTTTCAACGTGTTGAAAGAATATTTTCTGTATGGTGAAGACGACGATGCCCCATTGTCTCCATCGTCTTCCAGGCCCAGCACTCCCACCTCCTCCCCTCTTCATGAACGCTCGCGAGCATTGAGCACCTCACCACCCAATCCACTCAAAGAAAATTATGGCGGAAGAGGTCGTTTGTCGAGTGGACAGTCCAGAGCATTCAGTAATGCTTTTACCGACAAGGATCTGGAGGAATTGCACAGCTCTCTGTCGCCGAGAGACTCCTCCAGCAAGGTTTCGCCCACTGCTCGAAGAGTTTTGATAAAATCTCTTCCTCAGGGAATCACCAAGAAGTGATCACACATGTTGTCAAAGGTTGAAACTTTAATACAGGTTGCAGGTTGAAACGGCAATAAAATTCTTACAAATTTCAAAGGCAAGAACAAGTCACACACTAGAGATTACCAGTCCCTTTGGGAATTGGCTTGGTCAAGCGAAGGTGCAAGGAAAATGATGTTTTGTAAACTTCTGTTCTATTGAGGAAATTTGTAGTGATAAAGCAAATAACCATAAATATTTATTGCTTTCGCAAGTGTCTTTGACAAAATGCTTCCAATCGGTCATAAGCTTCCACAAGGTCTGCCTTCGATGGACATGTCACTACACGGAAATAATTTTTCATTCTGAAACATTGACCAGGTAAAACCACGAGACTCTCTTCTTTGAGAAGAAGTGAAGAAAATTCTACATCATCTCGAATAGAGTCATCAAACATGTTCAAATCAATGCCAATCATGCAATACATGGCTCCTTGTGGTCGAATAGCAGAAAGTCCCTTAATTTGAGAAACTCTTTCAATGGTATAATCAGAACTCTCCTTGAGTGACCGATTGACATTCTGGTAAAATGATTCATCGACCTTTTCCAAAATATCTGGCAAGGCACCTTGAATGAGTGTGTTGGCACCCAAAATCAATGTCGTTAATCGTTGAATACCATCTCTAACAAGGTTCAAATAACCTTGCTTATCGTAAATGCAAATCCAACCAATTCTCCATCCAGGCACAAGGTATTGTTTTGCAATTCCACCTACGCTCAAAATTGGAACTGTCTCAGTTAACTCTGCCATTCTAACAAATTTGTTTGACTCATCAAAAATCATGTCCGCATAAATTTCGTCTGCGACAATTGGAAGTTTATATTCTTCAGCCAATTGAATAATTTCGGAAATATGTTCTGCCGAATATACAGAACCACATGGATTGGAAGGATTATTCACAATGATGGCTCTTGTTTTGTCTGTAATGAGCGATTTGACATGGTCCAAATCTACTTTCCAGTCATCGTTTGGCTTTAAATTGTAATACCGAGCTTCAATGCCCTTGCTTCCGGCCAATGTGGTATACAGAGAAAATCCAGGTTGTGGTATCAATAATTCATCTCCTTCGTTACACAAGGCCTGAACACAAATGTCCAAAGCTCCACTGGCACCACTGCAAATAACAACATCCTGTATTGGTTATCATTGAAGAAGAGCAAGGTTTCGGATGTGTAATATATTGGTTATGAATCATCATCGTCATTGGATATATTCAAAATTTTAACTCTTTCAAAAACCTACCGAAGGCTTTAAAACATGATTCTTGGTTGAACATCTCTTGGCAACAGCTTTACGGGCATCATCCCGTCCCATGGATGGAGCATAGCCATTACAAGCTCCACTCTGAACAGCTCTAATCACAGCCTCTTCCACAACCTTATCCGTCCGTAAATTTCCAAAAACCGTTGGGTCTCCAATAGAGAGCGAGAGTTTTTTCTTTTGGGGATTCAAGTCCTCATCGCGAAGCTTGTCGACAATTTGTCGGATGGGATTCACGGTACGCATGGAAGAGTGAGAAGGCTTGATAGAGGACCATGAAGAGGTTTCACGTCGTTGGTTGGTCGTCATGGTGCGGTTCTGTTCTGATGATGATGGTGTGATGGTGGTGGTAAATATTGGATGAAGATGGTTAAAAAGCAAAAAGGTGAATGAAATGGGAGAGTTTGTTGCTTTTTAGTTGTAGGCAATGACAACGCACTCAAGTCTCACACAATTATTAACAGTGGGAAACAAGATATTATTATTAGGTTGGAGGTAGATGTTGTTTGCCTCGAATCGATTCAAAAATCTTATTGATGAATTTTGGGAGTTTTTTTATTGTTGTAAACTCCGTTTCAGTTTAATTTTTAGTATTTTTAGGCTCGCCCCATTTGTTAATTTTCCCAACGAATACAAATTGAGGCCTCTTTTTTCAATACGCAGATATGGCATTCCGAAAACTGCAGGTTGTCATTTATTTCAATAACATGTCTTTGACCTTATTGAAATCATTGACTGCCTTTCTAATTGTTGCATGAGTGATGGCGGACACTTCCTCGACATCAATTTCTGTTTTACGGAAACTTTGGTCTGTGTGATTCTCAGAAGCAAACACAATACAAGCAGCGGCAACTGTGGATGGATTTTTACCTGCGTCTGCACCAATTTCAGCTACCCTTTCGGCAATGTCAAGAGCGAATGATAAAATTTTGGTTGGTAGCTTTAGCTTTGAGGCAAAACTTTCAATATATGATTTTGGTGAATTGCTGTCTGCAATGGTAAGATCTTTCAATGACTCAATTTTACCAATTTCCATGATCATTTTGTTCAATTTCTTTTCTTTAACACCTAACAGAGCGCATACTTCTTTGAGTGTCACAGCATGACCTACAACCTTCAATCCCTTATACAAACATGCTCCTAAAGCCTCTTTTTCATTCCTAGCATTAATTTTGTTCTTTTCACTGAGTACTTTAAATATTTGTTGCACTGTTGTGGCTGCTCTGGGTGGAGCTCCAAACTCATCCACCCACTTGTTAATTTCGCTGAACGCTGTTTTCAATCTATTTTCAATCTTTTCTGTTGTTTGTTGGATTTTCATTTGTGTTCGCATCAGACTACCCGATTGACCAGGCACGCGGCTAATGGCCGTTGCTAATTGACCTTCCAATAATTCATTGTTCGTTGCTTTAGAAGCACGAGCCTTGTCTTCGCCACCTTCATCATTTTGGAAATTTCTGTGTTCTTCTTCACGAGAAATTAAATAATTTGACACGACTAATCCGCACCCTCGGCAAACCATACATCCTTGAGCGTGATCTTCCACCACCTCTTTATCAGTCTTACAATTTGAACAATACAATGCAGAGTATTGTGGATTCGAGATTTGATTCAAAAGTTGTTTTTGATATTTGCTCAATTTAGGTGCATTTGCGTCCTGTGATGGAAGGTCTACTCCCGATACACGGCTTGTAGCTGCAGAGGAATATGGAGAAGGTACAGATGACGATGAACGCATTTTTTTTAATTTGAAATTATTTTCATCAACTTCACTCTCTATGAATAGAGATTTTATCGACCCACTTCTTAACGCGCAGTTCATTCCTCAGTTGTTTCATACGACTCTTTTAAAAAACGAATGAACAACACAATGACTTTGATTTCAATTGCACTTCTTGAGAGTCTGTATTGTCTTTCATGTGTGAATGGAGATGAGATTGTGGTTAATCTCTGACTTGCAAAGGTTTGACTCCAGCTGCATTCAATCCTGCAAACAAAACCGTTCCAAAGGCATGTCCCAATGCAATTCCCATTTCTGGCTTCTTTAAAACCAAACCAGTCACTCCACCTAACACGACACTTCCGAGCCATGCTTGCTGCCACAGGTTACAATGAACATTGCTGTATTATCAATTTGCGATCAAAGATATGTAATTTGGATATTATTCGTTTTTTCAGATGATCATATGATGTTGTTCATGAATGATGAGAGTGTACACTTACTGCTTGATTCGGAAAGCTCGATCATCGAAATTATTCTGAGTGAAATTACGAGCCTTGCCATAATACATGAGAGTACCAATCAAGAATCCAGCAGTGGTCCCTCTCCAAATGTATTGTGGGATTCTTGTGTTCAGAAAGTAGGAAAAGGAAAGTGAGGGATCTTTCCTTCTTTTAAAGTAGTAATGAAAGGGAGTGTAGATGGCGCCTGATTGATCAGGTCGAAGGTTGAGAGTGTTCAATAGATCCAAACGCACATGGAGCGAGAATATACGTGTTCGGAAGAAGAGATGCATCATGAAAGAAAAGAACAACAATATACTTACCCAATAAGCCTCCCACTTGAACAGAGCAGCTAATGACATGAAAGAATACAAATGATTTTGGATTTGCGACTTTATCTTGTTCTGGAATGATAACTTCGTTACTGGTGGTGGTTGTGGAAGAAGAGGACATGGTGATGATCTAATCTCAATGTGTTTTTTTGATTGCAATATCTAATTGGAGATTTGTAAATTCCTGTTGCGCATGTTTGGCAGAGGACAATTTTGTGTGGAGGTTAATATTCATGAATCATGTCCTCATTCATTAGCTCTTGAAACAACAACCTGTAAAATTTTGACAATGCCACAATGATCACGCGAAATTGTTCAAAATGTTCATGGTTTAAAGAAAGGTGACCATGAATACTACTAGTGGCACCAGTCCAGATATCGATTTATTTGTACAATAGGGGTGAACAAAGGCCTCACGTGACCACACCATTTCACACAAAAATTAAAAAATGCAAAACCAGCAATCATCACGCTCATACGATGACGAAGAATATCTGTATGGTCATTCAGATGCTCAGCATCATCATCGCTTCCAAAATTCATATTCAAGCTCCGATGATTCATCATCACTATTATTTCAATCCATTCAAATTTCAATTCCAATTCTTCCATTCATGACCATATTATGTTTGATTTTCCTTCTCATTCTCTTACGAATGATTAAATTTTCGCAATGGGCCATTAATTGGCAAATTATTGCAAAAAGTTTCCGACATCAAGTAGTCTTGCTCAGTTTGTTTGTGGAAATTCCTCTCTTAATTTTCTATTTATTTGCATTGATCAAGCACGGAAAGAAAGATTGGCTTCTTGCTGTGGTTCTATTGTTGAATGGAATGTTTTCTGGACTCTTGAGTTTTTTGCAAGAGAAGACTTTGGGATTTCTCGTGTCATTAATGGGATGCTTTATAACTAGTCTCGTGATTGATGAAGCACATGTGAGAACCATATTGCTGTGCTTGTGCTTTGTTTTGGTTGTGATGGTAGGTTGTGTGAAATTTATGATTCATGTGTGTGAAGCATGTTCGTTTTTTATGACAATCATACTATTTGTCCTTTTTTAATTGATACGACCGTATTTAATTTCAAAAAGAAAATTCGAAAAATTATGATTTCAAATAAGAAAATGGAGAGTGAACAGTGGATTGAAAAGAATTTGAGATTTAAAAATGTCAGATTTGAAAACGAGTCATATTCCTCTTCTCATGATTCTCGTGACAATGGAAACAGTCTTCGAAATAGATTTGAAAAATATTATTACAGAGGCAGTCCATCACAGATTGGGGGCTCTCGATATGCATCAAGTCATCTCTCTGACACATTGAAAACAACAGACGAATATGCACCTTTGAATACTCTGTATGACAACGACGAAGATGACAATGTCAATGAGATGAGGACTCTAGAAAATGCATCATCAGAAAGAGTTAATGGCTCCTCCATCATGAATTTCTTTCGCAATTTTCTTCCAAACAGAACAGGAGCCAATCCATCCAAACAACAACAACAACCTGACATTCTCGAACGAAAAGCAGTCAAGCTTCAACGACCTACGACTGCCTATGAGAGATATCTTAATTCTCGAAATCAGCCAATTAAGGCTCCAAGAGAAAACTCTTCCAATGAACGATCATCATCGACCTCCTCCTCCCTCTATTCTCCCACCACAACAACAACTTCAACCACTTTGGGCAGTACAACTTCTGCTTTTCTTCCCTCCAGAACTGCGACCTTACAGAGTAGTAGACCAAGCAGCTGGTCCATGAGCTCATACTCCAGACCTACCTCGACTACTACTTCCGCGACGAATAATAATAACAATACGACGATAGGAACGACCACAACATCAGTAACCACTTCAAGCCGTGATTATACTTCCGTAAATTCGATGATGTCGACACAAGCAGCTCAACAAACTTACCTCCTCGGTCATCAACCACTGCGCTCCTCACCTTCTTCGCAAGCTCCATCCATTCAAAGATTTTCTTTCAACAACCGTCAAGATCATCATCGCCAGGAGGAGGACGAAGAAGAAGAATTCATTCCATCCTCATCCACCCTCGATACCGCGGAGGAGGATGAGGACACATCCCACAACTTCTGATTGTGATGGTTCTGGAGAAATTAAATAGTTCTGTGGTTACAACGAACAGTCGAAGAGGTGAAGTTCGCGCAAGATATCTTTTACGAACGGACAGAAGAGGAAAAAAAATATTTGTGCCCCACAAAGAGCACATTCAGCACATTCAACAACACAACTACGGCCGCGCTGGTTTGTTGTTCGCTTAAAGCCTTTCTACTATTCTTCCATCTTTTTCTCTCTCTGGGTGGTTCATTAAGCAGCGTTGTAGTAGCTAAGGCTTCTTTATCAATAAGCAATATCGTACATTTGATCACCACAAACGAATCACCACTCAACACACACACTATGGGAAAAGGAACAGTGGTACCAACCACGACAAGTGCCTCTTATGAATTTCAGGTACGGAAAACAGGATTGAATAAGAGCGTTTCTCGATCGTCGGCAAGCTTTGGCGTCGTACGAAAGAGTATGTATCATCATTCAGATGAGGATGATGCCTGCTCGGAGAAGGTGGAAAGACGAGAGAGAAATCCCGTCATTGCTTGTTTACTCTCTGTGAGGCTTTTGATCATTGTTGTCTTTACACTTCTCATTGTACTTTCTATATTTTCCATTTGGCTTACATCTTACTTAACAAGCCAGAACACAGCATTGGAGAATATGCAGACTCTCGTGAAAACCATGAATTCCAAAGTTTCAAATTATCTTTCCTCTCAAATATCACCAGCTCGATCTGTGGCTCAAACCATTGCAGATGACTATCACAACAATGTGGTTGGACTCAATTTGAATGTTATGCCTTACTTGTCGAGCAAGATGAAATGGTTTGGATTCACAGGTGCCAATTTATGTCTTGGAGAGGGAGGACTGAGCGTTCTCTATGCTTATTCGCTTGCCGTATCACCTCAAGGCACCGATATGTTGCAAGGAGCATTTCAACCAAACGCCAACTCCAGATTTTTGATGTTTATTGCAAATATTGACACAGGAGAATTATATTATAACCAGTTGGTGCGAAACATTTCATATGTAGTGTCTGCTACCGATTATTACATAGACTCGGTCAAGATGTTGAAGTCCAACCCTGAAGGAGGATTTGGACCCGTGTACAAAGTCATTAACAGTAAGTTATGCTGTGAAAGAGAAGATTATTATATTGTTGAATTCATTCATACAGGTGGACAAGCAATGTACTGGAGTACTCCAGTCTACGACAAAACTTTGCTTCCTCAACAAAAGAAACGATTAGGAATCGTTAAAGTTAACATTTCTTTATACAAAATTTCTCAATACTTACTTTCCATGCCATTACTTTCGAAAGGGTTTTTCGTGGTCACAGAGAGCGACTCCAATTATGTTATTGGCGCAAACTTTATCATTCCTGGTTTGGATAACGACCGTATATCTGTGAAAAATGTTACAGAAAAAGATACAAATATTATTTTCGAAAAATTGTCGAACGCAAATCCTAAAGATGGAGATATTGTTAATATTCAAGCTAATGGTGTCAGTTATCTGGTTTCAACCTTCTCATATTCCTTATTTAATTTAAGGTGGAAAATCACTATGGTTTTGAACGAGGGAGAGGTTCAACAAGGAAATATTATGAGCAGCTATATAATTATGGGAGTGGCTTTGTTTCTTTCTTTGTTTGGAATTGTAGCTAGCATTGTGATTGGATGGATCGTTACCAAACCGCTACAAATGATTCGTGAAGACCTACTCAAAATTGAAGTTCTTGAATTGGAGGAAGTTGTGGAGCATCACTCAATTTTCACAGAGCTGAGAAGTATTTATTCGAGCCTTTTTGAAACAGTTGCTGACCTTAAAGAGATAAAAGCATTTATCCCTGAATCGGTGATAAACCAATTAGGCAAGGAGCAAAATTCATCGAAAGAAATGACTGCTTTGCACAACGAACCCTCTATACATGAAAATGATAGCGGTCATTCTTCAGCTTCAATCAGCAAACACAGTTCATTACAAGTTTCTAAAATGGTTGGAAATGCACTAAAGCTTGGTTTACAAGAAGTTGAGCTTAGCGTGCTGTATGTGCATGTATGTGGATTGACGGAGCATGAATTTGTTAACCCTGCAGAGTTAGGACATGCTGCAAGCAGAATAATCACGACCATATCCAATATATGCCGATCTTTAAAGATAGATTTACAAATCAGAAGCTATTGCGAATTTGTAATTCCGTTCAGCAGTATAACTACTCAGTCTGTTGAAACTGCTGTGAAACTATCATCTCTACTGACCAAAGATGTTTCCGACGCAGAGGCAGCCATAAAGGTTCATATTGGAGTTGCCTCAGGCTATGTCTTGCAAGGAAATATAGGAGGAAAGAATCACAGATACCATGCACTAATTGGAGCGTTAATGGATAAGGCACAATATTTATGCAAACTGAATGCATTTTTTAATACGACCATTATTATTGACCAAGTGACATTTAACCATGCAAAAGATCAATTCTTTGTCAGACCAGTTGAAAGGTATCTCATGTCAAAAGAAATTGAAACAGTTTATCATGTACTCAAAACCAACGAAAAGAATGAAGACGATGAGTGGATGTACGTTCTCGAGCACCAAAAACAAAACGACACCTATAGAAAATATTCAAGTAATTTTGCTAGATTATTTTCGAGCGAAAATGAAGGCCAAGCTGAGATAGCTATTGACTATTTCAAAGACTATATCAACTCGCACCACAAGCATAGAGACCATATAATAGAAAGGTTAGAGCATATTATTAAGCAGCGAGAAGAAGTAGTGAACTTTGACTTTTCAAGATATTACTCCAACATCAAGGATGATCTTTGTGGTTATGTCAATACGACGAAATTAAGGATGGAACATTATTAGTCATTGCATTATGACCACCTTAAATAGTGACTGCCATTTATAAATGCTGGTGTGTAATTGCAAGCCAACCCAAGAGCATTCTGGAGGATTGATGCGCACCTTGAAAGAGCGTTATAGGTATTATTTCTTTATTTCTTTTTCTTGGTGGATTTTTTGCCGCTTGCCTTCTTTTCGTTTGGATCTGCTTTTGGAAGTTTGAAGATGGGTATTTCAAGCGGTTGGTAGGGAGTTGAAAGAACAGAATCAAAGCTTGAACTGTTATGTATGTCATCATTGCGGAAACAAATACCTCACTAAAGTTACTTACTGCTTCAGAAAGTTATCTTTAAATCTATTATAGTTTCGAGTGGCTGTCTCCGTTCGAGGATGAGCGTGACCAAGTTGTTCTCGCAAAACTTTGATACCTTGCTGGTACAGGTCACTGGCATTTTGAAATTCTCCAAGACATTGTTGACTGCAAGCTACATTAATGAGAGAGATTGCAGTGTCCACATTATTGTCACCCAACAACGAACGCCTAATTTCCAAAGCTTTGGTGAAGTACTTGTTTGCCAGAAGAAATTGTCCAACATGATAAAAAACTCCACCGGCACAACTGTACGGTATGGCACAGTCGCTGTTGTTCATGCTGGAGCAGAACTTCTTGGCTTCCATAAATTCGCTAATGGCAAGATCGTCACTTCCTAAACTCTGGTAAACTAGTCCAATGGCACATCGAAAATATACAAGTACTTGAGGACTCAAGAAATCTTTATGCAACATGCTCTCCTTCAATTCTTCCTCAATGTCTTTTTTCTAAAGCAAGTCGTCGTTCATTCTGCTCGTTGAGATCCAAATTTTTTGATATTTCCACAAAGTCTTCCATTCTCATATCAATCAATTCCTTTTTTCGTTGAATGTACTCGTATTCAATCCATAAATTTTGAGCACGAATATATCCGTCAATGGCTTGTTGATACAAGCTCGAGTTATGATAATTCAACGAAACTTCAATTAATTTGGCAATTTCTTCATTCGGACAAGGTGGAGCAAATAGGACCTCTCTAATGATGCATGGTATATCTTGCTCCTTTGGTTCGTACTTGAGTCTATATGAGTTCAAATGCAACGGACTTTGATGTTTGATCATTTTTTTAAATTTAATCGTGTTGATCAAGTTTTGTAAACTTTTGGCGGCCAATTCTATGTATTCCTTAAAAACAAACTCGATAGCAAATTTTGACTCGACATCTTTCAAAAAAATCCAAGTCAAATAAACTCTTACGTTTATTTGAAAGTGTCCATAGCATTAGAAGACGTAGGATCATTGGCATTTTCAATATTTTCATGGGATTGTACAAAGTTAGTATTTGGTTGAAATCCAACTGTTACAGAATTCCTTTTGGGTGGAATAATCTCTGCTGGCCGACCCAAATCCAATGGTAGATTGAAACGAAAGTCATCAACCCCTTGCTGAAAGATTGGTTGAAGTGATGGAGGCGATTGCACACTCAAAGCTTGATCTAATGGAACACGAGAGGCAGGAGGAGGTGACAAGAGATTCACGACTCCTTCTGCCGCTGATGCTTCCATGGCATGAGAGCGAGATGAGCCTGGTTGACTCCTTCTGTGTGGTTTCTTTTTAGGCGTAGAAGAAGAAGCTGTTTCAGAGGAGAGATCTACCACTACTCGTTCTTGTTGGCGTTTCAAATAATTGCTAATGGTGTGCTTTTTTCTGAACGGCGGCATCATCTTCATAGTTAAAGGATTCGTTCAAGTAATCATCTGATTCGACTGAATACAACATATCATGCCATGTCACACCATTGATTTCTTCTAATTTTTCTAAATCTTTCACATGGGACTCAAGCTCTTCATAAATTTTCCCTTTAGGATGCAAAGTTTCGAGAAGCTTTTGTGTTTCGGATGATCTCTTATCTCTCAGGGTGAAAATTTCTAACAACTCCTGGTCAGAGGTAAAATACCGATATTGGTTCTCCTTCACAAGAGTGTTCTTAATTAATCCATCCTTAATCACTTGCCTTCGGTAAATGACCTCTTCTATAGTTCCAACGTTTACCAGTCTGTAAGTGACAACATTTTTGGTTTGTCCTACTCTGTAGGCACGATCCACAGCTATTATTGCAATAATATTCGTCATAAATGGATATATATTTGAGATCTAAAATGAACTTACCTTGTTGATCTGTTGCAGGATTCCAAGAGATGTCTAAAATGATGCATCTTGAGGCTCCTGTCAAGGTGAGGCCTACTCCACCAGCACCAGTGGTAAGCAGGAAACAACTATATGATGGATCTCTTTGAAATAATTCCACCCTTGATTGCCTCTCTTTCGTTGAGGATATAGTTCCATCAATTCTTAGAACCTTGAGCCTTAAATGCTCCCTGATCACTCTCTCAACGATATCAAGCATAGAAGTGTATTGAGAGAAGATCAACGTTCTATGCCCTGTCCTTTTGTGTTCTTTGAGTAGTTTTACCATCACTTTCAATTTTGAACTTTCAGCAATGAGTGTTTCGCAAGGAATGTCAGAAACATCAACCTGTTCTTCTCTTTCTTGAGATAAAAGGTTTTCAATATTTTCCTCGTCGTTTAGGCTCTCTTCATCATCAGAGTTGTCATCTATCTTGCCTAAAAATGTGTCTGCATTAGCATTCAATCTTGGATGATCACACATGATTCTAAGTGCAGATATTGCAGACAAAATACAAGCTCTGTCTGTATTTTTGCTCAAAATTTGTCTAACAATTTCAGATTTCAAATAATTAGTGTACAAGACTTCTTGAGCTTTGGTTAAATAGCACCACAAAACTAGCTCATTCTTTTGAGATATTTTAGCTTTTCCTGTTCCCTGTTTTTTGAGAATGCTTGACATTCCAACGTTGTGGTCACTTTCAAGCACTTGACTTTTTTGTCGTTTTAAAAAATATGGAGAAATTAAGGCTCTCAATTTTTGGCTAAGCTTGTTCCCCAAAATTTTCTGAGAATTACTGGCATCTCGCTTTCTTGACTTGACAATGTCAAGCTCAAAATTTTTCTTAAACTCACTCCTGTTTCCTAGAATGTTATCACCATAAAATATATAATCATAAATTGCCCACATTTCAACTAGCTTGTTCATTAAGGGCGTTCCAGTCAGACAAAATTTGGCCTTGCTCGTAACCTGTCTCAAATTCTTTGCAATGGCAGTCTTTTCATTCTTGATTTGATGAGCCTCATCAACAATGGTAACATCAAACTCTTGTTTGGCACATATTGATACAAATAGGCCAATCTTGGAAACAAGAGTTCTATAGGTGGTAATTAACACGCCTGAGTGTTTTTTGGTGTGGCTATGGAATGATTTAATCACATATTCAAATTCTGATTTTTGTAGAGCATGGAAGAGATACGGAGTTACAAGAGGTGCCCACTGCCGTAGTTCACTCATCCAAGTTTGCAGAACAGACAAAGGAGCTACCACTAAAAAACGCTTTCCAGCTTCAGCCGCTGCAATTCCAGATAAGAAAGTTGATAATTGTACAGTTTTTCCAAGACCCTGTATGATATTGGATGATGATCACTTCGCCGACTACAAGAACCAGTGTATCTATAACTTACCATTTCGTCAGCCAAAATTCCTCCTCTGTAAGTGCTTTCATTGTAACGTTGATTAAGCCATTTGATACCCTCTTTTTGAAAGCTGTAAAGTTTGTTATAAATTCTTCCTTCGAGCATAAAGTTCTGAAGGTAATACGTGGCGTCATCACCTTCATCATCAGTCTTCCAACCATTGGGCAACTCTGTTAGTTTTGGAGGATTTTTGATCAATCTTTTGTATTTGGATTTCAATTGAGCCGTGCTTTGTGTTTCTGATTGGTTAGCCTCTTCAAGCTCTATTAAGGCATTTACATCAATGTCGTCACTGTTAATGGATATCAAGTCAATTTCTTGAGACATGGAGGTTCCTTCAAACTCCTCATTATCTTCATCTTCAGTTTCATCCCCAGTTTCAATTTCCTCTTCATCTGTATGTACCTGGTGTATGACTGTTTCTTCTTCTTCCTCGACTTTGTCTTCAGATTCTTCAGCATCATCATCTACAATGAAATCTTCCAGATCCCTTTCCACAATACGTTTCTTTTGCTTAATTCGTTCTGTAATATTAGAACCAATCACAATGTGTTCATCTTCCGTTGTTGAGGAATCGTCTTTTTTCTGTTGTTGTTGTTTTTTGGAAGTTGTTTTTCTAGTCATTGTGTGGTTCTTAAGCTTGTTGGATATTGATGTACCACTACTGGTCTGTTTGTAATGAAGAATAGCTTGCAAATCTTTGGATGCCTCCTCATCGGAGGAGATGACTATTGCACTATTACTATTTTGACTGCTGCTGTTTTTTGAAGGTCTGTTAACATGACTCGTGAGTTGTTCTTCCTCTTCATCATTGTCGGTTTCGGAGTCAGATGAAATCATGGTACAAGTGGGAGGTGATGGAGCAATGCCTTGCTCTTTCTTCTTTCTATAACTCAAGAGGCTTTTCTGAATGGTTGGAACACCTCCTCCGTTAGAAGTTAAATTCTTCTTGTTCCTTTTTCGTTGTGGAGGTTTATCTTCATGCTCCGAAGCCTCGGATGATGATGGCGTCCCAAAGAAATCATCATCAAGTGTAGTGTCTTTTCGTCGTTTGTTTTGTGTGAGTGGATGTTTATTGCAACTACTACCGTTGTTGTTTTTGTTGTTGTGGTTGTTGGTGCTACTCTTATTAATCCGAGAAGGAGGAGTGGCATTTAGGACCACGTCTTCCTCATCCTCGGAAACATCAAACACAATTCTTGGAGTCATGATGTTCCATTGATGGCTGGAATGATGATGGTTCTATTTTTTTATGTTCAGAACAAAACAAAAATTTTCGTTCCTAATGCAACAAAAGAAATTTCATTAAATTCACATTGCCAGGTTCCAAATGTCACAAAAAGTGATGGTCAAATTTATTGCGTTAAGAAACAAAAACTGTTGTAAATACAATTTTTTTTACTTTATTTCCAATCTTGAATAACCTTTGTTTTGAACAACTCAATTGCTATTTCCTTCACTTGTTCCAAAGATTTGCCATACGTGTCAACATATACTGACTCTACTTGCTCGTTTGTTTTTTCATTGTGCTCCTTCAATTTTTGAAGAATTTCTGAAGTGCAAAGTTGGGCATTGATACGATCTTGAGCTTCTTCAGGTGTCAGGTTATTTCTTTTACACAATCTCTCAAGCCTATCTTTCATATTAGATACATCAATAATCCATACTTGATCAATACCATGTTGCCAATCTGCCTCAACCAACACTGCAGCCTCCATTAAACACACAACCTTGTAATTTTCTGTGGCCTTAGATACTGCTTTTTTTAATTCAATTTCAATGAGACGTCTAATTTCTGGCCAAACAATATCGGTCAATTTTTTCATTAATTTTGCATCTTTAAACACAATTCTTCCTAGAATAGTCATATTTTGTTGGGTATTAAATTTCATAAAACATTGATATTCATTTTCGATTATTCAGTTTTCACATTATTTTTTTTCAAAAATTTTAAAAGTTATTAACAACAAAATGATCACGAATTTTCAAAAGAATCACTCACCCAATACCCTCCTATTAATTTGCCTCGTTTGAGCATCCACAAGTACCGATGGATCCTCTCCCAATTTTTCTTTCACTAATGGTCCAAATTCTTCAATCACTTTATGATAACATGGAGTGTCGACTTCATAGGCTTTCCATCCGAGCTCATCCGTTGAAATGATATGAAAATGAATCAGCGGTACAGCATTTGAAATATGATCCACTTCGGAAGAGTCTTGTTGTTGGTTCTGCTGCAGCCTTTCATGCTCTGCTATACATTCTCTGAGATGATTCATGATGGTGGATTTGCCAGAGCAAATTCCTCCCGTGATTCCGATAGTTTTGATCTTCTTTTGCATTTTTTGAGTGATTGGGGAGCTTCGGCGACAATGTGAAACCACTCCTCCTATAAAGTCACGCTCTGCAAGGATCCCAATGATCCGTTTTTCTTGGAATAAACTGGTTAAATTTTTTAAGTGATTGGTGTCGAAATCATTCTTTGCTGAGAGAGATTGCACACTCAAACTTGATGTTCTTCATCGATGATCTGAATATAGTTTCTTCTTCATGTTCAACAGTTCTCAATATGCATTTCTGACCTGTATCGTGTCATAAGAGTCACATAGGTAGCGAAATGTTGCGACATTGATCTAGTTGGTAACTTTGTTCTTGCAACTCTTGTTGGGATTCATTCATCGTTAGAAAACTTATAATCGTCGTAGGAAATGAACATCTGTTTTCGTGTTTATGATTGCTGGATCAAGATTGACATTTTTTGAAGTGTAGCGATGGTTGGAAAGCTTTCTGGAATCAAGAAAATTGAAATGTGAACAAGAGAGCTCTCTTTTTTTAAGAATGGTAGGTAATCGGACTTTTTTGTATCTCAATGTATTTGGTCACTTTTTGTAATGACCATTGCATCCACTTTAATTATTCCCATTCATGTGTTTAATATGATTAATTAAGGATGTAGACACGATTAGCCTTTTGTGGCTTGCGCACTTCATCTATGCTCGCCGCTCAAAACAAGAGTAATTTTACATTTGTTTGACTTGCAACACCTAATTGAAATGGTTCAAGATTCTGCTTTCAAGAATGGAAAGTGCATGCAACTTTTTTGAGATTTCAGTTTCCTTCTTCTTGACTTGTCATTCCCAACAAATTGCCGTTCGCCATGACAAGCACATCAAGTGTCATCTTGTATATTCACCTCAAATGCTGTTCTTTACCCCTTTCATCATTCTCAATTTTCTCTTTAAAACTCGTGTTGAATTCTTCTCAATGTGATTCCAACAAAAGAAAACAAAAGAAACACAAGATCAATTTCTTTCCAAACTCAACCTCTTTCCTCTCTCAACATTCATACAATGTACTTGAATTCCCATTACCTGTGCAGTCATTTCATTGAGCTCAATGACGAAGATGACCATGATTTGTTGTTTTGTATGTCGAACTCTCCTAATGCTTCCACCGACGCCATCTCTCCACAAGATCAATCGGATGAAGAAGACCAGATGACACCTACCAAAGATCATCATTCAACTTTGGGCGTTTCCACCTCTTCAGAATTAAACATTGGAGAAGGTGATGATCGTTTCAATTTGTACGACCGAGACCATGAAGAAAAACCATCCTGGTACGAAGACTCATCCTCTCTCAAGGTTGTTGTTAGTTCCTACGACAACCACTACCACCACCACCACCACCACCAACACTCCCAACAACAATGCTGGAATATGGCTGAAGAGGAAGACTTTCTTGGTTTCTTTCCTGAAGAAAAAGACCATTTTGAAGAGAGAGCTACAATGCTTTCTTCTCACCATCCCTTAGTGCCACTCTTTCATGCTGGACACAGTTCCTACATGATGATGTTTCAACCAATGAGCAGCTTGGAATCTCAAACATCTCCAGCAACCACTTCCACAGCTACCACAGCAGCCCTCAATATGTTGTATGCTCCCTTTACGGAATGCTCGAGCGTTGAGAAGAAAACCAAAGGATCGATTGAGAAGAGTTGGACTCCTCCTCATCCTCTTTATGGAGCTCATTTGAATTTAGAGGAATGTGGATTGATGCTCTCTCCTCAACATGGAGCAACCACTTCATTCTTCTCTACCACCAATAACAAGCACCACAACAACAACAACAACACCAACAACTCTAGTACTTTGGTGGTGAGAGATGGATCTCAAACCGCTGCCTGCAAACATGGTTCAGTTGCCTCTTCTACCACCACAATTAGCGACAACAACAATCATAATGGTAACCTCATCACTACGAGCAGTTATGATGTGACCACAGGTTCTTCTGAAGTGAAAGAATCTATGGTGAATACGAATCCAATCGGATTGACTTCTTCTTTCCTAGCTTCATCAAACTCTCCATCCTCTCCAACCAAGTATGATATTGCGACAGAGAGTACCTTCTCCAAGAGTGCTCTCGACGGAAGTAGCACAGAAGGAGAACCTTACTCTCCTCCTTGTATCAATACCATATCCATAAAAGGTCAAAACTCTAAGAAGATCATCTCCACCTCTCCTAAGAGAAAACGAGATGTAACTCGTGATTCTGAAACCGATTCGAGTACTGAGGAGGAAGAGAAAGAAGATTCTCTCAAGTTGGTCATTGACGATGATGAGAACAAGAAATCCATTGCTACTTGTGCACAGTCTTCGAACAAGAAGGTAGGACAGCATGGTCGTTCAAAACAAGTTAAAAACACTCAACCACACACAAAGAAACTTCGAAAAAAGAAGAAATCACATCCATCTCAACATGTTGCACAGCAAACATCCTCCTCCTCCTCCTCCTCCTCAACTTCTCAAAATCATCCCATTTCCATTCACACCAAAAAATACACCCTCAAAGAGATTGAGGAATTCAACACTTCCAATCAAGCACAGGTTTACTTCTCCACTCTCAATTTGGCTGTTTTTGGCAAAGAAATTCCAAATCATCCTCACTTGAAAATCGAACTCGACATGCCATGGCCAGACAACTATGTGAAACCATCCGTTTACAACAAGCAAGGTCAATGGGCTAAGGATGATACCTATCTCGCAAAATTTAAGGTCATTGTTACATCTAGTCAGGGAATGAATCAACCTTTGGATGTGATGAACATAAGATTGTTAGTGGTAACTCAGAAAAACACTGACAAACCAGACGGTCATTCTCTCAAGGTCAATCTTTTGGCAGGTTCAAAATCTATAAAGGGCTCACCTGACATGTATTACTTGGATAAGGATCCCAATGGTAAGCCTCTTTTGAACGTGATTGGAATTGAACAACCTGAAGAAGGAAAAATCATGTTCACGTGCCAGGTGTCCTCGTCCAACAACGCTCTATGGAAGAATAAGTATGCAGAGTACAAGTTGGTGGTATTCGATTCGAGTAACTTACTGGCTCACTATGGATATTTGTCGGATGGTTTTAAGGTTGCAAAAACACCAAAAATTCGAAAAGATAGTCCAATTAAAGAGAATCCATTGAGAGAGAGCACTCAAACAGAATCCACTTCAGCAAGCGAGGACACGACAAGCTCGAATGGAGGAATTGCCACTTGCGAGAAGGACCATCTTGACTCTGTCTTTGTCCAAGAGAGAGGTAAAAAGAAGAAGAAGCTCAAAATTTCAGAACCTACCATTGTCTATCAAGATGGAAAGAAGTACAAGATTACAGTTGAGCATGTTGAGGAATAAAAACAATGTAATTTTAAAACTTCATGACCTTATAGTTGCTTGCGAAATTGCTAATGGTTAGAAAGCCTGGAATCATGATTTTCATTTCAAGGTTTGCGAATTTTTATTATTATAACTGCTGTACATATTAAGAGGAAAAGGAAATAGACGGAACAATCACCATCCTCATCTATTCGAAAATGAAGAGATTATATTCTCTAAGTATTTTTGCCTGGCCCGCCAATTCTTGATTTACAATTTAATGATGACACATGAAAAAATGTTGAAGAAGAGAAATAGCAACTCGTCCTTGATCAACAACAACAACAATAATAATAGAGAGAAGGATGATCAAATTGGATCGGAAGTGGATGTGGCTCAATCGCCAAGTGGTGGTCTTTCAAGAAAGACTCTCCAAACGATCGAGAGAATGTCGCAAGTCTCAACGAATCAATCCCGATCATCTTCTTTATCATCATCTCGAAGGATGAGCTCCTCCGACAACAATCTGGAGAGTTCCTCTAGCAACAACACATCATCCAATAACTCTCCTCAAGAGGAGGGTTCTTCTTCATCATTAAAATTGAAAAAGCCAAGCACTCCTTCTCGGAAATCATCATACAATTCTGCATCAGGCACAAACGACAAGTTGAATACATTCATGAAATATTTAGAAGATGTTGATAAACAAAGTGTTGTGTCGTACACTTCAGAACTTTCGCAATCGTCACAACAAACAAAAACAATGGCTGTTCCTCCTTCACCTTCTCATTCCTATATTTCCACAAATTCCTCTGCCTCTAAAACATTAAATTTGAATAATTCAATGGATTTTGATGATGCATCTCCACAAAATTCCAATCCAACAGGTAGGCTTTTTTCCAAAATATTGAATGCATCTTTTAATTATCTTGTTCTGAACTAGCTGTTGCCGCTTCATTGTACGATGGCGTTAAATCCAAGATGAATGCCTTAAAGAATAAGGTCGCCGAAAAGGATAAGAGAATTTTGATGCTTGAAGAAAAAATTGCCAAGCTGAAAGAGACTGTCAATAACGCAGAAAAGATATTGTACGTATGATGATTCGTTTGAAAATTCCAAATATTAACCCCTTATGAATTGTTTCATCAGTTCTGCACAAGAGAAACAAAAATTACAAGAACAGCAAAAAGAGTTTGAAATAACATTTGCAAAACAAGTCAAGTTAATTGAAAAACTTGTGAAAGAAAAAGAAGCTCTCAATTCCAAGTGTACTGAACTTTGCAAAGATGCCAAAGTGATTGACGAAAAATATGAAATGAAAATCAACCTTTTGCAAGAGAAGTATGAGGCTGACCTAAAGCGAGCCAAAGAAAATTGGGAAGCCACTGAAAAAGTGAGACGCACAACATGGATGGCAGAGAAGGAAAAGAAATTGAAAGAGTCACTCGTAAAGGATATGGAGCCTGAAATTCAGAAAATTTTACTCTCTCACAAACAAGAAAAGGCAAAACTTGAAGACTTTTACCAAAATGAAATGAGAAAACAAAAGGTGGATTTATTGAAGCAAGCTGATTTAAGAATGGAAGAATTGAAAGAAAAATTCAAGAGAGAATTGGACGCTGCCTTAGAGAAGACACGTCATGAAAATTATACCGAAGTCGAACAACAAAAGCTTCGAAGAAACAAAGAGCTTGAAGAAATTGAAGCACGCTATAATCTGCAAGTGAAACAGGAGAGAGATCGAGCAGAGAAATTACTCATGGAAGAACGAAAGCTATATCAAGAAAACCTTGAAAAGATCAAAGCTCGAGAACGAGAACTCGAAGACAAACACAAGGATGAGGTGGAGAAAATTCACAAAGACTATGAAAAGAGGCAGCAAGAAGATATCAACACACTTAAGGCCAAATGGGAAATTGAGAAGGAACAGTGGCAAAATAATTTCATTCAAAAGTGTCAAACAGATTTCAAGGAAAAACAAAAGCAGCTTCGTGAAAAGATGAACACTCAACTCGAGGAACAAGTGAATGAAATTACAGCCAAACTTCAGGATGACTTCTTTGAACAAAAACAAAAACTCCAAATGGACTATGAAAAGAGAATGTCAAAGTTGCGAACAGAATGCGATGCAGAAGTGAATCGTGTGAAAGATGAATGCAATGAGTGGAAGGACAAGTACATGAATTCTGTCAAGTCAGTGAGCACTCTTGAAACCAAACTCAAAGAAAAGGAGCAAACGATCCTAGAGTTCCAAACTCGAATGGAAGAGCAAGAGAATACCATTTCCACACTCAAAAAGAAGATGAGCAAAAAGGAGGAAGATCTCTCATTGACCATGAAAGACATTCGTGAAGAGTTGGAATCCAAGATGAAACAATTACAGAATCAACTCGAGGATGGACAAGCTGAAAGAACTGCTCTCGAAGAAACCATTCAACGACTCGAGAAGGAACACAAAGAAGAAATGGATTCACTCCTCGATCAAAAGAATACAGAAATGGAAGCTCTCATGACCAACATCAAACAAGTCATTTCCAAGAAGGATGCCCAATTGCAAGACCTCTCGGAGAAACTCTCTTTCTCTGAACAGAAGTTACGACAAACTGAATCTCTTCTTGCCAAGCAACGACAAGAGTTGATCGAAGACGACGATGATGATTTTGATTTGTAATGATTTACTATAATTACATCATCATTTAAACATCATGCAATGGAATGTAATCATGATTGAGGTGTTGGAAAGGCTTAACATGTTCAATTTGAGCGGTTTTTTCAAATAATAATTCTACAAAAAAAACAACTTTTTTAAGATGGCAGGAAAGAGAAAGAGAGCAGCCGCTGTCGTTGAAGAGAATGACGAAGAATGCGGTGGTGTTGGAGAGGAGGAAAGCAAAAACACTCAGGAGAGCACTAAGGAAGAACAGAACTCTGAGAAAGAGGAGGAGGCTTCTCCAAAACCAAAAGAGAAGAAGAAAACGACAAAGAAGAAAGAAACAACGAAGAAGGCTTCATCATCATCGACGGCAGGCAAGAAGTCAACTGCAGCGCCAAAGAAAGGTTCAAAACCTGTCATTAAATCAGAGTCGGAAGCAAGAAATATGATCCTAGAGTATATGAAGGCTCAAAACAGGTAGGTCATGTAGTCTTTGTTGCATGTCAAACAAACGGTTCATGCTGCTATTCATTCATGTTGAATGAACCTGATGAAAAGGCCTTACTCCCTCCAGCAAGTCATTGATAATTTGGGTGGTCAAATCAAAAAAGCAATGGCCACAAAGTGTATTGACAAACTCGAATCAGACGGGGAGCTGATATTAAAAGCGAATGGAAAGCAGAAACTTTGGTATCGAAATCAAGCCGATCTCGAGGTGTTATCTAAGGACGAGCTCAAGGAAATTGATAATGAAATTAAGGAAATACAGAAAGATCTTGCTGCTGTCAAGTCCGAAAATCAAAAACTCTCCTCTGAGTTGGCCAGAATCCAGAAAGCTCCTACCACAGAGCAGCTTGAAACCATTGTCGAAAAGCAACGTGAGGAGCTTGCTTCAAAAAAGCAAAAACTTGAAAAACTTGAGAGTGGATCTATTCAACTGGTGTCTCCTGATGAAAAGAAGAAGGCCCTCACCGAGCTTGAGAAGTATTTAAAGGAATGGAAAAAGCGGAAGAATCTTGCGATGAGCATTTTCGATACCTGTTCAGAAAATTGTGAGACCAAACCTTCGGAATTGATGGAAGAAATTGGAATGGACACTGATGAGAGTGTAGGAGTGGATATGAAGAATATGGGACGTCTTTACTGAGAGAGCCTGGTCTCGTTTGCAATTCGGAAACGCTTGTTTGTGAACTTGGGGATTTCCATCATCTCTCTGAATTCATTCCACAATCCGTACAACGTTCATATTGGGCAAGCAACCACAAACGCAACAAACGCTTGCCTCTTCTCTACTTAAATGAATTTCAAAGTCAATCAACTTGTCAATACAAATTTGCTTCCTACCTCAATACTTTTTTCTCCGTGCCTTTTTTTAGAGATGCTATTTCTGAGAATGAAAAGTTAATTTTCGCGACCGATCATCTTCGGAACGAAGAAGGTTCCAGAGAGAGAGTCTCAAACCTGCCTTGGAGCAGGCTCACTCGTGGAGCAGTCACGACTCAAAATTACTTGATTCAAAAAAGTAACATCATTCCTCTAGCTTGGTCATTCCTTTTGTGAGTGCCATCATCAACTTAACGACATCATCGAGAGCATCTCTGTTAGTGCCCAACAACCCTGCCTTCTTCTTCTTTTTGATTTTATTTGAAATCAACGGAATATTCATCATCAACGCTCATCATCATCATCACCGAACTACCTTCGTTCCTCTCTAACAACAACAACAACAACATCATCATGATGATGATTGATCTGAATATAGCCTTTTCTCAATTAACCACCACGATGCAAAAGAATGTCCACCCATCGTGGACCGAAGACTACTCCATTTGTTTGGTAACCTTCCTCAACTCGATTCTCTTCCATACCATGATTTATTTGGTTCTCTCTCCATTACTCTCTCGACACTTTAAATCGTATCGGGAAGGTGATGAGGAAACGAAAATTGAGTGGAATTCTCGAGTGGTGAGTAATGTACACGCCATTCTTTATGTCTTGCTGAGTTGCTATTCCATCTTTGTAGAGAATGCGTTTCCTAACTTGTCCATTGATGAAGCTACAAAGATGTCTCGAGTGGCTGTTCTCTATGCAGGTGGATACTTTTTCTATGATTTGATACTAATTATTAGATATCCGAGTAAGTATGAATCTGTTGAATGAATCTGTTGAATGAATCGTTCATTGTGGATGATGACTCTTTTGAATGAATCAAATGTGGAATTTCAAAATGTAATGCTGGAACTGTGTGTGCAATCCATCGTTTCGATGGACATGTCGAATTACCTCACCCAACAATCATTCACAACAAATCACAATGTGTATGTGTGGTTCGAAATGTATAAATGATGACTTGAATACTATTGTGCGTGCATGAATGCATCCTTCATGATGTGATTCTTCACTATAACACCTCACTTCACGTGAATTCAAATTTGGATGTTCACCACGGACAATATATTTTATTCCGCTCCTCCTTTTCGGATAATTATTACAGAGCTTGGAGGTATTGCCATGCTATTCCACCACGGTTTTGTCTTGGTTGGAATTATTTGTATTTGGTTTTGTGACAAGTATTGGGTAGTTTTGTGTTATTACTCAATTCTTGAAGTGTCAACACCTTTTGTGAATGGAAGGTGGTTCTTGATGTGTTGTGGATTGAAGGATTCTGTGTATTATTGGATGAATAATTTATTGGTATGGCTTGTTTTTGGATTGTGCAGGTGAGTAGAATTTTGTACATGACATGATTCAATAATCCTTGCTCCTCAATGTCATGTGTGTGTTTCCCATTTCGTTTCATATTCATGTGAAAAATTCGTTAATTCTTCTTACATCAGAATGCCATTTGTCATCTTCGGTCCATACTTGATTTATGTCAACAACACGAGAATGTTTGCACATAACACCTTCTTTGCTATTTTCCTCTATATTCAAATTGCAAATATTAGTATTTTGAATATTTACTGGTATAGCCTCATGTCCAAGAAACTTGTTCAAACTGCGTCTTCCATGTTAAAAGGAAAGAAGGAATAAGATTTTGAGAATGGATGTAAATAATTTTTGTTGTTCGAGAGTAAATGATAATAACAATTAATTTTTTCGAATATTCTAATGAAATCATAAAATCATTCATGAATTAAAAGGAAGACATGCTAATGATCCTACTGATAATTATTGATATTTAAACAATTTCATAATTTAAGGACTTTAAGAGACTTTTTGACCAATGCCATTCCTTTTTGCCATTTACAAATTTGTTTCAACTCTTTTTTTTGAACGAACCTTAAAGTGTCACGTGTCCTTCCCTTTTTGAACTAAAATCACAACTTGCTTCTCATCATCACCCACTACTTTTCAGTCTTTCTTAAAAGAAAATGAGCAAACAGCATCAAGACAACCGAAAGGCCAACATGTAAGTACTCTAAGAGAGGATCCCTTCTTTCAAACTCCATCACATTCATTGTGACTGTGCTTGGATTGCTCATTCTCATCAAATGATGAATCCAACTCATGATGAATTCTCATGCGTGTTATGGAATTTTGTAAATATTCGTAGTTGCACTGCTTGTGTCTATGGAGTGTCCATTCTCTTCTCAATATCGTTCGCCATATGGGGACTTTTCATTTACTCGAACATTCTCTATCCAAGAGTTCCATTTGACACGATTCGTTGTTATGGTTCAACCATTGTGAAATTGTTGCTGGTGGTGACCGTTATGGAATTTATTGGAATTTTGTTTGGAACTCTGGCCATGTGTTCTGGTTTTCTTGAAGTTTGTTATAGTGCCTTCTCTGCCTCTAGATCTTACAAATTTGTGAGTCAAATGTCACCTGCCATGGACGATGAAGGTTATGCTGTGTTGAGTGAAAATTGGATTCAAGAAACTTCTCCAAACTTGTTTGAAAATGCACCTTTTGATATGGATGGAGCGCGAGGTGTTCAAATGAAGTCCAGTGTGGATCGAAGAAATATTGGAAATGCATCGAACCTGAATGCAACACTTGTCACTAATCAAGAAATGAAAACCACTGATGAAATGCGAAATGACTCTTCACAACTCGTGCAAAGCAATGGAGAAATTGTTGTCACTCATCATACACTTCCAACTAGAAAAGAGCAACATATCAAGCAACACTATGAATATCACTACGAAGAAACTAGTAGACGTTCCTGTTGTTCCAACTTTTTCAGAATTGGTGATTGTTTCACTCTTTCCTTTTTAAGAAACATCTGTCAATTGACAAAATCTGTGAATGGAATGGCCATCACTGCCTTACTCATTGTCATGGCATTCTATGTCTTTGAAAGTCGTTGTAACACCGACTATGACAGAATGTACACTTTAGTGAAACCATTTTTGATTGCCCAATTCGTGTATTGTGTCATTTCAACTTTGGCCACTTTAATTATCACCTGTGGACCTTTCTTGTTTCATATTTTGGTCCTAATTGTATCCTTGTAAATTAGAAAAATAAAATTTGAATTCTTTAGAGAGAATTGGAAAACGTTGTTGCATTTACTGACTGTCGTAGTCTTCAATTTGCTGAGTTTTTCGCACAACGATCATTCAAAAATCAAAACCTTTTTGTATCTTGACTGTTGATGGGTGTGCGATTATTTCAAGGCGAGTCATTCGAGCTCAAGCAACGGATCGCCAACCAAGCAACACACGCAGTCAACAAATGTCAACTTGCCACTTGTCATTACATCATTAAAAAATGTTTCTCTCAGGTTCCGGCGTCGAAACACACGATCGCCATTCCTCCAATCACTCATCACCTCGCTCGCTTACCTCTCCTCGATCCACAGTCTCCAACAACAATAGCAACACCAACATTACAACTCCGCATCCTCCTCCTCTCTCGAACATTCAACCAAACTCTTGCTCTGACAAACTTTACAATCAATATACCACCAAATGGATCAATCAAGCAGCCTTGAGTGGTAATGATATTCTTGGTTCGATTCTTGGCGGTGATTCCGAACGAATGATGGAATTTCGTCAAAACATTCAACATTTGACATTTACAGAAATTTATGAAAAAATTGAACGACAACATGAAGAACAAAAAGAATTATTGAAATTATATTGTCCTCGACTCTATGATGAATTGAAAATTACCAATGAAAAATTATTTTCAATTCTCGTTTGGATTTTCACACAAATTCCACTCACACAAAAATATTCAAAAAGTTTAAAGAAAAATTTTGAAAAAGTGTTCACAGCGAAAACATTTGTGTCACTTGTCACTTCACAACTACACAAAATTTCATTGCCTTATTTTCCGAATATTATTGCCACTCCCAAGAGCAATGCAGACATTTTAGACAAGTTGAAAAATTTGTATCGAAGTATTAACAATACTTTTGGTGAAACGAATGGACTTCGAATGAATGGCACCACAACTTCCATTTTGGCGCCCACGAGTTCTTCTTCTCAAATCTCTGCCTCTCCTAGACAGCAGCAACAACAACAACTGGATGATAGCTTTTCATTTAAGAATGATTGGACCAAAGTTCAAGCTGAATTATTAGGTCAATTCTTTTTGGAAATTGGTGTGATTGAGAATGTCAAACCTGAAAAGAAGAAGAAATTTACAGAGAGATCTCATCGTTACATGTTTAATTCAGAAACGATTGAGTATTATGCTGAATTGTTGTTTGTGAGTGCCATTACAAGTGTAGAACAGAGACAAGTGTTTGAACATTGGAAAATGCCAAATGTCAAAAATCCATTTTCACAATTTGCACATGATTTTTATTCTCCATTTTTGAATGGTATTTCAAGTGGATCCATGCAATTATTGACTGCAGGACAACTCATTCAACAGACTTGTCTTCAAAGTATCATTCTTTCACAAGAAAAAGATTTTGAACTCGTTCAAGCTCATATTAAGAAACTTCACGAATCGGATTCCATGGAATCGACCAATGATCATTCCACCAATTCCTCTCCACTCCATCCACACGAACAACAAGATTCAATCTCACTCTCAACCAGTAGTGCCTATGCTTTGGTATTTCGAACAGATTCTCCAACACACAAACGATCAAAATCCAAAGACATGTCTCGATTGGCTTCAAATTCTGATTCATCTTTCATCGATCGAAGATCTTTTAGAATGAGTAATGCTAATGGATTGAGTCTCAAACCACCAATTGGTTGGGAATCTCAATCGAGCATGTCACTTGGAGGTCAAGAATTTAAAAAACGATTTTTAATAGAAAATGGAATTGGAGATATCGAAATGCAATCACCTCGTACCAAGTTTTATGAACAACATGGAATTCGAGCAAAAGTTGAGAATTTACAACAAGCTCTAATGATTCCTTCCGTGTTGGAAGAATTTGCCAAGTTTTGTGTCACTAATCACATCGAAGAAATTATTAATTGTTGGAAAAATATTCAAGCATACATGAAAATGGAATCTGCCAAAGATCGAAAAGACAAGGCCGTCTATATTATGAATCAATTCATCGGTGATTCTTCACAAACCTCAACACCCATTAATATCGATTCTGAATCTCGAGAACAACTCCTCACAAGAATTCAAAGCAATTTGGAAAATTTTGCATTTTTCACAAAAGATCTCTTCTCCAACATCGAATTATTGCTATTGAATGATCTCAAAGAACCTTTTATGAATTTTAATCAAAAAAGAAATCAAGAAATTGATTCAGAAATTGATCAATTACAAGAAAAGCTTCGTTTAAATGCCATTCAAGAAGAAAAGACTTCCAAGAGCTTTTTGTCACAAGTGGTGAGTGCACTCAAAAAGAAGCCAACTATTGCTTCGCCTACTCTAGTTGTGTCAAATGGTGATGATTCAATAATGACCACCAAGTCACCATCATCATCCTCTCAACAATGGAACTCAATGGCTTCCACTCGTTCACAAAATAATTCTCCTTTATATCCAGAAATGGAGAAATTACCACCTCATCTCTATAGTACCTTGACAGATGTTCTTACCAATAGAGATGCAATCAAACAGTTCAAGATATTCTGTACATCGGAACATTGTGAAGAATATATTCTATTTTATGAAGCAGTTGAGGATTTTAGAACATTGCCTTCACAGCATGAACGCATTCAGAAGGCGAAGGAAATATTTGAAACATTTATTGAGATACCTTTAAAACGAACAAGTTTGTTTGAGTCTCAAATTCGTTACTATACGATTGGATGTAGCACTGATGATATTGACAGAATCAGAAAGAAGGTCCTGAATGAAGATTTTTCAGTAGAAATGTTTGATGATCTTTCGTTGGATGTGCAAGAGCAAATGAAGGATGTATTCGAAAGATTTGCACAGGCTCAAAGAGAGTGGAAAGCTAAAAGAATGCTTACTGGAAAAGATTTAATGTAATTTTACAAAGAATAAATTTGTTGCTATTGGTCAACCATATTTACATTCACCACATGTATCGATCAGATGATAAAGCTGTCATTCCAACAAGCCTTGATCCAAAATAAAATCACCCTGCTACATAATTTTCACAATGATCATATCATCAATTATGAAGAGCTTAAATAAATTAATAATTATTATTTAATAAATTAAAACTCAAGAGTTTCGCAAAATTGTGGAACTTGAAACATATTTAAAGTTCAAAATCGATCTTGTAAATATCCTCAATTTCTTTCCATCTAGTCTCTTCAATCTCCAAGTCCTTAATGAGACCTGTTTCAATGTCACAGACCCATCCATGAACGTGCAAAGTATTTCCCTTTGCCCACGCAGATTGTACAATACTTGTCTTACAAAGATTCAAAGTTTGCTCAATGACATTCAATTCAATCATTCTATTGATCTTTTGATCCTTATCTTGAATGGCATCAATTTCTGCCTTATGCAAACGATAGACATCCTTAATATTTCTCAACCAATTGTCAATCAAACCGAATTGTTTGTTTGTGAGAGCAGCCATCACACCTCCACATCGAGTGTGACCCATCACAATCACATGCTTCACTTTCAACACTTCAACAGCATATTGCAAAACAGACATGACATTCAAATCTGTATTCACGACCAAGTTGGCAACATTTCTGTGAATGAAAATTTGACCTGGTTGAGTCTGAGTCAACTGATCCGGTGGCACTCTACTATCGGAACAACCAATCAACATGTAATCAGGTCGTTGAACTTCCTTCAAACGTGAAAAGAATTTTGGATCTTTAGAAGTCTTCTCAAGAACGAAATTCTTATTACCTTGTAATAACTTGTCATAGCAAGTCAAAAACTCATCGGTACTTCTACTTCTGCTTAATCGTCCTGGAGCATTGATTCCTCGATTGGTTTCAAACTTTTGTAATAAACCCTCAATGGATCGAGAGAGGTTGTGTTCCGAAGGCTCTTCTCCCTTGAATGCTGATGCTGAGTTGCCAGTGTTTTGTTGATTGTCAATGGAGAGAGTACTAAAATCAACTCCGGGACAGAAGGTAGTAGTCATTGCAGGGTTGTTCATGTTGTTGTTGTTGTTGTTGAGAAGGATAGTATCGTGATGTTGTTCATGATGATGATGGTTGTGGTGGTTACAACACGGATGAGTTTCTTCTTCTACTTGAGGATGTTGTTGTTGTTGGGGTTGCATCTGGTATTCATATTCCGTGGAGATGTAATGAAGGGTCATCATTATATTGTCCGAATAGTCATTGGAATCGTTGCCATCATCATCATGAGTTCGGATTAGGAAAAATAGGCATTTCAAGTAGAATTGTAAGAAACAACAACATTACTCTCTGCAAAAACTCACCTTCAAAGATCTTCGAGCAAATCGTTGGATATTATGATTGAGCTCAATCAGTGTATGAGTTTGTTTTCGTTGATGAAAGGTATTTCCGAGAGAGGAGGAGGAGGACAAAAAGTGAAACTGTCGTTGTTGGCCACTACTCTCCAATAAAGATAGATAATGAGGAGGATGGCTATTCAAGTAGGTGGGTAACAGAATTGAATTTCCGAGAAGAGTCTTTCCTTTCAAAAGTGCAACGTGTCTTCTTCCTGTTTTTAATACGGAAGCAGTACTGGTAGGAAATGGATTTAAATTTTTCATGTTTGAGTGGTTGTGTGTTCAACACTCTTTCAAGCTTGCTCTCGGAAAATCTTGTCGTCAACGGAAAAGTGCAGATTGTTTTTGGTACTGTAACCATTGGGAGCATGACAGGACATCCGTATTCCTTATTTTATCGTTCATGCACTTCCGAAACTTCCGGTCCTAGCTCCTTCATGCCATAGAGGCCTTTGGAGCGAATGATGACCTCAATAATAATGAATAATGAAAGTAGTGACATTTGAGGAAAGAAGGTGATTTAAGGAGAGTACACTAAAGAGAGTCAAATCATTCCATTGATCGCTTTTTTAATGGAAATTGTGTCGTATTTCAGAAATCATCATGTTGCATTCAAGGCCTAAAGTGTTTCTCCAACATCGATTTGTTCTTCCTGTTGTTGTTTTGTTTTCGATTCCTTTTTGGAATGTGGATTTTCAATGAGTTCCACAGTGTCAGCTTCGAGAGGATCATTCTTATCATGATTTTCTTCATTCATTTGAATCTCATTAGGTTCTTCAGATTTTTCCTTAATTTCCATCTTTTCTTGTTTTTTCTTGGCCTTTTCCTGTTGATATTCTGTGTACATGAAATAGGAGACTGATGTCAACACGATTAGACATCCCAGTAATTGCCAAATGGACTTGAGACTCTCTTGTAATATGAGAATGCTGAAAACAATGGTTGAAACTAATCGTAACGCTAAAATTGATCCTACGACTGAGGAGCCCAAAGTACTGATGGCAAAAATGTTCAAGTGGTTGGCAAGCATGAAAACGAAAATGGTAAAGCTAAAGAACATGATCCAATCTTTGGTTGAGAGTTTTGTCCAGATTGTCCAATCATCAACAATGACACTTGGAATTAAAAATATAAAGCCCATGACTAATATTTGAAGAATGAATAAATTCTCTCCCGTCACAGTCACAATATTCGACTTTTCTTCTTGCTTCATGTACCTCAAACAGAGCATATACCAAACTAAGCAAGCGCTCGAAATGAGTGACATTGAAATACCCAATAAATCCCACCAAGTAATGTGTTCTGAAAACGAGCTCCAATTAATGGCATACGTATAGAAGAATGCATACCATGGCTGTGGTGTTTCACTCTTTTTAACCACGCTTCCAATAATAATGACTACTCCTCCTATCACAGTTAAAATCATAGAAATCCATGCTTTCAATCCAAATGATTCCTTAGCATGTCCTCTCAAAAACCACTTGTTATAAACAAAAACTGTCACAAAGGCCAAAATGAATGGTGTTGTCAATGCAAAGAGCTGTACAAAAATTGCACTTGTAAATTTTGAAGACATGATATTCGTCACAGATCTTGTCACAAGTGAAATGCAAAAGCACGTCAGTGGTAAAAATTGTCTCACTTTTTCCTTGATTCTTTTCCATAAATTGTCTCCACTGCTTGCAATGGGAGTTAAATCTTCATTTTGGTTTGACTGGTCATTGGAATGTTCTTCTTGCGCTCTTGCTGGAATTCTCTTTTTTGAAATTCTATCTTTCACATGAACAATTAAAAGGTAAATCATTCTGGGTAAATAGATTAATATTGCTGCAATATGACAACTTGTAATAAGTAATAAGGAAGGAAGCTTGTTTTCGGATTGTGATTGTAAATATCTCGAAAATATCGGATGTATTCCAAACAAGACATGGACCATGATACATGATATCCACCCAAGTGCAGGTTTTAATTTATCCAAGAGATGATTCAGACGTTCTTTCATCACATATGGGGTTGTTTGATTTTTGAAATTCTTGTTCGTTATTTCTTCTTCTTCGTGATGAGGATGGTGATGACTCGAGCCTTCATCGGAATGAGCTTCTTCGGCCTCACGATGATGAGAGTGATGGGAATGATGATTCGTTTGCACCATTTCTTCTTTCATCCTTGTAGTAGAAACTGTTGTCCTATATTTTGATTAAATTTGAATGATAATGTTGTTGAGGGTTGTTGTTCGTACGTTCGTTCGCGAATGATGATTTTCGGGAAGGTATTATTCTTATATTAGTACGACGACACTCGTAATACGCGTAAAGTGTACTGTGTTCAGTGTGAAGAATTGTTGTTCAATTTTTATGAATGTTTCTTCTCCCTCCTATGAGGCATGAGGATGAAGAATCAAAACTTGTCCGAATGTGTTTATGGAGGACGATGATTCACAAACAAGAATTAAACCGAATGATTCGAACTTGTCATCATCCTAGGACCTTTTAGCTGCATGTATTGAACCCAATAATTGATTGAATATTACATGAAATCGATCTCATTCAATCAATTAAAAACGATCGTTAAGAGCTCTCTGAGTACAAACTCCTATTTATAACAATTTACTTTTCATTGATACCCTCATAATTGTTATCAATCATTCAGTAGCCTTAAAATAATCCCACTACACTACTACTACGTTGCGTTTATATTCTAAGGCACACACTCATAATCTCTCCGATTCAAGAGCATTGAATCGTTACATCTGAGAGACACGACCCTGAATGAATGCAGCTGTTCAAAAGATTCTTCATTCTTCGAAGGTGTAACGTCTTGTTGTTGAGGGATTCGCTTGTGGCATTCTGAGAACCTTCCTCAAAGAGGTAATAAGTGGCATCTGAAGAAGAGATGACTTGCTTCACTCTCACACTGGTGGGCACTCCTTCGAGGGAGAGAATTTTCTGAAGACCATTCGGTTCAATCGAGTAAATCACTTTCTTATTCAAAACCAAATAATAGTAACAATAGCCACAATAAATGTCCAAGTTGGACATCTGGTTGGTTGGTGAATGAATGGAATGTTCTTTCTTTAACAAGGCAAGTTCATAATCGGCATGATGAGTGCTCGCATGAGAATCTGAGAGTGTGAATTGTGAAAGAGTGCTCGAATGTTGTTTCAAGAAAAAGATTGTGTCGTACATGTGAGAGGGAGCAATGCATGCGACTTGTTGCATGAGAATGTGAAAGGGAGTTTGATTGTTGCAACAATAAACATTTCCATTCTCTTGAAGAACGATTAAGCCGTGATCGGTGTGTTTGAAGGTTTTGATTTTGCTTTCCTTAAATATTTCACAGTGAGGTACAGAAAAATTCTTTTGATTTGAATTTCCATTCATTTCACCACAGGCATGGATTTTCCATCCATCCACAACAATGCTTGAGGAAAATGTAGCACAACTGACATCTGTTACTGTCCTACTTTCCTTTTCGACAAATTCGAGAGTGGTGACTTTTGTAAACTTGTTAACTTCTGAAAATTCATTTGAAAATAATTGTCCAAATGAGCAATGACCAACACAATACACCTTATTGTAATCTAAAATGATGATTGAATGTAACCAACCTGCTGCAACTCCTGTAATTGACGAATATTGTGCTGGAATTTGAATTTCTGTTAATTTTGTTAAATTGGAATGAGTCAGACGATTGTAACCTGTTTGAGAGTAATTGTTTAATCCTAAACCATACAGCTTATTGGAATTGGTGACCAACAAGAAATGTGACCTGCCAGCTGCCACCATCTTGACACTTGTCAGTGGATTATTACCGAAAGAGGGCAAACCACTTGACAAAGTCACACTCTCAGCGATGGGTCGCAAAGGAAGACGTTCCTCTGTGGTCACTCCCAATCCGAGCTGTCCTTTATCATTCTGACCTTCCGCAATGATATGTGTGCATTCGAGACATTTGGCAAGTGTGGCGTGGCACTTCTTTCGATTTTTAATATTTTTTGAAAAAGTAGAAAGAAAGCTTTTGGATAATTGTGGAGAACTCTTTTGTTGTTGAGACAAACATGACGATGGTGATGCTGGATGAGTGGAGGTGATAGAGGTTCGTTGTGATGAATTTCCCATTTGTTTGTGTTGTGTGAAAATTCAACACATTTAAAGTGTCGACACGATATTTCCTTTTATCTTTAAAAGTCAACTTGTGGAAAATTGTGGTGATTAGATCGAGTGTGCAAACCTCTGTGAATAATAATTCGTGTTTTGTTTCAAAGATGCAAAATGGTGAAAAGCCTTTACCTTCAGGAATGTAACCTACTGCTGCTGCTGAGGAAAATGTGGTGACTGATTCAGAAGGAATGACAACTCACACATGGAAACACAACCAAATCAATGTTTTCAAAAGAAATATATTTATGAATTGAAATAATAGTTACAATTTAACATGGTGTGAAAACAGACTATATGTGTGATATATAGACAAGTTTGTTGTTGTGGGATGGGTGGTTGTTGGACACAGCAACTGAGGTCACTGCTAACAATGTTGTTGCTCAAAGTGAAACAACAAAAAGGGAGTTGACAATAGTTGTGAATAAAATAGCGCATGAAATGGATAATACATGATCACACACACACGATTTCAAAATTTGCAAATCCAAACGAGTGTGAAAAATTTAGGCCCAGATTTGCAAATTGAAATCCCAAGAGGCAGTACACAATGCATTACCGTCTGGAGAAACAGCAAGACAAGCAACTCTTCCGTCTGGTCCATTTTGTTCATTGGTCAAGTTTTGAATAATTTTACCCTTCAAAGTATCCCAAACAACAATTGACTTTTCATCGTAAGCAGCATACATCAAACGTCCACTCTTGCTGAATGAAATGGATGTTGCACCTTCTCTGACAGAATCATCAGAATATACCTTCAATTCTCTGCTCGCACGAATATCAAAGAGTCTGCAAGTATTGTCATCAGAAGCAGTGGCAAAGCTCAACCCATTAGGGAAAAATTGAACACAGTTAACATCGGAATCGTGACCACCAAAAGTAGCAACACACTTCCCCGATCTAATATCCCACAACTTGGCATAGGCATCACAACCACCAGAAACAAATTGAGATTCATCTGGAGAGACAGAAACAGACATACAGTCACCAGTGTGTGATTGGAAGGTCTTGATTGGACGACCCATTTCAACATCCCAACAAATACAAGTCATGTCGCCAGAACTGGATAAAATTTGCTTGTCATTTGAAATGAATTTACAAGCACTAATGTAACCAGTGTGTTGACTCAATTCACGATGAGGAGTTGTTGGTTGTGAACTATCCGTTGCTTCAGACAATTGATTAATGTTAAAAATGGAAACAATGTTGTCCAAACCACCAGAAGCAACATATTGTCCAGAATTTGAGTAGGAACAAGTCATGACCCAATTAGTACGAAGTGTAATGGCATGTTGTTTGTAGGTGGTCAAAGCGTTCCATATAATGAGTTTACCATCTTGTGAGGCAGAGACCATCAGTTTGCTGTCTGGAACTGGACTCCAAGCACAGCTGTAGACTTTACCCAAGTGTCCACGAAGAACGTTTCTAACTTTGAGTTTGGTTGGAGTGATGGGAGCGGCATCCAATTGAGATACTGTTGTTGAAAGTGAATGAGTGGATCCAAATGTGATGAATTTGTTCGAGAGAGAAGAAGGTTCACCCGCCATGATCACAAAGATGATGATGACAACATGTGGTGTTCCATTGTTGTTAGTGTTGATGGACCATGTTATTGTTATGAGAGAGAGATGAGATGGAAGTGTGAGGTAGTGGTGGGTTGTTGCAGGTGGTATGTTGGAACACATTATGAGAAACGTTTTGGTGAAGGTTTGACAAATCCAATTGACATTTGACGTTTCATTTTTGAAAGCACATACAGAAGATGATCGTGGTTGAAGTTGTTGTTGTTGGAATCATCAATGGTAGCAAAGCAACAATGATCGTCGTTGGTAGACATTTCCATTGTCATCATCATTCGTTTGTAAAGAGACAAGAATCATCATTAGACATCAATCAACACTCAATTCATCATCCATTCACCACTACTTACATTTGGCATCATTACCACCCTCCATACTCTTCTTGATTTGTTCTTGCAATGATTGAGCTTCTTGACGAGCCTTGTTAATTTGTTCTTGTATAGAAGCCATTCTTTGAGTTCTTCTTTTACTACTTTGAATAAATTAGTTGTTGTGATGATGAAAGTAAATTAAAGTGAACTCGTTACTACGATACGAAGGAAGGAGGAATTGACCAACTTTGCAACAATATTGATGATGATGATGAGAGAAGGATAACTGCCAGCGACTTTTTACTAAAACAAAAGACGAAAACAACGCGTTGATGGAGGTGCGGCGGTTAGGATTTTTTTTTGCGAACTGATGATTTGGTCGCTTGCTTCGTTTCCAGGTTTCCTCTTCGGGAAAGTGAAAGCTGTCAATGAGTTGATGGGTTGATCACTGCGCGAGGGTGATGAGAGAACGTGGTTCAGTAGAGAGCTTTTGTGGGCCTCAACGTTTTAAGTGAGGCGGTTCACTTGTGTGTGGTGGTGCACTTTCTATTGAACATTGTTGTTCTGTGAAGGGTGTCTTTGTGTCTCATTGAGTAAGAAGTGAATGACATGTGGTCTAGCCTCCTCTCGAAGGATCACAAGGACCAGAAACAAGAGAATGTACCATTCTTGTTGCGAGTTTAAACCCGTTGTTTCATTGTTAAATGTCTATTAGAATCTCTTTTTCTAGAAAGCCAACCTTAATGGAAAATTATGGTGAGATGGAAGGAGAAATTCATGTTGAAACTCTAATTTATCACTTTGTCCGATAAATGATGATGGTAAGCCTTTCTTGTCAAAGCGTGGAATATTTGGATTCAGAGCTATTTCATCCTCTATGAAATTTCACGATCATGTTGCCAAGTTCCTGTAATTCTTCTTTTTTGATCCTAGAGATATAGATTCTTAGAGTTGCATGGATGAAGAGATTGAAAGAAGAATTTTCCAACTTTTGCTTCTTCTTCTTGGGGTTTGTTTCCTCAAAGCTCATTCTTCATCTTCTTCTTCGGATCGATACAAATACAAGCCTCTTTCTGGCTCAACACATAGGCATCACATCCGAATAATCCAACACCCATGAAAAACATGGAAGATGTATTCTTACATTCCTTATGAGTCTTGGAATTCTTCTTCTTGTTGGTATCGCAATGTTGATTCATACAGCGATAAAACTCTTCATCGCACTCTTCCTTGGATTTACGACAATCTGTATAGCACGTATCGTGTTTGTTGCAGCAATGAGTGAACCCAAGCTCATCGGAAATGGCATTAAACTCACCCTATGTTCCACAACCATTGGGTTTGGGTGAATAACCGAATCGTTGTGTTTTCTCGAGTCCTCTCGGACACGTGTAATTACATTCTTGAGCATGAAGTAAAACATGTTCCGAGAACAGACAAGATGCCAAAGTGAGTGTAATGATGATGATGATGATAAACAAAGCTCCATAACGAAGAATTGGTGAATTGGAGTGAGGGTTTGGATGATGAATCGAAGGCACAAGTGAAATCATTTTTTTTTAGTAGAGTGTGATCGATAGGATTTGTAGAACCTATTCAGGACACACTCGTCACAGTGTTCTGTCGGATGTGGATGACAGAAATTATTTTAGGAGGAGGATGAATCTGTGACACAATTGGTTGGAGCATCATCTTTCCTTGGTTTAAGTAAGGGTGCTTTAAATCTCGGAGATGTTGTAGACTTTCAAAGACCTGTCAATTGTCATACCAAGAAAATCACATCAACAACCTTAAAAAAGTGTCACTATGAGTCAACCTCCTTTTTCTTTCGAGCATGGGAAAGAAGAAGAACATGATTTCAAAGTAAACACTTCTCGTTCATCATCAACAACTTTTATAAACGAAGACATCACTGAGAAAGAATTTTCAAAATCATCAAGAAGTCAGACATTTGAAATTTATGATCAATTGTTGATGGTATGCGAACAAACAGGACCAATTTTTGAAATTGGTTTAGATGAGAACAATGATGATGAGGACATTGAATGCAGATATCATCAAAATACCTCGGATTCATGTGTTGAAATGCAAGATCATGATGATCAGGTGACAGATCTCAAAGAAATGAATGCCGAAGAATTATTTGAAAATAATCAAGCTTTAAACACTCAACAGTCAGACGAAATACAAAATGTCTCAAGCAATGAAATGGAGTCAACATCTCCGATTTCTTTGAGAGAGGATGAATGGATTCCAATCCGAATTCAATTGAATTCGTTACAACAGCAAGTTAGCGATTATCAAACAGAGATGAATGGAGTGAAAGAACAAGTTCAAAATCACAAACAAACCTGTCAAGAATTAAGCTCAACCATACTCTCTGCCATTCAAAAAATTGAAATCGTTATAGTATTCCACGAAGAAATGAAGTGCATGAAAAATTCAATGGCTGAATTGAAAGCATCACTCCAAACTCTTGGAAACGAACAAGCCACATTTAACACTCAGTTAGAAACAACTTGCCTCAAAGTAGAATCTCTTTCGAATTCATTGAAATTCATTCAAGAGGACATTTCTCCACATGACAATGAAATTTCAAAAGACATGACAATTAAATTGAACATCCTCATTCAAGAAAAGGATGAGCTATTGAAACAGCTTCAACAGTTGAAGGATGAGAATTCTCAACAATATGAAACCTTGAAAATGGTACAAGAAAATGTTCTCCAAACAAAGAACGTGACAGAAGAGTCCATTTCCAACATTCAATCAGAGCTGCAACTCACAAAACACGAAATGAATTCTCAAATCGAGTCGTTTCAAAAAGAAATACACTCCAACAAGGAGAACATGATGGAGTTGAGAGAATCATTGAATACGTGTCAAAAAGAGAGTTCATATGCTATAGATCATGACACACTTTTGCAATTTCAAACACTTCAAAAAGATCATGGTGAATTGAGAACATTTACACAAAGACTTGAACAAGAGTTGAAAGAGTCCAACCGTCAAATCGCTCAATTGAAACTATTTATTATGATCATGCTTGCCATTTTAGTGGTCTTGATGGCCATACCAGTGATGAGAGTGGTGGTGAACAATAGAGACATTCTAAATTTGGGTCATCCATGGATTTAAGTGAGATGATCAATGAGCCCTCTGAATTTCAGGAAGTATTGCTGCTGTACACAGTGTTTTTTTGAGAAACCAAAAGCCATTGTATCTGTTACTAATGCAAGTGAGAGGAATGGATTGAAAGAACGAATCACCATCATGGTGTCCATGCTCCCTTAATTTGGTTCCAAATCATTATTTGAATAGATCTGCTTGTTCATTCAAGTTGTGATCAATAGATCTTTCTGAATTTCATTATCTTGATCGAACACTCAAAGAGACATGTGTACGCGTAATGTGACACATACTTTGAATAATAATCCAAAAAGGTTTTATCATCCATTTCGAAAAAGGAAATTTTTTATTTTGAAAAAATGCAAGAACTTGTGTGGCTGGTGTTAGTGGATTTCATAGAAAAGGAAGATTCATCATCATTATCGGAAGGATCTTTTTCATTCTTTTATTCAAAATTGAAAGAAAAGATGAGCAAGAAATTTCGTGATCAACGACCCTTTTCAATGAATTTTGAACTGGTTGAAACGATAGGAGTTGATGGACAGCAGCAGAACTCCCATGATGGTTTTGCCTGTCCATGGGATGTAAAATTTAGTTGTGAGTGTAATTGTATCATGGTGAGCGATTTTGATAATCATCGCATTCAAGTCTTTGATGCCATCACAAAAGAATACAAAACAACACTGATATTTCATTCTGAGATTTATTACCCACAATGTTTATGTATTGAAAAAGATTACGACGGAATTGGAGGTGAAGCATTACTCCTTGGACATGTAAACGCAGATGCAGTAAGGGTTCTTTCCAAATTTGACTTGAAAAACATATTGACCAATTCAATACAACAACAACAAGCTGCCACACACGAATTGTGGAGTTCTAGATATTGCTCTCCTGATGGGATTGCGGTTTGGAGAAAGACTGAACTGTTAAAGGATCGAATTGTCGTCGTATGTGATTACAAGAGGCATGCCATTTATTTATTCGAATCAAGCACGGGAGAGTTTATCCAAGAACTTGCAATTGATTACCCACTGTTCAAAATAGAACATCCATCGGCTATTTGCATTAGTATGGATGGTTTGATGTTTATTTCTTTCCACACATTACGAGACAACATTTTAATATTGAGATATTCATACGAAAAAGAAAAATGGATAGTCTTAAAGGACCTTTCCAATGTCAACAACTACTGTAAAGGACCAAATGGTCTCTATTTTGATAATGCATCCAGGCGCTTATTAGTTTGCTTCAGTGATAGCCAAACTGTACAAGTATTTTCTGAAGATGGCACATTCTGCAAAATGTTTAAATTGCCTCAAGAGGATTTACCTATACTTTCTGGAATATGTGTGTGTGAGTGGACTGGAGAACTTTGCGTGTGTGATTGTGGAAACCATAGATTACAAATTTATAAGTGATTAGTGGTTTGGCCGAGAATAATTATTTGAATCTACTTACCATTTTTTTTGAATTATTTTTTGTACAACAACACAAGTGAAAGTCTAGGAATGGATCGAATTTTGAAATTATGAATCACCAAGTAATTGTCAATGCTCCCTTAATAGGTTTTCCAAATCATTATTCGAATAGATCTTCTTGTTCATGAAGTTGCGATTAATTGATGGCAGATCCGTCTGTATCAAAGGCTATTCTTGATCAAACACTCACTACCAATAAGAAAAAAAGAAGAAGTGTCATGTGTGAACAAAAGTAAGGAGAAAGACTGTTCGCATGCATTGTCATGATATTTACTTTGTTTTACAACAGGACAATTCAAAGTGTGAGTCGAGGTGGCCGAGTGGTTAAGGCGGTAGCCTGCTAAGTTATTGGAGTAATCCGCGTGGGTTCGAATCCCATCCTCGACGAATTTTTTATTTTCCCATAATTCATTTTCAAAATTATCTGAATTCAATTGAGGGTTTATACAAGCGATACTTTTTTTAAATGAATTGAAATGAAAACTCTCTTGGGGTCATTCTCAGCAATAAAATTTCATTTCGTTTCACATGTGAAATTTAAAATTCCCCAAGAAAATTAAATATATTTCGATATCACAGGGTTTTCATTTTATCTTGTAAGGATTGAATGTTGATAATGAACGACTGAGAACAAAATGGAATGTGATACTATAATATTGATAGCTTCTATAACCTCCCGTGTAGTCCAATGGTTAGGATACCTGGCTTTCACCCAGGAGGTCCGGGTTCGATTCCCGGCATGGGAGAATAATTTTTTGGATACGATGGACAAGACCAAAAGTGACGTCCCTCAATATCCTTTAATGATGCAATAACATTGTGGAGGTCAAGGAATACTATTCACTTCACCTAACGAAATGTCACTACCTTTTTGCTTTTCATTATCAGAGTCTCATTCACGGTAAAATATTATCGCAAATATCCAGGCAACACCTCATTCGCATCATAGTATGACGCAGAGCTTGCTGAATAGGAATGTCTCTGGTAATGTTTATAATATCTTTTGTGTCGATTCTTTCGATTTTTTAACACCACAATTACCACTGCAATGACAATGACAGCCATCAACAAGGAAACGAATGCAAAACTGCCCACTCCGATGGCAATGGCAATTCCTTTGGAGATGAGTGGTTCGGATGTAGAATTGGAGGAGGCTGCTGTCACATGATTCAAGCCGAAACCACTCTGAATGAGACGAAGATTTGATTGCATTTTTTTCGAATTTGTGAAAGCGGACAGTTGACAGAAGGAAACAGTGTGTGTGATAAATCCTTCAAGAAATATATAAAAACCTTAATTATTCAGAACAGTACATAAAAAACCCATAAATAACCCCTAATGACCTCCTTATTTATTTACGGGAAAATTCTCTCAATTTTCAACAAGGCCAGTGGTGACATGTGGTGTGACATCTGCAACGTCGTCCACACTGTGAGAAGACTCTGTTGGATGCTCTTCGAGCACCATATTATCCTCATGTTCGTGATGCGATTGCTGTTGATTCATGGCAGCATACATTTGCTTGACAATTTCATTTCCCTGAAGATACCATTCATGTTGTTTGACTTGTTCCAATCCAAATCTTGTCTCTGCATTCACTTCCAATACTTTCTTTAATAAATCTCGACATGCTGGAGATAATTTCACTCGCTCATCTTCATCATCATACATTCCATAGTCTGAAGAATTTTCATCTCCTTCATCAGGATCATCCAATGAGATGGTAAATTGCATTAAGAGTTTTTGTTGGGCACCTCTGAATGGTACGTATCCAGTCAATAATTTGTAAACTAAAACTCCCAATGCATAGACGTCCATTTCAGGTCCATAGGGCTTTTTCAGGATCATTTCTGGAGAAGCATAATGACTGTTTCCACAAAATAAAGTTTGTGTCTTTTGTGTTAAATTCTTTTCCATAAAACAACTCATTCCAAAATCAACCAATTTCACACATAAATTCTTTTCACCTCCTAACATGTCATACACGGGGCTCAGGCTGCTACTGCCTTCCAAGCAACAGTTTGATGGCTGAATATCTCGATGAATAACTCCTAACTTGTTATGAAGGTGATCCAATGCATTCACCAATTGAGCAAAATAAATTTGTACCTGACGTTCTGAATGCTGTTCATTTTCTACCAAAGGATTGTCCAAGCAGCCACCTGACAAGTATTCCATAACAAATAAGAATTCTTCTTCTCCCTCATAGACGTCAAGAACTTGAACAATATTTGGATGTGGATTTTCCTTAATTAATTTGAGAATGGTCATTTCATTTCGCACATGGTCCTCAATGCCAATCAGTTTCATGGTTTTTCGACACAACCGTTTCACTGCAACCTTTCTACCAAGACTCAAATCTAGTGCAACAGAAACTGTACCATACGTGCCCTTTCCAATATGTTCATCAGGATTGACCACGAATCGATCTAAAATACATGGATGAGTTTTCAAATAAATTTCACATTCAACTAGAGATTGTTGTATTGTTTTCTGATGGTCTTGCAAGACACTCTTGTTGGTATACTTGGTCACAGACTCAAACCTAGGATTAAGATGAACAATTTGAGTGTACATATCCAGTAGGTTTGGAGGACAATCCAAATCGTCATCATTCAAAAAGCATTTCACTTTACGTTTTTCAATATGTGGTACTTCTTTAGACTTTCGAGAGAATACTCGAAGAGGATGATGATGTTGTTCAACCTTTTCCTCGCGATCTCCCAATAAAGTTGAAATGCATGTCGCAATATTTTGTAAATGTTTCACAGATTCAATCTTTAAATTTTCAAAATTTAGAAAGATCATTTCTCTCTCAGAGTTGTACATAATTCTTCCCCAAACATTGTCCATTGTTGCATGATCCACACTCAATCTTCTAGAGTAATGAAAAAGAGGCTCAGTAGATGGTCCAGCCCCCACCAAAGTATTTCTCCTTTTCAAGAGATGAGAATGGTGAATTCCTTTTTTTGGTTCGTGTGAAAAAACTTTGTGTGTCGTTGAAGAACGGTGAGATTTTGGTGGATGCACCACCACTCCATACAAAGACGTCGTAGGTTTGTTTTGTGTCGTACGACAAGGAGATTCAATGTGTGAGCGATCCGATAACGTTGCATTCGATTGAAGTGAAAGTGTGATGGTCGCTGGTTTTCCTCCAGATGTCGTTGAGGCCATCGCAGGAGACAAGTGTTGAACGGCGACACTTTTCTGCACACTCAACGATTCGACGACATTTGCAGTAAAGTGCCGTTCAACACTTGTATTATTACTCATCGATTCGACGACATTTGCAGTAAGTTCATTACCGCTTTCACCATGATCATGGCTATTCTCATTGAGTGGCGGTGTTGTTGTTTTCTTAGATAAATGATCATCCGCTGATTTTGATTCCTTAGTCATGGTTTGGGTGTGTGATGGTGAGGGATGATACTTGGGAAAGAAGACACCCAAATCCTCCTCCGCTTGTTGAGAAGTTGCAAGAGAGTGACTTCTCATATGCAACATACTGTCCATGATCATGGATGAAGAGTGGGACAAATGATCGGAAATTCTCTTCAACAAACCCTTCTTTGGTGGTGCGCTTGTGGTGGCTGCTATTGCCTGAGGAGGAGGAGGAGTCGCAATATTCTCACTCAACAACACATTTGTGAGGGTTCTGGGATCGTTCAACATGGTGGTGGTTGGAATGTGTTGAACTTGTTTCGAACTCGAGCTAGTACTAGTGGTCACAACCACCATATTGTACTCTCCGACGAATGTTGCTGAAGGTTGCTGTTGGAGTTTTGTTGTTGGAGTCGTACCACAAGAAGAAGAAGAAGGAACAGCTGCTGCAATCGAAACCTTCTTTTTGTTCATCATGGTTGCAGTGAATGATTTGGATGGTTCCGTACAACAAGGGGCTTGAAGTGATGATGATGGTGATGATGAATGTGTGGCAGAATTGATTTCAACCATTTCGTGCAAAACCATTCTTCTCTTGCAAAGTTCAAGAACAAGCAGTGTCTCTTGTCTTTTTTATCAAAAACGATAAAACAAGCGAGTAAAGAAAAATGATGAGAAAAAGTTAATCACTCACTTCATAGCGAAAGTTTTTTTGGTATTTTCCTATATTAGAAATGTAGATATTATGAAGAATTTCAATGTCAGACTTTCAACTGTTTCTTGTAAGATGAGTTGATTGTTTTACGAATAAGCCAAAAAGGGAAGTTTTCAAAATATCGAATTCAAGAAAATGTTTGGGAAGCAGTGTGGATTTTCTCATTAAAATAATGACAGGCGTTCAGTGAGTTTGGACCGATTTAAAACGAGTCTATCATGTTTGATTTGGATATAATTTCAAATGTGAATGAATTGGAGACCTCGATTATTTTGCAGAATTTAATTTTGGTCTCCTCTTATCACTTGGTGTTTGTTATAACTTGATTATATTCATTCCGAAGAGAAGTAGATAAGGCAATTTCCTATATGCCATTCCGATGGTTTTGCATTATTGAAACGTTATTCATCATTTTTTTTGTTTTCGAAATGCTCTTCCAAAAGAATTTATAGTTCCTTATTTGGATTCCAAAATTCCCAGCCTCACTTGAAAGCTCCAAAAGATTGATCAATACTTTTTTTCAAAAAATGTTGTTGAATTGGAGTTTTCAATGAAGTGTTTCATTTATTTTCAACTTGATTCATTCAACTTATTTCCATCCATAGTTGGCAATTTCCAAACAAAAGATGAATGCCAACAACACCAACAGACTCATCATGGATGTAGAGGATGCACCATTGTTTCTATTTCCTGAAGTACTAGTGTTGTTGGGTGCTGATTTTGGTGGACATGTACTTGCAAAATTAGCACATTGTTGATTGGTGGGTGGAATGTAAAAGTTTGTAAAGGTGGATGCGAGTTTCCAAGAGGCATCACTTTGTCGAATCCATGTCTTTGAATTCAATGAGATTGTTGTAGAGAATTTCCATATATGTGAGTTAATTTGAAATGCATGTTATACTTTCGCACCAACACTTACTGCAGATTCTTGAGTATAATCTCCACAAGGTCCAGTATAATTATAACCACCACCACCACCACCACTCGACATGAATTCTTGAATCGATTTTGAACCAGTAATGACAATATTCGCACAACTGTGATACACACTGAAACATTGAGGATTACCTGTCAATGTTGTTGTTGTTGTTGTTGGATACGAACAACATGTTCCTGATGTAATTTTGTCTGTCATTGGATTGGTCAAAGCGAGTGAACATTTTGGACAATTAATGTCAGGAATGGTCACTTCATATTGATAGACTTTGACTGGATTGGATTCTGTGGCATCGTTGTGTGGAATGTGATCGACGAGAATGAACTTGTCGTAATTACTGTCATCTCCAATACTTAGGGCAATTCGAAAAGGAGCTCCTGTGTGTGAAATGGTTTCTTCAAATTTCAAAATTTGTTTTCCTGGAGCGAGAGTGGTCACAGGTTGACCTTGTCCAAAGAATTGAATGCCACCACCTTGTGAAATATGAGAATTTACACAACAGAGAGATGGACCATCAACAGTGTGAGTGGAATTTGTTTGGAGAAAAGATGTTCACTTACATGGATAGGTTTTTAGTCCAGAGTCAGAGGTTCTTGGACTGACGACATATATTGTTGAAATTATATTGGAATTCAGGATGTGACAATGATCATTGGAAGAGTGATTGCAATCAGTTATTTATATATATATAATGTGTGTGGATGGATGGAACAATTATTTTCGGAAAGATGATTCACACTTTCGCACCTACCTTGGAAAGTTCCATCGGGAATGTCCCTCGACGAATGGCGAACGAACATTCAATAGACAACCACAAACCAAAAGGAATGTAACAAGGATGATAATGACGAGGAGGTTCAAAGCTCTATTGCTGGATGATGACATGATTTTTTTGTGTGTGAAAATTGGTGAAAGGAGAATCCCCAGATGAGATCATGACGACTCACAACATTCATTGATTGGACACACCAAATTTTGGGAACTGACCCATCACTATATGGTCCTTTCATTAATGTTCGTTGAATCTTTCCTTATTAAATCTTTTCCCTAAATTTTCAAATAAAAATGATCATTCAAGAGGATCGGAAAGTCTTGTGGAGAGAATTGCCCTTTGAGATTGTCGTTGATCACATCTTTCAATATTTGGATGAATTGTGGTTATTTAGGAATGCGAGAAGAGTGTGTAGAGAGTGGAATTGCGTCATTACTGGAATAAGATTGGATGAATTGAATGAAAAGAAACAACAACAACATTATTCTACGTTGGGATTTAAAAAACTTGATGGAGTAGATTTGAAACAAAACATGTCCCAATTGCAAGCCTTTTACAACTGTTGCAAGAAAGGTTATTTCAGAAATGTTCGTGAATTAAACATGGGTGGATGGAACGATGAGTATATGGAGAGAGATGAAAGACTCACCGATCTATTTAACTTCTTACCCAATCTCACAAAATTAGATGTATCCTGCAAACCGACATTATTTAATAATAACTTTGGTAGTGTTGGATGTCAAGCATTATTGGAAGCTTATTTGCAACACTTGAGTTACTTGAATATGAATTGTTGTCGTCTGGATGGGGAAGCTTTTTCAAGGTTATCTCTATTGTATACAGTCCAATATTTGCATTTGAGTCAAACGCGTTTGACGGAATGGAGTTGTTGTTCATTCCTGTCGAGAGGTCCATTATTGGAATATGTAAAAGAGTTGGATCTGAGCAAAAACGGGAATGTTTGTTATGTTATGATTTGATTGTTGATTTTAGGTCAAATAATTGTCCCTGATAAATAATTTTGATCAAAAAGAGGTGAATAATAAAGGATAAATTTAATGTGAATAATTTGAAGGATATCAATGCGTACTGAATTATGCGTGGGAGAGCAAATTATTTGTGGTTAAGAAATTCCTTCTCAAGATCTTCTACAGACATCATTTCTTGTGATGGCATAAACATTGGATACATGGGTCCAGAATTTTGCAGAAAGCCTGGGGGTACATTCGGAAACCTAGCTCCAGGATTTGGGAAGGATTGGTGAGGAGGAACAAAACCAGGATGCATCATTGGAGGCATAAATGCAGAAGGGTTATTTGGAAAAGGTGAATTTGGATTGAACAAAAAGCGTTTGTCATGCATCATACGAGTCTGTGGTTGCATTTGATCCATCAATGGGTTAACTGGATGTATTGGCTGCATGTTTGGTGGTTGAGTAGTATTAATCATATTTTGTGGTTGAAGGTTTTGTTGTGATGAAGTATAATGTGGGAGACTTGACGCGGTGCTTGGTAATGTAGTGGCCATTGTTTCTGTTGGTGAAGATTGTTGTTGCTGTGGGGGGTTACTATTGGTTGTTGTGACATTTGAAGTAGTTGAAACATCAGCAGAGGAGGTGGTTGGTTGATTTGATAATGATGATGTTTGTGGAACAGTTTTAACTGTTGATTGGGTATTAGAAGTAGAGGTTGCAGTTGATGCTTGACTTGGAGTTGTCTTTAGCTTAATCTTCTTTTCGGTATTGGTACCCATCTTTTTCATGAGATGAGATGGTACGAATGGAGAATTGGCAGAGGTTTTAGAAAGTTTTCTTTGGGTACTTGTTGCCGATTGTGATGAGGTAGATACGGTTGATTGTTTGGAAGAAGGAGTTACTGGTTGAGTATTGTCTTCTGCGGCTTTTTCTGCCTTCTCGCTTAACTTGTGCTCTTGGTATTGCTGGAATGGTGATACAAACTTTGGAGTAGTGGTTGTTGCTGTTGACAATGGAAGATCAACCGTGTTTTGAGTAGAGAAGGAATCCGTGGATGGAACAGTTGAGGAAAGTGATTTAAATAAATGTTCAATTCCTTGATTTGAAAGAGCAGGTACTACTTTAGATGATTCCAGTGTTGGTGTAGCTTGCTTCAATGGCGATTGAGAGGTCGAGTCATTGAGAGATGACAAGAATTGATTTTCTAAATCTTCAGCGCTCATCATTGAAACCTGGTTGGATGAGTCTATCACTGCAAATTGGTCAAATTGTACTGGTGGTGTTGTTTTGGTTTGTTCCGTGCTGACCTTTTCGAGAGTAGAAAACTTGCTACTTCCTGCTTGTGTGTTTCCTGCCAAGAAATATTCAGGAATGGTGTTCGTGGGGCGCAAATGTGGAAACACTTGTGATTGTTGTTGAGAGGATAAGGAGCTTATTGTGGAAAATAGACCTTGCAAGTTTGGTGTAGTAGCTTGAGGATAGGTAAAAAGCTCAGAAACATTGATATTACCTGGTTGAGAGATGGTGGCGCGTCCTGTTGTTGTTGTTGTTGTCTGTAAATGTTCGTCCAATAGAGAAGCAGGACTAGTATTTGACTGCATCTGCTGTTCATCAAAAGAGCCAAATCCAAATCTTGATTTTCCAGATTTAGAGCCCTTAATCACTGTTGAAATGACAGGGTCTTCTGCAACGAATGGAGGCATTGTATCGGTCTTTGTGTCTCCTAATGTAAACAAAGGTTTGTCTCTCTTTTGAGTGGGAGTCGAAGATGAAGGAGTTGGCAAATTAAGGAAAGAGTCTTCAAGCTCTGAAAGTGAAGATTCTTTGCCAAAATCATTTTGGTGAGAGCTCAAAGTGAAAAAGTAGCTTTCCAAATCACTTGCATTGCTAGATTCTTTCATTTCTTGCAAGTCAGTACCAAAGGTTTCTTCATCGATAGAAGCATGATAATCCTCTTCTAAAGCTTCTCCTTCAGTATTGGACAAATCGCCAAAGAAGGAACCTGCTCCAGTGGTAGCTTGATGAGTTTTTCTAAACTCTTCAAAGGCTTTCTTTCTTTCGAGTTCTTCGCTGGTCAATTCGTCATTGGAAGCACTCGAGTCGAACCATATGGCTCCTTTTCCGCCACTTCTCACGACTGTACTTCCACTTGCTGATGACACAGACGCATATCTACTACTGCTACCAGTTGATGAAGAATTGGAGAGACTTGCAAATGCACTGCTGCTGTCTCTCCCACTAATACCTGCTCCGGATTGAGAGCGACCACTGGCGCCTCTTCTTGATGTGGATCCGAAAGGATTGGAGTTCGACTCAGAGGGGTACTGTCTTGGAGGGCGTTTGTCTGATGATGATATTGGTTTGGTGGAAGATTGAGCTGTTGATGAGGGAGGTTGAACAATTCCCCAGTCCAGCTTTCTGTAATCCAACTCTGGTAAGTCCGGGTGCTTTTCAGTGCAAATTGGGTTACTAGTACCAATGTCGAGAACATCTCTAATGGAATATCTGAGTCTCTTCTCGTCAGGGAATTGCTCTGCCCTTCTATTTTGAAGCTGGTCTACTGCAGCAAGAATCGATTCCGCATTAAATTGAAGGGTAGTATTATAGATTTTTTGGATGGCATTGGTGGATAGTCCTGCTTGAATGTCCGAGTCATCATCTGTAATATTATTACTTTGACTGACTTGATGATGAGATGAGTGTGAATTATGATGATGGTGATGAGAATGATGGTGAGAATGACTATTGGAGTTACTAGATGGAACATGGGAGGAGTCCTTGTTGCCTCCTACAGCAGTATGTGAAGTTGCTGTTCCGGAAAAGCCGCCAACATGTTGATTTCTTGCTGTGGTAATGTTGTTGGTGATAGTGGTCGAGAAAGGTTGAGACGACAGATTTGATGAAGTTGTTGTATTAAAAGTATTTATAGCAGCACTGTCGTGGCCACTACCAGTATTATCAATATTGTTCATGTCCGCTTGGTGTTTTTGATCATCATCCTTGGGACTGTTTGCCGCATCACTGATAGAAGGTGGATTATTGGTAATATCATCAGAGGGTGGAGATTGTTCTCTGCTCACACTCGATCTTCGTCTACGAGGCTGGGGAATAATTGCTGAAGCATTAGAAGCAAGACGAGGATCCAACGTGGTTGATGATTTATTACTCATGATTGATACACCCGAAGGAGGTGTTGGTGTTGTGGGTGTGGTTTGTTGTGTTGATGACGAGTTTCGACCTGATGAAGAGCGACCATGAGAATGGTTGTAGTATTTGGTTGGCGGCATTTTTTTTCTAAATTTTTTTAATTTTTGTTTCATTCTTCATGAACACTTTCTGCAGAATGGATATGGAGTCGTTTATTGGGAAAATGAAGTGTGAAAAAGAGAAGAAGGATGTCAAGGAGTGATCGAAAATAGTTGAAAAAGTTAATAATTAACACACAAGAGTGTTCCAGAGACTCGAGTCTCTTCAAATGACACGCTTGTAAGTGTCATTTGCTTAATAGTGCACTACACACTACTCACGTGTGTCCATATTTCCGGTAGAGTTTTGGCTTGTTTCATTCAATTTGCTAAATATGCTGCTAATGTAAGGATGTTGCATGGCCTCCTTAGCTGTCATTCGTTGTTGATGATCGTATCGAAGTAATTTGTCCAAAAAGTCGATGGCTTCATCGTTGGCTAGATGCGAATTGTCCTTGTTCACAAACGAGTGCCATGGCTTTCTTGGATATCTATTTCTTGAAAGAATGCCCTCGTAGTGTGCAGAGAGTGTAATAGAATACTTGTCCAAATAGTCATACAATTCCTCAGTTCCTAACACTTTGGCGATTTTAACTAGTTGGTCATAGTTATCACGACCATGGAAGAATGGTTCCTTTCTGAAAATCATTCCAGCAAACATACATCCAAGACTCCACATATCAAGAGAATAATCATATTCTCTGAAATCGACCAAAAGCTCTGGTCCTTTGAAATATCTTGAAGCCACTCTTACATTGTATTCTTGGCCTGGATGATAGAATTCTGCAAGTCCCCAGTCAATGACACGTAATTTCTTTTGTTTGTGGTCAATCATGACATTGTGTGGTTTAATATCTCGATGCATTATTCCCATCGAATGGCAAAAATCTAGAGCCTTCAATAACTCATACATGTAATATCTAATATCAAAATCAGAGAAGGTTGGATATAAAAAACGAAAATCAGTGTTATCAACATTTTCCATGATCAGGGATGGTGTTTTGGATTCAGGATCTCTAACAACATCCAAAAGTTTTACAATGTTGGTTCCTCCACAAAGGTTTTGTAGAATTTTAATTTCTCTCTTGATTTTCTTCTTCTTGACAGGTTTGAGTACTTTGATGATACATCGCTCATTTGTCTCGGCGTTTATTCCTTCAAAAACTTCGCTGTATTTTCCTCGGCCGACTTTTCGAACAATTTCGTATTTATCTTGAGAACTATTCATAGGTGATGATGATAATGATGTGGTGTATATGTGTTCAATTATAATAATAGACAAGCACAATGTTGTTGTTGTAGTAATGACAATTTTAAAAAGATGATAAAATAACGATATTGAAGATAATGATGATGATAAAATAACAGATTTGAATCAAACAATTTACGTTATCGGTTGTGGCTGTTACAGTGTTACTTACCCCCACTCAATTTGAAGGCTTTCATAATCCCAATATTCCTTCGGTTTTCTCAAGTTTACATCAGCGTACACTCTCGCACGGCTCATACTCGATGGTATTATTGTTTTAGTGATGATATTATTGACTGCTTGCCTCAACAACTTTTTTGTTGTGTGGTGTGGTGGTGTTGTTTGTGTTGTTGATGATGACACCAGAAGTGGTGGTTAAAGTTATTTTTTGTTTTTGGAGAATTGGTTGCAATGGCGCCAGCAGAGAATGCAAGCGGAGAAGATGAGCTCGTTGCGTTCAAACCCGGAAATGAGGAAGGCTTTCTATTGATATGCCTCTTATTCTGAAAGAGGGAGTTGATGATGTTGTACCGTCACTCTTTGAACTCTTTGCAGTGTTTGACAACGTCGATGATCCTTGTCCCCGTTAAAAACTCACCATTGTAAACTCCAGTCAACCACTTTTTTTCTCAACAAAAAATTTTCGTTTGAAAAAAATACGTCAAAAAGTAGGTATTGAATTTTCTCACGCGTTCCGCTAATGACGTTTGTCTGAATTGTTTATAGGATGGGTAAAGTCCACGGTTCATTGGCACGTGCTGGTAAGGTTAGAAACCAAACACCAAAGGTTGACAAGCAACCATTCAAGGGTAAGAGAAAGACCGGAAGATCAAAGAAGAGATTCCTTTACAACAAGAGATACGCTTCATTGAAGAAGGGTACTAACCCACTCAGAATGAAGTTGAACTCTATTGCTATGCAACAAGAGATCAAGGCCAAGAAGAAGGCAAGAATTGAAGAAATTGCCCAAAAGAAGAAGGAAGCTGGTAAGAAGGAAAAGTAAATCATTTGACTTCCCACCACACTCATCATCAAAATTAAACAAAAAATTTCTAAATTATTCATTTGCTTGTGCAACCTGTGATAAGTGGCATAGTCGTCTGTCGGTGAACCTCTTCTTCAAAACACATTGAGCCAATTTATGCAGAAAATGCCGAAAAATCACCAAACCGAGAAGAGCTAAAGTTTTAATTGTTCATAGTCTGCATTCTCTCCCATCAGGTCCAGCATGTTACCGAACATCTTGGCCATTGACATAATCTCCTCTCTTCGAGCTTCGTCATCTTCTGTGTTGCAAATGGTCAACAAATGTTCTTGGGCGATTTTCTCAAAGTCCGTTCCATTGAGAATTGCTTCACTGAATTCGGCCACTGCTTCCACCATTAAGATATTCTTTGAGACAACAGGTAAATTCATAATTTGCAAGTTCTCGACATTTCTCAGCAAGTCTACAAGGACAGGAATTTGGTCAATGAGCACATCTGTGAGATATTTCTTGAGCTGTTTCATTCCAAAGTTTTCAATTAGTCATCATTTTCAAACAATTCCACCACCACGTCAATGGATGAGAATCAGTGAATGGCAAAAAAATAACCCAATGTCAACTTACGCCTATAACTGTTTCCCTTCTAAAAGTTGTGTATTCATACTTATTTCTTGTTTCTGGATCCACCAACAAATTATTAATGGCTAGCCAGACTTGAGCTTCGTATTGTGTCACCTTCAAGTATTCATCAAACGAGACAGTTTCCCATATGTTACCATTGTACTTTTTGAATCCAGATTTTTCCTTCTTTTTGAAAGGTGAATTCTCAATAATGTACACTAATGCAATAGGAGAGTCGTGTTTTTCTAAAATTCGATGTACCACACTTGGAGATATTTCTTTGAGATTGTCTGTGATGAATCTGAATATTGTGAGAGAATACATGCAACAGTTGAATTCAATTTCTCTAATTTGATCCTGCCAAATTTCCTCATCTGATAATTTCAAAATGTCCTTTTGATCGTGACGCTCTTGCAGTTTTTTGTTATGAATGAGGACATTGAATTTTCGTTGGCAATAATCGACAAGTTCAATTAGAATGGATTCTTCACAATAAATAATTGCATCCTTATGATACATGACACATTCCAACAAATTAACCAACGTAGCTTCATGATAATAAATTAAATAGGGTTTGATCGATTGTTTGGAGGCACTTGTTAACTCTTCCTTAATGAGCGGTGTCACTTTGTTTTTCCAAATTTCCACAGTGATGAGCTCTTTAATAAGAACTTCAACTTTTTGTGAGGAAATAATTCCTTGAGCAATGTATTCATCTTGATTAAGAGCGGCATTTTGATGTGCCTGAATATTGAGCATGTTGACGACCTCACGTTGTTTCATCCATTTCGAAGTGCCAATATCTTTCAATCCAAAATGTTTTAATTGATCGATTTGCCGCTGAGCTTCTAAAGGATTCATTTCGGGCAAGAAATTTTCGTTTCTTTTTAAACAAAAGGTTGATTGATTGATATTTAGTTGAAACACAAAGAAACGATCCATGAAGAGTTTTTAATACCTACCCAAGGACTTCGTCAAATTGCACCATTTTTTAATTCCGATCAATGTTTAGGATTGTTGAATAAAACAAAGAGTAATAATAAGAAGCAATCGAGAATTTTTTGTATTTGAATGCGACAAAATTTGGCGGCTTTTTCCGTGTCACAATACAAAAAGCTTTGAGTTTTTCTTTCACCTAGCATCTTGGCCACTCAATTGCAACACTTTGTTTTTCAAGGCAGTCTCAATGGCCAACAAATATTGTTCCAAAGTCACTGAATTAGAAATGTGATTCAAATAAAAGGCATGTGACAAGAGGGGAAGCTTTCGAAGCGATCTGCCACTGATTCCCTCCTCACAAAATTCGGAAATTTGCTTTAGTTTGAGAGCATAGCTATTCTCTGGAGCATCTTTATCATTCCATTTCGGTATTGCTATTGATGGTGAAATGACAGACACACGCATCAACTCCATGAGGCATGATCTTAGGATGGAATATCTTCCTTGAACGGAAGGAGGACCAATATATTGTTTGATGTCAGCTCTATCTACAAATGCCAAATCTATGGCTTCAGTAATATTCGAAGTTGTCAAAATGAGTACATTTTTGTAGCGTTTCAAATGATCTAATTGAGTGAGGAGTGCATTCACTACTCGAATGCTGTCAGAAGGTTCAGAGCCAGAGAGAGCACTTTTTCGAGCTGCAGTTAAAGATTCCACCTCGTCAATGAGAACGCAAACAAATGATTCTTCATCCTCTACAATTTCGAATATTTTCTTAAAGAGTTTCATGACTAGTTTTCCGCTCTCGCTGAACCACTTGGAAAATAAACTGTGAGCATTGATTTCAATTAATATACCTCCTGATGGATATCTGTGTGACATTCGTATGGAAAGTTTTTGTGCAAGGCCTTTACACAATGAGGTCTGTAATAATTTTATCCATCATGTGGAATTTGGTTGGCATTGTTAAATGTAATTAGAAAATTCAATAGAAATGGGAAGAAAAATGTTGCGAAATTTTGATGATCGTGTACATTCCAAACGAATGATTCTAATATTCTTTACAAAAATTCTAATAACTAACTTACTTTACCAGTTCCAGGAGGACCATAGAGCAAGGCAACTCGATTCCAACTAATTAAATTTTGATCGACTCCCAAATCAGAAAATCGCATGGTCGTTGAGGCATATTCCAACAAGTTGTACTTGACATGATTATCAAAAATTAGACTTTCCCAAAGGCCATCAAATGAATCATTGGGAAGGGACCATTGTTTACATGCAGTAATTTCTTCATTTTCTGCTCCATTGTCATCTGTTGTTTCTTCAATGGGTTCTTCATCCGTTGCTTTGAAGACATGAATTGAAAATTGTCCATCTTGGTTGTACAACAAAGGTCCATTATACATCGGATGTTGTTCCATGTCAGAAATTTTAATTTGTTTGACATGCTTCACGAGAAATTCCTCCTTTTCGGAAAGTTTCTGACTCTCGGAAACAATCATTGGAATGATTCCATCTTGAATGATTGGTCTCCTATTTATGATTAGTTCCAAAACAGCCTCTTTAATTAATTTACTCTTGGCAGTACTTTGTGGTTTCAGGCACACTACAGTTCATGTCAAAGAATTATGATTGAGAAATTAAAATCAATTTTTCATGATTATGATGATCGAGCAAAGAAAGAGCAAACCAGCAACAGATGAAAACTTGACTCAGGTTCCGATGACAAGAACAAGGCTTTGCTTACCTTCGACATGAACGGGCGGTAAACAAGAGTTCATTTTTTGAGTGGAAGAAGTTTGCCTTTTTCGTTTTTTGAAAACAACATGTCGACAACACACATGAAAACGAATCTCAATAACTTGTATTTCTTACGTCAATTCCCCAAAAAGTTCATCAAATAAATTAATGGATATTTTGAATTTGGACGTGTTTCGTGGTGAGTGAGAATTAGAGTTGGAATTGGAAACCTGAGGATGTGTTATGTTGGCATTTGCCATTTGTTGAGAATTATTGAGAGAGGAGGAAGTGTCATCTTTGGAAATAGGGTTGGGTGTTGATGAATTTTCTGTGGTGGTGACAAGAAGGGAGCTAAACGTTGCGCTTGGCATCAACTTGGGCCTAGTTTCCTTCTTCTTTTCTGCTTGAACGGCTGAATCTTTGCGGAAATTCTCTTCGACATACTTGTCTGCTTCATGGTTCAATTCGTTGTAATTAGTTTTGATTCGAAGGATTTTTCCTGAAGAGTCACCAGCAAATATCTCATTCTTTTCATTGTCATAATTTAGATAGGTGATATCAATCTTCTTGTTTTCATAGGTAAACAAAATATTCTGAGTTGAGTCCTCCGCATTCAACTGCCAAATATCAATTTTGCCACCCTTATACCAGGTTATTAGCTTTCCATCATTATCTTCGAGTTGCCTCATTCCAAGAATGATGTCAGAACAATTAATGGTGATTAACTTTTCCAAGGTTAATACGTTCCAAAGTGCAATGGTTTGATCATCACTGGCAGAATATAAAAAATGGCCGTCGAGGACCAAAGCGACGATGGCATGTTTGTGCCCCTTTGAATCGTTGTCTTTTCTCTTGGCCTTAATTTCTCCTATTTGTTGCAAATCATTGTCAATCGACCAAAACCGAATAGTGCCGTCATTGCCTCCAGTTATTACTGATCCATTAAGTTGATTCAGGATGACACACAAAATTTCCCGATTGTGAGCATTGTGTTTCACTTTGAAAATTGGCTGTTGGTTTTCGTAAATAAATTTTGTTAAATCACATACTCCAAAAGATCCATCAAAACTCGAGGAAACTAGGACAACACACTCTCTTTTGTCTTTCTGATTTCTATCAAATGTACCGCGAGGAGAAAAAATAGAGGGTCTTTTTCTGTCTGTCACAAGAGTACCTTTGAACAAATCGCAAACAGTATTTTCATGAAGCTGAACTATAAACAACTCTTTTCCTTTTTCTAAATTCCACAATGTGAGTAGACCACTATCGTGTCCACTGCAGGCTATTCCTTCATCTATGTACACAAAAGATGTTAAGTCTGTTTTGCCTCCCTTAGGATCGCACTTGATTTGATCGATGCATCTCATGTCAAATTTGCTAACTTCCCACACCAAAATTTTGTTATCTGCTCCTGCAGTAATAAGCCTAGCTGTGGCCGTTCTTTTGGGATTTACAGAAATGCCAATTATTGAATCAGCGTGGTCTTTGTGCTCACGATGTGGAATATTTCGTTCAATGATGAACGACTGAACGGCATTTCTTCCTGACACAAGAATTCTTCCAGAAGCAAAACTGAGACAACTTGGTTCCTTAATAAAATGAAACGACACTGGGGATTCCCCTGTTCTATACTGGTAAACATTGACCTTACCAGATTCTGCCACTGTAATCAATTCCTCAAATTCACTATTCCAGTCCATGCCACATATTCTTTCGTCACTCACAAATCGAGAGAATACTGTTTTCCCACTGTAGTCTGTAAATTTAACCTCATTATCAAAACCGGTTGAAACCATCATGTTACTCCCTTGCAACATTAAAATGTTGGTAATGCCCTTATCTCTAAGCTTTAGTTTGTACATAAATTTTACATCTGTTATTGATTTTCGATCTCGAAGCTCTCCAACAGTTTTGTACACAAAACATGTTCCTTTCATTGTCCCAACAACGATTTCTCCTTGGTCTCCCGAAAGTTCTTCTGGAGAGGCCCACAATGCGCTTACCCATGCGTCACACTCATTCAGTGTTTTAAAACAGGTAAACCAAGGTACAAGGTTTAATTTTTTTCTTTCCTTGTCTGGTTTCCATATCTTGACGGTCATGTCAGAGCTTCCAGAAATAATTAAATCAAAATGAAATGCCAAACACGTCACTGGTTTCGAATGAGAGAACATGGCTGATTATATAATTACATAATAGCATTTAAATGTTTGGAATGGAAATATTTGGTAAAACCTACTTTGCAGACATGAATTTTCAGCTAGGTATTTTCCAAATGGGTCAAAAACTAGTGAGTATTAAGGTATTAAAAATCAAATTCTGTAAATATCATGTTGAAAAATCAATCATACCTTTCATTGAGTGGTCGACACAACCTGTCACAATTAATTCAAGAGATGGATGATACATAATGCAAAGTATAGATGCCGAGTGCTTTCCAAGAAGTGTAAAATTTGTTGCAATTTTTTCATTATTTTCTCCATGCTTCCAATAAACAATTTCCCCTCTCGCTGTCACGCAAAATGAAAATTAGCAAAAATAAAGTCCTTCTAAAGACACTCACCCGTTCCAGCGAATATTATTAATTGCCCATTCCGTTCTACCGCGGTATGGCAACTAAATCTTGGAAATTGATTATTTGTTCTCTTTCCGAAATGTTTTGGTTGATCCTGAAATATAGTGTACTATTAAAAACAAGAATCCGGATGATTTTGGATGTATCAATAATTATTTTGATTAATTCCGATTCAAGCATAATATTACAGAACATTATATGTCCCAATCCAACACCCATTTGATCATTAGACAATAACGATCGTTAGTTGCCGATCATCTTTAATGACACATACACTCTTCCCATACACAACATTCATATTTTTTTCCCGAATTTACAGCAAATCTGAGAGCGCGGGTAAAAAAACTTGATTAACTTCATGTATTCCTTCTTTGGTGGATCGTGATGCGATATGTATTCCAACCTCAAACCATTCATCCTCCAGTTCTTCAATGTCTAGATCCTTATTATTGGATTCTTCCAACTCATACTAGACAAGGGCTTGCTGACTTTATATGAATTCAGTTCGTGTCATGATAATCTAAAAAGGTGAAGGCTCAAGTACGGTAAGTATAATTATCGCTTCTTTATTCATGCATTCAAGAACACCACCAGCGTATAAATCGAAAACATATTAAATGATGGAACAGTTGAGAATTTCAAGAATCCAAAACTAGAATTGGCTATTCATCCATCGTAAATGGATAATGAACAAATGAAGCCTCACAAATTAAGAAAATGTTCATTTCGAACATTTTCACTTTTCAGGAATACACGTTGGAGGACAAGTATGTTGTCATCTTTGTTTTTACTGTACAACAACCTCATTGAACATGTATTCATTCAAGGGATTTCCAATTCATTCTCACTATTCATGACCAAACACAAAAAAGAAATGATTATACATCCCTCTCGAGGTAAAAATCCATATCTCATGCAAGTGGCTCTTTTGGCTGTTTGGATGAGTGTTCTCTGTTGGGTGGCCAATTTCCACTCCAGCAGTGGTGGTAGTGCCAGTTGTTGTTGGGCACAAGAAACAAACAGAATGGCTCTCAATCCTTCCACTCTTCAATCATGGGAATTGGCAACCTCTTTGCGCTTTTGCAAGAGAAATCTCACTGTTGGTTCCTCTGCGCCAGCTTCTCAATCACGAGGATCAGATTCTTCCTCTCCTTCACAACAGCAACAAGGAAGTTCTTCTGGTAACGTTCTTTCTTCAATCTTTGTCATTAGCAATTTGGTATGCAATAATAGTGGAAACAGTAGTAGTAGCATCACATCCAAACAACAATCCTTACTTGAATTGCAACAACCCATTCAAGGAGAAGCTCCTCTCGAATCGATTGGCTTCTTTACCAATTTGGATTTGATTGGTTTCACCACTGGCATGTTTGGTGTCAATCTAAATGAACAGGGAATTGCTCGTGGAGTCTTGCAACTCTTCTCTCTTGTGAAATTGACCATCTATGATAAGAGTAATCAATCTCAATCTCAAAGTTCGGGGATTCCACCATTACTCTTCCCCTTCAGTGAGGGAGTTCTAAAGACAATTTACTTTACAAATTCTTCACTTCAAAACATAAGAACTGCATATGGAATGAAAGTTGTTGGTGGAGGTAATAGTAAGGTCATGTATTATTCAGTACATGCCGATTCAGAGATTGGACACTTGACAGCCACTTGTTTTGTGGCTGAGGAACCCACTATTTTGAATGTTAATCTTATTCCTGCCAATTCAACAGCAAATCCCAATAAGAATCATGTCCTATTGTTACCAGAGAGTTTGTTGTTGGCTTTCAGTATTGACAATTTCAATGTCAAACGTGTGATGCAAATGGTGAATATGAATTCCGTACAGAATTTGGAACTTGTTGTGACTGCTGATATTGGTGTATTGGGATCCTCCAACCTGACTGCTGTCCCACAACAACAACAACAAGGATCCCAACAAGAGTCATCTCAACCGCAAGTGTCACCACAACCTCAGCAAGGTCATGAAGGATCCTCAACATACAATGACGAGAATACGAAGCAGCAATCTCCTTATTCTCCTCCTCAACAACAACAATCTCAACAACAATCTCAAAATGGCACCGCACCACAACAGCAACAAACTCAGCAGCAATCTCAAAACACCACAACACCACAACCAGCTTCTTCACAACAACAATCTCAACAGCAACAGGCTTCTCAACAAGGACAACAACCTCCTCAATCAAGTGGTCGTGCTGGTGGTAGTACTGGAGGTGGCCATCCACAAGGTAGTGGCGATGGACTACAACCCCATCAGCCTTCTGGACAAGCGTCTCAGCCACAACCACCACATGCATCAAATCCTCAACCTCAACCTCAACACTCTCAACAACAAGGACAACATCCACAACAGTCGAATCCTCCTCCTCCTCAACAGGGACAACCTCAGGCCTCTCAACCACAAGGATCTCAGCCACAAGCACCACAACCATCGGCGAATCCACCAGCTCCTCAAACCTCTCAACAACAGGGACAGGGACAGCAACCTCCTCAACCTCAACAATCTCAGCAACAAGGTCAGGGTCAACAACAGGGTCAACCTCCCCAACCTCAACCACAGCAATCTCAACAACAATCTCAACACTATAAAAGCCAAAAGCAATCCATACAGGTGGTTCCTGATCTTCCCTACAAACCAGATGATTATCGCCGCGTGTATAGCATTACCAACGCAAATGCCAACATTCCAAAGGGTTATCTTGCCATTCCTTCTTCTGCTGCCTTTGGTTCCTATTCAAGTGGTTCCGGTGGTGGTGGTGCTGAGATTATTAAATTCATGAGAACCACTCTACAAATTGCATCGTTGGGTTTGGGACCAGGAGGTGCAACCACTTCAAGTCAATCTCAAACCTCGGATAGACAATACCAGCAACAATCTCAAACCAGCAGCGGTGGTGCTGATGGTAGTGGTGGTAGATCACTGGAATATCCAAGTGCTCGAATCGATTACTCTCGTTTGGATGTTCACATTCCTTTGTCCTCTTTGACAGAGAGTGAAATGTCTCAGGACAGTTTCATCATGTGGGGACCAGTGTATTTGGGTCATGTCGAACAACAGGGAAGTTCTTGTACTTGCGGTTTACCTCCTCCTCAACCTCAACAACAACAATAACCACCTATGGTCTTCTCCTTCTCAACAGTAAAAAACTATACAACGAACAATATCGTGAGAATAAAAGGAAACTTTGCTCGAGAAGAAGATGCAACTCTTGCCACTTGTGCGTCTTTGAGTGATTGTATGTTTTACACAGTTCGTGTATAAATCTAAAAAGGAAAAGACGCAAGTATGGTGAGAGTAATCCTTCTTTATCTGCATTCATGAACTTGAGTGTATAAATCGAATATCAAAACACTATTCGTGAATGGAACAAGTGAGAATTTCAGATCACTAGAATTGGCTGTTCTTCGAATCTATTGGCTTGAAAAGGAATGTGAACAATAATGGAGTTTCACTAATTCGGAAATTGTTCTTTTCAAACATTTTCACTTTTTACGAGGTCAATTCTATTTGGTTTAGTGTGAAAATTTTTAACATTTAAGAGAGTTCTAATACTTTCTCAAAATTAAGATCAAACTCAAAAGAAATGATTTCACATTCCTCTCGTAGTCAAAGACCATTTCTCATGCAACTTGCTCTTTTGGTTGTATGGGTCAGTGTTCTCTGCTTGTTGATTGGTGGAAGTTGTTGTTGTTGGGCACAAGAAACAAACAGAATGGCTCTCAATCCTTCCACTCTCCAATCATGGGAACTGGCAACCTCTTTGAGGTTTTGCAAGAGAAAACTAAGGTTGTCCAGCTCTTCTCAATCAGAAGGTTCCTCTGGCAGCGTTCTTTCTTCAATTACTATCACCAGCAACTTAGTTTGCGGCAGGAGCAGTAGTGGTGGTGGTGTCTCCTCTAAAATAGATCCTATTCCTGAATTACAACAACCCATTCAAGGAGAAGATCCTCTCAAGTCGATGAGCTATTTGATCAGTGTGGATAAGAGTGGTTTCAACGCTCTCGTGTTAACTGTTAAAGACACTGAACAGGGAACAACGAATGCTGCCTTGCAACTCTTGTCATTCTTTAAACTGACGGTCTTGGATAAGAGTAAGCAATCTCAATCGCAAACTTCGGGAGTCCCGCCATTAATCTTCCCCTCCACAGCTGGAATTCTAAAAACCATTCCCTTCACTAATACTTCACTTCAAAACATAAAAGCTGTGTTTGGAACAAAGGTTGTTGGTGGAGGAAATAGCAAGGTCATGTATTATTCGGTGAATGGAGATTCAGAGATTGGACGTTTGACAGCCACTTGTTTTGTGGCAGAAGAACCCACCATTATGAATATCAATCTCATTCCTGGTACTTCCGCTGCTCAAGCCTTAAATCCTAATAAGAACAATATTCTATTGTTACCAGAGAGTGTATTGATGATTTTCAGTATTGACAATTTCAATGTCAAACGTGTCATGCAATCTGTGAATATGAATTCCGCTGAGAACTTGGAGCTTGTTGTGAGTGTTGATCTCAATGTGTATGGAATCTTGAACTTGGCTAGTTCCTCTTCTTCCTCACAACAACAAAAACAGCAATCTGTTCCCGATCTTCCTTACAATCCAGATGAGAATCGCCACGTCTATAGCATTACCAGCCAAACTCCCACCGTTCCAAAGGGTTATTTGACCATTCCTGCAGCTGCTGCCTTTGGTGCCTATTCAGGTAGTTCTGGTGGTGGTGCTGAGATTAGTAAATTCATTACAACCACTCAAGTCACTGCAACCGTGCGTATGAGGCAAACTGGTCAATCTCAGAGTAGTAGTAGCAGTAGTAGCAGTGGTAGCAGCAGTAGTGGTGAATCCGAGCAGCAACAAAGTACAAGAAGGGATTACTCTCGTTTGGATGTTCACATTCCTTTGTCATCTTTGACAGAGAGTGAAATGTCTCAGGACAGTTTCATCATGTGGGGACCAGTGTATTTGGGTCATGTAGAACAACAGGGAAGTTCTTGTAGTTGTACTAGTTCTTCTCAACAACAACCTCAACAACCTCAACCACAGCCACAACAGTCACAACAACAACCTCAACAATAACTACCTACATCGACTTGTGCATCTTCTCTATCGATGATCCAATATATGCAATTAGGTTGTTGAAAGGAGACACCTAACCAATTCGTGATAATTAAAAGAATCTTTACTAGACAGAAGTACTCCTTCTCTATCGCGTTCATGAACATTATCTGGTTGTTACCATCGAAATTGAACATGCTAATTCTAATGACTTAGAAAGGATCATGAACAATTGAGGAGCTACACTCAATGGGAAATTGTTCATTACAAACATTTTCACTTTTAAGGAGTACGGGTTGTGCCTTTGTTGTTTACTGTAACTATTATTTCTCATTAAGAGATCTTCATTCTCAAAATTCAAGATCAAAAGAAATGATTTCACATTCCTCTCGTGTTCAAAGATCCTTTTTTCTTCATCTTGCTTTGTTTGTGAGTTTTCTCTGTTTGGTGATTGGTGGTAGTGCCAGTTGTTGTTGGGCACAAGAAACAAACAGAGTGGCTCTCAATCCTTCCACTCTTCAATCATGGGAACTGGCATCCTCTTTGAGTTTTTGCAAGAGAAAACTTGTCGTATCTCCATCCTCCACTCCATCTGGAGGATCAGATTCTCAACAAGGAAGTTCTTCAGGAAGTGTCCTTTCTGCAGTCTCGATCACCAGCAGGTTAGTGTGCAGCAGTAGTAGTGGAAGTAGTGGAAGTAGTAGCAGTGGTAGTAGTGGTAGTAGTAGCATCACATCCAAACAACAACCCTTACCGGAAGTGCAACAAGCCATTCAAGGAGAAGCTCCTCTCGAATCGATTGCCTTTTTAGCAGGTTTGGATAAGAGTGGATTCAGCACTGGCGTGTTAGGTCTTAAAGTGACAGAACAGGGAGCAGTGAATGGTGTCTTGGAACTCTTCTCTCTCGTGAAATTGACAGTCTTGGAAAAGAGTAAGCAATCTCAATCGCAAACTTCGGGAATTCCACCTTTACTATTCCCCAACACAGCTGGAATTCTAAAAACCATTCCCTTCACTAATACTTCACTTCAAAACATAAGAACTGCCTATGGAACAAAGGTTGTTGGTGGAGGAAATAGCAAGGTCATGTATTATTCTGCAAATGCCGATTCAGAGATTGGACGTTTGACAGCCACTTGTTTTGTGGCAGAAGAACCCACCATTATGAATATCAATCTCATTCCTTCTTCTTCCACAATTTTTTCCAATAAGAACAACATCCTATTGTTACCAGAGAGTTTGTTGTTGATTTTCAGTATTGACAATTTCAATGCACAACGTGTCATGCAATCTGTGAATATGAATTCCGCTGAGAACTTGGAACTTGTGTTGTCTTCTGAGCTTGGTGTCTTGGGAGCCTTGAACATGGCACAACAGCTACAACAACAACAAAAACAGCAATCTGTTCCCGATCTTCCTTACAATCCAGATGAGAATCGCCACGTCTATAGCATTACCAGCCAAACTCCCACCGTTCCAAAGGGTTATTTGACCATTCCTGCAGCTGCTGCCTTTGGTGCCTATTCAGGTAGTTCTGGTGGTGGTGCTGAGATTAGTAAATTCATTACAACCACTCAAGTCACTGCAACCGTGCGTTTGGGACAGGGAGGCACAACCACTTCAAGTTCAGGTCAATCTCAAACTTCAGAGACGACACCAAGTAGTGGAAGTAGTGGAATTAGTGGAGGTGAATCCGAGCAGCAACAACCACCAGGAACAGGTACTAGTAGTAACACCCGAATCGATTACTCTCGTTTGGATGTTCACATTCCTTTGTCATCTTTGACAGAGAGTGAAATGTCTCAGGACAGTTTCATCATGTGGGGACCAGTGTATTTGGGTCATGTAGAACAACAGGGAAGTTCTTGTAGTTGCAATACACCTCAACTACAACAACAACCTCAACAACAATAACCAACAATTACAACAACAACGTCCATCCCAATAAGATTGAGTTGCAAAAGAGAAATGATCCTCCTCGTATTTATTCGTGAGAATAAAAGGAACATTCTATCATTCATTAGAGGTCTGATACTTGATGATAACAAAGTCTCAATTCGAAAACTCTCTCGAATAAGGATAAATCAAGTTCTGTTCGTGACTTCCCGAACGTCTAAAAAACTGATCTTGTACAACAAACAGACATCAACAAGCATTTCCAAGTTCCAGTGTATTTGGGTCATGTCGAACAACAGAGTTGTACATTTGGGTTTCTCAACAACTCCTCAACTATTGTCATCCCATCGTTTGCTTCTCCCAAATCGATTGTCCGTTGGCAGCAATAAGAATACCATCGTCGTTGTAATTTGGTGAGTTTGTGGGAATAAAAGGAAACTTCCCTTCATTTGTTTTTGGTCGGACATATGACAAGTGCCACTCCCAATTCAAACTCTCTGTTTTTGACTTCGCAGAATTGAAATATAACTCACAGACACAAACCACAACTACTACTCTCTCGGAGCCACAATTACATCTCTTCATCACCACATCATACTCTCCAATGCGTTATTCTCGAAAAGTTCTCCTCTACGTTTGTCTTCTTGTAATCTTCTCTTTCATTCCTCTGTACATGTTTCTCCATGTTTACAACAACACATTCTTCTTTTTCTTCCGACATATCGAAACGAATCTTGTCTTCATCCACGGAACAACCACGACATGACTCGACGAGTGCCTCTTTCCGTCTGTACAGCCCTTCAGCAAATTATTTGTTTGGTCATTACGCATGTAATCGCCATTTCCTGGAAGAAGCGATAAATAACTACGAACATCCTCGAAGATTTGCGGGCTGCCAGTTGTCAAATGTTTGCTTTACAAATCAGGGCGAATTTATTCTCTTCATGTCAAAGGAACTTGCAGATCGAATGGACAAGGAAAAGGTCCTGAATGAGTTGAATGAAATTCCCTTTGTTTATACACAAGGAAGAGAAGAGACAGAAAGAGGATTGTTTCGAGTCAGAGTTTTGGATGCAAGTTTGATCTTGTTTCGAAATCAGGAAGGTCGAGTGGTGAATGTTACAACAACAACAAGGAATTTCTCTTCTCTAATGAATCTCAATTTACATTCGAATTTTGAAAGGTTTAATAACTTTAATTTTTCATCAACAAAGGACGACAAGTTGCACATTTCAAAAACACAAATTCAAGTCGAATTAGATCCAAATTTTCAATTCTTGGAAAAACCAGTCTATGCTTTGAAAAGACATGCTGCAGGAAATATGGGACACTTTTTATTTGAAAATGCAATGATGGCGATCATGTTGATGCAGAATTTTAGACCACCATTACCACCATTACCTTCTTCAATGATGAAATATGGACAGAAAGAGTGTTCTCGTTCATTGATGGATCATCACATTCTGTATTTGGATGATGTTTTTGATCGCTCTTTGAAAAATGATATTGCCTTATATGGTTATGATGGGCATTTGGCAACTAATATTTCACTTCAAGTAGCGAACATGATTTCAAAGAATGAGGTGTTACAATTGTGTTCGAGAAAAGGAAAACATTCGATTGAAAAGTTGCCTTGTTTGAATGAAAATCCAGACCCAAATGAGAACACAAATTCACAACCTTCGAAATTGGTTCTTAATTCTTGTTTTTCACATTTTCTGGTTGGAAGAGTTGCAGAGTTTTTTGTGCATCCTTATGGAAATGAAAGCTCCTTCACGTTGATGAGACAATTAGTATATACTGGGTTGAAATTATCACCTCTTCCTAATGAGGAAGATGTCACATCTGAAATTCTGCATTATCTTAAAAGAAAGAACATCAAGATTGGTATTCATGCAAAATCTAAAGGGTCACGACATGGACGTATTATTTGGAATGTCGATGAAATTATTGATTTTTTACGACAAAATGTCACCAGCGAACTCAAAGCACTTTTTCCAAAAAAGAATATTGATATTGAAGTGTTTGAGATGGGACGAGTCGGAAATGTACATGACCAGGTCCGATTAATTTCAGATCTCGATGTTTACATTACGGATCAAGGAAGTGGTGCCTATTATTCCATATTTATGAGAAAAGATACAGCCGCATTGATTGCACCAGAATGTTCGGTTTTCAATAACGAAGGAAAATGCCATACAGGGCTGGCATATGCAAAATTAATGACCCTTCCTCAAGTTAATATTGTGGATTATTTGGGTTTGCTGAAAGGTGAGCCTCCTTGTGCTTGTAACAAGAGACCATGCCATTTGAATCCAGTTAACTGTGATCCAATTTTGAGACCAGAGGTTGTTGGTTCCATGGTTGTATCAGCCATTAAGAGGAGATATTTGAAATTGATTGCCCACACTTTGGAGAGGTTATTGTGAATTGTGGATTGAGAACATTGTTCATCAATGATGTTGATTTTCACTTGAGGGACTCACAATATAGTTTTTACTTTTTTTGTTGCTGATCCAGTTCAGCAAAGGTTTGTCTAATTTCTCTCGCCATTCGTACACATTCGGATGCAGTTGCTCTTTCTTTAGGGTCTACCTTCAAAATTTTAGAAAGAAAATTGATGAGTGGTGTGTGAATTTGAGGTTCTGGATATGCCTTCTTGACCTCTCCCTCCACCACGTTTTTCCAGTAATCTTCAAAATTAAATTGTGCCAGAATGGCATGAGAGACTTGTTCTCTTCCAATCTTTAAGGTTATCATTTCATAACACATGACTGCAAAACTCCAAATATCCACTTCCAAGCCATATCCAGAAGAAGAAGTTTGAATTTCTGGTGCAATGTATCCGGCAGAACCAAGCTGTGTGTAGGCCTTTCCTTCTTCGACTTGTTTTGCAAATCCAAAATCTCCAATTCTGAATGTGAGAAGAGCATTTTCGTTTCATTGGTGCATATATTGAAATTGAGAATATTGTTACCATGGTGGTATTCATGTCAATACCATAGAGAATGTCAAAGAGTTAAATATCAACATGTGAATATATGATGTATTCATGTACATGGTTAAAGTTGAGAATATGGACAAACTTCTCTACTTACTTGAGTTGTTTGTATCCTTCTGTAAAGAAAATATTCTTGTGTTTTAAATCTCGATGCAAAACCTTATAACTATGTAAATGTTCAATTCCTTTCGCTATTTGTACCATCCAATTAGCCAACACCACTGGTTTCAAATACTTTCTTGGTTTTGCTTTTTGCTTTCCTTCAAGTAATTGATGTAAGTCTCCTTGTTTATAGAACGGCATGATATAGCACACATAAAACGAAAAATCTCCCATGTTCTGCTCCACGTCCAAAAACATGTCTTCATATAGTACAAGATTTTCGTGAACTAGACTTTTGAATGGCCATGCTGAGAAGAAAAATGTCACAATCATTCAATACTGGTGATATTATCACGTACCTTCCTTAATGGCTCTATTTGCATCTTCCAAAGTTTTACACATAATTTTCTTTAATGCCTTTTCTTCACCTGTTTTTTCATCCTTCACAACATAGACAAGTCCAAATCCTCCCTTTTCTAAATTTCTAACAATTGTATATCGATTATTAATTTTGTTAGAGTCTTTTTTCTTGTTTGACAAAAAGCTCGAAACGTTTTTGATGGTTGGTGCTTTTCCAACCGCTAAATTTTCAACAAGTGAAGAATTGAAATAGGCTGAAATTTCAATTTTAGAATTATCTAAAACTTCTTCTTTTCCAAAATTGTGAGGGAAGGCAACAATTTCTAATTGTCCACTTTCGACACCTTCAAGAGGAAGTATTAATACATTTTCTTTTTCTCGAATAATTGTTGTGAGTGGAATGTCGGCACATCCCATAAAATCTAATAAGTAATTATTCATTCAATTTACATTGAATGTTGCGAGCAAACGGGAACAAAAAACACCACATATTTTCCGTCATTGGTAAACACCATCATTGAGAATTAATAATGCAAAGTCAAAGGTGTCACATACCATCCATTTTAGAATTTTCTCTATCCCAAACGTAGATTGTGATGGTATCAATCGGTATGCCATTTTCATCACAGGATACTGAAATCTTTATAATTGTAATATATGAATAATAGTAATTATTATTATAATTATTGTTATTAAAATTATTGTTATTATAATTATTATTATTATATAATAAATAACGTATATTTGCAATAAATTATTAACGATTCAAGGATGAGTGGAAATCATGATGTGATCTACCAACCTCAAATACTTCTTTCCATTCCGGGTTTGGAGATGATTTTGCCGGTTTTGATTTCAATTTTCGACTTGTATAATTATCAGATGTTGGACTTGCTCGGTTGAAAGACCAAACCACTAAGAATGGATCTGATGTGGGATTTTTTGTCCGATTAAAATCAATGATGATGGAAATTATTTGTCGTGAATTTATGATCAGTAATAAATTAGATATTATTTGATTGATTTAATTCATAAAACAGGATCAGATTTGCAAAAACTCACCATAGTTATCCCGGCTTGCAAGATTAATTCCTTTTTTTACATAAAATTCCAATCTGGGAGCATCCACCGAAGTGCTTGTAATGAAACTGGTCCTCCGATGAACGTCCCATTTACTTCTTAGATTTTCAGGAGCAATAGAGGCTTCCATTGCCAAGAGAACGGGATTCAATATATTATTTTTTTTATTGGAATTCCTTTTGGAAAACATTGTTGAACGAAAGATTGACAGAATAATATGTTCATATTAAGAGAGGTAATCAAGTTTAATGAGAAGCAGGGGTTCCCGAGCGGTCAAAGGGGGTAGACTCAAGTTCTACTGCGCAAGCTTCGTGGGTTCAAATCCCACCTCCTGCATAAATTCCTTTTTTTGGAAAATAAAAAATTTTCATTCTTTCACCTCATAAAAGTGTAATTAGTGGCACTTCCCTTGACTCTCACTCCAATCCACCACATGGACCAGAATGTGATGCACCCAAATCTCGTGAGGAATTTTTTGCTTGTTTGGAACATGGTTGGGAAGTAGACTGACAGAGACATTTTTCGGGAATGATGAACTTCAAGCTGGAATTTGGATTCGAAGAATTCTAGGGTTGTTGATAATCAGATCATTTCGACATAAAAGGGATGATTTGGAAGCCAACTACAATCAAATTATAATTATGGAGATTAGAGGAATTTTTTCAGCTCTTTTTTGTCCATCTCGGCGTCACCCATAAACAAACCATAAAAGAACTTGATTTGTAAATGAAATTAAAAAAAATGTCATTAACAACAGACCGTACTTTGCCACCTCCAGTCATTGTCTTTCGATTCGGAAGAACCGCTTGCTGAGGTTCCTCACCGGTCCATAAAACAAATAAAATTGAGGGTTTTATGGAAAGGTGTAAAACTGAATTTCCTCAATTTACAGTGAGCCAGGTCAAGCTAGAAGGAACAGGCATGTTTGAAGTGTACCTCTTTCCGAGCGGAGTACAAATTCCAGATTGTTTGTGGGGACCTGAAAGTTCGCATTCTTCTTCCAAGTTTAAAGTGGTGGAAGAATATCGAGTTTATGATGGCTATTTGTTTGAGTTTTATTCGAGTGGTGAAAGTCAATCGGAGAAAAAAGCCAAAACGAAAATGCAATTGATTGTCTCGAATCATGAGAAGAAGAACCAGCAGTAAGGGTCGCCAAACTGTAAACAGTCACATCGAACTGAGTGAGTTGATGAAACATTACCAGATCTGTGGTATGACGGTGTAGTAATCATTGTGAAACTTTTTCATTCTGATCATTAAGAATGAAAGCACAACTACCCTCGAACGTGCAGCTGGTGACGAGTAAAACGGCTACACATGACAGTGCAGTAATATGAATATCACAATAAATTGGAATAATTGTATTTCATCTAAAGACTATTGTTCTTATCAGATAGAGGATAGAAACATTCATGTAAATCCAACCCGTCCAAATTCTTCATGAATGGACATCACAATTCAATTTTGGATGTGCAGAATCTTCTAATCTTCTTTTTTTTTGAGTGCAGAAATGATATTCAAGAACATCAATTGGAATAGTTGATTAATTAGATTCTATTTCAATTCAAGAATTTCAATTTAAGTAGTCATCGTTTTTGAAAATTGCTCGTGACAGGTGGAATGCCACTGTTGACAGTCCCAGCAGTGGGTGCTTGTGTCATTGCCTCTGATGCCACCTCATGTAGAGTGGTGGTTGTTGATGCCACAATTTTCCACTTCCATCATAGTAAGACCAAACAAAGCTTGGATTCGCCGCTTCCTGAAGTTTTTGTAATTTCATTTTGCGTTGTTTTTCAATCTTTTTGAAATATTTTTGAGCTAAGCATGTCAGAATACGATCAAATAATTCATGAAATTATTTGAAAAATTATTATGTTTTCAAAAAGAATACATCACATTCCAAATAATGAAAAATCATAGAAATTTTCCATTTTTCAAAAAAAACAGTTCCCTTAAATATCACACATCATGAGAAAATAACATACCATGTGAAGCCACTTGAGATCGTGCTCGACTCTTGATATACTTTGTTGCAATGAGTTCCCAATTTCTTCCTACCTCTCTCAACCCTTTGATAAATAATTCATGTTCCTCCTTACTCCATGTTCCGTGATTAATTTGTGCTCTTTCACTCTCAGATGTGATAATTTTCGTGAAAGATGGACGTTTCATGACAGATGCATTCTTTCCCGTCGTCGATTTGGATGTATTTCCATCTTCCAATTGTTCATCATGCATGCTCGTCATAATGTTTGTTGTTTTGCCGTATTCGTCCTGATATTCTCCTCCTCCTCCTGTATGCATGGAGGGTTTTTCTTCATGATCTTCATCCTCATCCAACACTTCGTCCAGATCAGAGTCTTGTAATGCAGTATATTCCTCACCAATAATCATTAAGGCGCCACAACTACTGCTAGATGTTCCCTTTCCACCACCTACAGAGTCTGCTAATGACGATGTGACATTCGATGAAGATATTGTTATTAATGAGGAAGGCTGTAAAATCAAACTCGCATTGGAATTTCTCTTTCCATATGCACGTGAAGAAGATCTTTTCTTGGAAATTTTGGATGCATGCATGGATGCAACTCCACTACCAATCTGAGGAGGAGGAGATTGTGATGACGAAGGATTCTGAGGAGGTATGTTCATGGATGCATGTATCATGTTGAATGCATGTGGTGACGGAGGTTGTTGTTGCAGTGTAAGAAGAGATTTGGTCGATAAAGGAGAAATGTTGGATGCATGCATGTTGGATTCGGAAAAGGTGCTACTAATCGTTGGCACAATAGTACTCGCAGAATTAGTGTGACATGTTGTTGACAATGATGCATTTGCCAAATGCATGACTTTTGAAGAAGAAGGAAATGCATGATTCGCACTGATGCTGCTACTGATACTAGAATTACTCTGTTCAGTGGTGATATCCTGTGGTATGTATGTAATGTTGGGAGAAGTCTCACTGTTGTGACTGCCAACTATTGCATGCATTTGATGAGGAGTGTATGAAGAAGGAAGAGGAGTAAGTGGAAACAAGTGGTGATTCTGCTGTTGTTGTTGTTGCTGATGATGAGAAGAATAAGATAATGGTGACGACCATGAGCACGTATGTGTGATGTGACATTGATGGTTACCTGCCAAATATGTCGACAATGAAGATGTTCCCTCTTTGGTTGTAAGGCTACAATAATTCTCTTTAACTCCTCTTGCAAGCCATTTCACACCAGAATTGTTGGTATCAAAGATTGAGGAGAGACAATCTTGTGGGTCAGACCCAAACGAAATTTGGGGCTCTAGGTAACTCGGCAAATCCTTTTTTAAACTGTTGGATATACCGTCGTTGTCGTTGTTGGTAGTGTTCATGAATGCGTCACGATGCTGTTGGTGTTGTGGCAGTGGAGAGGAAGAAGGTGTGAAAGAGTTTGTGGAAGAGATTACATGCGGCTGAGTGTATGTATGGAGTGAAGATGCATGTAGGTGGCAGTGATGCTGTTGTTGTACCATGTGAGAAGCATTCATGGCAAATGCTGGTTGTTGGAGCGAACATTCATGTTGTTGAGAAACTTGTTGTCGTCGATTCCATTCTCTGTCATTCACATGATTTGAAATGGGTGGTAATAATTGGAAAGCAACAGTTGTGGTGCCACTACTAATAGGAGGAGGCATATTCCTTGTTGTAGTGGTGGTTGTGTTGGAAGCACCATGTTGAAAATTGAATTCCAATATAGATGGTACATGTTGAGGGTTTTCCAAGAAGGACAACTGTTGGTGAATCGTGGCATTGGATAAAGAAAAAGCAGTAGTGGTGGGGATCAACTTGGTCGTTGTTGTTGTTGTTGTTGCTGATGAGAGTCTTCTCTCATGCTGTTCATCATGTTGTGGTGTGAAATTGTCGTGTCTTGTTGCTGCTTCTTGGGAAGTTCCTCTTGGTGGCTCCATTTTCTTCTTCTTGTGAAGTTATTGTTTTGGTATGTAAACTTATGTTTGCAATCGAGAGAGAGTGAAAGGAGGAGAAGCAGTGTGGATGTTTGGACTCCTTTGCCAGCACAGCGCTACTTGGGAGTTAATATCCAAAAACACACAACAGGTGATTTTTTACCGGCAATGAGTATTTGAGATACCACGTCCTTATTACCAAACACACACAAATCTCATGCTGCTCAGTCTCTCTCGGTAGCAAGCACAACGCTTTTTGGTGTTTGCTAAATTAAATGTTGTCAACGTTGCTTATAGGACACGCACAACACTTTTTTTTAAAGCGATCACTTGTTTCAACTTTTCCAAAACGGTGTCAAACACCAAATAAATGGTCGACTATGTTTGTTCAATTCCGATCGCAATGGCGAGTTGATTTGGAATGGATCGGTAGGAATGGAAGGAGGGTATAGAAATTGGATGTGGGTGAATGCTGAGATTGTGTGGTAATTGTATTTCAAAATGTGAGGTAAATTTCAGTCGAAATGAATGACAATCAGACAAAACAAAACACAATGCCACCCCATCATCTTCCTCCATCGATCGCACAAAACAGTCATCAAATAAGCACGACAGTAATGCGAAACAGTGTGAGCTATGACAAGAATATGTGATGTCTTTTTTGGTAACCTGTGAAAGGATATCGTGTTGATTTGTTTTTCAGATATTGAAAACATCACATTCTCACCTATCTCAATTTCCCCTTTCGAGAGATTCTTTGTCACCCAACAATGTGTATATGAATCTGAAGTACGAAAGGATTTGTCAATATTCGAATAAAATGGTGAGAGGACAATAAACACATAAAAGTGTTCATTCATTTAGAATATTTACAACAAATCCAAGTCTGCAACTCATCCAATAGCTAAACATGATGTTGAGTGGAAATTGGAAAAGGGTCAATCATTGCGTTGAATAGAGTGCCATCATTCAATTTCTGCATGACAAAATACCCTCTCATGTATCCAATTTCTGATGTGGATTGAGTACAGGAGCAATATGAAAATACAGATCCAGGTGTGACTTTGGGAAAGAGGCCAACCACTCCAGGACCTTTGGTATCCATATGGCATTCGATAGAATTATTTCATAGTTAAATAATTTCTCAAAAAGTACATACCATCTACAACTTCTGGTTCTTGGTTTTCCATGTCACCACCTTCGAATATTTCCCAATGTCTTGATTGAAGACGACATGACTTGTCATTGGTTTCGTTCTTGTCCATGGTAATTTTCACACGATATGAAAAGTGATAAAGATTTTCATTGTCTGTAATTTGTGTCATTTCGGGTATGAGAAGGGATTGACACGTAATTTTCACTCCATTTGTCACAGTTTCTGATCCGTATTGAGAATTGAAAAATCTATTAATTGCTCCACTCTCTTCGATATCGAACAATTCTTTCACAGTTAAATTTACAACATAAGTTTCGAACCACTCTGCAAAAGATTCAGATAATACTAACGGAATTCCTTGTGCAGTCAGTTGAATGACATTTCCAGGACGATAGCTATATTTTGAACATGTGAAAGGCTTTGTCACAATAAGAACATTCACATTAGAGCTAATGATAAAAGGCACAGTCGATTCTATCAATTCGTACTCTTGATTTCTAAATTCTTCCAAATATCTACAATTCGTGCGAAGACTGAGAAATGGTAATGCAGCAAGATACGAATAAAATTCATACATTCCAAATAGTCCTAGTGATTTGCTTTTCAAACCCCTTTGACCATCTACAAGCAAGTACAAATATTTGAACTCCAAAGGTAGATCCACAAAATACTTCTGTATCATGTCTTTTTGAGATTCGATACATTCAAACATGTTAGGTAATGACTCTATGATGAAGAGAGAATTATAGATTTTTGGAGAATGATATCCCAAGTAGTATTCGAGTTGATTGACAAGTTTTTTCATCTTGCGGAATACTTCGCATGCTGTATGATAATCTTGGCGATTGCTTACTATTCCAAGAATGTAGCTTTTGAAATATTGAATAAATAACATCTTGCACCATCTATACTTGTTTTCAGAGCCAAATACATTGGTCAACAAATCTTCAATTCTCTCGCATTGCCTCATATTCATTTTATCCAAAATAGGATCAAATTCTTTTGAGGAAGACACAGAATTTGGTGAAATAAATAGTTCCGAAAGAGGAGGAGGTGTAATGGTCATCAAGTCTGTCGTTTCTTCTTCTTGTGAGGCCATGCTGTTATCATTCACAATGTTATGAGATTGACGTTCCATTGCCGAAAGTATCCCTTTTTGTTCAAATACCACGTTTGGAATCAAAAACACGTCCTGACATTTCTTTCTCCACACAACGTTACAGTTACAAATTTCGTTGAACCGTAAATTGATCAAGGAACAATTCAATATATCGTAAATATCCAGAAATTCCATCACGTGTACATAGATTTCATATGGAAGTTGCGAAAATATTGTTTCTGATGATGATTGTGATGACATTGATGGAATATTACACCTCGTCGTCACGACGTCATCACTGTCATCATTATCAATTATAACGTCCGTGTTGGAATTTAATTTTTGTTTCTTATTCGAAGTTCGATTCATATCCGTATTCGAAAGAAGGCTTCTCTCGTTTTTATTGTTCATTGTCGGAATGCTGGTTGCTGATGAAGAATGAACAAGATCGGAAAACAGTTGTTCATGTTCGGGCATTTTTTTAGAATAAACATTCCGAAGAATCCTTGCTGTGTCTTGTGAACGAGGATGAACTTTCAGTAGTGAAAGCTTAAGAATGACATTTATTTCCACCTACTTCTACTGTTGCGCGTGGTATCATCTCTTCGTGGTTCATCTTCAAATTGTTGATAGTAATGTTCTTCCTCCTGATCTTCAATGTTAAGGGAAACCTTAGTGTTTGAAATGCTGTTAATATTAACAGCAGAACTTGCTGTTTCAACACTCAAGGCATGAGGTGATTTTGGAGAACTTGTGTTTGAATTTTGTTTTGCAGTGCCATGATGGGAATGATGAAGCCATCGAGCTAAATCTTTCTTCGTGAGAATTCCTACCAGCTTGCTACTATGCAACACAAGACAATATCGAATACCCATCGCTCGAAACATGTTATATACTCTGTCACCTGGCATTTGAGTTGGCACCTGAATAGGAACTTCATCCAAATAATTGGACAAGTCAATTTTGTTAATTAAATGTTCCTGTCGTGGTGAAACTGAAAGGTCTGCAAAGAAAATTTCTGTCTGGTCATTGATTCGTCGATCGTTTTCCTTGATTGCTTCTCGTAAGGCTGCTTGCGAAATAAATCCAAGCACACGTCGATCCACAGAATTGTCAATCACTGGAAAACCATAAATTTTAGTTTCATCGGTTAATAAGCCTGATTTCACATCTCCTATTGTCACACCTTCCGCGTAGATGACTTTGAGACTGTGAGTGGTCATGATATCTTTAGCATTTCCATCATGATCTACTTCATCGTTATGCAGGAATGGATATTCGCTCATTTCGATATTATGTTCATAAATTGTGACATTGTCAAATGCATCTCCAACCCATTTTGCAAACATGGTTGAAAGCATGAGTGGAACCAAATATTCCAATCCTCCTGTCAATTCAAACATAATGACAGCCAGCGACACGGTAATTCTACAAATTCCGCCCAACATGCTGGCAGCTCCAACCACTGCATAAATTCCTGGAACAATGCAGGATCCTTCTCCTCCTGCATAACATTCTTGGAAAAAGAGAGAATCTGGATATGTGATTTGGATATATTTCATGAGTGAACCAATGACCTGTCCATAACAAGCTCCTAACATGAGTGCAGGCACTAGAATTCCTCCAGGAACTTTGATTCCCACAGTCCAGAACATGAGAATAAATCTCAACACAAAGGAAATGATGAGTTTCCCGAGAGGCCAGAAATTGGTGGGATCGCACAACACTCGTATCATTTCTTCAGAATCTGAATTTTCAGTACAAGTATTTTGGAAAAGCATAGCAATGAGGTCAGACATGGGAATTCTCGAATATTCGTTCCAATAGCAAAGTAAGGAAGTGACTACAGAGGTCACTAGAGCTTCTGTGATGGGCCATTTGGCAAGGTATCTTTTACGGACATATTTAATGTAGGTAATGTTGAGCTTGGTCCACAGTGCACCGAGGATTCCTCCTAATATTCCCATAAAGATGAATGGTACTATGAGGGATGGAGAGATTCAAAGTAAGGTATGTGGTTTCGAATGATCAATTTTTCATTCGTCCGTTCATTGATGTGTATGGTCATTAATCATTCAAATGAACAATTATTTTCGTGTATGATCATTAATCATTCGAATAGTCCAGTAAACAATATCCAAAGTTCATTGTGTCATGTTTCAAGAAATTCAAAAAATTATTGATGAAAATATATTCATTCAACAATTCATTCATCTCAAAATAATGCTCAACTTACATAATTCAAACCATTTCCAATTCACATGGTACGAAATACTGAACAGAACAATTTTACCAGAAGGTCTTGGGTTCAACACTTGTAGCGTCAGTGCTCCCATCACACATGTAAAAAAGGTTCTAAAAAGTGTCTTGGGTGGAAAATAGGACGATAATTCTTCCAAAGAGAACAATGTTCCTCCAGCTGGCGTACCGAATGCGCATGCTACACCTGCTGCACAGCTTGCACTAATAATTTCTCTCTTTTTTGCTTCATTATTTCTATATTTTGAGAATAATCGAGAGGCAATATTACCGACACATCCTCCAACATGCACCATTGGTCCTTCTTTTCCTGTGGTTAGTCCAGATCCAACTGCCAGAATGAGACCAACCACTTTAATAAGGAAGGTCCAAATACCTAAAAATCCCTTAATGACAAATCCACCAAGAATGGTTTTCACTTCGGGAATACCTGAACCGGCTGCCCATGGAGCAAGACATTTTACAAGCCATGCTGCGAGAACAGACATGGAGGCTGCTGTGAAAACGTATGCAAAGTAATTGAAGGCATAGGCACCATTGAGATCAGAAATACCAAATAATTGACTCCATGATCGCCAATATGGACATTCGACGCCAACTTTTGTAATTTTGAAATTTGATGAATTTTGAATTTTGAATTTCAGAAAGTTCCATAAAAGTTAAGGATCATTAAAAAAATCACATGTGATTCCACAACATGAACACACATCATGAATGAATAATAAAAACCAAATAATTACGAAAAAAATAGAGGCCTCTCTGTTGGTTACATACCTGGTACGTCGACACAACATCTTTTTTCTGTGGCAAGAAACCAATTGACACAAACGCCCTCCCTGAACCCTGAAACCCATTCCATTCCTTTATCGACTAAACTTGCTGCAATACCTACAACAATTCCCACTACAAAAGTCATAATCCAACCTTGTGAGGCATAATATGCTTGTTGTACCAGAGCTAGGACACCTTGCTTTGATGATTCCGAATGAGAAATTTTCACAATGAATGTGTATATGATGAGATCCATGCATTCGGTGTACAATGATGAATTTGAAAAAATTTGAAACGACATTGTCACAAGAATCATTCAAAAATCATTCCATTCGAATTAGATGATATTTGAAAGATATTTTTCATCATGCCATGAAAGGTTCTCAATAAATTCAAAAAAAGAAATTTTCTCATCCATACCTGCTCAAAAATTCTTGCTCTCTTCTTCTTTTCTTTCTTGTAATCGGCTCTCCAATCGATAGTACTAATATTCTCATTATCAAAAGATTTTTTCACAACTGCTCCCGATGATGAGGCGGAGGGCTGAACAGAGGGGGCATCATCCCCTAACAGCAACGATGCGACCTCCCCTGTCGAGCGTTCACTTGTACTCTTCATGATGAAAGGGAGTTCAACGAAACGTGGTGATGAGGTGCTCACTTTCAAAGAGGGTTGGAGATGGAATGAGAGAGTGGTTGTTTTGAATTTTTTTCAAGTTGGATTCCGATAAGAGTTGGTTTTGGTATGCCGTTCATAATTGTTCAAGTCATGTTGGACGATGCGGCGTAATACTCCGAGAGTCACGGAGTTGAGAAAATTCCAGCGCAAGGTTTTAACATTATCATTGTTTAAAAAAAGATGTTTATTTTCAGAGGAGTAATTATTCTTGTAACAAGGAGAAAACATGATGCTGTTCTTATAGGCCCTTCAATCTCTTACTGAGCGCTTCTCTTTTTTGAATTTGCTGATTCGTTTCCTGAGTGAGAAGCTGCAATTCTTCCTGCATGGACATGATGGAACTCTCAAGGTCTGCCTTTTCCTTCTCCTTGGTAGCCATTGAACCTTGGTGAAATTCGAGTTTGGAACGGATCTGTTTTTCCTGTTGTTCTTTCTGTTGCCAAGACTTTTCAATATCCTCCTGACGTTTCACTTCTTCTTCAATACTGCGTGAGAGAGAGTCCATCTCTTTTTGGAGTGCGTCTTGTCGTTTCTCTTCGATGTTTATGGATTTCTCAATGGAGGCAATTTCTTGCTGTATATTTTCAATATGTTCTTTCAAACGCTGAATTTCAAGTCCTTCATCAGATCCCTCATAGTAGTACAAATTGATTTCCTTCAAATGTTGTTCATACTTGGCAATTTCATCTTCCATCAATGATACGAATTCCTTCTTTTGTTGTTCCTTTTGTTCTCTTCTTCCGTGGTTGATAACAATCCGCTTTAGATGCTCATCAATGTCCTTTTCCATGAATGAAATGCTTTCTTCAAGTGAATCCAACCGATTTTGAGAGGTTTGATTATCGAATGAGAGCATTCTCTTCTTTCTTTGCAAACAATCTAATTCCTCTTCACCTCATCATTATTTTGAAAGATAATGAAAAAATACTCAATTCCATGTTGAAGCAAAAGACACCACTTACATTGGTTGACCTTGGAAAGAAGCACTTCATTATCTTGCAGCAAGCTTCCGAGTTTGGAATGCTCCTCTTCCTGAAGCCTAGTCAATTCTTCAATCTGAACACTTAATACTGTTTCCATCTGTTACTGCTTCCACTAACTTGAAAATTTTTCATTCCGATCATCATGATCGAAAAGCCTTACCTCAAAGAGAATAGACGAATTTTTTTCAACCAATTTAGAAGCCAACTGTGAGTGTCCATCTCAATTTAGCCTCTCTTCGAAACCATTTTCTGCCATTTCGATGTTTGTGTTCTCAACGAACATTCAGTGCGATAAACATCCTTGAAGTTTGGGAACTGACCTCTATTTGACATAATTAAGCTCGCCTTCATTACATTCATTCACAAAGATTGATCAACTTGGTTAACCTTCTTTTGAATATTGTCAAATATTTGGAATCACAAATGAGAAGTTGTTTATTGTGATACTTAATAATGCTTGCATCGATCTTTTCCAAGGATTAAGCATTCATTATTGAAAGACAATCTATTCCAAGCAGACACAACAATCGGCATGTCTGAATATCATAATCAAGAGGTCTCTGGTGAGGAATGGCAATTTTCATCTCGTAGTGGCTTTCTAAGAATCCTAATGAGTAACCAAGTCCTGATTGAATAAATGTCTCAACTTTGAGAAGAGATACTTCAAATACTTGATTGTAATACTTAATGTCAAATCTCTCTTTCATCAATTTTCGGACCAAATTTACACGAAGTTTTGGATTGTACTCTAAATTTTTGTTGTCATTGCAGGGTTTGATGATCTGTTCCTTATCGTTAAAAAGATTAACAATTTTGTTTGAGTTTTCTTCAACCAAAGTTTTCATATTAAAATATAATCTCATGTCAGAATGGTGTGGAACACTTGAAATAAAGGTACCTGCAAAAAATCTTGTTGAAGAAGAGACAACGCGAGATATTCTACGGAAATTAGAATCCAATTTCACTTTGAACTCTTGGTCTTTGGATTCACCAATAATATAACAATGATATTCTACCTCTTTTTCGACACGTGTATCCCGAATGATTAATGGGTTAAACAATTTCTCTTTGAGAATGTTAATCGATGTTTCATTAATGCAAGTGAAAAATGAATCCGAAGGAGCTTTCTTATCCTTCACTTTTTGCTCATTATAGTCATTTGTATCAATTTTCTTGGTGATGGATTTGAGAGGAGAAATCTTTTCAAAATCGCCATCGTCATCCTTGTCCTTAGACCCTGGATCCTTTTGTGAATGACTTTTTTTGACCAATTGTTCCAACTTCATATTTTTGGTTTTTTTTTGCATTACTTGATTGAATAGTTGTGGAGAAATATCCAACATTTCAGAAAAACATGACTTTTCTAAATTGATGAGATAATATTTTCCAAATTTTACAGATATTCTCCACGCTTCTGGATCATTATAACTACTTGACATGAAACTAAGCAATTGCCTTTTGAAGCTGATTTTGCAATTGAGTCATTATTGGATATAAGTGGAATTGTGAGCTTGCAATAGCAGAAATGATGGGCAAAGATTTTGTGATACATGAATCAATGTGCTTGGGCTGGCTCTTTCCTTGATAAGGAATAAATGATATGGCTGTATCTGTATCACTAACACACTCCTCGAACACAGACAGGTAAGAACCTTCTACAAACAAGTTATTTCTTTTGCACTGGAAAAGATGTAAGTTAAAATCCCACATCGCCAAAAGCTTTTTTAAATCAAATATATATGATCTCTTTCCCTTTGCTGTTATCCAGTACGATTTGTTCTGCTTTATAGTAATGCTTAGAATGGTGATATTGCATGTTCTTTTCAATTCGTCTGAAAAATGTTGTGACATAATAACATCATAGCCTAACACTTTAGATATCAAATGAGGTATTTTGACTTGAAAATTGCATTCATCTTGTACTGAATCAATCATGGCGTTAACTCCTTCAAAGAGGAGAGAGAAGTATGAGAGTCCTTCTCTGCAATTTCTATTTCAAAAGTTTCCTCTTCAGAGGGTACAATTTCTTTGTTGAGATAGCCTCGCTCAATACAATAATCAATCATCTTCCAAACAAATAAATAGGTCTTAATTACATTTGGCGAAAACACTCTTCTAAACCATTGAACGAGTATATTCAGAATCACGAACAAACAGGGCTTTTGTTTCAAGTATTTTCGTAACAAATGCTTTTTTCTTAATCCTCGTGTTGATCCAGAAAGATCCATCGATTCACAGCAGTCTATTATCTTTGTAGGAAGTAAAACCGTGATGACTGGCACCGATTTTTTGTAGTACATCACATAAAAATCTACATCGGTGTTGTTCGAATCATGAAGTAGCACAGAAACTGAGCCAAATATAAATATTCTAAACTGTTCTCCTATCATGTCTTGAAATTTTGTCTTTTCTCTTTCTATTTCCCTTAACTGGTCGAGATAAACTCCAAAGTGAGTATGGATGAAATGATAAATAGATCGTGAAATCATTCCAAAAGCAATATACTCATTCAAACATGAGCTTTGAGAGCTTGGTACGATCCAGTTGTATGCACTTAAAGTCACTCTTTCTTGTGGAATGACAAATTTGTCATGGTTATTCATGGCCTCTGTTCTATATCTCAAGACAAGAGAAGCGTATAATTTTCTGCCAAGCTTTTTGTCACCTGCCACTAAATCCAAATCAGAACAAGAGTAACATTGTTTGATATAGTTGCAACAATTTTCAAATTCCAAATACCTTTCTAGTGATACGTTTACATGATCATTCTCCAGAACATCATGATGAGGAATTAGAGTAGATGCATGTGAACTATCTGAAGTATATTGTGACGAAAACAAGCAAAGACGTTGGTAAGGTGAGTCTCCTTTTTTTATATCTCAGGATCAAGTGCTTTGAGACAGTTGTTCATTTCTTTCGAGTAGACTCGTTAATTTGAGAGCAGTATCTCTGGTTTTCACAAATACAATAATTTTTTCGTCAAACGATTTTCTCTTTTTTAATATCTTTTCCAGTTCTCCATATCTTAACAACAGCTCACCCATTTGGCATAACAATCAAATAATTACATACCTTGGTGAATATTTGGACGGAACGTGTTGAATTTCATGCTTCAGTTGTGATAACGTTAAGTCTTGACTTTTGTTAATAATATCGATTGCATACTTGCTTCCCAGTATATCTGTAATCTCAATAAGAGAAACAAGTTTTCGCATATGCTCTACCATTTCTCTGAGATGTGAAGGAAATTGCACGTTTCGTAAACATCCTATCATTAGAGGATAATGGTTAATAATATTATCAGAGAGTCTATATGGGCCAAGTTGTTCATTCAAATCATAAATTCTTTTCGAAATGATATTTTTCAATTCAACTTGTTCATCTTGCTCTTTGAATGAAGTAGACTTTGTTTGTGTTAGAAACTTGATTTCCTCAATTTCTTTTCTCATGATGCATGGATAAGAGATGGAAGTAATACGAAAGTTTGCAAGAATTTCTTCTAGGTGAGAAGGTGTAGCAGTAAGGCCTAATATTTTAACTTCGTATTTGCTTTTCAACAAGCTTTTAGAAATCTTGCAAAATTTGTGATTTTCTGCCGCTCCATGATGGATCTCATCAAATACAACCATAGAAAAGTCTTCAGGAGAAACAACTGATGTTTCTATGAGAGCGAATAACATTCCATCTGTGAAACAGTGAATTTTGATTTCTTTTGATCTCAATTTCTGCAATGTGTCATCGTTTTTGGTCTCACTACACAATACTTGACATGGAATACCTGTTTCCTGTTCAATATATTGGCACTGTTGAAATGCAAGAGGTATCTTCGTGACAACGAACGCTATCAGTTTTTGTGGATTCAATTCTAGCATCTTTTTCATCAATAAGATTGCGATCAGAGTTTTTCCCATTCCGGTAGGCAAAGCAATCAATGAATTTTGAAACAAACATTGAAAATACATTTCAGCTTGATAGTTTCTAACGGTTGAACGCACCGAAGGAGGTCTATATCTCTCTAATAGCGAGTTAATATTTGAAGTGTTATCAATTCTTGGATGATTTGTGGGTAGAAAGTCACACATTGACTGGTGTTCGAGAATCTTTTCTTCTCTATTAATTTCATAGTCAGTGCACAAGCGCTCCGCTAATCGCAATTTATCTTTTCGTTCTCGAAATTTAAGGCCTTTCTTTCGAAAACACACATCTTTGTTTTCTAGAGAAGGAACATATAATGCTTCAGGCCGAAAACAAACAAATGGCCATTCTTTACCATCTTTTCCAATCATTTGTGCAATAATAGTGGAAATCTTCTCTCCGCATTTAGCACATTCCAAAATGTTGATTGAATTCTTCTTTTCTGGTGGTCTGATGTGGACTTGTTTCAATAGTTTTATGTTGGATTCATCATTTTCCAAATATCCTTTTGAAAGATCGGAATGGTATTTGATCTGGTGCTCTGGTTTTAGAGTGCAGTGTTGAGCAGAATCGGGAAAAGTACACATACAAATCCACTCCAAAGGCACTAGAGGTGATTGGCATTGAACACAAGTAAGACAATTGGTTTGTGTGCGAGGACGATTCGGGATCATGTGTATTAACAATTTGTATTTTGATTAATCAAATATTTTCAATGGTTCGTACACGTAGTCTTCAAATTAACACTAGACTGTGTGAGCTATGACGGTGATGTTCTCTATTTTTCTCTCGATTTAAACTCGATAATTGCAATTTCAATCCTCGCTTGATGATGACAAAGTCTATTCCCAAAGTCCATTTTTTTGCCTTTTCCCTGTTTGAAACACAACAATCTTGTTCCCCTTACAGTCACCAAAAAAACTTTCTGAAATTTATCTTGCATTGAATACAATATTCATGCAGTTTATTAATAATAAATGGATTAAATTAAATATGAAAATAGGCCTTAGTGTAACCCAATTTGTTGTTGTTGACTTATTGATCTAAATCTTCATACTTTTCTTGTTCCTTTCCCTTCAATTGAACAATGTAGTAAATGAGGCAGCAAATAATAATTATGGAAAGGACAACAGTACCAGCTTCAACACCAATGAACAAGTACAAATTTACAACCTTTTCAATTTCTGGTGCTTCATATGCATCTTCATAAATGTCATTAACTCCCATGATCATTTCATTTACAATTGAATTACCAGAGAAGTTGAGAAAAACATTCTTGACACAAGTGGTATCAACTGTTGCCGCATCAGGAGTGGCCATGTTCACAAAGTTAAGCATGATTTGTAAACCACATGGAATGGTTCCATTAACATAGGTAGAATCAAATGCAGTGAAGTGACCAGTGTATGGAATAGTGACCAAGTTGTGAGGTCCCTTAATGCCATTGTTTTGGTTTTGTGCAGACCATAATGGAGTCTCAGCATCCAATTCTCCGTTAATCAAAAGAACAGGAACTGTGGTTGTGAAAGTTTGATTGTAGTATTGGGCATCGAGAGAGTATGGTTTCCATCCAGTGGTTTGATACAAGGATGCGAAACGAATGGCTTCAGGAGTAGCAATTTGAGTCTCATTGTATTGAGTTTGGAGGTCGAGAATTGTAGCGGATGGATCGAAAAGCTCGGCGAAAATAATGTTCAAAAAGGCAACAGGAGAGGTCATTGGTAGTGATGTCAATTGAGTGTATTGCTTCATTCTGGCAGCAATGATGTCTCTCACGTGGAGAATGGTGGCAACGTCCAAATCTTCGTCACATCGATTCATACGATAGAGAATGGCAGGAACAAAAACTCTAGTCTCAGCGCCGAGCAACAAATGACCCAACATGGCTTTGAATTCTGGAAGTGGAAGAACATTTGAAATTGCCTTACAAGTACCGTTCAAGTAGACACTTTGAATTGTCTTCTTCAAGAAGGTAACAGCATCAGTTTTGCCATACTTGTCAGACCACATTTGAGTACCGTTGAAAGTATTCATAAATTGCAAACCAACATTGTTCATGATACTGTCAGAATCAGTCACAGTCAAAAGACCTCCATAACTCAATGATCCAGAAGTACTAATGACACCATCCAATACAACACCCTTAACAATATTCAAACTCTTCAATTCAACATAACGCATCAAACGAGAAACTAAAAGAGTACCAAAACCAATACCATAGACAAAGGTCTCTTGCTTGCTATTAAATTGTTGAATCAACTTGGCAACATCAATGGCAGCAGCCTTGGTGGAGTAAAACTCCTTGTTGGTACCATATTCAGTGTCAAAGGCTTGATAACATTCCTTCCATTCAGAGTCAGAAATGAAAATTCCATCATTACTTCCTGGACTCTCAGCTTGAGCAGAGGCACATCCAATACGAGAACTTCTTCCATTTCCTCTGATGTCGAGTGTGTATAAATCAAAATCTTGTCCCAATAATTTGGAAACGAGTTGCATTGTGACTTCAACAATGGATGGGTCAGAGAGACCACTCAAAATCCAGACAGCTTTCTTGGCATCTTGTTGAGGATTGAAACGCACCCTCTTGACGAAAATGTTAATCTTTGGAGTGTTTTCGTCTTCAGGATTTGTTGAGAGAGGAACAACAGCACATTCGGCGTCCACTCGAACGGTTTGATTGACCTTGTTGTCTATTGATACCAATAGTTGTAGTTGTGGGAGTGTTCAATCAAAAAGTGATTGGAACCATTGTTTACAACAGAATTGAAAAGGTGAGATTATGAGAATTATGAGATGATGAAAGTGCAAAATTTTGATTTCCGTCGGCGGAGGCCATTCGAACAATTATTCAGAAATTGAAGGAAATATTGATGTGAGAGACACCGAAATTTTAGAATCAAGTTGTTCGGTAATGAGAACCAAGTGACGTCGTATCCACGAATGATGTTGTTGTGGTGAATTTTCATCATCACAATGATGACACAAGAAGTAACGCCAAAGAGCAAAAACGACGCAACAGAGAAGGATTCGGTGTTGTGTGTGAAATAAAATTTGTGCGATCACACAAAATTTTCACACATTCGCGAAATTAAATTGTTGTGAAATAATTTGAATGATTTCAATAATTATCATCGGTGAATCATTGGATTTGACAAGCAATGTTCTCCATGAACAAACAAAATACATACTGTAATTATTGATAGAATTCACCAAACCTCTCACCATTGGAGGGAAGAGTGTATCATTCAAAACTTTTGTCGATGGACTCACATAAACCTCGGTAAAATAGGGACAACTCACAAACTGTCCCTGCACATTCATCATAAAGACTGATCCCAAAATTGCTACAATCAAAGCCACACTCATCATCAAAAATAAGGACGAGGAAGACCCCTTCCGTGAGTGGTTATATAAAGTCATCTTCATCATGATCGGTGTTTTTGAAAAGTCTCGTTTCGGGTGATGACAAAAAAAAATCTTGCTAAAAATCAAGCAAGGCTTTACGCTGTAAATTTTTTTTGAAAAGCGATTTTCTTTGGAGCGTATGGTGTTACTCCTGGTCACTCCATTCACCACGAGTGCTGAGACTTCTCACTTGTGCCCTCTTCTTCGGAGTTTCTGCCACTGATGTTGCGTTCATAAAATATTATTAAATTATTATTAGAAGAATGTACATTTCTCAACAATGAGATCGGAGGATTGGGAGACATTTAGAACGATATTAACCTCAGCAAGAGGTTTCAACTTTTGTTTCAACGTTTACTGCAAATGAGAATCTTAGAAGCTGTTGGACAGAGGGAGCTCAGCAATTGATACTGCTTTCATGAACCAAGAAAACAGTCCCTCTCATTCAATCGTTCGATGAATCGCTTGAATACGGAGATTTTGAGGATTTTCGATGATATTGTTGTTATAAGTGAAAACGATTGGTTTTATTTACAAAAATTTGTTGAGAGGACGTGGTCGTTTCTTAGAAGGATTAAACATTAATGTTTAGAAGCACTTTCTATGAACAATTCCTGGACCAGCATCTTCATATTCTTCCTTTGTAATCCACATGGATTGGAAGGTCGTCAAAGAGGCCAAAATAGAGCCACCAATCCAGACCGAGTACTTTCTTTCAGGTGGAGCCACAACCTTAATTCTCATGGAGGAAGGAGCCATGGCAGTCAATTCCTTGGTCATTCGGTCAGCAATTCCATCAAACATGGTAGTACCACCAGACAAGACCACATTGGCATACAAATCCTTTCTGATATCAATATCACATTTACCAATCGAGTTGAAAGTAGTTTCATGCACACCTGTAGATTCCATTCCAATGAAATTTGGTTGGAACAAGACTTCAGGACATCTAAATCTTTCATTTCCAACGGTAATGATATTACCATCTGGCAATTCATAGGACTTGTCAATGCTTGAAGAATCGGATGCCTTCTTCATTTCAGCTTCGAAATCCAATGCAACATAGCACAACTTTTCCTTAATATCCCTCACAATTTCTCTCTCAGCACTTGTGTGGAAAGAGTAGCCACGTTCCATGAGAATCTTTTGCAAATAATCTGCCAAATCTCTACCTGCCAAATCCAATCTTAAAATGGCATGTGGCAAAGCATAACCTTCATAGATTGGAACAGTGTGAGAGACGCCGTCACCAGAGTCCAAAACAATACCAGTGGTACGACCTGATGCATACAAGGACAAGACAGCTTGAATGGCGACATACATGGCTGGCACAGAGAATGTATCGAACATGATTTGAGTCATCTTTTCACGATTGGCCTTTGGATTCAATGGAGCCTCGGTCAACAAGACTGGATGTTCCTCAGGAACAGCTCTCAATTCATTGTAGAACGTATGATGCCAAATCTTTTCCATATCATCCCAATTCGTAACGATACCATGATCGATGGGATATTTCAAAGCAAGAATACCTTTCTTACTCATTGCTTCGTCACCCACATAGGCATCTTTGTTGCCCATACCAACCATGATGGATCTTTGTTTGGGTCTACCAATGAGAGAAGGAAAGACACAACGAGGAGCATCTTCACCAGCGAAACCAGCCTTGCACATACCACTTCCATTGTCGACGACGAGAGATTGAACGTCCATGTTGTTGTTGAGTATTGTTGAGTGTTAGAGAGACTTGAAATTTGAACTGTATTGATATCAATGATCTTGTTTTTTCTGATTGTTTTTGGAACAGAATGGCTTCTACATCAGTTTTTATAGTGCTTTTAGAATGAAGGTTGATATCATTCCTATCAGAGCCTGTTCTTGAGTGCACAAAAAAACGACTTGAATCTCTGCATTAGACCCAAAGTTCCATGTTCATTGAACTGCAACTTTACCTTAATTTACCTTAAAAAAATCAAATTTCTTCCACAGACTTTATTTCAAACTTGTAACAAAAGTGTTATTGTTGGAGATGAATGTGACATGGACAAGTGACCATCTCGTGCAATGTCTGTTCTGAGTTCTTCTATGGTTCAGTCATTCCCTATGCAATAATTAATTGTGCAATTTAAATATGCTTTCCTACTGAAATTTGAATCTCCAAATTCGGAACCGAATATCCGACAATGAAGAAATTCGCAACATCGTCAGATTCAAACTTTCACGATTTCTGTGACAATCAAACAATAACCCGCCAAACTCATCCGTTACAAAATCGTTTCAAAAAATTGGATTAAAAAACTGTCAAAGTGTCGCGTTTCAATCAAAAAAAAAAGAAACCACGTTGATTGATATTCGCATAATCGTATGTACATTCTCCTTTATCATTCAAACATTGATTCATGGACAACCTATTGATTGACGAAACTCAATCACCACAACCACCATTGGCACGTTTTGAAAATTGATTGAATTTCCACATTCTTCAAACAAACATTGAAAAAATTTCCGTTGCATCACCTAACGGTTTGCAATTTTCTTTATCATTAATTTCTTCTCTAAAATCCTCCTTCTTGTTGAATCCTCTTGAAATTGTAGGTACAACTCTCCTCATCATCATCATCATCATTCTGTATTGAATCATCATCATGTCCGAAGTTGCAATCATGTCTTCGTCATCCCAAAAGATTCTTGCTCCTTCCACTCCGAAGAGATCGGCTTCTTCATGTTCTTCATCACCATGTACACCAACAGCATCAACAAAAGAAGAACAACCTATTCCTTGTTTCAATACCCCAAACACTCCGAATGTACTTTCCTCAAAATTTGGTTTTCCTCTCTTATATACAGGTCATATTCAATTAATCTTTGGAAATATGTTTGCAGGTAGGTTTGAAGAGCCAATTTTGGTAAATCTGTTGATTTCTTTATATTCACACCTCTCAATGTCTATATTTATATTAATTATATGAATTAATTCAAAACCAATCATTACTACCATCACAACCATCATTAGGAAAAACTTCTGAACTACTTCGAAGAATGCGTCGTTATCAAATTGCCCTTAAAGAATGTGTACTCATTAAGTACATCAATGATGTAAGATATAGTAAGGAGAGTGTTTCGACACATGACCAAGTGCAACAACGTGCCATTCCAACCGATCGTTTGGAAAAGATTGCTCATCTTGTGCAGAAATATGATGTCATTGGAATTGATGAAGGTCAATTCTTTCCTGATTTAGTTGACTTTTGTGAAGCAGCTGCAAATGGAGGTAAAATTGTGATTGTGAGCGCCTTGGATGGAACTTTCCAAAGAAAACCTTTTGGTGACGTCTTGCGTTTGATTCCAATGGCTGAAAGTGTTGTGAAATTGAAGGCTGTTTGCATGGTTTGCTGCAAAGATGCTGCTTTTACTAAACGTATCACCGATGAACAACAAACGGAAGTGATTGGTGGTGCTGACAAGTATATTGCTGTAAGTTCACAAGTACTTAATTATCTAAGCTCTGAATGTTGAAAAATTACATTATTTTTCAAATTTCAAATTTCATGACAATCAAATTAGGTATGTCGAGAATGCTTCATGACAAGAAATACACCATATGCGAAAAAGAATAAGAGTGTCTTTAATGAAAGCATGATCGAAGAGGAACAAGAAGATACCATGCCTTTTTTCTCCTCAAAAACATTAACTTGCCAAGTGAATGCTAATTGATTTTCACAGAAAAAACATGCATGAATTTACTTCTTTGATACAAGGTGATCTGCTACTTGCTTTGCACAATTTGTAAGTGTGCAAATCCAATTAGTAACGTTAGTGAATATTAATTTTCGATCGAATACGATAAAAAATTTTGACGCCCTCAAGTCTTATTTTAGAGTCGTAGAATATTTTATTTCGCCGCAAGTGTTGAGGCTCAAAGTTTCAATTCAAAAACTTTGGCTGTTGGACAATCTGATATTTCAAACAAAAGAAAACACGACCACAATGAACAACTCAACCACCGAACCAGAACAAGCAAAAATGCAGCAAGTAAACGAACAGAAAGAGCAGAACAACACCACGAATTTGGAAACGAACAAAGAGGACACAACTAAACCCTCACAAAAACAACAGGTGGAACCTGGAATGTGTCAAGTGTGCGATGAAAACGGCTGTACAAATGTTCCTTGCTTATATATGTGTTGAAATATCCCAAGAATTTCAAATAAATTTGTATATGGGAATACAACGAAACACGAAATTTGTCTAATTTATTTTCTTGTCAAATACATTTAATATGATTTGATCTATCCATTGAAAAGTTCTAATAAGGCACACGAGTTGCTCAAGATATGAGAAAGCAGTATTCAAGAGAGTGGCATTGTGCTTGTTGGCAAAAAATATTGTTGCAGGTTCCTGTCATGCTTAGGATAATAACACACAAACGTTTGGTTCTCTTCTAATTCCACTTTCACAGCTTGCTCAATCTGTGTCCCGCTCGTGCTGCTGTAGAATGTTGATGTTTAAGAACGCACGACATGACCTCTGTCAACACTTCCAAACTCCTCATAGAGGGAACATAATAAAAAGATCCCAAAATATTCGTAGAAAATCGCATAATATGGTCGTTGTGACCTTCTGGAGTGGCGAATTTTCCAACACCCACCATACTTTCCAACTGGTGAATAAAAGTCTGAGTAGAGTTGGCAAATGACAGAAAAAAGAGGCCATGTTGAGAGGAATTTCCAAATGTCATGGATTGTCGAATGACTTGAATTTCATGTCCATCCTCTTCGACCAGCGATACACGTGCCACGTGAGAGTTTGGCGATTTGTCTTCCAACTCGATACTCTCATCCATGGTTCTTCCAATATCATTTTCTCTCTCTCTTAGTGGAAGATAATTGAAAAACTTTAAATTATGGACCCATTTCTGTGCCAATAAAAACGAATCACCATGTTCATTCAGAGCCGCTTCAATTTTTTCTTCCAATTCTTTTGGATTCTCAGTTCCATCTTCAAATCCAGATAAATCTCTTCCTAAACCTTTTTTCACGTTTTTTCGATGTAAAAATCCAAAGGTTTCATCTTGAACTTTTTTCACGTGTGGAGCAATTTTTGCGTCATTTAACACTTGCATACTGCAACGAAAAGCTCCATCCATATTATTCGATTTAATGTGAAGAAAAATATCACCTCCAGTGTTGGGAAATCCACCAAATTTTCCTTTTAAATCTTTGGGATATTCCCTAAAATCAGAAGAGTTTAAATATTGCTTGATAAAATTAATTTGAGAAGAAGACTTGTCAGAAAGATTCAAAGTGTGTTGATCGTTTGATTCCATTTTGGAAATATTCTGTACAATGGATTCTAAAAATTGACGACCAAATCCAATACTCATCAATACTCTACAATCTTGTTCCGTTATGTCAGAAAAAGTTGATTTTGGAAATTCCAATGATGAAGAAGTTGTGCTATTATGAATTGGTGTTGCATTAGATAATATTGGTTGTGATGATGATGATAATGGATTAATTAATTTTAATAAATTATAACAAGCCTCCACCAACTCCAATTGAATTTGTAAATTTTCAAAACACTCGTTCAATAATTCAATCGTAACAAAGCAAGCATGATCCGATATCGGAGTGAATATAGTCGGTTGTGGATGTTGTTGTTGAAGGAGTTGAGTGCTCGAGTATTCTTCAAATTCAACCATTTTTTTAATTTGTTGTAATCTTCAAAACTGGTTCTCCTAACTCAAGCTTGATCATTGTGAGAAGAGTGTTTTGAGACAATTTTCAGAGGACAACAGGAAAACATGTAAATTCCCTCAAAAAAAATGATGGAAGATGAGGACGATGAATTGTATCACTACGACGACGAGGATGATCACGATATGAATGTAGATGCTGCAGTGAGTCCGCAACTCAAGCCTTCTTCTTCTTCTTCTTCATCATTCTCCAATAATACATCTCACCATTCTGATGATACCCATCATAGTCATCATCAAAATAACAACAACAACAAACCGAAAAGGAATGATGATGACTCAACGAATATTTATCCAACAAATGGTACAACAACAAGAATAACTACTAGTCCGATGATGAATGAAGCCTTACCATCTTCTCCTCCGAATCGTTCTTCTTCTTCTGGTGAAGATGTTGGATCGGTCTGCAGGAAAAGAGAAATTATCATGAGAGGAGAACAACAACGGAATGATAATGATGACGAAGGAACCACTTTCATTCCTAACATCGTTTATGAAAAAGAACAAGCACAACTCGATCCACAATATTCATCTTCTCAACGAAATTACATTGATGATGATGATATATTGTTTGAGAATCAGGAAAAACAATTGCAAACTCAAAAGTATTTGACCATTGTGCCTTATGAAATTGCGTATCATGAGGGGCAATTACTAACTTGTGTGAGAGTGAATCGATTACCAATTTTGGTGAACAAGTTGGTAGAAGAGGTCAATCAATATTTACAACAAGAGAGTGCAACTGCTCATGAGGAAGAAAGTACAGAAGAAAATGAAGAAAACGTGGTAGATGTTTATGCCATACAAACGCTCTTTTTGAATTGTATCATGAGAATTGACAAGTTTAATAATGAGAGTGAAGTTTATCAGCATGTTAGAAAACGAGTATTTGACAATTTACAAAATGTGATGAGTCCACCTGATTATTATCCGTTCAGTAAGTGGTTGTTATTGGTGATTGTGAATTGTTAAATTGTGTGTGAATTTTTTTGAATGATCTTTTTGAAATTCTCGCCATTTGTGTTTGCTGATCTATTTCCTCTTCTTTTACTCTCCTCTCGTTATTGATCATAGACTATCCTACATTCTATGGAGAGGATCATGATATTGAGCAAATTGAATCCTACAACAAATTGATGGAGTCTGACGAAATGAAAGAATCTCGCAAATCCTATCAAACCAAATATACCGCTCAATGGACAAAACAAGAACGAAAAAAGTTCAACGAAGGTCTCAAATTATTTGGCTATGGGCATGACAGCAATAAGAAAATTGCAGAATATATGGGCTCTCATATTCATCCAAATCAAGTAGCCCATGAAAAACAACGCTTGCAACTCTCTCATCAGAAAAAAAGAAAAAAAACAAAAAAATAAGCAAGTGACTTGTAATCTATGGCTATGGTTTATGTGACATGAGAGAATATCTTGCATTTTTCACAAAAGATCGTCAATGAGTGGAGCAAGTTGACAATTCGAATGTTCAACGAGAAGATCTATTAGGCTGATTCTTGTTGTGGTATCGAATCAGAACCAATGATCAATTTCTTGATGACGAGTCTAATGAAGTATTTTATTCAAACAATCAAGACAAGAGGACGAAAAGAGGCTTCTCGTTGCTAAGCTCATCCATATCTTTAGAACAAAAAAATGAACAAAGATCACCAACAGACCTTTCTCTGTCGGGCTTTATGTGATGATGATAATGCGGAGAGTATTGAAGAAAGAGTTAAAATAATTTTATATTTATTTATGGAACATCATGAATCATCACACATTGGCAATACAGATCTCGACTTGTATTTCAACAAATTAAAAGAAAATTTTATGATGAAAAATCGGAAGATAAAAAAGGGCTTTTCAACGAATTTTGAAATCAATCCCTCGAAACCATTGTGTGTTTCTGAACCTCATGAAGAATTCTACTGTGCAAAACAGGTTGAAATTTCATATCATCATGGTTATATTTTAGTGTGCGTGTATGATTATTATTATTATCAACATGATCTCATACAAGTATTTGATTTGTATACACGAAAATTCAAACAGAGGATTCTTTTTGAAGCTGAGACAGATGGATTTATTCATTTTAGAATTGAAGAGAATTTTGATGGAAAACAAAACGATGCCATTGTCATTGTAGATTCATATCCCACTAATATTTCCAAATATTCATTGAAAACTTTATTGAAATGTAAAAATACTCATGATTTACGAAATAATAGCATTTAGCGAAATGACTCATGCCCTAAATTTCCAAAAGGAATGGCTATTTTACCATCGAGAAATCAATGTTTTGTGTGTGCAGAACATCTTGTTGTCTTAAATTTAGGAAATGGTGAATTAATTCAAACCATCGAAATCAATAATGCCCCTATTCCTGATCGAATTGAATTTATAGATTCTGACTGTATGATTCTTCTTCAGAATGGTAGGCCTTCAATTTATAAAAAGAAAGAACAAACTTGGCAGAAAATGACCGATTTACAAACCCACAAGAATACCAATGCTGAGATGAGCATGATGTACTTTGATTCTGTGTCGAGAATAGTTCTCACAACCTCTCATTTGAATTTAGAGATTTCAGTTTTCGACGAACATGGTCAGTTATTGAAATCTATTGAGGTAAAAAGCATTACAAGCAACAGCTGGAATATTCGTGGTATGTGTGTCAACCATTTGACAGGAGAGCTATTACTTTGTATTGGCAACTTTGTTATCAGTTTGAAATGAGAACACACTTTTATTAAAATCAATCGAACAAAGTGCTGAGCACACGGCAAAATCATATGAAGAGCAGTAAAGAATTACCAGTGGAGAAAGAGTTGGAATAATGTTACACACGTTTATATTATCAATTATTATTAATAGAAAATCGAATTCATGGACTCTTAGGATTGTTTTGCATGTTGAGAGGTCAATTTTTAAGGAACACTCGAAAGTGTGGAAACACTGACATCATGATGACTGTAAATGTCCCTTAATGACACGTTGGTTTCACATTCCAATAAAACATGTCCTTCTGAAAAACATTTTCCGAGTCATCTCCTTCACCATAAAACTCAAAATTCACAACGTCAAATGTCGTCACTTCCTTATACCCATTCAATCCATAAATTTCAAATCGAGCAGGTTGTTTCGTCTTTAAATCTTCATAATAATAGACATCCACAAACTGAGGTCCCTGATAATTAAACAAGTAGAATCCAAATCCAACGGCCAAATCAGAATGAGCATCCAACTTGTACAAATCGCATTCTCGTTGTGAATTCATTCCTACAATCAACTTTGATTGATCAATCACAATTCCTCTCTTCACTAAACTTGCCATCTTGTAATTGGAAATGACAAATCCACCCTCACGTTGTGTCTTTTTTTGAGAGAAGGGGAAAATTCGAGCTCCATACCAATTCGTGTTATTCGGATGAAGATGTTCAAAGATACAAAAATCGACCGAAACGACATTCATGTAAAATCGGAGTGTTTCAAAAACAACCGTAGTGGAAGATAAAAGTGCATTAGGACCTCCTAGACCTGCCGCATCGATTCTCATGAGTTGATGAAGACCATCATAGAAAAGGGAAATGAATTTTGGATTGTTGTCAGTGTCGGTCTGGTTATTAGGTGAACGAATGCCAAAGAGTTGAAAGACATTGGTCCAAACACCATTCTCAACAGTGGAGGACGATAAATTGGTGTTACTTGTGGACGAGAAGGAGGAAGAGAGTCTCAAGTGTTGTTTGAAGAGTTGCAATTTCGGAGAAGGAGAAGCAAACACTAAAGTTGATGAAGAATAATGCCACACAGCCACGAAGGAGAGGAGAAAAGTGAATGCCACTAATCGTTGAATGCTGCTGCTAGATATGATCATGTTGGTTTTTTTCTTTGTCCATCAACTCGGATGGTGTGTGAATTGAGAGGAGAGTAATCTTTTTTTACACTTCTCCACAACAACTCTGTAAGCACGGAGTCCAAGTTGTGAATTTCGACATTAGCGCCGACACAAAAAGCACAATCAACACCATGTGGATAATTTAATAAATGTTTTATTGGAAGATAATCGCTTATCTCAATCTTCTTGCTTCTCTTTCGGTTTCGAGCAAAGCCAAAATGTCTCCTTCCTTGACTGGACCCTTCACGTTTCTGATAATGATACGAGGCTTATCAGTGTTGATGAATTCAACTCTGACTTGGGTGATACCACCACGAGAACCAGTTCTACCGAGGCACTTGATAACCTTGACTAATGTTGGTTGGTTTTCTTGATTTTCCTATTTTGAGGAATTTGCAGATGGATTGAATTATTATTCACGAATATAGTACAATAATGATTATTGATGATGAAGAAATTTTTATACGGTGATGGTGGAGAAAAGTCATTTGAAGGAATAAGAGAGCAACGTTTCGTGTCAGGCATAGAGGACAATAGGCCATAAGGAGAGTGTACGTACCATTTTGCGACTATTTTTTTTCGACAGAATTTTTACAAGTCAACCCAAAAATACACTTTACAATGGAAAAGAAAAATTGCTCGATTCACCAAACGCATTTCCTTCCGATCATCTTCCATGCAACAAAATCCAACCATGCCCTTCTCGTAGATGATACCATCTTCCATATGCTTCAATTCCAAGACTCGGAATTCATCTTACGAGTCGGTATGCGAGTCTCCAAACAATGGCTTTCCATCTCCCTTCAGATTGCTTTGAAATTTGATTTTTCAGAGAGAATTCCATTGCGTGTGTGTTTACTTGCATCTCTGTCCGTATCCTCTGATCGGATGGTATCCGTGAGGAGCAGAATGAATTCTCTCCAAAAACTTGCTCAATTTGTTTCATGTCGGTTGGTTTCAAATTTGACCGAATTGAATCTGACTCATCATTACTTGGGAGATGAAGGAGCACGATTAATCTCATCGAGTGAATCGATGAAGAATTTAAAGTCGCTAAATTTGAGTCATAATAATCTAAGCTCTGTGGGAGCCACACATATTGCATCAAGCTCACACATGTCTTGTTTGCAAGTATTAATTTTGCAATCGAATTCTCTGAGGGAGGAAGGATGTTGCAGCATTGCAAAGAGTGAGCACATGAAAAGTTTAACTTGGCTTGATTTATGGGAAAATCAAGATATTGGCGATACAGCTTTGAAAGCCATTGCAAACAGTGTATACATGTCAAATTTGACTTATTTAAGAATTATTGATACACAAGATCTTAAAGATGAGGCATCTATTGTAACAAGTTGTTACATGAAAAATTTGACTCATCTTGAACTTGTTTGCTCTGACAAGGGAGAAGGAGTCGCTCTATTGTCAAGTCCATCATTCATGTGTACAAATTTGAAAGTATTGGAAACCTGTATTGATGAAAGAGGAGCTAAAGCTCTTACCACCAATGAACGTTCAAAAAAATTAACGACATTAAGACTTAGCATTTATGATGATCTTCTTGAGGCGTGTGTAAAACCTATTATATCGAGTCAATATTTGCAAAATTTACAGATTCTCTCCATCAAGAATTCTTCTGAAAATTTGGGAGATGATGATAAATGGCTTACATTAAATCCATACATGAAAAATTTAACTTCATTAGAATTGACCAGGATTGATATGGACGACGAAGATACGAGTTATATAGGCAAATGTGAGGCGCTAAAAAACTTACAAGAATTGATTTTAATAGAAAATGACATTGCAAAAGGAGTTCAAAATATGGTCAATAGTCCCAACTTGTCACAATTGCGTGTTTTAAATTTGCAAGCAAACCCAATTGGAGATGAAGGAGCAAAGGCTATTGGTGACAACAAATACATGCAAAACCTCACAAAATTAAATATTGGAGAAACTGGGATTACCTATGAAGGAGCACATAGTATTGCGTCAAGCAAGTATTTGAAAAATTTAACATCACTAATTATGAGCGACAATATTGAAGACCAAGGAGCTAAATCCATTGCAGAGAGTGAATTTATGGCCAATCTCACCTCTCTTAGTTTGATTACGTGTTTTTTAACAGATGAAGGAGCAACGGTATTAGCTTCGAGTCCTTTCATGACAAATTTGACATCCTTAACATTGACCGATAATAATATTGGATATATTGGAGCTTATGCGTTAGCTAGGAGTATATATATGACAAATCTCAAAGAACTTGATTTAGAGAATGATGAATTAATAGTAGATACTCCAATTCAAGAGCTACTTTTTGCTGGAGTCCCTTGCTTGGCGATTCAAAAAGGCAATGAGCAACTTTCTTTGCAACAGAAGCAACTGTTGAATATATATTTGGATTACATCATTCAACTTTTAGCTCAGAACCCACACTCGACATTAGCTGAAAATATGAATTTTTACCTCCAAGATATGATTGAGGTATTCGGAATGCTTGGCGTAGGTTCACGTGTGGATCAAATTATTGAAACTCTTTTTAAGGTTGTGAAAGAAAATGTTGTTCCGACTAGTCAAGAAATCTTTCGATGTATAAGCGTCTATTTAGATAGTATTGACTCCATGTCGACTCTTCTTGGGAAGCGATTTGCACCCTATTTTGATTTGATATGGCAAGACATTCTCAAATATCTTGAATCTCCGAACGATCATCCAATAGATGAAATTGTCTCTGGATTGCGGGTAATTTGCTCTGTTATTGAGGAATTTCAAGAGCTTTCAACGTGTTATATCTCACAATTTATTCCAATTCTCATGCAATACGTGTCACATACAAATCACTCTGCTCAACAGAATGCTCTGTATGGTCTTGGAATTTTGGCATTCTACAATCCACATTCTACAGAAGTGAAGACTCATGTTGCAAATATTTTGGACATACTTGTGACCATCATGGAAGATGTTGAAACACAAAATCCAATAGTGGTGGATAATGCCTGTGCTGCTTTTTCTAGATTTGTTGTACGTGAGATTGTCGACTATCAAACCATTGTTGATACGATACCTATTTTTCTTGATTCTCTACCGCTCCAATCAGATTATGAGGAATTTGAAATTTGTTTTCAAGCCCTTTCAAAGTTATTATTAGATCATGTAACATCGTCAGAAGATTGGAATTTAGCTCGCCAAATTTTTGACAAACTTGTTGAAGGGCTAACTCTAACAGAAGTCAGTGATGACATTAAGAAGATGATTACGAAGAATATTCAAAGTTTTAAAACGAATCATCCAGAGCCTTTTCGACAAATGGTTTTTGACTTTAACAAAAAGTCGCATAAGATGTACTTGCGTGAGGAGATGAAAACTCTTAACAGGTTCATGAATGTATATCAATAATTCACACACATACAGATTGCATTTATTACGCTCAAGCTAATGTAATTCCAGTTCAAACGGGCTAAAGGATCTAATAGTGCCTATATATTTGGAAAAACAACAAACAACTATTTATTCATTTCATAAAATAGAGAGGAAGTTAGATTTACAGCTGGATTATTCTTTGACCCTCCTACGATAGTGCTACTTCTTCCTCGAGAAGTTGGAATACTAGCAACAGAGGATGATGTCAAGTTGTTATTTACAATACGTTGTGGAGATGATTGTTGATGCTGACCTGGAGTGTTGTTGGGTCCTTTCACTACATTTTTGAATTTGTCAAAATAATTGAAATTAGTGGCATCGCTAAGAATGGCTTTCGACCTTTGGAAAATTTTCATTCCTTTTGCAGAGACTGGTGCAGAAGAACTAGAAGGAATTGGTAATGAAGATGTTGAATGTGACATTGTGTTGTTGTTGCCAAATAGAGAGGGTCTATTCAAGATTGGCTTACTCATGGAGAGAGGTGATGTAGTCGAAGTTCTTGAAATGATTGCATTGGTGGAGGGTGGAGAGTGACATTGGCCATGCGAGACATTCTGTGCCGTGTTGGGAAGCAGCAGAGAGTGATGGTGGTGACTGAAAGCTCCATGCAGAATGCTCTCTTGTTGTGCTAGAATGGAGCATGATGATTCAGTCACTGTTTCCAAATTCAATAATGAGTTTTCGTCGGATTGGAATGAGGCTGATTTTACCAGATGCCGTATACCATTAGCAGGGCTTGTGTTGTTGTTATTCATTCCGTTACAAGTGTTCTGAGTTTCAGATGCATTATTATTACTGTTGTTTAAGGAGCTATTGTGACTGCTTCGTGAGGAATGTGAACTGCTTTTGTTAAGGCTATTATTCACACTACCAGTATGAAGCCCTTCACTAATGTTGGAAAAAGTATTGCATGGTGCTGAGACGACTTGGTCAAGGCACGTTGTACTCATTGACAGTGAAGCATGGGATGAATTGGCCTTTTTAACTTCATGATAGGTGAGTTTGAGTTGAGTGAAAATGTACTTGGAATCAAAATAGGAGAGTGGTTTGTGAGAGAATTGTCCTTCCCCAACTGTAGTACTTGTGGTTGGACAAGACTGATCCTCATTTTCGTCAATTCCTTTGCATTGAGCTTTCAAGTATTGACTGAGAATATTGAATACGAGAGCCATTCCTTGACCAGCTCCTGAATAATTAATACCCATGGCATCCATCACAATACATCTATGCTCAGAGTCTGTACTTAGCATAAATTCAATGAGATAAATTCTGTATCGATCATACATGACACCAATGGATCGGAGAGGTTGAAGTTCAGAGTTTTGGTTGGTAGTCACATGACTCTGATATGAGGTTACCAAGTCGCTCATACACTGATAAATAATTCTTCTCAAATGAGTTTTAAATTCGAGAACATTCTTACTGTTCTCACCAACTACTGTCAGCATGAAGAGATGGGAGTGGAAAAAGGCTTCGCTTGGTTTGAAAATTTGAGATGATGGTGACGAAGAGTTTTGAGGTGGTGACTGGCAGTTCTCTTCATTCTTTTTGGTGTTATCACCTTGTTGTTGCTGTTGAAACAAGAGACCCAAACCTGAATTGACCTTCTTGGATGCACCAAGATTTGGACAACTAGCCGAAACGGGCAATCGGTTAATGTCCATGAAAATATTCTTGAATTGCGAGGATGGCAAAGTTTGGCTCTCTGGATTTGGAGTCTGAATAAGGTTTGTCAGCTTTTCCTTCTCTTCATCGCTGTTAAGAAAGAGAGAAATCAGCGAAGTAAGAAAGCGAATCTGATGTCCGAGTTGAATATTGGTCATGACACGTGGCTGCTTAGCGTTTGCTTGTGCAGCAAAATAGGACTTACTGAGCTCATCGAACACATCGACACCTTGCTCTTCGAGAAGCGCCAGATTTTTGAGACCTCTCGAAGCATTCGAATCGAGTTGGAGCAATTCCTTCACTGTTGGTAATTTCTGATAGTCCAATAAGCGCCCCAGATAAAAGGTCTCGTTTCCCATCAGTGTTTGTTGATCCATCATGAAACTTTTGCATTTCTCGTTGTGTTGACAACATGGATACACGAATGGCAAATTACTCAACTCGGCATGCAAGCTAAAGACGTTCAGAAAAAAAGGGTCAGAGACAATCATACTTTCAATACTTACTGTTTGAAAATGTTGGCTTCTACAATCTTATTGGATCGAAGTTTGTTGAGCCAAGCTTCATTGGTCTTCTTGGTCATATTCTGAAAGATACTGTTTAGTGAGGGATCGTCTTCAGGCGATAGTGGTACCACTCCCTTCAAAAGTTCGTTCAAGGCTCCGACAAAATTTGATGCTTGAAATTTGAATTCATTTTCTCTTTTCATGGCGATGAATGGAAGAAGGTGAATGAGGGTTTTTAGATGAATTAGGAGAATGAAGATGATGATAATTAATTTGACTCTTGAATAATTATTATGTGGGCCTACAATTCCGATGATAATGATGGCGGTTTTTCTCAATTACTTTGACAAAACTCGTTATTTCTATATACACTCAAACAAAACTTGGGAGTTAACCCAATGAACAATTGAGCATTACCCGCTCGATAAATTATGATAATACAAAAACACTCTCTCTCTCTTTGAACCTTAATCGAACGCTGAAAGAGAGAGAACAAAAAACTGTAGAAACAAATTTGGCGCTCTCTACTCGTTGCACTTTTTTGAATGTTTTTTTTCAAGTTGTAATTAATTGTTGACCTAACAAACAATCAATTACAACCATCATGCGACTTCAATATGCATTCAAGCAATGCTAGTCCCCATGTACACGAATGATGTTTCATGATGGAACCATTCGTTATTGTGGTTGTTATTGTTCATTTACTCCAGGAACTGGCCAACCAATGTCGACAGAGTTTGTTGTCTAACGGCATCATCACGATCATGACGGGAGAGACAGCGAAATTTACAAAAGAAAAGGAACATTTGAATATTCATTGCCAACCCCAACATTTGAAAATGAATCTATGTATTCTTTAAATAGTAAATCAAAAGCCGTAAATATCAAAATTGTTTGAGCCAAGGCATAATCATAATGAATTTTCATGACCTTGTCAAAATAATATTGATCGATCTGTGAATAATATGAACCTATAAAAGATTGATTCTCTTATTTGTTTTCGGCGTTAATTGTCTGTGAAAGTGGCTGACTATTTGACATGACTGCATAGCTCGATGGAATTGGTATTCCCTCCTTTCGCATAAACTCTAATTCTAATTCGTCACTTCTCGAGACACAATCTCGTAGCCATTCCAATAGAGTATTTGTTTTTTCTTCACTCGTATAAAGATATTGTTCAGCAAAATGTTTCGTCTCTGGATTATTCAGACAGTTTCTAAATTTCTCATTCAAGAAATAGGTCGAGATGGCAACACTCACATGAATATTAAAACTCTCCGTAAATCCATAGAGAGGTAATGTTAAAGAAGCATCGGCATGATCAATGGCAATATTTGAAATTCCGTGAGCTTCATTTCCAAAAACAAGAGCAATAGGCTTATCATCCATTTCCGATTGTTTCATTGAACCAAAAGTAATAGGTACTTGATCCACTCCGATATAATGAGGTAGTGATAAATGTTTTGCTGTGATGACTGGAGAAAAATTTGCAAAAGTATTTGGAGCGTTCTGACTTCTCTTCTCACCAGCCAATAATTGAGGAATGGAATATGGTGATGTAACAATAATTCTACAATTATACTTGTCCTTTAATTCTTCAAAACACTCTTCGGAACTTTTATGATTCTTTATGTCAATCCACTCAGTAGCTCCACTTGAAACACCTTTTGAACGAGATTTCCGTTCACTCATTGGAGGACTTGATGGTGGATTAATTACATGTAATTGACTCATTCCAAAACATTCCACCGTCCGAATCACAGCAGCAACATTTTGCTCACTCCGAACATCCTCCAGCACCGGAATGATAAATTTCGAACGTTTATCAAGAACACTCTTCATGGTTTGAATCCGAGAATGATTCAGAAATGTGGAATAAAAATCAATAAGTGCTTGCTTTTGTTGTGGAGAGTAGACGAAGGAACGAATAAATTTTCGAATCACGGGCGGCGTGGAGAAGGTCATTTTTTTTGTCTCAGAAATATATGTGAATTGTATATAAGGGAGGATTTGAATTACACAAAAGAGGGGTCTGTAGAGTTCATGAATGAGTGTGATTTATTTCTTAATTGCAAAGAGAATTGAGAAATTTGGTAATTCGGTGAATCAAGAAAAAAATGGAATTTAAAAGCAAGCGAAAAATTCCACAAAAAAGAAAATTCAAAAAAAAATATTAACATTCCAATCAATCTGTTTGATCCAATGGTAGGTCATCATCAAAAAAGGTCAACATTCTCCGAATCATCGTCTCTATGGCGAACCGATCATTGAATCATCCATACAAAGGCCTCTTCAAAAGATTCCGGTAAATTCAGCGATTTTGTAAAACTATGCCAAGACATTGAAGATGTTTCCTCACATACCGAGAAAACAAGTGTCATGAAGGACTTTCTTGATGATTTCAAAGGTGATATCTATCTTCTCTACAAATTATTATTTGCCAAGGAAGATAAACGAAAATTCAACTTGAAAGATAAAAAGCTCGTTGAAATTGCAGCTTCGGCATTCGGAGAAGATCATGATGAAATGTTAGATCATATGGACTCGAAAGGAGATGTCTCTGAAACATTGAAAAAGTATTTGGTGAGAAGTGGAAATGCAAGAGATAAGGGTGTTGTGAATTTGAAACAAGTGGATGATTTTCTAGAGAAATTGACCACGATCACAACAAAAGATGATCAAACAAAGGCTTTTGAGAAGTTTGTGATTGGAAATTTGACTGGAGATGAAATGAAATTTATGACTAGAATTATTTGTAAAGATTTGAAGATTAGAGCTGGGCCCAAGTTCTTATTGGCAGGTGAGTGAGTCTTTGTAATGTTTTGTTTTGGATTTATTTGGAGCGCCACACACAACATGAAAATTGAATTACACTGAAAATATTTTCAACTTTAATATTGATTCATATTCAATCGAAATGCTTGTACAAATATTCAATGTCATTTTTCAATTCCCTGTCAACACATCAAATGGATTGATAGCTCTCAATCCCGATGCTTACTCATGCTACATTTTAACTCATGATCTCAAGCAAATTATCGATGCAGTTACAAACAAACAAGATTTGAAAAATCCTTCATTGACCGCACAAACACAAACACTCGATATTGATACTCTCATTCGAGATGCAGGAAGTGACGATGATAATGATAACAAGTTCAATATGAACATTTCAGATGACGAAAGTGATGATGCCAAGCCAATTTCCAAAAAGAAGAAGGACTCAAAATCTGATGGAGCATCTAGCTCAAAGTCTGCTTCATCCAAACCATCCTCTAGTAAGAAATCAAAGAAAGATTCCGATGATGAGGCCAAAGATGAAGACAATGACGACAACGATGAAGATATTGACATTGGTGAAAATATCGATGATAACGAAGAGGAAAAACCTGAAGACTTATTTGATGAAGACGAAGATGCATCATCAAAGAAAAAGAAAACTGTACGAAAAACGGCAAAAATTAAGGCAAAAATGGTATTATTTAGTCCTGTGAAACCCATGTTGGCAAGACCAAGCAAGACTTATGACGATGTGATCACTCGATGTCCAAATGGATTTTACTGCGAATTGAAATATGATGGTGAAAGAATTCAGAGTATGTTTATTTCAATTATTTGTTGTGGAAAGGTTATCAAACGTCTTTATGATTGTTATTGAACGATGTTGTTGGCGACATGATGATGATTGTGAATACTTCTATGAACTGTTTTTAATGTTACTTTTTAATGATCATAGTTCACTACGATAGAACGAAGGACAAGATCAAATATTTTAGTAGAAATTTGAAAGATGTTCAAGATTACAAAATAGAATCTGTCAAAAAGTACATCTCAAGAGCTATTAAGGACAAGGTTGACTCAGTCATTCTCGACGGTGAAATTCTCATGTATGATACAAAGAAAAAGAAACCTCTTCCATTCGGTACTCTTGGAAAGAAAGTGAGACAAGATCATCCAAATGCAGTAACAGCTATTTATCTTTTTGATATTTTGTATTATAACGGAAAATCATTACTTTCAGTTCCAATTTACAAGAGAAAAGCTTTACTTTCAAAGATTGTCAATGTGGTTGAATCAAGAGTCATGCTTGGTGAACATGTGGTCGTGAAAGGACCAAAAGGTACTCGAGAAGCTCTTGTTGCATCCAAAATGCAAGAAATGATCTCTGAGGGAGAAGAAGGTCTAGTGGTATGTTGTTTGAAAAATGTCTTTGTGTGAAAAATGTGATACAAGCATTCAAACATTGAATTTCATCTTGTTCATGTCTAGTTCAAAGATTTGTGTTCTCCCTACGAACCCAATGCCAGACATTGGCTCAAAATGAAAAAAGACTATCTTCAAGGAATGGCAGATAGTGTGGATTTGGTCGTTTTGGGTGCATATTTAGGTACAGGGTCAAAAGGTGGACTTATGAGTGTCTTCATGATGGGTTCTTACGACAAGAAGGAAGGAAAATGGAAAATTATTTGTAAATGTGGTAATGGACACGATGATGCCACATTGGAAGCATTGAATGAAGAGTTGAAACCAAATATGAAGAGAATTAGTAAGGATCTATCTCAAGTTCCAGACGATATTGATATTCATACCAATGCTCTTGTTCCTGACTATATTGTGAAGGACATTTCAAAGAGTGTTGTTTGGTAGGTTTTTGAAACTTTGGACATTGCGAAATGCATGACACAAATTGACTCATAATATTGTGCCAATATGTTATAATTCAAATTGCGATAATTCAACTTGTGAATAGGGAAATTACTGGAGCTGAATTTAGTGTTTCCTCTCAAAAGGACCGACCTATTTCCATTCGTTTCCCAAGAGTCACTAAAATTAGAGATGACAAGGATGTTGACGATGCCACCAATTATCAAGAACTTTTGAAACTTTATCAAGCCTCCACAAGAAAAGGGCCTGTTGCACTCTTTCCAAAGAAAGGAAAAGATGATGACGATGGTGACAACAGTGACGACAGCGTTGATGTGAAAGCAGGAAGCAAAAAGAGAAAGGCGAGATCCAAGAATTCTAAAGACGACTCTGATGAAGACAATTCTAACAACTCTGATGATGACAAACCAGCAAGAAACAAACAGACAAACACCACAACGAAGAGACAAACTAAAAATTCAAACAAAAAATCTGGCTCAGATCATGACACCGATGATGATGGTGACACTGCACCAAGTAAGAAGAAAACCAAACAAGCTTACACCAAGCTGACAGCAATTAAGGATATTCCAGATTCGAAAAATCCAGAAGAAATTTGTTATATATATGGAGATTTTGGAGGAGTTCCTGCCAATAAGGAAAAGAAGGTATGTACCAAGTCACTTTGAAATCTAGATTATTGCTTGAACTGTTGATTTATTATTTTCCATGTGCCATTCATGAATTTTGAAATATTTTCCATCATTGGACTTACATTTTTCACACAACAGTTCATTGCTCACTGTGTCGATGACAGTACTCGATGGGGTGACAAGGGTTCTATGGGTAATATTGTTCTTCTCTTTGGAGAGGCCATTATGAAGGCCTACCTTGATGACATGAACACTGTTGGAGATGTTCAACTTGCCATTTCTCAGAGCAATTATTTATCCAATCTCATTTGTTTACAATTTGTTCAAAAAGGAGCACCACCAAAAATTGATTATTCCTCTTTCGATGAATGTCTCAAGAAATGTGCCACCTACATGGTTGAAAATGACATCAAAACATTCCATCTCTTCAGATTGCACTATGGAATTAGTGGTTTAGATTGGTCCCGTTGTGAAAAATTATTGAAAGAAAATTTGACCAATAAGGGTATTTCTGTCTATGTGTACACAAAAGATCGTGACGATAAGGATCGAGTGACTGAAAGCAAAGAAAAGCTCAACAAGAAGAAGGACGTAGACACAAACAATGAAGCTGCTACTGTTGCTTCGAGCGATTCTATCAAAGAAGAGGACAAGATGGATGTATCGTCTGATGTGAAATCACAAGTGATGGCTACAACTTTGCAATCCTCCCGACAGGACAAGCCAAACAACAAGACAACAAGCACTTCTTCTTCACAACCCATCATGAGTAACACTGTTTCAGAAAGTCATACAGTAGCAGGCAATGGTAGATTATTCTCTGGAGTGATTGCCTTAATTTCTGGATATCCTCAACGTGTGACAAGTGAAATTTCAGAACTGATTGTGAAAAATGGAGGACAGGTCACTCAACAATGGAATTTAATTGGAGAGGATGCCAACACTCATCTCATTACGGAAACCAAAGATGACACTTTTAATCATTGCTTCCATCTTGGAGCATGCATTGTGGCCAAGTCATGGATTACGGCATGTGTTACACAAGGAAAACTTGTTGAAACGAATGATTATGTTTTTCCATTACTTGTGAAGGAAAGTAAGCAAATATCGAAACAATCGAATGTGTTGGCTTCATTGTCCTCAAGTGCAACGACAACAACAAAAACGCAGCTGAAATCGAACAACAACTCTTCTGCTCTAGCTGTGGCCACTCTTGTTGATTTATTCACAGAATTTGCAATTTATCTTCACAAAGACATTCCAAGTAAGAAAATGCATACGAGATATATTGTTGCCTACGATGGAGAGGTGTATCCAACATTTTGCGACGAAGTGACACATGTGGTGACTGCTGCAAAACAATTGAATGCAGATGCATCACTCTCTCACTTCAAGAAACAGAACCCAGGTGTGAAAATTGTGTCCTCTGAATGGATTTGGCACTCTATCAATTCTGGGCAGTTGATTGATTATCGCTTTTATGAATTGAAGTAAATTGATGGTAAAATTATCTTTATCGGAAACAAAATTCAGGTAAAGAGAGTGACGTGCAAAGAAATAAAGCAAATTCGAAAAAAGATCACACCATCAGATTTATTTAATTACCACCTCTCAATCTCAAGACCAAGTGAAGAGTGGATTCCTTTTGAATGTTGTAGTCGGACAAGGTTCTTCCATCTTCCAATTGCTTACCAGCGAAAATCAAACGTTGTTGGTCTGGAGGAATACCTTCCTTATCTTGAATCTTACTCTTCACGTTTTCGATGGTGTCGTTGGATTCGACTTCCAAAGTAATTGTCTTACCAGTGAGGGTCTTGACGAAGATTTGCATACCACCTCTGAGTCTCAACACCAAGTGCAATGTTGATTCTTTTTGAATGTTGTAATCAGACAAGGTTCTTCCGTCTTCTAATTGTTTTCCAGCAAAGATGAGTCTTTGTTGGTCTGGTGGGATTCCTTCCTTGTCTTGGATCTTACTCTTCACGTTTTCGATGGTATCATTAGACTCAACTTCCAAAGTGATGGTCTTTCCTGTCAAAGTTTTCACGAAAATTTGCATTCCACCTCTTAATCTAAGAACAAGGTGCAATGTGGATTCCTTTTGAATGTTGTAGTCGGAGAGAGTTCTTCCGTCTTCCAATTGCTTACCAGCGAAAATCAATCTTTGTTGGTCTGGAGGAATTCCTTCCTTGTCTTGAATCTTGCTCTTCACGTTTTCAATGGTGTCGTTGGATTCAACTTCCAAAGTAATTGTCTTACCAGTGAGGGTCTTGACGAAGATTTGCATACCACCTCTGAGTCTGAGGACAAGGTGGAGAGTGGATTCCTTTTGAATGTTGTAGTCGGACAAGGTTCTTCCATCTTCCAATTGCTTACCAGCGAAAATCAAACGTTGTTGGTCTGGAGGAATACCTTCCTTATCTTGAATCTTACTCTTCACGTTTTCGATGGTGTCGTTGGATTCGACTTCCAAAGTAATTGTCTTACCAGTGAGGGTCTTGACGAAGATTTGCATCTTTAGAGAGAGGTAGCAGCAGAGAGAGTGTGATTTGTTTTTTTTTGATTGTTGTATTCAACTTATTTTTAATCACCAACCGAATTTATCATTTCTTGTTTGGCGCGTGTTCCTTTCTTTAATTTTATCATCCAATCAAATGAAGAGACATCAACGCCTTGATGGATGTCTGTTTTAATCCTTCAATCAAACCGTGAATGGGTTACGTGATGACAAGATCTTGTTTCTATAATCATACTGGTTGTGAATTCCATGATTAGAATGAAGCTTATTTCGAAACACTTGCAGATTGATCCTCAAGCAGTTAAAATCTTTCTATTTTAGCCCGTTGGCCAACAATTTTGATGAACATAACCTTCCCTTAGATACCTCCTTATTTATTATTCTTTGGCCTTAAAACATGGCTCGCAGCGTGGATTCCAACAACACCAACCTCTATGGAGAATCCTTCTGTGTTTCCTGTAAAGACTGAACCTATTTTCCTATTATCCATTGATGAACCCTCTGAATCATCACTGCAGTGAACACTCAACTGAAAGCGCTTTCATATTATACACCAAGAGCGGTAGGGCACCACAACAACACCACAACAAAGGCCTGCTTTCCTTTTTAATATAATTTAGCGAGCGACTACAAAGGTTTTAAGCACGCATGACAAGGAGTAACGCGCGTTGAAGAGCTCTTCTCATCGCACAAAAAATCTCACCATGAAATAGTGCGTTCAATCAAGAAAAAGGCTTTCAACAGAAGCAATCACAACTCTTTGGCCGATCATGAGCGTTTTGGTCAACCATTCATTGTTGTTGTTATTTTTGGTTGATTTAACTGCTTTAAAAAAGAAACAACAACCACACTCCAAAGAACGATGAACCACCAAGCCTTGTTCGTTACTCCTCCTATTCCACTACTACTACTACTACCACCACACTCTAAAGAACGATGAACCACCAAGCCTTGTTCGCTGTGTTACTCCTCTTGGCTCTCTTGGCCACTTTTGTTCCTTCCTTCTCTCTTGGACAAACTCAATTCCAAATGAGATCTCTCTATCAGGGTATCACTTGTTCTGGAACTCCTTTCCGTGTTGTTACTCAAAAGATCACTGCTCAATGTAATGCCACTGATTCCTGCACAAAATATCAACCCGAACCAAATGTATTGTCCTATACTCAATCGTGTCCATCTGATTTCCCAGCTCAGGCCAATAAGAAGGGAGAAATTTATATCAATACTTACACAGATGCTTCTTGCAGTGCTTCATCATTAAGTCAATATGAAGTGTATCAAATTAATACCTGTATGACTTCGAATGTGATTTTTGGTCCTAACGCTAAGAGTGCCAAGTATGTGAATTGTGAAAAGTTGGTCTTGTACGAGGATGATGCTTGTCAAAAGACATCCGCTGAAGAAGCTGTCACTTTGAATACTTGTGTTGCTTCTCAAAAGAAGGTTTATCGATGTGGATCAGCAACTGGACAATGGATGACTTCAATGGTGGTGATTGTATTGGCTGCTTTGGCATTTGTCATCATGATGTAAATTCGTAAACCATCACACACGAAAGAACATTATGAAAATCTATTTTTCTCATTGGATCCACGTCTGATAGTGGTATCATAATATTAATGGAAGGAACATTTCCTCATCTCCACATCTCCTTTCACAATAACAAAATATTTAATGTTAGATTCATTTAATAAAAAACCTTTCATGTTTTACAGTTCTTTGAGTCATAATTTTGTGTGGTTCGTGCACGTTCATTGATGAAACTAATACTTGACACATCTCTGTGGTGAGACAGCATTGAGTTTGCTGGCCACTTCCATATATTTAGAAGACCAACTTGTTGAAAAATAAATTCGAAAGAACTCAGCACAGACGAGATTGTCATGGCATGATCTGACAACGAAGAAGAAACAATAAGAACCATCTCACTTGGTTTTGATATTGGAATTTCTTCAAAGAGTAGTGAGCATTGGTCAACACTTACCCCTCACTTGTATGCAATGCGAACAGTGACGTCGTTTTGTTCCAATTTTGTGAAATGTCCTTCACTGAATTTTGGGTGTTAAATTGAAATACTTTTATTGTTCCAAGTCCCTGTTCACTTCACCTCTCGTTGATGACAACTGACAATCGGTATCTCCTCTGAATTTCGCCCCACTTAAACCTCAAAAAAATGTTTCAATCTGCATCCTCACCCTCACCATGTCCTCCTACACTCAACATCAACAAACGACTTTCAGTCACATCACCAACTTCTCCAGAAATAGAAGGTAGCTCGACAGATGCTTCACTCATGATTGAAAGTGTCAACAAAATGGCACAGCAAGTTACAGATACATTATTAGTGAGATTAATTGGAGCTGTGGATTTGGTTCCGATGGATAAGAATGGACTTTCTGATCCCGTACGTAAATGTATTGTCCAAATGTCGTCGTCTTTGACAAAATGATTTTTTATTTTTGGATTTATTTTAACGTTTAATACAACATTATTTGATATGATTTTTGTCATCATTCGACACTTGAAATTGGAATGAACACGATGATGATGCACCGTCCTGTTGACATGATGAATACAACAAATCATGTTGTATTTGACATCATTTTCTAAAAATGGAAATTCATCACTGCACTATTTTACAATGACCACCACCACCACCATCACATCAGTACACCATTGTGAGTTTTGCCAACATGAACAACAATTCTCTCGAATCATGGTTCACTGCAAAAACTTCAATCAAGAAAAAAACTCTCAATCCCAACTGGAATGAAACTTTTAACATTTCACTCACGGAGCAATGGATGAAAAGCATTCCGAGTCCAAATACTAAATCTCCGACGTCTCCGCCAACCGTGACGCCATCCTTATCCACTCAGTTCGACCCAGCTGCAAATTTATTTTCAACTTCGTATTTGAGTTTTAAAGTGATGGATTGGGATAAATTTTCAAGTGACGACGAGGAAGGAGATTATGTATTGAAATTGAATTCCATTCCTGATTTTTCAGATGCTTCTGTGAGTATGAAGCTGAATCATGCTGAACATGGAGTGTTAAATGTTGGATTTAAATTGAAATGCACTCCACGTCCATCATTGAATGAAATGGTGTTGGTGAAACCTGTGAAGAGAGCAGATTTTGTGAGATCGACACGAAATTCTTGGTTGACAGGAAGTGTAATTTATCCATTGAGTCCTTGGGAATTGGTTCCTGAAATGCATCGAGTTTGGGAAAAGGCTCAAGAAGATTTAATTGATATGCTCGATTCTCATAATAGTGTCACAGATAATGACAATTCTAGTAATAGTAATAGTAGTGGAAGAGTGTCAAGGAGATTCTCGTTGAGAAGAAATTCAAAGAATTTGACGCAGAAATTATCTACTGTTTTGGCAGGAGAGAATTTTCCTAAATGGAAAGAAGAACGTTCGAATAGCTCTTCAACGGTGACACTCTCGACCGATGCAGAATATTATTTCATGGGAAATCCATCCATAGTGGATCGAGTGTTTGTTCAATTATTGGTCGGTTGTCATGAAAATCAAATTTTCCAAGATATTTTAAATGGTTTGGAGAGAGATCTGAAAATTATCAATGTCAAATATAACGATGAAGGAATGCAACAAGTTCGATCCAACATTCGAAAAGAAGATGAAAATTCTCGAAAGAATTTTCTCGTCATGTCCATCGTTGCTGATCTTGATATTAGAGACGCCGTTGCAAAACTTGATGGAAAAATACCAAAATCTCTACACACTCAATATCCTTCAAAAGTGAATGTTGAAGGATCAATTTACGTGCTCGATATTGGATGTCATGCAAAATTACTCTATGTTTACATTTCAAATTGTGGAAAGCCAAATATTGTGCCATTTGTAGAACTCGTTGGAAATTCAATTCCTTCCTCTTCGAGTACCTTATTTGAATCTCTGTATTTGGATTTAGATGATTCATTGTGGGTGAAATGTCCCTACGGTTGGGAACATCATGAATCTGGAGAAAAGACAAATTCCTATCTCATTTCCCCCATTCAAAAACGGGCTTTCGAGGAAGGAAAATCGTTTTGCATTGATAGATTTGCCATGAAGAAATTAGATGTCCTCGTGCCAGAAGTCACAGAACCAATTTTGTCAAACATGAGTCAAGCCAAGTTGGATTCTGTCATGAATTCACACAACAAGTGTGAAATTAAGAAACCAGTCGAGAGGCGAGTGTTTACTAATTCGAGTAAGAAGGAAATTGTGACTTTTATGTTTGAATTGGAATATGATTTGAGAGATGATTCCACTGCTACTGTGAATCGAGTGACACATATTGAAGCATTGATCAATACGACTGGAAGTTGTGTGTGGTCCTTGTCGTATCTGTCGAATTTGGACTCAGGATATCGTGGTCTTTTTGAAACTATAATTTCTGAAATCAAGACTGCAGAGTATTAACTGAAGAGGACACATTTGTGAAATTATGAGTGTCGCTCTATGAAAGATTGAATTTTGAAACTCAAATATTTTAAAGAAGAACAGGAATTGTTGAGCTTTTTCACACAACAACTCTTGTCATGTAAAAAACAAACAAACTTTTAATGAATGCATTCTTGAATGAATTTTAAACAAAAGTTGTTAAATGAATTTTAAATGAATATTTGACTGAATTTTTAAATGAATTTTTAAAACACTCTCTACAACCACTTCAACCAATTAATCAACTCTTGAAAACTCAATTGTCCATCTCGATCACTATCAATATATTTCACAGCCGATTCCACTTCCACCATTTGAGCACTATAATTATTATAGAGCTGTCTATAAAAGGGTGCAAATTCCTGAACACTCAACACTCGATTCTTACTCGTATCATAATTCTTAAATAAATTTGCACAATAGGTCAATCGATACAATCGTTCGGAATTTTCCGGATTTGTGGTCATGTCTTGATCTTGTGCAACAATGGTACACCAGTAATTGAAAAATTCATCAAAATTAATTTTCCCATCCGAATCCTTGTCCATGTACATTTGAATAGCTCCGAGATGATCATCAGTGAAATTAATATTTAAATCATTGACGAAAAGATTTTTGAGTTCTGACATGTTCATCGAGTTGGAGGAATCTCGATCGTACTTTTTGAAAAGAGAGTAGATGACTTGTTTGTTGGTGCAGTGAGTGAGACTGGCCATGATGATCTTGAGGATGATGAGAAAATAAAATTCGTGAAAATGTGAGAGCAGAATTTTTTTTGAAGGATGACAGGAGTAGGACATCAAAGGACAAGGTTTGATGATCTGTAAAAAAAGACAATTATTTAAGGTTGGAGCAACAATAAGGACTACGATCATAATCCAAACCTATTTCAACGCATGACAATTTAGTGTTTATATAAATAAATACAACTCGAAATTACGAAAATTTCCATCCTCTTTACAATTTACCATTTTCATCTTAATATACCTGGAGGAGCTATTGTTGCATTAGTTTGGTAATTCAATGTTGTTTGATTATAAATATTGTTGGTTGGAATGAATGGAGGAAATTGAGGAGTTAATGAATATTGAGGATATGGTGGGTATTGAGGAAGTAGAGGCTGCTGTAAAGGTGGAAGTAATGCAGGAATAGTTGTCATATTAATTGATGAAGTTTGATTTGGTGTTGGGGAAGATTGAGAAGGTTGGTTTGGCGTTGATTTTGGTTTTCTTCCTCTTTTCTTTGGCTGGTTAGGGTTATACATATCGAAAATTAAACTGGTATTGGATGTGTTTTGAGTAATATTTGGATATGATGAATTTTGACCTTGATTTGTGTTGGATGATTCAGGTGAGGGAAGTGAAAGAGGCTCATTCTGAAGTGTAATATTTCTAATAGGTTGACTCTTTGAAATGTTGGTTGTAGCAAGTGCTGTAGATGGTGTGTTAGAGATGTTTGAAAATGTGATTTTCTTTCTCTTGGACTTATCATTATTAACCAGTTGCAAGCCACCGAAAGGGTTGGTTCTCTTTTTGACGTTGTTGATAGAATTGTCAGGAAGTGCTAGAGTTGTAGTCAATTTCTTTTGTTTGTTAGCAATTTCATTATTAGTTATTTCAAGTTCAAGTTCTTGTAGAATATTCACTGATCTTTTTAGTCCAGGTCTGCTTGCAAATTTTAAATTTAAACGAGAATGAAATATTTCAGCTTGATTATTTTTCAAATCTAAATCTTGTATTCTTGATTTGAATGTAAGAGCCCAAATATTTGGAGCAAATAGTGCATTAGTGGACAAATCTCCAAACCAAGTTCTAACAAGATACCTCGACAACTTTTCACCTGCAACACTTCTCCATGTTGCTAAAAATTCCTCCTTTTTGATGTTGAACATTTGTTCAGTCATTATAGTTCGTGCAAGGTCTTTTAGTTCTGATTTAAAGGTCTTAAGAAGTTCTCTATTTCTTAGTGGATTGTTCGCAGGTAATTCTCTTCTTATCCATCTTGACACTGCTTGCAAGAGATGGAACTGACATCCAACAATTTCTACATCTGGGAAAATAATTCTAAGAGCTTTGTGCATAGCTTGCTCAAAATCACAAGCAACAAATAATTTTCGAAATTGCAATAATTCAGGTACAATTAAGTTTGCAATCACCATCCACAAATATGTATAGAATATTTCTGACTTAGCTTGTGCGAAAATAAATAAAACAGGAACAGCCGCATCCATTCCCTTTTTCCTTACATGAATAGTAATCATTTGCTCGCAACCTTTAGGACACACGTCAAAAGTTCCATCAACATAGATTTGATCTTCCTCAGTCACTTCTTTTAAGATATTAATTTGGTAATTGGATCCATAAATAAGAAGGAAATGTGGAAAACCTTGTACCCATCTTACAAATTGATCTTGAGATTTAGTACATGATAGATCTTGTCTGGTGTACAAATCTTGTAAACATTCAATCCTTTCAGTGTAGAATTTTTTTTCATTTCTTTAACATCCTCTTTGGTGATTATCAACCGGTGATCTCTTAGTTCTTCTTTTGATAACTTTTTGTTTAAATTTTCTGCAATTTGTTGACTAGATCTTATATTTGTGTTTGCTTTGATGTATTCAAATAATTCCTTTCTTCGTTCCTCCGAAATCTTTTAAGGTTGACATTTTTCAAAATGAGGTGGAGCATGATCACTGTGTGATGCAACGTGTATGCATGTATCAATATCAGGATAATATCTTATTCTCGCAGAACATTTTCTGGATTTATAAAGATTGCACTTATAGGTAATACAGTGAGCAAATGTTTTGTGCTTGCTGTAGAAATAATTATTAAATCTCAATTGCTGCTGATTCGTTGTTACTTTGTGAACATTTCCTCTCGGAATTATATATTCATTTTCTTTCAAATTGATAATTTTACCATCAATTTGTAAAAAATTATCTCCTACATTTGATGGCTTAGAAATAGAATTACACACATCAGTGAGCAAACCAAGCTTATCATCATCAATTTCATCTTCGGAGTTTGTATTATATACTTCTTCATCAAAAACAGGATCGATTTCGACCGTATCTTCGTATTCGATTGTTGTTGGGGTGATTGTATGGTGCAGCATGTTGCTTGTGAGTGGAATTTTTTTTTTGGGTGGACTTATTGTTGAAACTACCCTTCCTTTCTTTGATACTTTTTACAAAACCTAAAATAGATCATTTCATTTCAATGTGTTCGTTGAACGGTAGAAAGGTGGGGTGGAAATTTGACTCCCCTCTTATACCCTCTTTTCCTTATTTCCTCTCTTGGGCATTGATATTGTCTTCCTACTATCCATTCATTCAATGAGAACTGGTGTGACGTTTTCGTCGCCCTGATGTAATGATTCTTTTTGAATATTCTTACAAACAAAAAAATAAGAAAAGATTCTTCTTTTCCGTTTGATCGATCATCCTCTTATTTTCAAAACCTTTCCGACGTTGGTGAGATTTGTTGTTATTCCTCCTCGATTTGTATTACCAACCACTGCTATATTTCTGTATCATCATTCTAAAAAGGGCCTTGAAGAGTTGATCCTAACTATTTTCCGATCATCAAGAATATATTCCGTAATTCACGTGATTGTATTTCTTAATATTTACCTATCAAAAAAACTTCTCATGTCTGCCGAACCTCTCTTGAAATGCGATCACAGTGATGATCCTGATTTTCCAAAGAGTATTGAATTTCTTCAAACACCCTCTCCAACGAATCCTCATGCTAAAAATTTAATTGGAAAGGAAATCACGACGCATCAAAAATTCATCTTTTTCCAACAAGTGATTGATATTGTGAGATATGTATTATGTTGGACTCCTACGGGTATGTATTTAGTATTTGGGATATGGGGTTTTCAACTCAAAGTTTGTTAAATGGTCAATTATGGTCATTGAATTGATTCACGACGACGGAATTTGTCACCTTTATACGATTCGTTATGAAAATATGTGGTTGTTGAAAATCAGGATCTAACTCTGGAACAGCCTACGATGAGCAATTCGGTTCTGAAACAGAATTGAATACTTTCAAGAATTTACTTTTTGATCCAAAAATTAGTTTGTTGAAAGGAGTCAGAGAATACATAAAGGAACATCCTGAGAGTGTTCAATTGGATGAGAGTCTCAATGAAGATGAAAATTATGAACAAGAACTGTACGATAAGGCCAACGAAGATGTTTCCAAAAACTATGCACAAGTCAATATTCACACCAATTTGAAAGATGGCAAACATGCAAGTGACACTTTTTTACAAAATGTCAAGAAAAATATTTTCGGCCTCTCTGCGGAGGAGTATTTATTGTTGAGAAAATCGGTCTATTTGTGTAATACGGGAATTTATTTATTTATTAGAGGTTGGGATCCTCAATGTACGGCAGGAACTCCACAACGAGTGGCCAAACTTATTGTTGACAACTTGGTCTGGCGTTGGATTTACACTCCAGAACTCACCAAGTGGGATGACGTTGTGGAGAGTGCAAAATATGGCTCTCTCTACGATTATGGATTTGACCGTGAAGGAAATCCAATGCTTTATATGATTGTTGGAAGAGAGAACTTGAAACAAAAAATGGATGATCGAGCATTGATGCTTCGTTTTCGTCATTTGTGTCTCTGTTTTGAACACATGATAGATCGACTCTATGATGGTTCCTCTCAAAACTATCTTGGTAAGGACAGGGATGAACATGTCGGTCAAGCTCCATTCCAAATTACTTGGGTCGTTGACATTAAGGATAGTAGTATCAATATTGATTTGGTGAAACGAATCAAGTTCATTTTCGATTTACTTGGTTTCTATTATCCTGAACGATCTGAGCTTGTTTTTGTTATGAACGTTCCATGGTACGGAAAGATGTTGTGGGCAGTGATTTCTCAATTTTTAACACAAAGACAACGTGATCAATATCAATTCTTGTCAGATCCTTACATTACCAGACTTTGTCAATCCATTGAACCCAAATTTATTAGCTCTGACTTGAATATTTCAGGAATTGGTGCTGACACTGAATCAACCTTTAAATTTAACATTCGTAATAGAATGAAGAAGTACCGCGAAGAGCGTGTGGTGAAGTGGATTTGAACAATTTCGATGTAAATATTTTTGGTGAAAGAGAATATTCGAGAGAAATACAAATCTTTTTGATTGACATGTTTAACAAATGAAACAAATGAGTTACATAAATACTGAATTAAAGGAAACATTTGTTCTCCTTCGTGGCGAAGTCGGCGGTGATGATGATGACGTTGATGAATTTCGATCCTATCGTGCTTTCATCGATCGGCTTGTTGTTGCACTTTTTTCTACATAATGACCTTTAGAAGAGATCGAAAATAAGGGTTTTGAAAAAAATTTGATGGAAGATCTAGAACCTGACAAGATCATGATTGAACTTGGAGAAGCCACGTGGAGTGACGAGTTGCTGACTGTTGGCTCGCATTTTGAATTGTCGAAATAATCTGTAAATTCTCGTAAATCGTCATGAATACTTTTCCCAACATTATTTTTCGAATGAACGTCCACTCGTGAGTCGTCGATGAGCTTGGAAATAATTTTCCTTAAATTTCGTTTTTTGTGTTTGTGTGAAATTTCCAAAAATGTTTTTTTTCGTTTAGTCGTCTGTTGTTTCAGTGGTTGGATATTTAAAAAATCTCCGTCAAGCTGTTGTTGTGAATGTTGTTTTCGTTGTTGTTGAGAAGAAGAATCCAAAATATTAGCATTCAGTTTGGCAGCATTTTTCAAATTTTGATGAACTTCAATCAATGATGAAACTGCAGAATGCAAAGGCGTCTCTCCTTTCTTATTCTTAATTTGGAAAAATAATAAAGTTGGATCTAGAATTAATGAATGATGATTGCTATCCTTACTGTGATTCCTCAAATGTTGTCGACGCTGTGACGACGAGTTCGATGAATTCACTACACACGTCAAATTCCCAATTTGTTCATCATTCATTGGAATGTGAAAATTCACTTCTCTAAAAATTTCAAAAATTTGTAAAAATGTTTCCACCACTTGTACATGTCCTGTTCGACACGCAATATGAAATGGAGTTTCTCCTTCAAAATCTTGAGAAAGCATCAACTCTTGAATTTCTGCATAGCTCACCATGAGTGTGAAAATTCGAATGAAACCGGAACAATCATAAAGTGCAGCTAAATGCAAACAATTTCGTTTGTTAACATCGGTTTGGAAGGAGAGATGAAGTTTTGAAAAATTGTTCATAGTTTCTGGAAGGGAGTTTGTGGTGGGAGATTCTTGTGGTGATTGCCTAGAGTGATTACTATTTTTGGAATGGTGATCTTTTTGGTTCACCATTCAATTTCTTTGGATATTAAATAGGAGAGAAAATACAATCGATTCCAACGTTTGGGGTTGTCTTGGTAATCTATCAATGAGTTCATCAACAAATTTTCAGAATTCTCATTTTCCAAATTTGGAGAGTTTTCTTGTAATGAACTTGTTCCGGAAGGAATCCATCGATTCAAAGTCGAAACGGGTGAAAATTGAACTGTATGAGACGACGATGCTCGTGTCCATTGTGCAACTTGTTCTTCTTTTTCATCTTTCGAATAACATTTGATGGCATAAAGCGTTGGAGAACATTTAAATTGATCCAATGTGTGAAAAATTGGATTTCGATGTGAATTTTGTTCCAAAATAAATTTCAATCCTTTTACATTGAAATTCTCAACTGAAATGTGAAGAAGCGATTGTGAATTTCCAGTTTTTTTCAAATTAATAAATTGAGGTTGATCATTGATGAGAGTTTGTAAAATTTCAAAATGCGAATTTTGCATGGCTAAATGTAAAGGAGTATTTCCAAACCTATCCTTCATGGAAATGATGTCAATTTCATCAAATACGCATTTTCGATGTAAGCTTAATAAAACTGTCACGGCTTCCAAAGCTCCTGACATGCAAGCGTAATGTAAAGGAGTGGACATGTTATGATCCAATACTGAAAACGCACTGGATCCTCCTTCTCCTACTCCATATCGAATTAAAAATGCAACCAAGTTGGGATAATTGTATTGACACGCCCGATGTAGCAGGGTGGGACCTCGCTTGTCACTTGTCAAATCTCTCATTTCTTGTAAATTGAAACACTGAACTCGTCCTATTTCTTCATCATCCAAAAACCTATAAGTTGTAAATAATTCATCTTGTTGAACATGAATACCATAAAACTTGGATATTTCTTGAATCACTGTCTTTTCCACATTTTTGTAATTGTTCACAAATTCCGAACGATGTGAAAGAATTTTTTGATGAATTTGTAATTCGTCAAGGTGGATTTGTTCCTGTTGAGAAACAAGTAAACCAATGTATTCACTAAAATTCAATAATGGATAATTGGTTGTGATTTCTCTTGTAGAATAGGTTGTGGAAGAATTGTCAAAAGTCAAAACATCTGTCACGACCTCACTGACATGATTCAACGACTCCGTTCGACTTTGAGACAACATTTGAAACCATCGAGCAAGAGAATCCTCTTCGGAAGAATGTTGCCTGTTGTTGTTGAATGAAATCTCCTTCTGAACCTCTTTGTTTTCACATAATGACGAATGAGGAGTGACGGAAATCATCATTAACGACAATTAAAATTGTAAGGTGCGAAATGTGTGTTGGAATTTGTTGTTGAATTTCGAAATGAGATTGGTGAAGAGCTTGTACAAGAAGAAGAAGAGGAGGTGTTATCTTTTTTTTGGAGAAATTTTTTCGTTGCATAGAAAGTTCGACTGACAGTTGGCATTTCTCATTCAATTTTAGTAAGCTCGTTGTAGATTTGGAAATATTCGATTGAACGTAAATGTTTTAAATAGGGAAGATATTGCGTTAACAAATGATTTCAGGAATCACCCTTCCTTTCTGGCCTTGCCAAGATGCAGAGCCGCCCATTGTGGTGGATCTTGGCTCTTCATGGGTTCGTGCTGGATATGCCGGTGATGATGCACCTCGAACAGTTTTTTCTAATCTTAGTACTCCAAATTTGGTCTTGGTTGGGATCACCTTCAGGTGCCTGTGAGAAGGCCTCACTGTTTAGGAATGATGAGAAAGAGGATCTTGATAGCACACTCACGGTTAGGTTGGGAATTTCATTACAAAATCAAGAAAAATGCCTTCTTCTCCCATTCAGAAACTGGGCAAAGTATGTTCATCCTCCTCATCATCGGCTCGTTCTTCGGAAGCACAAAATCAGGTAGTGATTGAGGAGGAGGACGAGAACCATCATGATCAAGAGGAAGAACGAAATGATAGACCATCACATCATGAACCTCATGAATATATTATTATTAGTTCTCAAACGGAAGAGTATGAAGAGGAAATAGAGGTCGTAGAACCGGAAGTGATGGTGATGGACAGTAGTCAATCATCGGAACAACATTGTCGTAATCTTCATGCTGTTTCTTCTCCAAATTCAACAATCCTCCCAATATCGGAAGAGAGTGATATGAATCCAAATAATTTCAATTTCGAAAACAACATGTACCATATCTTATATTTTTGTAATACACATCATTCAAAGAAAGTTGGATCTGCAACAGAGGATACAACAATTAATTCTCTTAATCCACCTTTTAAAAAACTAAATTTTAAGATTTTGTTGGATCATTGCATGATACGGAAAATGTACTGTTCCTCTTATGTCCTTATTGAAAATTCAAAAGGCGACATTTATGAATGTACACCAATGACAAATTCGGATATTGGAACTGAATTTTCACAAAAATTGAAAAAGATTACTTTTCCATTCTTACCAAGTGTAACATCTGAGGGAAGAGGAGTTTTGCGATATTACATCTCAGAGAATAATGAAATTTGGAGCTTCAATGGCTCCTCAAAATTCAACAAAGAACCCATCGAAAAGATGCCAAAAATTGAGCGAATTTTTGTAGGTTATGGACATTCAGCTTTATTATCAGAGAAAGGTATCTTTTTAAAATCAGCAAACTCACCACAATTTGCATTTTTTGACATTGGACTACTTGGAGAAAATGAATTGATTGAGGATATTCAATTTGGTCTTCAGCATTTTGTTATTTATAAATCAACTCTGGGAAATACGAATCGAGGAAAACTAGTTCTATGTGGAAACAATGAGTTAGGTCAACTTGGTATAGAGCCGCGATATATAAAGACAGACAAGCCAGTCGTCATCGATTGGAACAAGGGTAGAGTGAAAAAAATTGATTGTTTGAACTGTACTTGCGTTTTGACAGAGTCAGGAGAGTTGTTTGTAACAGGTAGGTTTTAATTGATAATTTTTTATTGGATATATTTTATGGTAATCCAATTTCGAATCTAATGGTTGACTCTGAACGATCAATCCAACCCTAAAGGTGAAAACGCTCACGGAGAACTTTCTGTTGGTGATACTATCAATCGTTTTGGATTTGTGAAAGCGAATACTCCTTCACCGCTCATTGATTTTACTTGTGGCAAACACATTATGGTTGCCTTGTCTACTTTACATGAGCTCTTTGTTTGTGGAGACAACAAATGGATGAAATTGAGCATTCATGGAACAGGATGCCCAGAGAAAATTACGGAATTTGTCAAGATCAATTTACCTCGAGGATTCATTATGAATAACATATCATGCAAAGATGATTGTATCATGTTGTACAGTTCATCTTATCACTATGAAAACAGTGTTTTACAGAAAAAGAAACCTATTTTACGCCAATTTCCACATGATCATGTAAGCTCATTGGGTTACTCTATTTTTTTACCTGCCCTCGAAAAAATTGCACCAAAACTGTTTCGCCTAATTTCAGGTTCTTCATTTGTATCCTTATCAAGCATGTCAGCCAATGAAAAGAGAGTTCTGGTACTTGTGATTCACTCAGTGCTTTATGATAGGCAAGATGATTTGTACTTTGTTGAGAGTATGAATGATCTTGTCACTGCATTGTATATTCTAAGTTTGATCCAGGACGAGTTACAAGATATAGTCTATTTTCTCATCTGTTCGATTCAAAAGAGAATTTCCGCTTGGAATATTTTGTCATTACTCGATTCAATATGTATATATTTGGAAAAGCTGAGACATTTCTTACAACTCCCTCAAGCAAGTAATTTTATTCAACAAAAATACCTCAAAGATTTACGAGAATATTGTCTTGATTGTATCAAGTGCAATGAAGACAATGAAAATTTTGATAAGACCAAGTTACAAAAGTATCTCCCCAATCTTTGGCAACGCAAGACAAAAAACAAAATTCATGTGATGCCACCAATCAAATGCATGTCCTTGAGGGATGCTCTAGTTTCACTATTTTATAATCCAATTCAAGCCGATGTTGAGGTCTTTTTGACACTTTCAAGAACACTCAAACTACACAAAACGGTCATGTTTTCAGGAATGACCAAATTGCAGAAAATACTTGAGAGTTCTGATCCCAGTATCATGGAGGCAAGTTGTACGGAGAGTGCCATGCCTAATTTGTTCTTTTTCTTAATCTTTGAACCTCTCAAGAAGAGTCTAGACTCTTCCAACACCGAAGAGAACGAATTTGGAATTTTGTGCGAAATAATTTTAAAATACTGTTATGGAATTTTTGAGAGACAGAACATTAAGGACCACATGGTTATTCCATTACTGTCCATGGTCAATTATTTAGGGATGGAATTATTGATTCGTGAGCTGTGCGACATTTTTGCATTGACCATGACTGTGGAGAATTTTCTCCAACGTGCTCTGTGGTTCACGAAAGAAATGCATGGTAGGAGTGGCGAGTCCAATACGGTTACCGCCACACAACTAGGGGAAGTAATCATTAATTTTGGATCCGAGCATGCAAAACAAATACTGAACGAATATCGAGAGGAAGATTGGGAAGAGGTGTCAGCAGTGTTATTGGTCAAAATGTTCAAACGTAGCAAAAAGTAAAGAGTCACATCTAAATTACTCACGAAATAACTCATCTTTGAGAGAGACGAGAAAGCGATTAAGGGTTTTAGAGAGATGAGAGGGAAAGTGAGCAAACTCCCGCCAAATTTAAAAAAAAATTAATGTTTGGTATTGATAACGGAAATTTGTACACCCTTCAACAGCGCTAGAGGTTTTGCACCATCATATTGTGGCTATTAATTTACTCTCTTCTATTTTGTCAAGAAATAATTCAGTTTGAGAGTTTCATTGTGTTCTTCCTAAAATATGATGAAACGGCCAGCAAGTGCAGGTCCAACGCGCAAACCACAAAAAACACCTTCCGATGATGATCCCTCAGTGAATGGCCTCTCCAATACAAACAACAACAATAGTTGTGGAAGCAGTAGTAGTGGCCCATTCATTCTTTGTACGACCAATAGTATCAAGCAACGAAAAGTACTCTCCTCGAATTTCGTTGATTTAACGAAGGAATTAGCGAGAGATGCTCCTTTATTTGAACAACAACAGCAAACCATACAAACAACAAACAAATCAGCTAGGACCAGCACCAACAACACAATCAACAGTGGCAGACCATCGTCTGCATCTAGCGCCACTAGGATCTACCGAAAATTATATACCAATACTCAATCTCATCACAAAGAATTCGACAAGGAAAAATCATTTCTTAGAATTTCTACATCGCCTTTACCTTTTTCTCGGCCAACAAGTGCATCGCCCACTATTCGACCAGCATCTGCTCTCAGTACACGATCCACTACTTCTTCAGTGGTATCAATTGCAAAGAACAGCAACACGAGCATTTCAGGAGTAAGCAAAACCTTTCGAGGGATTATTGAGCAAAATTATTTGGCCAAAAAGAAGGGTCGAGCACCTTTCAAAATTGAAAATATATTTAATGAAGACGAAGAGGATGAGGACGAAGATGAATCAGCCGTCTCTCACAATGCCCACCAAAAACAACAAACAACCACATCAAAGAGAGCAACTCGACCACGAAGTGCATCCTCCACAGGAACACAGTCTTCGAGTAGACCTTGGTCAGCCTCTTCTGTAACCTCTGCCCGAAGAGGTTCAAAGAAGAGTCGAACCACTTCAACAGAATATGTGCCGTCGTCGTTTCTGGAGAGTTATACTCCAACCAGCACTGCTACCCTAACAACACCTCCTACCTTATCTCATTATTCTCTTCCAACAAGCTCAAGTATTCAGAAACGAGTTGAAAAAACTCGTACCGATCAGAAACCCACACCAATTGCGTTGCAGCAACACCTTACAACACAAGGAACTCCAGCAGTCTCATCTCTTAAAAAGACAAATTCCAAGAACGATTTTTTCCTAACACGGACTGTCTCTTTCAAATCTTTGTGTGATAGGAGTTGTGACAGCGTATCAGATAGTGATACCGATAGCGAAGACACAGAGGACATTATCATTTCAGAAAATTCTAAAGAGAAATCGAAACCTCTCCTCGCAAGAACAACCTCAATCACAAGTACAAGCTCCTTACAAAAGTCCATTACTGACCCCTTCAAACAACCCTCATTGTCCAGAACTAACTCTTCCGCAAGTATAGTCTCGTCTTCCATGCAAAGATCGGACTCTAAAAAATCTCTAACTATCTCTGTAAATAATACACCTACCGCCGACAACAAGGACCAAGCTTCGAAGAGTAATAGCGTGGTCAAATCAATATCTCCACTGTCCAAAAACTCACCTAACATGTCTAGTTTTAAAAAGATTTTCTCGCCTAGAGGCTCAGAATTCAGTTTTGGTGATGAATCGGATTCGTTTATTGAGGAACTGAACGATGCTGCGGCTGTGTTGAAAACACACATTTTAGCTTTACCTAAAACAAAAAAGCAGAAGGCACTACAATCTCAGAAAAACACAAACCATGTGAGGTCTCCGCTAAAGCGCTCACCCACAGTTAAAAACGACTTTCTTTTATCGAGGAATAAGGTAGTAACGGATACCTTTGTTAAAGCTGTCGAAAAGCGAAATAAGCCATTCACTGATCTTATCAAAGATCCTACTTCTAAGGCAAGATCTGGTGTCGACAGTAGTTCCTATATTTGGAACATCGATACAGATTTGTGCGTACAAAATGCAAGTGAAATGGTACAACAAGTTTCATTTACACCCGTACAAGAAGAATCTACAAGTTTCAACAATGTTCAACATCATCATACAGAAAAAATTAATTTACAATTGCCATTTAATGATGAGGAATTAACCAAACTGAAAAAGTGCAATAATGTAGTTATTGATACACGTACGACCTATATAAGCGGCATTACTCATTCCATTAATTCTGTGCTTAATACTTGGAGTTCAAATATTGAGACCACCAAAGAAAAAGAAGAAGCTAAAATTGTGATCAATGACACCCAAGCCATTGAACATATTAAAACAATGAGAGAATCTATTGAGATGATGCGTTCTTCCCCTCCCTCTAAAAAAAAAGCCGCAAAGAATTCAAGTTTCGAACTTTCAAAGCAAATTCTTTCGAAAGATCCATCATTTTTTGGCTTTGAAGTTAGCGACCAGTTCATTTGTGATCTCAAACAAAAAGTAGAAATTGATGACGATGCAGATGACATTACAAATCTCATTAGAGACTACAAGGAAGATATTTCTAAATCTAAAAAAACAGTGGTTGTCAATGATTCAAGTGATTCTGAGAGTGAAAAACCAAAATTACCCGATATACCTCTTAATGTTGGAAAAGAAAAAAGAATGAAAGTGAATCAAAAGATTTTAAATGAAAGAATAGCAGATATCAAAAAATACGCTTGGAAATATGCTGAATTGGAGAAACGAGTAAAACAAATCAAAAAGGAAATGAAAGAACAAGAAAAAAAGTTGGAAATTGAGAACTTTGTTAAAAAGAATGCAGAAATGCCTCTCAAAACCATGAATGATATGCGAAACAATCGTGAAATAGTCATTCAACGACAAGCCTTTATTAGAGAACAAGCGGTCTTAAAATTCAACGAGCAAGAACGTCAACGCTGTGAAGAATTAGATCGTAAATTTGAAGAAAAGGAAAAGAGAAGACAAAATGCAACAAGTGAGAAAATGTCCAAAGTTTACAAACAAACGATGTGGAAATTACAAAAAACGTGGCTTCCCATTGTGAAAATTAGTTTATTTATTTCCGCAATTACTGAACCATTGTTAAGCGAAAGAGTGAAACGAAAGCGTGAAACTGATGAGAAGGTAGCTCTTTTCGTCATGAGAAAACGATTGTTACCTTACATTTTGAAGCGAAGAGACCAAAAGCAACAAGCGGCTCTGCAAGTCATTCGAAAGAATTGGCTTATTTATGTCATCAATTTTAGGGTTCGAAGAAAGAAGAAAGCGGTTGATGTAATTCAAAAATTCATAGAAGACATTAACAAAACCAATAGAATGGTTCGTGCTGTATCCAGGTTTATCAACGCTGTCAAGAAGATTCAAAGATTTGTCAAAAAATTCCTCTTTCGAAGGAGGTTACATCTCCACATGCTTAATCGACAATATAAGAGATTGGAAACGGAATTCACAAAGAATCAAGCAAAACAAGATATTGCTGAAGTGAAATTCAAAATTGTGGATGTTTTAAAGAAGGTAAAGGAAACTGCCTTCTTTGAAGAGCCCTCTACAGCCACCGAGTCTAGAGCGATTTATCGAAAACAACAACATGTCCCGCATGTTCCACAACCTGGGTCTGGATGGGAAGACGATACGAGTGGCATTCGCAGAACCAAGTTGGCAGTCTCTGAAGCGAAAAAGACGCTTCGTCATGTACAAAAGTTTGTTATAGATGAACTGAAAGAACAGATTGCTCAGACTCCACAATCAACCATGGATGGAAAAATGGTATCTCCAAGATCTTCGAAGAAAGGACCTAACATGTCACATGCTGAAACTATTTTAAAACAGAGCGAAAGATGGGTCAAAGGTCTTGATGATTTCCCTTACCTTATTCATATTATTGAGAACAACATGTTGAAAAATCAATTAATTTTAAAGTTGGGCCGAATGTTACGAATTACTCCAACAAAGAGATGTCACAAAACGTTAGATGCCATTCGCATGCGCATCATACGGGAAGATTTAACGCGGCGAATGCATCAAATTAGACTTGAAGAGCTCGATATTGAAAAACGTAAAGAACGAGCTGTGCAAGCTCTTAACTTCCAAAAGAAAATGATGACTCAACTACAAAAACAACGATCGTTTAGCAATCGAATTTCTCTTCCAGCTGGTGTTACAACATCAGAATTACTCGCAGAGCAACTTCAGAAACAGAACTCCATTCTTCAAGAAGAGGAAGAAATCGAAAAAGAGAGAATCGAGTTGAAGAAGAAAAAGACGATAGGTTATTTACCACAACATGCAATGGAAATTTTGGTGCGAAAGGGTCTTGAGGAAACATTAATGATGGAAAAACGAAGGCAACGAGCACCGAACTCTCCAAGAAATACTGTTATTGCTCACAACAACAAACAAACAAATACTTTGTCTGATAGTTTTGAAAGCAGAATGGATGATTTTGATGAATATGAAGAAATATTGGATGAGAATTTGAATTGAAACAATAATAATAAATATTTTGTAAATGATGACCAAGGTAAACAACTATTTGAATAGATATGGCTGTAAACAACCTGGCAGGACGATTGTGAATCTAAATTTGGTTTCAAATGTCTAATCTTTTGAAACTACTTTGTCTTTTTTAAACCCAAACTATAATACATTTTATTTCCTTCGACATGTCTCGAATTCTGTGTCCAACATCAATCATTGCTCTCTAATACACAATGCCTGTGTCCATACACATCAACATGGATTGGTGGTGGTAAAGGAATGAGAGATGATTTTTGAATTCCAAGCTCACCAACTTATCCGCCACAGTGATGGATAAAACGGAATATCTCTGCCGAGAATGTACACCTCAAAACTATCTATGTATGGAGCACGAGAACAGAATCACCGCATCTCTCCGTTTCTTGAGATACTGATTGGGTTTCCAAGAACCGATCGTAATACTGTCATTGTTGTATTGTAGTTGTAATTCAGATTTCAAAAAACCCAAACATTTTAACCTTTGGGACACACGTTCTTTCAAACCAAGTCAATGTCCAGAATTGAAGCTCCCACCACCCCAAAAAGAATTACCCTTGAAACTCCTTCCAATCTCTTTTCCTTTGAACCTCAAACCAATTCCATGACGAATTCAGAATCTCGAGAAGATATCGTTGAGATGGCCAATAGTGTCGTTGGTGGAGGTCAGACAGTACAAGGAGCAGCTCCTTCAGCAGCAATCACTGCAACCTCTCTCACGGTAACCTCTGCCACAACTTTGTCCACTCTTTCATCCTTTGCTGTCATAAATCGACTCCAAACCTCATTATTTTCCCTGATTGTGGCTTTACAATCGAGCTCAAAACAATCCTCAATCATGTTTTGGATGTTGACCTTCCTTTTCAATTGTCACCTCCTGTGGGTGAGTGTATTCATCCCCACAGTGGGTGGAATGAACTATGGAGAGTACGGAGAGTGGGTATTCACAGTTGCTAATTACCCACTCACTCTCTCGTTGAATTTAATTCCCTACGAAGGAATGGTTGCTTTGGTTTTCATTGTTTTTTTCTCTCTTTTGTTGTACATTGCATTATTGTTCATGACCTATCAGAGAATTATTAATACGAGAAGATTCTCAGATTGGTTCTTACAAGCCACTCGTGTCTTTAACTTTATAATCTTAATTTCTTGTGGAACGATGGCGTATGTGCTGACAAGTCTTCTCGAATGCAGCAGTTCGGTCAGTAGTGTTTCCAGTAATGGAGGCAGTGTCTACTCCACTTCTGAACTCTCTCGTTATCACCATATCGATTGCTACCACTCACCCAATATTATCTTTCTTGTCTTTTCATTGGTTGCATTTATTTTGCTCATGGCATGTGTGGCATTGTCAGCCATGATCTATAGAAATAGTCATCCCATGAACAAATCTTTATTCACCTGTTTGAACAATTATGCTCTCATGTTGCAATTGGTTTTGAATGGTTTAGAAATTATGACCATCTTTTTAATTCCAAAACAATTGCTTCAAATTCGTGCAATTGTTCATTTGATCTTTTCAGGAGCTTGGCCGATTCTCTTTCTTTATCATTTACCATATTTCAGAATGATTGCAAATTCCTTATTCTTTGGTGCTGGTTGTGCCAAAATTGGTGCATCGATTGGAGTTGTGATTACAAGTTTTGTAAATTCTCAAAATTCGAACCAACTAGGTCTCTATTTGATGGCTATTACTCTTGGATTGATATTGATTAGTTTCCTTATTGGTTTTTTAGGGATGGAATTTTCTCAACGACTCGCCTACAAAAAAGTACACAAAATTGTCAATGAAAATAAGGAAAATCTGGCACAAGTATTACACATCTTTGAAAAGAAGAAACGATGGTTAATCATGTATTTACAATTCTCTGTGATTAGACCTAAGTGTGACAACAATGACAATGAAGATTTAATACTCTCACTCGCTAAAGTGATTGGCGCCAACAAGAATCCATCTCAACAACATCCTTTCTTGTTGTTGATCAGCGCTCTCATTATTGCTTACACTTGGCAAGATGGAAATTGTCACTCCTTTGCCATGTATCTGTTGAAACGATGTTTGAGAATTTCGAATAATATTTTTGTTCGATTTCAAGTACAACAACGATCCAAAGAGGTTGAATTGGATGAAACAAGAGATTCTCTAGCTCTGAAATGTCTCACTGAGAGTAAGCATGTGTTGGATAGTTTAGAAAAATTGGAAGACGAGTTGAGAACTCTTCATCGAATGTTTTGGAAAGAGTTAATGAATGAAATTCCAAATCATGTCAAGATTGAGTACATGAATAGAAGATGTACCGATTTAACTAGTCACATTGAAGAAATGTATCATAATCTCATGCGTAAATATCGTAATGAGAAAACAATCATCAGAAAGTACGCGAATTTTGTTGAAGTGTTTCGCTTTGACAAGGACACAGCTCAAGCTCTGTTTGCAGAAGCTAATGAATTGGAAGAAGAAGGATCCAAATACATTTTACAATCTCCCAACAATAATGCAAGCAAATACATGTCCAATAGAAGAACATCAATGATCAACCAACAACGAAATGAACAACCATTCATGACCAATGTGGAAGGTGATACTGATGAATTCAATGGAATTGAAACAAAGGATTATTCTAAAAAAGATGTCGTGCTGAAGAGTTCTCTCAGACATTTGGAAAACAACAAGGGATTTTATGTGTTCTTGATCTTATTCCTCCTGTATTCCTTCTTTGTATTGTTGACATGTGTCACCATCTCTCTATTTGGTTCTGTGAAAAGTGGCACAGATGTACAAGATGTCTACAAGATGTGTAAAGGATCATCAGTCTCCTTTGCTGTATTGAGAGAGCTTCGATTTATTCAGAACCTCAAGAATTTTGATGAAAATGGTTTCTCTGTTCGAGGTGAAAAGAACCTTATTGTGGACATTGTTAAAAACTCACACAAATCTCACCTTCGAACTTACAGGTCATTTATCACTGACATTATTGAAATTGCTCAACAAAACAAACTCAATGCTGATGTTTATGCTGAACTTGTGAATAACACCATTTCTGCTTTCATTCCATTTGCCACATCAAGAAATAATTCCAACAATTCAGAATTAGTGTTCACTGAAATTTATATGAAGAATAGCTCCATGATTGAAATTTTCAATTATTTACTCACAGGAATCAATTCTTTTATACAATGGTCTTTGGATCAATACAACCAAACAATTGCAGATTTTAATTTTATGTACTTGTGGAGAAATCGACTATCCTCGCGAAATGCCTTTACATCGTTTTGTTCATCCATTGTGACAAGTACTGAATCATTTCATTCGACCTTTATCATGTCATTTGCCATTGTCTATGTCACCATCATGATGATGTATATTATTGGATTTGTGGTGTTCCTTGGTGTCATGCTTAAAATGATGACCGGTGCTAAACAAGTTTCCAAGTTATTCAACTCTGCTCTCTCTAAGAATATTATTGGAAAAGTGTATCATGATTTGAGTTTAAAGAATGATGATGACGTCAAAGTTCATCTTCCCAAATACCAACTTTCGGCACCCAAGTACATTTTCTTATTTTTGGGAGTGTTTACTTTGATGTGTTGCATTGTGAGTGGAGCCATCATGGTTGTAGAATCAAACCTTAACTATACAGGTCTCTCTTTGACCATGAATAACATTATTCATGGAACTACAGTCATGAGATTTATTCACCGTACCAATTTCAAGGTTGGAGAATATTTCTCATTTCTTGCAAGTCCACCCTCTTTTGTGAATGACGTATCTTTATTGACAAATGAACCTTTGACCAATGCTGAAAGTGAAGTGAGAACAATGTTGGACCAATTATATCAGGAATGGAATGCTCTTATTTATGGAGGAATGAATGAGGATGGTCAATATTTTCCTCCTTCCATTGGAAAATATTCAGAAATTGATCGCTTGGTGACAGGTGTTACAAATTGCACGCAAGCTGTTGTGAATAACAATTCAACGTTCACAATCGATTTGTACACACAACGCTACTGCACTGGTTTGGATGAAATTATGACAGAATATTCGAAAAAGATTTCCATTTTTAATAGTGAATCTCAAAACACTGCCTTTACTTCTGACACAGTGACCATGTTCAATAACTATTTAGACGTTTTCTTCACAGGTTCACTTTTGGGAGAGAAGATTATTGATTTTATGGATGTCTTTGTTAAATACTCTGCACAACCATCTGTCATTTTAACCATTTTGTTTGGAATTGGGTGTTTGGTGGTGATGATTGTCATTTTCTATGGTATGCTCTATCAATTGGAGAAGCATCGATTACAATTAATTAATATGAGAATGATGTTAAATTATTTACCCTCTGAAGTCATTGACGCTAGTGAATCACTTCGAAATTATATACTTTACAACATGTTAACACCTAACAATCAAAAGAGGAGAAAGAAAAATCAAATTCAATCTGCAGATTCAGAACATGCAAATGTCAAGAGCGTATTGAATGCTTCCGTTGATGGTGCTATTCTTTGTACTCAAGATGGAATTATTGAATTTGTAAATGCCTCCACACAAAAGATGTTTGGATTTGCCAACAAGTCAGATGTTGTTGGCATTTCTGTTGTGACGTTGTTCGATCAACAACAATCTCATCTCATTCAAAATAGTATTAAGGAAATGAATAAGGCACAATTAGATGTGACACATTCTGAGGTCATTGAATCGACTTGTTTGAGAAAGAACCAAACCAAATTCCCAGTCAAGATTAACATTTTCTCGGTCCTTTTCGATAACGGTACTCCAATGATCACTCTGATCATTAAAGACATGACAGCAGAGAAGAAACAGAATTCTGTTTTGGCAGAAGAAAAAGCCAAGTCAGACATGTTGCTGAAAAACATTTTACCAGAATCAGTGGCAGAGCGTCTCAAATCAGGTGAGACATTTATTGCAGAACGATTCACAGATATTACGTGCTTCTTTAGTGATATGGTTGGTTTCACCAAGATGAGCTCATCGATGAATCCAAGTCAATTGGTTGGAATGTTGAACACGATTGTGAATGGATTTGATGCTTTAACAGATAAATACCAATTGGAGAAAATCAAAACCATTGGAGATGCATACTTTTGTGTGGGTGGAATTAGTGGTTCTCTCACAAGTGATCATCCAGAGCGAATGTTACAATTTGCAATGGCAACCTTTGGTGTCATTAGAGAATTTAACATGAATTCTGAAATGGAAACACAAGTAGAGATTCGTATTGGAATTAATACAGGTGGTGTTGTGGCTGGTGTGATTGGAAAGAAAAAGTTCACTTTCGATATCTGGGGAGATACGATCAATGTTGCTTCTCGAATGGAGTCCACAGGAGTTCCAGGAAGAATTCACATCAGTCGTTCCACTTATGAACGTGTGTATGATATGGGTTTGGAATTTGAAGAACGAAAAATCGAAGTGAAAGGAAAGGGGGAATGTCAAACCTATTTGTTAGCAGCAAAACATCACGTGCAATCGATCGTGAACGAATAAGGTGAATTGTCATTCTTCAAAATAAACATGAAACAGGTTAATTTTAAACTTATTATTTCGGAAGGGGACCTTCACAGTTTAATTTCACCTTAAAAAAGAAATCAAAAACATATGAAACAGGTATACAAATTTGTGATTACACATGCATTGGTAAATCCGCCGCTTAATTTCTTCGTTGCACAATTGTTGTTCTTCTTGGTTGTGAATGGTAGTCATTTTGAGTTTGTTGTAATGAAGTAAATACAGTGTTTGGTTGTTGTTGCTGTTGTGGAACCATGACACTCAAACCATGATTATTATTGGTCGACATTGAATTTCCTGTCATGGAAAAGGTCGTCGAAAATGGTTGTTGTTGTTGTTGTTGAAGAAATGCATGGGAAGGCAGACGTTGAATGGCAATTAATTCAATACATCTCTTCAAAGAAACATCAAAATTCCATTGATATTGCACTAAACAATCATAGGCAAAGACATGAATGAGTCTTGTTTGAGACATTAATTTCATAACTAATTCCATTCGTGAAAGACATAATTGAATGTTGAATTGAGATTCTTCTGCAATTCGTCTCGCTAAAAACAAATTAATCATTCCGTATTTTTCACAGAGTTCACGACAGAAAGCAACAGTTGCTTGTAGACAAGCTTCCATGTTCCAACCAAAAAATGTTAAATAGTGTGCACATTTGTCTTGTGATTCGCCGGTGACTTGTGACAGATGTGAGATCATGTAAAGTTTGGTCACTTGTTCTTGAGTCAATTGTTGTTGTTGATGATACATCAGATTGGAAGAAGTGGTGAGAACAGTAGTAGGAGTGGTTGGATTGGCAAAGGAGAGCATTTTTGGCAAGTTAGGATTTCCAAAAAAAAGAATCAATGATCAAATGAGCGTCTAGTTGTTGATAGCAAGTGAGAAGCACGTTTAGAAATTTATACAGAGAAAGTGAGAAGATCAAGTTGAGAAAGAGAGAAATTGGAGTAGTGATCGCACAGAGTATTTCGGAAGGAACAATTCGCCTTCGTGAGAGATCACAAGTGATTTTCAATTTTTTTGAAATTTATATGATTGATGTTGAAATCATCACAAAGATTTTTTTCAAGGGAGACATTTTTGGAGTTTTCCAATTTTTTGTGGAGAAGAGGAATACCGAGTTCATTGGGATATCTTGAACTTGCATTGACATTTTTAAATAATCACGTCCCTAAAGGTCTTCAGGTTTGAACAAACTTTTAACTTCAATCATTGTTTCTGCATTGATTCAATATCAATAATTCTGAAAACTCTGACATTTGAGGTTGAAGGAATAAGAAGGAATCAAGTCTCTTTGTTGCACAAGTGAGGAGAAACCTCAGCATAATCATCATCTAGAACGAGAATATCTCATTGGTTACCAAATCTGCAATATTGTCCCTCCATTCGAATTGATGCATCACAAGAAGAATATAATTAAAGTCCGTTAAGGATTGGCGCTTTTTTTTTTAAACTTCACACACACCCATCAACAACCATCAAACACCTTACATGTCGTCACAAAAGACAAGACACGCCACCTGTCATTGCCATATCGAATTTTTTCACTCACCAAATGCACAACTAAGGCATCCACGAATAATGATCGTGTTTCGCAAGTGGTTAAATAATCCAAGTCAAGCCCTTCATTCCTTTCACTTTAAAAAAACAACAACAACAACTCCCTCTATTCGAGAATATCTTTCTTTAGATTCTTTTTTGGAATTTCTTGTCCGCACTCCGCACTCTTATTTCAATTCTTTTTCCTATCTCCTCAACGAATCATATACGACAAATGTCAGCTGCCACTAATCCCATCAAGGATTTAATTTATTGTCCCATCACGAGACGAATCATGAGTGATCCTGTGGTGACCGCTCTCGGAGATACTTTTGAAAGAGAAGCCATCGAAGAATGGTTACGAAATAGAGACACGAATCCAACCACTGGAGAACCTCTCCCAAATAAGCAATTGTCATTTAACAAGACAGTCAAACAGATGATTGATGTCTTTTTGGAAAATCATCCTGAATATCAATTGAATTTAGAAGAACGATACGTATCGCATGGAATGACAGAAAAGTTGAGAGACGCATTTGATGCCAATGATGTTTCTGCTTTGAATTACATCCTGTCGAGTCATCCCTATTTACAACTTTATGAAGAATTTCAGTGTTGTCCAATTATGGTAAAAGGAATGGCAAGTTATTTAGATGACGGTAATATTTGTCATGTCTTGTGTGAATGTCCCAATACAGAGTTGAAGACGTTCAAGACATTGATGGAATCTCTGCAACGACTCGAAGATAAACATGTGAAAGAAAGACCTTCTCTTGTGAGTAATTTGGTCTCAAAAACCATTTTTGGAAAAAACTCGAGAGGTTTGCAACCCATTCACACAGCATGCTATTTCAACGAATGTGAACAATTGTTTAAGGAGCTCATTCAAATGAAAGATCAATACTCAACTCTCTTCTCCAAATGTGGTGTTTCACTGCAACATGAAGATTTAGATCCACGATGCAGAAAGAATGTCTATCTCCTCATGTTTAAACTTATCATTACGAGTACTCCAGCTCATAAGAACGTTCCAGAAAAGGAAATTGAATTGAACGAGAAATGTTTGGATTTCATCTTTGACAATTTAGGACTTAGTGGTGAGCAATTATTGAGAATAACACATCAAGGAGTTTCCTTGATTAATTATGCATGCAAGTACAATCGTTTGCACATTTTGAAAAAGATGGTTGAAAAGACCAATGTCAACCTCAATCAACATGTCGACACGTTTTATCACACACCATTGACAAGTGCAGTTTTGGGAGGAGCACTTGAAGTTGTGAAATACTTGATCGAAGAAGCCAAAGTGGATGTTGAAGTTGGAGATGTTCCATCCTATCGAAGAGATTTTCCTACTGCTCTGCATTTGGCAGTTTTGAGAGGTCATTTTGATATTGCCATGTTTTTGATTTCTCATGGAGCAAATGTCAATGCCACTTGTAAAATGTCAACGGTGAACGGATCGATCAGTTCTTCCTGTTTGGAGCCTTCAGATATTTGTGTGAATAAGGCATTATTTGGTTCAAGCAAATTTATGGGTCTTGATGTGTCATCACCTTCACTTGGAGGATCCTCATCTTCCAATACGAATAAGGAAGAAGAAGTTCATAATATCATGACTCTGTGTTTATTGCTATGTTCAGATCGACAAGAGACAAGTAAGAGAGCTTTGGAATTTATTTCACAATTGGTTTCCAAATATGGTTATATTCCAACATTTCCTCAAGCCTCTTCTACAACGATTAGTCCAGCAGTTTTCTCAACTTCAACTGCACAGTTTTCTTTCTCACCAAGCTCCATGTTGAATGAACCTTTGTGGTTTTGCATTCGAACCGTTTCAAGCAAAACCGAGTGTGAACACATGTTTGAGTGGGTCCTGAATCAATTTTATTCAGACAAGCAAAAGTTGTTCATGTTGCGAGACAGACAAAAGAACAATGCACTACACTGGCTTGCGGCCTACGCTCGTGTTGAAAATTTGGAAATGACCATTCTTCATTTAACTCAAGATGTGGACGTTCACTTGATGATCAATCAAAAGAATCAACAGGGAGATACTCCATTACATGTTGCATCTGCTTTGGGACGAAAGGATATTTGTAAATTATTGATTGATTTAGGAGCGGATGTGAGAATAAGAAATGCCAAGTTGCAGGATGCTCTCTCGGCTGGATTTGTTTGTAATGCAGTCCCAACTCTTACCGCTCAATACCGAATGAACTTTTTGAAGGATTTGAGAAAGTGTTTGGAAAATAGAGACAATGGAAGAACCATTCTGACACTTCAAGCAAAAATTCGAATGCTGGAAAAGAAGTTACAAGAGAATATGCCAAGCTCATTAATGATTGACCCTTAAATAAAAGAAATAAAGTCAAACACAATCTTACTTGATATGGTTATGGTACTACATTTTATAATTGAGGTAAAATATCACATGAAGGTAAATCTACAGTACCCGTAGAGATCATATAATTAGCAATGGCTTCACAAACAATGAAAAAGAAATCCACTTTCAAAATTTTCTGCCGTGCAATTGCTTCAGACACACCCCACTGTTCCATTGGATTTAAATCTTGGATACGATATCCAGCAAAATTCAGAGCTCTATAGTATTCATCCTCTGCAGTTGTGATACAACGTATGTCGAGTTCTCTCATGATCGAAGAAAGAATTGGAGCAATTTCTCCTCGTAAGCTGTTCAAAACATGCATACATCGAATTCGTGACACATAATGTGGAGTAGCTCCATCATCACCAGGTCTTCCATATCCAAATTCAGGTCCCACTTTGGAATCTTCACAAGCCTTCCATACTTTCAAATAAAAGTTTACAATATTTACATTCCAGTCCTCATTGATAAATTTGCTAAAAAGTTCGACTCTTCTGTCCTTTTTAGAATATCTTGAGACTGAGGCTAATAAAGCCAAAGCATATTCATCCACAAGTTTGTTCGTGCCATAAATATGTTTTAAATGTTCAAAAATAAACTCAGGAATGGTGATATACCTCTTCTCTACGTCTGACAAGAATGCAATTAATTTGCTCTTATAAATTCCATACATGAATTTTAACAACCAAGGTAATGATTTGGTTCGTTCCTTGTCGCGATTTTTCAGTTTGGTCATGAGTTCCATCATTCTTTGATTTTTTGGTTTCAACTTGGCCCTGTATTGTTCGACTTGGTTCAATTTTCTTACAACGCCAATATTGTAAGGTTTTACGTGTAAATCGTCCATACTTATACTCTCTCCAGAAAACATGGTTTCATCCGTTTGTACATAGCTACTGACCAAGTCTGCTTGTGGAACCACATTTCTCGGAGACAATCTTTTGTCATCATATCTAGTTTGTCGCGGCGTTCGCTTTGTGACCTCCCTTGGAGGGAGCTCTTCTTTTGTGTATGCTCTTTCAATGCCTGTCGATTCTTCCAAAGGGTTATTATTAGGATTATTATGATCATTATTGAACTTGGAGTGGTTTGTGTGTTGTACATTGGTTTTTGTTGTAGCAGATGAACTATTGTCATAGGAATTAGTGATGGACTTTTTGATTTCTTTTGGCTTTTCATCACTATTGAGAGGCTTGGTTGTTCTCGAGGATGGTAAGGGTTTGTTAGTGCTTGAAATTTGGTTGGTGACCCTGTTTGAGGCATTCATCAAATCGTTTGATTTTAGATCTTTGTCAATGTATTCATCTTCGTACAATTCATTGTCATGGTTTCGACTGCTATTTAAAGCATAATCATGATGAGCTTCATCTACACTAATGTTATTTCTGTTTACATTTGGCTCTGCTGCCGTATTTTTCTGAGCATCAGTTTTGTTAGTTTTTTGAGTTGGTTTGTTGTTTGGTGTTTTTGGATCATTCTTCGTTGGAAATTGTTGTGATTTTCTTGTATCGTTGTGTTGGGATGTTCTGGATGAGTTTGGAGGGCGTGGTGACTTTGAGTGGACAGGTTCGCTGCTGTTATTATTTACACGCATGGCAACTTCTATTGGTTTCTGTTCTTGGGAAGGAAGTGAGGTTGTTGAGATTGGTTGTTCTGGAATGGATGCTTGTTTTTGAGCCGAACTACTGCTTGGTGAAAATTGTTCATCATTGCCACTGACACTGGATTGAATTGGAGCGATAGGTTGGGCGTTGGATATATTTTCTTGTGGCTTGTTGACATCTTTCTTCCTGTTTGCAAGCTCTCGTTTGCGTTGCTCTTCAAGTTCCTTTTTTCGTCGATCCTCTTTGAGTTGATTCATTTCAACTTGGATGTCGTTTCGTAAAATAATGTCATTCTTCACACGTATTTCGCTTTGAAGCTTTTCACTGTAGGCTCTTTCATTGGCTAATTCTTGTTTTAACTGCTTGATTTGATCTTGTAAATTTGTTATGACATCTTCTTTTCGTTGGAGCAATTCTTGAGTATGAAAAGAAATTTGAGTATTATCCCTGGCATCAAAGAAAACTACTTTCACTCTATCTTCAAGATCAAAAGGGACAAGCTTCACCTTAATTGGACGTTTGCTTGGGTCACGTTCTGTTTGAGTTCCACTCTCAACAAGAATGATTTTGGCGAGTAGGTCCTGATGCCTTTTTCCAACCCTTCGTATTTCTCCCAATCTACTATTAATATCATAAACCAGGTTTAACACATTTTGTGCAACCGTTTGAGAATCGGTTTCGGTACTGTTCAACCTCTCGCTTTCTATTGTTGTTCGTAATTGATAACCAGATCCTAGCGTTGAGAAATATGTTGATAACTCCAGCACATTTGAAACAGTATCCTTAATGTTGGTAAATAAAAGTTTCATCATTCTCATAAAGCTTTTTTCTTGTTGACTTGAATAATTTCCATCCACTGAGTTTCCTTCAACGGTTTTTGATTTTTTTCGTCGTGGTGCGTGCTCTTTTCGATTATGTTGTTTTTCATGGTCATTGTTTCCTTCCTCTCCAAAGAAATCCTCATCGAGCACACCATAGTCATTCACAAAGTCCTCCCACTTCTTTTTGTTTTGAAGTAAATTCATGACTAGTTCATATTTTGGAAGAAGACTAATTTTTTTTTGATATTCCTCATTCTCTGCAACAACAGCTGCTGTTTTATCCAAAATTTTCTCCAGTTCTTGTTTCATTGATGATTTCTCTTCATTTACTTCTTTTACAATTTTCTCATACTGCTCCATTACGATTTTAAGCTCATTTGATTTTTTTCGTTCTCCTTGCAATAAGGTTCTGGTAATTTCAAAAAATTCCTCAAAATATCTATGAATTCTTTGTAGAATGACACCTCTCTCGACACAAGTTGCAAAAACTTGTCGCGATACTTCAAACAAACTGTGCAAATGTACAACAAAAGATTTGTTCATATTTTCCACAATAGATTTGTAATAGTCTTCAGAACTTTGATCTCGTTGTTTGTCCTCTTTTCTGGCCTTTTTTAACATGGTATCCATGGCTTTTGCAAGAAGATATACTTCAACTCTTTTTGAAGGATTAGCTGATGGGAATACTAGTTTTTCCCAATAGTGTCCTTTTTCATTGTAATCAAATTTTCCTTCTTTCACTAATCCTTCATAAATAGGTGAGTTCGAATATACGTGGTATTCTTTTGGAATTCGACTTGGAGGTATGAGCTGTACAAGTGCATTTACATTGCTGCTGGCCTTGTCTGCCATCTCTGTAATTACTCCCACATATGAGTCGTCATTAATTTCAAATGCAGATCTCAACGCCTTTTTCAATTGTGCATCACTGAGAAGGTTCGTTTTGGCTGAGGCAGATATTCCAGATTTCCTAAAATTTGTAAGGTCAATATTTGTCATGAAATGTCTTTCTGATAAATATTCAAGTTTCTGCAGAGTCTCTTGAGAAAGTTCTGGATTTAAGGCAACTCCACTATTTACAAGTTCTTTCGCTGCTTTGGGGTCAAGGTCTAAAACTCTTTGGCCGTTATTGTTATCTTCTGAAGATTCTGAACTGTTGAATTGAGTCTCTGCCGTTTTTTTTCTGTGAGTGTTTCTATTTTTAATATTACTTGTGTTGTTGTTATTGGCAGGACTTTTTTTGGGGACTTGAATGAGTTTTACAGGGCTTGTTGATCTGATTGTAGGAGATGGATTTTTGCGGGAGTAAGAGTTTTCAATTGATGTTCCGTCGAGGAGTAATGTTTTTACAATGGTTTGATTCGTTTGGTGTGGCGGTTGTTGTGCTTCAGAGTTTTGATGAGGGGCAGTCTGCTGCTGAGTCACATTTAGCGATGATGGTGCCCTTAGTGATTCTATCGAAGACAACATTAATTCTTTTTCATCTTCTTTTTGTTGGTTTTCAATGTTTTCTTGATCGTGCGAATTGTTTTCATGACCAATCTCTTCACGCGTTTCTGTAGTTTTCTCGTTCGTGTTAGTGTCAGTTATTGTGTTTTCATTTGTATTGACTCGTTTTGGAATGGGTGATATTGATCTTGCGGAAATTACAAGAGGACTATCTCTCGCACCATGTACTTCATCTTCTCCCTCTTCGAATTCTTCAGGTGTGGGCGTCACCGAAGGAATTAGTACCACAGCAGACAGGGTACTGGTGTTGATGATTGTTTCTCCCTCCTCATTCCAGGCCTGAATTGGAGGTGCACGGTAATTATGGAGGGTTTCCGAATAACCAACATGGTCACTCGGTACCTCAACACAAGGACCTTGCACTCTCACCATTCGAGATGAAGTTTCGAAACGAGAGCATTGTTGTAGTGTGGCTGCAACATTTTCCTCAAAGGTACCGCCGACTTTCTTAATGGGAGACCATGCCCGTGTTGTTGTTGTTCGGGAACTTGTTGGTGAATTTCCATTGCTGCTTAATTGGATGGAAGAATTGTCGCTTGTTGTTTCATCATTTGGTTCCTCCTCTCGATTCATAGTGATGTTTAAATGGTTCTCTGGAGAGAAATTATTTGTCGGCACTTCTGAATCAAGTTGTGCTAGCTTAGAGTGAGACTCGCTAAAATCGTTTGGTGTTGGCGATGAATTATACACACTTTGGCTTGTTGTAAATTTTGAAGATTCATTTGACGATATAAGCGTCATTGTTGGTGGAACATTACTATTTTTCTTTCTCCGTGGAAGAATTTCAGTTGATGATGTATGTTCCAAATTGTTATTCCTACAAGTGCCTGTTGATGTTGTAGTTGGTGTTGTCGCCCGACAACTACTACTGCTGTTCGTTCGATAGGTCGTAGATGGTGTTGGCGCCTTCTTATGAGTGGACATGCCTAACCCCTTTTCTTGCATTTTATTTGAAGAGAGAGATGGGAAGATGAGATGTTCCTCAACATGAAAGATCGCCCACTGAACTTGCCGGCACAATACTCGAGAATGGTTTGGAAGAGAGATTTGGATGGTGTTGGCAAAAGAGTGGAACTTTGGTTTCGTTGACCACAATCAAAATGTCAAAATGCTTATTAGAAAGGCTGCTGCTGGTTTGTTGCGAGTAGATATCAAATTCAGCAAAAAACAAAAAATATGCTCGCCCGAAATATTGTATCATCATCGGCCTTGGTTCTGTTGAAGAGAAATTCATGGAGTGTGCAAGCTGGCCGTAGGATGATTAGTTCATCATCATCAACATCCTTCATGATGGTCCGAAAGAAGAGAAATTATTATGAAGATCCTGAGGTTGTTTTCTCAAGAAGGGACTATCCAACCACCACGACTAGTGCATTCAATAGCGAAAATCATCATGTGAACATCAACAATGTCGGATCATCAGAGAAAGCTTCATCAGGCTCCGTTCAAAAATTAAAAAACGAAATTCTAGATACAGCAATTGACAAGTATGTGATGAGTCATGGATGGACCATGGAATCCATTACACAAGCCGCAAAGGATTTTGGATTGAGTCCAATGGCTTCATCACAACTCTTTGCCACTGGCTCAACAAGTCTCGGACCAGAAACCGAACTCATTCAACATTTTCTTACAAAAGGTAATCGAGAGATGAGTACACAAATTCAACTCATGGACAAGACTGGGTAAGTTAGGTGGCCAAAAGATGAATTTCTTGTTAAATCATCATCGTTTGAATTGATTTTTGAATTTTTGTGGGTTGTGAATTTTTTGTTTGTGTGAATTGTTTTATTTTCAAATGAAAAACTCAAATCAGAATGGACATCCCAACGATTGTTAAGAAATGCATTCGTCTTAGACTTGAAATGGTTGCTCCATTTGTTAGAGCTGGCAAATGGACAGAAGCCATGTCCACATTCATTTTTGGGCCAAATCCTCTTGTTGACACTCCTACTCAGATCTTCAATCAATTAACAGGTTTCAAAACTTCTGGAACAACAAATGCTCTTGGTCCTGTCAATCAAGTGCAAGGATTGAATGCTCTCTATAATGCAGCAATCCTAGTGGATGAAATTTGTCATATTTCTGGTATTCGTGATACGGACATTCAATGGTATATCAAGAGAGCTGGTGTTGGACTTGTCTACACTTCTTGTGAATTTTACATGCTCACCGATAATTCACCTGATTTTCAAGATACATGGAGCTTCCTTGACAGAAGAATGGATGAGCTTACCATGTTGCAATCGGTCAATGAAGGTCTAACAAATACTGTGAGTGGTATTTTCGGAAGTATTTTGTCTGTAATTTCTGCTGCAGTAGCTCCACAACAACCATCAGCTGCCTCAACAACAACTCAAACAACAGAACATCATGAACCTTCAGTAGCCAACAAAAATTGAGCTTAATCTTGTGTCAACAATCATGTCAGTTTAACTCGCACAAACATGCCACTTTGAACTAAAGTTACAGATGGTCATTTGCTGAAAAATAAACGTTCCACCACACCAATTAATTTACAATTAAATATTTTTTAATATGTCACATGTTCAACACACTCAATAAGTGGAGCCTTCTGTTGGTTGTGGGTTCTTTCTATTCTTTGGAGAGCTCATTTCTTTTCTCAAAGCTCCTAAAATTGCTGCAATATCATAAGTGTAGGTCCATTGATTTCCCAACATTGGGAATTCGCTCAAAATAATATCTCCATTTGGACCAACACAACTCATGTTCACTCGATTGAGAAATTTAACAGTTGGTGCAACATCTGGATAACGATCACCGCATGTAATTCTAAGGCTATAGATTCTTCCTTCGAAAGAAGTCTATTTCAGGTTCATATTTAAATATGTCCATTTTGGTGTCAATGCGTTAAATGTGATGAAAATATGATTGAATATGTGAAAATGATTTGTTATATATAATATTTCAAGAAAAATCAGATATTATCCAAAATTAATAATTTGGTATGAATCGATGTTTGATTGCCACGACAAGGTCATTTCAAGAGTGGGATCAACATGAATTTGTTCGTCGCACAACAGCATTATAAATATCCACGCCCGTCATCATCCAAAATTATTGACGATTATTGAACAATAATTTTTTAAATTTGCAGTAATGTGTGATGATGATCAGACAAATTTCGAGCGGTAAGATGTTGAAATTAGAATAATCACGATTAAATCATAACACATACACCAGGTGGGCCAATAATTGTTCCGTTCCATTCTTTCAGCATAATATCATCCGAACTAACCAATCCGTAGCTAACGGTTCCATCACCGAAACCTTTCTCACCCTTTTCCAATTCTTCTAAAAGACGAAAACTTCTTGGAACTAATCATCATGAATCAAATTTTGTGTGGTGTGAGCAATAAAAAAACAACAGATAACAAATATTATACGCAAAGTTTGTTGAATTCATACACCCGTAAGAAGAAAAAAATCAAATGATGCTCGGAAAGAGCATTAAGCTTGAGGAACATACCTTTACTCATTTTTTTATGATGACTTAAATTACGAAACCAATGATCTCTTCCGAATAGCCGATTGCTGGTTTTGCCTTCTCTTCAATAAACTTTTCAATACGCGTATTGAAATACAATGACGCCCACTTCGAACGAAAAGGGAACTCGATTGCACTTTCACTTTTCATCTTTCAGCAATCTCAGAAGTCAACTTGCGACTACCACTAGAAAAAAATTGGCTGTTGTCTTCTTGCACGTGTTTTTTTGCCTCTTTCTTTTGCATTCACATGAACGTAACAACAACAACAACAACGAGTCTTCATTGCAATAATAACATCCTCACGAATCGCCTCATACTCCTCCATTATTAGTCCTTTTTTCGCACTTCATTAACAAACGATTCATCATCAACGGCATCCACTGAGTGGTGTCAGTTGTTGTTTAAACAGTCATTTCAAGTAGAACCTTTTTCTGGAAGAATTATTTTTCATTTTGGCGATGTCTTCCACGCAAGGAACAGATGATGCTGATCATCATCAAGGAAACGCTGCCATCACATCATTGATTAGTAGTAACAATGCACCTCCTAATAACAGATTTATTCCCTTCTATATGAGAGACGATTTACCACAGAATCGTCAATCGAAATCCAAGGTCAATCAACGAAGAAGACGAAAAACCATCCAGGATGTTCTCCAACAGAAATCATCATCATTGTCGACTTCTTCGAATCACCCTCTCCACCACACTAATTCGGCTACTTCTCATTCGACAGCATCATCATCATCCACAACACCCACTAACATTCTTCCAAGACAACACCAACAACAACAAACAACAATAACACCGATTCAACCTCCTCATCCTTCTCAGGGACAAACCCATTCATCACCACCAATTCTACAACACCTACCAACAACACGACATCAAGGTATTTATCCTCCTTCTCTGAGAGCCAGATATCCCTCCGTCTTGCAATCTTATCCTCATTATGTTCAATTACCAACCAACCCTCTTCCTTTTCCTCCCTCACCCTATCAAATACATCAACAACAACAGAAAGAACAGAAGTATGAAACAACAGCAAGAGTGAAATTCTCAACCATGGTGGACACTAGTAGGTCAGGTGGTGGTGGCTCCTCCACAATTTCATCGAGTACACCTCCGCAAGGCTTACCTACACAGAGCCTCTCAGAAATATCGAACAAATTCGGAGGCTTGAGCGAGCAATACAGAAATTCGGCTCTACAACGTTCTGCATCGTCTTCATCATTGCTTTCGAAAAATGTTTTAACAAATCATCCACATCAACCTCCTCATGAACATCAAAACAGTGAGGAGAGTATCTCGATCAAGAAGAATAGGCAAGAACCTCGTGATAGTGAACAAATTAATGAGAAGGTTGTTGTTGGTAGTACTACGACCCAACCTCAACAAGAGCCCACTCCGTCAAGTATTGCTTCGTTTCTTTCGAGTAATGGCTCTAAATTACAACAATCATCACAACCTCAAAGAAGTAACATTCCCAACACAACGACAACTGCGACTGCGGCTACTATTACAACAACAACAACAACAACAACGAATAATTCATTATTGGTTCCTACTTCTTCATCTGTATCTTCCTCCTCCTCCTCCTCATCAACAACAAATAATGGCAAAGTTGGAACGGCTTCAGCATCCTCAAGCACCGCTATTCATAAACTGAAAAGACTTCAACAACAAATTCGGTCCTCCGACAAGGACCTTCATGCCATTAATTCCTCAGCTCAAGTCTTAAATTATTTGAAAATGGTTCAACAACAACAACAGGCTTACATTCAACAGCGTTTATTATTACAATCAAGTTCCATTCCAAATCTTAATGTTTCTGTGAATCATATTAAGGATCAATTGTATTCTAACATTAACAATGCCAATAGTAGTAATAGCAGTAGTAATAACAATGGTGACAACGGCACAGATAGATCATCACGATCCTCCTCATACTTGCCTTCCACTTTCATACCCAGTTATCAGCTGGATCCAACAGTCGACATGATGATCTCTAATTGGGAAAACCAAATTCGACAAACAAAACAACGTCAAAGGATGCAACAATTATATAGGAGACCCATTCCAAATCTTAGATTGCCTCCACACCAAGATCACAGCCAGTACATGATTGATTCTTCTTCAAGTGAAAGTAGTAGTGGTATGGGCTCTCATTCAGATCGATCTGAAGCTTGGATGAGTGCACGATTCGGAGCAAGTACTCTCAGTAGCAGTAGTAGAGTGAGCACACGGTCGATGGGACTATCTCCACTCAATTCACCAAGCTCGTCATGCAGCATGATGAGCGATTGTACAGCCACAGCTAATGCGAACACTTCTTTTCATGATAATAGTGACTTTCTCATGATTTCTCCTCACCATCAACAACAAGCTCAACTCTCTGCCAGATCTACTAGTAATAATAGTAGGCTCACTGCTGAACAATTGTCTCCCGAAGATGAGGATGAGGATGGTGACACTTTGATGATTGATGACTCGTCACCTACTCTCGACCATAATAAGGACAGTAGCAGTAACAACAACAAAATATTACCATCCATTTCAAAGCTTAATCTGCCGATTAATCTTCCTCCCCTTAATTTATTATCCCTCTCCAACTCAAATTCTATAAGCAATTTGACTGACACAACAAGCTGCAATAATAATATGCTGTCGGTTCAAGCTAGTAGTACCTCTGACATGGAGGGAGTTAAAAGTTGTCCAACCACACCACAGCATTCAGCTCGAGCAACGTTACAAGAAAATTCAACCTCACCCTCTTCAGGAATTCAACAATTATTTGTGAATCCTTTCTCATCAACGACCTCTGGCAGCAATACTACTTTCAACTTTAGTGCATCACAGCCCACCACTTTAGCTACAACTTCTGTACAGCCCAATTCAATATCTCTTAACAACAACAATACTACTTTACTCCCCTCACATCAACAACACACCTCCGTGAATAACAGTCATTCTAGCAGTTACATTCCTGAAGGGTTTATTACACAAAGGACATATCAACAGCATCATTTTTCGAGGAATACAAAGCAAATTCATCATCAAATTCACTCGTCACAAAACATGTCGTCAAGAACAAGAGATAATCATTTAGTGAATGCTGAAAGTGTGATTAATTCTAACAACAATTCAATCTGTCCATCACCTAAAAGACCAAATCAATATCATCACTATTCTCACCTTACAAGCCCCAGATCATCAAAGAAAAAAAAATTACAAGAATCTTCTGAAGCAGCAAACATCTCAGATCCAAGTGATGTTTTAGGAATTGATTTCATTCCTGATGATTCTTCCAATTCTGTACAACCAAACGAAGATATTCAACAACGAATGAGTATGCAATTATTCCAGGCGATCTTTAGACATACTCCTCTGCCTATGTTTATTTTAAACTCTAAAGGAAAATTCATGTCTGTAAATCATGCTTTTATTTCCATGCTAGATTATGAGAGTGAAGCATGTTTTAATGGTAAGAACGCCCTAGAATTTGTTTACTCTGAAACAGACAGCATTTCACTCATGACACAAATTCAAAAGAGTGCAATAGAAGGTGGTATGAACAACCATAGTGCAAGTACTACCAATAGTAGCCTTGTATCTCCTCAGCAACATTTTAAGATGAACTTGAAAGACTCAAATGGTTCACACGTACAAGCAGAAAACACAATTTATGTTCTTCGTGATGTCATGTATGGATCTGGAGAATTTTTTGTTTTCACTGTAACCAGTTATCAATCGAGTAGCATTTAATTTAATTATTCAGTGAAATAAAAATGAATAGGGTTTGGGTTTGGGAATATCGCCCATTCAGTGATCCCAAAAATTTGTAATTATCAAATAAACAACATATTTAGTTGTCTTAGGACCTATAGCGATAGGATCTTGCTCGGTTATTTGTTCTGACATGTCGTTCACAAGAAAGAAAAAAATTTCACGTTTTCGCTGGAACTTGTGCGACGGTAAATTTCATAGCCCTCAGGTTGATATATTAAAAAAATTGAAGCAGACATGCAAACATGCCCCATAATCCCTCAATGATAGTAGTACTCATGAATGATATATAAATGAAATATGAGAGGTTGGGAGACACTCCTCGGACCGTGGAGCATCCCTAAAGTTGGTCAACCATATACCTCCCAGAGAAAAATTTGTCACCCCAGGAGGAGGGACACTGTCAGTAACATGATTTGAAATTGAGCTTGTAAATGATAAGATATGTTGTAGACATCACATAGAGGGTATAGTGACAGTTGTGACACTTGTAGATGACCATGGTCACGATAGGGGCAAATAGTCAAATTAGTTGCCATTGTGAGAGACATGGTCATGGTCATGAGATGAATCTTGTAATACACTTTCTACATGACCACTAGGATTTATAGATGTTGTTTATTTCATCAATTGTCAACTAAGGATGAAACGGTGAAGCTCTCCTCTTGATGAGTGAATTTTAGCTCGAAAAATTTTCGGATTGAAAATATTTTACAAGTTCAAAAATGATACAAGGCCCCAGCGAAAATGTTAAATTTCACTCATATACGATAAATACATTATGACAACATGTGGAAACGACATATGTGATGGGTCCATGTATGTTGTACACTAAAAAAGAGAAAATAGTTGTATTTGTGATAGGTTGAGATGTTAAAGCATATTATTAATTCAGATATTGAAGCATATCAAGAGTGGTTGAGAAATAGACATTTTCATGTCATGGATCTTGCAATGCCCCTTCTATATGATCAGTACAACATGTTTATGTTGTTTATTTCATCAATAATGAGTCATGTCTGAAATAATGAAGCTCTTTCCGTGATGAGTCATCTTTCCCTCGGAAAGTTTGTTCGCAAGTTCCCGCCAACTGTCAAAATCAAAGAGTAAAAAATGTCAAAACAATGCCCTGTGAAAGAACTCTCTTCGGATTCTCATGACGAATCTATTTATGAAAATACTTCTGGCAAAGCTGTTCACAAAGACATGCCGGCTCTTCTCGATGAGACGGATGACGTGGATGATGTGAACAGTGACACTGAAAATGTGGAAATTGCGAACAGTGATGATGACTCTGATAATGGCTTTCTTTACGAAGATGCAACCGATTCAGATAATGATGAAGATGATGATGATCGCAAACTTCGATGCTTTTTGAATCCTTCACTTCAAGATTCCGATTCCGAATGTGATAATGACCAAAAATTCACATTGAAAGATGTGTTGGCTCCTGCTGAATTTATGATTCATTCAAACGAACATCAATATTCTGTACCATCCAATGAAGTTCCACATTTACTTACTTCTCTATTAGGGATCCTTAATGGCACAAAAAACAAAAATCGACAACTCAAAGATTTACAAATTATTAAAGAGACACTTGAACTCTTTAAAACTGAAACTGAAGAAAGTGATAGAGATTTCGAAAGAGAAGCAATGAAGCATATTAAAGCTTTGCTTAAATATGATGATCTTAAAAGAGATGCTGTAGACAAAACAAAAAAGACTGAAACAATTGTTCAGATGGATCTTGCTGCTATGAAAAAGAAAGCACGTTTACCGAAAACTAGCTGTGACAAATACGAGTCTGAATTACTTTCAAGAAATCACGACATAATTCGATCCGTGCTCAACAATGCGAAACATTTAAAACCAATGGAAAAACAAAAGCCAAAGGATTTATGTCCCTCTGTTCCGGAACTTGAATTTAGTAAGGACTTAGATGAACTTTTTGTAGGACTGAAAGACACTTTGTCATTGAGTTTTGCAAAAGGAACGGAGGAATATCAATTGTATGCACTAAGAACCTATATGTTTTTCTATAAAAAGATTGTTGTTGGCAAGCCATTATTTTCCAAATACCAACCTCAACCATTTCCAATGAAAAAGGTGACCTTTTTAATGTTTTTAATTTGGGCAAGACAGAGTGGTTATGCCTATAAGACAGTGAAAGATTGTTTCTGCAATGCCTTGTGTCGTCTTTTTGAATTGAATGCAATTTTAGGTGCATCGCCAAGGGCAGCTCATTCAGAATTGGTGAGTGGAGTGCTTCGTGCTTTAGTTAGAAAATATGGAAAACAAACATTCAAAGTGAATGCTTTATTGAACGGACATATGTTTGCTTGGATAGATGCGCTAGATATGAACAAATTTTCGGATATCATGTTGAAAACGATCATTCTCATTGGTAGATATTCTGGATTGAGAGGAGATTCTCTTGTTCACATGAATTTAGGGGATGTTAACTTTAATGTGAAAAATTATGACAAGAAAGAATTCAGCGTAAATCTCAAAATGACTGTAACTAAAGAGAAAGATTTGAGAGGAAATGAAACTCGTGAGCTATGTATTTATGGCAAAAAGAATCAAAAGTATTGTCCAGTTATTGGATTGCTTCATTATTTGTTTATCCGAGACAAAGAAATGTTTACGAATAATTGTAAGACATGGAAATAATTTCTTTTGGGAAAAGATTTTTCTATTAAGAACGAATTTTTAGATCTTCCTTTATTTGTTTAAGTACGAAGCAACAAACGATGGGTTTGGGTTTGGGTTTGGGTTTGGGTTTGGGTTTGGGTTTGGGTTTGGGTTTGGGTTTGGGTTTGGGTTTGGGTTTGGGTTTGGGTTTGGGTTTGGGTTTGGGTTTGGGTTTGGGTTTGGGTTTGGGTTTGGGTTTGGGTTTGGGTTTGGGTTTGGGTTTGGGTTTGGGTTTGGGTTTGGGTTTGGGTTTGGGTTTGGGTTTGGGTTTGGGTTTGGGTTTGGGTTTGGGTTTGGGTTTGGGTTTGGGTTTGGGTTTGGGTTTGGGTTTGGGTTTGGGTTTGGGTTTGGGTTTGGGTTTGGGTTTGGGTTTGGGTTTGGGTTTGGGTTTGGGTTTGGGTTTGGGTTTGGGTTTGGGTTTGGGTTTGGGTTTGGGTTTGGGTTTGGGTTTGGGTTTGGGTTTGGGTTTGGGTTTGGGTTTGGGTTTGGGTTTGGGTTTGGGTTTGGGTTTGGGTTTGGGTTTGGGTTTGGGTTTGGGTTTGGGTTTGGGTTTGGGTTTGGGTTTGGGTTTGGGTTTGGGTTTGGGTTTGGGTTTGGGTTTGGGTTTGGGTTTGGGTTTGGGTTTGGGTTTGGGTTTGGGTTTGGGTTTGGGTTTGGGTTTGGGTTTGGGTTTGGGTTTGGGTTTGGGTTTGGGTTTGGGTTTGGGTTTGGGTTTGGGTTTGGGTTTGGGTTTGGGTTTGGGTTTGGGTTTGGGTTTGGGTTTGGGTTTGGGTTTGGGTTTGGGTTTGGGTTTGGGTTTGGGTTTGGGTTTGGGTTTGGGTTTGGGTTTGGGTTTGGGTTTGGGTTTGGGTTTGGGTTTGGGTTTGGGTTTGGGTTTGGGTTTGGGTTTGGGTTTGGGTTTGGGTTTGGGTTTGGGTTTGGGTTTGGGTTTGGGTTTGGGTTTGGGTTTGGGTTTGGGTTTGGGTTTGGGTTTGGGTTTGGGTTTGGGTTTGGGTTTGGGTTTGGGTTTGGGTTTGGGTTTGGGTTTGGGTTTGGGTTTGGGTTTGGGTTTGGGTTTGGGTTTGGGTTTGGGTTTGGGTTTGGGTTTGGGTTTGGGTTTGGGTTTGGGTTTGGGTTTGGGTTTGGGTTTGGGTTTGGGTTTGGGTTTGGGTTTGGGTTTGGGTTTGGGTTTGGGTTTGGGTTTGGGTTTGGGTTTGGGTTTGGGTTTGGGTTTGGGTTTGGGTTTGGGTTTGGGTTTGGGTTTGGGTTTGGGTTTGGGTTTGGGTTTGGGTTTGGGTTTGGGTTTGGGTTTGGGTTTGGGTTTGGGTTTGGGTTTGGGTTTGGGTTTGGGTTTGGGTTTGGGTTTGGGTTTGGGTTTGGGTTTGGGTTTGGGTTTGGGTTTGGGTTTGGGTTTGGGTTTGGGTTTGGGTTTGGGTTTGGGTTTGGGTTTGGGTTTGGGTTTGGGTTTGCTTGGGTTTGGGTTTGGGTTTGGGTTTGGGTTTGGGTTTGGGTTTGGGTTTGGGTTTGGGTTTGGGTTTGGGTTTGGGTTTGGGTTTGGGTTTGGGTTTGGGTTTGGGTTTGGGTTTGGGTTTGGGTTTGGGTTTTGGGTTTGCAGGTTTGGGTTTGGGTTTTGGGTTTGGGTTTGGGTTTGGGTTTGGGTTTGGGTTTGGGTTTGGGTTTGGGTTTCGGGTTTGCGTAGGGTTTGGGTTTGGGTTTGGGTTTGGGTTTAGGTTTG